GCAATATAGGAAGCGACATTAGATAAGACCTTATAAGAGGTAGCGACCGCATCTGTTATAGTAGGAGACATTAATATCTACTATAAGAACGGAGGCTTAAACCTATACCCGGCGGATCGTACGACGATAATCGGCCGCTAGGCCCAAACTAACGGCTTGCTACGCCTCGACCCTAGACCCGTAGCTACCTATATCCTACATTCTATAATAGTATAGACGCTAACGATAGACTATTACTTCGTAAGACGCGAGTAGGTGTCCTGCCTATTTTATCTAATAGGTACTAAGAGCCTAGGGCTACAGACGGATTATAAGTATATAATAAGGCTGCCTATTACGATAGAAAGCCTAGTAGAATACCCTAACCTAGACCTACCCCGTTTCCGGACGAGTCGACTTAGTAAGCTACCTATTCGCCGCCGACTCTAAGAAACCTAGTATACTACTACGCGGAGTAGCGTAGAGAAGGCGCTAGCGTTAACTACTTACGATACCTTAGCCGACTATATTACCGAGTCGATTTAAGGTATCGCTCGGACGACTCTAGGCTATACGACAATATCGACTCGTAGACTAAAGATACTAAATGCGCCCGCGAGCCCTTCCTACTATTAATTAGTACGTTAGTTGTTTAAGCTTAATATAGAAAATAGTCCTCTTTTTAGCTAGGACCTAGCACTAGATAGACTCTATAAAGCTTCTATAGTACTTAGCGAGCGATATACGGTAGCTACGAAAGATATAGATAGTACGCTTATAAAAAACTAAGGGCTAAATTTACCTTATAGTAAAATTAATAGTATACTACCCGGTAGCTAAAGCCTAGATTTACCTTATAGTAAATTTAGGGATTATAGTTACGAGTCGGGAGCTATTCCCTTCGCACGAAGTAGACGTAAACTACCTTCTAGTATACTAGAGAGTCTAGTACATAATTGCGGGCCGTACGGAGATTACTATACGCTACGCCCCGTTTAGCGAAGCGAGGTCTCTAATACGATAGCGGCCTAAGATGCTTCTAAAGCTAGCGGTGCCGATAGAGTATATATACGAATCGTAAAAACGCTAGTTAATATAACGCTAGTCGATCTTCTCCTCCGGCTATATAACATCTCGCTTATCTTTCGTATAACGCTAGACTCCTAGACGAGGACCGATATATACCTGCTCGTAAAGGACCTAAGTAAGTTAAAGACTATATTTAATACGCGGCCGATTACGCTAATCGGGATAGTATATAAAGTGTTCGAATATATTATACTCTAACGCTTATAGCAGACAACGTATTTCAATTTCTATCCGGCCTAGGTAGGCTTCCGGCACGGCTATTCTACGCTAACTTTAGCGGTACTTGTTTATCTTACGCTCGACGCTAGACTCTATAGAGGAGTAGTATTCCTCGACTTTAAAGCGGCATTCGATATAGTCGACTATAGTATACTAAAGCGATTGCTTCTAGACCGCGGCTGCCCGTTGGCGCTAGTGCAGTTACTCGCCGCTATATGCCTACGGTTCTGCTCGCGGGTCCTCGCGAACGGAAGCGCTTCTAGCTAGTTTATAAGGAGCCGCGGCGTGCTATAGGGCTTACTACTTTTACCTTTACTATAGAACGTCCTTACGGATAATCTACTACGGGACTTAAACGAGACAGTAGGTAAGATTCCGAAGGCGGTCTTCTATATAGACGACGGAGCGATTCTATACTAGGACTAAGCCGAAATACTATTGCTACTATAGAAGGTGTCGGTATAGTATAAGAGGAATAGGATCGGTATAAGCGTAGGGAAGTATAGCTATATTTCTCGCCTCTACGATAGCCTAGTAGTGCTCTTAGACGGCTAAGAGATACCTCGGGTAGTAAGCTACAAGTATTTAGGCTTTATAGTTACGCCTAAGGGGATAGACTTCGAGGCTTATGTTTATATACGACTAGAGAAGGCGAAGGCGAAGTCTAGGTTTATATTATACTATTCGGACGTATAGGGGGTAGGCAACCGGCTACGTATATGCCGCTAATATCTCTAACCGATTTTCGAGTATAGAGGTGCGTTAGTATATACCTTTGCGACAGACTACTAAAGCTTATAGCGGGACGCTAACGGGCACTAGAAGGAATTAGTATAATAGGTAGCATATAGCAAGTATACGTAGCGGCTTAGCTAGAACCTACTAGGATAGCCGAATCTAGAAGACAGGTTCCGATGCCTATATATATCCTTTCTATAGGATATGCAACAGGCGCCTTTCTCGAACCCGCTACGCCGACTTCTCTTTAATCTAGGCTATATAATACCGTTTAAACGTAATCTTCGCTAGAGCTACCTACTAAACGAGTATAGAAGCCGGCTAACGTTCGGCCGCGTTACGAAGGACTCTATAAGGCGATTTTAGTAGGCGTATACCGAGTAGAAGTTGCGATCGTTTGTAGGAGGGAGCTATCTAGCCTCGATTATTCTATAGAGCATACGTCTATTAGCTAACATACGATTCGCGGATATTACCCTATCGGCGCCTCTTATATTATAGGACGCACTATTTTAATATCGGCGAGGTGTTTGGTGTTTCCGTTAGCTATATCGATATATATATATAATTTCAACTTTCCGTAGAGGCGATAAGGAGTATATATATTAAGGTAGGGTTACGAGACTTAGAGCGGCAAATAGGGCGGCGAAACGGGTTTAGGTATCGTAGTAGGCAAGCGAGCGTAAGTTTACTAACATTAATTTTCTGCTAAATAGTAGTCGATAGGACCGGGTAGCCTTAGTAATGTCTTTAGTTAGGGATAACTTAAAAGAGCTAGCTAGTAATCTATAGCGAGATATAGAGGATAAGAGTAGTAGGGATAAAGTCGAGGCCTAGATAGAATTAAAAAAGTTTGATCCTATCCCTAGTCTACGAGAGTAGTAAACCTAGGTACACGTATTAATATAAGGCGTACTATATATTAATGCTCCGCCTACGCACCCGGTATATACCCGGATGCGTATATAGGACAACCTCGCTCGACGCGCCGCGCAAATTCTGTAGTAGTAGCAACGAGTTAACCTAGCCGCAGATATACCTCGCTCTAACCTAAGATTCTCCTACCTCCGGGCGGTGCTACGGAGCCGAAACCTATACTACAAACTAATAGATTTACCTTAAGGTAAATTTACGTACCTCCTACCTATAATAGAAAGGAAGATACTACCCGTAGTACGAGAGCAGACGTAGCGCTACGAGATAGTATTACATATATATAAGGTAGGACAGGCTCCTATATATAAAACTAATAAAAGGCTCTTAAGGCGAAGTAAGAGAGTATTATACGACTCTCTACTACGATTACCTACCCTTATCCGGCTATATAGACTAGCCGTAAAACTGCTACAACCTACTACTCCTTAGGTTTAATATATTAGATAGACCTAACGGTAGCGGATACTCGCAACTGTTATCCTACGCTAATATAGTCCTAGTAGTTCCGTATTAAAGCAGCGGGTTATAGTGCTCTAATAGCGGCTATACTACCTCGGTAGAAGACGTCGTAGTATAGATAGAAGAGTAGTCGCTCCTCTAAGTACGTATACACTACGTCGAGGGGATACCCGACTAAGCGTTCTACTGCCTACTATACCGCGTAGAAAGGGTATAGAGAGGTCCTAGTAGTTGCTCGTGCTAGTGCATTATAAGGTTGCCGAGATGGTGCTTACACGTCCTTAGGATCTAATATAGCTAATATAGTGGCTGTAGATCGTTAATGCCTTGTTGTCGATTAGCAGAAGGGAGATACTCCTACTCGACTCTAGAACCCCTAACCCTAACCTACTAGGATATAGAGGCCCTCTATATAACTTATTATATATTTTAGATAGCAACTTATTAGTCGTTACTAAGTCTATAGATTCCTTTAACCTATTTAGTAAACTACGAGAAGTTAGTAAAGATCCTATTAGGGTCTCTATTCTTAAGTAGGACTATAGTTAACTTAGAATATATCTAGTTCTAAGCTTTACCTCGAAGGTATAATACTATAATATAGTAGCGTCGTTATTCGCTAGTAATACCTTTAAGGAAGAAATATAGTATAATCTAGTTTAACTAGTTATTAAGCTTATTACGGTCTCTATAGAAGAAGTCTAGTTTAGCGGAGTACTTAGCTATTCTAGTTCTATTCTTATTAGTAGAGGTACTAGCTCGAGTAGTTAAAGCTATACTAACGTCTCTTTTATTATTAGGAGCTATTTATTTACTTAGAGTACTTACTTACTATAAGAGTATTTGAAATATTATATATCTATAGTATAAAGAGGTTAGAGCTCGTTAAATAAGTAAATTCTAAGCGATAGGTCTAGTAAGTAACTACTCTAAGGTTTAACCTTTTAGTAGGTTAGTAACTTAGGTTAAATATAAACTACCTATATAAGAAACGTCTATTCTATATATATAGAAGATTTATATATTAACTAATCTAACTAATCGTAGCGTAGTTAGTTTAGTTAGTAGCGTCTAATCTAACTAATTAAAGGAGTATTAGTTATATTAGTTATAGGAGCGGAAGCCTCCGCTCCTACCTTCCTATCTACTTATCTACTCTACTAATTATTATAATAGTATCTATTATTTAACCTAAGCTACTAATCTAATAAAAGATTATATCTTAAAGTAGTTATAGAGTTAGAGTATTACTTAGAATTTACTTATCTAATAAACTTTAACTCTCTTATACTATAGATATATAATAGCTAGTATCTATAATAGTAGATATAATTTAAATGTATATAGACTATAGACTAGTAAAAGAAAGATAGTAAAGTCTAGAGAATTAATATTAGAGATAGTACTAAATAATATATATCTAAGAAGTATATTAGTTAGATAACTATAAGAAAGTAGATTATACTTATAAAAGGATATATTTAAGATATACTAAAAGTATAAATATAGTACGTTAGGAAGTAGTAGTAGTAAAGCTTTAGAAAAAGAATTTTACGAATCTATCGCTACTCTATAAGCTACTACTTGTTTCCCGAGGCTGACTCCACTGACGCGGTCGTCTCAAGTTCCTTCCCACCAACCATCACCGCATCTGCCGCCACTACGAAGAAGCACATGCGGGTCCACTCCGTCGCACTCGGGTTCTGCCACAAATGATTCGTCCCTCGCTGAATGAAGATATCCCCAGGCTTGCCCACCCGAACCTCGCCGTCATCCACTTGGTTCTCGATGGTGCCGAGAAGGACAATACTGTAGTCGACGCTATCCGTTCGATGCATTTCGCTCTTGAAGCCAGGCGCAAAGTCGAAAAGACGCATGTTTGTCCCATTCTTCGTAACGATGTCGGCGGGGTTGAGCGTTCCCGACGTGTATGCCTCCAAGTCAGCTCCATCGCTCATTCGCGCAGGCGAGGTAGTCGTGCCCCACGGCAAGGTGCCGAAAATCTCGGGCGAGAATTGTTGCCACGTAAGGTCCGCAGGAATAACGTTGTCCGGTAGGAACTTGGAACCTCCTTCCTTGTCGTGCGTAGTGATGTGTCGGCTTGGTGCGCGGAAGCCAGACTTATCGTCGGGGGCGAGGGATGCCATTCCGTTCTTTTTCTTGTGTGGGCCCTGTGTTATTTGCTAAAGCATGAGACTTCCAATAGACCTAGGACTTGTTCGATTCTTATTCGACTGAAGGCAGTGTCGTTATATACAGAGTGAAGCACGCTCATTATCAAGCCAAAGTCTACGACTGATGAATTTGTAAGCTATCGCATGCCGTTAGGAATCAACGATGGAGAAGGTGATACACTCGGTAAATCTAGTCGGAGTGGTGTGCGGCGTCCACAAAGCCATGGTGGTTAGCGTTTTAGTTTCGTCCGTTCTCGGTTCCGTAACCCAGAGCCTCCGAGGTCTAGCCGGGATAGAGGAACCAGTTTTTTGTGCCTTGGTCATCAGCTCACGGTATCACGGTGTTCGATCGGCGTCACACTGCTGCACCACATGCTGGGCGACCGATCTTGTATCGGTCCGAACTGCTACTGACTGGTGGCGTTGTAAGAGATAGGCAAGCTGTTCACGAAGTGAATCTACAACAGGTGCAGACCAATGCAAATGTTACTGCTCCCTCTATGGACCTCAACCCACATCCAATTGTTGTGTGACCCAACTATATATGACCAAGTTCAAGCTTGAATACGTATAGTATGATTTGCTAATCCACATATGCGCTGTCTATGCTACCCAACGGCAGCCTTACACCAATGATCGATCGCACATACAGTACAGTCTATGATGTAGGACACCATACAAGCGGCGAGCTTCCCACACTACATACATCATTAAAGCTGATGAGCAATTCGGTAGGAAGACATGCTTGGTGGCTCTGCGGTAGGAAGACATGCTTGGTGGCTCTGCGGTAGGAAGACATGCTTGGTGGCTCTGCGGATATCCTGCTCACTGCTCGAGACTGTCTGTATAATGGTCGTGTCCTTGAATCTCACATCGATTCTCCGGCCTGAACGGACTTAGTCGGATCGTCATGACTGTCTAGAGTTCCGGGTTGACCGAAAGACCGAATCTTGCTGCTGTTATCGGGGACTTTGAAAAGCAGATCTACGCGCGTGATGACGAAAAGCGTCAGGATTAGGATCTCCGGTACGAAGCCGAAGCAGTAGAAGGAGGCTTTCGAGTCGTACCTAAGTCAGTCAGACGGTCAACATATGTCTCTGTTCAGTGAGTTTCTTTACGTACCACGCCGGGCTCTTGATCGATCTGGGTGTCATGTATGTGGTGCCAGCTCGAAAGCCGGCAATGAGGATACCAAGGGAGCTGGTGCCAAGTAGCACAAGCGCTTTGCGTTCAGTAGTTCCGCGGCCAAACTGCTCGGCGTTCGGAGAGCGGTTGGGCAAATAGGCGGATAGCAAGAATACCACGGGTAACGTCGCAAAGAACAAGAGATAGCTGGTCGCGAACAGGTAGATATCCCGACAGACGTTGAGAGTGTGCTGATCGAGCGTATAGAAACCCAGAATGATTGTCGAAATGGTCATGACCAGCACGAATCCGATCACAGCGTAAACGCTCTTGAGTGCGACGCTCAGCCGATGATTCCAGCCGATGTCTGGATGCTTGGCCCTGAGGATACGTTGTGCGAAGACCACGTTGATAAAATAGATGAGGAGAATTCCAGCGTCGAATAGGATTTCTGCTGCGATCACAAGGTTGACGTTGTCGAGGTTGAATGCCCAGGCGATGCGTAGAGAGCAGGTGATCGTCCGTACGTTACAGAACCCAGCGAGCAGCCCAGACATGATGAACTTGTGGTTTCTTCGTCGATTGAGTCGAAAAATTATCATGTTCGTGGCCGCAAGGCACACGTATATGGAGAGGAAGGCTGCCGTCACGGGTACATCGAGAGTCTTGTTGGGCACACCACCAACGCTAGCAGTATCTGGAGTATATGGGGGCTGTACGCCAGTTAGTGTGATTGCTTCAGCTTTGCAAGCTAGATACTGACACTCTGGGGGAAGCTTGAAGGGCTCGCCATCGCTGATGAGACGACTTTTCCCAATGATGCTCAAGCAGAGGAAGTCTGCAGCGCTCCCGAGTATAAGCCTGATTTTGGCGAGCAGCGCTTCTGGGTGCAATTGATGTCCGTCCTTGCACCTCGCTTGGCCCTAGCGTCTGCGGTATACATCTTTCGAACCTCTCAGCAATCGATCATTATATTGCTGTCACGCGATTGCTACAGAAATTCCATTATCAATGCGTGTGGTGTTAGAACTTACCCTTTTGTCCGATGTTACCCGTGATTTATAATTTCATCCGCTTGCGCCCCGACTCTCGTCCGTTCTCGTGCCGAAGAAACCGTGCCGTCCAGCCAGCCGATCGTTTCATTTCATCCCTCCCTCCGGCCTTCCAACTTGCTTCTAAGTTTGTCGCACGATTGGTGTTTATTTCGGACCGCGCGCGCACCAAATCGTGAATGCGGACTCAAGGATGCAAGATCACACATCGCACAAGTTTCGTCGCGGGACGAAGAGGCATGTACAGCGTAGACCGGTCTTTTCAGCGAGAAACCATAGAGCTGATATCTTTGCAGCTGTATCGAATGTCAGCATTGCGTACTACCGTTCCGTGCGTAGCTAAACAGTCACAGGCCGACAACGGAAGATTCGCTGCTGGTGGCCATCGGCTGACGCACAATCATGTCGACATTGTCTGGAGCGCCGTCGAACGTGCTCGCTTCAAATAGTTGCAGCCCAAAACCCTGAATCGCTGAGACTAAGCTCTCGGGAGCGTATTGCACGGCTTGAAGAGGGTATTGCGCGGCTCGAGGGGAAGAATGCTAGCCTTTGGAGATACGTCAAGGCTCAGCACCCCAACACACCACCTGGTACCGCTGGGTCTGTCGTTGACAAGGTGACAGAAGATGGGCATGGTGGGGATTCCGAGGTCGACTCGGAATCAGAGATGTCAGATCACTCTCCGGCGAACCCAGTACGCAAACTGATAGCTATAGACGCCCGACATGTCTGTTACCCTTGCTAATGGCTTTGGTCAACACTTTTAGCCAACCCATCTTCGACAGCTCTTCAACCACAGTATGCTTGATGTCCGAGAGCAGGCGTCACGACACCCACGCCAACACAAATCTTCTGAAGGGCGCCTGGCTCGAGCAAGGAGTGCGCTCCAGGCTCTCATGGTTTCTGAAGAAGTCGCCCATATCCTTGTAGGGCAAGCTGCCGAGTGGGTGACGTGGGCAAACTCAATCGCACCTCTGGTCTTCATTGCTAGGACGAAAGATGAGCTGATTCTGGATTGGGATCAAGTGAGAGGATTCGATGCACAGCCGGCAGCAATAGCCGCAGTCCTCTTAATCATAGCCCAGATGATTCATCTTATGCCACAAAGTTCTCTACATGGCCAGCTTATCGACGCATCAGCATACTCTAAAACTGTCTCAGATGCGATTGAGACTTACATAGTGAACGACGACTTCTTTGCGGGATCGCTGGAGGGCATCGAAGTCTGCTTGCTGTTTCAGCGACTGTAGGTATGATGCTAGTATCTTGAACGTTCCCTTGCTGACTTTAACAGGCATTTCGCACATGCCAGATTCCAGAAAGTCTGGCTAAGTCTTCGCCGTACAATCGCCCTCGCAGAGATCATTGGATTACCTCGTGCTTCCGTAGCTTCCTCCACGGATCGATCTGGGGAGCCTGGCTGGACTCGTAATGGACAGACCCGTGAAGAAGCCGGTGCTTTACTTTGGCAAGCGGCATGCACAATGGAGAAGCTGGCAGGCTGCATGTTTGGTCTTCCTATAACCGCCAGGATGGATACATTACCAGCAGATCGACCGATTTTCGTAGACACGCATCTCGTCCCCCAGGCTTACTTTTGCCGCTTGGCAGATATCGCCGGCAAGATCCCAGCGCTCGACAATCTCACCGCCAAAGGACGGCCGTCTCGTCAAGTCTGTGACATGGTCTTGAACATCGACCAAGAATTTCGAGAGCTGGCAAGCCTCGCACCCATATCTTGGTGGGACGTGCGTCCAAACCAGGAGAAGATCACACTCGACCTTGTTCTCCAGTATTTCCAGCAATACTTTACAGCGAGAGCCCACCTGCAGCTTGCTCTCGACAACGATGGAAGTAACATATACGCCTACAGCCACATGGTCTGCACCGAAGCTTGTCGGGATGTGGCTGTCCGTTACGCTACACTGCGCCCTCTGGTGCTAGGCGGTTTCTTCCCAGTCCGGTTGTTTGATGTACAAGCACTCACAGCTGCAGTCTTCCTTCTTCATACTTGTTACTGTCCCGGAAGCTCACAACGAATGGAGGCAACCCGGACACCATCTTCTCTTGTGCTGCTACAGCAAATCGTAGACAGCATGGACTTGGCGTCCGAGGGGTCCAGGAGCGGGCAATTCGCTCAAGAGGCTGCACGAACTATACGATCGCTGTCCGCACTTCTCAGTAACAGGCACACAACAGACTCACGATATGTCAGCCTGAGGGTTCCTCTACTGGGTAGAATACATGTTAGGCGCCAGGATGCAAACCCAAAATCGGCGGAACGCTTGGCTGGAAGCTCTGCCGTACCACCTCAGATGCACGGAACCCAGAGTGCAGCCTCTATGCCGATCTTACTAGGTGATGGATCTGCCTTCGGGATGCCAATGGAGGTAGTGACGGATAATCCAGACAGCTGGTCCATGGAGATCTCCGGAGCCATGCCATTCCTAACGCACGATGTTTATGCCCCAGATCAGTGGCAGATGCTTGGCGATTTCAACACAGGTAGCTTTGGCTTTGAGCAGCTGTGATGTCGACGTCAGCTGTTGGATGGTGTTCAAAGCTAGAGGCTTTATGTTGCGACCCTACAAGATAGTAGTGTCACATGAGCTACGATCAGGGTAGCGCGAGACTGCATACCACTGCCTTCTTGTCGCCGGCAAAACTCGCAGCTTCTACTTTTACCTCTTTCGCCGCATATTGGAAGCCGCCAGAGTTCCACCTCTTCGTTGGTCTCAGCGAGCACGATACTTCCACCTCAACGTCCTCGCTAGCGCCTAGACTGGCGGGAGTAAAGCCCAATAAGACCCGTGAAGGGAAGTCCTCCGCTTGAAGTAGCCCATAGATCTGCACAACGTGGCGTCCAGCGCGAGAACCAGTATTGTTGACCTTCACTCGCACGTTGAACTGCTCGTAGTTTGCCGAGATCGATTGCTCATCAATACGTATACCCCTAAGCGCAAAGGTGGTGTACGATAACCCCCATCCCAGTGGGTATCGCGCAGGAACAGCGAGCTTGTCAAGCAGCCGTTGCCCAAACCAGCGGTCATACGTGATCTTTCTTGCATCGATGTCGAAGAGCGGTAGTTGCTCCTCGCTCTTGGGGATGGAGAATGGGAGACGTCCGCTGGTGTCGACTCTGCCGAGCAAGACGTCTGCCAGCGCATGACCGCCTTCGCAGCCGCTGTACCAGGCGAAGAGGACAGCTGGTACCTCCCCAAGCCACTCTTCCATGATCACTGCCTCAGAGGCCACGATGATTACGATGACATTCGATGACGCTTTGGTGGTGGCATTGATCACTTCGACGTCACGAGAGCGCAGGCGGAGTGATCTGCGATCGCCACCATCACCGACTCTTATGCCTTCATTCGGAGATGAGCCATCTACAGCGGCTGTGTCTTCGTGCCCTTTCATCTTGCGCTCAACTTCCGTATCCTCTTCACCCTCGACTGGTGGCAGCAATGCTGCCAGCTCTGGGTTGTCGTCGAATGTGGGCACGACATACTCACCTTCATCCCCAGCATCGTAGCCTACTACACAAATCGTCATATCTGCTTTGCTCGCAGCTTCGCCGGCGCGTTCAGCAGAGTCTGAGTCTTCGAGCAGGACCTCGGTGTTGGGAAGTGAGGCCTTTAAGCCTTCGTAGAGGGTGACAACACTGGGCGAGAAGACAGCGGACGAGCCACGATCTCCAGTATTAGCTTGATTGGCGAGGCGGCCGACGATGGCAAGACGCTTAATCTTGTCCGGCTTCAAGGGAAGCAGAGGCTGTGACTCGACGGGTTCGTTCTTCAGCAGGACCATGGACCGCAAAGCTGCTTCGCGAGCGAGGTCTCTGTGCTTGGTGGAGAAAACAACTGAACTATCGGGTGCTTCAGTGCCAGTGCGCGCGACATGCTCCAGCTGCTTCTGCAAGATACGATTGCAAGACCTCTCGACATCCGACCATTGCAGCTCTCCACTTTCAAGCGCTTTCGCCAAATGCAGAACACGCTGCTGCTGGAATGGCGCCTCGATATCAAGGCCATTCTTCACAGACTTCACAGCATCTCGCAATCCGAATATAAAGTCTGAGAGCACAAAGCCATCAAATCCCCATTGCTTCCGCAGAATGCCGTTCAGAAGCTCATCATTCTGGCCTGCGAACTCACCCCTGAGTGAGTTGTAGGAAGCTAAAGTGCTAGTCAGAAACCCTCCTGGTGTCATTGCTGGGTCTGAAAGGATGCATTGCTTACACATAACAGAAGTCACACCGGCGTCCACAACTTGTCTGAAGTGGGCAAGATACACCTCGTGCAGCGGTGCCAGATCGATATTGACGTCGACCTTGAATCGCGCGTTCTCCATGGAGTTGAGTGCAAAGTGCTTCACACACGTCATGAGGTGCGGGCTCACACCTCGATGCAGTGCTACGCCGAATGCGCCTAGCAGAATCGGATCTTCGCTGTAAGTTTCCTGCGCTCTACCCCAGGCAGGGTGACGCGGAAGGTTGATGCAGATCCCGGCGAAGTAGTTGGCACCTTGCGCACGCCCTTCCTTGCCTATGGCATTACCAATGCGACGTTCGAGCTCAACATCCCAGGTTGCTCCACGAGCCATAGCAACAGGAAAGCAGGTCGAGTTGTGCATTACAATGCCTGTGAGTTTGTGGTCAGCAAGTCTCCTAGATAGCGCCACAAGGCCTACAGCATCGCGTACCTCTTGGACCATCCGTGAACTTGACTCCAGGTATCTTGAGGCGAGGAACGGCACCCATAGTATAGGGCTTGCGGTTGTAGCGGTCGTATAGAATGCTGCGCATGCCCGGCCAGAAAGGCTCATCGCCGTCGAGCATCGAGAGTTTCTCTACACCGGTCATGGCTGAGATCAGGGCTGAAGCAGCTTGGGAAGCACCAAGGCCAGATCTGATGGAGTGCACTGCATCTTCGAAGTCCTTGATCTCATCACGATCGCTATGTCTAGCCATTACGAAAGCGAAGCGAGGTCGATGATGTAAAGAAGACCAAGATGTAGTGGTAGTCCCCCAAAATGCCTCACAATGTATGTTTTGTTCATCTCGTGGCAGCATACTCGCGCATATCGTGCCGCGGGCATATCTTGCCATATTCAGGCTAAATTCCACCGTCCTGAATCGGCAGCTGAAGCTTCACTCATGCGCTCACTACTTACGTCTCCACTCTAGCTCATCACTACATGATCAGAAGTTCTTCTCCCGATTTGCGGGCGGGTTAAGATACTACGGTAGCTCGATTTACAATCAGACTACTACAGCTTCTAAGCTTCATTTCATCAATGCTTGGCGGTGCAAGGCCTTTGTTCAGACAGGAGCTGTACACATTGCCAATCCATTCTGCCGGGCCCACCATGCTCGCGCCGACAAAGTAAAACGCCGCTGTTCGCAGCGGAAGGAACATGCCGATGCATCCCATGGTTGAGCTGGCAGGTTCGCAGAAGTAAGGTATGCACCGGCATGCATTGAAGACATATTCCAGTATCTCCTCTTCGGATACCTGCTGGTTGGCATGGGGCCTAGAGCTCGGGATGACGACGGCACGAGCTGCGTGCAAGGCACGAATGGTTATGCGTAGGAAGTACATGCAGATCCAGTACATGGAGTGGAGATAGGCGGCCATGAAGTTCCCGAACGCGAATGCCGTGCTAAATGTGCGGTCGGAACATTGAGTGGCGAAGGTCGAGAAGTCATCGACTGGTCTGGTCTCGTACTGTGGTTCATCTGTAGCCCAGTGCAATAGCCAGGCTCGCAAGTCTTGTTCGATGGCTGCCGCTTTGGCCAAGATTACATCGATTTGAGTAACCTGATCCTGGTCGTGATGTTGAATGTCTAGACCATCGTGTTGCTCCAGTAGACCCGGAATCTGAAGTGCAAGCTCATGGAAAATGAACGACTTGTCTTTCACCCTTGTTCGGTTGCCGATTGCCCTCCAGCCCGGTTGGGCAAGGGCGCAAGCTTTTCGATCCACAAGGGAGTAGCAAAGTGCACTCTGCCTTGCATTTGCGTATAGCTCCATGGACAGATCACTCCGTACCAAAGCCGGCCCACGGACAGTCAGCAGACGCTGTGCAGCACAAACATGCCCGGCCCATCCGACACCTTTCGGGCTAGCAAGCTCAGTGTAGAGCTCACAGTACTTCATTATCATGACCGCTGCCAGGACGTGATCGTCATGGAGTGCTTGTTGCGTGGATAGAACAGAACGGAGCTCAGTCAGTGCCTTGGTGTAATTCTGGCGTGCTGACTCGATCAAACGCCGGTCGTTCTCGACGCTCCCGAGTTGGACCAGGCTGAGTGCGTCGAGTCCACACAGTAAGGATGGTTGCGAGGTGGAAAGGTCCATGCAAGTCTCTAGTAAGCTAAGGTAATGACGTTGCACTCTGTCAGTTTTGGGGACGTGAAGTTCGAGAAAGGCGTTCCTGAACATGGTCCTGTATGCTCCGCTCTCGAGCGAGACCACGTGGGCCGATGCCAGAGGGGGAAGCGAAGCAGTGTCCATTGCTCGAATAGTCTCCTCCGAGCCTGCCGCTGTCCCCGTCATCGCCGCCGTCACCTCCGATGTTGTTGATGCCAACAAGCCACGTGCTGCGGATGTAGATGCAGATCCTCCCCACCGCCGCTCGAAGCCTGCTCTTGCTCTCTGCGCAGTCTCGTCACTGACGTCCAGGAATTCCCGCGCGCCGGGGGCATCTGTTCGATAGCCTCGACAAGCGACGCCATGCGTGCGGCAGCGGTTGCAATATGGGCGCGTCTCATCACACCGGATCCTTCGTCGTCTGCATGTCGCGCATCCGGTTGAACGCAAAGGCATGTCTCAGTGGCGGAGAGGTGGTTGCTCTGGTCCTGGTCCTATTCTACTAGTCCGCTTCGTGCGGAGATGAGGCTGGGGGTCGATGTAAGGCCCTGTGGGATGGAGGATAATGTTAACAGGTTCCTTCCATCTTCCATTTCACCTGGCGTGCCATATTTCAGCTCGCTCAATGATCCGTCTCGAATGTCGCAATCGTGCGTGGCTGAGCGACGACAACATTGGAACTGCCGATCCCATGCTGTACTACGGTGACATCCGCAGCAGGCAGCAATGAATGCCACTTGCGCGCATCGAATTGTGTTTGTTGGATAGATTAAGATGACGCAGCACAGATGATCGGTGTCTTTAGCGAGCTGTCGAACCAAGTAGGCGGAGGCGTAGAATCCAGACAACATGCACAACACCACCTGCCAAATACTGCGGTGAATCCACGGCACTTCAGCTGTCTGGAGGATGATACTCCCCTGATGTCTGGCCGCCGATGTCCCCTGGGAGCTCTCTCTAATCTCTGGTGCCTGGGCGGCTGAGCTACGAGACGCCTACCATGCTTGTGCCTAGGTCAACGATACGGTACCCCCTGACCAGCTCTGACCCCTTCCGATAAACGGACCAGTGCAAGCCTGGGGTTGTGAAAGACATGACGAGCAGCATGCACTTTAGCAGTTTCAGGGGAGGAGAGAGCTGACAAACATGTAAAGTTGCTTGATCAGCATGATGAGTGTGCAACGCCACGATACAAGTTGCTGCTCGGTATATCATTATCCGCGGTCTGCCCTGCAAGAGGGTAGCAAATCGAGTATAACACTTATGGACTCGCCCTGGTTTATATGCGGAAGATGCATGTGCTAATCCGTGTTTGGTGATGAACTTAGGCCTATCTGGGCAACTACCACGAACTTTGTTGAATATCGAAGTCGGCAGTATACGACCATTGCAGGCCGGCGAGACGTGCGGCTGCGAGATGAGATCCTCGCATTCTCGCGCAAGATCCAAAGGACATGTCACCATCACGCTGTCGCTTCCGATCGGACGTATAAGTTGCTCGAGTCCTGAAGGGACCACCATGCGGCTCTCACACCCTCGAGGATACTCTACTCATCTGACTTGACATCGCCATGGAAGCTCTACACCTTATCTTGGGCCTTCTGCTGGTGCTCCGAGTCTCAGCTATCGTGCCGTATCCCAACCACGCCATCGATCTCGTCGTTAATGAGCCGCCATCGTACGTTCGTCCGTATGTCATACCTGATCTCAGCGGCCCAGCAGTCGTCCTCATTAACGATGTGATCCGGGCCCCTATCAACAACGAGTCCTCTGGTGGGGCCTTCTCTGTGCTTCAGCTCAATGCTCAGCCTTGTACGTCTAGCCTCCAGCAATCAGTTGAATCTCACTTCACAGATCTACACCCTTGATCACTGCCCGCCCTGGTCATGTATAAGAGACCAGGGAGTGGAGCTATGACAATTTGTGATCTGCTGAGAACTCACCTTGCTGACCACGTCGTTTTGCTTCAGACGTTCGCTCTGGCTACGGAGACCTGTTCCAGTCGCCACCACATTATCACACACGCTTCCACGAAACCTTCTTCTGCTACAAAGGATCGGTCACGCTCTGGGCAAACGGCGAAGCCCGTATGCTTACGGCGCAAGACTTTGGCAGCATGCCCACGTACCAGAACCATTCTTATTCCTTCACCGAGCCGGATAGCACACTTGTCGCCTTCATCCACCCGGGTGGCTTCGAGAAGTTCTACTTCAACGTCTCCGCCCCTTTCAACGACCCGACCTCTGCACCCTTTCCACCCGACATTCATACCCGGTTTCTCGAACAAACCTTCGAAGCTGCCATCGGGCCGAAGTATGATGTCTTTCCCATCTTCAATAATCAATTCAGTTTCAACTTCACGAACGGGACGACCAATCCATCTCTGCCTTGGCACAATGGAAACAACACAGCACCACAGGACGATCACGAGCCGTACTATCTCGCCAACAACTGGTCTCCAAAGTACCTCCACCGCGCCAAAGGTCGAGTCATCCAGCCTCGCGTTCAAGCAGCACAGTCCGCGGGCAACTTCACCCTCAGCACCATGGTAATGCGGCGCAAGCTGGCCAACGAAACAGCTACCGAGTACCAATTCGATGCACCGCAATTCTTCCAGGTGTTGGAAGGGGTGATGATGATCCGCATGGTGCATCAGACTGTTGCAATGAGTACAGGGGACGTGGCCTTCATTCCAGGCGGGACCTGCTTCCAGTACTGGAGCGAAGTTGCTTTCACGAAAGTCTACTTCGGTGGCAGTGGATCAAGCGGTCTTAGCGATACCTTGATCAAGCAGGCAGAGCTCTGGCCATATGCCGTGTTCCCATCCTACATTGGCTGAGAGCGAGTGGAGTGGGTTCAAAAGTGAAGGATGGTATGAAGTATCATGGTAGCTTGATGGGAGGAGGAAATTGCTATCAGGTCATACACTCATTTGTCCTACCCTGTACAGTCTCAGGATCTGGTTGAATGTAAGAGGAAATCCACCAGCCGCGTTCTCGTCACAAGCAAAACTCGTGCCAAGTAGCAATGATACAGATACATCTCGCAAACGGCGCAATTGCGAGCTGAGGTATTGAAGATGTTCACCCTGTAGGCACCTTGTTAAGCTCTACATCTACTGTGATTGATGGGGAACGAGTGAGGACTAGCGATCGAAATAACGTGAGTTGCTCCGAATGGAAGAAAACTGGGATAAGCACCCCTGAAGCCAGTATTTCTGTGAACATTCACTCAGCATTTCTCGGTGAGACATAGGCGAGAACTCCGAGAGCGAAGAAGGCGGATGTGGCATATCTGGGATGACGATCTGGAAATAGGTAGAGGAATGTTCGGGAGTGGGACAGGGTCAATCAGTAGTTGGTTACATCTTGGGTCACACGGCGGTATCGAGACTGATATCCCTCCCTGCAAGTCCGCCAGTCTTACGAAGCCCACCGACGTTCGCTCAAGCATGTCTCACTGTCGTCGAGACGCTGACCTTGAAGATGGTGTCGCCTCCCAACAAATACAACTCGCCAAGGTCTGCAAGTCCAAGGTTTCCACCGTTGTTATCGATGGTTATATCGCCTAGTAGCGTACCACTCTTGTCCCACACACTTATGCCCTGACCCGCGACACTCGCCCATACGTTACCATATGAATCTACTCTGATGCCATCAGCAGCTGAAGCGAAAGCTTGCGGCATGGCGAAGACCCGTCGATTGGTCAAGAAGCCATTGACTCGGTCAAAGGCATAGATCGTTCGAAATCCTTGTGTGTCCAAGGGTACGTTCTCGTACAAAAGAGCGCCGGTATCTGCGACGTATATGGTATTGCCATCGGGACTTGCTGCGAGACCATTGGGGCGTACGAAACCATCTGCGGCTACTCTGAGGTCGTTGGTAAACGGATTATATGAGTAGACTTGATTGGGAAGTAAAGGCTTCGGTCGGTTTCCTTGACCATAGCCATATGGTGGGTCGGAAATGAAGATGACACCGTCAGGAGTGACCGTGATGTCATCCAGCGAATTGAAAGGATTATCACCGTAGGATCCGATGACTAGCGAGGTATTGTACGGAGGGTAAGGATTCATTGCGTAAACACCAGCAGGAGGCATTTTGGCGAGTGATCCTTGGGCGACGAAGAGGATGACATCGCCCAGTGGACTCCCGGGAACATTGACATGGGCTCCGATAGGGTTTGCGATTGTGTGGTTGATGCTCTCGACATGTACTGTGGCAGGAGACCCCAGTCCGGTTACTCGGAAGATACGTCGATTCGTGGCGTTGGCAAGCCCATCTGATGCCACCCACAGCGCGCCTGACGGTTCATGATATGCTCCGCCTTCGTGGTAAAGCTGCTGGCCTCCGCTTGCCTTCACCAGTACTTCGATCTGAGGGGTGGGACCAAGCAGGGTCTCAAAGACCGGCTGAATGATTTGAAAGATGGACGTATTGAATGCCAAAGTGTGTTGCAAGAAAGCGGTCAATAACAAGACTACGATGCTCCACCCCAAAGTAAGATGTGTCATGATTGCAACCTTATGTTGTATGTGAGTAGTACCATTTTGTGGCAGACAGAGAAGTGACAAGTTATGTAGCTTTAGACTTACCGTCCGCGGTGTGGTGTTTGGTGATGCCTGATGCTCGCTTTGGTTGGATGCGAAGCCGCAGCTGAGGCAGCCGCCTTCCGCATCAGGGAACCGACGCGAAGAATGTTGAGCGCTCTGCTAGGATTACAACAGGCGTCGTACTTCCGAGCTTTTGGAAGCAGCCAAAAAAAATCAGATGCCTGGCTGCATAAGGGGGGCCATATCCATGGTGACAGCGGAATACGAACCGATCTCCCGGAGTCTGCAACAGGCTCGACTGACGACCTCACTCACGGGTTGAGTACGTGGAAGAGATGCACATCTTGACAATGAAAATGGATAATCATGCCGGTTACGCGTATATACACATCACTGGTATCCTTGAGCATCACTTTTCCTGTGGTCTCATGAAGCTGTCCTTGTATTTGGCGATGACCATCGGATTGGTGGTCGGATACCAAACGATTCCTGGCACAGACACTCTGGTCGTGTTATGGCAAAGTGAGACCAGGTGATGGTCGAAGAAACAGCGTCCTGTATATCCTGTCCGGTAAGCTCCAGGAGCGACACATTATCGATCCTCGCTGATGTGCCTTGCGAGACCGCTAGCTGTGACTACTTCGATGGTGTCGATGATCGAAGGTACTCACAATTGATCCTGGAACCTCTCGTCATTGAAGCATCAGTTCTTCAGAAGTAGATACTGTATGATTTGCTGAGCGGATGCCTGCAGTAGTTGCTGTCAACTATATTAGACAATTCGGTGACTGATACAACGAGCGGATGTAGTCTTGAGCCGGGCCCCTGCTCAAATGTGCTCATATTCATTCATGTAGTGCGAGTGACTATGTACTACACACTATGGACACCCCAACAAGCTCCATCGCCCTGTGAGATCGATAGATATTTGCGGCACGGTCTCTATCCTTCCATGCTCTTATCCTGCTGGGGTCGCCTTCTCTGGCTCTTATACTTCGCTAGTGGGTGCTCGTTCCTGCTTTAACGAGCTTGTAACCAATGCAAACGTGGAAAGGGTCATGAGAGCAGCGAAGCACCACGGGAGCAACCAGCCTACCAATCTGTTAGCACGCTCTTCGATCAGCACACAAAGGTATCGAAACCAAGCCCTTCTCACCCAGACTATAAGCCAGTCCCTCGTCCCGTACGACAAAGAGTACTACGATCACTGCGACACCTGTACAGAATCCAGAAGATCCCCACGCCAGGTCGAGCTTCCAGAATAATTGACGCACTAGTTCGCTTGACCGATACCGCGCATCGAGCTGGTCCCGAAATCGACACCCTCGGCCACCATCCACTGCAACTACGTCCTCCACGATAGTATACACGCCAGAGCGCATGGGTTGACCTCGCCGTACAGAAGAGAAGCGAATCGGGGCGGTTGCCTTGACCGAGTATAGTATGGCGGTAAGAAGAAGCTGGCTGGAAATGGCGAGCAGTAAGATCGACAGACCGGCAGCCACTAATCTTGGGCTCTGTACCACGTTACCCGCGACGATGACCGCGGTGATTGCTGAAAAGTCTATAAGGAAGTTCCAGTTGAAGTAGTCCATCTGTCAAAGAGTAAGCTTTTGGTTGATCGAGAGGGGGGCGTTTCACGGACGTAGTAGCGTGTACTCCCGATGGGTCGACATTTGGAATCACGCTTGAGGAGCAGCCAGCTTCGCCTACATAAGGAGAGCAGACTACTTGCTCCAAAGATTGAAGACACAATCGCAAGGACTGTGAACGTGTCAATAAGTCTATGGAAGAAGGATGAGGCGGCTCTCCCGACCTGTGCTCAAAGGCAAACGCGCAGCGACCCGTAAGCCGAAGTAAAGTGCCACTGGAAGCACTCCGCTCGTCGTGAAGAGGAAGGCCCATACGATCGCGATCGATGCCTTGTGTTGCCTGAGATCCAGGTCGATGCGGTGGACATCCATTCGATAGTGGGGGCGTGATGTGAGTAGCGATGAGGACGGTGCTGTGCTTGGTAAGGCGATGGTTTGCCATTTCTATGAGCAGCGAGCCAAATATATATATGGTTGGTGTCGAAGGGATAGAAAGAAGCTGCGCCGCCTACAACCGCTACGGTAGGCTGCTGCCTTCGCAACAAGTACCGCTTTGGTCAAACCGCATTTCGGCATGGATCGCCGCTTGACGTTGCTGAACAGGCGGGATCTGTTGCTGCGCGAAAGACATAATCTGCCCATGAGCGCCCATTGATTTGACACAGTTGTAGCGGGAGTACATCAGATGTGTGCCTCATTTGCGCTTCCTTGGCCACGAGTGACATGAAGCGCCAAGCCGCCAAACTGCATGTAGCGAAGCTTCCTTTGGTTCCCTTTCAGTCTGCTACATAACAGAAAGCACAAAGTCCTCTCCACCGATTGCCCTCGCATGACATCCTGTTGACAAACATGCGCTGGGCGCCGGTCTTGCACGTATCAGTCGGCCAACAGGCGTGCAGCAAGCTACTTTGCCGAAGCCAGCTCTCAATCTGGAGGCCATGGAAACGTCTCGTCGATGCGTTGCTCGTCTAATCGGCCTTATGGAATGCTTGTCTTGCGGTATCCGAACGGACATCATCAAGTCGCCATCGGATGTCTGCCTGGTCATTCTAAGAGTGTGAGCAACAAGCAGACGATGCTTGCGTCGTCCACCCTTTCAAGTCTTTCGATACTCAAGTAGCTTTCGGGGCAATACACCGCTTGATGCCAAACCGCATGGATTCATGGGAGATGATTGAAGCTGCACTCACGCTCGAGATCTCTGGGCGTCATATGGGAAGCCGTGATCACGAACTCGGTGGCTTCGTGTCCACAACCACGGTGGACTGGGGCAACGGTATCGGCACGTACCGGCGCCAACATGATAACATCACCACCAATCTCCTTATCCGGCATGCCGTCTGCTACGAAGCACGTAGGTAGATGTCTCAACAGCAACCACAAGCAGGCCCATGACATCATGCGTCCAGGAGCACACTTACTCACGATGCCCGACACGGAGACTGCGCGCACGCCAGAGCCCCTGCAAGGCACTTCACTTGCTGTGGACATAGAGACAAACGCTGACTCGCCGTAGGACATACGGAGTGATCAACCGTACAACAGATGGATGGACGATGCTGAGCCGGCTTCTTGATTTCGCACATGGTGTTGATGAGGACAACCAACATTACGCTGTCAATGCTACTTCACGGCTCAAAACAGGCGTCTCGAAAAGCATTGACGTCGCAAGATAGTAAGGTGCCTGGGTCTGACTGCGAGTTTCGGACTCAGCTTTGCAAATATCGTATGTCTTGGCAACGCGGCGACACAGTTAGCCCCGACTGCATCCGCGACTCTCGCACGAACATCAGTTTCGACAAGCTCAAGCCATTGCATTCGTAAGCAATAATTCTGGGCCCCACGTCCTGTGCAAGTATCCAATGACGAAATATCGGAGGATATTCATTCGCATGCCGCCGTAATCTTGCTGCCTACGGCCATCGCAGTACATAACATAGAACGACATCCTCTTCAATAACGGTACAACTACCACAGCCAAGGCCCGCCATACAAGATGGCGGACGACAAGCATCCCGAGTTCAAGTACTACGAGTACGACCCGTCCATCGCTGCTGCTTGCACTTTTGCCGTCATCTTCGGCTTGTTGACAACATGGCACATGTTGTTGATTGTGAAGCACAAGACGTGGTACTTCATCCCACTGATAGTTGGTGGTCTTTGTACGATATGACTTTTGAATATGCCGACATCGAGAAAAGCTAATCATTCTCGGTACAGTCGAGTTCGGGGGCTATGTATCACGAGCAGTGTCTCATGGGCAAGGACTTCACCAAACACTCGTGCCCTACGTCGTCCAGACCTTACTCTTGCTCGTTGCACCGCCGCTCTTTGCAGCAACGACATACATGTTCCTCGGCCATCTTATCGTTGGGCTGGACCGCGAAGCCCATAGCTTGATCAAGAAAAGATGGTTAGCAAAGACATTCGTGACGAGCGACATCATCTGCTTCATTATACAGCTTGGAGGTGAGTCTTAGCCTCTGACCTCGTCGTCTACCCGCCAGCCCGTCAGCTCACCGACTTATAGGCGCCGGCCTCATGGCCAGCTCGACTTCTTCCACAGCTGCTACAGGTTCTCACATAATCCTGGCAGGCCTCCTGCTCCAAATCGTCATTTTCGGCCTCTTCGTAGCTGTGGCCTGGATGTTCCAGCGCAAGATGATAGGAGCGCCGAACAGTTCCTCAGATCGTTCAACACCTCACTGGACGGTGTACATGCGAGTGCTATACGCCACAAGCGCATTCATACTAGCACGGAACATTGTACGTGTGGCCGAGTTCATTCTGGGCTTCCATGGCTATATCCTTCTTCACGAGGTCTTCCTTTACGTCTTCGACGCCGTACCCATGGCAGCTTTCGTGGCTACCTATGCGGTCTTGTATCCGACAGCTTTTTCAACATATGCTAGAGCTGCGGAGATGAAGGAGATGCCTTCAAGGAGAGCATGATCATTGCTCAGAGCTGGGAGGAAATATGGTGGGTAAGAGTCATGTTACCGGTACAGCTTGCTTGGGCGGGCACATTGGCGGCAGCAGCGACTTGCCGATAGATCCCTCTTAAAATGCTAGGATTACTACTGCCATGACCTAGCTAGGAGATACGAGAGGCTTACCACTCTGACGCCTGTCTTGGGCGCCGAAGATGCACACTGGCTTGGCCATGTTCACCTAATTTCTTATGGGCAACACATCTCAGGAAGCGTAGATGGTAGTCGTGGAAGGGTGATCATAACGTAGTCGGGTAGCAGGAGCAGGAGGCTGGTACCACAAACACGATTTACGCTTCATAGCACGTGGCGGTCTTTACCTAGGCCTTGCAACATATCAGCATCTGTCGTTATTTTCTACTGACTCGGGTCCAGGCTGGCAGTTTGTCGGCCAAAACGTACTGACAAGCCCAATGTCAGTGAATGAGCGGGAGTTCGATAGCCAAGAGCTAGTGGTGTCTTCGGTCCGTAGCGGCCCGTGTCAGCCACCGCCACCAAAAAGTCCACCTTCATGAACACTCTAACATCATGGCAAATAACACCAAGCGACCTCAATGGCGGACCGCTGTCGAAGTGGCCGTGATCTCCATCGTCATCTACGTTGCACTAGGCGCACCTGGCCTGTCATCTCTAGGCCCCACAAACAATGAAAACGTCAAGCAGAGTGTACCTACAGCTCGTGCCAAGATCGAGTCTCTCGTATACCCGGACGAGACATTGTCATGTCCGTCTCATAAGTACGGTGTCCACGTAGTCACTAGCGAGCCTCTGGTACTGTACATCGATGGCTTTCTCTCAGGGGAGGAAGCCGATTACCTGGTCACCCAAAGGTACACTGCCGTCCAACCACAACACTACACATCACTAACACCGAGACCGAACATAGTCAAGACAAATGGCAGACCTCTACAATCTTCAATGGCGGTGTCGAGACTACTGACGACAAAGTCCGAAAGTCGGAGAAGGCTCTCATCGACCGCGACGATACCGTGCAATGCATCGAACAACGGGCCTTGGCATTCCAAGGCTGGCCAGCGGAAACCTTCATCGAACGACTCTGGACTCAACGCTACAACGTAACCGGACACTACGCCTACCACTACGACTGGGCGACCGCGAGCAAGATATCCCGTCGCGTAAGCACATTCATGGTCTACCTGGCGGCCGACTGTGAGGGTGGCGGAACGCAGTTCCCCAAGATCGCGAGGCCGAAGGATGCGAGGTGGTGTGAGTTTGTGGATTGCAGTCCTGAAGCTGAGGAGGGAGTCACTTTCAAGCCAAGAAAGGGCGCCGCAGTCTTCTGGTCCAACTTCGATGCCGCTGGGCGAGGATACAAGGACACGATACATGCTGGTCTGCCCGTCACGAGTGGTACGAAGATTGGCCTGAACATTTGGAGCTGGTATCAAGCTGGGCACTCCACTCCGCAAGGCCATATCTCAGGCCCATCGACTGAGCACGTTGCCTGACAGACAAACTCGTTCATTTCAGGCAATTGATAGCTATATAATGTGAACGAGAATGGCATGAGTGTGTAAGGTCAGAAGCATGAACGCTGTGTCCCGATGAACAAAACTCTCGAAGTGACCAGTCTGCTGCTGCTGGGAGTCCTTATCATTAAAAGTCGTTACTGCAAGTTCTGTATCTATGTCAATACTGCCGCAACGAGCCATCTCGGCGTGCGCAATCAAGTCGTCCGAACCATCCATGTAGTATACACCAGAAAGAATAGCGCGCCGAGGAAAGGCTCCCCACCTTCAAATGTTTTCAAAACACCCATATCAATGCTTACTGTTCACTCGTTCGGCTTCGGCACTGTGTAGCCACCTTGCTATGAGGAATATGTGTTCACTCTCTCGCACCCATCAATACCTCAAAATGCGAAACGCAACGCAAGGCTTCCAGTCGCATCCCTCGGCAGCATGCGACGCTCCAAAACCATCCGTTGACATATCACCTAGCATAAACAGAACTACTGTTCCTGTTATAAGCCGGCCTAGCATCACTCGCTCGTCTAGAAGTCTCATAACCAGTCTGGATCTTGAAGTCCTGCGGTCTATAGTCCTTCTGCACACGCACGCCTGACGGAGGAGGATACCGGTCTTGAGACTGTCGCGGACTTCGTGCGTCCCGTTCACTTGGTACGCCAGGTTGCACTTCCCCGAACAAACCGCCAGAGTTGGTGCGAGAGGGATTGATACCGCTGTTCTCCCGACTGAGGGGAGGTCGGGCGAGAGATTCGACACCTTGGCCGGGTGTGTAGAGATAGCTCGTTCTCCTCGACTGCGGCATTCCTGGTCTACTGGAGGGCGCACCCTCGTATCTGCCAGATGTGTTCCTCGACTTTTCCCGCTCGCGATCGTTTATGCGATCAGGACTCCTGGTGTATCTTGGTTTGCTGGTCAGAGCATTTGGTCCAACGGGTTGACGGGTTTCGGTGCGATAGCCGTCTGGTGTGGGGTACTCGTGATCATCGGCATATTCTTCATGATATCTGTATTTGTTGGGTGAGGTGCCGCCGTTGTGTTCTGGAGTGGCACCTGGAGTAGGCACGCCGTCCACGAAATCAGTCTGTCGCAGTGTTGATCCCTTGGATACAGGGTGGGGCCGCCTTGGTCCACGCTCATGTTGCACAGGCATACTATCTGCGCGCTTGATCTTGGGTGGAAAGTCTTCCTTCTCAGACGGATCGATTTGCATGGAGTGCGATCGTGGCTTTTCAGTTGGTAGTCGAATTTCAGCCGGAGACGATCTCGATTGGCTGAGAGGAGGTGGACGACGAGGTTGCTCGTCATACTCGTCTCCTGACCTCCTACTGTTCTCGCGTGCCGATGGTCTGCGGTCGTCATCGCGTCCACTGGATGCTGGTCTGCCGGAACCTCTCCGAACCATGACAGGCGTACGACCGTCTCGCTTTATGTACTCAACTCTACTGTCTCGCACCGAAGGAGCACGTACGGGTGAAGGACGTCGATCTGGCTCGCGTCTCTCCGGCTCGCCTCGAGGATGATTGCTCCGTGCCTGCTCCATATGACTTCTCGCATCATCGTACTGTGAATGCAGCTTCCGTGCTCGCTCATCAGCATCATAGAAGCCACGCTGAGCCGCCTCTTTCTGCCTCTGAGCCTGATCATGATATGACTCTTTTGCTCGCCGGAGCTCAGCAGGATCTTCACGCCCGTGTCTGGCCGAACGCTCGTACTCTCCAAGATCACTCTCAGCAGAATCCTCGTCGACCACAAAAGCTTGCTTGCGGTCTCTATCCTTTCGCATATCACGATCTGATTTTCTACTCTTCTCCTTCGACTGCCGTGCTCGTGTCTCCTTCACATCTTTGCTCGACCTGGTCCTTTCCCGATCTGACTCACGAGGCGAAGCTCGCTTGCTCGTCCGCTCATACTCGGAATCTTTTCGTGCTGTAGGCCGAGGAGCAAAGTCGAAGTAGTCGCCGCCAGAAGGCGCAGGAGCATATCCAGGCTTACGCTCTTCGTATGTCGGGGATGTCTCCTGACTTCGGTCGGCTCCACGGGCATAAGAAGTGGTCCTCAAGGGACCCTCTCTCGCCGCCCTCGAATCTGGTCCAACACGAGAGCCACCACTCTGCCTGTCCGCCAGCACATCCTTCCGCAGCTGCGCAAGATCGACCTGCGCATCATATCGTTTCCGTCTCTCCTCATCTCCTACAATCTCCCATGCCGTCTGGATCCGATGAAACTGGTCAGAGGCAATCTGCTTCTGCGATTCGTCCTGCACTTTATCGGGGTGGAACTTTAGGACCAGCTTGCGATATTGCAGCTTGATAATAGCAGCAGAGGCATCCTTGGCAACACCGAGTGCCAGATATGGGTCAGGAGGCAGCGGTGAGGCCATGGTTGAAAGCCGTGGTGAGTGGCCGGTGACTCAAGCCGGCCAGCAGGAGGGGAGGCGTGTCACAGTGTCAGGCCGGTGGTGATAGACAAGGTAGATACTGCGCCGTAGCGTGGTATTTGGTAGTAGGGGAGTAGTGTGTATAGTCGTGCTGAGGTGAGCCGGGTGGGTCGTCTTGCCGAAAGAGCAGTGAGTGCGTGAGCGGTCAGGTACCCGGAAGTACTAGTCACTCGCCGAAGTATATCGAGAAGAGAGGAGACACGCCACCGGACAAGCAGGAGTCAGTGACGGTGCCCGCGCCACAACACACACACGCACACTCTCGTGAAGCCCAGGCGGTGGCAATATCGAAGGACGAACAACAACGCTCGCAGCGTGTTTGTTGCCTGCCCGGATGCAGAGAGCGATGCGAAACGTAAGACTCGCCGGGTGAGACAAGGCAGATGACCAGGGTTCCACGTTGAAGACTCGCGGGAGGTGCCGGCCCTTAGCAGTGACGTACGAAAACTTTCCTCGGCTGCGTGCGCGATGGAAATCTTCCGTGGCAAAATCGTGATCGGCAGTACAGTACTGTGTCGGAGCGTGAAGTAGTGCGGCCGTCCGATCACTGTAGATGGTAAGTCGTTGCTTCGGTCGCATTACCGTGCGTGGTGGAAGGTCGTAGATGAGTGAGCCTCTTCTTCCACCTTCTCGCGAGCTCGTTACAACTATACCCTGGCTGGGAGATCGCTGCGGAGCCGACAAGGTCAAGCAAGGACCCGAAGACCCACCGAATTTTACACCCTTTACCCGAGCGAGGCTGTGCAGAAACAAACCGCTTTGTGTAAAAGACAGAATTCGCGTTCCCTTATTTTGAATGTGGTAACGGTAAGCAAGATTTGAAAGCAATGACAACAACGGTAAGCTGTGCGGACTGTTGCTCCTATCTGAATCCTGGAAAAGGCTGGCGCGCGCAGCAATCTCCAAAAAACGTCACACTCACCCGCTGCATGTTGTTGGCTTGCAGTCGGTCAGGTAGCAAGAAGCAAAGGCGAAGCAATCACACACAAGTGCCGTCTGTACTATACATCCACATAACCACGATAGCACCTCTCACTCCACACAAGGCCCACACACTGCCCAGCAACGCCCAGCAAAGCAGTGTGAAGCCACATCAAAAGTCACTCAAGTTCAATCACCGATGCCACGTCGATTGGTCGCCGTGATGCAGTAGCTTCGCAGAGTGCATACACCACACTACTGATTGGTTTGGACCAACGGTAGTGCTTGCGATTGCTCCAGCCCGCAAACCCAGCACGCCCGGCCATAAGTACAACCAAGCCAATACCGACAATATTCGCGTGCCTGGCGCGGCTGTGAAGGCGTGCAAGCTCATCCCATGCATTGCGGTCGCGCATAAGGCCTCTGGGCGGCTTCTCGTCCAATGGAAATCGCCTGCAGCTTGACAGCTTGAAGCTCCTGCCAGGACAAGGACTCTCCCAGGCCATGTGGTGTGACAATGTGATCTATTATTCTACAGCTTGTTGAACACAGCAGCTCTCAGTCATCAGTCGCAAGTGTAGCACCAATACGTTGACAAGCATGATCGAGAGAAGCCACGAGCGCTTCTGCATCCGCATCCCATCGAGGATAATAATAACGAGGCTGACAAAGGTGCAAGCGATAGGGTTGCATCGGTAGCTGTGCGAGGGAGCTATGCGATCGAGGCAGCGCCTGACAGTAGCCTCGTTGATTTGCTGACCGCACATAGTACCTCGTTGCCTGCGAAGGCGCGGGAAGTATTATTGACACTAGCCTGCTGCCTACACCATCCTTCATCAGTGCTCTGAATCATACTGCCTCGTGCCCTTGCATCCGGCCATCTCGACACAAGCAAGTCGTTCAACTCACAATGCCGATCCAATGGCACGCACAAACCTATGGGGCGAGATGGAGATAAACAGAGTCGAATCACAGGTAGAGTGAGGTACCACTGCGTTTACCATGTGGATGCCGACCACTGCCACGGACCATGCAGCCTATCTATATACTTGACATGCTACCTGTCAGCGTCACTCTCATCAGCTCGATGACACTGCATATTCCTTCTCCCGTACATCGAGAGATCATTAGCCGCCTTATGTAGTTGACCCGCGGAATCTGGCAGGCACGCTTTCCAACGTTTCGCAGCGCTATCCATGTCAATCCTCTATAGCCTCTTACGATGTATCTACATTTGACCTTGTAGGAAGCAAAATGTCAACAACGACAGGCTTGTTGAACGCCACACCACCTCGCCCATGACTCCTCGCCATGACACTAGCGTTCACAATCGCCGTCTCGTGTCCACGCTTCAGCTTCCAGCCTCCACGTAAGCCAGTAAGATCAAGTAGCGACTGCTTCTTACTGCCTTGGCCAGGATCCTCCCATCTCCAAACCACCTCACCCTCCCCATCGTCCTCACCCCAACGCACAACCTCCGCTCTACGACCCTCATGACAATGCCCGCAGATATGCAACGCGGGCCGGACATGCCGGAGACGTCGCTTGAGAGCCGGACAGCCTCCTTCCTGCCAGTGTGTGCTCGTGTCGCAGTGGCCAGAAGGTGGGGTGTGCGTGATCAGGATGTCCGTGCCGGACGGTATGGCATCCCATAACAAGTCCGCCGCTTGAGCAGGATATTGGAAAGCCCAGTTCTGATGGCCACGATCCGGTGACTGTGGCGATGCGAAGACGTTGAGTGAGACGTTCTTCTTCAGTAGCCCAATTGTAGAAGCGGCGTGCTCGAGGTAGTGTATATTCGGATGTGACGCCAGCAATGCTCTGCACTGTTCGAAGTTCTCGGCTTGTACTCGCCACCCACTGTCGTATTTCAGGTTGTAGTCTTCGTCAAGACTCAGGTCATGATTTCCTGTACACTTAGCTATGTCTTTCGCCAATTCTTAGTGCCTTGCCCACCTGCTACGACGATCTTGTAAGCGAAATCGGCTTTTGCCAACCACTCGAATGCGTTCTCCAGTTCAGCCAGACTCCCTTGGTTCGTGAGATCGCCAGCGTGAATAAGCACATCGCCAGCTGGAAGTGTATACCCTTGGCCCGGGGCGTGGTTGTGCGTGTCGGATACACAGACTATGCGGAGCTTCTGTAGGTCGAGAGCCATGGTGTGGAGATGGAGGAGCGATGAATGGGAAGAGAAGATTATCTGGAATCAAGTCACAGTGTGTCAGGCCTCCAATGGCCGACATAGCTCGGTACAGCACGCACGTTCTGCATCATCCTCAATGTTTGTGCTCATTCGGGAAGGATAATGTACATGATGGCGGAAGTATGTAACGGGCAGGAGATTTGGAATGAGACGAAGAGATACTTGGAGAGTTGGGTCCAAGCGCCATCATAACATAGCAATGGTCTCGAAAGACTCGACGATTGATTGCGTTGTGCCTTCAAGGCTTTCCTCATTTTCTACGCTGGAGAGCATAGACACCTTACTTAAAGGATTCCACCGAACTCTATGCTGGAAAGCAAGGAGAATATGTTCTCCAAACGCCTTCAGATTAAGAACGAGACTCCACTAACACGAACGGAGGCAAAGCAGATAGAAGCCGTGATCACAGCATTGTAGAGGAAACAATGACCATTCATGCTGGCCGGGTGAGGACCGTGGCTCCCAACTGAGCACATGGAGAGCGATCTCACCTGCGACCTTCGACCATGATGATGTGGTAACCTTCGCTCGTCTTGCACTCACCCCATTTCGGACTGTTGGTCGTTGAAGCAGCCAGCTCAAATGCAACAGCCTCAAACTCCGGCATAAGGGCGCCCTTCGTCTTCCAGCCTAGTGAGCCTCCTGGGGACAAATCAGCATGATTGGGCAATGGCCACACCGTACTACATCCAGTCTCATACCTTGCCGTGCCTTGTCTTCGGAGAACTCGCGAGCAACTTCATCGAACTTGGAGCCGGCATTGAGCTTTGCCAGTGCTTCTTCCTTTTTTGCATGCTTCTCGCATAGAACATGTCGAACATTGATCGACTGTGCTCCCTTCGTTTTGCCTCCCTTTGCCTCTCCCGCGTCCTTGGCTTTCGACTTGTCTTTGTCACCACCTTTACCTTTGGGTGGCATCTTGGTGGTTGTCGTCGGACCCTTTTCCTGGGAGGTACTATACAGGTGATCCTATGCGAAGACAGATGGCCTTGCACATTAACATCTCCGCATGGGAGGAAGAGCTTCGCGAAAAGGAAGGTGCGACTTCTAGCGCTGTTTGAGAAAAGTGGAGCTCTGTAGGCCATATCTACATGAATAACTGTTCTACCACCACATTGTGACACAATTACAAGCAAGAGCATCGGCGGATTTCAATATGACAGGACTGTACATACCGTCTGCGTTGCATCGCAGGCTCAAGCTTGAACATGTTAATGCCGTCGCGATCCCTGGGCATGCAGAACAATCCGCACCAAGAATCGGCTAGAAGGAACTGCTCAGTACGAGTGAGCTGAAGAACAGTATCTGACTGGCAGACCATCATGATAGCTAGTTCAGCACCAATTCTCGACTACGCAGGCAGCCATACACGACTCGGCCGGAACATCAGCACCACTTGCCTCCTCCCTCTTGCTTTCTGTCAGGCCCGATTTCAGATCGAGTGCGGAACACATCGTGTACAAAACCTCGGGTCTGGAATTGCTGTCCATCCTTAAAGCCTTTGCGGACACGAAGGCATGCAACATATGTGAATACAGTGCAGAGCTTGGTGCTACGACCAAGATTGCACCGTTGAGGCCCTCACACCACTTGCGTGTGTGCTCGAGACGACGAACGACAGCTCAAGGAGCGAACCCCGGTATCCGTCAATAGGTGAAAGTCGACTTTCCAAATGCGACGTTAATCGCTGTGCTCGAGCAAACGCCGTCCTAGGGTGGATATCTTCGGAATTCCCAAGCTGGTACAGCACCCAGCGCATCCCGCTGCAGCTACGCACCAAGGACCTCATACGCGTGCTCGAGTAGATGTGGATGTCACTCGGTGTTGACGGTCGGCCGATGACTTTTGAGCGCGATACTCCTGCTTGGAAGACATGTCTGAGTCTGAACGGGCTGGGATCAGACTTGAGAAGCACATGGAGGCAGAATTGAAGCAAGGTAGCCTGAAGGGTTGAGGAATTAGTGTTGAGTCTGGAGATCTGCAAAAGAAGTCGGTCGTTGTTAGGATGCCTGCTGAGATGAGGTTGCGCTCGGTGTGAGCCCGAAATCCTGACAGCGCTGCTGGTTGAGGATGCTCATTTCCCTGGTCAGTCTCGGACGCATTTCATCCTCGCTTGTAGTGGTACATGGCAACCGCGCGCTGCGCTCACAGCTGATCACGAACGATGAAGGGAAATGTAGGAAGAAGAGATGTTAAAATCGATTTTCGAGGCCAAGCCATGACGTAGCCGTGCCTATCAAAAGCCACAGTAACTTGACCATTTTTGTTGTCATGATAATGAGCTCGCTCCGGAACATCTTCCTTGCTTGAGAACCATGCCATACGGACGAGGTGGTGCTGGAAACATCTACGCCGTCGAGCAAGAAGTGGCACGAACCAAGGCGAATGTCGAAGCCAACCATTTCACAGCAGCGAGCTCTGGCGTCGACGATAAGCAGCCAACGGATCAGATGCGGGAAGGAGAGCGACAGTATGCCCATACTGGACGAGGGGGTGCAGGCAATTACTACAGTCCCCAGCAGCTGACCGAGACCGGCTCGTTCAGCAATGCAGCTCGTTCTCATATCATTGGCGATGGCACTCAAGCACCTTCGCCACAAGCCTCAGACAAGATGGCTTCATCTGCAACTACCAGCGAGCAGTCGAGTTCTGGGCTGTCCCGCAAGGTCGGCAGAGGCGGTGCAGGCAACTACGCCTTCGGTGTGGGTGAGAGCGAGGAGAATGCCGCCCGTAAGCGAATAGACGAGGAGCAAAGACGGCAGCAAGTGCAGGCCGATGTTGAGAAGGGCGTGGGAGCCATGTTAGTTCCGCCACCGAAAGCAAGAGTGACGGGTGCTGAGTTCTTAGTATCGAGCTTTGAAGCAGCGAGGTGTGGAGCTGAGCAGGATGACACCGCGTATTGACGACAGCGTGAGCTTTCTGTACAGTATGTAGTAGGTATGCTACGAGCCGGCAAAGCCGATAGTCTCCCGATTATCATCTACAATTCGACCGTACCTATGGAACAAATTAGCAGCTGGCCATACCACCACTCAGAGTCACAAAGCCACTTACTCAAGCAACAGCCTGAAGAACCACACCTCAAAATCCTCATTCCTCAACACCTTCCCAGCCCATTCACGACTCCCCTCCGCCATTCGAATAGCCTGACTCTTTCCCTCGCTCTCAGCACTCAGATATCTCACCGTCTCCAGCACCTCTTCGCCTTTGAGACTCAACGGGATGTAATGCACCCAAGGCATGATCCACTCTTCATGCCACTCTCTGAACACAGCCATCTTGAAAGTCAGACTATGTGATTTCAGGAAAGCGTAGAAGCGTCCTGAAAACGCATTGCCGTCAACGTCGAGTAGAAATCGGTACTTCCACGCATCCTGCTGATCCACTGGCGGTTTGACGTCGAAGAATTCGCGCTGAGCGTCGCAGTCTCCCGGATCGCATTGGCCAACGTGAGAGAAATGGACATCGATGATGTCCTTATACTCCTGTCGTGATACACTCTTCGTCGTCCACTCCGGGAGATCCTCCGGCGTCTTCTTCACATCGCCCAGCACCATTGCCTGATCAAGCGCATTCAACTTTCCAACCATCTTCTGTCGATGCTGTCTTCTCCATCCACCATCACGGCTGAAACCACCCGTGGTGCTGCCCCGCCACCAAAGACTGTTGATCTTAGCTTTCCAGTCGTAATCCTGTTTACTGTCGTACGACACCTTCCCGTACCAGTACCATGGTGAAGGATATAGAATATCTTGGAAGCTACTCATCTTGCTCTGGCTGAAGATAGGAAAGAGCTCGTGGATGACGTTGAAGGCATTTGGGCGGTCGAAAAAGCCGTGTGAGGAGCCGAAGGAGGGTGAGTTGCAGATGTCGGAGAAGGCAGTGTGGTTGTAGACAAAGCCTAGGTCGTCCAGGGCATAGGCTGTCAGGTTATCGGATGTATTATCATCGAGTGAGCGAGCCGGACTGTCTGACGAGCACGACATGCGCGACGGTATCCACGTCGGCTGATGCGCAAAGACGTTGAAGCGGGTTGTCTTGACCTCGGCGATACGCTTGCTGTTCTTCACGTCGTCTGGTCGAGGCGAGAAAGCATTCCTCGGTGCCGCGTGCGCCAGTGCTGCCGGTAGACTTTGGTTGACAGCGATCCTCACCAAGCGCGAGAGCTCATCGTGCGGCACAACCACTCTCGGCTCATCGTGCACGTTAAACGCCAGATCCACGTCCGGCAGGAACTCTACAAACTGCTCCATCATGCCCACGACAGCGGCCTGCATCCACTCTGGCCCAGCCTCGACGTGTACTGCTTTTCCGTTTCGTATCAACACGCCCATCAAGTTGTTTCCACCAAATCCCAAAGCTTCTCTGACCCTTGCTCTTATCGTCGCGGGTGGCAGTGCCCAGAAAGGAAGGAGGGAGTGGTAGATGGTATCGTACTCGTCAATGAGCTGCACACCTTTCCGCTTGGCGAAATCAAACCACTTGTCGAAGTTGGGAGGGGGTGGCAGTGCGTAGCGCCGCTTGTACTCTACCACGGCTGCCTCCAAAGTCTGCGACTGCCTTTGCAGTGTCGACATGAACGAAGCTTCCGCATCACGCACTAGCTGGTCCACAGGATGCACATGGCTGTTCGAGTACCTCAGTGGGCCGTACTCCTCATCTGGAGCTGCGGACAAGCTAGTGTCGAGCAAAGGCGCTGCTGTGCCGCTGGGACCAGTCGTAAATCGTGGTATATGCAGGGGCTGCCGCCACGATAGGATGGCAAGAGCGACGAAGGAGATGGCGGCAATCAGTACGAGCAACCTCACCATCCTTGGCTTCGTATGCGACATACTTGTCGAAGCTCCAGTATCACCGAGGAAGACAAACGTAGAAGCGGCGCATACCGTTGCGAACCATATTCGGCTGGTCGAGAGATTGACAATCAATTGTGAGCAAATAGCAGCGTAGAGCGGCCCAAAGCTCGAGGTGAGTGCGTCGTGCTGTTGGACCTGCGTAAAGGCATGTCAGTCGACTTGTACTACCTTCCTGCTTTTGAGCCAAGTTACTCGAGATACCGGGATTCGCGTGGCGTCGGCGGATCCCGATCTCGCTTACGTGCCGTCTGTATGTCTACCGTGCCCCATTTCGGGTTTCAATGACTTTTTGAAAGTTGAAGACTCACCAGCAGTAACAAAGAGGCGTACATAGCCACGTGCAGTAACACCATCGCAGCACCGTATACAGCGCCCAGCAGTACCTGGCCAAAGACACCCATTCCGATGGTCGCAGACCCCAATACGCCCCAGTAAGATAGTCCACCAGTACTGAGACCTTCAATAATCAGAGATGCGACTCCAGTGCCCATTGTCGCTGCTGCCGAGACGTCCCTGAGCATTGTAAAGGTCGTATTTGCTGTATCTGTCCAAGTATGCTCAGGCTGAGCAAGAAAGCCGTTGGTCGAGTATACAGTCCTCCCATTGCTCGCGTTCTGCGATCCCAGGTTCGCGCTTTGTGCGAGTCGTAATGCCAACGCTGTCAGAGTAGCATAAGCAAGTCCAATGGAAAGAGTGGTGTTCGAGCCGCTCGACACGTACGTCGCAGCCACTCCACAGGCTGTCGATACATACAGCGGTGTCGCCGACGTGTAAACTGGTCCAGCACTCGGCTTATCCGACCCAGTCGCCGTATCACTACCCGCATTCTTCTCATCATCGAACAGGCCAGATTTGCCAATGGTAAACACAATCAGCGGAAGCAAAGCCTGCGAAGAACTCAGTCAGAGCTCTTTCCCATCATATGTCGCACGGTATGACCTTAGCCCACCAGATCCCTCTACCCTCGACACTCCTGTCTTGTACTGCGGCCAGTGCCAACAGGCCACCCGCAGCCCATGATAGCTTTTGACTCGGTGCTGCATCGAGTAGGCTCTTCGCCCCGATCCGTAATGTCGTGTATGTACATATCGACACCCACGCTACAGCGCTGATGAGGAGGGAGTGCTTCGTCGGAGTACCCAGGTAGGCGAGGATCGAGGAAAGGAGGAAGATCGCTAAGAGAATTATGGTGCTGCGACCAGAGGCATCATGCGAAGAACGTAAGACAAACAATTGCATGGGAGCGAAGGGAGTGCAGGCTCAGCCAAACATGGCGCAAAAAAGGGTGTCGTATCGGAATGTAGCAGATGCAAAGTGCTCGATCGCGTGCCTGCCCAGCTCGCGCATTAAGGTTTAGAGCTGAGAAGGAAAGCTTGGCATGCAAGTGAGATGGGTACCTAAGCAGACAGCAAGCATCCGTCACCAGGTACAAGACCTTTTGCCGCTAATGAGATGCGGTAGAGCCTGACCTGGTTGGAGAGAAATCACAAGCCATATCTTTCCAACGACAACCATGATGCCGGAATTCCTCTTTCAAGAATATCTGCCAGGTTAATGCATCCCATGGCATTCACGGAGTTGCAACTCTCATACTACCGCACAGAATCACTCAATACATTGCCATATACATGGTGCACTCCGACCCACCTCCACTGATCGCGTTGTCGTCTAGTGCAAACACAACCCGACCCTTTCTCAAGTCCTGAGAGCCCCGAACAACCCCAGCAAAGTAGCCAACCGGTTGACATGCAGGAAAGCGCTCACTCCAACATTCCCCCACATCATGTCGTTCCACACTCCCACATCCCAGAAAGCAGATCCCCAGACCCTGTAAATCGCGTGGATATGTCCCAAATCAGCCAACGCGACAACCAGCAAATACCGTTTAGCGATAGTTCTGTGAGGCGTCCAAATACAAACTCCAGCCAGCAGAGCGAGGAGTAGATAGACGTTACCCAAGAGCAAGACTAGGACTTCTGCTTGAGGGGTGAATTGAGGGGATTGGGTGATCCTGACGGCGCCGGTCCCAGTGGAGGGATACTGGTCGAGATAGAATTTGTTCGGGTCGAGAAGGAGGACGTAGTACGCCCAGCAGCTGGGAAGTGTCAGTGGTAGGCTGTACATGGGTCTTTGATTCGTGATTACAGTAGGATGGGCTCGATTACTCCGAAGAGGATGTGTGGCCAGAGGGTGAGGGAGCGTGCCATCCTAAGACGGTCCTGGAGATGTGTTTGCCACTAAAACAGCAATGCTTGTCCAGCTCGACGACCGGTACAGGCGACTTTGATGAATTTTATGGCTAAGTGGAATGTAAGTGTAGTACAAATCAGGATTGAGACCAGGTCTGGGCGATGCGAATGCGGCTAAGCGATGATAATCAGACGACTTCAATCCTTCAGCCACGCTATGATATCTAGGTCCAAGGTGTTTCCTTCATTATGTGAGCTTCATGTGCATGGAGATCAGTGGATATATGAGCCTGGGATTGTAGGACGACATCGATAGAGATTGATGAACAAGATGTGTATGCATTTTTTGCTTGCGCGGACAGACAGCGCAACAGGCACGGACCATTTGATAGCTCGGTGAGCATGTGGCACGATGTGAAAGATTGAAATACTATCCTTGAGACTACTTGTACAGCTACCACATCTGAGGGATACAGAGTCATGATACTAAGAGGCAAAGCACGTTTCGGACTCGTAAGGACTCCCACCGCTCCGTCACGGCAAGCAGAGTGCATCGCGATCCGATCCAACGATGACTGGTGGAAGAGCATCCTGGCACTTGCGCAAAGCCACCTCGGTCACATGGAGATGTCGCCGCGAACGTTCAAACATTGCCCAGCAGCCTGCGTGATTACGGTTCATTGTTCTGACAAGTCCAGTGAGTAGGGAGGATGCTTTGATAACCAACGCCTGGCCCTCTGCCCTTTGTTCTCCGATTAGTAGCGTCTGTATGCACTTAGACTACATTCGAGTCTGCAATGCGATATTGTATCCAGAAAAGTTAGACCAGCCATGTCCAATTCCACCAACCTCGCGCTCACGATCACGAACGTCGTCCTTACCTGCTGCTTATCCTTTGCTCTCTTCGTCATCCTCGTAGCTCTCCATCGAATCTGAGAGCACGTGCTGAGCCTGGGCTACCTGGTCAACCAGCTGAAGGCCATGACTGGCGGGAAGCAAACCATCAACGCTCCACCACCGCCGCCACTCGCACCTCCATCATCAACGCCACAGCAGCCTCATCGAGGTAGTCCTAATATATCGTGGCCCATGGAGTCCCCCAGAGAGGGAACACCGCCAATGGCTCAAACGCGACCGCCGCCTGCATTTCGTGACGACGACGGCGTGTTCAGGCCTTGGTTGGGTGACTACGAGAGTGTAAGGCAAAGTAGTCCTCGGGCTTTTGCTTGATCGGAGGTACTTGGCCAGGATACGTGGATCTCGAGATCACCGGCCTCTTGATCTGACTCGCGATGGCGACGCATCACAGGCCGGCAAGCTACTTGTCACTGTAGATTGCAGTGGAGGGCATGGTCGTGAGAGAAGTGAGCGAGGAAATGTGTCTCGCTGGTGCGGCTCTGTTCCGCCTCCACATCGCTGCCAAGACCAAGAATTGCAGCCCACAGAATGTGTATCGCGAACTTCAGACTTCTGCGCCAACAACTTGATTTAGCCAGGATACCACGAACCACGAACAACAGGTACGTAAAGCACCTCTCGGAATATCCACAGCAGCCAGATACGAAAAGGACACTGCAGCATATACCGACCGACGAATCCACGAGTAGACACTAACAAGCACTCCTGCAGCCCTCCCACATCCACTTCCACCTCCGCAAACATGGCCACAACCCAGGGTGCCAGCGGCGTCAACATTAGCAAGCGCAGAAAGTTCGTCGCCGACGGTGTCTTCTATGCCGAGTTGAACGAGTTTTTCCAGCGCGAATTGGCTGAGGAGGGTTACTCCGGCGTTGAGGTCCGCGTTACGCCTACCGTCACCGATATTATCATCCGCGCTACACACACACAAGAGGTTCTCGGTGAGCAGGGCAGGAGGATTCGCGAGGCAAGAGAAAATATGCCACAAATTTATGGGAGAATACGAGAACTGACAGTTTGATTCAGTTGACCAGCTTGATCACCCACCGTTTCCGCTTCCCTCCGGACTCCGTCTCCCTCTACGCCGCCAAGGTCCAGTCGCGTGGTCTCTCCGCCGTTGCTCAATGCGAGTCTCTCCGCTACAAGCTCCTCAACGGTCTTGCTGTCCGCCGTGCTTGCTATGGTGTCCTCCGGTAAGCGCAGTCTCCTCCCACCCTACATCTCCACGCATGTGCTAACACCTTCCAGCTTCATCATGGAGTCTGGCGCCAAGGGCTGTGAAGTCGTCGTCTCCGGCAAGCTGCGCGCCGCTCGTGCCAAGTCCATGAAGTTCACCGATGGCTTCATGATCCACTCCGGTCAGCCCGCTAAGGACTTCATCGACCACGCCACCCGCCACGTCCTACTCCGCCAAGGTGTGCTTGGTATCAAGGTCAAGATCATGCGCGCTTCTTCCTCTCCCGGTGACCCTGCTGGTGAGAAGTCCGGCGGCCAAGGTCTGCCAGACTCCGTCACCGTCATCGAGCCTAAGGAGGAGCAGCCCGTGTCTGCGCCAAACTCCCAAGACTACGGCGCCAAGGCCGCTCAGCAGCAGGCGTACCAGCAGCAGCAGCAGGAGCAGGCGCAGGCGCAGGAGCAAGGTGGTGAGGAGCAGGGTGAGCAGCCCGCCGCTCAGGAGTACTAGTGGATGTATCTCTGTGCGCAGCGTAGGTTGTTTGAGCGTACTTGATGGATGCCGGCATGTTTTACGATGGCGCTGAGATGTGAGATGCGTGCTCGATAGACCAATAGTCTCGAAACGCATTACCATTCTTCAATCTCAACTTCGTGCATATGAAAGTATCCCACAATCGTCTCACCACCCGAATGAGACTTCCGTCTCGTTAAGGAAAGGTTCGACATATCATTCTCACTCCATGGGCTTGAAGTGCGCCCGATTCGCCAAAGCCATACCTCTTACTACAACTATGTACAGGTCATCACCTTTTAGTGTTCAAGTGTCACGATACAGCTCACATAAGGACTGACCTTAAGAGTATCATTGAAGACGGGGTCTTCATTCGGCCCAGATTCACGCCTCGTTCGAGAGACGTGCTTGTGTCCTTCCCAACAGATGCTTCATACCTCGCTGGTCTGCCACAGTCCATCATGCTGTGGTATAGCCTGTGGCGTTACAGTTGAGCACTTTTGTTGTCTCAGAAACTCGCTCCATACTGTTGTCGGATCACAGGGCCATCTTGATCGTATGCAATAGCTTCTCCGCAGCGCTTGCCCCTTGGCCCCCTGGTCGAGATACAGATATTCCGTCTCCGACACAGCCTCGTCGTAATTGGTCTCTGACATATCTGACACTAGTGGATCCGCATACGTCCTCCTTGCCCTGTCACTCAGATCACATCCTGTTCCTCCGTGCTGATGCCGTCAAGACTGGGTAAGATAAACTCTCATCTCCTCTTCATTCCCGAACATCGTACTATCGATACGACCCTTTCATCCACAAGCTCAGCCCTCTCGATCTCGAAGCAAGAAAGATAGCCGGGAAGCCATACCTTGCGGACCGCGAGGCCGACAATCGTCACTTGCTCGCCGCTCCTCACATAAACTCACGAGACTGGACAAGATTGGAGTCTTACAGATCCGTCGTGCGGCCAGTATCGCCCAAGTCTAGAGTGGTCGTCTTGACAGTGATCGCATGATCGGTAGAGAAGTCAAGTGCACTGATGTACGGCACATCCGTGGTTTGAAGTGTCAGCTACTCACCAGTCTTGTTGGTCTTAATGATGCTTAGGTCGTAGACCAGGACCAGGGTCCTCTACCAGAGCTCCTTGTCTGCTCGGACAGGGTACAAGGCGCATGTTCTGGTTCCTGCACCCTGGCTGCTTGATGTCGTCTTGCCTTCGCCAGATACGTGCTCCTGTTTGCTATCCGCACAGGTTCCGAGAGTAGTCCAGGAGAGATGCATGTGACGAGCTGGGAGGGTCTGAAGAAAGCATAAAGCTTTTGATATGCCACACTATCTCGTGTATATACTAACCATTGATCCGGGACATGCTTTGTGAGTCAAGGGTCCGGTGGAGAGTGGTAGCAAGGACACTTGCAGCACACTACGACTCTCAGGGAGTGCAATCAGATTATGATCTCACATCACCTTCTGCCAACTTGCGGGTACACCACAACGCCATAATGTCTGCCATTCTGAGGACATGGTGTCGAGAGTTGAAGTGAAGCAGCGGTCCTCTAAATGTGCTTCCGGGAGCAACCGTACACTAGTGTTTAGGACCATTGGCCAATGCTTCATGTCGACCGCAACAGACACAAAGACTTCATCGCACCCCGGCAACAACGACCTCAAAGCCTCTGGATGTCACAACAAGGTGCCGTTCGGCCTTGGGCAGTGGGTCTAGCCAATCGGCTTCACCTCCAAACATTTCCGCTACATGCCAACCAGATCCTCACCACAGCCGGAATCTACTACGGACTCTACTCCGTCGTCTCACCCGCGGTATCTCGTTGGCTAGCACCCAAGACGTACAAACACTTATCGAAGTCATCCCGAGCAAACTGGGATGCCCGAGCTGTTGGATTTGCTCAAGCCATCTTCATCTCTTACCATGCTTTGAATGTCATCTTCACGGATCCGACAAGACCGAATGCTACTGCTCATCAGCGATTATGGGATTACTCGGCTAGAGTGGGAAAGGTGCAGGCGTACGCTGCTGGGTACTTCCTTTGGGATCTTTACGTCACATCAAGATATGCGGGTCAGTTTGGGCCAAGTGCAGCGGCTCACGCTTTTTGCGGGTTATTGATTACAATGATCGGATTCGTAAGTCCTACTGCCGTTCAATGAGTAGCTCGTATCCTAATCAGAGTCACAGCGACCGTTTGCAAACTACTATGGCGTGAACTTCATCCTTTACGACCTCTCGACACCCTTCCTCAATATTCATTGGCTGCTGGACAAGCTTCACTTGACTGGCTCAAACCTCCAGCTGTACAACGGCATCGCTCTGATCTCGACCTTCTTCAGCGCAAGACTGGTATGGGGCAGCTACCAGACCTGGCTTTTATCGTCCGATATGCTTGAGGCCTGGCGAACGGAAGCGGAGATCGTGCCCACATGGTTGTTCCTCACGTATCTGGTCAGCAACACGACGCTAACATGTCTGAACTTCTACTGGTTTGGTAAGATGATCCAGGCATTACGGAAGCGGTTCGAGCCACCCAAAGATGGTGATCAGCCGGCACGGAAGTAGCATGGCCTGTATATAAACGGGAGTGTGTACATCATTGTGTGCATTGGTTTTGGACTCTTCTAGCTAGCACCTGTAAATACTGACAATCTTCACCACATCTTGTCCGGCGTTGACGAAGAAGGAACAGCTGATGTATCTTTCTACTAAACATCGGGTGCAGCAACGCGATCAGACACTCGTGGGCAGGAGTGAGGATTCAGTTCTTCTATAAGTCCCCGTACCATACGTCCTGGGAACGTCATCACCAGAGGATGATCACTTCACCGCACCATCCACCCTCTTCGGTTTTCTAGCCCTGATTATGGTCCCTCCGTTCTCGTCTCCATTCCCATGCGCCTCGAACCCCAAGTCGACCTTACTAACATAGTACCCCTTTGCCGCACTCGTCCGCAAATAAATCGCCGCATCCCTCTGATCCGCCACCTCGCACGCTCTCCGGGTCAATTCCTTTCCAATGCCCTGACTCTGATAGGCAGCGTCCACGCCCACGAGCTCGACAAGGAAATGCGGCTCGCCACCCATCAACTCCTTCCTTCCGGCCTTGAGATCTTTCAGAGCTTCTGCCAGAATAGGCGAGTGATCCTCGATAAGTGGGACGACGGACGTGATAGCGCTACTCGAGCTGGATGGGGAGTCTGGTCCTAGATAGTGTAGGATGAAGATACCGACGGTCTTTTCGCCGTCAACTGCTAATAGCAGGCGTGCTGCTGGGTCGGAGAGAGCATGGCGATAAGTCTCTACCCACCATTGTCGTGTCTTGGGAGTGTCTGGGATGATTTGCGACAGGGAGGCGTCAGGACTGTAGGAACGAGGGACCATGGTACTCATTGATTCCAGATCCGAGGTGGTGGCATCGCGGTAGACTACCTTGTGATCATGTGCCGTAGCCATGTTTGCTTGAAGTCTTTTGAGCGCAGATTAGGTGTGGATGGACTGCGACTGTAGTAGCTTTTCTCGAGTCCATCAGCAATGGATGATGGAAAGCTGTCGACGAGATATGATATGTATCGATACGTAGCTAGCTTATCTATTGCTCTAAATCTTAGAGAGACCGGCTCCTATAGCTCCGGATGGAACGGCATGTTAGCTCGCGTTAAGTAAGCTTTGTTCGTCAGTCGGTGAAGCATAAAGTCGGACTAGCAAGCCTGTATTGGTATACTTGGCATGCTTTCGAAGTCAAAACAAAGACGATTGTACATTTGCACCAAGAAGTGCTTGTTCTGAAAACGAAAATGATTTGTGACATCGATGATACTGTGCAAAAACCTATATCTGAATCAACGCAACAGCAGGCTCATGACCTGCGCATCATGCCTTGCGGACTTGTGCGATTTGTAGTAAGTAGACCTTTGCCACCGTGACATCTTATGGCGTGCCGACCGGGTACACTGTGGTGTAGTGTGATGCAGAGCGCATCTAAGCACCGAGAGCTGGGAAGGCGGAGCTGTCCTGGGCGTTGAAGTTACCACCGCCACGAGGCGCACCACCGCGCTGCTCACCACCGCCACGAGGTCCTCCCCTAAAGCCCTCCCCGCGACCGCGACCACCGCGTCCACGTCCCTCACCACGTCCTTCACCACGATCGCCACGTCCACGACCGCCCTCACGATCACCGCGGGAGCCGCCACGGCTGCCGCCACGACCGCCACGTCCGCCACGTCCGCCCTCCTGCTCGACGGGAGCGTAGTACTGGCCATCAAGCTGGACAGTCTCCTTCTCAGTGCGCTCCTTGGTCTTCTTGGCCTTGCCGCCAGAGCCAGAGAAGAAGTTCTCTTCTTCTGGATTGCGGGAAAAGGCTGTGCCTTCTGGGAACTTCTGTTTAGAGCCCTCGTTGGCTTTGCGGACTTCCTGGTTGCCGGAGCCGAGAGCTAGACGCTTCTCGGCGAGCTCAGCAAGGTATTGCTCGTAGGACTTGGTCTTGTCTTCCTCCTCGGCGGGAGCAGCGTTAGCCTCACCGGTAGTGGCGTCAGGGCCGTTGCTGAACGCGGGATCGCGAGCGTCGGTGTTCGGAGTGAAGCCTGGCTCGTCCTTGCCCTCGGCCTGGGCGATGGCTTCGCCGGCCTTCTCATCAGCCCACTCGCCAGCACCAGTCTCGGCGCCCCATCCGTGCGCAGCCTGCTTGTCGTGCTCGCCAATGCCGGAGTGGTTCTGGCGATCGTCGCGGGCAGTCCTAGTGCCGCGGTACTCGCCTCGGCCACGGCCGCCTCGCCCACCGCGTCCTCCGCGTCCACGGCCACGTCCGTCAATGTCGCCTCCACGGTGCTCCCTAGGCTCTGTAAGAACGTCAGCAAGGGATCAGTCAAGTTCTGATAAGTGGTGACGAACCCCTAAGGCGGTCGGAGTGACGATCCTGGCGCATGCCATCATCACGACGCTCGGCACGGTTGTTGTTAGGGCGGTCGCCGGCTGTAGTACCATGTTAGTATGGTTGACCTACCACGTCGCGATATCCAGCATGTGCATTGCCTTACCTAGGTCGGCGCGCCTCTGCACATCCTGCGCACCAGCACGTCCTCCCGCAGCAGGTCGTGGAGCATCGGCAGCATCGTTGCGCTTGCCAGACCTCTGGACAGGCTTGTCGATGGCCTTGGTGGGCGGCTCGGGCTCGCGGTCAGGGTCGAGCTCGGGGTCGTTGCCTTGTGTGATGTCAGCCTATGATCCTCCTTTCATTGTTGTTGTTCGCAATGCAATGGCATACCCAGGAGGTCGTAGAGATTCTGCAGATCGCACCAATGTCAGCCAATGCCAATGCATGAGGAATTGTGGTCGCATGACCAGGCAGGATTATCTCTGTAGTGACTGTGGGAGTGGGTGGATGGAGTGCATACCTTGCTCGCGATTTGGCTCGCCATGTTGTGTCTGGATCCGTCACGAGCAGATCTGGTCCATCGTTGACTGGCGTCAGTAGCAAGAGTGCGAGGTCTTCAACGCGATCGACCACCAAAGCTCCAGCAAATTCGGCGCTGAGCCGTGCGCCGGGCGGGCATCATGGCTTGGCATTAAAGTTGGCCTGATCTGTGAGGCATCACCTTCTGACGCGTATCATGTCAGCAGTTGACATTTGATCGAATCGTTGCTATCGCTCCTCTATTCCGAGTCATGCACGGCAATGTACATACGCTGTATAATATAATCAAGTAGTATAATGGCCGACAATGAAGACTCCACCACTTCACAATCCTCACTCACAACAGTCAATCAACCACTAAACCTCATCCCAGTGACGCTCAAAGAAGCCGCCCTCGACTCTCCCACATTCCGAGCCACGTCACTTCACTTCGCGGACCAGATTGACATCATCGAGCGATGGCTTGATGGCTATGTCAGAGCGGCGACTAAACTCGCAGCAGATGTCAGCACATTGGAACATGCCGTTAACAACTTCCTCACTCAGTCTGCTCCCCCGGCACAGGTCAGCGAGGCAGCACTCGACCATGACTACACCTTGCTGGCCATGCGGCGATATGGGGAAGGTGCAAGGGAGTGGTGGGGTAGCATGTTGAAAGGTGCCAAGCGGTACGATAGTACTGTGGTAGAGCCGATCAAAGCATTCCAAAACGCCGAGCTCAAGAACTTCAAGGAAGCACGCCGAGCGCTTGAATCCACCCAGAAGACGTTCGATCATGTGATCTCGAGGTATCTCGGTCAGAACAAGACTAAGGAGGCCAGCAGCTTGCGGGAAGATGCTTTCCAGCTCCACGAGGCACGGAAGGCGTATCTTAAAGCAAGCATGGATTTCTGTGTCCTTGCGCCGACTGTACGCGCGAGTCTGGACAAGTTGATCGTGCGAGTCTTTGCAGATCAGTGGAAGGAGATGAAGGGTGCTCGGGAGGGTAACGCGAGTCTGTTCGCCAAGTGGACTGGTGAGATGGAGCGAGTACGAGGCTGGAGCAGGGAGATGGAGAACAGCGAACGAGCATTCAAGCGCGAGCTTCTGACGGCACGACGGCAAATTGAGGACGAAGCACAATCCATGACCAAGCCAAGTCGCGAGCTCGAGGATTATGCAGCGTCTACCGTCCCATATCTCGGCACCGGTGCGAGCACAGCAAGTGGAATGGCAAGTCCCGCCAAACCTCAGCAGACGGAGAAGAACGAGAAGCAAAGCTGGCTCTATCAGAAGACTTCGGTAGGCAAGCCTGCCCGAACGGTCTGGAGCCGACGCTGGTTCTTCGTCAAAAACGGCATCTTCGGATGGCTCATCCAAGGAGCAAGATCCGGTGGCGTCGAAGAGAGCGAACGCATAGGCGTGCTACTATGTGGTGTGCGTCCGGCCTTTCAAGAAGAGCGCCGATTCTGCTTCGAGGTCAAGACCAAGGATAGCAGCATTGTACTGCAAGCTGAGACACAGCAAGAACTTACGGAGTGGATCAGTGCTTTCGAGATGGCGAAGCGGAAAGCACTCGAAGACCCAGCAAGCACTGACAGTCCTGGCGTTGGTACTGGTGGCATCGACCCAGCTTTTGCCATCAGCCCGCCGGTGGCTCCAGAATTTGCCGCAAAGGTAGATACAGCACATGGCGCCGATGACTCGACGCCCTCACAGGTGTCGATGCCGGAACGAGAGGCAAGCTTTGGACCTGCTGCAAGCCGCTCTAGCTTCGATGTCAGCCAGCCACCACCACCTTCTGCACGCCGAGTACTCAGCTTGGAGCGCGAGCCTGGAGAAGGTAACAGAGAGCATGCTGCTCGCATCATGTCGAAGCTGGATCTGTCGAAGCGAAGTGCTCCCTCTGGACAGTACCAGTCGTCTGCATCTCCAGCTGGTGGTATCGCCAGTCTCATCTCGGCCTCACATAATGTCTTGCCTGTGGGTCCTGGTGCTGCGCCAGTAGCTTCACCATCTACACCCGGTTTCGCCCAAGACCAAGCAGCGAAGCGCAGTGTGACTATGCCCTATAGCACACTCGCACCCAGCACGCTGGCCAATCCACCTGCAGCGACTAATCTCAGCCACACAGCCGTTATTGTAAGTGGCGAAAAGGGGGTCAATCTGGGTCGAGGGAATGATGGGTCAGGTATGCCATCTGGTCTCATGGCAAACCTGTGGGGCAGCAACAATTGGGGATATGTCAATCGCCTCGGTCTTGAACCACCGAAGAAGGAGAGAAAGATGTCTTCCGTCTCGCCTTCACGAATGGTATCTCTTGTCCAGTCACAGGACGATGTCAATGTCATGGATGGTGGGCGTGACACTCAGGCTACGTTGTCATCCAACCCGCTGGCATCAGACACGGACTTGGCAGCTGGCATCAAACATCGGAAGACTCTCAGCATAGCCACTGACACACCCGTAATACTCTCTAGCCGCAGCGTGTTCTCGGACGACAAGGACGAGTTCCCGAGCTACTATCCGCTCCCGTTGAAGGCACAACAAGCACAATTCCGCATGCTCTTTCCATCGGCACCTCGCAACGAAAAGGTAGTGCTGGTATTTCGAGCTACCTGGAATCCGAATGAGCAAGAATTCCCAGGTCGTGTCTACATCACATCGCAGGAAGTCTACTTCTACTCGAATCATCTGGGCTTGGTGCTGGTGACTGGCGCGAGTCTACGTGGTATCACTGATGTCACCGCGGCACCTGGGCGCGACTGTGATTATTTGTACCTGCATATGCGACCGCGCCACAGCGAAATTGGTCAGGACGAGGAAGATCTGCGCAGGATCACGATCAAGGTCTTCCTGGAACCATTGCGGCTACTGCAGAGGCGACTGAACTACCTTGTGCATAACGCCAACTCTGAAGAGCCTGCCGCACTCGAAGAAGTGCTGAAGACGCTGATAAAGATGGAGAGTGAAGATCCAAAGCGTAGTTCCAGTGTCGAAAGCTGGGAAGACGTCGTATACGATCCCGAGACACCTGACACCCGTGCAGGAGACCAACAACGCACACCCAATGGCCGTCGTGAACACAACGTCAAGACCGCTCTCCGCATTGACGGCACCCTCTTCGACAACCGCGGTGGTCCAGCGAAAACCGGCCGCGAAGTCCAGAAGTTCAAACTTCCCACCCAAGCCGTGATATACTCACCCCAAGGCATGCAAGCAAGCATGAGCCGCGACTTCAACGTTAGCGCCAAAGCCCTTTTCCACGTCATTTTCGGCGACAAAAGCGCCGTCTTCCAACTCCTGTACTGCAATCGCTGGGCTGACAAGACGGTACAAAGTCCTTGGGTCAAGAAAGCAGGCGATGGCGCGCATTGGACTCGGCAATTTAGCAGTGCTGAGCAAGCTACCCCGATGAGAGACGAGCAGAGAATTGATGTGTATAATGATCATCTGTGCTATGTCGTTACTAACACGAAGGTACCGTGGAAGCTGCCTTATAGTTCGAGGTTCACCCCAACGACGAAGATGGTCATTACGCATACGGCGAAGAGTAAGTGCAAATTTGCCATCTTTCAAGCCATGACTTGGACGCAAGCGCCTAGGTGGTTGTATGTGAGGCATTTGGTCGAGCAGCAGGCACTCAATAGTCTGGAAGCTGATGCGTTGGACCTGAGCAACGTGGCTATGGATCAAGTCGCCAAGCTGGGTCATCATAGCAAAACGAACCGCGCGATCGAGATCTTCGGCAGTGTAGGCCAGCAGACGGAAGCACAGCAGATCGACGCTGCCAGCATACCGAAGCTTGGGAACAGTCTGAGTGGAATGAAGTCCAGGGCTCCCAAACCTGTCAATCTTACACGATTGATTGTTGACGATGTTCTGCAGAAGATTTTGAGGAGTATTGGGTGGATGATGGATGTGGGAATGGCACTTTCGAAGAGCATGATTGGGGTCTTCACGGCGCATACACTGCTTATCGCCCTCCTTGCGTTCTCGGCGCTGTACAACAGCTGGTACGGCTACCGAGAAGGACTTACCTGGTGGCAAGACCGGAGTGCTGGGCGGTTCATGGCACGTGTGGGCGTGAAGCCTCAGCCAATGCTTAGCAGAGCGGTCTATCTTTCCGACATCAACGAGTTGATTGCTCAGCCGGAGCTACAGACGGTACTCAGAGCAGGAGGAAACGCTACAGCTATGGCGGCCGGCGCATATGATCGAGGAGATGGCAAGACCTGCCTTACGACTTTCACAGACCAGCTTACGTCATCGATTTCTCAGCCCTCCTCTGCATCGTCGCAAGGGAGCGTACGTCTGCATCATACCCGGGACTCCTTAGCACGATATCGACACGACCTGCTCGTTGCTTTGCGAGTGGTAAACCGTGTTGAGCGCGATGTGGTGGAAGCAGAATGGGAGGAGTACTTGTACACCGAAACGAAGAAGTGCATGAAAGTCGAGAAGATGGTCACAGGTTCTGACAAGAAGGGAAAGCAAAGCCAAGTCGACGTTGAGGGCGAGCTTGGAAAAGGGTTTATGGAATATTGCAATAGCTGCAGGAGCGATTTGGCAGGCATGAAGAAGAATGGCACAAATCTGTTGATATGATTCTGCATAGCGATTGCCGCGAGACTGCATCTTGAGCGTGTAAAGATACCCTTTTAGCGAGAAGACTGCATTTATGACAAGAAGGTTTTCCTGTTTCAAGCGGCCTCAGGCTTCACGAATTCCTGATTGCTACTTCGTCTCGGCCTTGCATAACCTCACATCCCTACTCAGCCTTGCACCTTATTACTCCGACCTCGCACAAGGCCGTGAAGTAGCCTCGTCGTCGACTTTTGCTTTGCGCGGTTCGCAATCGCCTTGCTACGCCCTATCCTGGTCGAAGCTTATATCGACCTAATGATCTGCTGCTGATAGCTTGGGTTCAGGACCGGTATCATGGATGAGAATAATGTGATGCCTGGTAACGTATGTGGGCGTTGTGAGGCCGCTTGTAGCCTTTGATGAGTAAAGTCTTTCCTGGGTTATGCCGAGAGCTGTGAGGCGGTACTAGGAGCCAAAGCTATCTACTATCGACGCAGATCTGCTTGGTGGTCCCAGAGGTGATCTTGTTGCAGCTCCTCTGCAGATACACCGAGTAAGCAATCCTTACTGCCTTCTCTCTGTCTCTCGGTAACCAGTGTTGAAGAAGAAGAAGAGTGTGAATCATGTGTGGCTACCTCTGGAGGTTCCTAACTGGACGTCCAAAGCCTCCTGACCGCACAGAGCGGACAGCATTATCGACACGGAACGAAGACTTCTCCTATCAGTCCGAGTCAAGAAGATGGAGGTACGAGCCTCCCCCAGAGTACAGACAACAACCATGCAACGACTTCTACATCGCAGCGGAGGCACCTACAAACACCACCAGGCTCAAAAGACGACCAGTACATCATGATATACGACAGTCATCTTCTCGAGTGCCGCCGCAGAAGCCGTCTTACGACGTTGAGATGTGGCGGCGACGAGTCTCGGCGAGCCATGGAGAGGGCTCTTCGCATGTCGGGTTTAGTGATTCATCCCCAGAAGCCAAAGCTGTCCATGGCGAGGCCTGGGTATATGGTAGTAAGATCGATCGTTCATTCGATCTTGCTTCTGCAGCGGCAACGATAGTGACATATGAACGGGAAACCTACAGTCCATCCAAGGCTCAAGTCAGTGCCGACCCGAGGGTGATCGGAACTAAAAGCTGTGCCGTATGTCTCGAAGATCTAGAGACGTCCCGATTCGTCAGCAGAGCTCTGCATGCTGGGACGAAGGAGAGCCACGGAGACGACTCATGCCTTAGCTGCTGGAAGAAGCACGTTCGCGTAGCCGTAGAAGGAAATAGTACTGATGTCCGCTGCGTCAAGAGTGGATGTAGAGAGGTGTTAACAGAGCAAGAAGTCAAACGTCGAGCTAGTCCGACGAGATATGCGCGGTAAGCATGGATCACGGATCTCGAAGATATATCACACCACATGCTGAGACCATGACAGATACCTAGACAACCTCACCCTCGCCACCCTCCGCTCCGACCCCCAATACCGCGAATGTCCCTCCGCCAGCTGCAAAAACGGCGTAATCCACGAAAGCGGCCACATCTTCCAATGCCAAGCCTGCGGATATCGCTACTGCACGTCCTGTGAGGTCCCGATGCACGAAGGCCAGACCTGCTCTCAGTATCGTTCGCGAAAGCAACGGGCGGGGAGAGATCGAGCGACGGAGTCGTGGCTCGAAAGGCATACCAAGGCTTGTCCGAGCTGTACGATTCATATCAAGAAGGATGGGGGGTGTGATCATATGACTTGTAGGTCCTCCGTAGGTCGAGATGTCTGGGTGTGCTGCGAGATCGAGCTGACGAAGATGAAGGTAGTACTTGCCGGCACGAGTTCTGCTGGCCATGTCTTGCTCCGTATGCTGGCGGTCACGGGATTCGGATGATTGGCAACACAGCTCATGGTGCCGGGTGCGCTTATCGGGCATGATCGGTGATATATCTTGCAGGCCGAGATGCCATTCGGTCACTTCCTAATGTAGTCTATGTATGACATCGTTGCGATTAGCGTTGCACAATCACTTGCTTGGAGAAGTTTAGACAAGTAGTGAAATGGTCCGAAGCAGGTGCTACAAGGATACTGTTAGTGCTTCTTGATGGTATACACATCGTCAGAAAGATCTATCCCATCTCCCGTAGCAGAGATACAAGGTCGCGGGACGAGTTGCCTCCCAGAGTGACAGTACTCTGCCTCACAACGCGTTGCGCAAGCCGATCAGTCCCTCCGCGACTCTACCCTTGACCACACTGCTCGTAAGCTCCGCCTCATCTTGATGCAGTCTTCGCTCGGGACTGCGTGGGTGGTCTCTGTAATATCGATGATCGCAACCAGAAAGCTCATCATCGGCTGATCGTAGGCGGTCTGTCGGTAGGAGATCTGGTGGCGAGCTGGGCAACGCCGGCCCATATATCATGCGGCTGCTGCACGCCGTTGGCAGTAATACTGGCGCTGGTAAGAGCTTGGGCACTGGAAGGCCTTGTGACGGCATTCGAGCTTGAGCTTCGCGTCGTAGTTCGGCGACTGCTTCCTCGACGGCCTTACTGCTCGCTCTGACTTCTTTGAGAGAACTCTCCACTTTTAGTTGGTGGAAGGGTATGTCGATCTGATTAGTCCGAACCTTGTATATCGCGACGCGTAGTCGCAGCTTGAGCATCTCAGACTTGGAAGTTGGTCTCATTGTCAGGTGGCTAGTCTGTGACGAAGGGTCGTAGTTGATAAGCGAGGAGAAGGACTTGCGGTCCCCGGACGAGTGCTGTCCGACCTCGCCATCGTCTGACGGTGTGTTGGGCTCGGTGGGTGAGAGCTCCTGGATGACTGGTACGTCAGCTGTATCCTACAGTAAGTCAGCGTCACGGTCCTCGACATCTGTGCTATCCTCATCTTACCAGGTCGACCTTCTGGAACGCTGCCTCCTCCACTGGGCGAAACCGCGTAGCCTCCCCAGTCTCTGCTGAACCAGCCTGGAACACCGAGTGCGTACTATTACGCGAGGTGGCAACATCACTGAGCACTTTGTCTCCCGACAATCGCCTGCTCTTCAGATACGTGAACCCCCCTTCATTCTCCACCATTGCAGTAAAGCTCCGTTTGAGGGGACTGCTCGCCATCGGCTTCTTTTTGAGCAAGGCTGCTATCGGAGCGACATCTTGAGCTGACTTGATGTTCGGTGACCGGTCTCCTAATGCCTGTCGTGGTGGCACAATAGTTGGAGGCAGTACGCTCGGCTTACCATTCCCGTAAGTCGTCTGGTTCTCGTCGTGAACCATGTGAGACGCCATGCTAATGGGTATAGATACAGTCGGGTCTGGATGAGGATGGTTGTACGCTCAACAACGAAGATATGATGTCGTCCGCGCAAGGTGATGTTGTGCGCATCAACATCTCAAGGCGCGTGTGTCTTGGTCGCGCGCAGCTTAGATAAGATAGAACTAGCGCATCTAGATTCCGCCACGATAACACGTGACTTGCGCCCTTTCGTGTTCAACATCAACATCACGACTCCATCTTCCTATGAATCCAATGCAAAGGTCTACATTTCTACCTCCATTGTCGAGCAGGTGGAAAAGCTGCGTGTCTCCGTGGTCACAACGTCGTCAATCACCTTCACAATTCTCATACTGACAATAACAAGACAACCAGATCTAGTGTACTTTCAAGAGCGGAAGTAGATTCTCACATTCTCCATGAGGCTGATCAATATTGACACTCTTGCCTTCGAGGAGTACTACGATGCGCAGACTCCTCCATACGCTATACTATCACACCGCTGGGCCCATGGCGAGATCACGTTCTCGGATTTTCGTAAGGCTCGGCGGAAGGATAGCTCGGGCTACTGGAAGGTAGCACGTCTGATTGATGCCACACGCCGGTACAATACCTGGGTTCGAGACTTGGCTGAGGAGGTTGAAAGCCAGAACAGCTTCGTTGCAAGTGGCCCGATTCTCATGATACAGCATGTATGGATCGACACTTGCTGCATCGACAAGCGTAGCAGCGCAGACCTGTCCGAGGCGATCAATTCCATGTTTCAGTGGTATGCTAACGCCAGCATCTGCTTTGTCCACTTGCACGATCTGCACACCAGCAACTCTACACCAACCCGACCTTCTCACCAACAACTTGCGAGAAGTGTCTGGTTCGGTCGTGGCTGGACTCTACAGGAACTCCTCGCCCCGCGACGAATACTATTCTGCACTGCCGATTGGCAATTCGCCTATCACAAGTGCAATGGCGATGAGTGTGACCAACTGCCGCATACGGCACACATTAATCAGGAGTTAGCTGATGCGACCGGGATTCAATGTCGCAGCCTCTATCATCTGAATCTCGACTCGTTATCCGCCGCCCAAATCTTCAGTTGGGTATCTCGGCGGCAGACCACGCGGATAGAGGATCTGTCGTACTGTCTTATAGGGCTCCTTCAAGTCAACATGCCCTTGTTATATGGCGAGGGACCGAGGGCGTTTCTTCGACTGCAGGAAGAAGTTCTTAGAACGAAGAAGGACGAGACCATATTCGTGCACACGGACAATCGTTTGCTAGGGGGGCATCCACTGAGTTACGCGCGGTCAACAGACGTCCTATGCCGTCTACCATCTCGAAGTGAGCCTCTTACTATCAGCCAGAACACGCTCCAACTTACAGCGCCGGCCATGTCTGTTAGCGTGCCAGACCGAGGACTCCTCGAATTCTGGATCATACCACTACACTGCACGAGCGACGAACCCAGCAAGACGCTCGGTCGATTTGCAATACTCGTCAGTCGCGACATCGAGCCCGTGGGCACAACATATCGTATAGTGAACGATTTTCGTCTGCGAGAACCACCAACCGATATCGTGGGATACCGGTTGTGCCACAATGGATCGGAACGAACCCGCTACGAAGTCTGGTCAGACGCGCATACAGACCTACGGATCACAACGACTAGACGCATGACTTGTGGCACCTTCTTGATAGATGTATGAGATCAAACGACCAACTGATAGCACTACGCCGTCCGAACAGATCTGTCGCACTAGATTGCCGAACAGTGATCGAATATGGGACGCGGTCAATTGGAGCAGTGATCGAATATGGGACGCGGTCAATTGGAGCAATCCCGTGGATACAGAGCGGTATTGGTGATTCGGGTCTTGACCGTTCTCCTAACAAACACTTTGCCAACGACTGGCAATGTCGATACTCCCTTCCGCGTACGAGCATGATTGGAAAGGGATGGTATCGAGACGAGATGCGCGATAGAAGGCTGAATAGGCAACATCGTTCAACCAAGCAGACCTTGTAAGACAAGCTAATACACCGAACAGTAAGATGTACAGCTTTGATTGAGATGATCGGGATACTCATCCGGGTAACAAGCTATCTATGGTGTTGGTTTAGGTATGGTATGATATCGGACGCACGACAACCGCACACTCGTGGCTATCGGTGCGCTGACTTATGTTGCAGATCCAAATTGCTCATTTCTACAGGAGAAGCAAATGAACCATCATATCAGTCCGTCCCGAGATGGTGGCTCCTCGCAGGCTTGATGCGGCATCAATCATCAAACAAATCCTCCTCCTTGTAAACATTCTCCGCATCCCTCGGATCATGCTTATTCACCCAACTAGTATACTCATCGAAATCCTGAATCGCCCGCTCCGTCGGCACGGTCAGCGGCGCAAATGACACCCCCCTCTTGGCGAAATCCTCCAGTCTCGCCTTCGTCCTCTCCCGCGTCTTGTTAACACTATAGATACTTATCCTATGCGCCGAAGAAGTGACGTGCAGACCCCAATTCCACGCTGCCCGGACGTTCAACGGCTGCGTGTTAAGGCTGTTGTCCCAGCAGCGACAGACGATTTCAATCCAGCCTTCGACTTGGCATGGGAGGTCGATCTCCCATGTTCGCCAGGCGAATTTGCGCTTCGGACTCATGTCGGCGATGTCGCAGGCGTACCAGGAGAAGCCACCATCAGCGCTGAGTTCGACTCGTTCGGGCCAACGTCCACCACCGCTGTATGCCCAGCCTTTGCAGTGGATGCTGCCGTTGTGGATGACGATTTGTTTCGTCCAGGGCATCATGATCGCGGAGCTGACGGGCATTTCTTGGATTTGAATGCCATCTGTCATGCGCTGGTTGTGCTTGCCGACTTGTTGATTGAAGTATAGATACTCCTGACTCTGCACAGGTGCTGGCGAGGGGTTGGGCCCGATGGCTTTGATTCTGTACAACCATTTGCAGCTGCGGGCGCCGATGTAACCCATCACTACTATGCGGAGAGGATAGCCGTGGATGCGAGGTAGTGGTTCGCCATTCATTTCCCAAGCTAGCATGACTTCGTTGGCCTTTACTTTCGACCAGGGCACGCTGACTAGGTAGTTATGGACCTGGTTCTTCTTGAAGTAGGTGTCGGCGCCATAGAATTCAAGGTGATTGCCTTGGTAGACCAAGCCGCCGCAGGCTTTGATGACTTTCTTCAGACTGACGCCGACGTATTTGGCTGTTCCTATAGCGCCTACGATTTGGTTAGCAAGAGGTGTGCGGGCATTGAGTGGGTTGCACTCGACTTACCTTCGGCCCATGGAGCATTGATCATCTCGTCGCCTTCGCCAGAGTATTGATTGATCTGCTCAATGCGGCGAGTGCCGGAGCACTGTATCGTGACGGTCTGCTCCATGCGTGGATACTTGCTCTCGTCCATCAGATCGTCTAGGGTGAATCGCTTAGTTTCTTTGACCAGGCCATCCAGATCGAAGTAATACTTATCCTTGTCGATCACTGGTATACCACCATGATTGCGCACAAAGTGGAGTGAGTTCGGCATGATGTCTTTGGCTGTGACGAGACGCTTTGGTGCTGTAGAGAGTCAGTGTTTGTAGAAGTGGCCCAGCATGCAGATCTTGAGACTGCCATACCTTCCCCGTTGTATGGAAACTAGACGATTGTCAGATCTCGTAGGTCATGAGGTGTTCAATGGCAGACCCAAACTCACTTCTAGCAGATGAAGCATCTCCTCATGCTTCTCCTTCTTCACAATATCCCACGATATGGCCGGTATGTCTGTCAATGGTCCTCCCACAGCAGAATGCCACTGCTTCCATCGAACTCCCTCTAGCACTGGATTGGTGCCTGGTATCGGCCCAAGCTGAAATTCCGGAGGTGGTGGGAACTGCAAGCATACGTCAGGATCACCACAATATCCATCACATGGTCATGATCGACGCCTGCCTACATTTTGACTCTCCATTATTTTCGCCGCCTTCGCCTTCTTCTCAGGATATGCCTCCCACTCGATGTACCCCTTCCATCCCTCCCTTTCCTCCTTAAACAACTCCTCGGGATTCCCGACTGCTCTTATAGCACGTTCATCCTTCCACGGCTCGTACTCCATGGGCTTCACATAACGTATCTGATCACCAGACTGGTCGAGGATGGGCAGGCTGGCAGCATGGAGACCTTGTTCGATCTTCCATTCGTCTGGTCTGTTCTTTTGCTCTTCCTGTTCGGTGCGAGTGCGGCCGAGTGGGAGCTCGACTGAGCCATTGCTGTTGGTGTCGCCGGCTGCCATTGCTGGTCGCTGCCGCCTGGAATAGAACTGTGGCCTGTGAGACGAAACGGTGGCGTGTGCAGGAGATTGTACGGTGTAGGGTAGGAGAGTAGTTAGGACGGGGAGGGGGGGATAGATTATGAACTGCCGTAGCAACAACCTGATACTATACCATACAAGCCCATCGTGAAGTGCCGGGCACCATGCGCAGAACCTGCATGGGTCTATCATGCATGAATACTGAGACTCGCTTGTTAGATCCTCGTCTCCCTGTCCAATAGCAACATATGCCGCAAGGAACGACATGGGCGAGGTCGATGGGATGAGCAGGCTTGCCGGACTGATTGCGGCCGGCGTGAGATGGAAGAGTGAAAGTGACATGCCTTTATCGTCATGATGCTTTTTTGGAGAATTGCCGGACTTCACCGCGATCAGGACTCGGCTCCGGACGACATCTCGTTTCGTCGTGTCTGCATGACCAGAGAAAGCTGCCTCTTATTAAAGTCTCATGCTTATTACAGTCTCATGTCAACACAACGTAAGCATTGCCTCTTGTCAACGCGAAAATGACAGCATATCAAGTCAACAATGCAATGCAACGCAATGCAAATGTAAGTTTGTTGCCCACATCCTGATGATGATACCCCAATCACGACCAGCCAGATTACGCTCGTATGAATAAGAACAACAAATCCGAAATGCCAAGGAGACGGAGACAAAGGCTCTTGCTAGATACAGCTGTAGGAGAATCAAGGAGCTGTAGACTTGCGACGTGGTTGGCGTGGTCGGTTGACAGCAGTAGTATACATCTATCCTACACGTATAGGTACAAACAATACCCAGGGTATAACACAAAAATCACAACACCCGCCGGATACCGCCAGTCTATCCCTCCTCCCCTTCCCCCTCCCCCTCCTTAGGCACAATCTCAAACACCAACCCCCCCTTCTCCCTCCCCAGCGCATCACTCATCCTAACCCGATACTTTCCCTGATCCCACAAATCTTTAATCGTCAACTCCCTCGTCCTGCCCAAACTCTCAATATCCCCAATCCTTTCCAACGTAGCATCCAAAAACTCACCGAACCCAGGCTCGCCCACGATCTCGCGGAAAGCATTCATCATCGGCACGCTGTCCGCCCGGACCATGGCATTACTGTCAATAGTAAACACATTAATCGAATCATAACTCTGGATGAAGTCCGCCCGGGTCATGACTTGTCGGGCCTTATGCAACGGCATTTGAGGCAAAATATGGCCCTTAACCGGATCATACCGCGTCTCCATCTCCGTCTCCATCTCCACCAACGCTTTGGCCAAGACCATAGCAGCTGAAGCGTATTTTTGCTGATCCATGACATCGTCATCCATTTCCATGCCCAAAATCCAGCATTGGTTCAGAAACCACGTCTTCTCCATGCGACAAATCTCGGCGCACGTCTGGAGCATATCGTGGCTCTTCGCCACGCGGGAGAGGAAGGAGAGGCGGCCGCCGACCATATCGTAGACCTGTTCCAGAATCTTGGAGTCCGGGATTTCATTCTTATATTTACTTCGATAATTCCGCAACGCCTCCAGCGCGCGCGGTTTGCTGAGATCCAAGATCTTGATGATGTTCATACGGGTGGCGTACTGCTTCAGGCGCTCATAGACCCAATAGTCGTCGCTGTTGAAGATGGTGGTGACGAGACTCCCTGCCGCCCAGGCCTCGGCGCGCTGTTGTAGGAGTTCGAGGAGGTCGCGACCAGCTTCGTCGTCGCGGAGGAGGTGGGTGGAGTTTATGATGAGGATCAATGGTCTTCCGATAGCGTTGCGGCGTTTCAGCGCTACTTTCTCCAGTTTATTGAAAGCTCGTTCCACATCCAGAAGCGCACTAGCATCTCGTGGACCGCGAATGGAGAAGAGAGAACCGATATTGTCCTCATGGAACTCGAAATCCAGCGCCTTACCCAGCCGTATCCGGAAAATCTCCGGATCAGCATGCGCCTCCAACATCGCCACCCCTTCCCCATCAATCTTCGCCATGGCATCAATCAGCATGCTGCTTTTCCCCGTCCCCTTTTCGCCAACCAGAAGATGATACTGGCCCTTGGCCTGCCCACACACAATGGCATCCAGCAATTCCTGTTCCTCCCGCAACACCCAATGCTGGCGATGTCCCTCATCGTCTACAAGTTCCTCGCCTCCAGACGGGGTCCCCTGTTTCGCTACAGCAGCGAGATCTAAGACGGGATCGCCGGGTGCGAAGGCGTGTTCGATTTTGGCCAGGACTTGGCGTTTGTAGTAGATTGTGTAGCTGTAGCCTACGACTCCTAGGATGCCGACCGAGGCGAAGGTTGTCAGGGCGGCTTCGAACATTTTGAAGGCTGTAGGGCCGAAACTAAAGGGTTCCTGTTTGCCGTCCTTGTTCTTTTTGGGGCCGTCCGGTTCATCAGGGGGCGCAGGGAGAGCATCCGAGGGCGTGACGGGGAGGTTGTAATTTGTTCGGATTATTGTGTGATGTGGGTTAGATATGACCAGTGGAGGAATGGGTATCCTAGGTCGTGTGGTATAGATGTGTACATGGTTCGGCCTTAGGAGGTGGCGTAGAGCAGTGAACGAGCGTGGATGGGCCATGGTGGTCCGGGATGGGGATGGGAGACTTTAGCAAGATTTACATCTTTCACCATTCAGATCGTCATGTCATCACGAAGGGACTGAACCAGTCATTGCTGAATGTGATAGACAAGATTAAGGTGTAACGGAATAGTTGACCTCGTTGGCGCAAGCGCTGGAGAAATCGCGAGTCGCCAGTCGCGAAGAAGACGGGAAGTCAATGTTGCTTGCTGCGGGCCGTGGCTTCATCTTGGCGGTATAAATGTTGCGGAGATGATGGACGAGGATTCTTACTCTTGCTTCGAGCTTTCATACCATGATTGTTCAGAAGGCACTATTTTGATGCTTTACCGTTGGTTCAATCAATATCAATAATGATTGGAAGGCTGCTTGTAACATGATAATGCCGACACGGGTAGGCGGAGATGATTGACAGGACAGGGCTGCGGCGAAACACGGAAGAGGTCCAGGGCGCATGGACTTTGATGCATCCCGTCAGTGCTGGAGGAAAAGTCAAAGTGGACCAGCATTATTCACTCCCTCCCTCTTTCGTTAATAAACAGATAGACTTGTACATTACATTGAGGATTTCTCGTGTTGTATTATACCCCATTTGAGGAATTGCTTCATCACCTTCATTCTTCCTTTCGTTGATTGAGATAAGTGTGTTGTGTTGCTGTGTGTACGATTGATAGATTCGAGCGGACTGGGATTGAGGAGCTTTGAGTATGGCCGAGAGTAAGTTGATGATCCATTAGCAGGATTGGAGGAGATGCCATTAGTGGATTGGATCGATGGACAGAACTCGAGGCAATTGGCTAATGATTAACAGCATCGACGAACTCGAAGCCATCAACAACCAACGGCACCGAAGACACCACCACGACCACGAATGGGCACGCGACCTCCGACGCCTTGACTAATGGCACCTCCGACGATGCATCAAAGGAAACGGGCGAGACAGACGATGCAACTCAAGCCGTAGACAACGTCCTCAAGCTCCGCGTCGACCTCCCCACCCACGAACATGTCGACATCATCGTCTCCAGTCAAGAGCAGGTGCAGGAGATCCGGCAGTCCATTGTTGACCAACCGCATACTTTTCAATACTCCTGCTTCCACCTCGAGTATCAGGGCAAGCGCATCAATGACTTTGTCGAGCTGGCCGAGGTGGAAGGGATTGTCAAGGATACCGAGCCCGTGCTGAAATTAGTCGAGGACGCATATACCGAGGCTCAGGCGCGGATGCACGTGGTGAGGGTGAGGGAACTGATCGGTGCGGCGGGTAATCGCGTCGATTATGTCTCTGGCATTGATGCGGGGACGAGTCTGTGCGAGGATGTGGAGATGGCTGCTGGTGATAATAATAATACAGGTGGGAAGGACGACAGTAGCCCCGTGGCTCACTACGATCTCAATGCGCCTGCACCCATCTCCGCACTACTTCCTCGACAGCGAGAGGCGGCGCCGAAGACGGTCAAGAGCATATCCCTGTCCGCATGGAATCCTCCTCCTTACCACCATCGCATGCGAGGACATCTGCTCTATCTGGTAGTCACTACACTCGAAGGCGACCAGCACTACATCACCTCCCACATCACCGGTTTCTACGTCAACCGATCAACAAACGCCAAGTTCGACCCGGAGCCTCGACAGATGTCCAAGACGTCACGTGCACATTCGCTCATCACTCTCCTCTCCGAGATCTCCGACAAATTCGCCGGCCAATTCGTGCGATTACAAGAGTACAACGGCCAACGCGACCCCCTAGCCTCCTACGCCCTCTCAAATAGCATCCCCGCCGCCCCCTGGCTCGTCTCCCCAACCTCAATGCAGCATCACCAACCCGACGCCACGCGACCTCAAGAACCATACCTCCTCGCCGGCGCCGACAACGCCGAGACCCTCCGAGACTGGAACGAGGAATTCCAATCCACCCGCGAACTCCCGAAAGAGACGGTGCAAGATCGTGTCTTCAGGGAGAGATTGACAAGCAAGCTCTTCGCCGAATACAACGAGGCTGCCGTCCGAGGAGCTGTCCTAGTCGGCCGCGGCGAAGTGCAACCACTCAACCCGACCGAAGCAAGAGATGCCCAGATCTTCGTCTACAACAACGTCTTCTACTCCTTCGGCGCCGACGGCGTAGGTACATTCGCCAGCGATGGCGGAGACGAGGCCGCGCGTGTAGCGACGGGGAAAGATGTCCAGGGCGTCAAAGCCGTGAACCAGCTCGATATCACTGGTCTCTTCACCCCGGGTACAGTCGTAGTAGACTATCTCGGCAAGCGCATCGTAGGCCAGTCCATCGTCCCCGGCATCTTCAAGCAACGAGACCCGGGTGAACACCAGATCGACTATGGAGGGGTAGAGGGCAAGGACGTGATCGCCACACACGAGGGTTTCGCCAACCCGTTCGCCGAGCTGAGCAAAGCGATGCGAGTCAAGAGACACGCGGTCTGGGACAAAGAGGTCAAGAGACATGAGTTGGAAGCTAGTGTGGAGACAAAAGGGTTGTTGGGCACGGATGGGCGGAAGTATGTGCTCGATTTGTATCGGGTCACGCCGTTGGATGTCAAGTGGTTGGAGGAGCATCGGGGGACGGAGCAGATTGAGGAGGGGAGGTATCCGCATCGGATGGCCGTGCTGAGGGCGGAGTTGGTGGATTCGTGGAGGATTGCGAAGTTGAGGGAGTTTATTTCGGGGGAGCTGGAGCGGAAGAGAGGGGAGAAGGAGAAGGCGAATGATGAGACTGAGAAGCTAACGAATGGCAAGGGTGAGAAGCATGAGGAGACGGATAGTGAGCAGGCGGAGAAGAAGCAGAGCAATGGCGAGGTTGAGGAGAAGAAGGAGAGCAATGGTGAGAACGAGGAGAAGAAGGAGGCTGGCAAACAGCAAGAGACTGTCGACGTCTCTGGCTTCTCCTTCTCGCTAAACCCAGACGTCTTCTCCGGCCAGCAACCACAAACAGAGGAGGAGAAGGCTGAGATGGACAAAGACGAGGCTGATGTCCGTGCCGTGTGCGCTTACCTCGCCGACGACGTGATTCCTCGCCTCGTCCGCGACATCCAAGAAGGCGAAGTCGGCTTCCCAATGGACGGCCAGAATCTGGTCCGCGACATGCACAAGCGTGGTATCAATGCACGCTACCTTGGTGTGCTTGCCCAGAAGGCCAAAGATCTACCTGCTGCGAGTGAGGAGCAGAAGGACGATAAGAGGTTGCAGCTTTTGGTGCAGTTGGCGCAGCAGGAGATGGTCGCGAGGGCTTTCAAGCATGTTTGCGTCAAATTTCTGCGATCGTTGCCGGCGTGCTTTGCGCAGAATTGCATTGCTCATTTGTTGAACTGCTTGCTTGGGGCTGAGTTGAATGGAAGCCCGAAGCCGGAGATTGATGAGGCGATGAAGGCGATGTATAACGAGGCGGATTTTGAATTTCTGGATGTGACGCCCGAGAAGCTGGCGGCGGAGATACAGAGACAGGTGGCGTTGAGGTTCAGGTATGAAGTTGGGAAGGAGATCGTGCCGGCTGGGAAGCATCTACAGATGTTGCGGGAGGTGTGCTTGAAACTTGGTTTCCAGCTCGAAGCCAAGGATTACCAGTTCGGTAAGGATGCCGTGCCATCGCAGCCACTGCAGCAGAAGGCGTCCGCCGAATCCCTCGAGGTGCCGCAGACGAACGGCGTGCACCCTCCCACTGAAGGAGGTAACAAGAAGAAGAAGAAGAAGCTGCAGGCCGAGCACTCTCCCAATCGTGCAGCTTCTGCCTCTCCGACAGCACCAACTACCACCTTCCAGCCGGAGAATATCCTCAACGTCGTGCCGATAGTCAAAGAGGCTTCGCCGCGCAGTATGTTAGCCGAAGAAGCGCTCGACGCTGGCAGGATGAGCATCCAACAGGACCAGAAAGAACTAGGGCAGGAACTACTCCTGGAGAGTTTGAGCTTGCATGAGCAGATCTATGGGATTTTGCACCCAGAGGTCGCAAGGGTGTACTACGCGCTTTCGACGCTATACTACGGACTAGAAGAGAAGAACGCCGCTGTGGAACTGGCGAAGAAAGCCGTCATAGTCTCCGAGAGGACATTGGGAGTGGATAATGCGGAGACGATACTGGCGTATCTGAACTTAAGTCTAATGGAGCACGCAACAGGCAACACCAAGAACGCCCTCGCATTAGTACGACATGCGCTGGATTTGTGGAAACTCGTCTATGGACCCCACCACCCGGACTCGATAACAACCCTAAACAACGCAGCAGTAATGCTGCAGACGCTGAAACAATTCCCCGAAAGCCGGAAGTGGTTCCAATCTTCCCTCGAAATCTGCACAGACGTCGCGGGCAAGAACAGCGTCAACACCGCTACCCTACTCTTCCAGTACGCGCAAGCGCTTGCCCTGGATCACGATCCCCGGCAGGCGGTGGAGAGGATGCGGGAGAGTTATTTGGTCTTCCGGGATTTGTTGGGCGCGGAGAACCAGAATACCAAGGAAGCTGGGGCTTGGCTTGATACGCTGGCTCGATCGGCGGTGAATCAGGAGAAGGCTGCTAAGGAGGCTTCGAACCTTTTGAATTCCGGGACGGGGAGGCAGAGGATGCTGTTACGTGGAGCTGGTGGGAGTACCGGAGGACGGCTCGGGGTGGGCTCCACGACGGGGAAGAATGGAGTTCATGGTTCTGCTTCTGGACAGAGTGCTGAGGCGCAGGTTCAGGCGCATGCGAGAGCGACGTCTTCGGGCGGGTTGGATCAGAGGTCTTTGGATGAGTTGGTGAAATATGTTAATGGGAGTGCGGAGCAGCAGGGGCGGACGACGCCGAAGAAGAAGGTCGTGGGGAATCCCAAGAGGAGGCAGCAGAGGGCTGAGTAAGAGAGAGAGAGTCTGTGGTGTGCTGTTCTGTTTGCAGTTCGGAATTGGAATGTGACATGGTGGACGTGCTGGGGAGGAGGCGATGTCCTGATAATTTTGGACGTGGGTATCTGGCCGATTCGTTGCTCTGGAAAAGAGGCGATCGTGGATGAGTGAAAAGGCGAGATGCATAGCATGGTCGGGGTCTTTTCTCCTAGTCGGCACGGAGTGAAAAGCGTGTCATGGTTTGGCTTGGCTTTGTTCTGAACAATGTATAAATGCGGACTTCACCACTCACATAGCAAGCAGGCAGGCAGGCAGGCAGGCAGGCGTGGTCATTGTAGAGTTTTGTAACATATGTACACTATCCTGCTCAGATGGTGCCATGTTGCTTTTGGAAGGATTATTTCGCTCTCGACATACCAGCTTTCCGCAATGGTATGGACCGTATGGTAGCTAGCTGTCTGACTTGCACGGCCGTCTATGCAGGAGTAGCATTATCATGCCGCAAGGTAGGGCTTGAAGTATGACCAGAAAGCTTGTTGAGCCGAGCAATGGTTTCACGGCTTCTTGCGGCTCAATCACGCTCTAACCACATTCAGTCTGCCTTCTTTCGCCGACGTCTCCACCCAAACACGACAGCTGCAGTTCGGCAGTAAGTTTATCTTTGGGACGCAAGGAATACATCTCATCTGTCAGACTCCTGTTATTTGATTGACTATCCTCTTCTCCTTTACATCTCCTTGTTTCTCTCGACTTTACAGAACCCGATAAGCTGCCCCATACACTTTACATCTGATTGTTCGAGTGCGTTCAGACCCATCAGCTCAATCAAGCAGGTACGACAGAAGCTTGTGCCGAACAATCGGTGCAGGTGGCTTGACCACAATCTTGCAGCACCCTTCGCACACATTGCAAAATCAGCTCGAGACAGCCCCTACAGCGACTCAGACCAGGCAGACCGATCATGGCAACGATCCCTCTCGGCTTGTATCTCTGGAAGAGGATCCACCAATGCGGCATCAATCACATCTTCGGTGTACCGGGAGACTTCAATCTGGTATGCTCCAGTCACTCTAATGCCTGTCCCACTTCAGATTGGCTAGCTGACATCCTTTCAACAACAGACCTTGCTCGACTACATTTATGATGTCGAAGGACTAGAATGGGTTGGCAACACCAACGAGTACGATATCAAGAAGCACTTCTATAACAGGACATTCACTGACACGTTCGCAGACTCAACGCTGCATATGCTACCGACGGCTATGCTCGTACATCTGAGAACGCTGGGTGCTTCGTCACAACTCATGGCGTCGGCGAGCTTTCTGCTCTTAACGGTGTAGCTGGATCGATGACCGAACAAGTCAAGGTCATTCACGTCGTTGGTCAGACTTCACGCCAGATGCAAAAGAACAACATGATGATCCATCATTCCATCGGCTTCAATCCAGATCACCAAGTCTTCAACAAAGCATCCAAGGACTTCCGAGTCGCTGCAGCCGAGCTTCAAAGCGAAAAGGGCGCGACTGAGGAGATCGATCGTGTGCTGCGGGAGTGCTGGGTTCAGTCAAAGCCAGTCTACATCTTCTTTCCCATCGATCTGGTCGATCTCCATGTCTCGGCATCCGCGCTGGACAGGCCTCTAGATCTGACGCCGAGCGCTGACCAGAGCAAGATCGACGAAGCAGTCAACGCTAGCTTAGAAGCACTTTATGCAAGTCAGAATCCAGCCTTGTATGTCGACTGCCTGGTTCAGCGACATCAAGCAACCGACGAAATGCGCGAGCTAGCAGATAAGCTATCGATCCCGACCTTCCACTCCAACATGGGAAAAGGCATCGTCGACCAACGGAAACCATATCTCGTGGGCTGGTACAACGGCCACGTCTCACCACCCGGCGTTCAAGCAGCTTTCGAGCAGAGTGACTTCCTGTTCGTTGCTGGCAACCTCCCATCCGACACCAACTCCGGCGGCTTCACACGCAAACTCACTCCAGCAAAATCCTGCTCCATTGACCCCGAAAGCGTAACTATCAAGGGCAAAGAGTACCCCGGCGTACCTATCAAAGCCTTTCTCCGCTCCTTCATCAGATCCCTTGATCAGAACAAACTCCCCAAAGCCACTCTTCCTCGCCTTCCCTCGCCAGAACCAGAAACCGACGCGGACTCCAAAGCGATTACTCAATCCTGGGTCTGGCAACGCATAGCCGATTCTCTCCACGCTAACGACGTAATCTTCGGCGAGACCGGTACCGCCGCCTTCGGAATTCCAGATACCGTCAACTGGCCCGAAAACGTAACCTGGATAACGCAGACCTACTACGGTTCGATCGGGTATGCCACGCCTGCCGCCTTTGGCGCAGAGATCGCTCTTCGAAATCGACCTGAAGCGAAGCAGGCGGGAGGAAGAACAGTCCTAGTAACAGGCGACGGAAGTATGATGCTCACCGTGCAAGAAATAGGCAACATGGTGAAACACAACCTCGCTCCCATAATCATCATAATAAACAACAGCGGCTACACCATCGAACGGATAATCCACGGTGCTCGGCAAAGCTACAACGATATCGTGCCCTTCGACTACGCACACCTCCTTCCCTTCTTCAACATGCCTGCCGAAGAAGCGAAGAAGAATTTCCATAGGGCGACTACGAAGGTGGAGTTGGAGGATGTGTTGAAGAAGGAGGAGTTGGTAAGGCCGAAGGTGCTGCAGGTCGTGGAGGTGGTGATGGATATGATGGATGTGCCTTGGGGTTTACCGACGCAGTTGGCGATTAGGGGACCAGAGGTGGTGAAGGAGATGCGGGAGGCGGGGTTTAAGTTGCCGAGGGGAATGCAGAAGCAGGAGGCGTAGAGGGATCTATGGATGATGGAGAGGAGCAAGGCAGGTGGTTTATGCGATGTGTGTGTCTCTCTCTATGCTTAGGCTGGCGTCTCGGGCGTGTATCTAGTCTAGCTGGACTCAGGATCGGTATGATGTATACGCGGAACACGAATAGAAAAGAACTCATCAGGTCATTCGCAGCGTTCCATCCACCATGCGTCAACCACCAGCAATCACCTCCCTAAACCGTCCACCCAACAACTCCACCGTCCTCCCCGCCTCCGGCACCTCCACCCCATCCCTCCCAATAGCCTTCTCCGCCTGCTCTTCTGTAACGAACCCAGCATCGTTCCCCTCGATATCTTTCCTCGCCTCCTCCTTCACACTCTTACTCCCACCATACCTCACCTTTCCCTTCGCCTTGCCAGGAGTAACAACCGTGGAATCGAGAAGTTGTTGCCAGCGGGCGAGATAGGCTCCAGGACCGTAGGGTGTGCTGCCGGAGCGTTTGATGACGGATGCGATGCGAGTGGCGGAGGCGGCGTGTAGATCATCTAGGTATTTGGACCAGGCGTCTAACTCTGCCAGGACTTCGTTTTGTTCGGATGAGATTAAGTTGATGAAGGCGGATGCCAGGGCTGGCTGTATACCGCCCGCAGCGATCTTGTCCGGGACCACGGCGTCGGTTTTGGGTGGAGTTTCATCGACTTTGAACTGTGCTGCTGCCATGTGCACGTATTCCATCCACCACCCCATAACCTCCTTCCCATTCTTCGCCACCTGATGCAGGAATTTATGACTACTAGCCTGATGCCGATGCAGCAGATCAACATAATCCTCCACACTCGGCGGCTTCTCCTCACCCTTATTACCACTAGGCTTGGACATCTTCAACATATCCGTCAAGAACCGCTCAAAATCCCACACGGTATCCGAGAGGTTAACAGCTTGGTGGACGTGACGGATCATGGGCGTATAAGCATCCACGCCATCTCGTACACCAGCAGATAAATGATCCGGGTTCCTATGGCACATTACCCGGATAATTTCCTGTCGATCCCTGACACCGAGTTGGAAGGCAAGATACTCGAGTGCTTTGGCATGCTGATCCTCTTTCATTTCGATAGAATGGGAGGAAGTAGCCATGATGACGGCGACGATGGACATATTCTGGTCTCGACTCTGCCGCCGACATTCCTCGTGTTCGGCTCGTGAGCGGTCGGAGATCCAGGAGCGGAGTTCGGTGAGGACTTCTTTGGGTGGGCCGGATTTGTCCTTTTCGATTTTCTCGGCGCGTTTTTTGAGCTCCCGTTTGTCCCAGGAGAGGACTTGGGAGATGATTCTAGTGAGTGATTAGTTCGGGACATCTCACTCTTGTATTAGATGGGAAGGTGATAGGACTCACTGCTGCAGCAAATTCATGCCTTCGTCCGCGCCGCTCGTTAAGCCCATCCAGTTCGTGACAGTGCTGACGCTTGCTTTGGCCAATACCACTCTCATCATGGCGCTGATCATAGTCGCCACATTGCCGATCTTGAGAGTCTGTCTGATAATTGTGTACGGCAGCATACCGTGGACGCTAGAGATCATGCGTAGGAGTGTCGGTCCTTCTGGCGATAGCACAAGTGTGTAGTGCATCAATGAGGCAAGACTGATCCTGCTGTCAGCACTATCCACTCACGCACTCCATCGTGAAAGGGCAAGCATACCTACTTTACAACAACAAACTCATGCATAGCCTGCACCAAACTCGGATGCTTGGTCAGATCGTCCGTCTCTGCAGCCTTGGCGAACAGAACATCGATCAAATCCCCATACACCATCTCCTGCAGTGCATCATGCCAACTCCTCATCACATCATCCGGATTACTTGTATCATACTTCTTATTCCTCTCCCTATCCTTCTTCTCTGGCACGCCACCCAGTGTTCCTCTAGCAGGATACTCGATCAGAGCACTGATTGCCGTGGCTAGAGTCTTTCGTACACCCAGTATACCCTTGTCATAGCTCTCGCTTAGTTCTGCCTGGGCGAGCTCGTCTATGAGGTCTGCTATCCGTGTCTTCCAGAAGTCCGGGCTCACGTCTCGTAGGCCTGGCAGCTTGAGGACGAATTTGCTGAGGAGTGCTTGTAGGATTGGCGAGTCGGAGGTGGTGAGGTCGTCTTGGAAGGGAGGCCCATATTGTTTGATAGCACCTGGTTGTCTGAAGTCTGAGATTTCTTGGTAGGTTTCGTGGTGGGTGAGGATGTCGAAGAGGGCATGCTGTTGGGTGGCCGTTAGGCTTGCTGTGTCTGCCATGGTCTCGATATAGGTAAGTATAGTATTCGATCAGTCCATTGCATCCAGTCTGCACGTTAGACAGCAATATGATTTTCAAGAGCGAGTCGGCTACTGGAACAACTGTTCATCTGTCCATCTGTCCATCAAATAGATATTCACCACATGTAAACATGACGTAAGGGTGGGCACGAGCCACAGGCCATATCGATTGGGAAGGAACAGAAACTCTTATTGTTTCCAGGCAAGCAGTCTACGACTACCAAAGACCCCTAATACTAGGTACTAAATGATGCCGTGGAAGACTCTGCAACACTGCCATTACGATGACTTCTCTTCATAACAGTGTACATGCCAGCGCATCAACCGCGACCGACAAGGCTGGCGGCGATGAGGCCGCCTTTCTCACATGTGCCGCATGCGCCTCTGATCAGACCACCAATCATGATGCGCATCACTGTGGTGCTCAGCCCCGTTCTTGATATTATGAAGGTATCGTGAACCTCCATGTCTGCTTCTTTTCTGCGCGCATGACAGAAGCTTGACCACTGGCGAGACTTGCAACCACGCCTGGTCACCTGACGGCTTTACCAAATCGGTCTCGCGAAAGACACTGAGACACTATATCTTAGCCACTGCGGACTTCACTATCTTCGACACCCCAGCTTCGGACCCTCCTCAAGAGTGCCCGCCCGCAGTCATGGATCCCGGAACTGCTCTGAGCGTGGCCAGCCTGGTCTTGCAAGTATCCCAAGGCCTATATAACTACTACCAGGTCTGGAAAGGTTGCGAAAAGGACGTCAAAGACCTCCGCACCAGACTCATATGGCTCAGTATAGCTGCAGACAGTATCAGAGCTGCCTTGATTCGCCCTGGTCTGCAACGAGAGGACAACACTTTGGTGTTCCGGGCTCTGAACAAATGCGAGGGCGCTGCTCACGAACTTGAGCAGGCACTCGACAAAGTACATAAGATAGAACCAGAGCCTACGATAGCTCTTCAGAAATTCAAGGCGATTGGTGCAAAAGAGGGACGGAAGGCATTGTATCCTTTCTGTGAGCCGACCGTCCGGAGCATTGTGAAAGAGGTCGAAGAGTGCACCAAGGCTTGCGATAGTGCACTCCAAATACTCCATCTTAATCTCGACATCAGCACCGCAGAAAAGCTCGATGCCATGGATGGCCGCATCGCCTCTGGCCTGACAGACCTGGCCTCTGCGCTACGGGACCTCCAGATCTCAAGCCAGACTCAAAGCAATACTACAGCACAACACATCGAAACGCAATCGACCAGGAACTTGAACGCCACCCAAGAAGCACGCCTCGCGCTCGAGCACAGACACGATCGCACAGATTCATTGCTTCTCACGGCTCGAGAGGAGAAACAGGCCGCGACAATTATCGAAAGCTTGGCTTATCCCGAGAGGGAGTATCGTAAGCAGCAGATCGAGTCTGCTAACGATTCCACGCTAGAATGGGTCTTCGACAAGAGTGATACGCGAGACTGCGACCTTGCCGCATGGCTCGAGACCGGCAACGGTATATATTGGATCACTGGAAAGCCTGGATCTGGTAAGTCGACCTTTATGAAGTTTTTGGCCGAAGACGAGAAGACTGAGGCCTTGCTCGAATGCTGGAGCAAAGACCACCCTTGTACGATCATCAGCCACTATCTATGGGTGGCAGGAACGAAGTTGCAGCATTCATATGAAGGAATGTGGCGTAATCTGCTGCACCAACTCTTGAGCCTCCGACCTGATCTGGTGTCTAAAGTATGCCGTAGACAGTGGAAATCTGGCAGCAGGCAATGTAACACCAAGGATCTTCTGCCATGTCTCACTGAAGCAGTGAAGTTGTGGAGTAGGAACATCTGCCTTTTCGTGGACGGCCTTGACGAATTTAGCCCGGAAAGTGAGCATCCTACACTCTTGCGGGCTCTCAAAGGACTACAGGCGTTCCCTCATGTGAAGGTCGTCATGTCTAGCCGGCCTTGGCCAATCTTCGAGCGCAGTCTGAAGCTCTATCACAGCTGTACCATGGAACGCTTCAATAGATCGGACATTATAGCATGTTTGCGGGATGGATTCGAAGAATCAGCCAGTACTAGTGGTCTCCAATCACTGCACTGGGAGTGCCTAGAGCAGTACGCCCATTTCGAACGGGAAGGACTTGAGGAGAATACAAGATACTTCTGCAGCATTTGCAAAGAGTGCGTCCCCAACTACGAAGCGGTGCACATGGCTAAAGACCTGGTGGCGAGAGCAAATGGCGTCTTCCTTTGGGTCCACTTGATAATGAAAAGTATACGCGCGCGAATCATCGGCAGGCGACCCATCGCGGAGTTGATAAAAACGGTCGATGAGTTTCCCAGCGACCTTGAGACTTATTTCCGCAAACTGATCTACAGTCGCATTGGCGAGACCTGGACAGGTAGGCAGACATCGATGGCTGTAGCCATGATACTGCAAATGAACAGACAGAACATGGATTGTAGTGCTTTGGACCTTTGGCTGCTATCACGAAGTATCAACGATGCTGGGGCATCGCTATTCAATGCAAATTTCGCGCACGAGACTCCACTTCTACCTGCCAGCTCGTCGCAAGAACTCACTGTCATGCAGGCGGATGTTGCTGCTTTTCTGGACGGATGCTGTCGTGACATTCTTCTACCGTTGCCAAGGAGTGAGCAAGGACTATCGTCGATGGACCAGTCTGGTCTCGGCGAGCGGTGCATTCAATTCATACATCGCACAATGTACGACTTCTGGCAGACCCCTGAGATGTTGGCTATATTGAAGAGGCACGTGCCACTGCATTTCTGGCTTCCCGAATTCCCGACGCTTGTGAGGGTGGCCAGCGCAAGGACAGCATGTGACGGGCGTCCACGGAGTATTAAAAACCACTTCTTCCAGATGGCGCACGGCTTGGCCAACAAACACAACTTGGATAAATGTGGACGGTGTCCTCGTAGTGTAGCCCAACTCATCGAAGAGACGTCCATACATCTGACACAGCAGTTTACGAGGCATTCCGGTTGGTCATCATACGACAAATATCTTATCCGCCGCGTACAAGACATGTTCCTGGCACTTGCTTTAAATGGTCTTTACACGCTCATCGAACACATTCTACGATCGTGTCCATTCTGGGTGTGCGCTGCGGTTCGAAGCACAGATGTGCTCTCTTTTGTCACTCTCTCTCGCGCTATCCAGGTGGGCCCTGAAAGGATCACATTGTTAAAGCTCCTGTTGGCTAGCGGAGCAGATCCAAATGGCGTTGTGTTTTATGCAGATGCTCCCTGGTCTGCCTGTCCATGGACCAGATGGACTTGGTTTCTTGCTTGGTGGGAGTACGGTACGCGAGTGAAGAAGCAAGACTCGCACGAGGCTATGCCAGCACACAGATCAGTATTCGCCTACACGGAGTCAGAAGTCACTGGGTCGACGAGTTCGTCTGGTCTCTCTCACATCACACCGTACGCATTGGCAGCTATCTCTACCATGCTAGAGCATGGTGCAGACCTCGACGCGACAGTGTACTACTTGCCCGATGTGGATAATGGAATTTTCCGATCGGGGATTTGGACACATTCAGTTACCTTTGAAATCCCTGGTTCTTACTTCCCTTATTCAGACATTCCGATTAGCACGACTCCCTCTACCACGGCTAGAGCAATCCTCGAAGAACGACTACACCTCGAAGAAGTATCAGACTGGACTCAGCTTTTGGCTGAACATGTCAGGCCAGCAAGGCAAGATGAGATGAGATTAAGAAAAGAACGACTTCAGCTCATTCGTGGCTGGCCAAGAAGTTTCCTCAGTTTCAGAGATAAGCTCCTGCTGGACATACCCCTGTGGAGGCCGGAGGATGGCTACATAGCACGCCCCGCGGCTGGAGTGTTGTCATCTGCATCGCTGCATTGGCCCAAGCCCCCAATGGAAAACCGGAACAAAAGACCTTGGCCGCCGGGGTATAAAACGCTGCGACATGAGCCATCCCTGACGAAACGAAGACGTAGTGTATGAGAAAAAATACCTGTGCACATCTACCACCCACCAGCAATCTTCTTGCAAGCACCAAGCTCAAGCATGCACAAAGTAGCTACAAGAAGCAGAACACACAAATCACAATGTACTCCTTGACATCACCGCCCATTAATCCTCTTCCAAACCTGCTCCTCCCCCTCCGCAATCGCCGTCCCCGCCTTCCCCAACCACCCCTTAGCCGCACTCCACGCCCCCTCCACCCCCTCACCCCACCCCTCACCACCACCACCTCTCCCCCCACCATCTCCTCCACTCCTCATCCCATCACTACCCAGACCAAGCTGCGTGACGAAACTCTCCCTCCGCGTCTCCTGATCTAGACTAGCTCGTTGCGCGGGAGACATATCCTGCGCGTAGGCGTTTTGGACGTAGCCGGGTGGGTGGTCGGAGCTGATGCGCCGGTCTTGTGCTGTACCTACTGCCGGCGAGGCTACGGGACCGAGGTTGAGGGTTGTGGGACCGCTTCGTAAGGGTGTTGTTGCTTGGCCTGGTTGCGTTCCAGCTGTACTTGTTGAATGTGTGGGTGCATAGTTCTGTGATAGGTTTTGGGCGGGTGTGGGGGGGGTGTACATGCTGTTTAGCATGCTGGTGAATGCTGTGCCTTGCTTTTGGGGTGTTTCGCCTGCTCGGGGTGGTGGTGGGAGGGTGCTGGTTGTTGTTGGTGCTTGGCGACTGAACGGTGTGGGTACTGCACCTGGCTGTGGTGGTGGAGGAGCATATTGGTCTTCTGTCCCTCTTGCTGTGGTTCGTGTTGGTTCAGGTTGTGCTCGAGGGAGGTATGGTGTCGGCGCTGGTAATGCTGCCGCGCCTGGTTGCGCAGGTGGATACGACGCCGGCGCAGCAGCTGTAGTGGTCGTTGCTATGTTGCTTGCTGGACCCCGAGATCCCGGCGCTGCCGCAGTAGTCTGTGGTGTCACGCCTTGAGCCTTGATAGGCGTGATTGGATCGTCGATATGCACTGGTATTGGAGGCATGGTGAAGTTATCGACGACGAATTGCACTCGATAGAGGTTACTTCTTGCTGATTTTACACAGTCTGACCGATGCTGTTAAGTTATGGGAGTATGATAGTACGGAAACTGTGCCATGTGAACAAAGCCAAACGGAAGCCTGCGAGGTTTTGTTTCATCGAACGTGTCCCTTGCGTGTCGCGAATGAGTGACACATGACGTAGCAAGCTTCCTTTGGAAGGCAATTGATTGTCAACAGATAATATATCGGACAACCCTCCAAGATCATAACAAACATACTACTCATAAATCATTGACGATCACACATCCAGCAGCCAGTCCATTAACCAGTCAAGCCAAATCCATCCAATCCATCCTCACACCACACCACCATCTCCCCCTCAACCACTCCCTCTCTACTGATACTTCTCCCTACTTCCCCCCCCCAACAAACCACCCCCTCAACCGCCCAATCTCCTCCCCGGTAACCAAATCCCCAAACCCATACTTCAACGCAATAAACCCCACCAAACCCCCCTCATACTCCTTCCCTCCCACAATCTTCCCATCCACCTCCTTAACCCCCTCCTCCTTCAACAACCCCCGCCTTTCCCTCTCCGGATCCCGCACAAACCTCTCCAGCCTCGCCATCTCCCCCGAATCCAGGATTCCGTTCTCTCCACTCACAGAATCATGATATTTAATAATATTCTCCGCAAATGTATGGGAGGCGAACATTTCCTTCGGCATGGGCCCATCATACACGACGGCGGCTTGTTTGGGTTGTTGTTGGGCCATGTTGTTTAGTACTCGAGTACTCAGTATGCTTGAGCCTGCTCAGGTGTAGTGGTATGTCTGGTTCCCTTCTTGTGGCGACTGGGAGATAGTCTTATACTTGTGCTGCTTCCTTGGCGATCTATTATGTGGTTGCCTGGCGTGATCGACAGCTATCGTGATCTCAAGCAGAGCACCTCGCTTCGGCAGTATACAGTGAAGCAGAGCCAATGGCTGCATATCCAGAGGGCAAGCCAAGACGCATTGCAGTGAAGGCCAAGACACAACGATGCGGCTGCCTAGATAGCGCTGCAACATCGCGAAGCTACCGTGCTATAATCAAGAGACAAGACTCGAGTCATGAATATCAAGACCGAAGCACACGAGCCTGAGACTGATAGCGTAATAAAGAAAACAAAACACCAATTGTAATACAGGTCGGAAAAGAGGCGATGCCCGAGCCCGCAGGAGAGACACAATAGAGGTACAGTGATCGCTCAATAGCCGCCGTCGTGTCACTCACATTCTCCACTCCCCCAAATGCTCAAGCACCAGCCTCCGATTCCAGTCTAGAGCCCACAACTACCACGCATCATACACATGCATGCCACTGCACCATAGCTTTTCATATCTGCAATCACCACAGGCATGCAGATCTCCTTGTACCACACCCTCCGCCAGCTTTTGCTACATCAACCCTGCTGCACGTCTCCATGCGCAAAGGCGAAAGATTGGCGTCTCGGGGACGAATCGTTTACTTGAACTGCTTGCCGAACATGAGGAGCTGCGCCTGGTCGTAGATGGACAAGACACCGGCACCGGCGACACCACGGAGGATGTTGGCACCAGCACCCTTGAAGAGCGAGCGGACACCCTCCTTGGCGACGATTTGCTGGAAAGCATCGACGGAAGACTTGTACTTGACAGCCTGGAAGACAATATTAGCACATGCTCGTGGTGTACATATTTTGGATTTGACTTACCTCGCCAGAAGTCATCATCATGCGACGACGGATGGTGTCAAGCGGGTAAGAAGCGATACCAGCACCAGTAGTCACAGTCCAGCCGAGCAAGAAAGAGGCCAAGAAGTTACCCTCGAGGGAGCCAACGAGAAGGACAGGCTTGAGCGAATCGTACATGCCGAAGTAGAGACCACGGTAGACGATGATACCAGTGACGGAAGGCATGAAACCACGGTAGAGACCGGCAATACCGTCAGAGGCAAGGGTCTTCTTGTAGACGTCTACCAGGCCGTTGAACTGGCGCTCACCACCCTTCTTCGCGGACTTGGCGTCGTTGGCGAGGCGGGTACGGGCGTAGTCGAGAGAGTAGACGAAGAGGAGGGAGGTGGCACCGGCCATCTGCAGTAACCATTAGTATCTTACTTGGCGTGTCCAGATATGTCTGAGCTCCGACTTACACCACCGGAGGCCAAGTTACCAGCCATCCACCACCAGTAGCCATCGCGCTCCTTCTTGTAGCCGAACATTGACTTGAAGGTGTCGCGGAAAGCGAAGTTGAGGGCCTGGGTGGGGAAGTAACGGATGACGTTGGCGGTGTTGCCACGCCACAGGGCAGCGATACCCTCGTCGGCGGTGGTACGGCGGAAACAGTCAGCGATACCAGCGTAGCGGCGGTCGAGACGGCCAGCCTTGATCATCTCATCCTGCAGAGCACGTGCTGGTCAGTATTTGTATGCTCGAGTAGCGAATCCTGTGGCTTGAACGAGCTTCATGCAGGATGCTGTCACTGCAAGCCACGGATGGTGTGCGAACGTACCTGGTTCTGGATGAGAAGCTTGACACGCTCAATGGGAGCGGCGGCGGTCTTGGAGACGGCAGCGGAGACACCACCCACTATAGCGCTGTATTAGCATTGCCTTCCCACATACTCAATCTAGCTCCCAGCTCTTATCGCAAAGCTTTGTGGCGGGCGTCGGAGATGACAAAAATCCATCGCAGCTCATCGATGGCGAGGTGGGAGGGAGTTGATACGTACTCAAGAAGTCGACGAGGAAACCGGGCATGCCCATGAAGGACTTGTCCTGTTCTATAACACCATTGTTAGCACGCGCTCAAAACTTGTTTCGCCGGCTCCCAATGGTGCTGGGAAGCTGCTGGCTTCCTTCGGGGGAGGACTCACGGTTTGCCATCCTATCGGTATTCCTCTGCTGAGCAGGCGAGTAAGGAAGGGTATATGAGTGGAGAGATTGGTTGGTGGATGTGCAGTGATGGAACTGGTGTGTCGATGGTATGTACAGTAGACAAGGAGGTGCTTTTGAGCTTGGGAGAGAGGAGGAAAAACGAAGCGCGTGGTCCGAGCGTCCACAGCAAGATTCGCCGCTTGCCGCTTGGCCGCCGCGGTTTGATTAGCCGTCGTCTCACGGCAACCCTTCACGTTGGGACTCTCCGATCTCTTCCGATTCACCAACAAGACCCTGAGATATTGTCTTTTCGTTTAAACAGTGCCGGTGTTCCTGTAGAGGAAGAGGCCTCTGGAGATCATTGTACTTTACATGGCCTTATCAGGAAGACTCGATGTGCTCGACTCAATGGGCTATATCTCACAGTTGGCTAGGTCCTCGAATATTGATACTGCAACCAATATATCATAGTCTGGTACTATCGAGGTCATCGAAGCATATCTCGTCGAATAGGAACAGATGCAAGGAGCACATCTACCACCCAGCCATTGGACTTGAGGTCGGTCTGAAACTTCAGACACAGTTTGCTCTCCTATGACCTCTCGTCGGATATGCCTTCTACAGTCATAGCAATGCTCGTGACGATTAAGCGAACCTGTCCAGATACATCTCATCAAAGCGGCCATTATCAGTCTGTAATCGTCAAGATCGTAGCGGTATGCCATAGGGTTGCTTATTCGCCATCAGATGTGCGCACGCTCAACGATGGGAGGCTCTGAGTGTCATTGGGGCATACATTGAGTACCCCGGAGGCTGAGTGATGCCTTCTCCTTCCGTGGAGTGAAGGACGGTATGGTAGTGGTGTGCGCCTCATGGCTTTACTCTTGATAGCGGAAAGGCAGGTCTGAAGTACACTCGTTGCGCATGTTGTTGGCCCTTTACATAGGCTTTCTCGGCATTCGACTGACACTGCCCCAGATCCTCAAAATCCTAGTGAAAAGCCAACAATACTCATGACTGGAATGCTCTATACCCAAGCAACCAAGGTTGACCGCTGGAATGGTGTACAGACTGTTCAGTCACCTCCCAGAGATTGCAGTGCATGGTCCTCCCGCCTTTGAGGGGGCACGATCACCTGGTCTATCTTATCGCCAAAGGCAAATAGCTGTATGAAGACACAAAGACCAGTCTTATTCCGTGTGCTTGCTACGGTCCTGGAAGACATGCAAGAAGATTGGATCAAATGCCATGAAATCTGGAACACGGCTCTGCTACTGGAGAGGACGGCAGTGACATGTGAAGCAGCGCAATAGAGGAGCTTGCGGCGATCAGAAGTCGCGCAAGCGAACCGGTCAACATCCCCAAGTGTCTAGTCAAGACCACGATGTCCACTCTACCGGCCACGTCCAACACAATCACAGCAGCGATGAAAGCAGCGACCAGGACTCAGACTCAACCCACATCACGCCATCCATCTTCCGCGGTGGCGACCTAACACCACCAGGCCTGCGAACCCGAAGCAGGCACATCTCGAGCCCATCCCCTACTCCCATGCCCTTCGCCCAGTGCAACAGTATACTAGTGGACGATCGCACGAGGCAAGACCGCTCACCTGTTCAAGACACGACGCCATATAATGACAAATCCTCTCGAATCTATCCACCCTACTCAGTCTCGGCTACGAAGTCGATCCACCACATACAGAATGGAGCAATCAGCTCATCATCCCGCTCTGGCACATCTACATTGAACCGCCAGACAGAATTCAGTAACTGGCGAACCTGATACACATAGAATTGGATCGGCTGAAACTTTTTCTGGTCGATGATGGACTTGCAAAGACGGAAGACGACGATTTGCGTAAGTGGAGAGCTACTATGGTTGAGAGGCTGGGTGGTGATGTGGAGAGGAGTATGAGTAAGACTGTTAAGAGGGTTGATGGGATTGCAAGGAGAGCTGGGCAGTAGGAAAGAGGCATCGCAGAAGACGATAATGATGATGATGTTGACGATTAATTTGCTCGAGCAGGAATCTGGGTGCGTGAAAGTACGCAGACTAGAGCATGGACGTCAGAAATGATGTGGTCATGGTATATTCACCTCATACAATCCGAGACTCAATGCTCGTGTCGGTGACTTGACAGCTAAGGAAAATACGAATATATTACCACCAAGGATACCATGGCCATGCTTGCCCTTGCATTGTGGTGGGACGTCCGCAGTAGATACAGCCCGGGGCTGTGCTGACAGGGTTTATGCTTTGTTTGTGCGCACGCATCGTGGAGCGAGACAGAAGTAAGGTATGCTGCACTTGCATACGCATATGCATGAAGCGGATAAGAGCGAAGTTGCTTGCTTGTATGCATGGAAGACATGATTTTCGTCTAAGAAGCTGCTAGTGGGTCAACAACAGATCACACATCGATCTCAACTCTCACATCTACGACATGTTATGAAAGCAAGACTCTTCGATCTAGCGACACGGTATACGATCTGAGGAGCCGTACAGTCCGTCAGAGGAGACTGAACTTTCCACCATGAGCACGATCGAGAAGCCCAAGACACGACTCCTCCTTGCCCAGCGAGACCCGCCTCAGCATAGCCGAAATCAAGAACGACGGAGTTTGCGAAGCCAAGCCGACGCATCCGACAGAGAGCGATACTTCGCAGACCATGGCTTTCCTGTACCTGGAGCCCATGGCAGAGCTCACACAACACCATTCCCCATCCCTGAGGATCCCTTCGTCTCCGCCACCTCAAGTCATCGGAACAACTATACAACCCACATGCAGACGCGAAACAGCACGATAGACACTCACCCCGGACCAAACGCCTTGATCACCAATATGAGGATCGCAAGGAACAACGCCATAAGACAAATCATGAGCTCAGCCTACACCCTCCACTACGAACTCGACCCCAATCACAGACCCTTCACCTCATCACCTTCTGGCACAAGCAGACCAAACCCCTGGAGCGCTTCCACGCATTACTGGAAGAACTGGAAGAGGAACTGGATAGGATCGCTCCATTACTCCTTGAAGTGAGCGGCGAGGAAGTAAGTGAATGGCAGAAGTGGAAATTACAGCAATGGCAGTGGGAGATGGTCGTGGGGTTGGAGAAGGGTGTCAGGGTGAGGATGACGGATATTTTGGGGAGGGTGTATGAGGTGGTCAACAGGGGTGTGCCGACGGAAGATCCGCGGTACCTTCGCAGGCTTTCAATCTTGTTATTGACGGTATCGCATGATGGTGGTTGTGCTCGGCGACGACGGAGCTTGTTTGGCGATTGACATGAGGTCTGTCTTGGTTGGGAGTCTCCACTGCTGTTGAGCCTGCATATTCTTCGTACAAAAGCTGTCTCCGCCGCCAGCCTGATTGAGAGCGCCTAGCCATGATTGAACTTCCAACTCCCGCCCCTTTCCTCATCCCATCTCATGTTGCTCTTGAACATTCAGCACAGATATGTCAAAGTCATGCGCCAGGTTATTTCAATGGTGTGGCAGAAGTAGTCCAATACGTCTATTCGTGTCAATCAGGATCATCTGGACGATGCCGCCGCGATAGAGAAGATCGAGCGCTAGGTCAGATGTGGCCGTACAACAAGTTTGACATTACAGTACATAGGTAGCCCGCAAGAGAACTCATCTGTTCGAGGAAAGACATCCGGCAACGGGGCCGGGAGGCCTTGTCTTGACGAAGACTACTTTGCATCCTTGGCATATTGAGGCGGCGTAGCCATCATAGCAGCCTTGGTAGCCATATCTTTCGCCACACCTACCACCAGCAGTTCCAGCTGTTCTTGCTCACTCGCTCGAACCGACATCGTCTGACTCAAGTCAACCGGTATTGCGTCGCCGACCTTGATCTGATTAGTCTGATCATCGATCGTGACCTCGCCAGTCCCAGACATAACATAATAGACTTCCGTGAGATCTGATAGCGTTTGCGGTCCAATCGATGCGCCTGGTTCTAGCAGAAAGTGATCCACATATGCCCAGGGGGTCAGAAAGACTGTTGGGTAGAGGGCCCGGCGGTACTGTACAGCACTACGCGAGCCCTTGGTCTGCTTGGAGGGCTTGAGGAGAGCACGATCTAGGCTCATCGTCATGAATTGCGGTATCGGGTCCAGAGAAACATTCTCTCTTGAATCAAACATATCGAACGCATCGTAGCATTTCGACATCCCGGCATTGATATTCAGCCATTTGATAGGCTTGTCGGTGGGATTGTATATAGCATGCGAATGTCCCATTCGACAAGGAGCACCTGCTGGACCTTTGATGAGAGATGTCCTGCCATCGATAGTGAACTGTGCTTCGCCGTCTAGGATGACGAACATTTCCTCACATTGGTTGTGGAAATGCTGTCCGATACCGCTGTTTGGGCTGATGATGCCGCAGTGAAAGAAGATCAAGTTGTTGCTCAGTGCTTCCGTCTCGAGCAGGGCTCCGAATTGCAAGGATCCTGGGCCTGAGTGAGCATCTGTCAAAGTGCGGAACTTGATGGTGTCGGTGTGTGCTATGCGCTGCTCGAGCGGTAGTGTCAAGGCGTGGGAGGTCATGATCGCGTGTGTCTTCTTGTCTTCCCTTCGTGGGCCAGTGCTTGATGTTCACTTGATGGCTTATGAACTGTACAATGGCGTGAAGATAGAGCTTGGTGGTTTTAGGCTAATGGCAAGCTTACGAGGAGGAGTTCGACAACAAATTAATCATTGTTTTGATGTCCACTCACCTTCCCATGATCGTAACTTGAAGGCGACAGCATCTCCCACCAAGACGGCTCTTTGATAGTCACGGGCGGTGAGCTGCCGTGGTTCACATTGCCGGGTTAGCCGTAGAGCACAGCATTTCCGCCATGTCATCGGCCATGCGACCAAATCATCGGTCTTACAACATCGAAAAGCTACCTGGAATATTCGCTGGGATGCTAACAGACAGAATCTGGTGAATCAATGATGGAAAATGGCGTGCAGTGAGTACCTTGTTGTGTATCAAGAGCAACTCGGAGGCAGAAGAAGCGCCGATGCAACCTCGGAGATCTCACCAAGCCGATGTCATCAACAATGTCTTCCTTCAGTCGACCACAGCCATGACAATACCAAAGGATGATCATCACTGCCGATGCTCTTCCAACATGGTCAAGACAATTGTCGATGTCACGTCGGCGAGTTGTTTTGGGCTACACAGCCTAGTAAGATACGACCACGAGGTAGGTATTACAAGTATCGATTTAGCCTCGATATATGATATATCTTGGTGTCCTTAAACAAGAACACAGCTATCTCAACTTCATATCCTCCTTTCCCTTCCTCTCCCCCCACCATCAACATGTCCAAGCACGTCCACTTCTCAGGGCCTACGACAACAACCCACCAACCCACCACAATCCACCTCCTTGGCCAATCTCAGCCTACGACCAGACGCCTCTCTCCGGCTTGCCAACAAATCGTCTCAGAGACCTTCACGGACACAACGGCAAACCTCACCATCCGCTCCTGCCTCGCAGACAGCGCTCTGTATCCAATAATCACAGGTCACAAATGCAATCATGTCCCCTTGGTGCCCTCTTCCCTACACGCGGACATGGCAATGACAGCAGCGGAGTATATCTGGACTGTCCTCCATCCCAAGACGGAGGTACCTGGAATCGATGTCCAACACATGGAGGTCCTAAAGCCGTTCATCGCGCAGCTCCCACAGGAGGGAGAAGGGCAGTGGATCGAGATGGTTGTTTCCGGCGACCTTCCTGTTGCTACCATGTCTGCGGAGGCTGTGGGGGGTACAATCACCTGCACCTTCCACAGTGTGCATGCAGATGGCAGTGCAGACAAAATGGCTCATCGCGCAAGCTGTACCGTCCGCTACGAGGACAAAGCAAGCTGGAAGAAAGAATGGTCCCGTTATACCCACATGGTGCAAAACTCCATCTCCATGCTCCGTGACCGCGCTACGAACGGCGGAGCACATATCATGCAATCTGGTCTAGCATACAAAGTCTTCGAGTCCTTCGTAACCTACGACCAGCAATATAGAGGTATGAACGAGGTGGTCTTTGATGGGCTGGAGGGCACCGCCACTATCACGTTCAAAACCAAGCCTGGGGATTACACAACCTCGATCCACATGGACAACTCTTGCCATCTTTCTGGATTCCTGTGCAACGCTCTCGATGCCGAAGATGGGCAGGATAGCGTCTATGTCTCTGAGGGCTGGGAGGGAATGAAGTGCTTCGATCTAGATTTCCTGCGGAAGCCGCAGATGGTGGGGACAAAGATGGTAAGTTATGTGCGGATGCAGGCACAGGGGAAAGATGTTCTATGTGGCGATGTGTACACCTTTCTCGATGGGGAGGTGGCGATTGTATGGGAGGGAATCAAGTTTAAGAGGGTGCCGAGAAGGGTGGTGAATATCTTCTTGCCGCCGCCTAAGCATTGATGATATGATATAGCTAGCTGTCAGGTCCTGGACTGTGGCTTCTGTGCCGCTCCTTGAGTCACCTTTTGCCGCTATATCCGCTTCGGCTAGATATCAAACGATCTGATCCTTCATCGTCTGCGGCGACGGCCTGGTATTCTTGAAGAACTCCATTTCCTCCAGCCCATCGTGATATTTCTTCAGATCTGGGTACTGCTTCGCCCACTCGTAATCCGCGTATCTGATACTAAACCAGCCGAGAAAACTTCCCGCTGCTAAATCTGCGAGGGTCAGGCTGTCGCCGATCATGAATTTGCTGTTCGAGTTCTGTTCGACCCAGGTGTTTAGTTGGCGGAGGCCGCCTTCTACTTTGCGCATTTGTCTGATCGAAGTGTCAGTACGTGGTAGAGTCAACGGCTCGGGGTAGGATTTGGATACCTAGCTTTCCAAGGCTCACTCTGCTTCTCCTTCTCCCTCATCTTCTCGAAGAAGGCGATGACGAGGGCATCACACATCCCATCACAAACAACCTCTATTTTCTTCGCGAAAAGCTTCCCGTCGACATCATCGGGAAGGATTGGATGTTCGGGGTGCTTCGTCTCTAGCCAGTCCAGGATATAATGGCTCTCGTATACCGCGGTGCAATCGTCGAGGATCAAGATGGGTAGTTTTTCAAGAGGGTTGTACTGCGGTGTCGCTGTTGTGGAGTCCCAGGGGACTTCTGTCTGCAGTGTGAAGGGGATCTGTTTGTGTTGGAGTGCTATGCGGACTTTCCTGGCATAGGGGGAGGGAGTGGCGGAGATGAGGGTCCAGGTCATGTTGATGGGTGTGATGATTGTGGTGGTCGTGAGAAATGATTCAGTCCTGACTTACATTTGTTTTCCTACAATAGTATTTCGACAGCGCAAACGGTACCTGTGACGTATATGCTGTGGTCTTAGGCATGTAGATGAAGGTTTGGGTCAAGGAGGTATTGTTCCCGGTTGTCCGCACGCGAGTTCGTCTCGAGTACAGCCCCACTTCGAGGTCGAGGTGACGATGCGGCAGGGCTGCGACACAACAAAGTAGACATTATAGGTCCGCATCAGATGTGTCCTCATGCCCAGCCTCACAGAACTGATACAAGTCATCGCCCCCGACCGTGAAGAAGAACCCGAAGACATCTTCGCATCGGCGCCTGGTCTAATCTTCCCGGACGATTTGCTGAACCACCACGGCGATGCCGAGTCCACCATAGTCTACAAGAGCCGGCGCTTCGGCGATATTGAGTTGACAGTAGCGGATCCACAGGGTGAAGATGAGAGGCAGTTGTTTAGTCATTACTTGTGGAATGCTGGGGTGAAGATGGCGGAGCTTGTGAGTGGTGCTGATGATGCGGGTGAAGCGGAGGGAGAAGAGGGAGGGAAGGGGCGGAAGTGGAGTGTCAAAGGCCAGACAGTGCTTGAGCTTGGAGCAGGTGCGACAGCGTATCATGTATATGGAGGGTGAAGAGTGGGACTGATGGCATGGCAGGTGTTGGTCTGGGAGGCATAGTCGCTTCACTAGCTGGTGCGAAGGAGGTAAGCACGCACTAAACTGAATCCTTTGAAGAGATAGACTGATGACGATACAGGTCGTCATATCAGACTACCCAGCACCGGTCGTGCTCGAGAACGCTCGAAAGAATGCTACTAAGGCTATACCACAAGATCTAAGCCATGTGTACCACATCGAAGGTCACGAATGGGGAGACTTCAGCACCTCCTTTGCGGAATCAAACAAACAGCACTTCACGACGATTCTCGCAGCAGACTGTCTCTGGATGCCGCACCAACATGTCAACCTCATACACTCAATGCTACATTTCCTGACTCTCAACCCAACAGGCCGGATCTTCGTGCTCGCAGGTTTCCACACTGGACGAGCGAAACTAGCTGCTTTCTTCGAGACGGCTGTAGAGCAGAGTTTGATGGTGGAAGAGATTTATGAGGAGGATTCTGACGGTGCACGACGAGAGTGGCAACCTGAGCGGGATGGTGGGCGAGAGGATCCGACGGGGCGGAAGAGGTGGTTGGTTATTGCTCGGTTGAAGCGGAACGAGCACGAGGATGGCTAGTACGGTCATGAATGTCTAGCATTGAGAATAGATTCTTGCATTATGTTACAGCTCAATGTCCTTCTCTACCGCCGCGCTTTCTGTCATGCTGTACAAGACTTATGGCACTGGAGCTCAAGCACATCTGCCAAGCCCACACGCGGAAGCGTTCCGCCCGAACTTTTCGATCTCGTCCACAACGAAACCTTGACCAATATGTCGTACTTCTCCATCTAACGACAACTTGCTTGGCAGACATAGAAGAGAACAGGCGGAAATTCTTCAAAGATGTCTCAGCAAGCCCTCAACAAGATCGCGGCCAACAGCCCGTCGCGCCAGAACCCTTCGGAGATCGAGACCAACCTCGCAACCGCCCTGTATGAGCTCGAGACCAACATCCCGGATATGCGTGGTGCCTTGAGGCCGTTGCAGTTCGTCAGCGCACGCGAGATCGAGGTCGGTCATGGCAGGAAGGCAATTGTGGTTTTCGTGCCTGTGCCTTTGCTTGTGGGGTGGCATCGCAGCCAGCAGCGGTAAGATTATAGAACGAATAAGCGTAAGAGGAGGTTTGAAACAACACTAATCATGCCTTTGATATCACAGCCTGACTCGCGAACTGGAGAAGAAGTTCTCCGACCGCCACGTCCTCTTCATCGCCTCCCGCCGCATCCTGCCGCACCCTAAACGCAGCGCCCGCTCCCGCACCACCCAAAAGCAGAAGCGTCCTCGTTCCCGCACACTCACCGCCGTCCACGACGCCATCCTCGCCGATCTCGTCTACCCGGTCGAAATCGTCGGCAAGCGCGTCCGCACCAAGGAGGATGGAAGCAAGACTCTCAAGGTTGTGTTGGATGAGAAGGAGAGGGGTGGGGTTGATTATAGGCTCGATACTTATTCTGAGGTGTACAAGAGGCTGACGGGTAAGGGTGTGAACTTTGAGTTCCCGCAGAGTGGTGGGGAGTATTAGATGGTTGGCGCCTCTTCATTGAGTTGCCGGTCATGAGGTGTGGAGCTGAGGGCAAAGAGAAGGGTGGTGTGTCTGATGCTTGTGACGGCTAGTTGCTGTCATGTGGACGACAGCACATCACGTTTGGAGCGGGACAGCATAGCCTCGCAATAGCCGTAAGCATTGTCTGCTCTACATAGACCGTCTCACATGGAACAGCTCCACGCCTCTTGTCGTGCATTTCACTCCCTAACCTTCAATCGCCTGTTGCTAGCACTGATCCCAGGCCACGCTGCGCACAGGATCTGTGAACGACACATCAGGTTACACGAGCAACTGTGATCTATCACAAGACAACCCTGCATATACAAACAGAACCTGACCCCAATTTTCCTTCGATCTCTTCTTGTCGCCTCTATCGGCTGGTCCACAGGAGTCGAAGATGAGTTTGGGAGAAAGATCAAGTATCTCTGGACGGCAAGGCATCTTTCACTCTATCTGCCATGCACGTCAACCATTCTTGGTCTACTTATCTATAAACACTCACCAGATTGATTAAAATGCTCCACTAGAGAACCACCCATTGGGGCATCGCATGCCTGCAGATGAGAGAAGTCTGGCGCGTTTGCAGCTCCTTACCATTTTCTCCCATCCATACCTCCTTGTGGAAAGGCTGCTTATGTATCTTTTGGACAGGTCCCTTGGATCGAGCATACTTCCACCAGGGTACGTGTCTGTCTTGCCGGACACACTGGCAAAAGCTGAAGTTTTCTCGTGTATAAAGACGAACAGTAGAATGATATCATCATCTGGTAGGCCGTATCGTGCATACACTTGTGCAATCTAGGGTATCGTCTCATCAAGGCCTCGGAACAAAACAAACGATCTATCCCACATCAAATCCCTCTGCGACTCTCAAGCTCTATCCAGCTTGGCAATCCTTTCTCCCTCAGCATCTCTGACCCACCCTCCGATCCGCTCCGCCACGTCGCCTACCAGTCTCTCGTACCTCTCGTCTACGAAGAACAGTCCGCAATGGGCTCCTACTTCGTCGACATTTTCCATGAACACCCGCACCCAACATGGATCAAGCTCGCCATTGCTATCCCGAGGAGGCAGATTACAGAACTTGCGGTCCTTAGGAGGCTTGGCTGCTTTCTCCTTCTCCTTCTCCTTCTTCTTCTCCTTCGCCTTGACTGAGCTGGATGTCGTAGAAGTAGTAGCGCGATCCTCCGCCCGACCACGATCCTCATCTTCGGAAGGCAGGCGCTCCCCTTCGTCATCGTGCAGGCCATCGACGTAAATTCCAGGTTCGGGCTCGCCTCGCATTCGCCGCCCTTCAGCATCCATCCTCTCCTTCTCCTTCGCCAATCTCAGTCCCTCGGACTCGGATTGCGTCAAGTCTTTGGTGAGCTTCTTCTTCTCTAGCTTTGCTATCTTCTCCCGTCCCTTCTTCTGCTCGGTCGTGAGTTTCTGCTCAGCTTTCGCAGCATCTTTCTTAGCCTTCTCGACTTCCTTCTCCGCCTTTTGCTTCTGCTTGGTCTCGAGTTTGGTGCGATCTTTGATGACTTTCTCCCGGTCCTTGACAGCCTTTTCGTAGGCTTTGGTTGCCCGGTTGTGTTCTTTCTCTACTAGTTTCTTGGTGTCCGGGTCTTGGATGTAGGACGTGTCCAGAGAAGTAGGAGCGGGTGGGAGATCGGGTATAGGTGGCAGACTCTGTTGTGTTGACATTGTCGTGGTCCGTGAGATACCTTCCAAAGATTCCGCCACTGGGGTGGCAGGTGCAGTGGCCTGCTCGGATTCTCTTGAATTTCCGATGGTCAGTGACTCCGCAGCATCGTCCCAGTCCTCTTCCTCGGAGGCTTCATGAGGCTCAGGGTCAAGTTGTGCGAGATCACCACTTTCCTCGGCATGTTCCTCCTCCGAAGTATAGAGATCGCCTTCGCGAGCTTCATCGATCGGATCTTCCTCGTGCTGATGGAACACGTCTTCTGACTCCGGCTGAGCAGTGGGATCACGTACAATTTCCTCCACGGCTTCCTCGGTCCCCGGATCAACGGCTGGCGGTTTCACTTTCTTCGGCTTGCCTGTGCTGGCGGTCCAGTAGTTTACGAATCTGACCCTGGCTGGTACTCCCCTGTCCCCAGCGATGGATGCACGAACATCATCGTTTGTCTCCTCCAAAGCTCTGACCTTGCCATACCTCGCCTTCAGCTCACCGAAGTCCGCCATCGCCCCACCAAACTCCATGTGTGAAGACACAAGCTGCTTGGTCGCGGCCCCAATGTCGTTCGAATGCTTACTCACAAAGTGCCAGGCACTACTCCATCCCTTTCGTACAGGAAGCACCACGTCGTTGTTGAACTTTGGGTTGAAGTTGGGATCAGGTTTGTCAGGGTCCCAGAAGGTGTCGGATCGGCCTGACAGAGGACTCAAGGCGCCAGCCGAGTTGCTTTCGACCGGACTGAGCGCTGGAGAGTATTTGTCCTCATGTGTCTCCTCCGAAGGCATGAAGATGCTGGCCAGACCACTTCGAACGATGCCGAGGTGCATACCAAGAAATGGGACATCGAAGTTGATGGTGCCAAGTATGCGATGCATGAGTGGCGTGCTTGCTCGCGGCTGAGATGGCATAATTGCAACTTCTGCTGAGAGTAGACCACCCATGCTGTGTCCGAGTAAGACCACATCGGTGGCGTGATCTTCATGTGGCTCCAGCCATCTACTGAAATCATCCCGCGCGTAAGTGATACTCCGTTTCGAGCGATATCGAGGATAGATCTTGGTATGTACAACATGTGTCTCGGTCACGAGGGCGGTCAAAAGATGATGGACGTGAGCTGGGAAACTCCGAAAGCTCATTTCATTGCCCATGAAGCCATGGATGTAGACCAGGAGGAGCTTCCGCCGGTCATTCTGCTGGTCGCTTTCGGATGGCACGAGAGACTCTGTTGAAGTTGTCCGATTGTCTCGCGCTCTCCACGGTCCACTCGCGGTATTGCCAGAGGCTGTCACGGAATCGTAGTTTGGTGGGGCATCGCTGTATGGTGCTATCTGAGTATTGTTCTGTCTTGATGGCAATGGTGGTGGGCCTTTCTTGCCCGACAAGGATTTCTCGACCATTTTCGTCCGAGAGACCTGTCTGAATGACCTGAATTGGCCTTGTACATCATATCATTGCGAGGCTGATCATGGCCGTCTGTAGATAGCAAACTTGATTGCTTGCTCTTACTAAGGAGCTATATGGTGGTCGTAAGCGAGGCACAGCCACGACTAGCGCCACAGGTTGTCTCCACTCGTAGCTTTGGACCTGTTTGAACAAATCACCCTGCCGTATGTGCTTCTGTCTGACAGCACGACGACCAACAATACACTACTGCAAAGCCAGCGTAATGCGAAAGTGTGATCATGATGATTGTCGTTGGGCATCTTGAACACACGGGTCCGCCATGGAAACGAGGATCCACTGGTCGCCACACGGGACAACAGATGGCGGGCGATACGTGATCGCGGACCACGCGAAATCAAGCCTCACTCTATATGCAGTAGACGCGTTCGAAGGGCACGAAGTCAAGTCTGTAACTGTCGCCCAAATCAACAAGTTAGGAAATTTCACTGCCTTCGCTTGGTCTCCCACACACGAGGACTTGGTCGCCTTGGGCTTGACGTCTGGCAACACTCTACTCATCAGACTCGGAGATTACGGTTCCAAGTCTCAGGTAGTCACTACCTTCAAGGTCAAACAGCCGAGGAAGTGCAATACAGTTTCGTTAAGTGCTCAGAGTCTTCTGGCTGTTGGGCTCGAGAAAAACAGATCAGATGCAGGACTTAGTATCTATGATACCGCTGGCGATCTCACGAATGATTTGGTAGAGCCGGTCAGGCGTTTTTGTGTGGCAGAGACTGTGCCCAGTGTCTGCTTTGTTCCACGCAGTCCCCATCAATTAGTGGCCAGTACGCATCGAGCCATACGCATATATGATATTCGAGGTAGAATCGGCATGCTTGAGAGGAATGAAACTTGCTGACGTTCTTCAGACGATTACATGGCAGGCAATAGCAGTAACATTCAAGCCAGTACTAAGTGCGTTCACAACATTGCTATCGATCCGCTTGACGAAAACTACTTTGCATCTTCTGCCGGCTATGGAGACTCTTCGTACACAGTATGGGACAGGCGGTGGATGAGTCAACAATCTTTCGCGGGGTCAACAAATGGCGCTGTCCTCAGCTGTAGCATGCCCAGCATAACTAGTAATGCTGTGTCGATTCGCAATCTTCAATGGTCTGGACATACTCGAGGTCGGCTGGCTATATCCTCGAATGCTGGAGATATCAAGGTGATTGACATACGGCAATCTAAGCCAGCAAGCGCAATCGCTAGCCTACCGCAACCACCTCACAATCCCTATGGTGGATCGCAATGGCGTGACAACCACTACGTGTCGCATACTACTGTAGTGAATTCCCCGTGGCCTAGCGCGACTCCGACTGGGCAAAGTGGGCCAGTCGGGTTTGACTGGATACGAGGGCTTGTAGAGGAACAGATGCAGCGCATGATTGTACTGAGCGGCAGTCATGATGTTGCTATCGTGAAGGTGCCCCATGTTTACACACAAGTGCATATTTCTGGTCGGCACAACACGCTCATCTCGGCAGGATCCCTGGGAATCAGCGATTTGCGAGGCGCGATTGGTGAAGAGGTGGACCCATTGAGCCAGTCAGATGTACCATCTCTTTCTCGGTTTTTGGTAGACTCATTGATTTCAAAAGATCGTTGTCGAGCAGGCTATCTTTTTGACTGCGACAAGAACATCCAAATTGTCGCTGCCGACGTACGACTCGAGCGCCTGTGGAAGATAATTCGACGATTCAGATCTCAGGCACGAAGTGAAGGTATGGTATGCGGGTCGCTGGACCTCAGCTACATTGGTGTAGCGGCCATGTGGGCAGAAGATATCGCCACCGATGAAAGGCGATACGCCCAAGGCTCACCGGTTGCTGTTGCCGAAGCAATTACTGGTCTCATCACATCAAAGAGTATACCGCAATTCGAGGGCGCACGAACAGGCTTTCCTGAACATCGCCAACTCTGCTTAGCTCTTTGTGGGTGGAAGTTCACGATTGAGACGCTGGAAGAAGAATGTCAAGAACTCATCGAACGTGGTCAGTACTATCTCGCAATCGTGCAGGCTGTTCTGCATGGCTACAAGCACATCGCTCTCAACCTGCTTCGAAGTCTTATCCGGAGCAAGACGATCCCGAACATCGGCCTGGGTGCACTTTTGGCGTCGACTGAGATCAATGAGGAACAGCATGAGATGTGCTTGTGGATGGAAGCCGATGCTGAAGACCCGGCCCTCAAAGCTTTGCTGACATATCTGACTACTGGAGATTGGAGAACTGTGATGAAGACTACCTATCTTGACTCTGATTATCGTATTGCGCTTGGTTTGAAGTATCTTAACGATACGGAGCTGAGCGGATTTCTGCAAGGCGAGACGGCTCGGGCTGTTCGCAATGGAGATCTGGAAGGCATCTTGCTCACGGGACTCACTGAGCCCGCAATGGATCTGCTTCAGACCTATATAAACAAGACCGGCGACGTGCAGACCGCTGTACTCGCCAGTGCCTACGCCAACCCACGGTACATAGACGACATGAGGTGGGATGTGTGGAAGGGAACGTACTTCGAACAGATGCAGACCTGGCGTGCCTTCCACGAGCGGGCTAGATTCACTGTTCAGCATAATGCACTCGCGGTGGATCGTGACGGTCGATCTTATAAGCAAAGTCCAGGTCAGCAGATGGAGGTGCTATGCAAGCACTGTCGTGTGCCGCTTGTCAGTCACAACGATCGACATCGTTCGAGGGGTTCCAATAAGGGCAGCAATGGAGTCTCTAGACTTCCTGCTGCTGGAGAAGGCGGTACCACATGCCTACAATGCGGACGACATTTACCGCGCTGCTCTCTTTGTGGTCAGTGGCTAGGCACGTCGCTGTCATCCGTGCGTCGCGGCATGCCTGATAGCAGGTCTGATGCTGACCAGCTGGATAGCAAGCTGGGTGGCTTCCTCACATTCTGCGTGAAATGCGAACATGCATACCATGCTGAGCATGCCAGCCAGTGGTTCGAGAAGCACAAAAGATGTGCTGTGCCAGGCTGCCTGTGCATGTGTTGCGGTCCATGAGCGAAGTTCTCCTTCGCTATGGAGGAGCGATCTCTGAATTCGTTCGACATGCATGAAAGCCTTCGCTGTATGGACCAACGAATCATGCGCGCGCTAGGTCCATAGGGCTGACCCAGCTGATGGTGGGTCCTTCGCAAGTTTGAAACAACCCTGTTTTAGTCAGGCGACTGACCGAATGCGAGTGGCCTGACTGAAAAGCGCGACACTGCTTGAACCTGGAAGCAGGCATTAGACGCTATTTCCAGCAGGTGTGCACATAGCAACATGTTCTACGAAAGTATGATAATTGCCGCGGTCGAATCACCGCTCAATTAATCTGCCAGCAATCCAGTGAGCAACAGACACAACTCTCTACACATACCGTGATTTCCTTGCACCTTCGCACGCATGTAATGTTACGGCACTAACAGTCCCTTCAGTCGACTCGTTGATTGCGTGCAGCTGCGGCTGGCCCGATATCAGGCCATCTGCTTACTCACTACGGACTCCTTCGGGGCGATGTAGAGCCCAGGCCAAGCGAGTTCGACATCATATAGCTGTTGATCGACCTAGCTTCATCAATGTCGCATTTTACTACCGAATTCCTTCCCATCATGAATGGTTACAACGGCAAGATGGAGTCGTCATCCTCTTTATCGTGGATAGTAGGGTTCTTACTGCTCACTGTTGCGCTTGGATGCTTCCTTATTTATCGGTCCTTGCTTCCTAAGCCTATCGCTGGCATTCCCTACAACCACGATGCTGCCAACAGGCTACTTGGCGATGTCCCGGAGGCTATGCAACACATCAAGGAAACGGAAGAGATGATGACCTTCTTGACAACGCAGATTGAGCGACACAACACTCCAATTGTGCAAGTCTTCATGCGGCCTGGTGGTAAGCCTTGGGTTATTTTGTCCGACTTCAGAGAAAGTCAGGACATCCTGGTCAGACGGACTCGAGAGTTCGATCGCTCTGACTTTTTCGGCGATCTCTTCATCAGCGTCCTTCCCGCCAACCAGGTTCATATGAGAACGAACGATACATGGCGTGCACACCGTCGTCTCATGGCGGACACCATGTCCACTGCCTTTCTCAACAAAGTTGCCGCACAACAGATCTATGGCTCTGCACTGGAGATCGTTGGCATGTGGCGCGAGAAAGCGAGACTGGCTGATGGGCGTCCGTTCCAGGTCTACAAGGATGTCTTTCGAGGCGCTCTAGACGTGATCTGGGCAGTCACCTTTGGTTCCGAGGTCGGCACGACGAGAAACCAGCGCAAATATCTCTCAGAACTGAAGGGAATAGAAGTCAGCACGGATGTCGATGCGCCAGTCGATCTACCAATGATACAGAATCCAGAGGCCTTCGAAGCAATCATGACTCTTGGTGAGAGCTGTGAGATCCCAATGAAGTCGCCTTTTCCTCGCCTACATCATGCCATGGCGTTACGTTTCTACCCCAGATATGTATCTGCCAGGAAGGTGGTCGATCGATTGCTCACCGATGGTCTCCGTTCTGCGTGGGTAAAATTCACTCAGCAAGGAGCTTCCGAGGGCGAAGTGAGGAGTGCGCTTGATCTCATGGTGGAGCGCGAGGTCGTGATGGCGAAGAAGGCCGAGCGCAAACCTGCTTACGACACGCAAGATATCCGAGACGAGCTCCTTGGGTTTCTGTTCGCGGGACACGAAACGACAAGCACGACCCTGACTTGGGGCCTGAAGTTCATCACCACTAAGCGAGATGTGCAGCAAAAGCTGCGTGGTGTGCTGCAGGCAGAGTTCCAGCGCGCCCACGTCGCAAGAGTGAACCCAACAGTGGAGGAAATCGTTACTGCAGACATCCCTTATCTCGACGCGGTAATCGAAGAGATCCATCGATGTGGTGGAACGGCATCTAGCAATGTTCGTGTGGCCACAGAGGATGCTGTTGTCTTGGGACATCTCATTCCGAAAGGCACCAGTGTGTTCATGGTATGTTGTATGGCAACAGACACTACCTTCCTCTGCTTACCCATCCAAACAGCTCTGCAACGGCCCAGGATATAAGTCGCGACCGATCGCCATCGACGAGTCCAAGCGCAGCAAGACCTCGCAGGAGAATGTGAGGGACAACGTTAGCTGGGACCCGAACAATGCAAACGATTTCCTACCCGAGAGGTGGCTCGTCGCCAATGAGAAGGGTCACCTGGTCTTCGAGCCGCGCGCAGGACCAAATCAGCCCTTTGGTGCGGGACCGCGCGGATGTTTTGGTAAGTCTGATGTAGTCCGGCAATGCTGCGCGTTATTGCTAATGGATACAAGGTCGCAAACTCGCATCCCTGGAATTGAAGCTACTCGTGATTCTGTTCGTGTGGAGTTTCGACTTACAGCCGACGCCACCAGCGTTATCATCCTTTGCTGGACACGACGGCATGACACATTCGCCACAGCAGTGCTTCCTGCGTCTGAAGCCGCTGCTATGAAGAGACGTTGATGTGACGTTGATGACATCCTGATCCTCATGATTCTCTGTACCATCGCATGGCACTTTGGACGTTTGCCTCTGTGAGCTTCGGCACAGGGTCGCTCTTCAATGCCATTCGGGTCTCTTGCATTAGACTTTGATAGAATGGGAGATAGTATTGCTTAGAAGAATTTGAACCCCGCGCCAGCAACGAAGGCGGCATGTGCACTGCATTTATTTTCCGCGATGCCTGTGCGGTGCCATACAACTATGCATCGTCAAAAGCTGTAGAGAGCGATGAGAATGCTCGTGTTGCTGCATGTGTGCCATTCATGGCTTCGTCATGACGTGTGCAAATGATCCCCGGGAAGCACGGAACGAAGGTTCGTTGGTGAGCTCTCACGAGCTGCGCTTTCGTTTGGACATTATTAGCCCAAGCACGATTACATCGCGTGATTATTGGCGTCTCTCGAGTGCTACAATTCTGTCATAGTCCTGAACCTAGGTAGGATATATCACCAGGCTCGACTGACTGATCCAGTACTTGGTAGGACTTATCGAAGATACTCACCCTGCCACAAGGACTGCAAACATTGGAGGCGGAGGAGGAATATCACCTATCGCTGCCCATCAGCAGCTTTCTTCGAAGAACAACCCATATTCAGGGCAGCATATGGCTCCAGCGTTGGGAAAGCTGGTACGCATGCGGGCTCTGCGATCAGCTGAGTTACCAGCACACTCCGATCTAGCGCCTCAGCAGAGCTCGGTACCACCACCAGAGCTGCAACGATTCGTGCTTGATGTACTAGAAGAAGCGGAAGGCTTTATGAGCCAGTACTTGGTACAGACGTTCAAGGTCAAAGACAAGAGCAAGAAGTCGCCGCCGTCAACCGCTTCAGTTGAGCTGCTGTCGCACGAGATAAATGCTACGGACATCCCGAAAGAGACCAAAACGGCTGGGGCAGGGAGTACTACTGAGACATGGTTTGCGCGGGCTAGTGTGCATGAAAATGCTGCGAAAGAAGGTACCGCAAGCTGGGACGAGTTCGACCAGGGACTCCGAGCCAACCACAGTCAGCATGAGATGGAGTACACACCCGGCGTGCAAGATGCTCACAAGATACTAGACTGGAACAGCGACCTCGAGGCAGTGGGAAGAAGGGTCGGTACGTGGGAGGATGTAGAGATGGGCCTCGTAGAGATGGTACACCACATCCCACCGCCGCTCAACGATCGATGCTTCTCGGTCTTGATCGTTACAGCGAAGACGGCGCAAGATTTCCTCGTCGTGCAGATACCTATTGATACCAATGGCATGCCAGGTGCAAAGTATCTGACCAAGGGAAAGCTTCAGCATGGCATGTACTGCAGTGTAGAACGCGGCGAGTTGCTCGAGCACGGCAAGAAGGTGAAGTGGCAGATGGCGACGGCAAGCGATGCCAAGGGCATACTACCCATGTGGGCTCAGAAGATGGGTGTACCGGGCGCTGTCGTGAAAGACGTAGGGCTATTCATCGATTGGACCTCAAAGAGACGAGCAGGCAAGGCCTGAACAGCACATCAAATATGCTTTGGCGAAGCCTGCACTAGTCCTTGCTCTGCCACAAGACCATACCTTCTTATACATCAGGCTGTCGTGGCAGTGTTTCACGGGCGTAACAGCGCATCTCTCGCTGCTTCAGGCGTGCCGCCCCCAACTTTGAAATTACCAACACAACGTGGTGGCGCACGAGCACAGACAGATCTTCGCAGCATCGCAGGGCGCTGCATCCATCGTGGCTTTGGAACTCTATTTTAGTAAAGCGAACTGCGTCCCTCTGCACTAGTTTTGCTTTGACATGCGCAAAGCATGTCCTACGCGTTGCGAGATTAGCAGATCCTGGGAGTACCGTTAAGAAAGGCTGTCCAGCTGGTTTGTTTCACGATACCACTGCATTTGATGCGGTAGCACTTCTCATGCTGTATTCCATACATGCCATTCTCACGATGAAAACCGGAACGATGGAAACATGTCAATCACGAGGTGTCATCACTAGATGATCTGTCACACGATAGTTTCACCAATCGCCATTCCAGACCGTTGGTCTCACGGTGAGCTTTTGGCAATCGCTAGAATCCTTCAGAACGACTGCGCATCTTGTTCCAACAGACCCAACAACCATGGAGACCCGGGATTCACGAGCGCTTGCCCACAAGCTGTACGGCCAGTGTATGTCGTACGTGTTGGTTGGATATCGTATCGAGGCTGACACAGTGCAGGTCGCGAGTCCGCAAATGCTTACAAGCTGCTGGCGAGCAGCATCAGAGACTTGCGCAACGCCCTCGAGGAGGCCGAAGAGGTCTTGGAGGCTGGTATTGCTCTTGGTTCATACGAGTCCGGTATCGAGGAGCAAGTCACAGTATGCCACCGACTGCTCGTGCAACTCAACAAGGCCATCGAAAAGCACTCGGGCGATGCGGGCGTCCACCCGGACGAGGCGGCCGTTGCAGAGATCAAGACTGCCTTCGACGTTGCAAGCCATGAGTTGTCTGTGGCATGCGAGGCTCTTGGTACGCCGGCAACCAACGGACTGCGGCCAATCAACCATCGAGCGTTTCTGGGTTCTATGATGATGCATTCAATGTCTGCGACCGACCTTAGCAACACAGATCGCACTCCGAGCACGTCTTCGAGCAGATGTTCGATTGTGGACAGCGATGCCACGAGCAAAGCCGGGACTTCAGTCACATCCTACTCGCCTTGCAATCAAGACTCTCCGTTGAAGACGGTTACCAACAAACAAACCATTCCGCTGCTGAGTGCGAATGATCGAAAGCCATCGGTCTGGCAAAGTATATTCGAGCTTGATCCATTGTCGATACCTTTCGAGGAGGCAAACGCGTATATTCTAGGCCACGAAGAAGCTATTGTGTCAAAAGTGCACGAGCTCCCTACTACTGCAAATGTCGTTGCTTCGCCGGAACAAATCGAGCTTACTGCCGAGCTACCAGGCGAGTCCAGGACCATGGAGAGGAACGGAGAGAGTGGCTCGGATGTCCAGGTAGCTGGAGTAGATTCCAAACGAACCTCCCAGAGCACTCCCTCGCCAGGTCGTCGCAAGACTGTGCTCATAGACCCACCAGTCACAGACCCAAGCACAAGGGGCACCGACAGGTTCAGTTTCGAAGAAGCCTTCAGCCGCAGGAGTACGAACAGTCAGGGCGCAAGTACAGAACAGTCCCAGGATCGAGAGGACGGTGACCACCCAGACAAGTCGATGCTTCCAACAGAGTCCATGCAGTCCACCAGAGAGCGGCCACCAATTCCACTGCCGCCGCCTCCCGGTCGAGCACCACCACCGCCGCCGTCGAGACGGCATCGATTACGCGGGTCGATAAGCCAATTCCTCAAGGTCAGCCCGAGCCGTGACAGCGCAATCGAGACCACAGAAGAGGCTGGCAATGCGCCATCTAGACCGACTTCGCAACCCTCAAAGGCGTTCCAGAGAGCCTTCGCAGCATCGGCTGGATCTCTATACCCTGTAGCTTCCGTGTCGCCTGTAGGAAAACGAAAGCCGATGCCCAGGACCAGATCATACACGCCTACACCAAACCTACTGAACGACTTATTGGCTCAGATGAAGCCCAAGACGCCCGAGCCACTAGCTGAAGAACGCGAGGACGAAGTTTCAAGTGTTAGCGAGCATAGCGGAACCATCGGCAGCTTGCCAGTCAGTCCGCGGACAATGCCGCCACAAATGACGCTGGAAGTGCCACCTGCTCTCCCGCCTCGACCAGCAAGCAGCATGCACACTCGTGCACCATCAGCAGATATCCGAGGTCCGCCAGTACCTCCAAAGGACTCCAGCACATCCATATCCATCACTCTCGCGCAAACGCTCGTGGCCGCGCAAAGCCATCGGCTCTCTGCTAGTAGATCACAGAGCTGCGACGACATGCGTGGGACAGCTGGGCATCGCTCGACTTTGTTCAAGCCATACCCATCAGCTGCCTGGTGTCGACATTCGGCCCCTGGACCACCAATACCTACGAAGCCGCCACGGCCGGTTGAAGTGCCTGCTGGAACGCAGATTGTGGAGTATTATGCCGATGGATGAGAGAGAACTTCCGGTGGCGGACAAGACTTACTATAAATTTATACTGCGCGTATTGTCCTGAGCCGCCAGATCTGTACACCTGTACTCACCTCGCTGGACTTGACATACAGTCGCAAATCACACATGAGGAGCTAAGTCAGCAAATGCTGAGGAACACCTGATGGTGCAGTCAGTCTTAGAGATCAAACGGGCTGGGCAAGATTGCCAATGCAAGCTGGCAGGTATCGTGGTGGAAGGGTTTGGAGGAAGAGGCTAGAGGCCGGACTTGTTGAGCGTGAGAATGCCATTTCAAGACGGATTGCCGGGATGTGAAGATCCCAAGATGAGACGCGACTATGAATGTACACTACATGTAGATATAGCTTGCGATTGTAGAATAGAGCAATGAAACATAGACTTCGGATAGTCTCGGCCGAGCAAACGCCACTTCATTTTCGTTCTAATTATCAATCCACGAGCCATTCGATCACCATAACGAAGATCGGATCCGAGTAAAATACTCTATCCGTTCGAAACTTGACAAAGGTACTCATCAACGAGGGGCAATGACAGACGCGTCCGAGACAGAAGGTCCTACAGACCGCCGACTACTAGATCCGAGCGAGCTGGGCACGAAGGAGTAGTATGTAAGGAGATCACGACCTTCGTCCAAGAACAGATTTTTGGAGCAAATAGACTCACACTTCCATAGCTGGGACTCAGCCTACACCCGTGAGCTACATAACCATGAAGAAGATGCAGACGACGAAGGCACCATCTGGTTCAGCGAGAGCAACGCCGAGGACGCAATTCTGGATCAACTAAGTCGCTTCGAGGAAGAAGGACTGCTCATCAGGACTGCCAGTACCGAGACGAACAAGTCGAATGCCCAGTCAGCAGCCTCCCGGTTCCTCGACCTAGGTACAGGCAACGGCCACCTCCTCTTCACTCTACGTGAAGAAGACGACGACGACGGCAATTCCTGGCGAGGCGAAATGGTCGGGATCGACTACAGCTCCACCAGCATCGAACTCGCACGGCGTATAGCAGAGCAAAAACAGCTTCCCGACATTACCTTCGAGCGCTGGGACCTATTGGAAGACGAAGCAGGAGACTGGCTGCAAACCGGCTTCCATGTCGTGCTGGACAAAGGCACATTTGACGCCATCTCACTCATGCCTCATGCTGGTGGCGTGCGACATCCCTGTGATAAATACAGAGAGAAAGTGACGCAGCTCATTAAGCCTGGATGCTTCTTGTTCATCACGTCGTGCAACTGGACGAAGCAGGAATTACTGTCCTGGCTTGCACCCGAAGGTGGCGAACTCGGATATCTTGCCGAAGCGAAATACCCGACCTTCACTTTTGGCGGACAGACGGGGCAGACGATTGTCACGTTGGTACTGCGACGGGAACAGCGGATAACGAGTTGAGACTAGAGCGCAGGGTTTGGAAGTGCAAGGTCATGCTGCTAGCTGCCACAAACGGTGCGTGACGCCAATCTTTTGTTCATCACATAGCTGTACACATATATACAGAAAAAGCATCCTGGTATCTTTTGGCCCTTCAAGCGCATAATCCGACTCATCGCCTCCTGAACTCCATCGTCTTCCCTCGCAAACAAAACATAGTATCCTCTTCACCTCCATCAATCCTACACCACCACACCAAAAAAAAGATCACAACCCCTCAAACCCACCCTCCCCACCCCTCCCATCCACATCCACACCCCCATCCACCTCCCCCACAATCCCCCCACCCTGCGGCGTCAAGCCAGTAGGCGCCAACCCCCCCATCTCCCCAAAGCCATTCAGCATCCCCCAGTCGAAATTCCCCGCTCCACCCCCACCAAACAGATTGTTATCGTCGCCGATAGTCGGGGGCTCCATATTGAATGGCATGAACCAGGCTGTCGAAGGGTCACCCCAAGAGCCCGCCGAAGGCACATTCCCATTCCCATTGCCGTGATTCGAGGCCGTGGCCACGGGGTGAGTGGTGTGGGATGGGAGGCCAGAAAAGGCGTCTAGATTGAAAGGGTCAAGTGGCGCATGCTGTGCAGAACCGAGGAGATTTGTGCCGTTCATGTGATAGACATTTCCAGCACTCTGGTCGATTCCTGCGTAGGAATTCAGCACCATTTGCCTATCAAGCTGACTCAACAAATGCTGAGGTGGACTGCCCAGGAGCGGATTAGGCGGTTGTTGGTACCCGGGCGGAAAAGCGATCGAGTGCTGTTGGCGCTGCAAAGCCTCTAGCGTTCCGCCGTCGGAAGCGAAGCCCTGCTGAGCGGCTAGGAGGTTCTGCTGGGCTTGCATAGCCTGTAAAGCCTGCAGATCACCTGTCGAGGGCGCTACTCCCAGCTGTCCTCCCGCCGCCACGCTCGCCGCCCCAACATTCACATCACCCGCAACCACCGCAGCAGCAGCAGCCTCAGCAGCCGCCCTCTTCTCGCTCTTACTCGCCCGCCTCTTCTTCGCCGCAGCCCCAGCAGCCCCACCACCTCTCCTCCCACTCCCACCCTGCTGAGATTGTACAGCCGCCGCCCTACTCGGAGGACTCAACTTGGCGAAAAAGTCTTCGACAGTCTGCAAATCGCTCTTCTGGCCCAACACCCCATCAGCCCCGGGCTCCCTCTTAACCTCCGCACTGGGCTCCTCGTAATCCGTGCCCGAGACACCATGCGGATACCGATCAAACCAATCTCCATACTGGAAGATCTCGCCCTTATCCTCCTCCCCTCCACCGTCCTTCCCACCCGCCACCGCAGCACCGGCAGCAGCACCACCACCACCACCAACCTGCACAGCCGAAGCAGAACCCCCACCACCCGACCTCGCAGCATCCGCATGCCGCCGATACAACTCCCTCAAATTCTCCGTAACAAAATGAAACATCCCCCAAAACTTCTTCATCTTAGTCAAAAACTTCACATTCCACGCCAAATTCCGCTTACTCTCCGCCTCTAGCACCTTATCCCTGGAAAAAGCACCATGGATATGGACCGTACTGGCGAAGAAAGCACAATACCCCGCAAAGGGGGCCACGACCAAATGATCCATCGCCTCGTGAATAAGAGCGGAGATCATATTCGCCGCCTCCAGCGCCTTGCGCGAACTCGCCTGGACAAACTCCCCCGGCATATCGGGGGGGAAATCCGACCGGCGTCCAGGCGTCGGCAGCGCAAACCGATTCATAAACAGCACGACCTGTCGGTGCAAAATATGCAAGAACAGAAACTGATTCGCCAGCTTCAAACTGGCGAAATTCTGCAGATTCTCAGCCGAATACTGCATCCAGTCCGGTAAACTCTCCTCCCAAGCGTCCAAACTCCTCACCATGCCCTGAAATACCGAATCTTCCGCCCACATGGGCATCTCATCCCTATCCTTCCCGCCCAGGTTCAGATACTGTATAACCCTCCCCCAGATCGACACGAGGCGGACGAGGTAGGCGGCGATGCCCATATTATCCTTCGGATCCTGCAATTGTCCCGTGTCCACCTCCACGGGGTTAGGGACAGCACCAGCCAGATCCTCCGTCGGGCCCGTGATCTCCATCAAATAATAATCTTCCCGTATAGGCAATTGAGCTTTAATATACTGTTCGGCGACGAAGATCGGGCGATCGGAGCCGGAAGACGTGAAGCGGTCCATGAGGAAACAACTCCACACCGTGCGACGCCTAATTTCCCGATCCGTGAACGTCAATTCCCCATCCCCGCCTCCACCACCAGCCCCTTTCCCAGCAGCCTCCGAACTCCCCCGCCGGATCTTGGGGTCATGATCGAGATCATTATGCAATTGCAATGCATACGCCATGCGTTGCGCCATGCCACACAACATCCAGCTCCTACCCCCCTGACACGTGCCGAACTCATGTAAACCCAGTATGAGGTACGAGATCAAAATGGTGATGTTAGGCGTGTCATACCGACTCAACGCAATATCCCTCGCGGGACCGGCCCACTGCTCTCCGCGCAGGAAAGCGGGTTCCGTGCCTCGAAGGTCCGGATGATTGGAGAAGCGCGCGCTGATAGCGCAGACGGCCAGAATAAGCACCGGCGGGATCTTTCCATGGGCTAGTTTGCGTAGAAAACTGGGTTTGTGCAGAAGATGGTAGGATTGACCATAAACATAGTCGAAGTAGACCTCAGTCAAATGCTCCTGGATCTCCTTGCTTGGCAGCTTATCCGCCCCTTCGAGGAGCAAGTTCCGCTCTTCCGCATCATGTGGTGCCTGCTCTTCTCCCCCATCCCCTTGACCACCCCGCCGTGTTGCCCCTCCCTCCCCCTCAACCGCACTACCCGGCTTAGGGCCCCCCGCCGCAGCCCACTCATCCAACTCCTCCCCCCCAAACGCCACCTCCGCCCCTCTCTTCTTCCCCCCGGCTCTACCCCCTCCCACTCCCAGCCCCCCAGGAGCAGCAGGAAGCGGCGGCTTAACATTCGCCCTCCCCGTCGCAGCCAACGTCCCCATCTGCTCATCCTTAGGTATGAATTTAATCACCCGATCCTCCATCCTCTTGAGCCGTTTATCCAGCATAGCCATATAATCCGTCCGGGGCGCGGCTTTGCGCGTGGTGACTTTGTAGACGCAGGGGATGCGGGAGCGGAGACAGTGTTTACAGGCTGGTTTCTCCCCCGAGCAGCGGATCTTTTTGCGACGGCAGGCGATGCAGGCTAGGGGGAGGCGTTTCCGCTCTTTGCCTGCTTTGGTTTTTAGTTCGCTCCAGGAGGGTTGGAGGGCGGGGTCGGTGGGTTTGTTGCTGGATGTGTTGTCGCCGAGAGGTGCTTGTGTACTCAGGGTGTCATTGCTGAGATTGCCATAGACATTATCGCCTACACTTGGTCGACCGTGTGCGCCTGGGCTGGTTGTGTCGGACCCCAACTCACTATTATGCGCGGCCAACTCACCATAATGTCCTCCATCACTCATGCTGAGCCTATGTCGATGATGAGCCGGTAACGCAGTCTCACCATACCCACCACCACCACCACCTCGTCCACCCATGTGTCCATTTGCCGATAGCGGAGGCAGCACAGCAGAACCATCGAAAGCGTTGCCATAACTCTGCATCCCACCAGCCGGGGCCGAACGATAGCTATTCATACTTCCACCTGGAGGCCCATTCACTTGCATGACAGTATCCAGATGCAGACTCTGCGGGGTTCCAAACCCATACTCGCTGCCCGACTGACTCCCACCGAAGAGCGACGGTGGTGCCATACCACCTCCACCTCCACCTCCACCTCCACCACTACCAGCCAAGTTCAGCATGTCCGAGCTCGGCGAAACACCTTGGTATTCCGAAGCCATCCTCTTCTGTGAATCTCAATCACATCCGACCCTCGCAACGCCGGCGAGGGTTTGTCGTCGTAATAATAACAAAAAGAAGCCAGTCCAGTGCCGACCTCTCACGCCAAGATGATCATTCTGCTGATCAAAACAGAAATGGAGGTATCGCGGAACGCACTACTACTTCGGTTCGGTGGGTACTAGACCGGCGGATGGGAAGATCGCCGGGGAAGCTCTCCGCTTCCAGGTAAGCAAGCAAAGGCGGCGAGAGTCGGGGGCGGGGGGGATGCAAGTAAGCAAGTAGTAAGATTCAAGACAAGACAGCACGACGATCCGGATCGACCTGTCGCATGCCCGTTTCCCTTCCTTTAATTATACTATTTAGCCGTGATTTTTAAGCACCCCAGACCCCCAACTACGCTCGCGCCTCCCAGTCGCATATACAGTACTTGTTGCTGTTTGGCTGGTTAGGTAGTACAGTATACACGACGCTTCAGTGACGCAACACCAGACGGCAGAGATATACAGCTAAGCTGCAGCCCAATCAATATATTTCCACATAGCAACAATCGGGAGGATTTGGGCCGGGGTGCAGGACGAGTGGAAGGCAAGGGTCCTCCGTGAAACCAGCCTCCACTAAGGTAACTTGCTTGTTCGTTACCATTCTCTGCCCGTGAGAACTTCTAGACTACCTTGGCTAGACGCTTTTGTTACATGCACGCCCCACCGATTGCCTCGAGGGCTGAGACTTGGCTGCGGAGACGGAGATGGCCTCCACATGCGTGACACTTGCCCGCCATCTTCGCTTTTTGCCCCGACCCTGTCTTCGTTTTCCCGACGTTCTACCTTACGAATAGGCAGTAAAGGAACCGGAGATGGAAGACCGTGCCAATCCAGCATCCTCAAAACGATGGTCCCTACGAACTGCAAATAATGGTATACAGCCTGCTGTAGCCTGTGAAGCAGTCCATCACGAAAGGCGAAACCCACTCGAGCAACGCAAACGCAAACGCAAACGCAAACAGACCAATAGGATCATTATCCACCTTGAGGTCAGACCGGCCACAGTCCCGATAAACGAGGGAGGAACCCATGCTTTTCCATGCCATGTGGAAGCCCTGTCAGAAGCTAATGAAAACGCCTCCTGCGGAACTAGTACGCCATCATCTCATCATTTCATCACTTCCATCGTTGTCAGCAAAGAAGGTCGCACAAACATGGAAGGCGTCTCGCTAAGAAGGTTCGTTGTGACATAGGCAAGACGAACAACTGATCTACATAATTCATTTCGAGAGGTTGGCTCCTTCTTCCACTTAGCTTTAGCTTACTCTACTGTACGTAGCTTATTACATACAGTATCATCTGTATATCGAGTATTGTCGGATCCATGCACGTTGGTTAACGGCACGGCGAGAACAGACCAAGACAGGGCGAAGGAGTGACTAGGGACGAGTGACATGCTCGCTACCACACTATCGGGCGCAGATCCCGTGTTTCTCATAATCGACACACTACAGCGCAAGCTCCAGCGGAGAAGGACATGCTCGCCTCGCGGGCGGAGAAGAAAGCGCTTTGGTTCGAGAATGCCGATCATAGAGAGCATTAAGGGGTAAGTGGTTGTTCTTGCTTGATCCTATGTATAGTGGCAGAGCTTCGTATATCGTTGTAGTCGTGGACAATGTGCAACGTACGGGAAGCGATCCTGGTATACCGTCTCCTTGTCTCGCACAGTCATGCTTCTGGTTGGAGAAAGGCCCAAGAAGCATTCTGCGTTCAAACCACAAATAGAAAATCACATGATCGTCCAATCAGTCCAACAATCCATGCATCCCATCCATCAACCGTTCATCCATCAACCATTCTTGCACAAGCACCAGAACAACCCTCCAAAATCCGCTCATACACCCGGCAACCCCACCACCCTCCTCATTGCCGGAACAGCCCTAGGCAAGAAATAAACCAGATACACCGCCAGAAACGCCACGGCCAAACCCGTGAACTTCTCAAACCAAGTATGGAAGTACGCAGCCGTCATGAGCAACATCCACCAACTCATGCCCGCCACCCCCAACGCCGCCTTGACGCCCAGCGAAGTCTCCTCCGGGATCTTCATATTCCTCCCCTCCTTCCTACCCTCCGCAGTATCAGCGTCCGTCTCGATAGCCGCACTCCTCACCAGCCCATCCTTCGTCAAAACCCGCCTCGCCTCACGCAACCCCTCCATCCTCAACAGCGCGGGTAAAAGTTCCAACCACAACATCGCACTCCCCAGTATCAACAAAAACACATGCCCACTAATATCATGCCCACCCCTCCACTGCCCCCCAATCGTCTTACAAGCCGCATGCGTGAACGCCTTCTCCGCCTGACTCATCCCCGCCTTCTCCCGCCGCGCAGCCAGCGTCTCACTCTCAATCATCTCGCACTTGCCCCCCGTCCACGTGAAAGAGCGATCAATAATCGGCGGGCCGAAGAACCACTGCGTCACAAACACCCACACCAACGTAACAAGTCCATACCGCACCCCAGCCTGCCACCTCCTCCTCGTCCCCACCACCCTCAACGGCGGCCCCAGACTCGAATGCGTGAGGATGAAGCTGGAAAAAGCCAACGTGATCCAGAACCAGCCGATCTTGACGAAATAAACATTAAACAGATTTCCCTTCCGGGCGAAATAGGAGGGCGCGGTGGAAGGGTCGTAGGCTTGGGCGATGGGATTGTAGGTTGCGGCTCGCGTGGAAGGGTGCAGGGTGCTGAAGATGCTGCCGAGGAGGAGGGTGAGGGGGTAGAGGGATAGGAGGAGGGTTTCCAGCGCGGTGGGGAGGAAGGGGGAGTTGAGGAGGGAAGGGGATTCTTCGAGGGTTGTTGTTGGTTGCATGTCGGAGGGTTTCGTGCTGCCGTTTGCGCGGGAGGGGATGGGGACTTCGAATTTCGTGGTTTGGCGTCTTGTCGTCATGGTGGTGGCGCAAGGGGGCAGGTTGCGATAGTACGGAGGTAGAATGTCAGCGCATGTTGTGGTAGTGGGATTACGGATTGCAAGGATTGTGGGAAAATGTCATGTTTACTCCCACTGCTCTGTTTTGACTTTCGACACGTTCAGTCTGACGTCAGTGTGGCTCGAATCGTGCCTGCCTGGAAAGTGGCGCAGAATGGAACCACCTGGCATTTCATTCGTCCACACATCACTACTACTACTACTACTAGTAACCTCTAGCACATTCTCCCCGTCTCGACGTCTGGCTCGAGTAAGAGAGCATACGTCAACGTTTCGAACTAAACATCGAGCTGGCCTGCGTAGTAACGGGACGAGCCGACAATTGCCACCTGTTGCAACGTGATGCTCTGCGGCTGCAACTCGAGATACTTGTCAGCGTACAGATCTTCATCACATCGGAGCTTAAGCCCTTCCTTCACGGACGAGAATCCGTATATGCAGCCATCCACTAGCCAGCGACGATGCCGCAGCCAGTGATATGTCTTGACATTCTCCGGGCCGCACGTCGAGCTGCAGTCTTGCAGACGAGAGCAGGGAAGAGCTTCCAGATTTAACGATCGCATCAAAGGTCTGGAGGATTGAGGCGGGCACACCTCCAAGATGAACATGCATTGACTTGACCGGTGCGACAGTGCATATAGCTATCGTACTGACTTTGAAAGCTCTCTGACTAGAGGCCAAGACCGCGCTTTGGGCCAGGCTTGTAGCTCGACGCAACCCGAATGCAACCACACTGCAGACTTCGAGTTGCCTCTTCGAAGATATACATCACGAGCTGCAGGAATCGCGCTTCGTACAACAGCATACGATGCACTCGAGCTAAACCCGAAAGACAAGACGAGCGTTCAAGCCGTCTACCCGCTTAGCTCTAACCCATCGTCCCGAGAAACACCTCAGAAGCGAGAGACACGGCACCAAGCGCCACAAGACACGGCACGCCCATTCCACCTCAGGAAGAGAACTGGTTCGCTCGCCTCACGCATGCACTAGAGGAAGTGCTTCGGCAGCTTGTCAACCAACACTGTTGTTACACAAACTACTGCTCCGAGCTGGGACGAGGCGGAGATGGCAGACTCTGGTTCGTTGGTGGATTGAAGGAGCTAGTGGGTGTTTTGGAGCCGGCGGGCAAGCCAGTGTTACACGGTGTCTTTCCTGCTGGTATCGTATCTCATCGCAGTGGAGATGCGCGGGATGAGGATGTTGGGTGCGCGGGCGAGATTGCTGTGGATGACTGACCGGACTTGTTCACATTGAGTAGGTATCGATGCGATTCCTCGACTCCTACGATATGAACTGGTGTAACGCAGTATCCGAGCTCCCATTCACGAGGACATTTTTTATCCACTTGGCGAGGAAGCTGCACAAGCTTTCGATGTCGATACTGAATCGTCGCAACTGACAGAGCTTAGATTATTCATGGCCCGGCCACCACCCAAGGATGTTTCAAGACTTGCTCGATTGTCAACCGTTCCTCAGGCTTCCACCTCGACATCCCCGCCAGAAGATCCCTCATACTCTCCGCCTCACAATCAGGCACTACAGCGCCACAAGGCTCCAGCAGTCCCAGCCCAGGCGCAATCGACAAAGCCTCTTCCTCATCTTCCGTGCCAATCCATCCAATCTTCTCCACGAGCGAGGTCTCAACAGCCAACACCCTACCGTTGCGCCATACCTGGAGAGGCTTACCATCCTCCTCAAAGCACCTCGCACGCCTCTCCCCATCGACTCCACCACGGCTCAGGCATCCAACCTTTCATCTCTACCCACTGCATAATAATCTCGTCTTTCGTGCCCATCAAGCTCGTGAAAAGGGGATCCCCGGATCGAATCTCATACAATACACAGGCCAGTGCCCAGATTTCAGATCGTGAGTCGTATTTCCCATCGAACATGGTTTCAGGTGCGCGATACATGAACGGGATACCGATGTCGTCGGGCTTCGGTGGCTGGTCGAACGAGAATGCTTCGCCGAAGTCGACGAGGACTATGTCTTCTGCAAGATATTCTGCATCTGGCAAGCCCGCAGGCTCGACGACATACTCTGGACCAGAATTATTGGATTCAGACTGTGCGGCTGGAATCAGCTTCGTTGTGGATGGCTTGCCCAGGCGTTTGTAGACGTCTTCTTCTGTCCAGCGATTGATATCTTTCATTCTGAGCAGGACATTGGGTAGTGTCAGATCTACAGAAAACATTAGATGAAGGTGCTCTTAGCATTCGTGAATCATACGTACCGCCATGACAAACACGACCCGTGTGGAGAAAGCCCACAGCTTCTGCTAGCTGTCTGATGGCCTTTCTTGCAACGTCAAACCGCAGTCGTCGTGCTCCAGCTGTGAAACCTGCTCCGTAGACATTGTAGACATTCCTCAGACTCGGCCCAGCAACCTCTGAGATCAGACAGTCGTGCTCGCCATTGGGACCATGGATCGTGAAGTGGTCCAGAAGGACTCTGATGTGCTCACCTCCAACATGCCCAGATCTTACCTTCGAGAGATCTTTCAATACACGAGTTTCTCGCTCAGAGGCTACTTCTTCCGCCTTGAGGATTTTGAGCGCCACGTAGCGTTCTTCGGGGTTATCATATGCTAGCCATGTTGTAGAGAACCCGCCGGCGCCTAGTTAATGCAGGACTTTGTAAAGTTCGTGATAAACGTCACCTAGATGAACGGGGTGGTAGCCGCCCGGCCGATATTCCTCGATTTCCTCGATGTTGTCCAGGCCTAGGCGTCGGTAGCGTTCTTCGCGGATAGACATCGAGCTGTATGGTTTGGGAGAGGACCTGAGTACTTTACAAGAGAGCTTTCGCGGTATGGCAAGCAGCTTTGTCTTCATTTCAGGCCCAGCGATCGTGGCATGATGGATGCTTGGACGTATGGCAGTATAGCTGGGCATCTCAGGGACGCATGCCTTTGGCTTTTGGATGCGAGGTCGATGATGTGCTTGGCATGGCACATTCAATCATACCTAGGAGCAATCTGACGCGAGTAATGGTAGCATGAGTGCCTGCTCTCGCGCGTGCATGTCCTCAGGAGAAGCATGTGAGCTGAGTGTGACAATATACAAACGACTGTGTCTTTGAGATTTTGCCGGTCAGTGTCCCACGGAGCAATCTGGCTTCACTGTAAACAACCGGTCTTGACAGTCGTATCCGGGTTCGTCTTCATGGTTTGCAGAGTGCTAATAGGAGTTGCATGTACGGCTGGAACATATATGTGTTGTGGCGCAAGCATTTCTCCACACGCCACGAGGCGCACGGTCTCGAATGCTTGGGACAAGTTATGTCGAGACCATATTGAGAGTGGTGTAGGCAGCTATCACATGCTGACACCTTTACACTTCTGGACAAGATGATAGACATGCCGTAGTAGAATACCAACAAGCATCATAGCAAGCCAGCAAACCACTCCTCGCCATGGCCACCTTCTCCTCCGCCTCCTCGTCCTCGGCACCCTCTCGAGGAGCCAACCATGCAGCCCCAGCCAAGCAGCAACCACCCGGAACATTCCTCCCCAACACTAAGGTCCAAGTAGGCAGTCAAAGGGTAGTAATCGAAAAGTACCTCTCCGAAGGCGGCTTCGCCCACGTCTACGTCGTCCGGGTACCACGAGACAACAACCGCCATGAGCTCGCAGTGCTCAAACGGGTCGCTGTACCCGACAAGGACAACCTGGCCAGCATGCGGACGGAAGTGGAGACGATGAAGAAGTTGAAGGGGCATAAGCAGGTGGTGTCGTACATGGATAGTCATGCCAGTCAGTTGAAGGGAGGAGGCTACGAGGTCTTCTTACTCATGGAGTACTGCTCCGGAGGAGGGTTGATCGATTTCATGAACACGCGATTACAGCATCGATTGACAGAGCCGGAGATCTTGAAGATCTTTGGGGATGTGGCGGAGGGAGTGGCTTGTATGCATTATTTGAAACCACCGCTCTTGCATCGGGATCTGAAGGTGGAGAATGTGCTCATCACGAAGAGTAGCTCCGGGAAGCCTTTATACAAGCTGTGTGATTTCGGCAGTGCCGCTGTGCCTCGACCGGCGGCCAAGACGACGGAGGAGGGAAGGTTGATTGAGGAGGATGTTCAGAAGCACACGACCATGCAATACCGAAGTCCGGAAATGATCGATGTCTGGCGAAAGCAACCTATAGACGAGAAGGCAGATATCTGGGCTCTTGGTGTACTGCTGTACAAGCTATGCTATTACACCACTCCTTTCGAGGACGTAGGGCAGATGGCTATCCTCAATGCCAGCTACAAATACCCGAGCTATCCTTCCTTCTCGGAACGACTGAAGAAGTTCATCGGCTGGATGCTGAAGGAGGACCCGAAGCACCGTCCTAATATCTACCAGGTCATCAAGGAGGTGTGCAGTATGCGAGGGATAGAGGTGCCAATCAAAGACATCTATGCTGATCGGACGCAGTCGGAGGCACGGCGAAATCAGGCACTGCCCACCCCTGCTTCACCATCAGCCTCACCAGCTATTGGTCTGCAGAAGACCGCACCGCAGGTTCGGGTACAGAGTATCCCAGACATTGCGCCCATGCGCCGAGGACGCCCTACTGCCCCGGCTCAGCAAGCTCCCGTTGGTGCCAAGCCGGCTCCATCGCCTGCACGTGGCGACCCATTTGCTGCTCTAGACTCAAAGAACTACGATGTGCGCGCTGGTGCGGTGGATGAGTTGTCGAAGCGCTTCCCGTCACTGGATGACTTTTCCATCACGCAGGATCCGAGCAGCAAATTCCCTTTCTCGCCCGATTCGACGAAAGCAGCGCCAAAGGGTGAGATCAACCAGCGTGTCAGCGAGGCGCTTGCCGACGAAGTGTTTGCGCAGCAACAGCCAAAAGCTGATGTAACCCGGACCCAAAGCACTAGTCAGGCACAATCATCACGAAAGCCTCAGATAGCTACAGCGTCGAATGTTGCGGCTCTTAAAACCAGACAGGCGGGCCAGCAATCCCCACTTATACATCAGCCTACGCCTGTTCGTGCGGCTATGCCATACAAGTCCACTGGTGTCGGATCTTCACCTCCTCCAACGAAGGCATACAAACCCGCTGATCTGAAGAATCGGCCGATATGGCGCGTGCCTGATCACTACCGATCTGCCAGCCAACCAAGAGCATCCGATGCCGCAGAGCAGGCTGCGGCGACTCTACGGCCAAGTCTGCCACCAGCACAACGTCCTGCGATGCTTGATATCCATCGCTCGAAATCACAGACGAATACGGCGTTAGCTACCGACGTGAAACCGCCTACTTCCTCACGGCCGTCGCTCGAAGGGCATCGACCATCTCACCTCGAGCTCGATGATCAAGGCCCAGGTCGTGCGCGGTCAGCACAAATGCGACAGAGGCCATCCAGCGCGTACGTAAGCTCGAACTTGGACTTCCTCCGAGATCAGGAGAGTTCCCGCAAGCGACCCTCGATGGATGAGAGGCGGCATAGTCGGCAGTCTTCACAACAAGGTAGGGAGAGACACGATACAAGTGACGAAGCACCGATCGCAGATGACATGGATTTCTTGCGCAATACCGAGGGAAACGACGATAACCGGAGGAAGTCCGGACGCAAAAGCTCAAGCCATGGGAGGAATAGGTCGAGTCTGCCTGGGTTACAAGGTGCAAAGCAATTGTTCGGTGGCAAGATCAGTGATGCGTTCAAGAGGTTCGAGCACGGAAACGGTGATGAAAAGGAGGAGGCGATTGATGACAGGCCAACAACACCATCTGCTGCACATGATGGCTATAACGGCGAGCAGTCCGGACAGCACCTATCACCCGTACCAGGCTCCGAAGCCACGCCGACCAAATACTCTGATGGTGACGAATCAGCAATAGACGAGACACAGGATCTACCCCCGGATGTCAAGCGGGAGCTAGAACGGCGAAGACTAAGTCAAGAAGAGATGCGAGTCGCGCAAGCAGCAGCGGATTACCGAGCCCGTGTCGATGCGCAAGGGACGGGCGGCACGGCACCTAGTAGAGCCAGCACGATACAGAAGCGTGTACAGAGCTTGCTGGACGAGGGGCGGCAGTCACCTGTGCCGAGAAAGACGGCGGAGGGATATGGAAAGTACACCGAGACCTCGTCGAGCGTTGAAGGGGATGCTGCTACGGGACAGCTGCTTGGTCGTTCGGAGACTCTATCTGCGAGGACGATGCCGCCGCCTATCGCACGAAAACCTGCGCCACCAACGGCTTCTTCAGATCTCTCGCGTAATCCATACCCGAAGACTAGACAACAACAACAACAACAGCAGCAGCAACCCACCGAACCAACCTTCCCACCTACCGAGCTCTCACGTAACCCCTACCCCGTTTCAAGAGCTACACCCACAAACTCGCCAACGGCACCAAACATACCCGGTCCCTCTGCCTCCGCACCACCAACACCTCAACCACAACAAACGCCAACCGTGTACCCCCAACGTACCGTTTCACGCCCCTCCGTCCCTCCAAAAGCTCAAGCGCTACGCACAGGAGGTTCATCCCGGCAATGGCCCCCGGCATCCCAGCAATCGCAGATACAGGCGCAAGCTCCACCGAACCAGGACAAACCACTCCCCTCCAAGCCGACCGGAGGTCTAGCAGCACTCCTAGCGAAGGACCTGGAAGGCGTGCCGGATTACCCTCCTAATGGTTCGTCTGCCTCGGAATCTCGACGGGAAGTTCCACGAAAAGAGGATATGCGGTCCTTTGGTGGTGGTAGCGACGCTGGTGGTCGTGAGACCACTGGTGGAGAAGAAGACTTCGAGGCAGACTTTAGTAAGCGGTATCCGAGTCTAGCTGGTATTGAGATGGTGGAGACGGATGTCGGGCAATCTCAACATAGTAGTGATACTGGTGGGAGAGCCATGCGGGTGAAGGAGGTCTAGTGTATTCTCCAGCAGCCAGAGGTGTAATATATAAGCTTGGCTACAACTGCCTAGGCGAGACAACCGTACTTCTTGAAGTCGTGTCCTTTCACTTCATGTCACTTTCTCAACATCGCCGTTGCTATTTGGATTGGACAGCGCAGCAGATCTCCCCTCGAGCTGAAGCTTAATGCGATCCATATATCCTTGTTTGATGGGTCCAACGAGATGTTCTTCCCAAGAGTGCGGATGCGGTCCTGAGCGGCCTTGATCTCGTCCTGGCCAGAGGAGACGGATGGACAGCCAAGTCAAGGCAATTATGCAGATTGCTACGATCAGGAGACGGTTTCTGCGCTTCATCTTATCTCCTTGAAGCAGTTGTGGTCGCGGAAGAGGAAATGGTGGCAATGGAGAAGGAACGAATGTCAAGTGAGGCGAAGTGTGGGGACAGGGAGAAGCTTCAGTCTGCTGTTCCACTTTGGATGTAGCAATTGCAGTGGATTCTTGATACACGCCCACGGCGTACCTCAAACAGTTGTAGACTATGGGACTTTGACAGAACGCAAGAAACTATGAAGGTAGCTGTTCGGCCGACAGTGTTGATTTCAGCACAACTTTGAAGCCTGCAAAGATCGGCAATGATTGGTCGAATGCGACAACTGCTTCAGATACTACGAACAGTAGTCAGTCGTCACTGCGACCACGCTCTTGTCTCCAATGTCGAAACCACCCGGTGCTCCGCTATACATTAGCGAGATCGTGCGAGATAGAGGGAAGTCGGATGTGATTTGCCTGGTCCCCATATGTGGACTTGGCCGCACTACTGGCTCTCGCCCATCGACTTGCCATGAAGCCAGACTTTCAAAGGGTCCTTCGTATCCTTAATCATCATCAAGCACTGGCTGGGAAGGTTTGTTCTCGGTGGTGGCGATCATCTCCAACACCACCGAGTGATCTTGAGAAGCCTGCGATGGTCGCCACCTACGAAAGAGTCGCTCATTCAAGGACTCAATCCACTCCTGCTCCGACTCCAGGCCCGAGAGCTTGCCCAACGTCAGTGCCTGAACACCTGTGGACCGGGCGTCCAAGAAACCCAGCTCCCACGAGTACTCCACACGAGTACGAGACGTTCAGACACGATGTACTGCAGGACATCTTGGGCGAGCCGAAGCAGGACGAGCTAGGCTACACGATCGATCGCAACCTGTTCCAAGCAGCTTTCGCGAATGCTGGCGCTCTTCGCATAGATTGTGCAGCCATCGAAACAGAGCAGCATGCAAGGACAAGCCGCTTAATGTATGCACCAGGCTTGCCCTCATCTCTGATACCTATCGAGCTGCAATACACTGTCGAGTATGATCAGTTCATCGATAATGTCCCACACCCACGTTTCCGGTACAATGTCCTGACAGCCATCGCTGCCTCTCAATCCGACGCCACCAGTCTGCTCCGCTCACTAAGGCATAGTGGCGTAGTAGTCATCGTCAATGGTGCTCGCAGTAGGGATGGAGTTGTTGCATGGGGTCCTCCAGACAATTTTCGCAGCTGGGAAATCTCCGAAGCTTTCTATTCCGTTTGCAAACCTTTCTTGGTTGGCTGTGATGATTGGTTGCAGGCAACGAATGTATGGCGAGCTCGGAGGGCAAGAGAAAGCACTTCTGCTCTGCACATAGCGGCACCATCTTATCAGTGAATTGAATATATTACTTTTGAAAGCGAAACGGTATCCGATCTAGTATGCCCGCCCCTGCCCTCTCTCGAAGAAGTGTGATTCTAGCCACCCCTGGTCACTCACTAGTCTGTACTTGCTCCTGACCCCTGAGTCCTGGCACGAGCTGCAGAGCTATGGGCCGAATGTAGACCGAAGTACTTGCGCCCTCTTGACATTATCCTCGTGATAGCCGATGACTCGCGCATTGGCAGGCGAGGCTGCTCCCGTAGTTGATTTTTGAGGGTGTCCTGCAACCGGGAAGAGTGACTGCCACGGAATGTTCATTGATAATCCCCAGCTCTCGCTCGCCTTCCACGCCGCATTGTCCCGAACAGGTCTACTCAACATTGACTACAATGTCCGATGACGAGGTCCTCATCAATCTGGGCGGACGTGCGGAGGCGTGGTTGGCTATCTGTATTTTTGGGATAGCCGTTGTCAACATGTACCCCTCTCCAGTGCAAAGGCTTTGAGAGCAAAGTCTGAAAGGATCATCGTTGCAGATCATACCGTAATGTAGCTAGTTCTATCGGATTTTATGGCTGTTGGATCTCAAAATGAAGTCTGCCCTGCCGTTGGTCAAAACGCAATGGCTGATTTTGAGCATTGCAAATGCCGTGAAGGTCAATGACGGAAGTCTGATTCGCATGGTAGATTTTAACAGTGGTGAAGTATCAACAATACGTCTTTCTTGAAAAAATGCAGAGCCGCAATTCGACCAGTCAAATTGTGCGACCTGTCTCGCTGCGGTGGCGACCCACATCACATTTTCTGATCGTCAACCCGACATGCCGGTTCTGTAACCTGTGCGGGCATATACACTACTACCGGGCAGCCTTGCTGTCGACCTGGTCTGCTTCTACACTACCCTTGTAAAGTACATATTTGCAGAGCCGCCCTCGCCGTCTCCAGGAAGCTTCGAGTAGCGGAAGGCAATTCGACAAGATCTGCCCTGAGCCGTCTCGCGCCTTGCTAGGTCATCAAGCATATACTTCCGCCTTCCACCTTCTAGAACTCAAGACTCGCCCTCCGTACGTTTACAGCATCAGGCCAACACATGATTGTCTGCTCAGCGAATAAGACATTGCGAGACCCTTCTCGATCACTGTATACAGTAGACACGAGGCAAACCTACCATCTGCCCAAGAGCTACACGGTCACCACTATCTGATCTAAAAGATAATGTCCCTTCCGAGTGGCGACCAAGGGTCTGGGTCGTCCAACCAGTCTGGCAAACAGCAACCACTGTTCATTCTCTCAACACAAGGCAAGAACACAGAAGAGTCTCGACGTTTGGTACGAGCTCAAGCCGCACGAGCTAGCGCTGCACAAAGCCGAGTCACTCGAGCTCGAAATCGTGGCGAACGAGAGAGTGCTAGTGCTGTGGCGCCATCACCTCTGGCAGAGGAATCCACCCAGATAGCCTCGCCGATAGTGAGCACCGATAGCGTAACTTCGTCCTTAAACATCGTACCGTCTTTAAACGGCGCATGGCCTTTGGCCGCATGGCTTCCATCGATTGTTGGAGGAGCAATGGGCGCTGTGCCGGACCAGACGGTTGACTTACTCGGGAAGGTTGGCGAGACTGCTACACAGCCTATCGGAAGCACATTATCGGACGTCTCATCGCTCCCATCTACTGGGGTCGGGTTCCTCAAAACCGGAGTCAGCAACACACTGCAAACCCCTGGCAAATTTCAGCTACCATTAGCACTGCCACGCGGCTTTACCATACTCCAGCAAAGAATAGCAATATCCGAGTCCATGCTTGGGCTTCTAAGCAGAACGGCTTGCGTGGACTTCCACGCACCTGGGGTGGAGAAGAGGTTGCATCAACTCATATTCGACTTGATTATCAATATAGCTGGATCAGCGCTTCCAATACCGACAGCACAGACGACAAATCCGCTTCAGAGTCATCTCCGAGTAGCTTGTGTGTGCCTGACAATCTTTCAAGGTCAGCGCGCAAACGGGCAAGTATTTGCAGAGGACAGCAAATATCAAGTCGGCCTCAACGCAGCATGGTCCGAGGCCACAATGCTGGATAAGACGGCGCTTGACGAGCCGAAATCTGCTGAAGCATCACTGTGGGTGATGTTCATGATTACGGTTACGACAGGTGCGACAGCGACATTCTTCCACCAGCAAGTGCTTGCGCTCCTTCACGACCTTCAGCTGTCTTACTGGGAACAAGTAAGGAAGGTGTTGCTCGACTTCATATATCCTGTCAGCTTCCTGGATGCGCCATGCAAGGTGTTCTACGATAGTCTGCACCAAGCACAAGCTGCGGTCGGCTAGCATGATTCTGGGCCGATCAGTTTAGAATGCCGTTCACACTGTAACTAGTGCAGGGCGCACATCTATCAAAAGCCGATCGATACACCACTCCAAGAGTCGAAGAGAACCAGCACATTGGCCCGAGAACTGCTAGTGTGGATGGATGGTAAAGCGTCGCATGTGGTCACCGCGAGATAGCTTCTGTCAGGGTAACATCAGCTCTGCATTGTTCGGACTCCCATTCGCCTCACAGGTGGCAGAAGTGTATCCAACGGCCATCGGATCTGGATCTCGCGCTACGTCTCACGCTTCCGTTGCTCACTGGGGTCGTCACGATGTAAACCTGGAGGTCTTCAAGTGCAAGGAAAGGAGAGTGTCGCATTGTCGACACATCTTATGGTTCTTTCGAACACAACTATCATAGCTGCAAGATCATGCACGCTGATCTCCCAGGCCATATGCCATGGAAAGTGACGAGACTGCAGGACTCCTACTCAAGCTCAAGCGCCACCCACATACCATGGCTCTGCAAGCAATGGAAATATACTACATATCGCGCTTCGCATACTTCGCAACCAGTGACTTGACTTCATCATCACTCAGCATACTGACACCGAGGACATCGTTGTCAACCTTCTTGAACTCTCCCAATCCCAGACCAAAACTCGTCCGTAACATCAATGGCTGCAATACCTTCTGATCTCTTTCTCCAGCATCATACTTCTCCCACGCTTCCTTAGCCATCTTCTCCGTATCGACTTTAATCGTCTTGATATCCCCATTCGGCGCAGCAGCACGCGCATACTCCAGAATCTGGTTCTGCGTGAAGACTGTGGAGTGGACATACAGGAATTTGTTCTTCACGGCAGATTCATTGCGTTGCAGCACAGCTTGAGCAGTGGCCTGCCCAATGAGATCAAGAGTACTGCCGGAGACTGGCACATCGCCAGCATCAGCGATCATCATACGTCGAGTGTCGTCTGATGGTAGGAGAAAGCCGCCTAGAGCCCTATTTGAGGTATACTGTTAGTCCATATATGCAGGACAAGCACCTTCATCTGTTATGTCCAGGTCATGGGTGAGGTGACAACATACCAATCGAAGAACAAGCCTGTGTTAATGACAGTGAAGCATATCTCACCAACGTCCGCTTTCTGCACCAGATAATCCTGCAGAAATGTTAGTACGAGAATGCGTCGCCTTCAACTTGAGAGGCAGCCCGTTGCTTCTTACCTCCATCTCGAGCTTTTCTTTGAGCTGTGGCAACCGCTTGACTTCTGGATGCGAGAAGTCGCCGCCAAAAGAGGAAGGCACGACATGTCCGATGCCGGCCGAGCACGCCGCATCGATGAGCCGAAGCTGAGGCTGAAGCTCACGCCTATTCAGCAGAATGACTAGGGATTCAAAGCCGTGTTCCCGGAAGATAGAAGTAAGAGCCTCAGTGGAGTCGTAATCCGCAAGTACCGTCTCGATTGGTGAAGGGTACTGTTTCGCAGCTTTGTCTGGGTTTCGCGTGAGAAGTGTCACATGGGAGCCGGCGAGGGCGAGGTGTTTGATGATTGTGGGACCCAGAGTACCGTTCGGCTGTACGAAGATATTAGCAGCGGTGATTCACCGGTAATGTGTATCTCGATTCGGTCAGATATACTCCCGCTACTGCAACTTTAGTTGGTGCCATTGCGGATGCCGTCGACCTGTGAAAGTATCTAGTGCTTGGGAAGAGAATTATGATATGGTCGTGCAGGATCCATGGATATAGTGACCAGTTGGTTTGACTTCGGCCTGGGGTTTCAGCTCATGTGGGCGCGCATTCGCGATTGGTAACAGGGCTGAAATGTGAGCGCTCGATAGGGCACGGATGTAGATGGACTCGACGCACGTGATCTCGCATGTATGCTTCCATGTGTTTCCATTCCCAGTCTATATATCGTCTGAGGTGAATTTTCTCCTTGAGGTCGAGAACGCATATGCTCGTCTGAAACTGTGACGCAAATCTTCCCTCGTCCGTCATGCCTTCAATTGCCGTATGTACACGGAATCGGCGGAAGCCTTCGTATTTGCATTTCATCGGCGCGGCGCAATCGCTCACATTTCACCGTCGAGTTTGCCGCACTCCCGACATTTTCCATGACTGCCGCCATGGCATGTTGCTCTGCTGATCGCTGGAAGCGTGCGACCACGGGCCGGCAACCTGCTCGCTGTTCAATTAATTGTCCTCGAGAGTACATGAGCCGGAATAATCGTGAATCAGGCTGCATATTGGCATCTATCAGGGTCCAATCGTCGAAGAGGTTGTCTCGATCTCTGCAACCTGCTACTAGGCTTAAACCCGGCACGAGCCTGTGAAGCGTTCGAGAGCTTTGTAGGAATCCTAACAGCAGAATGCAGATCGCAGCACCTCCTTCACGATGTGCGCGTCACGAGAGACGCTCGTCATGCTGATTGAGGATGGCAGGTCAAACTTTCTGGAGCTGGCTGCAGCGTGACGTTTTCTGTTTCGTTGTGGATTGAGGGCGGCACTGGACAAGCTGTCCACGGTACTTGTGGCGCAATCTCATGGTCACATCATGATGGTGGTGCCAGCGCTAGGAGATTGCGGAAGTTCTCGGCGCATAGCCACATGAGCAAGATACTTTCATGGCGACCTGACAGGGTCCCAGAAGTCTCGCCTTCTTGTTACAGTGGTCTCGGGCAGATGCTTCTTCTTGACTCGTCTGTGCACACGCTTGGCCACCCGCGTGCTCGGACTCCGCCTCGGGCTCATGATGACCGAATCTACCGGTGACGGCCTCGTCGTACTGCTAGACGGAGTAGTGCTTTGCGACGATGGCGGACGAGATTGCGACTTGGACCATAAGCTGCAGGACGAATTGACGTGCTCCTCGATGCAGTGCCAAAGCATCCAGCGAATGACCCAGTTGTCCTGATCGTCGGCGACGAGCTCATACACAATCTTGGTTTGAGGGCTTGCTTTCGCGAGGATCGCATGTTCTGCTCGGCTGACCGCCTGGGGTGTGATCTCGTGGTTGCCGAGTAAGTCTTCACAGCCGATTTTCGCCTCTGCCTGTACACACAGGTCAGTTTGCGATCGTGATATTCGCTCCGAGGCAAGCATACCAACCTTCATCTCGTCGAACAGCTGCTCGTGGTATGCTATATGCGCCTCGAAACCTAGGCGAAGCATGAAGCTGAGTTTCCCTTCTTCAGGGACAGCAGCGATGCCCGTTGGTCCGTTCCTACAAATCAAGGTTAGATGCAGTCCGCATCTCTCACGAACGATCATCGTTCAATCACATACCATGAGAAGTCATCCTCACTCAGTCTGTAACGAAGAGGAACATATGGCTCTTCGAAGGTCGTCGAAGTACTCATAACTGGCAGGCGCATCGAAGGCGCAGTCACTGAAGTTGACAAAGACACTGGCAACATGGGTCGCTCATGTCTGGAGGACGTCCCGGCATCGTGGTCAAACTCATGGAGCGCAGCGGGTGGACCGCAAGTTTATCAACTTTAGATCGCGGGACAGGAGCCAGAGCCGGTCGGCATCAAGTTTTGAAATAGATTGAAGTGCCGTTCTGGACAAGCTCGTGATGCATAGAAGAGTCGTCGTCCTTCCAGTGGCAGTATTTGTCAGTGCATCATTGGTGAAGTAGTTGCATAAGTCGACAGCGGTCGTCGAATCACAACGCAGACCGTGCGGCAGGCACCAAGCTTCACGGCGCTTCACCTACGATGTATGGGACGATCTTGCTCCAAGCTTGTCAAAGATCTCGCTTACCCACGTCGCCCTTGCCGCGCCGTGGAGACTTGGAAGATACTCTAGCATAGGTAGGGTGTCGCCTGCGGATACGGACCGCTTCTCCGCGCCAGATCTGAGGGTAAATCTCCCGTACGATCTAGATAATGTGCCCGATCAGTACTTGTGCTGGTGGCCAGAGAATTATGCTTGAACAACCTCTGGCCAGTCCTCATGATATCCACAAGTGCTGATGCTTTGTCAAAGGGAGGCAGCGATAATGCAAGATCTCAGCTCAGTCAAGAGGCCTGTTGGAGGAATAGCTGGCATAGCGGCGGGATCTGGGAAACATCGTCGCAAGCTAACAATGCATAACTCATCGGGACTTCAATTGGTGTACAGACGGATCTCGATCCAGAGTGAGCGCAACCGTAGGCTGTCACCGTGGCTCAAGACATCATGCGGACTATCCCGTGCCGCCGTCACCCTGCATCCAACATGCACCGCATCGCAGGACTGCAGGTACGAGAAGGAGCTCTGATTGCCGATTCGATACCGAGCTTGGGTGACAGTGAATACATTAGTGTTTTTCGTACACCTCAAGCCATTGTATCGTTCGGTACACATGCTCGGTCGAATTGTAGCGATCTACATGGCGATGATGTGTCGTTGCAGAGGCGCAAGTGGTATCCCAGATATTGCGGCGCCGGAGGTGACGCCGAGGGATAATGCGGCGGTGTGATGTGAGTTCAAAGCTGAAGCTGATCAGTGCGCAACAATGGCGTCGCAATAGTGACGCCAACATAAGCGCCGGACCTGGATCCATCAAGCCATCAAGCCACGCTGTACGCATGATAGCCAAGGATCGAGGGGAGTTGCCGAGATACTTCAAGCTGTTGGTTGTCCAAATGAGCAGAACATGCTCCTCACGTGCCTCCGTCGCCCGCTCTTGCCGCGAATCGTCTTTTAGAATGCCGAATTGGGGAAAGAGGCCGTTGCCTGATCTCAGGAGCGCCCTCCGGCAGATCATGCCACCAAGGAGGCTGCTGCCCTCCATCAGCGAGCACGCTTCGCACACGATTACGACGACACCTAAGGCCTTGTTGTTCAGATGACACCACGACGGACAGATCGAAGGATCTAATCAACGAAGTATGAGGTTGCATCTCCTAGAGCATCACGATATGTGATCACGATTCCACTGAGAGCGAGGGTTCGGATGGTCTGTAGAGGGTCCGATTGAGTTTGAAGCATTGTGCGGCGCGCACTACTGAACGTCCGTCGATGTTCGGTACACGAGCGGGATGAAAAAACGACAATTGCAATATTCATCGAATCAGAGCGTCTACATTATTGTCTACGTCGCCAAAGTGAAACTCCGCATTCTATAGGCTATATCCTGGACCAAGAATATGAACAACCTAATCGCTTGTACAAGATCGAGAATGATATATGGATACTGAAGAAGTTCGGTCGTTTCGGCACATGTTGGCAAGGCGTGTCCAGCACATAAGGTGAACGTCGTCCTGATGATGGTTGTGTGGTCGTGCGCAGCTCAGTGTGCTCACGGCAAACACAACACACCAAGGCATCGGAGCAATCGATCATTTCGGCGTCGCCGGAATTTGACGAATTCGACGAACAACGACTGTGCGATGTATCATGACTCTGCGCGGTAGACTAGGTGGCATTATGCTCACGCTCATACATAGCCAGAACACAATCACAGTCCCCGCAAAGTCTGTGCAGCCCCTGTCCGGAAAGTACAGTAGGCAGTCCTCTCGAAGTTTGGGAAGGGCGGCCGGGAACACGGGCTATAGTGAGCCAAAGGAAGGAAGTAATCTTGTCTCTTGCCACGGCTACCTTCAAGCTGTCCTCGCTCGTGATCATGCTGCACACTGTCTTGATTCGTGAATACAATGATGGCGAACGAGGACGAGGAGGAGCGGTTCTTCGACTCCGTTGCGGCTCAAAATGCAACCGAGCCCACTGACGCGATTCAGCGTATGCAGCTAACGCGGGACGACACCGCGCAGCGAATAGAGAGGAGAGCTGGTGTTATTGCGCCTGCAACTAGCAACGCTCATCCTCCTGCGACTCAAGGTGGTGCAATAGCAACCGTTACGCGTTCCGGTAACACAAACGAGGTTTCGCGGGTCGCGAAATCACAACACCGTCGCTCGTACCAGGAGACTATACCAGCCATTCCAGCCATTCCGGCAAGATACCTGAAACAAGGGTCGCGAGCATCTACCAACGTCATCTCGAGAGCTAATACTGGGGACGGAGGCCAGCACAAGGAAGTTTCGCGTGAAGAATCCATAGCTATCTGGACGGCAGCAGATAACGAGCCACAAAGAGGACGGACGGGACAGCCTGCGAACGAAGCGAGGCGCGTTGCGCACCGGGAGTCCAGCCAACTACCAACCACACCCCATGCGAAGGACCGAGTAGAACGGGCGAGGAGTGTTGCGTCTCTGCGCGATCGCAGTACCGCAAGGGCGCGTCAAAAGTCTCTCCAAGCTCTGACGGGCGGTATTGGAGCTGGGACTGGGTCGGCGCATAAGCGAGAACGCGCCCAAGAAGATACAGGCACGGAGGACATGGCACGCACCGGGCGAGCCAGAAATGAGGACTTGTTCTTGGAGCTCGCACATGATGACCAGGAAGAAGAAGACGCGCCAAGGCCCATAAGCCGCGGTGAACGCGCCATGAGCAGGTTGTCGCAAGTAGCGAAGCGACGCTCGCTGCCTGCCGAGTCAATCTTGACTTCATCTGCTGAACGACGGCCTAAGTCTAGCGGGACCGTCTTCCCACGGTCTGCCTCACGTTTAGAGGCATTACAGAACCATGCTAATCAATATCGATCTTCCGACGAGCGTACATCATTGCCACCGGTTGACACAATGAGTGTTTCGGGCAGATCAGTCTCTGCACGTGCTAAACGCTACTCAAACGCGCATGCCACAGTGCTTTCCGCCGGTACAGAGGACATGCCATCATCAGACATGCCATCCTTCGGACGAAGACGACCATCATATGGATCACAAGCCTTGCATAATCAGACTCACAACAACAGGACGCAGCACCATCAGGGCAACTCACCTGCTGACAGTTCAGAGGCAAAGAAGTCGAACGGTGCTTCCACCAACTCCGTCGATTCTGACACCGCAGACACAGTATGGGATGAGCTGGACGAACTGAAGTCACGTATCAAGAAGTTAGAGTTCACTGGCAAAATACCTCCCACGTCAGGTGCTGCCATCTCGGGCTCATCGAGCGAGCGGCCTAGAACGGCTACTACCGCACCCACGACCATCGATTCTTCACCAAAAGTGGAGCGTAAATCAGAGCCTGAGATAAGGCCGATGCAGCGCCAGAACGAGAACACTACTGGAGGACCCGCTGCTGCCAACATCCATCCTTTGTTGCACTCTGCTCTAGCAAAAGCAAAGCCACTATTGAATGCTCTGCTATACAGAAGCCTCGAAGCAACTGCAGCAGATGCACTACAACTAGCTGCTCTATCAGGGAGTGCTGGACCACAGGGAACCACGTTCTCAGCAGCATCCATCATCAACGGACTCACTGTCTCGGATCGTCATGTCCGACGGAAGGCCGATTCGATGTGTCGTAATCTCACGGATCTCACGCTAGCGCTGTGCGAAGGCAAGCACGAAGCAATTAGCATCACTGCATCACCAATAACATTCGACCCGGTTCGGGGCTCACCAATGATTCGATACTCGCGTAACAGCATCGGACGTGACGAGAGCGTTGACAGAGGTATCAGCCGGAGTCGCAGTCGACCACTGAGCAGACTCGAAGCTCGGCGTTCTAGCATACTCGGCATCGGCGCCGGCAGCAGTATCAACGGTGACACTTCCCATGAAAGCGCGGAAGAGGGGCCAGACTCGACACCTCCGCATACTCAGCCGCAGCTTAGACGACTGAGTAGAGCTAGCAGCCGGCTCTTGAATGTACGTGCACCACACTACGACGAAGTGAGTGGCGACGAGGATCCGACCGTCCGACCGCCATCTCGAGCTATGACCGATATTGGCGGGTTTCGTAGCAAGATCCATTCATCCCGTGAATACAACTCGCCAGGACAAGATTCGTCACCAAGCTTCAGAGATGCCTTGGCAGCGAGGCGCACGAATGGGAGTGCCTTTGAGTCTAATCGAGAATTGACTCGTGTGGCATCGCTTCATACGAATTCGGACCGAAGACGATGGACGAAAGAATCCACGCCGCCTGTGCTTGAGGAGGAAACGAACGACCAAGGCGAATATACACCTTCCTCGCAACCACGGCGGAGAATCACGTCATTAGGTCAATTTGGCTCCAGACGTGCCGCAGAGCACTCCAATCGTGCGGCGAGCTTGAGTCAGAGGAGGCACATTGCTGTGGCGGAGTGAGCGGTACTTTCATTGGCAGCAGGCACGATACGTTCCAGGATCTTAGCCATTCGTAGTTCTTCACTGCTTTAGCGGCTTGTCGGCAAGTGCTTGAGATGGCGGTCTCCTTCGGCAGCATGAATCTGAATAGAGTACGCTATAGCTGACTTATGTAACATCAGAGCAACGACCAATGTTTCGATATACGCTGTGCCGGTACTCCGCCGGTGAGCTACATCCATGATTGTGCATCTTTCTTTTGTTGCCTGCGTGTGCCGTATACGGCCGTATCCTGCGGATGCGAGAATACGACGCGAAGCTACATCTTATACCCACTTCCGAAGTCGTGCCCAATCAACAGTCATCTTGGCGACTCGCTAACCTCGAGTCGTATCTGCATCGGTTACTAGGTCTTCTTGGAGCACGTCCTAACTAAGTCAGTCTCGACTACTACTCCGTGCTATGACGAGACATGCGGAGATCGTTGGCCAGTTGCCAATGAGTGGAGATTATCCACACATGTCCGCGACTCTGTGGCATATAAAGGCACCAGTCGCTGTCGTCGAGGAGTACCTACCACCTTCATCCTACTTTGCACGGATCTATCTCACAAGATAGCACGCTGTTACCTCGCACAATGTCTGGCAAGCATCAAGCAACCGTTCTCGCTCAGAAAGGAGGGCCGATTTCTATTCAAGAGCGAACGACGCCAAAACCTGGCAGTGGAGAGTACCTCGTCGAAGTGAAGGCCGTGGCCTTCAACCCTATCGACTACTATCAGCGTGACTTTGGTCTCCCACCAATCAATCAATATCCAACAGTTCTAGGCGGTGACGTAGCTGGTACAATCGCCGCCGCTGGTTCCCGAGTCGAGAACCCTCTGCCACAGGGCTCCCGCGTCCTGGCCGGTGCTTCAGCCTTCTTCCACAATAATGATCCCGATTATGGAGCCTTTCAGCGATATGTCCTGGTACCATGGCAGCTCGTTACCGCATTACCTGACAAGATGTCTTTCGAAGAAGGCGCCGTGATGCCTCTTGCTGTCATGACCGCCTTGACAGCGTACACCTGCGTCGACATACCGCTCGACACTAGGTTCACAGCTCAAGATAAACAGGGATATCTGGTCTGGGGTGCCTCAAGCAGTGTAGGCACATACGCAGTCCAGGTTGCGAAGAGCAAAGGCTACACTGTCTATGCCACAGCCAGTGCAAAGCACCACGACTACATCAAAGGTCTTGGTGCCGACCACGTCTTCGCTTACCAGGACAAAGACGTCGTGGATCAGATCACCTCAGCCGTGAAGAAGGATGATATCACCCTCACCACCGCGCAATGCGTCGTGACTGGCAGCTTGGAACCAGTGCTAGCTATCCTAAAAGCCACAAAAGGCGATGGCCATGCCAAAGTCACGCACACACCAGTGCTCCCCCCAGATCATCCAACGCTCGAGAACACAACCATTAAGTTCAACTTCCCACCAATAGAGCAGCCGGCACAGAATGATCACTATAGGAAGTGCTTCCAGGAGTGGTTGGCGCCGGGTCTGAGAGATGGGACGGTCGTGTCTAGTCCTCCTGTACAGCATGAGGGGAATGGGCTCGAGGCGATTGACAAGGCTATTGATGCTATGAGATCGGGCGTCAGCTGCAAGAAGATTGTGGTGACTTTGTGAGCTTTGTGTATCTCATACTTGTATATGGTCTATCAGCTGCTCTGTACGAAGCCTTCGGGACCGTGGTGTGTTGGCTCCTTGGTCATTGATTGCTGCTATGTCTGAAGAGCATCATCACTCATGGTCCATGATCTCGTTATGTTGTTGGCTTGTGGACGTCCTCAAAGACCGAGAGTATAGCTGATACCAGCCGTGAGAGCAGCGAGAGCACTCGAGCCACCTGCAATAGAGACGAAGACATCCAGCAGCGAGTCGCTACCCGCACAGAACAAGTCAGCCTCTCGGGATCGGCGACCCATCTCGAAGAACTTCTGACTTGCGCGCCGATCTGTGCATCGCCAGGTGGAGTCTCGTTTGACCCAGCTTGCAATTCCGCAGCCATAACGCTCAGACTGGCGAACGTGATGGGTAAAGGACTTGGTCTCCATCCTAGGTCGAAAGGAAGCTTCTCCTGCTCGAAGAGACTGCGGACGTAGCTGATGGGTGCGGCGCCTGTGATGGGGTCGCTCATTGCTTGTATGTACCTGTGCCGTCAATGAATCGAGGACCTTGCTGGAAAATCAGTGAATGATTCCGCACTTACAACGCTGTCTCGCCATACGAGAGGACGAATTGCCGAGCGCCATACAGCATTTCTGATTCGTGGCTCGACTTGACAGGACACGGCTATATCTCGCAGCTGCAGCATGCGGAATGTTGGTGAACGAGTCGCCATCGTAGTAACTTAGCACTTGCTGCCAGTTCGGGCGGTAGAAGCTATAGTCGTCGCCAAAGTATGCGTCCTGGCGAGAAAGGCTTGCATCATGCTCGATGGGAAAATTATGGCGATCGAGGGCGTCCAAGTCAAACGAGCCTGAAGCTGGATCGGGAGACCCAAGTAGTCCTGCGGCTCCTGCCACAGTAGTGAAGTCGGCGCCTATATTTAGTCCTGCTGCAAGGCCTTCGAGAAGATGCGGGATGGTCATGTTCCGGCCATTGCGGTTGATGAAGCCGTGGTTGGCTAAGGTATTGAGGCCAGGGCATGGTGAGCGTACTGTATTGTGTCAGCCCTTCGTGTCACGCATGATTTGAAGAGGACGGCGGTCGTACTGTCATCCACGCCAGGATGCTGGAAGTCTGTGAATCGAGGATCGGTTTCTGGAGCTGGGGCGAGGCTAGACAGGAGTGCCGCGATGTCTAACGCTGTGACCGAGCTGATGAGGAGGAGGGCAGGGGCAAAGATTTGTGTAATGATTAACATGATTGACACGGTGGTGATGAGGGTGTGAAGTGTGTAGGAATGCGTGCAGGTTACCTTGATCAGTATACAATCAAGAAGGACGTCCTTCCGGGTTGTTGATAGCTCATCTTGATCCGGATGGCAAGAGCTACTCGTACCGACGGCCAGCAGCGTCCTATGACCAGGAAGTCATTCTATGGCTCAAAGTGGCAGCAATGTCGGTTGTAGTTACCTCTTGACCAAGTCGGCAAGAGCGTGACGTCCTGCTGCGCAAGTCATGTCGGCGCCGCTTTGTTGCAGGTACTTTGCAGGTTCAGATGAGTGGCCAGCCAATAGTATATGCATACAACGGCGCACGCTCGACTTCTGGGAAAGATCGGCAAATGCTACCTCCAAATGCCAGTATGATATTGCTGCCACTTAATGACCAATCTGCTAATTTCGTACAGCTTGAGATTGTGCACAAAGTTGTAAGAGGATGGAGAGAAGAACGTCATGTTAAAGGACAAAGAGAACTGGAACTCGTGAGAAAGGCAGTGAAGGGTTGCGGAAGCAATTCAAGGCCGCTCGAGCCGGATCGCGGTCCTACGCCGTCTTAAAAATCTACGAAGAACGGACAAGCCGATGACACTTCCTACATTCCTGTCACTGCATCTGCACCAAAGACTGTAGCCATAGCTTACTGCTGCAAATCGTGTGACCGAAGTTGTCGCACGGCAGAACGTAGAGAAACACTTTCTTTGGAGTCTAAGAAATTAAGGAACACAGAACAACAAGCGCTTGCATTCGCAAACCCAGACTGCTGATTGCGAGATGACAGTCAATACTGATACCGGAGCAGATGATACTCCAATATCACGAGCGACAGATATGATGATGCATGACTTCCCAACCCACCAAGGTCCTCGTGATGATGCTGTTGAGAGACCAAGACAGCTATAACGCCCGTACTGGTCGATGTCTTGGTACTAAACCAGATACATGACCATGCCTGACGATAGGGATCTGCTACTGTTAAATTTCTAGATTGCTGGTATACTGGGCGGTGGCCTTGTCCTGATCGCCCTGAATCACGGATCTCACCTTCACAGTCACAAACACAAGGCTAGAACGGAATCTTCAAAGATCGTCTGTAATCCAGTGATGCCACGACGAGCACTGCATCGACTGCTCCCTCATGCAGTGGAGGTGCCTGCCGCTGTTGGGCCGTGTTATGCAGATGTCTCCGACTTCGTCTCAGGTCACTGATGCGTACATGCTTATCGACGATGCTTGTGTCCCGCTGAGTGCCTGCTCCAGCACCCGACGTATACGAATGCATGATGGACTGTGGCTTGAGAGCATCTAGAGAGCCAGCGGACGAAAGAAGGCGAAGTCATGCGCTGCTGCATGACTTTATAGCAGGAAGTTCGAGTACCATGATGATGTGTGGAGCTCATTCGAACACTGCAATCGTGTCATCCTGCTTTTATGGATGTGACATCGAGAGTGCCATTAGAGGCCGGTCGAACGACCGATACATGCCGTGAGATCACCATTGTCCTCCCACGGCAGTGCAGATAGACATCCCTCACGAATCACGATAAGCGCTCGATAGCAACACATCCAGCTAGCGCCTCGTTCACCACGTGCAAACATACTAGACAACCTCCTCTCATGCGTTCACTGTACAAGCATCCTGCTGCCTCACAGTCCCTTCAGCTGGACAAGGATATTCTCCACCTTTACAGCCCCGGACTTTCCGCGGCCCGTGGACACACCAATGAGCAGCAGTGGCGCAGCAGCACAAGCACCCATCGCATTATTGCGGCATGCACGGAGGGACCGTAGAGTAGGCGGCAAGATAAATCATACACAATCGACGCATACCTGTCGAAAAGTACGAGAAGTAGTTGAAGATTGTCTTCGTGGGCCCAAGCCAAGACTTGCTCACTGTAGCACTTCCATCAGGTCAGACCAACCGCGATGGGCAACGCCAATTCTACAGCACAGATGTACTGGCAAGTGAATCTTGAATGGCAAATACGTGGTCAACGTATCGTCTGACATCTTTGGTCAAACAGGAAACTCACGACCGTCCTCCCAGACGTGCAAGGCCACTCCCACGGATCCTGGTTCGACAAGTCCAGCAAACCTTTCGCAAGTGAGAAAGACCGCGAGCAATTCATTCGTAAGTCTCAAAATCATCTCCAATGTCTCTCTCCACCGTCGCAGTCTCGCTAACACCTTCTTATAGACGCAGTAATAACCGTTCTCACGCAAAATGGAGCCCTGAACCTGTCAAACTACACCATCCGCCTCCTCTTCTCTCGCAGAGAACATGACGACCAAGTCGTAGCGCGCATAGTCGCACAGCTAGATGGTGTGATTCGTGCCAAGCTCGAACCAGACGAAGCTGGCAAGGATCAGACGGAAGCGTTCATGGCGCTGAAGAAGGATGTCGAGATCAAGCTCGAGAGGATCTTGCAGGCGGTGCCGGATGGTGGCGATGATGTTGAGGCTGCGAGCGCCGCGGCTGGACCGTCGAGATCCCGACAATCTTTCACTGCTGGATTTACTGAAGGATTTAGTGGAGGCAGTGGGGGTGGGAACAGGGTGGTGCCTGTTGAGGCGCCGCCGGCATATGAGGGCGACGTGAAGCGGAAGCCGGTGAAGCGGTAGCCAGGTATCCTTTGTGGCGGCGAAGATCGCGACATATTCTCATGCCCTGGTTATGATTTCCTCTGGCAATGTCCGATCAAATATTGGTCCCTTACGCAATCATGTGCCCAAAATGCTGCCCTTCAAAGTATTGGCCTTCGAAGCTGAGACTACTACAATACCGAAAAGCCTCGCTCTTTGAGTGGTGTACGATCAGTATCTGGTCATTCTTAAACGGCTGCCAGTCCATGTCATCATGCTTCATATGGTCAGGTAATGCAAAGCGGCCGTAGTGTCCGCAGCCAGTGGTATGCATGTACAACATGAACGGACTATCGTCAAAGGATTCCGACTCACTCAGCAGCTGAGGACGCTGCCGTTTGTCCACGCTTAGGAGCGGCAAGCAGACGAACCGCCGATCGTGCCTGGAATAGAAAGCCCTTGGAGGCGACGCGCCTACTTTGATGGTGATCTCAGCACCGTAGCCGGTGAGGGTGAGGTAGGAATCCTTGGTGCTTACGCAGCGCACATGGCCCATCTCTGCGAAGCGACTTACGTTTTCGGCAAGCATACCACTGGCTCCGTTGGTATCGTAGATGATGGTGCCTCCTTTGGGATGGGGGTGAGCATGTAAAGGCCAAGCGAAGAGTGTCTCGTCACCTGTCCTGGAGTAGACTTCGCGCTGAAGGCGGAGGAAGGCGTCCTTACGCTCGCCGTACAACAGGACCATGTTTACCCCGAAGATACCGAGTAGGCAGTAGGCGGCATCTTCTAGGCGTGTTGTCACACGCCTGGCTGCCCAGCTCATACGTTGGGCTACACTGTAGAAGTAGCGGCTTTCTGGTACTGCCAGGACCTCGAGGGGGACTCCGGTGATATCGTGGATGATGTCCGCTAGGTGTACATCTGTCTTGGCCCCAGAAGACCACTTCGCGCCGAGGGCATCCCACAAGGCATCGACGAAGATCACAATCTTTGGGGCAATGAGCTCTTGCAGAGTCCAGCCTCGGGTCCACCATCTACTTGAACTGAACTCATGCATTCGTGTCTGCGGATCGTTGACTGATGCTGAGACATCGGACAGATAGGCATAGCATTCCTCTGCCTTGCTGTACCATTGGAACATGGAGTTGATGGCTTCGCTCAACTCGGCGCTGCTGGATTTGTCGATGCAGCAGGTATCAATCCAGACCCATTGCTGGCCTCGCCGCTGGGCGAAATCACAGCATCGCTTGATCTTGAGGTAGCCCTGAGCTTCACGATCATATCGGCCTTTGCGGTAGTCCTTGCAGAGTACTTCATCTTCTTGCCATCGATGGCTCAAGATGGCATATTTTGGTGTATTATGGCTGTCCGTGAAGTCCTGGAGCTTGTAGGACTCGGTATTGATCAGGCGCATATCTAGCCCTGTCGTCCATGATCCGAGCCGATTCTGGTAATGCTCGCTATATGATCACGTTCACACATCACGGAACAGGCCGGTCAGTTCTAAGGCTGACTGAGATTGTGGACATGGTGGTCGAGATCAGGGCTATAAGCTGTGGAACGAACCTTATCCGCTGGCAGCAGCTCGGCACGCTGACGTCGTGCGGGAAATGTTCAGGAATGGAGGTGGAAAGTCAGGCAGCGGGCATATATGCGCGCCTGACTGACCGATGACACCAGCTATCCACTTGATTAAAAGGCTTGTCCTGCAAACTCGCACACAAACTGCAAAGATGAGTGCGTCTTGCTCACCACGTGCTTAGAGGTCGGTAACAACAATACCACGAGCGATACTTGTTCGACAAAGCTGGCCTCTGTAGAATGGCTACCAACGGAAATACGAAGGATATGTATACCAACGGCAATGACATCGCACAACCACGTGCCCGCCATGCGCAAGCGACCAACAAGTCTCTCGCACGCGCCCTGAACGGCGAACCGAACACTACCTGCACCACCACCACCACCCACGCACAATCCTCTCCGCCCCTCCCAAGCAACCGCAGCACTCCTCTTCCCTCTGACGATGCTCCACCCAGCGAGAAAGCGACGTCCGCCGCTCGCCGCTCAGTCCGGCGACAACAGCGACGGCTCTTTCCTACTGTGGACTATCAATCCCGGCTCTCATACTTTGACCCAAAGAGTGACTACACCGATTTCCGAGGCTTCTTCAACTTGTCCTGGGTAGGATTGGCGATCATGGGGATAACAGCGATGCTCCGGACGTTGAAGGAGACGGGCTACCTGCTGAATTTTACGCAGTGGCCATTGTTCACCGAGAATTTAGGGGAGCTGGCTGCAAGTGATGTGTTGATGTGCTTAAGCACGGCCTTGGCGCTGCCTTTGCATCTGCTGTTCAAGAGCGCTGGCGCAAGAGGTATCTTGAGGTGGGAGCTTGGTGGTATGGTCGTGCAGAGCTTGTTTCAGGTCACCTGGGTCGTATGTTGGCTGAGCTGGCCTTTTGTGAGGGAGTGGACATGGACGGCACAAGTCTTCTTCACCCTGCATAGCCTGGCACTTTTCATGAAGATGCACTCATACGCGTTCTACAATGGCCATCTTTCGACGACGCTGACCAGACTCCGACAACTCGACCGGCCTATTGGACCTCAGACACCATTGGGCGATGCAGTGAGATACCCGAAAGCCTACTACTTTGATGCTCGACCAGCCCCGGATGCGGACGAAAAGAATGACTCTACCCAAAGTCAGCTCTCTCCAGTGATGCAACTTCGCGAAGACCTAGCCATCGAAATCACCTCACCGATGGGCAACGTTACATATCCGGCGAACCTTACAGTCCGCAACTTCATCGACTATCTACTCTGCCCAACCCTTTGCTACGAGCTTGAATATCCTCGAATGCCCCAGCGAAGCTACATGGAACTCTTCTACAAAACCTTAGCCGTTTTCGGCTGCATCTTCCTCATGACCGTAACAAGCGAGGAATTCATCCTCCCAGTCCTGGATTCTTCGCATGCTCGACTGCAGACAACGGACAATTTCATCGACTCTGCTCTCATCTTCGCCGAGACAGTATCAGCATTGCTGTTCCCGTTCATGATCACGTTTCTGCTGGTGTTTCTCGTAATCTTCGAATACGTCCTCGGTGCATTCGCAGAAATTACTGGGTTCGCGGACAGGAAGTTCTACTCAGACTGGTGGAACAGCCAGGACTGGCTGGAGTTCTCCCGCGAATGGAATATACCCGTGCACAACTTCTTTCGCCGGCACGTCTACTCAGCCTCTCGGAGCGTGCAAGTGTCGAAGCCGGTGGCGATGGCATTGACGTTCTTCGTTAGCGCTATCGCACACGAGGTGGTCATGGGCTGTATTACGAGAAAGTTTCGGGGGTATGGGTTTGTGATGTTGATGTTGCAAATCCCTTTCGTGGCCCTCCAGAGGCTTCCGTGGGTCAGGGACAGGTGGTTGCTTAATAACACGATCTTCTGGTGCGCCATGTGTACGGGGTTGAGTCTGCTTTGTGCGTTGTATGTACTTGTATGAAGCTGGCAGCAATCACCACTCCTCCGTTCACAACTGAATCTGGGCTCAAAATCGTGTCATGCTAGTCGCGTGATAAGTTGCTTACGTAGCGGCGTAGACTGGGCTATATGGACTGCTACATAATATTGATGAGAGTGAATGCCGTTAATCCATTAACAGGACTACAAGGAGACTTGACACCCTTCCTCTCCCTGTACGCGGACCATGGACGAACTTCGGCACCGGAGTGAGTCCCAGCCAGTCAGAATACCAGTCGGTTGCGCAATGAATTATGCTTCCACTTCTTTCTGCACCTCAATGCAAGCCACAAACCACCAAGGTCAAGGCCGCGTGTTCTATCGTCTTATAAACGAGCCAGGGGAGGGACAGGGTGAGGCCAAGCGTCTTCCGCCCAAAACAACATGCCTTGGCGAGGAAAGCACACCCCCGGCTTGGCGCTCATCATGGGCTTGGCGATTTTCGACGTTCCGGCAAGACCTTAGGAAATGGAGGAATTGCGAGAACATTATCTCAAGCTCGAGAGGCAGTTGAGGTATCGTATTCGAACGTCTCAACTCACATCCGAAGAGTAAAAAACGTGCTCTCGTGTGCGCAAGTCGCAAAATACTTGCTCGTGCCAAGAAAGTGAAGATGAATGCTATCTGCGCTCCGCAAAGTTGCTAAAAAGCAGCCGTAATTCAGCATACTATCTTGCCGAAGATTATGCATTCAAAACGTTGGTCCAGCAAGATATGATACTGGGCACCTGTGATCGATGGAAACATGACCCTTTGAGCTGCTCTACAATGCTCAGGTTGGCCTATCATGTCTCATGTGATGTGTTGAGGTCTGCTATGTAGCACAACCGGACCAGCTACAGATCACGCGCAATCTTTGCCAAGACGCTTTAAGCTCCTTTGGGAAGCGCTGGTATCCACCGAGCGGAACGCTTGGCGAATGATTGGCGTTTGTCGCCAAGGGCGGCGTGAGATGTCGAGGGGGTCGCGTTGACCTGACTCTTCCGTAACTCTTGCGCTTTTGAAGTACAAATCGTGACCCCTCCGCACTTTCGCTGAAAACCCACCTCCGCTTTGTAAAGATCTTCCTCGTTCTCTTCGCCAAGCAATTTTCCCCTCTACCCAATCAAGCTCACATATGGACACCTCGAATACGCCGCAGACGGTTGCGCAGGTTAGTGCTTCTACCATCATCACCTGTTCTGTGCGAGTCTGACATCTCCAAGGCTGTCGCCGCTGCGACTGCTGCTGCACAAGCCGCCGCGCAGGCATCGCCAGCAGTACAACCTGTATCACTCACACCGTCCAGCACCATCGACAACTTGACATGTCAGTGGCAAGGCTGCGGCGAACGTACCGACACTGCTGAAGCGCTATACGTAAGTCATCCATGTTCGCAAGTAATGTTTGATGTTCTTTGCACGGATGCTTTGCGACACGACGTCTATCGCGACGACGTGGAGTGTCGTTCGATGCCAAGGCGCCTTGCAAGCATCTGTACTGACTCTTCAACCAGGACCATGTCTGCGAACGCCATGTCGGTCGCAAAAGCACAAATAACCTCAATCTCACTTGCCAGTGGGGCGCGTGTCGCACAACCACCGTGAAGCGCGACCACATCACCTCTCACATCCGCGTTCACGTACCGCTAAAGCCGCACAAGTGTGACTTCTGTGGCAAATCATTCAAGCGTCCACAGGATCTCAAGAAGCACGTGAAGACTCATGCTGATGACAGCGTGCTGTCTGCTTCTCCCGGCCAGGGCACAAACGGCCGTTCCTCGATGGGCGGTAGCGGCGGTCTTGGCTCGACTGGCAAGTGTGAGTGTCCTTCGGCTTACCTCTGTGTACGCCGTGTCAGAGTCTCTGCTAACAGTCATGCAGCTCAATCAAGTTACTACCCAAGCCACGATAACTCCATGCACAACCCATACTCAGGCTACCAGACCGGACTGCCCGCTGTGAATGGCAACGGCTACGCTCCCGCAGCACCAAACGGCCAGTATGCTGGCTATGGCTCCGTCAACTACCCGAACAGTGCCGCCATGGCAGATGTTCACAGCATGGACACCCGACGTCGCGCAATCGAGGCCTTGAATGACTTCCTTGGTGATATCAAGCGTCGCGCGATCAATCCGACCACCTACTACGATGTCGGGCACCGTCTCGGTAATGGCAGCTCATTACCTCTCCCTGTTGGAGGTGGGTATAACACTGGCTACAGCGGCGGCAACAGCGGCGCTAGCTTTGGCAACCTGAACGCTGCTAGCCTTCTCGACTCTTTCAACCAGGGCAACGACAGCATGGGTGGTGGTGGCGGTCTCGGCAGTGTGATGTCGCAGGCCGGCTACTCGCTTCCCATGTCGAATGCTCGCACCAAGAACGATCTTCAAGATATCGACCGCTTCCTGGAGCAGCTGCAACAGACAGTCTACGAGACTAGCAATCACTCTGCAGCTGCTGGCGTTCAACAGCCTGGTGTCCACGCTCAATACACAGGCGACTATGGCTTTAGCAACCATTACCAGGCGCCGCGTGCCAGTGGTAGCCCGCCTAGCTTCCAGCAAGGTAGCAGTGCAACATTCGGTGCCATGACCGCGACTTCCATGCCAGGCATGACATCTTCCGCATCTGCGATGGATACGCCAGCTCTCACGCCCGCGTCTGTCTCGTCGTATAGCAGCTCTGGTCATTCACCAATGAGCAGCCATGGTCGCGGCAGCATGGGCAGCACCAACTCAAATGCCATGTACCCCAACTTGCCAGCCGTGACCGGCATGTCCGACCTCGGGTCAGGCTATCCAGTGACCACATCGGCACCTGCGTCTGGTCTTGCCTCTGGCTTCGATGGCATGGACGGTCGGCGGTACAGCGGCGGCAGACTCCAACGCCAGGCTCCTAGCCAAGACACAGAGATGCCAGACGCGGAAGAAGGTGGCAGGACGCCCAAAGCGGAGGAGCCTGCTCGCACAAAGCAAAAGGGTAACAGTAATATTGACCCTACACTGCGCGGCGAGGACTCTTCCGAAGGTGCGTCGACGCCTAACGCGCGAACCGAGGAGGCTGATAAGCGTCAAGAAGACTGGGTGGAGAACATCCGCACCATCGAGTCTCTTCGCAAATGGATCTCGGATCGTCTCACACGTGGCGAGTTCGAGCGGGAGGGCCAGGCGACAGGCGATGTCAAGGCCGGTGCTGATTCTGATGCTTCTGCTGCGGCTAAGATCCAGGCTGAGATCACCAGAATGGTCGCAAACAGGATGGGCTCAGCGTCGACTCAAAGCGAGGAGAAGGCGGCTTCGGCACCAGCAGCTGATGCCAAGTACCCAACCCTGCCATCTGCTTGAGCAGTGAGTAGTATGAAAATGCGCTTTGTGAGCAGTAATGATCGTCTCGTCCCTTGGATGGCGCTATGGTGTTTGATGGAATGACATGATGAAGGGATGAGCTGACGGCAGGATGTCGCTCTCGGGGTCAATGGCGGCGTTATGCTTATCATGTGATTATTATATCTCGTCCATTAGAGGTAGCTTTCATACTATTACGTCTTTGCATGTGTGATTGAGTGGAATTTGCGAAGCAGATATCGGTGTTTCTCATCTTCGCTTAGCCCTCGCGGCAAGAACTTGCCGTGCTTGCGCGTTCAGCTTGCGTAAACCCTGCAGACTAAACAGTCAAGACGCTGTATTTCACAAGACGATAACGTATAATTTACTTTTGCTTCATGGAAGAGAGGCACGTGTGAACAAAAATAGTGCTTGGTTATCATAGGTATCTCCATCATCAATCCATCCTAACGACCCTCTACCTTCCTATACACCACCTCACCATCCACTATTCTAATACGGCGGCCTTCCAACCCCCACTCGCCTCGTCTCCTTGACCTCAATAGTCGCCAACAAAGTATCCACATCCAAAGGCCCCTTCTTCTTAACCGGCATAGAGCCATCCTCGCTCTCGAGATCATCATCAGCTGTCATCATACTCTCACTAGCCGTATCCCCGTCATCGGCACCGCGCATCGTACCATTTTGGCGGCCACCGTGGGATACCGGCCCACCACCGAGCGTGGAGAAGACACCACCAGCAAGAATCTTCTTGAGCTCCTCTACTCTGACCGGTGGGCGAGCAGCAGAGCTACTCCCTACTTTTCCAGCTCCGAAGCCAGCAGAAGAGCCGCTCGGACGCCTGTCTGGGTTTTGTGAAGCCAGACGCTCGTTGTCGTTACCAAGAGCCTGCTGTTGCTGACGTTGCTTAGGCGGTGTACCCTTTCCGTTCCTCATAGGACCCGTATTGACCGCAGCCAATAATTGACGATGATTCCCTGCTCCAGCTGCTGCCGCGAGTGCTGCGACCTGTACAGGACTGGTACGACTCCCACTCAGACTGACGCTCTTCGGGGCCATGGCTGCGATCTGGGCGAGACATTCTTCCCGGCTCCATTTGGAGACCATGGCCGTTCGTGCTTTCACGATGAGCTGCGGATCTGCCAGTTGTTTTGCGCCAAGGTAGCCACTTGTCGATCTGTCCAAAGAGGTGGGCAGCGTGAAGTTCCTCCCCGGACTGGTTGGTGCAGAAGGAGTCGGGCTCGCCACCGTAGTCTGGTAGTGCTCGAGCACCACGTCCACCAATTCCTCCCTGTCGTCAAAAGCCCTAAGCTCCTCATGCAATCTGAGACTCTTCTCCATCTCGCTGCGGCCGGAGACGGTCCTCTCCCTGATCGTATCCATCGACAAAGGAGGAAATTCCACCTCCTTGACCCATATCCCGTGACCCTTCCTCCTGGCCACTTCCTGCAAAATATTCCTCCCCACCATTTCCTCCTGGCAATTGAATACCTCAACCACTGCCCAAAGATATCCATGTACCAAAGTCCCGATCCGGACCTTTCCAACCGGAGACTCGACTCTAGCGATCTCCTCCTGCAACGCAAAAATCATAGGGAGGCCACTAGCAACCGCGTTTGTGCCCAGGCGTTTGACCAGGGTGGCTAATAATGTTGATTGCATAATGATATCTTGAGGTGAGGTGCTGGCGAATTGCAGCACGTTCTCGTAATTAGCGAGATGGAGGAGTTGTAAGAATGTTTGTGATGATGATATGCGCTTGTTTAATACCGTCTGGGTACGGTCTTTGGTCGCCGAGGCGTTGCTGACAGCTCGTCGGGCAAGCGTGCTGCCGATGTAGCCTTCGGCTGCGCTGTGAGGGTCCTGAGCTCGCTTCCTAGGTGCTGTTTTTGGCACGTCTAGACGGAAGTCGCTCTTCTTAGTTTCATGCTCCAGCCAGGTGATGAGGGCGTCATTGTATGCCATGCGTACAGCGGGTGCCGGATCACGAAGCAGCCATTGCGTGCCTTCCCAGATCGAGATGTGGACAGGGTTGCGACTGTCGGCGACGATACTGCTGTTCATGGCACGGCTCGAGTTGGCCACCTTGATTATGTCACGGACGGCTTCGAGAGCAACTTGGCGAGCTGTATCAAAGCTGAAGAAGCCACTGGTGCTGTTCGAGCGCTCGCGATGCGGGATGCTTGCATTGGATGCAACCTCGTTCACAGCTGACTTTGGCTCCTCGATGGCTAGAGCAGTGACGAGTGGGTTCTGTTGACCGATCGGAGCTGGACTCGGCTTGAGTCGCATGAGAATAGCCGAGATCATGTCCGAGATTTGGTCGGTGTAGTAGACGTGGGTGGCGAGGTCAGCAATGCAAGCTTTCAAGCTGTGGATAAGCTGTAGGCGTGCCTCAGATGCTATGCCGACGGGAACAGCAGAAGCGCCAGAGGTAGTCGGCTTGAGCTCGTCGTTGCTGGATGTGACTGGAGAGGAAGCTGCACCCGGTGGATCTTGGTATTGTAGTATGCGGAGTGTCTGCTGGATCAAGCCAAGCAACACATCCATAACCGACAAGCCGATCAAATTAAGATCGGACCGTAGGGTATCATCAATCAGGCTCGCAAGCAACTGATGTTGGCGCAAATCGCGCTCTCGAAGCGGCAAGTGGATCATAGTGTCCACAGCCGTGACAAGTAGTATGAAGCGGTCCTGCACTGGCGTCCATGCCACGCATTGCTCGTAAGCTTTGACCGCCCATGTGTCTATTTTGAAATCTGTTGTGTTCTTCTCCAACGTCTGTGGTCGGCGATAGTATTGGAGATCGCGTAGATAATCGAGCAATGCAACGGCTGCAGATCGCGTCTGTGCGCGATTCTCAGAAGTGAAGACCGCTTTCAAGCAGTCAAGCGCAAGCACCGCCACTCCCTCCTCAGCAATAGCATCAGCATCTTGAGCTGTGCCTTCGGCGGTGCGCGGATCGGTATCCAAAGAGGTTTCTGTGTATGTGCGAACAGTGGCCATGCTCTGTCTACGATTGATAGCCTTGTCCTTCTCCTCTGACTCACTCCTCTTGCTTTCGCGCAGCAAATTCTCCAAGTATGCACCATCTACTCCGCGCACGTTGCTAAGTATAGCGGGTATGGCGATAGTAAGTACATGGCGTCCGCTCTCGAACGCCAGCGCGTCTGAGGTGATGACGCTCTTGGTGGCGTGTAGTCCCGCCTCGCGAAGACGGATCGCGTCGTGGGTGGCGACTGGGCTGACACTCTTCCCAAGCTTCTTGGCACCCGCCTTGTGCGCATACTCTGCGTATTGCCCCACGACCTTTTCATAGAGCTCTCTATACTCGTGATCCGCAGCCAGAACCGCCTGGTCTTGGTGTTTGCAGAAAACATCCCATGTCTTCTGACTAGCCTCAATGAGGCTGATATCATTTGTGTTGAGTAGTATGCCGCTGATAATGCGCATGACGTAAGGCGCAGTCAGGGCGAGTGGGCTTCCCTCGCCAACCACCTTGTTCTCCAACAGAGCGGTGAGGATCTGGAGTGTGACGAGCACGCGCGCTGATGCCTGGCTGTAGACATCCTTCGCCGTCTTGCGCTCCAGGAAGCCGCCGACCTTCTGGAGCTTGCTACGGCGCGTGCTGGCGTAGAAGAGGAGATAGCTGAGTTCCGAGCCATTGGGCTTGACGTCGGCCGCGCTATTCTTGGGTAGGCGAGGGTAACACTTCAGTATGAGGATCTGATGCTTGGGGCGCAGTTTCTGGCGGACCGAGTCCATGTGCGCTGGGAGATGCGTCTTCGGCATCTTGAACCGCGGTGACACTGGCGCCTCATACGGCGGGAGTCCGTCGCTGGTGAGTTTGTCGGTTGTGCCTGCCTTCTAGGCGAGGCACGAGGCGACGCTCTTGCATAGTTTGGAGAACATTTTGGTCTGTGTTCTTGCTTTGTTTGTGTTACTTTGTGACTGTCATTAGTGACACTACTCGCAGGGACGAGTCAAGCTGTCAGTCCAAGAAACGCTAGCAGTCGAGCACGTTCCCACTGAAAACTATCGCCAAACGCGTGCTGACGTCGCGTTTTCGTGAGGACGGAAAATTAGATTAATTGTTCGCAGGGTGGCTTGCATGAAACTGTACTTCCTCCACTCCACGACTACTGGTCTACACTATGATGTCTATCCCATACGCAATCCGCCTGTGACTTCGTCCTGGCAGTATACATACATGTCTGAGACCATCTGAACGTGTGCGAGAATCTCGCGCCACGAGCATGTGCTCCCTGCTGGACCACTTACACATCTCCAGAAGGTAAGGTAAACAGAAACCAACGATAGATCGAGCTAGAATACCACGGCAACTGGACTCGCTGGGGATGACAGGATCGTGTCGCTCTCCCCACCACCTTTGGTCTGCCTTCTCAGATCTGACATGGAGGAAGCTCAATAAAGCAAGGTGGGACCGTCAGCCCTCGTGTTCTTTGGCCGGATTACACGATCATACCATACCTTGCTGTGTCGGACGCAAATCTACCTATCGCATGTCGACGAAGCTCTATCCTGAATTTTGCCCAATCTGGCCACTTCTTCGGTGAGTATTGAGTTGCACGACCACTCCATGCACGGATTCGGCAAAATACGCTCTTGCGTCGTCCAGGAAAACAGCATCGTGCAAAACATTGCTCGTTTGTGCAAGCCCGGTCTGATCCGATAAGACATGAAGGAGACACAATCACTTCGCCTTGCAAAGTCTCACCCTGATACAGCCGCACCGTGGCAAACACGACGAGCTCAGACGTCTCGTACAACGATGCAGCCAAAGATAAGTATGGCCGACCCTCAATGCTGTGAACATGATGAGCACATACGCAGCAGGCCACCTCACCCAATCCCCTACACAACAAGCACCTTCAGCCCAAGATGTTCTTCGTCCAAACTCTGCTCGCCACGTTAGCCACGGCTTCCGCCCTCGCCCCCCCATCCCTCCCACCGACCTCCATCACATCCCTCGACCAAACCAACCTAACAACCCAAGCAACCTACTACCAAGGCGGCGCCCCCTCTGCAGCCTGCGGCTTGCCCGTCTCCTCCGGCGTCCTAGTCCCGAACACCTGCCACCAAGCCCTCGTCTACGGTATCGGGGTGCAGCAACTCGAGGACTACAAGTGCACGTACACGATCTACCAGGGCTCCAAGAACTGTGGTGACGATGCAACGGGTGTGACGAATGTGACTGTGCCGAAGGGGATGGATTCGACGTGTGTGGATGCAGGGGTGTATGATGGTGGGAATTTGGTGCATGTTAGTGGGATTTGGTCTTGCTAGGGTGAGGGATGTAGATGTCTAGTTGATGAGTTGGCTGGCAGGGTCTCACATTTTCTTATGCTGTTTGAGTGCTGGAGAGGGAGTGGCGAGGTTATGAAAATAATGTTTAGTCTAATTGGTATCTTGATGAGGACGGACTTGCCGTAGTGACTGTCATTCGTGTTTCACCATTACGCAGAGTAGTTTGGGATCGAGTTTAGCGAGCTTGAGAGCAAATGGTAGTAATCAGATGGATTCACTATAGCATTAATCAACATGTCTTGGCATTGAACCGTAGTCTGAGGGCCGTAAATGGTGCCTTTCGTGATCATTGCTTGCTTCCATTATCAGCAGCCCGATTCATACTTTCCTCTATACCTGAGTCGTTGGTTGATCGTCGTTCACATCCCACCCCACCCCGCGCGGACATGTAGCCACAATACCAGAGTAGACAAATTGACTGCCACGGTGGCCATGGCATATTCAGTAACGCCAAACACTCCAAGTATGCTGGTCCATATCACTGATCAAACGCAGGATTTAGCCAAGCATTTAGGCCAGTGATCAGATCCTCCCTCGAATCCATTCCTCGGATCACTTCTTAACAATAGTGATAATATCCTCATCCTCAAGGACATGCGTCAGACCCACCCTCTGCGGTTGATGCCTGACCGACTTGCCATACACAACCGCAATGCGGAAATCATCTATAATAGTCTTATGAATACTATTACAGAAATCCTCCACCGTATCTCTGCCTGTCCTCAGCACCACGGGAGCAGTATAATCTGGCATCCGGCCCTTGGGTTTGGTGTAGATGCGTTTGAGCTGGAGCTTGTCCCACGCCTGCTCCATGAGTTCGTCGACGTTCCAGCCATGTTCTGAGGAGATGGGACAGGCGTTCGGGATCCGGTAGAGCAGGTCCAGTTCTTCAATGGAGATGGCGTCGATCTTGTTCAAGGCGTAGATCACCGGGATGTAAGAGCGAGCTTTCGCCTCGATGACATCAATCAGGTCGTCGATCGTGGCATCACATCGTATGGCGATATCACAGTTCGCCATACGGTACTCGTTCATGACAGCCTTGACCTCATCATTGTCGATGTGGGAGAGTGCGACGGTTGAAGTGATGGAGATACCACCTTTATCCTTCTTGGTGATTTTGATATTGGGTGGCTCCTTGTTGATCCTGATACCGAAGCCTTCCAACTCGGTCTCGATGACACGTTTGTCGGTTAGTGGCTTGTTGACGTCCAACACGATGAAGATGAGATTACAAGTCTTGGCTACGGCGATGACTTGCCGACCACGACCTTTACCGTCCTTGGCACCTTGAATGATACCAGGAAGATCGAGCATTTGAATCTTCGCGCCGTTGTATAGCACTTGTCCGGGCACGGTCGTGAGGGTTGTAAACTCATATGCGGCAGACTCGGAATGTTGACCAGTGAGTCTGCTCATGAGAGTACTCTTGCCGACTGATGGGAAGCCGATGAAACCCACGGAGGCCACACCTGTTCTTGCCACATCGAACCCCGCTCCGCCGCCTCCACCGCTAGATGTTGGTGTCAGAAGTTCTCGCTTAAGCTTCGCAAGTTTGGCTTTTAGTTGACCCAAATGGAAGGATGTTGCCTCTGAAGTAGTGGTCAGATCGATTCGATACTTCAAGCACACATCAAACGGGTCTGTACTTACTGTTCTTCTGGGTTTTAGACATCTCATCCTCCACGGCCTTGATCTTATCCACGGTGGTCGCCATGCCGGGTGGCTAGTCCTCGAGGCAGATCTCGGCTCGAGCGCGAAGTGGAATCGAGAATTTCTTTCTGTATGTCTTCTTGGTAGTCCTATTGTTTCCGGGTATTGCTCAGGAGAGATCGAGGTTCCGACTTGATTCGCGATCTGTGAGTCTAGTTCTTAGTAGTCGTGAATCACTGTGGCGATGGTTTCGCCGATGCCCAAACTTCGTGTGATGTCGGAAGTACAGAGAAGTCGGCCCGGTCGACCTCACTAGCCCGATTGGTGGCCATTCATTCTTATTCCTCCCATTATTAGATCTCTTCCTGAACATCACGCCAGGCAACACATGCATCAAGCCACACCGACTGCTCACAATACTGATCTCCATCTTCGAAAGCACGTCTCAATGTCAACAGACCGCCTATCTGACCTGTCACTACCGCTTGACCCGCTCGAAAACTGGGTCATGTGAATTACGTTTGCCACAGTAGTAGCCTAACGATGAGTCGGCGACCAAGAGCCATATCCCACGGGCTTCTCCACTACCTTTATGGCCATAGTAAGAACTTGGATGTAAGACTTTGTCGGTCGGCGAATACACATGTAGCGTGCTCTGCGGTGAATGCACGTCTTACACGAGCCATTGTCAGCCTTTTCTTACTGCACTTCCTCTTCAAAGACATTTCCTTTACAATCAATCACATGTCTCTCTGCTCTCTCTATCACAGCAAGTCAATCCCGGCTTCATCACTGCATATAACAGCTACAACTGCGAAACGGCTCAACCGTGATAGTACAGCATGGACAACCCAAATATGACTACCTCTCCAATGCAGCAAGGCCCAGTCGCCACTTCCATCGCTGCCAAGCCGACTACCTTTCACGACTCTGCTCGCCCCAGCCCAGAACCCCTTGACGAGTCAGAACCACTTGACGGATTCCAAGGCCTCGTCAACGATATCAACCACATTCTCGGCCCAACCAGCGGAATCGATAGCGAAGATGTCGACGTGGAGGAACTCAAGGCCGTGATGAGAAAGTATTCAGGTCCAGACTCGGATTGGCAGAAGTACGCCTTTGCAGATCTCAGCAGAGCCTACACAAGGAATCTGGTTGACAGAGGCAATGGCAAGAGCAATTTGGTTCGTCGTCTGCAATCATTTACTATGATGAATGCCTTGGCTGACTCCTGATGCAGCTCATCCTTGTCTGGTCGCCCGGCAGATCTTCACCTGTCCACGATCATGCCAACGCCCACTGCATCATGCGAGTGCTTACGGGGTCTTTGACCGAGACTGTATACAGCTGGCCGGCTCAACATGCGGCCTCACAGGTCGGGTGCATGACCTTGCCTACCTCCACCTCTCGAAGTCCAGCGCACACGCGCCGACCCAACAACAATGGCACCAATTGTGGGCAGTCGCATGAATTGACTGTCCAGCGAACCACGACCTACGATCAGGGTGAGGTAACTTACATGAGTGACCAGCTTGGTCTGCATCGTGTAGGCAACCCAAGTAAGACTGAGGTGGCCGTGAGTCTGCATCTCTATACTGTGAGTCCTCTTGTCCACAAGTATGAAGTCGATGTCTTCGATTCCAAGCTGACAGATTGCGTAGCCTCCTAACGCTGCGAAACATGGCTGTCATATATTCGACGAGCATACTGGAAGGAAGTCCAAGGTTGAGCAACATCATTTCTACTCTGAGCTCGGCATCAGGACCGGGTAAGGAGAACATTTTCAGCTTGTCATGTTGGTGTTGCGATTTGGCGATGGCGTTGGATGGTATCGTGCTCACTGATTTGCTTGATGCTCTTCGGCTGGATGATCATGACTTGGCCTGGTCTAAATAAGAAAGAGATAAACAATGTATTCATGCATTCTCGTGACATGCACGAATTTCATACTTATCGAACACTGCGAAACGTCCGGGGGCCAACGTATCAGCTCGGCGCGTGCAAGCTCGGTCCGAGATCACATCCTTATTGTTCAAGAAGGACTTCGTCTCCGTCAAGACACCTTTGCTCACAGATGCGCGACGGCCGCTGCCATTCTATTGACCCACCACGCCCAATGTAACGTATTGTGTGATTGCGGACCAGATTGCTCAGGTTCTCGTATCAAGTGCTGGGTGCTGGAGCATTTCATCAACATAGTACCTGTTGATGGGACTCAGCAGGACAACCTAGAATGCGGGGATGTGCCATGCTCGTCCATCGCGCATATCCAAGACTCGATATTTTGAATCGTAATCGACAGGATTGTTGTTCGTGTCGTTTGTGGTAGGAACTTTGGAAGCGCCCACCGCAAGCACGCCACTCATGCAATCCCGATCCACACCGTTGACGTTTGCGGCTTAGGGGCATGGTTTGCCTAAAATAGCACCCGTATCTTGGGTTGGCGTCAGATTCGTATCGACTCGCGCCTGGCGTCGAGTCCGGGAAGCATCGTACAGAATTTGGCCAGATCTGATGCTATAGAAGTGTGTTCTTTTGAGCGGCCTTTCACATAACATTGCTCTTTGGTCAAACAGGTAGGGACGAAGCGACCAGTGAGAGTACTGGTAGGGAGAAGGATTATTGGATGCAGGGTCAAAGAGAAAGCCTCGGTCCCAGGACAAGACAAAAGAGCCGTCGTTTCAGACTAGAATAGGAAGGCGGCGCACGGTTGTAGCTCGTTCTATAGCCCGGACTCGTGCGTTTTTTGACACTTCGACGTTCACAACACTGTTGCGACGAACTGTCAAACGACTATCGCCGCACGCGACACGCTTCCTGGAGGGCACGGTATAGCGACAGTATACACCGGACCACGACACGCCCTCTGGTCCGTCCTTGCGACTCGCGAAAGGAGAGGTCTACCCCGCGCTGTTCCGTAAGCGTTACATTCACGACCTTGCAAGTCTTTGTTATCGACAACGACATACGGAGGACTCGGGAGCGTGGTTGGAGGACTGTCAAGAGCGACGGTGACATACAATCTTGTTGGGTAGACTACGACCACTATTCGACAAACATATTGGTCTTGGAAGTGCTTGTCTTGGAGGTTGCGACTCGAAGTCTTGCCTGGATCTTGGAGAGCTCTTAGGTGGCACATTTATACCTACACAACGACATTGAACCACGAAAAGGTCGGGAGACAGAGCCTGGAGGTGATCTACAATACAACTCGGGGTCTGATACTTAATTGCCGGCCAAGGACAGACGAGGTGAGTAGCTTCTTAGCTCCGTCCAGAGCTTGCGCGACACCCACAGCCTACACTGGGCGAATTCTACACCAACTTCTGCCATACTCGACCAGGCCTAGCAGACCGGTCAGCGCCCCTTCACTATATAATAACGCAATACTCGTGCTTTCATACGTTCAAGCGAGCTGATTGGCTATCTTCTAGTTTTGAGCGGCGGCTATAATACAAGCTCCCATTGGCTGGAGCCACGCAAACGCCTTTCCACCACCAACAGTAGGCTGCATAGACCAGCTTTATACAATTGGCTCTTCACCTTTACCGGCCCTGGTCAGGCGTCTAAATCGCAGTTCGTCACCCACAAGCTATTTCCACTTACGCCATCCTTTGACCGGACTTCATCGTCGCCACGCGACAATGTGGTAGAGGTGATTCCCCACGTCTAAGAAAAGCACACTGGTCTCCCACTCTGACAGGCCAACCACCACATTCTCTACCTTATCGACATTCGTCAGGCGCATCGACGCTCCTTCTACTGTCGCACTTGCCGCCTGCGAGATCTGGAATCTCACCTATCGCAGACCTTCCTGGTGGAGGCTTTCCGGTACGTACCATCGTCTCTTCGTAGTAGATACGGCACATGGTGGAATACTGTAAGCTGTGGTTGGCGAACAGCTTTTTAGTATTGTCAGCGTTGTTGCAAGCGCTATTGGCTTCTGCATTCACTTGAAGTTGTCTAAGGCATATGAGCCTGCAACGACTGTGGTGCACTTTGCGGCGTCGCACGATCCTCTGCTCTGCCAACACACGAGTCTCGCTGGCCATCTCTGCTAACATGCCATCTCTCAGATCATTATTTGCCGAACGGCATCGTAATAGCAAACATACAGCACACACAACTGAACAATCGAACATACATAGCCGAAGTCGACTGAACGATGATATGACTAGTGCCCTCTTGGATCCCTTACCATCTTCGCTATCACATCTTGTGGACGACGCATCATTCGAAAGCATGGCTCAGACACAAGAGCAGCCTGGATCATGTCAACGATCCACTTTATCTGCCGCGTCGACTGTGCAGCACCATTCACTCTCAAATGACTATCCCGAGAAAGGGTTCTACAGATTTCACCATCATCACACTGTGAGCGACTCGACCCCATACTGCTCCAACGACTCGTCTCCGACCACAACGGCATCCACTGTCGATGATTCTAGCGCCACTGAACCATCACCAGGCTCATCACCCGAGTCGCCGCCTCCATCGACATTCGCCGCTGGTATGATGCGTCCCCGGACGTCTGATGACTCCAACGGACCATTCTTTGAGCTTCAGAAGCAGCCACCTGCAAGGAAGGGACGCAACCTCAAAAACCTTGCTGTCAACACAAGCAGGCAAACAGGTCGGGCGGCATCGACAACAAGCTTGCCGTTGAAGCCACTCGTGGTGGAACCGTTATCTAACATCCTTTCTCCCGGATTCGTAAAGCCACCGTCTCCACAGAAGCGGAAACAGAGCACCCTAGGTCTGACCTTGCTCACTCCCGGCAGTAAACCAGCGCCTGCAGAAGTCAAGTTGGCAATACCTGCCACACCTGGGTTCGGGCGGCCTAGCACGCTTCGCCATTTCCAGTCCAGCCCTTCGCTGCCTATAATACCAGACTTTCATCACAATGACAACACCCGAATACCTTCCAAGCAACTTTCTAGGCTCGAAACTATCCTTTCACCTATTGCGCCGACACCTATAGTGCAGCTCCCGGCAGACGATGAGCAGAATTTCGATGTACCTCTATCACGTGAAGAGAGGCCAGAGGCTTATCCAGACGGACCGATCTGCGTATACGCACCATATGTCGACCTATACCTGGAACCCAATGCTCAACAATGTCGAACCTACGATGTAATCTTGAATGTTGCTAGCGAAGTACGGAATCCTTTGGCGGATCAGCAACCAGCGGAAGACACGCCGGATATACGGATAGATGGTGGTGGCGGCATACAGTACGCACCACGCCGAGGCCCATTAATAGCGCAAGAGAACACTATGGTCGAGCCATCTCCCACAACTCCGAAAGCCACACCACTCAGCAGCTCGTTCCCGATCATTGCTAATGTTCCGCAAAGTAACGGGGCAGGAAAAGATCCCGAGTACATCCACATACCATGGGAACACAACAGCGATATCGTGCCAGATCTACTCCGCTTGTGCAAATTAATTGACGAGAAGGTCAAGGAGCACAAGCGTGTACTTGTACACTGCCAATGTGGCGTCAGCCGGTCAGCCAGTCTTGTGGTCGCATATGGCTTGTACAAAGACCCGACGCTGAGCGTACAAGAAGCCTATGATGCGGTCAAAGTACGAAGTAAGTGGATCGGGCCAAACATGAACTTGATCATGCAACTCCAAGAATTTCGATCAAGTCTTGCGCGAGGAGGACTGCTCTCGAGCAACCGCGGCATGACGCCCATCACACCTAGCTCAGCTTTCAGCGAGTGGCGAGGACCATTCTCAGCAAGGCCGTCTGATGCAAGCAATATCGCTGTGCCCATGTCGGCTAGCGTAGCAGAGAATCCACAAAAGTTTCCGGTGCAGGTTGATGTCACGGCGGTCGCACCTGGACCATCTTCTGCTCCATCCAACTCAAACTGGCCTGGTACCGAGGCGACTCCACCTGTTCCTATACGTCGCACGCGGGCAGTCAGTGCTGTCAAGCGAACATCCGCATATGTAGATCCTTCAGGTCATCTGATACCGGTAGTCCAAGTCATAAGACCTGCAAGTACAAAGGCACTTCCCTCTGACGTGGAGACGCCAGCTGCGGTTGAGCAGACCAAGGAGGAGCCAAAGGCGGCGACCCTAACAGAGGCACTCGTGTCTCCACGATCTGCAGAGTTTGCGATGGTATCATTGCAGCTCCCAGAGGAAGTCGCGGTCGCGGATGCTTTCGGCATCATGTCGCCTACGACCGCCGAGTTCTCATCCTCGCCATTCGATCGCTCTGCTCTTCTTGCATCTTTAGGAATGGGCTTGATGCATCCAGAGACTCCGAGGCGCTCAACATCGTTGCGGACAGCTGCTAAGCCAGCGGAGAAGGCAGAGGGCACCGGCTTGACACCGTCGCCACGAAGACTACGCAATAAAATTTCAGCTCCTAGCATCCGCGAGCAACGACAATTGCAAGATCTGCAGACGCTGATTCAGAGTAATTTGTCTCTGAACAAAAGTGACAACAGCACGCAAGACGTGCTCATGTCGCCACGAGCCATGGAGTTCACAAGCAATCCCTTTGCCCCGTCCTTGGCCATCCCGGAGGTGGAGTCGGAAGAGAAGGAAGCAGACAGGAGTCCAGAGGCTGATCCACGAAGTCCGGCACATGCTGGATCCAGCCCATTCAGCAGGAATATACTTGACGTGATGTGAGAGCACGAACACATGTCTCAGAGGAGACTTGTTGCATACGAGACTCGAGCTGTTTGCAATCTGTCCAGGAAGCCAGTGATGCACAGCTCACATTGCTGAATTTGGTTGTTGTTCGTATTTCAGCATGGCGTTTGGCTGCTTGTTGGCTAAGCGATCGCTACGGCACGCTTTAGCGATATATCTGCGGAGGTTGCATACAGGGTTGTTTTTGACAAAGCATATGGCATTTATGCCTGGGCGTTTTTGGTGGGTGGGACATGTGGAACGGACTAGATGAGCGCAGCAGCTCCTGGCTGGGTTTGTATGATAGTATCGCAATGTCAAGAGTCCTACGAGCTCAACTCTCCACCTGCCTGTGGATTTCCTCGTTGTACTGATGGTCAATGGAGCACGTTCACTGCAGGCAGATGTCCACCGACCCCGAATGTCGATGAGCGCTTTGGCTCATTCGGCAGCCACCGGCCGAAAATCGACCAGATCGATCTGTTCACACAGCCAAAGTCCCTCGAGTCGCATCCCTCCGCGCGATCATCCTCTCTCTCAGCTCAGTCCGCTGGTTGCACAGCACTGCCGTGCGATGACAGCCATCGCGGGAGTGGGCTCGCGTAGGACGAGCATCTGGGCTTGACCACGTGTGACGACAATGACGGTGGACGCCCGCCCAAGGACGTCAGTATCGGCCGCCAGGTCTCAACATGGTCTTGGCGGCCACCCCTACGACGAGGAACGAGACTGTGGTATAAGAGAACCGCCACAGCGTTGTCAGAGTCTTCATTCTGGCAGTGCCTTGTTCCACCGATAGAAAGAACAAAGCCGAAGCCAAAATGTCACTTGTGTTCCTCTTCTTCCTCCTGCCCAGCTGTTACGCCTACGAGACTGTCAGCATCAATATCACGCAGCCCCAGACCCATGCTCCACTGAACACGGCTCTGGCATACTACAAACTCGCCGGCTTCAATGGCGATGACGATTACCTGACCCGTGGTACCTAAGCACTTCCCAACCACACCGCGGAAAGGTTCTGTAAAGTGATAAGTACGAATCGCAGGCTTCTACCAAACAACCTGCGGCTCCAATTTCAGCTTCCACTACACCGAGCCCAGCGTCTGGGGCAACGAGACCGGCACCCGCAACAAATTCATCCTCATCTTGACCCACGGCTACCCAGAATCAAGCTATATCTGGCGTCGTGTTACCAGCGTCTCCTCTTCTCGTCTTCCAGTAATCGTGCCCGATCAACCTGGCTGCGGCTTATCAACTCCATATTGTAACGAGACCGGCTGCGCATACGACAAGAGGACGTACTCACGCGCCATCTTTAAAGCCGTCAAGCATATCTACCCAGGCCATGGGGAGAATGCGACGACTAGTGTAGTGCTCGCTGGAGATGATTGTGGCGGTAGACTATGCATCGTGCCGCGGTGGAAAATGACTATCCTGGTATCAACGCCGTGGGCTTGTTCGTCGCCGACATCGTTCCCATTGTGGCGGAGTATGCAGCGTTTTCTAAGCCCAATGCTTCGATCGGATACTTTCACTGGTCGTTCCTGCCTAGAGGTCTTGACCATCAATTCCCGAGAAAAGGCAATGTTTAGAAGCTGATCGTTAACTAGGAAACTTTGCAACCGATGTGATTATGGCATATGGGGGTGGCAAGTGGGTTGACCAAATCCTCGAGTATCGTTCTGGGGAAAGCGTTCAAGGCATCGCGCTGTTCAAAGCCGACGAAGGTACGTCAATTGCGTGCTATCTTTGACTCATGAGTCTGACCTAGTATACCATACAGCCTGGCAGAGCTACCATACCCTCTTCGAACAGCTCGCGGCGACCAACCGGAGCGTCTTCGAATATCAAGCTGGTGGTACGATCGGATATGATTGGATGGCGGAGGACCAAAAGAACGACCGCAAGGTGGATATCCCGACACACGTCCTTCTCTCCGAAGTAAACCTTGGCGCACAATTCGATGTCTTGGCTGTGTGGACAGAGTATGTCCATCCTAGTGCCGGTCTGACCCTTTCAGGGATTGGGGAGCAGAATGGACATTTAATTATCGAGGAAGCGCCTGGTGAACTATACTGGAATAGCCGTTGCCTGATTCCATGAGCTGTGCTAATCGAGGACCAGATGAGACGATCGAGCAGATCAATGCTTTCATTGATAAGCTGGGCGTCGACTAGTAGCTGCTCAGGGACATCTTTCCCGTGCTGTACTCACCGGTCGGCCAAGGGCGTGGTGTGTAGTATACCTAGGGTTGGCTGTTCAACGTCACTTGCAGGTAGTGAATGAGTTCATTTCGTGCGCATGAGGATGACTCCATCATGGTCCTGTGGACCTGAGAACAGTGGACGCTAGCGCTTTGAGAATGTGAGGCATGTCAGTACACTCACACAAGTGATGGAGATATTGTTCACTGCACCCGTCCGAACTCACTCGCAAGGTTTGAAGACCTGTGCAGCCACATATTGAGTCAAAGCCACCACCCACGGGGCACCGAACCAGCGTATCGATTGTGATCTGGCTAGGGTTGTAGCAAACCCACATTTTGACAACCAGCACGACGATATCCGTGCGATCGACGATTGTCCAAGTCCGGTCAGAGCTTGTAGATAGAGAGACCCTATGGACCTCAAGTGGTGTGACTCGAACATTAGCTCTTGGCAACGACGAAGCTGCTACGTACAGGACGGCGAAGGCCGAAACATTCATTTGTTCGGGTGTGATCAGGTGAGAAGGTGATAGTATAGCTGAGCACAGCCAAGCAATCGGCTTCCTTACCGTTGACTTCTTCGAGCTCTCTCGCGCCATGGCTAATAGCTGAATACAGTAAGTCGTGGCGATGGTGCAGGAAGAGTAAGGTACAAGGGTCGTCACAAGGAGCGAGGGGCACTTCTATAAGGCTGCAGCTTTCAGACCGAAAATTTGGTAAGCTGCTTGGTGAGAAGCGAGGGTTCTGCGTGAGTGAACCGTCGGTCAGAGCTATGCTTATCCTTGTCTTTGTTTCGCACGCATGTATTGCAGTCGCTCAGGGCCATGGTCTTGGCTCGTTCGGTACTCTCCCCCTGGAGAAGATGATCGTTGATATTCGTATACGATGGCTATGGTCACCGAAGCTTTTGTGTCTCTCTTGGTAGACGAATGGGTTTGATTTCATTGTGGTCCTATACCATTAGAAGGTTTTCATCATGAGATCAATGAGGTCAGTCCAGCCTTGGCAACGTGGGCTGACTTCTCGGTAGCTCCTGCCGAGGAAATTGTAAGGTGGGATAGTCCAATAGCAGAAGCAAGTAGCTTTCCACGTTTGCACAAATGGTATCACGTCTGCGGCGATGTGACAATCGGCTTTCCAGTCAGAAGAAGCCGAAGATAGCTGATGGGATATTTGATGTCATCTAGGTACAGAGGGGAGAAGTATAGCAGCCCTACACGTGAGGCGGAGTGTTTTGTTGTCAAACGCTGCAATTTACGCCGAGGATGATGTAGCTGGAAGTGGAGTATTGTAGTGACTGGGCCAAATAATTGGACAGATGTTTGGCGTGACAAGGCCACGTCGTGCTGACTACAGCTCAGCTTTACCATTTGGTCACAATATCGAGTACGCAGTGATCTACGCGAGAGTTTTGAGAGGATGGAAAGCATGTCCAAAGTCTGCTTGGAATATTGACGTGGTGCGGCTGTAGGGTGATTGTGATCGATCAAGAGTCATCGAGGAGAGCGTGTACAACAGACATAGTTTTCTCGCTGACATCTGGTGTAATCTATCTACTGAAAACGCAGTGATTGTGTTTCGTTGATGATCTTGCCTTTGGTGAGGCATTGGAGGCGCTCGTCTGTGCTTACTTCTCCAAGTTTCAAAGAGTGCCATCGACGACGAATCACGAATCACAACGAGTCTTGGGCCGCTAATCCAACAGCCTGACTGCGTGGATGGTGCCAGTGGAGTCTCCATCAGCAGAACGATCCTGATACGCCTTGGTGCGCCGTTCATCAGCCCCAAGCAAAACGGACGGCGGTTGGCAGCATAAGGACAACGCAGCGTCAGCTCTCGATCTCTGATGGGGCAGATACAGTCCTATAGGTGATCATCAACAGGACTAACTACTCGGAGCTGCACGCAGCCGGCGTCTACAACTGACTTTAGCGGTCGGACATCCACGCGAGCATAAGCTTTGGCCGGCGCTACGCTCTAGCACTTCGCTGCATGTCATTGTAGTCAACCTTCGCATCATCTACTCCCTTGGATCTCCAATCAATTTATACAACATTCCGTGCCATCCGTCTGCTAAAGTCTTGGACAGGCGGAACTCATCCGAGCGGGCAAGAGAGTGTGACCTTCTTGGGCTTGTGCGGCACAGAGTTGGAGGAGTTGGAAACAATTAATCCACAATAGACGACGCGGCTGTCCCCACACTAAACAACCTGCAGAGTCCTACGCCGTGCAACAAAGCGATTGTGGTTGTGTTCGACGGCTACCGGCAGCATCGCCCTGTTTCATCCTGACCACGCACTATCAACCGACCACTGTCACCGGCTGGAGAACGACCAAACCCAGCCCACCGCCCACCCCGCATTACCCAGCTGTGTCTCACAGCCATACCACATCCTATACCGCTCTAGCGACCACGTCACTCGAGCAAATCGGCTGTTCAGATCGACTCGCACAGGGACAGCGGCAGGCCGCAGCAGACGACCACAAGTCCGATCTTGCTGAAACGCCAGAAACAGCAGGGCAGGCTGTCAGAGAGAGGGCTAAGTGCTCCTCTTCGGCAGCCGGCGCGCGCAGCACCATTGTTTGCCCACTGTGGCAGGCAACGAGCAGTACACAACGCCGCACCTCGCCATAGATCCGACCGGTGGTCGCGCAGACATGGCGAGTCCGGCACCACTTCTACGGCCACCTATCCCAGGTCAAGGCCGCTCGGCGTCAGGGAGTAGAGTGCCTAGGTTAGGGCTAGCGATACCTGCCAGTCCCAGTCAGAGGCCGGTGAATAGTGCTGCGGCACCGCCTATGACTGATATGCCACCCACCCTACCTCCTTTGTCGATACCTGGACGACAGCAGCCGCCGAAGTTGAGTCTGGCCACGCCGATGGGGACGAGACAGGTACCGCAAGAGAATGCACAAGGACGAAGACGAGGGCCGCCTTTACAGATCTCTGGTGCAGGGTTGACACCGAGTGGTGGGAGCAGTGATGAGTCGGCACATAGTCGAGACGGGAGCTTTGGTGCCGGTGGTTCGGTCTCAACGGCTTCATCATATTCCATGATCAACTTTGCAGATGTTTTGCGAGATCCGGACTCGGCTGCTTACTCGAGCAGTTCGGCACATAGTGGGGTGGGTATGGAGAGAGAGAATAGTATGCAAGGTGCTGCTGTAGATCTGGAAGAGCATCTCAAGAAGCTCACACTAGAAAAGGGTGGCACATTGGATGCTGAGGATTTGGACGACCTGGGTTGGAAGGCAGCACGGAAAGAAGGACGAATACTGGAACTAGGTAGCTTGGGAGAAGGTGCTGGTGGCTCAGTAGCACGATGTGTGCTCAAAGGCGGCAAGACCGTTTTTGCGTTGAAGGTAGGCACGATTGGAAGACACTGTCACTGATCGTTTGGACTGACACACCATCCCAGATCATAACGACAGACCCAAACCCAGACGTCAAGAAACAAATCTACCGCGAACTCTCCTTCAACAAATCCTGCGCCTCGCTACACATCTGCAAATACTATGGAGCCTTCATGGACGACACAGCGGGTAACATCGGCATCAGCATGGAGTTTTGCGAAGGCGGCTCGCTGGACAGTATCTACCGCGAAGTGAAGAAGCTCGGCGGACGCACGGGGGAGAAAGTGCTGGGAAAGGTTGCCGAGGGCGTCCTCAACGGCCTGACGTATCTCCACGGCCATCGGATCATCCATCGAGATATCAAGCCGAGCAATATCCTGCTTACTCGGAAAGGTGAGGTCAAGTTGTGCGACTTCGGTGTTTCCGGGGAGTTTGGCACGAAGGGGGATGCGAATACTTTTATTGGTACTTCGTATTATATGCCTCCGGAGCGGATCACGGGACAGAGTTATACGATTACTTCGGACGTGTGGTCGTTGGGCGTCACTTTACTGGAGGTGGCACAACATCGGTTTCCATTCCCGGCTGATGGGACGGAGATGAATCCGAGAGCGGTGTTGATCGACTTGCTTACTTATATTGTGAGGCAGCCTATCCCGAAGCTCAAGGATGAGCCGGCGAATGGGCTGAAGTGGAGTGCGAGTTTTAAGTACTTTATTGAGTGCTGGTGAGTTATATCCCCTCCTTTGCCGTGGTCTGTGGCGTAGGGTGAAATGCTGACTTCAATGCAGTCTCGAGAAGGAAGGCTCAAGAAGAGCTACGCCATGGAGGATGATGGAGCATCCTTGGATGGTGGAGATGAAGACTAAGAGGGTTGATATGGTGCAGTTCTTGCGCACTGTCTGGGACTGGCAGGAGTAGAGTCGGCTTACTACCTCAACATATTTTTGGCGTGGTCTCACCTCCAAGGAGGTAGCGTTGTAGGGACGGAGAAGCTGACAACATGTATGTGGCTGGCGGACGGTCTCTCACATAACGCTCGTCGTCGAGGAGGGAATGAAGCGCATCGAACCCAATGTCTGGACGATGGATGGCGTTTCGGAGGACGAAGGCAGAGCACGAGGTTGCATAGAGATCTATACTCGCATATGGGCCTAATATCTTGGAGACTGCTACGCATTCGAGGCAAGCATGTCGCATAGCGATGTAGAGCATTTTTTCGAGCTAATCTAATCAATGACTACCATGCTCTTCGTCTCCTTGCATTTGCCGACACATGCAACGAGACTTGCTGGTGAGCTTCCTGGCCCCCGTCGCAGTCTCGTCCGTTTCATCGCGGCTCTCTGGTAGAATTGGACTGACTACATGCACTTATGCCTCCCAAGCAATCGTGGCCTTTGCGTGTGTCATCGCCAAGATCTATACCATGCTCAAGCCACATCTGGCCAGCCACGCTACTGCGCCAGATCGAGGCGGGTGGACCGCGCGGTTGGGAGCGATCGGCGACATGGTTGGTTGACGATGCTGCTGCTCCACTTGCACATGCTGCCGTGGCCCCTACGTCACACACCCCTCCACCACGGACGTTTGTTGACAGCCAGGTTTCCTGGTTTCTGGGATTGCTTCCTGCTTGATATACTCTAGTCGAGAAGTATTGCAATAGACAGTCATCTTCACATCTTGCCCGATACTTGTACACATCCTAAACTTGTAAGTTGTGGCTTGCATCGACCGTCTCGCCGAGAATTCAAACAGCCGTTACTGACGTGCGACGCTAGAACAAGCAAAACTACATATTTACCAGGACAGCATAATGGCGGACAAGCTTCAAGACACCGCCAAAGGCGCCACGGACCAGGCTCAGAAGGGCGCCAGCGAGGGCAGCAAGAAATGGGACGCCATGTCCGAGGATCAAAAGAAGAAGACCTTCGACTCTCTGCCCGACGACAAGAAGCACGGCAAGACTTACTACGAGTGGATCACCGAGGGCTACCATAACCAGTATGAGAACTGGATGCCGTGGATCGAGGACATGTACTTGAGCTGGTTTACCAAGGATAACAAGGCGTCTTATGCTACCAAGGGTTAGTCGATCATGTTCGTGGCCTTGTGGTGTGTTTCCTTACTGATGCGATTCTCGCGGCAGATACTCTCGACAAGACCAAAGTGACGGGTATCGACCAAGTTGACACCCTGCAAGGCGACGTCAACAACCTTGTCGGCAACCAGTTCGGCAAGGGTGGTCTGTTCCAGCCCGTCGGTGATGCCGTGTCGAAAGAAGGTGTCAACCGTGCTGAGCGTGGTGGTAAGGACGACAAGGGTGGCTACACCGGTGCTGGGGCTGCCGACTCTGCCGCTAGTGCTGCAAAGTCCACTGGCGAGGGTGTGGCAAGCGGTGCTCAGGGCGTCGGTAGCTCGGTGTACAACGGTGCTGCGAGCGCAGGAAGCTATGTTGGCGGTATGTTCGGTGGCGGGAAGAAGTAGAGAGGGCGATTGAGCGAGAGGATCTTTGGATGTGATACCCATGGCTGAGAATGGAACCAAGGCAAAGATTGGTTGGTGATATTTGAGATCTTCGACAATTTCATCACGATATACTTGCTGCTCGATGGACGAATCTTACGACCTTGCCAGATAATTATGTATACAGACAACTCAAACGCTGCAATTCACTCAAGCCCACACAATCTCCTCCACTTAGCGATTCGCTCCTTATGCACCGGGTCCTCAGGCACAGCACTAGCACTATCATCAATCCCCACAGACCTCGTCTCCGTCTCCCACTCATCCCCAACGAACTCATCCTCCAGAGGTGTTCCAGCCTTCTCCGGCAAAGCGTCCAACCACTGCGTGATCTTCGGCCGCGGCGCGGACTTGACAAGGAAATCTTCAAACTGCATTCCATACCCATCCGAAGCACGATCCGCGAAACCAGAGAAGACCTCATCGTTCGAGTACTCGATACCTCCTTCCACCATCGCGGCCTTCGCCTCGCGCAAGCCCGCTTCAGCATCGATGACTTCGCGCGTGAGCTCGTGATTCCGCAGGAACCATCTCCTATCGAAGTCCTCAATCGTCGCATCTCGCAGCTGCTCGCCACGCTGCAATTGCACCTCGCGTTCGTCTTCCTCGTACGCGCGATCCTTGCTTCGGCGGTTGAAAGCTGCCCTAGCGAGATTCAGACGCTCGTCTGCCGCCCAAAGAGCATCGCGAAGATCCTGCCGCGCTTGCTCCTCTGATGATAGTGGCGGTGCCAACATGTGCCCTCGTGTCGTGTCAAGCGGTGCAGTGACCTCGTCCTCTGCATCTAAGCCTTGCTCCTTCCGCTCACCAGCGCGGAAGAGTTGATATTGTTCTTGCAGATCCAGATCTGGAAGCTCTGGCTCCACCTCCTCGGTCCTAGGCCCCAGCAGGTTCGCAGCGACGAAAGCCTCCTCCAGAAACGCGCTCGTCAGGCCCTGTATCTCCCTGAGCGTAGTGGCCTGACTCTGCAAACGCGCGTCAATGCACTTACGCTCCATCTTCGAGTTCTGAAGCATAGCCTCCAACGCAGCCGTCTCTTCTCGCAACATCACCTCAATGCTTTTATAGGCCTCCGCCGCATCCTCCAGGCACGCAAGACGAGTCTGATGACTCGAGATCTCCCGCTCGCACGCCATCTCGAAGTTTGTGATGACTTCGCTCTCGCGCGCAGCTCGTCGTTCCGCAGTCTCATACCCTCGCTGAGCTCGCACAGACTCCTTGATCACGGCGGACAATTCGAGGGTCATAAGTAGTGCTGCGCATGGCTTGAGGCCATCATTGGTGGCAACGAGGCGGGCAGGGCCGGCAGTGTAGTCGTCTTCGTCCTCGGCGCCGAACTCAAGATAGTTCGGCTCGCGAACGGTTTGGTCATCCTGGACCTCGACATCCTGGTACTGTTCCTCTGCTTGTTCGTAGTCTGCTGGGAGTTCTGACTCGTCTACTGCCGTCGCGCTGTGTACGTCTTCGGTTTCTACCGTGCGATTTAGAAGTGTTGACCCAGGAACCTCAACAGCTTCGGGGTGATGCTCAGATTGCTCTCCATCTTCTCCTCGTGACACTAACGATGATCCCGCCTTCCGGATCCCAGAATCAGCCATATGCGGACGGACGACCTCCGCTGCCTCTGGTGCTCTGACAGCGGGCTCGATCGGGGTTACAGGTGCGCTCAACGTACCTTGCTGCTGCTCACCAGTCGCTTGCTTGCCTTCTACCACAATCTTTGGCAAGGCCAAGCCTTGATCATTCTTGTTGCTCTTCGAACCCCGTCTTCTAATGCGGAAACGCTGCTTGATGTTGATGAACCTGTTCATTGCGGCTGACTGGTGTGTGTTGATTTCGTGTACTCGGAAGGCTACGAAGTGGCGGACTGATAGGAGATCTTTCCCTGTACATCTCCCCTCTGCTATGGGGTGTGCTGAAAATTTGGTGAGACAAAGGAACATAGGATGCAGAATCTTACACACTTTGTGTGGAGCTGACTGCGACAAAGACATGCCATCTGCTCCCTCTTTGTGCATCCTCTGCCAAATTTCCAAGGCATTGTGAATCGGAAGGTAGACGAGATGACCATAACAGGAATCAATGGTGTGAAAGCGTACCCAATCTTAGCACAGAGGCGAGGACAGTCGAGTCCTATGATGATCATGTCTCGATCTCCTCAAGACATCGCCAAATCAGTAGAAGTGTCGGCCTCAAGAGAGCCTAGCAAATCCAGAGCCAGTATTCCTCACTACCCATCGACGACATGGTTTTCAACGCCAAAGGCGCAAATGCCACAGCTGGCTCCACCATCTCTGCGGCTCCGGCAGCTCGCACAACGCCACAACAACAAATGTCAACCCGCGGCGCAGTCAACATCTCACGAGCACCAGGCGCGCAGAGTCCAGCGAACTCACCCTGGAGCTCAGGCCGCACCAACCTCCTGAAGCAAACCCTTGCCAAGTCCCGAGCACCCACCCAAATCAATGCCGCCGCCTCCACAGCCGCACTAGCCTCACAAATAGGGCAAATGAATCTCGGCAGCCCACCAGCCCAGACCCCTTGGGACCCATCCCAAGGACCCACGCATTCAAACGTCGACCTCCAATCCATGGCCGCCTGGCGCGCCAAAGCCGCCCCTCAGAGTTTCGCCGGTAGCGCCGTGACCACGCGTTACGCATGCTATAACGTGCTTTGCCGCTCTTCGGGCTGGAACCGCTCAAATTTCCGCAAGGGAGATGTCATCGCCATACCGTTCCACACAGCCAACACGAACCCCCACGTCGATCCCAATGATCCAGCCCTGGGGAAGACGATCTGGGGACCCGTGTACAGCAAACGCCGGATGGTGATTGTACTGTGGATTCACGAGAGGGATATGTTCTGTCTCCCGCTCTTCACACACAATCACACTGGTCTGTCTGGCAAAGGGAAGCATATCCTCCACGAGTATGTGTCCCTGAAGAATAAAGGTGATCGGGCGCATGTGCAGCAGGGTTTGTATCCGCCAGTGGAAGTCGATGCGTATAAGAGACCCATGGATAAGGGCACCGCGATTCAGTTGACGGGTGGGTTGAGAGTGTCGTGTAACGACGATGTTACGTTGGCTGGCCGGGTGACAAAGGTGAGTTATAATCGCTTGCTCGAATTGTGGAGGGACGTTGTTGATAATGCGCGGACTGAGGCGTGGGTGGACTGACGAGTTGAAGCTCCAAGTATATCGTAAAGGTATTTTCATGATGTCTTTGTCTCGGCATGCATCGCGGGCGATCGAATAAGTCTTCAAATTCCGTCTTGGCATGTATTCCAGTCGATCAAGGTAATTCGACGATATTCACCCATAAGCTTTCTCTCCCACCGTCCAACTCCTCAGATCCTCCCTCAAATCAAATTCATCCACCTCACCCGGCCCCTTCCTCACCTTCTTGGCCTTCGCGTGACGATGATGCCCGCCCCCACTCTTCACATACCCAGCGAACCTCCCCCCAGCAAAACGTGCACTCCCACGACTCCCCGGTCTGGCATCCTCCCCATCACGAGCCATATCCGGTGTACCACGACCAGAACCATCTTCCTGCCTCCCATCCCCATTCTTCTGCTCACCATGCCTATGACTGACCGGCTGTCCATGCTTCCCCCACCCATCACCCCCCGAGAAAATATCCTCAATACACTCGTCCGCCCTCAACTCCCCCGGATATGACGCCCAGAAAGCCGCAAGCGTCCGCCGATACATATCCTGCATCTCCCCCAGCTCCTTATTCGACGAGCTGAAGTTCGGCAACGCCGCGGGGATACTCTCCGTACTGCCCGCCGCATTCCCATTTGCATGCGAAGCCACACCATGCGTAGTCGAAGCCGATTCTGCCGAAGAGATGATCCCCGCGATCCCGCCAAAGACAGGTGCGATCCGGAGGGCAGGCGCGATGAAGTCACGTGTACCGTCGATATACTTCATCGCGACCCCGACCTTGAGGGTGGAATTGATCTTGCTCTCTTGCATGAGGTAGCGTCTCGTGACCCCGTGTTCTGCATCCTCTACACCATTCGCACCACCAGCTTTAGGACTAGAAGGTGATGCCTCATCCCCCTCCGAACAATACTCGGCCAAATTCAACCTCAACTGCCCCAACCGAATCCTCTCCGCCCGTCCACCCGAACTGTACTCCTGCACCACCTCCAACTCCACTTCCGTGCCTTGCAAGACGCCATCTTTACTCACCGTCATGCGCACGGGTGTCGTCTTGGTGTAGTCGTACAACACGCGATGGTCTTTGATGGCTGCCTTGGGGGTGCGACCGCGGTGATCGGCGGCGGTGGAAGAGGGAAGGTGCCATTTGATGAAGGAGGTGCCGCTGACGAGGGGCACGTTGTTGAGGTCGTGGATGGTGAGGGTGAGGTGGAAGCGGATGCGACGGGATTTGGGGATGAGGGGGTTGGACATGTCGTATTCACCTTTACTATACGTTGACTATACCTCTCTCCCCGACGCGTGCGTTATTTTATCATAGTTGTTATCGATTCGCTTGAGGCAGAACTATCCATGCCTGGTGGAATGTTTCGTGCTTTGCGCCGGAGATTGTCGGACTTTGGAACGTCCGACCATGCCAAGCGCGATATGATGAAACAGTGCCCGCCAGGAAACTCTCCTCTTCGGGCAGGAACGACCAAGACATATTACTTGATTGTATTGGTAATCACATTTCAGTGTCAGCCATGCGCAGTCTCGAAGACGCGTCCGCAAGCTGGCAAGAACTGAAGCAATACAGGACTCTATCTGACCTTCGACAAGCAACTCGCGTAACAGACACTCTCCCATCACATATCGCTGGCGCCGGACTTCGCTCTGCTGCCTGGAAATCATTCCTTCTGTTTGACTCTGTCGACACGGCAGAATGGCCCAAAGTCCTTGCCGCTTCCCGCTCAGCATACGAGTCACTACGTACTCACTTCCTCCGCCACCTCGACAACCCGGATGAGTATGGCGGTGGCGACGACAGCGAGGTGAGCTACCACTGCAAGGCAATTTGTTCGTGTCACGTCTGACGATCGCTGAGACTATCTAGACCCAAGCAAACCCGACCCTGGAAAATGATACGGCATTATTAGCAGAGATCCGCCAAGACGTCGACCGCTGCATGCCGGAGAACCACTACTTCCTCCAGCCCCCCACCCAACAAAAACTCCTCGACATCCTCTTCGTCTGGTCCAAACTCAACCAAGACGTCTCCTACCGCCAAGGAATGCACGAACTCCTCGCCCCGATCCTCTGGGTCGTGGACCGCGACGCCATCGATCTAGGCCAGAGCAGTAAAGTGCATGGTGAGGATGCGACCGTCCGCGTCGTCTTCGATGCTGAGAATGTGGAGCATGATGCCTTTGCCCTTTTCAGTAGGGTCATGCAAAGTGCCAAGGGTTTCTATGAGGGGACGACGCATCAGGCTGGTGAGAACCCGATTGTGGTGAGGAGTCGGAGGATCTTTGAGGAGATGCTACCGCAGATTGATTCGGAGTTGGCGGCTCATCTTCATCGGATAGAGATTGTGCCGCAGGTGTTTCTTATTCGCTGGATTAGGTTGCTCTTTGGTCGGGAGTTTGGTTTTGACGATCTGCTTGCTTTGTGGGATGCTCTGTTCGCGAACGATACGACGCTGGAATTGGTCAACCATATTTGTATAGCGATGCTTCTACGTCTACGCTGGGAGCTCTTGGCAGCGGACTACAATTCGGCTCTGGCACTACTACTCCGCTATCCGTCGTCACCGGCACGGGATCACCCTCCACAGACTCTAGTCCACGATGCCCTCTACCTTCGCGACCATCCCAATTACGATGGAGCTGCGTATCTTGTACTCAAATACACTGGTCGTCCACTTCAATCGCTCAATCGCGCACTTACGCCACCAGCACTACAAAGAAACATTACAGCATTCTCCGGCATTTCCACCTTAGGATCCGGACCCATCTCGCCAATTCGCCAACGAAACAAACATCTTCAACGCCCCTCCTCGGCTTCAAACCGTCAGCAATCAGGCCTCGAGGTCATGCTATCCTCCACAGCCCGCGATATCTACGCACGCGGCACTAAGACTGTTCGTAGTGCTGTGGACGAAGTACATAAGCGTGCGCAAGAGATCAGGGACGTACAGACACCTTCTTTGCCTCCTCGCGGTACTCCAGGCAGGGAAGTAGGACCAGAGCAACTGCTGAAGAGGGTCGCAGCGCTGGAGAAGCGGAACAAGCAGTTGGGTAAGCTGCTCGAGGGTGCTGTGGGAGAATTGTGGGAGTTTCAGAGGTTCGTTGCCGAGAAAGACGATGGTCTGAATAGTGGAAGTGGCGATGAGAAGAAGGAGGGCATTGAAGCTGATCTGGAGAGGTTGAGCGTGGCTGTCGCTAAAGTGCAGTTCGTGCAGGTCTATCTTGAGGATGCTAGTTTGCCTCTACCTGTGGACGAGGAAGGTGTTGCCGCTGCGGAGCACATGCCGGCGATGTCCCAGATTGAGGCCACTATACCTGCCCAGGACTACGCTCCCCAAGAGAAGGAGGTGGAAACGTCCAATACCGAGGTCCCTGCGCTGCAGTATAATGCACCCGCAGAGCAAGACACTAGCCGATCCTGACTCCTTCGAGGAAATGGACTCGGGATCCGCGACGCCTGCGCGACAGCCACAACCACAGGGTGGAGAAGTCCCGAGAATCACTGTTGGTGGTAGTGATGAAAGTGATGCGGCAAAGGGTCCACGTCAGGACTCGATTCCTGTTGGAGTCACTGCCGCACACGAGCGATCGACCCTGGCTGAAGGCTCATACTCGTGGATGCTTGGCGAGTCGGAGACGAAAGCCAATGCCACGAGGCCGACGCATAGTCCAGGAATGGAGACGACTGTACCAGCTACGCCGGAACGAAGACCGCAAGCTAAAGGTTTCCTGTTCGGCGAAAAGGAGGGCGGAAGCGGGGATGGCGATGCTGACGATGAGGATGGGGGCGGAAGTGTTCGCGGTAATGAGAGCGAGGGCCTCAGCGAACCCCCGCCGACACTCGTCGTGGCGCGATCAAGGAGGAACCCTGGTAAAGGTAGGAAGGTGTTGGCTGCGAAGGAGAGGCTTGGGGATGGGGATGATGTTTTTCGATGAGGTGGCTTGGCTCAGAATCTCTGTCTATTAGGATGCATACAAGCAGTTGGACTAGGTCTTCCAGGTTCACAAGACCGCTTCAGGCTCCAGTTACAGAAACGAACAAAGGCCTTGATTTGTCTCTCCTCTTTCTGTAATGATTCTGAGCTCGAGTAGCTACGTTAGTTCCAAGCCCGTTATCCCACCCATCACGTGCCACCACCTCAGTCATGCTCATTGGGACTCCACCAGTCAGTTCTACTTGATTGAGATCGCTCATTGCACGCGCGTCGACTGTTGCGCAATCCAGATGGTGGTCAGTGTGTCGGCAGCGAGAGCCCGGGTGGACGAATCAAGCCTTCTCGTAACGGGGAAAGGAAGCGCCACCCCCAGATCTTTTGGGCGTCCGGGCGTTTCAGTGTTTTTGCCGAGCTTTCCATTTGAGGAATTTTGAAGGATATCTTCTCCTGCTGTAGGTCAGCTTGCCTTGCTTGCCTCCTCGCGATAAAGATGCGAGGGATATCTCACCGTTCTGCGAACAGCCGCTTGTAACGCTGCCCAGCATCGTCAGCAGAAAACCGTGAACACGGCGTTTCTTCGAAGATGCTTGGGCCGAATTACCCCTGCCTATCAATCTAACGCCGTGGCCACTGGACGGCTCTCTGCCGCCGCACCCTGGCCTCCTGCTAACGACGATCCAATTTCCCGTACCCTACATCTATTGTACCAAGCGTAGTGTAGTATGGCTTAGACAGTAGTCAATATCGATATATGTAAGTTGACTACAGAAGAGGCACACGACTTCACTCTTCTTTCCTACTATCACTATCACCATCACTCTCTCTTATAGTACTGCAATAACTGACTACGGTCGTCCTCTCTCTATATCAACTACAAACTAGTCACTCACTATCGTTCCTTACAACCAAATCAGCAATTCTCCACCACCTATCAACAACCAACCCAACCAAAAATGCGTTCCACAATCATCGCCGCCTCCCTCTTCGCAGGTGCCGCTTTCGCCCTGCCTTCTCCCCAGGAGACCGATACCGTCTACGACACCGAGGTCTTCACCATCACTTCCTGCGGTCCAGAAGTTACCAACTGCCCAGCTCGCGCCACGACCTCTACCTCTGTCCGCGTCTCGACTGTCGCCTCCGCTGTCCCGACAAGCTGGGGTCCTCCCGGCCACGGTGGCCCCGGCGGCTACGGCAGCTGGTCTAGCTCTGCTGCTGCTCCTAGCACTATCAGCTCGGCTCCAGTCTCCACCAGCACGATCGTGACATCCAGCTCCGTCGTTGTCAGCTCCTCAACTTCCGTGGCATCCGTCTCCTCGCCTGTGGCACCAGTCAGCTCTTCCGCTTCGTGGAGCGCTTCGGTTCCTGCAGCCTACAGCAGCTGGGTCAGCTCTCCTGTAGCACCAGTCAGCTCCGCCCCGGTCGTGCCATCGTCCCCAGTCGCACCATACCCAATGTCATCCGGTGTCTGGAGCTCCCCAGCCGGCCCAGTCGTGCCATACCCCACCGGTACTGGCTCGCCATCTAAGCCAAGCGGATATGCCTCCGGCACTGGGTAAGTCATCTTGCCGTGCCCGTGCAATTTCTCACTAACATATACCACAGTGGCATTTCCTCCAACACCTCTATCCCAGCTCCCTACACTGGCAGCGCTTCTGGGTTCAAGGTCGCCGGTAGCCTCGTTGGTGTCTGTGCTTTCGCTGCTCTTTTCTTGTAGATATATCAGACCTAGACAATTTTAAGCCTTGAATCCTAGTGCAGGATGGCTACGACTAGTGCGTGGTCCGGGCGCAGTGGCGAACAAAATTTGGCTTCTTGAAAAATGACTTTGTAGTCGAGGTAATTGTGTAGTGTTAAGATAATTGTCGACAGAAACGGCATCAATAACAACATTGTTCATATTATTGTCTCAGGACTGTATACTGATGCCCTTGAAGGTCTTCGTGATGCTCGTGATGGCCTCCTCGACGGGCAAACGTTCCATACTCGATGCTCCAAAGAAACCATGTACACCGCGACATCGCTCGAGCACGAACTTGGCATCTTCTGGCTTGGCTATAGGACCACCGTGGCATAACACAATGATGTCTCCATTGACCTTGGTCGCTGCGTCACGGATTTCTTGGATCTCCTTGACGCAATCTTCTAGACTTTTGCCAGTCTTCGCTCCAATGGATCCGCTGGATGTCAAGCCCATGTGAGCAACAATGACATCTGCGCCTGCTTCTGCCATTTTCGTTGCTTCGTCCGGATTGAAGACGTACGGAGTGGTTAGCATGTCCATCTCGTGTGCCATACGAACGACGTCAACTTCTAGTTGATAGCTCATGCCACTATACAACCACAAGTCAGCCGGCAACATGTTTCGATCACATAAGCATCACCTACGTCTCCTCAAGATTCTGCCGAAACGTGCCATCGATCAACCCAACAGTCGGGAAATTCTGCACACCCGCAAAGCCCAGATCCTTCAATTGCTTCAAGAACCGTCGCATGTCTCTGAAAGGATCCGAGGCACAAACACCAGCTACCACCGGCGTATGTTGGACCACGGGAAGGACTTCAGACGCCATATCGACTACGACATCGTTGGCATTGCCGTATGGCATTAGTCCGGCGAGTGATCCACGACCTGCCATTCGAAAGCGGCCTGAGTTGTAGATGATGATCAGGTCGCCACCACCTGCTTCGACGAATTTGGCTGAGAGGCCGATGCCTGTTCATTGCGATCAGTAGTGATATCGCGAATATTACCATGCCAGTTCTGATACCTGCACCTGCTCCTACGATAGCTTTGCCATCCTTGATCTGCTTGCGAAAGCCCTCAAGGATTTGCTTGCGGTCTGTTGGCGGTGACATGTTTTTATGCACCAGTGACTTCCGCATACGACGTAAGCCTCTAATTTAAAGATAAACCACGCAACTTGAGGCTCAAAAGATGGAGAGACGAAGTAATATATAACTTTAAGGTGATGCGCAGACGGAGATCGACCTTGACGCCATACTTTTGACCCTGCATGAAGCTCATGTACATCGACTCCGCAGTTCCACAACCTCGATGACATGAATCAATGCTCATCAGACCACTCACTACATATCGTCACCGGTTCGAGCCGTCATATATTCCAGGAACTACGTTCGGTCTCGCTATGCCGCACATCGTGCTTCTTGGTACCTGCGACACAAAGCTTGCAGAGCTACTTTACCTGAAGTCCGAGATCTTAAACAATGGTGGAGCAGATTGTAGAGTTACTCTTGTGGACGTAGGGCGGTCGTCCGTCGACGACAAGCAGATCGATGTGCGACAGAGTACGCTGACCAGCAGATACCATCCTCAAGATGATCAAAAGGACGTCACCAGCTTGCCACGAGGCGAAGTCATTAAATACATGATCGCTTGTTCCTCGAATTGGTTGCGAGAAGCATATCAGCACGGACTTGACGACAAATCAGCAGCCATACATGGTGTGATCAATGCTGGAGGTACTGGAGGCACGAGTTTGTCGTCTGCGGTAATGCGAGAAGTGCTACCTATTGGGCTGCCTAAACTGATCGTGTCAACAAATGCATCTGGCGACATGGGCCCTATTATTGGAGAAGCCGACATCACGATGATGTACTCGGTATGTGATGTCGCTGGTCTCAACCACCTACTGCGACGGATCTTGTCAAATGCGGCTGGTGCGATTGCCGGCATGGCTCATGCCTATGAGAGATCTCTCGTTGCAAACGCGTCCTCTAATGGCGAGAAGCAGAAAAAACGGGTAGGCCTGACGATGTTCGGAGTCACGACGCCGTGTGTCGATAAAGTGAGAAGTCATCTCGAAAGCAACTACGATATCGAGACCTTCGTCTTCCATTGCACAGGTGCGGGAGGCCGAGCGATGGAGCGCTTGGTGAATGAAGGCATGCTGGAAGCCGTCCTTGACATCACAACCACAGAAATTTGTGACCAGATATGTGGTGGTGTGATGGACGCTGGACCTCAACGGCTGGTAGCGCCTTTGAAAGCAGGCATTCCATATATCTTGTCAGTAGGGGCAACAGATATGGTCAATTTCGGACCCAAAGCAACGGTGCCGGAGAAGTACCAGAACCGCAAGCTATTCGAGCACAACCCAACTGTTACGCTCATGCGGACGAACGCCACTGAGTGCAAAGCGATTGGCGAGTTCATCGTTGACAAGCTTGGTTGCTTCACAAAGGACAAGCAGATGGTCGAAGTGGTCCTCCCGGCTAGTGTAAGTATGATTTCCACACCAGAAGGTCCATTCTATGACGCCGAAGCGGACAAAACATTGTTCTCTGCTATTCGCAATGGCTTGGATGGCACAGGCATCAAGCTGGATGAAGATAGCCGAGCTATTAATGATGGAGGGTTTGCCATTGATATCGCCGAGCGCCTGGTGAAGTTGATGGGATTGACCAAGAAATAATGGTTGTGTATATCGTCAATAAACCTCTTCGCTGAGCATAGCAGGACTAAGTATGACTAAGTATTGATGGAGCTCTTTGAGGTGACTAGGTTATCATTAGCTATTAGAAGCTGCACTGAGCAGATTACGATCTCGATCTCCATTTCGATATCGGCACTTCTCGTGTCCACAAAGACAGACTTTGTCCAGATTCTGTAATCAAGAAGGAAGGTTAGCAGAGCTCTTTCCAGGAAACAAAACACACTGACCTTCCAGTAAGACTCTGAATAGTCCACCGTGATCTCTTCTCCAGCCTCGATGCCCATGCTCATAAGCACTATCCGTTGAGTGCCAAGCCATACAAACCGCTCGTACTGACTGTTCGGCTGGCAAGAATGGTTCACGAATCGCGTGAAGTTTCCTTTTCTCCCTTGCCAAATCTGATAAACTGCTTTGTCGGTCTGCCCAACCATGACGTCTATATTCTGCAGACCAGATGTAATTTGTCCAACAAATTCACCTACTGCTGAACCTGGCTCGAATGCGCAACATGCCAAGAGGCCGTTATTTTTGCCGTTTGATGTTCTGTAGACCTGTACAGGCGTAGCACCTGCTTTTGTGCCGCCGTATAAGTTTGGGTAGCATTGACACCTGTTGTCTCGTGGATCATCGGACTGTGGCTCATGACACTGCTGGCATTTGTGACCATCTGAGGTGTCCATAGTCACTAGTCGCGGATCATATTCGCCCCAAACTTCTTCGTCGATCATCGACTCGTCAAGGTGTTCATAAGCAAAGTGCTTGTCCCATTGGTGGTAAGTGATCGGCAACGGTATCGCTTCGTTCGACGCACCACAAACAACATGATCGTGAGGATGACCGTTGTACTTGCGTTCCGTGGGGCCACCAATAATGCCAAGAAGCTGTCTCCATCGAGGATGCAAAGTGTCTGCTGCCACTTCGAAGCGATGCCGCAGCATCTGCAATGTGGCAAACGTCTCTTCAGTAAATGAGACACGGTACTTGCAGAATCGGTAAAGACCTGCGCCCGCAAAGACTAAGGCTGCCCAACCTGCAACAAGCGTTAGTCACGGTACAGGTGTACCTTGGATGGGGTAGCATTAGACTCACCTCCAGATTCCATGATATCATGATAGCCTTTCCATATTGCCATCTTGTTCCTTAGCTCCTTCTCTGACCAGGAGAAGTTAAGGCATGCTTCTGCTATGGTCTGCTTCTTCGCCTTTTCACGAGTAAGACTCGTGCCAAGGTCGGCCACACGATCCTCGAAACATCGAACCCAATGGGCCTGTACAATCACTTCGAGCGAGCGACATGTCCGGCTGGCCTGGCTCACTTTCCGTGTGAGAATGCTCATTCTCCCGAAGACTCCTTGTACCGCGCTCTCGTGGTGAACAGCCATCTCTCGTTCGGTGTCTATTAGGAGTCGAGGTTGGCCGCTCGACTCAATAGCTTGCCACTGTTCTATAACTTCTGTCGGATCTAGCTTTATACTTGAGTAGATAGAGTCCCAGACCCCGCCAATATACTTGTCCAATGTAGATGGCTGCAGAGCTGGGTTGTCGGGCAAACGCTTTTTGCGTGGCAAGGAGACACTTCGCTCATTGCTCGATTGACGAGTGATTATACCATCCTCGTCGAAAGATGATGTGCTTACGCGGAGACCGGTGTTGGCCTTTCGGCTCTTCGCAACTCGATTTTCCTGTCCGACTGGTGAGGCCGTTGGGGTAGCCAGACCTGTGGTAGCACCTTCAAGCAGCTCGTCGGGGCTTCGCTGCAGCAGTGGGGATGCGCGACTCCTGATGGGACTATGTCCCCCGATCGGACTGTTGAGCGTAGGTTGGACATTAGAAGCTACCACTGGCGAGCCACGGGATGTTGTCTCTTCAAGTCCTACAGATGCGAGTCTGTAGATTTGGTTCGAAGGGCCTTGGAGAGCGTCATCAAGGCGCCGCAGACTGCAATCAAGCTGCAATGGCTCGCTAGAAAGGTCGACTCCATCTTTCAGTAGTTGAAGGATGACCGCCGGTAATTGATCACCTACCCTCGCAGCCAGTTCCAATGCAAGACGTTCCAACTCCGCCAAGTCGTGGGTCGACATGGTGTTTGAAAGAAAGACAGCCTCATCAGCTAAACGCTAACCCTGCTATCCTTTTTCCAACCATCAATGCCGGGCCGATCTCCATATACTGCTCAGTCGAGCAGTGCTACCATTAGATGACAGCGATGGCCAGGGTAGCTCTAACGGGCAGCACTAGCTCCAGCCTGCAATAATGCGGCGGCTAGCGATCGCAATCTACACTCCGTATCGACTTAAGATGACCATTAAACAATGGAGTTCTATGGATTATGCAACATCGGGGGTAGGTGGAGTGGTTGGAAGAAAGGCTGGCTATCCCGGGCAGATTTTTGATCTCGTAATAATGTGACCCCACTCATTTCTTCATCACCCCAGATTGCTGCTTGTAGGGCTGAAAGATGATCGACATATCTCGTTAGGTCTACCTTACTGCTCTTGGCATCTGCAACCTTAAAATGTTCGGCCACAATAAGAGGCATACTCGGAGCGTACGCCGGACAACATATGCACATATATGCTGCCATCCTATCTTCTTGATGGAGAATGGCGCAATAGTATTCTCCAATCTTCAGACGGTGCGACTGATTGTGGCAGAGATGGGTTTGGCCATAAGGTGAAATCGCAGTGGCCAGACCACGGCCCACCGCATTGTCACCATGCAGTGCCGGTCTTGCCGAGGATGTTACCAGTATAACAAGCCATCTCTACGGGCAGCGGCATGCATGAATGCAGCAGATATGGAATTCCATGGAATGTATGTTACACCGCAGTTGTCAACTCGCAACAATGATATCTCGAAGAGCTTGCTCTTAGACTATCGCAGGCAACAGGAACAACATCGCTCAGAACGAAGCCCCGACGGGCGGAGTGCTTGTAGTATGGTCCACTGCCATTTCTTCATGACCCTCTGCGAAACTGCTGCTGTCGTTGGTGACGGAGACGGTGAGTGACGAGCATCCCTTGCTTCATCTCCTCCTGTGACCACCACCTTGGTCGCGCAAAGCTACCCGAATACGGGACACACACGCTGTGGAACACACTGAGGCCCCAATCTCGCGCTGCGCGTATGCTCGTGCTCGAGCACATCAAACCTAATAATCCTTTTGACAGATCCGCATATGGCCCTGTACAGCTGTCACGACGAATGCGAGCCACAGCCGCCTTCTTCGACACCGCCCATCGTCTAGCCCTGTCGCTGGGCTCAAGCACGCCGAGACAGCGATTCCACTGAGCTGCCACAAATATGTTGGACCCACCCTGATGTCGTGACGGAGTGACCTGTCATATCTTGGTCAGACCTCTTTGTACAATTGTTGTCTGACACTGGCTAATATCCTATGAGCGCGCCATATGGAAGCTTCGTTGAAGGGGATGTGTTGTCGGACATTCACGAGTGGGAGTCATTTCCCCTCTGCGTCTCTTCATCGTTCAACAGTGATGACCAATACTTTGATATCAACTTTCTTGACGACCACGAATCGTTCCAACAGTGTGAGACTTCTGCAGAAGTTGGCTCATCCGCCTGGTGGTTGATACCAAGTTCGCAAACCTCTTACCACGCGGACACACGCATCTATGCCGACGACGATTGGTCTTCGCTGTCGCCACCAACTGGAAGCACAAGCTGGCCGATAGTTTCAGACGAGGCAAGGTGCGGTTCGACTACTAGCGTACACTGCCGCTATACTCCTCTGGTGGCTTCGCCAAGTCACGATACCTATGGCTTGCCAGAAGTAGCATCGGAGCCACCACTGCTAGCCAATACCGATGTCCCCGAACTCCTGGCACTCTTCCCGACCCACGCTCAAGTACGAACAGGCCCGCTGCCTGGGGCATACATCATCAGGAGACAGAGTGTACGGCACACTGATGATTTATACACAGCCACGTGGATCAGGGGCGAGGGCGTGGACCGAGAGGGATGGTGTGCATACTGCTCGTCCTGGCACAGACTGAAGGACTCGACTTATTGGGTAGGGTCAGTCACATTCTGAACAATGTCTGTCAACGCTAATCCATAAAGTATCATCTGCAGTACACGCACGGCATCTGTCAAAACACTGGACGGCCCTTCGAGTCTCCTCGCGGACTACGTCAGTCTCGACGAGCTAATGACTGCGACGCTTACTGTGGACAATGCTGTCAATGGATCAATGTTGGTCGACCGACTCGATGTCGCACAGCCTGGTATCGCCATGCATACAAATGCCAGAGCCGGTCGACTGGGTCAATACGCTTGTCTCGCACACCTAGTAGACGATCTGCTAGGGCTTGGGAAGTGAAGCAGAATGCGCAACCATAGCACTCTGTGCCAGTTCAGGGTGCGAGTATCACGATCAAGTAGCCTTCTGCTGAGATGGAATACTGGAGGTAATAGGAGAATCGTAACAAGCTTCCGCTCCACAAGTAACGGTTGCGGTTTGTTGATAGCACTTGTTTTATTGATTGAACAGTGATACCTTTTGAGCGACGTATGAGATAGCATCAGTATGATCGAGGTAGTTGGCGTTTAGGTCGAGCCCATAATTAGTTGGAATCTACTTCCATGTCATTCGAGCTAGTACAACACAGATGTGATACGAGATGCTTCTATCCGCATCTCCCACAGTGGTGTGAGCTTTTATTGGACAGGACAGAGGAGAGGGAAGGTGCTGTGCTTTGGGTGCAACCTAATCCTTGATATCTGTTCGACTTATCGATGCATCTATTCCGGAAATAGGGAGCGCAGAATATTGTAGGGGCTGCATGAATCTCTCAAATGTTTGTGACTGTGAGTGATGTACCGCTAGCCGAAAATCCATTTCTGGGTCGCCGATCTCCAAGCCACAACAGCCAGAGCTTCTTCTTCTTCACTTCATCCACGATGAGCCAAAGCATACATGTAACCAAAGAAAACACTTCGTTCTTCTTCCCTCAAAGCTACTTGGGGACGAAGGCGGCCTGTCACTGTTATCATAGAGATCGAACCAGATTGATCACGCTTGCTGCATCTCGAAAGATACCTAAAAATCTGTCATGGCGGACTGAATTGCGCGTGCCGGGACATATCACGTCAAGATATCGAATGGGAGAGGTGCTTCCCTAAAATCTGCCAACTATCAAGATGCGCTTATTGAATACCTCTACGCTAGAATTCCGGGAATTCGTTGATCCTCCGCCTTATGTGATCCTGTCACATCGATGGGGAGATGACGAGGTTTCATATGAGGAGTTCGTACTGACTCGGAGGCCTTTTGAACAGCTTCCGCCATATCTGTCTGACGAAGTCACCGAGATACGAGAACGGAAGGGCTACAAGAAGATTCTGGACTATGCAGCGAGAGCAGCCAATCCTTTGCCGAGCGAAGATGACTACTGGCTTTATCGGAAACTACGATGGAAGAACTCCTTCAGATTTGACTGGTGCTGGATCGATACGTGCTGCATTGACAAGAAGAGCAGTGCCGAATTGTCCGAAGCCATCAATTCCATGTGGCAATGGTACAGCAGTGCTAGCCTTTGCATAGTATATCTCGTCGACGTGACATTTTGCAGCAAAGATGAGACATACGAGCACTTGCTGGAGGCCAGTAAATGGTTCACGCGCTGCTGGACCTTACAGGAGCTACTCGCGCCACGAACGCTACTCTTCTATACCGATTCTTGGACAGCCTTTCTGGTGGCGCATGGAACTCACGTACGATGGATCAGAACAGGCCATGATGCTCACCAGGCTCTTCAAGATGCAGCCGGCATACCTTCGGAATGCATTGATTATGGGACTACCATGACATACTCGATCGCCCAGAAGATGAGCTGGGCTGCGAATCGACAAGCGACCAGACTCGAGGACGTTGCATATAGTCTTCTTGGCTTACTAAATATCAATATGCCCCTTTTGTATGGTGAAGGGTCTAGAGCATTTACACGGCTACAAAATGAGTTGTTGCGATCCGATTATGATGATTCCATCTTCGCATGGCATTTCCTCGACCAAACCAGATTGGCCACCTTGTGTGAAGATCACCAATGTCATTCACAAAGCCTCCTGGCCTCAAGCCCGGATCTGTTTCAGGGCTGTGGTGCGGTGCAAAGAGGTCAGTCATCTGAGCACGAATTCTACGTGAGTAACAGTGTTGTCCACATGGAGCTCAGGGCACCGGCGCAGCGTCTTGTCAGAACCTCCTACCGCAGCCTATATGACACTTCCAAGACGTCTCTATACTTCATAAAGCTAGCTTGCCGTGACTTACGGCCGGTGGAGGGTCGTGAATCGGGAAATGATATTGCTTGCAGGATCGTGGTCCTCGCAGACGAGCGGGAGCCGCCAATTGCAACGAAGGTCATTAGAAGACGTATTGCCTGCTGCGCCCGACCTGCTTGGACCAACGACGATCTGGACAAACTACAATGGAAGCAAGATCGAGGGACGAATGTCCATAGATTTGATGTTCCGATTGCTACAGAACGCAGACAAGGACAAGGACGAATTCGCGAGCAGAGGACGAGACACACTTCCACTCGAGTGGATGCTGCAGAGAAGTCATTGACCCAGGAAGAAACGCCCTGTGATACCTCCACTTTCCAAGTGAACGTACAGCATGTGATTTAGCTCTGCACCAGCGCAGATCAATGCTGGACCATGACCGCGGGAGGAGTAGACTAGGAATCATCTGCATGTTTTAGTCCGATATGTCAGGTAAGACTATCTGCTCAACTCTCCAGACGGACTAAGCGGCTAGAGGGCTTTGAATCAGTCATGTACCGCGAATATAGGCCGAGCAACCAGATGGTTCTGGGGCTTGTCGTCGTGGGAAAGGTGGGATGGATGTGGGGATTTTCCCTGCCTCCGCATCAGCCGGCAGTTCTTTCTTTGCCAAACAATAACAATGCCATCTGAATGCGTGTGGTGAAGAGCGGTTGTGCAAGAAACAGATCTTTCGACCGCCTCGTAACAGCTTCTCTCCAACCGAACATGCACTTCACGAACTGTACACGTATATATAGTAGGCATCGCGATGTCGTCGTTAATGGCTGTTCTCCAGCTCGATCGTCTGGATTCCCGAGCTGCCGAGCGGCTGCAATCCGTCTCGACTCTGCACGTCAACTGCCGCGATTTCTCACACGATCGTGTTCTTCAACCTCAGATCCATTACCAGATAGGCGCAAGACCGGCAATTGGGAATGCAGACGGGACCAACAATATATGGTAAGGTAAGAATATCATCTGCTCTCGTCCACGAACCTCACCACTCTCCTCTCCCACCCTCTCTTCAACCCTCAAGACAACATCATTCAACATGTTGCTCAACGAGCTCTTTCTTATACTCCGCACTTACTGGCCTCTCCTCCTAGCCAGTGGTATAGTGATACACTATATCCGTAACAAGTACCATAATGGTCTGAACAAATACCCTGGACACCCATTAGCAGCGTACACGAACTGGTGGAGATTTTTCGACGCATTGGGTCGCAAAGCTGAGAAGACACATCTCGATCTCCACAAGAAGCATGGCGACATTGTACGACTGGGTCCCAATGTCCTATCTTTCGCCGACCCAAGAGCAATCAAGATTATATATGGCCTGAACAAGGGCATGGTGAAGTCGGATTTCTATCCGGTTCAGCAGGCAGTAGCAAAGGGACAAAGATTGCAGTCTCTGTTCAGCACTGTGGATGAGGACTACCATGCGAAGTACCGACGATGCATTAATAGCGCTTTCGCCATGTCCTCGCTTGTCGGGTACGAGCCGCTCGTGGACAGTACCACAGACGCCTTCATCGATCAGACTGAGCAGAGATACTCGAGCAATGGCCGAGTGTGCAACTTCGCGAAGTGGCTGCAGTGTAAGTCCTTACTTCCTCTGCAGCATCGAGCGATTTGTACTGACCACTATTGATCACAGTCTTCGCCTTTGATGTCGTCGGCGAATTGACCTGGAGCAAAAGAATAGGCTTTGTCGAGCGCGACGAAGACGTAGATGGTATCGTCAAATTCATCGGCGACTTCTTAAGCTACGCAGGTCCCATTGGCCAACAGCCTTTCCTCGACCTCCTCTTCGAAAAGAACCCAATCAAGCTCCAGCTGCAAAAGCTAGGCATAAGCAAATACATCTTCCCCGTCACCCGCTTCGCGAATGCACAGTCCGCGACGCGAGAAGCAGAGATGGCGAAGATAAGAGAGACTGGTATCGTCAACCAGCCCGACGGCCGTGGTATCGATCTTCTCACCAAGTTCAACCTGGCTCAACGCGATCACCCCGAATTCATGACAGATCGACAAGTCCTCGCCTCTTGCACGAGTATGATCTTCGCTGGCTCGGAAACTACGGCTATCAGTTTGAGCAGTATCTTCTATAATCTCGTCAAGCATCCAAGAGTCTACAAGAAGCTGATGGAAGAACTGGATGAAGCGGCAATGAACGGTATCATTACCGAACGAGAACGCAGTAAAGTCAGCTGGGCCGAAGCACAGAAACTGCCATACCTTGACGCCGTGATCCAGGAGTCGTTCCGCGTACATCCTGCTGCAGGTTTAATACTCGAACGTATTGTCCCGCCACAAGGTATGGAGATCCTGGGCGAGCACATACCCGGTGGCACGATCGTCGGCTGCAACGCCTGGGTTCTGCATCGCCGTCCCGAGATCTTTGGCAACGATGTGGATGTCTTCCGACCGGAGAGATGGTTGGAAGCGAAACCAGATCGACTGAAGGAGATGAAAGCTACTATGTTCCAGTTCGGCGCTGGAGCGCGGACATGTATTGGGAAGAACATCTCGCTGCTGGAGATCTACAAGCTCGTGCCTACGTTCTTGCGGAACTTTGAGGTCGAATTGGAGAAGCCGGAGGCTGAGTGGAAGCTGCATAATGCGTGGTTCGTGAGGCAGTTGGATTTCAATACTGTGTTTAAGAAGCGATCGGTACCGCTAGCTGCATGAGTGAGATAGATCATGATGATGAGCTTAATAAAAGCAAGCAGAGTGAAGCAATGAATTGTACAGACCGCATCGCCCGCTTATACTCCGCCTTGACACACGAGCGAAGAGCATTCGTCAAGGTACTGAAGTCGTGATCGAGGACCGAAGCATACTGACGACACTATCACCTTGATACCATATGTAGACATGCTGTGCTAGAAACCCACAATCTTCATCCATCCAACACCTTGCTAAGCCCAGTCAAAGTACAAGTTCTTCATCTTACATCTCACAATCTCACCCTTCCGTCCTCCGCTCGTCCCCCAAACCATCTACCCAGCCCGTTACCGCTATTCTGGTCTCGCTGATCATTCTGCATCCACTTGGGCGCCTTGAAAGCACTTCCAACATTCCTGACCCACTCCGGTCTATCCGTCGATTCGAATGTATTCTTCACGCGCTCAGCAAAATCCTGATAGAAAGCTCTCGGTTCATCATCCTCGGGCCCTTCTTCACGGTTCGTTATACTGTTGAATTGCCGATTTGCTTCTTGCACGTGCGTGGCTAGCAGGGGCTCCTGCTGCTGAGCTCTGGTGCTGCGACTACCGATTGGTGGTGTGTATATGCCTGCTGTCGCGGCAGTCGCAGCCGCGGATGCAACTGGACGACCACGATCGAAGTCGAGCGAGCTTCTATCCTGATTCGTGAGGCCAACCGTGGATGCTTCTCCACGAGATTGGATTTCCCTGTCGATTAGTGCCTTGCCTTCGCGCCACCCACCAGTGCCGAAGCCAGACACGTTCTCCTCGCTTTCGTCCTCCAGGACGCCGAAGCCGACCACGCTCTTCAAGCGACCATACACGTTGAACAAGCTCGCAAGCACGGGTACAAGCAGAAAGCATGGGAAGAATGCCGAGAAGCCAGAGCCGAGTGGTGTAAGATTGATGAGCTTGCCGAGGAACTGGTAGAATGCGGTGCCTTTGTACACTGTTTCTGGCAGCATCGTTATGAAGTTGAAAGACAGTGGGACCGTGAGCTTAGCGACTTGCAAGCTGTACCAGCATGCGCTCTCGGCATACGTCTGCCGTTTGACCAAAGCTCGATTGCCCCAGACTTTGACGTCGGAGATGGCGTACAGTGCGCAGGTGTCCATATATAGTAGCCATGCTGCTGCTATCAGTTGACCCGCGGCACCGACCTTGCTGCCATCGGAGTTTATATGGTGAACCACGGTCAAGCCGATGATGGACACTTTTGGCGCGAAAGAGCTCACGACCTCGCTGAATACCACCATTATGCTTGCTGCCGCGAAGAATATGGACGCGCCGATGCGCAGGTATGGTATGATGTTCATATGAAGCTGATATCGCATGGAGGGCGTCAAGAAACTCAGACGCTCTAGCAGGCCTCTTGATCCTGGTCTCTCGCGGCCGAAGTCCAGCTTGCGGGTGTTGGCGGCGTCCAATATGGTCTGCGCATCTTGCGCGCCTTGACACAGATGACTCCACTCGTCTATGAATCGTGCTTTCTTATGCCGTGCTCGTTTCAGCTTGCGTGTGATGTCAGCCAAGTAGCTCTCCGTGAGCACAGCTGGAATCCGAGCGTTCGTCGCCCTCACTGCTGCAGTAACGCCAAGCCTCGCGTCTGGTATCAATGTCGTGTCCGCGAGTTCGTCGATCCACTCTTGCAAATCCGCGCTTGTGCCGTACTTCCGCTGCTTGAGCTGCCAAACAGTATTCTCCAGCTCTTCAAGTTCGTCCACAGCCTCATCCAACTTATCCTTGAGCTTCGGCGCCAGTCCTTGCAGCCGCCGCAGTCTAACGCTCACGCTGGCGTTCTTGAACAGTCTTCTGGGTAGCGCGACCAAGCCGTGTCCCATCAGTCCCATTGCCAATACCAAACCCCAAGCATACGCAAGCGCCATGACCAACCCCTTGATACTAGCCGCATGGAAGCCATTCTGCAGGATGAAATACACAAGTCCTGCTATTCCCGTCCCCAGCGTAATCAATTGATATCGCGCATTACTCCTCAGCGAGTGCAGCATGCGACTCCGGAATTCGCGGAAGCCCGAATCACAATACTCTCCTAACAGCGGTAGCACAAACCATGTTAGACAGAATGTGAGCCAGTATGTGATGCGCCAGGTGACGAGCACCACTGCTTCAGGCAGCCATACGCCTCTTGACGGTCCATCATCTGAGTCGGTCGAGGAGGCTAGGTCGATAGGTACCAGGAGGATGATGCTACAGGGTAGAGCCAAGGCGAGGAAGACTGGTACGAGGAGGTAGGAAGGAGTCGTGCGTGAGGGAAGATAATGTCGCAAGAGTAGTAAGACCAGTATTGATATCACCAGCAGCGAGACTACGGCAAAGATGTTTGAGCCGATCGAACTGGTTCCCGAGGATATGCTTGTGTCCATCGCGATCCCGTATTCAGTGTTGCTGTGATGGTTGCTACAGCTATTACTTCGCGTCTCATGAGACCAAATTCCAGCAGCCTACAGGCGCATGTGAAAGTGAGTGAAGGTGTCTCTTAGGGCTGCGCACGAGACAACAATGACGACGCCACTCGGATCAAACGGTGCCGAAGTTGCCGAATTACTTTCGTCGACTCTGAATCTCATCTTCCCTTGACCGTCCATCGGAGCAACTATTTATCTATGTAGTGAAGTACTGCTCTACTGAGCACCTTCCATGTTCAGCATGAGGAGTGTATGATATCTGACCTAACATTGGCTCGAAAGTGGTTGCCTTGCAAACCAGCTGAAGAGCGGCTGATCTCGCACCCGTGCCACCTGCGCAACAGTTGAGCTGAGGGACCGTGATTAAACCTGATGTGTCGTGTGTCCTTGACCCATAGCACTTATCAAAAAGTAGGCATATTGAGAAGAACACAACAAACTCTGAACCTCCCGGCATTCGGCCAACATGCCGTCAGCAGCAAACGCGAACGATACGCCCGCACCCGTGTTGTACTACAGTCAGCACAACACCGAACAAGCGACCAGTATAATCTTCATCCAAGGCGCCGGCGGCGACGGACAGGACTGGTTACCAATAGCAAAACTCATGCCCAACTACCACACAATCCTCCCAGATCTTCCAGCTCACGGCAAGTCTTTCGACATCAAGCCCTTCAGCAAAGAACTTTCCGCGCGACTTCTTGCCGAGCTCATAAGCAAGCATGCTCACAGTGGCAAAGCCCATGTCATAGGACTCAGTCTAGGCGCTTTCGTGGCAGTGGAGCTCGCAACGGCATACCCTGACGTGGTGCTGGGCATGTTTATCTCGGGATTGAAATGCTTACCCCCAAATCTTGCTACTGGTTTCGGTTCTTACGTCGCCTTCGCAATGGGCAGACTTGAAAGTGTCGTCCCGATATCTGTCATCCGTTGGCTGATGGACGGTGCTGAAATTCGAGACCCGCATCCTGAGCAATCACATCCCGAGCGTACCCGGGCGATAATGCTAGCTATCTCACGACCTGAGCATGTACTACCATGGCCTGCGAGGACGTGTATTATTGCGGCGGGCAAGGCGGGGATTCTGCCAACTTCTGATACGCCGGCTGATGCTATAATGTTCCGAGATGCTGGAAGAAAGGGCAATGCTGAGACGATTGCGTATACGCATGCACTCATGCGGCATCCGTGGAATGTACAGGATCCGGGGCTGTTTGCGAAGGCTGCCTCGTGTTGGTTTGAACGAAGGCCATTGCCGGAGGGCTTTGTAGAAATGTGATGATTTCAGTATAGATGAACTCCAAACTTGCTCCGTCGCAGATCGTATACATAGCCCTCATCAGTGTGTGGTTGCTGATCAGAAACACCGGAAGTTGCATTCGCGCGGACCATAATGCCTTGCTGACGCCGATGCTACACTCTGGGACGCTGTGGGGCTGTTACGGCCGTCTTCAATCTTCTCACCTTTGTCTCGTGACTTCATCGCACCTCACTTGACATCCCATTATGTCAAGACTTGTGGCCGAGACGGCGAATAGTGGTCTATACGATCAGAATCGTCATCGTATAACATACAGCGCGATGAGCTATGCGTTGGGTCACGTTTGCTTGCCACCGTGAAGATGCGGTCAACCTACTCAACGTCACTTCATCACATCTCATCCTTACAACCTTGCGAGGACTCATCTCGCACTGCGACCACTGTATACACATAGCCTATTACTGCTGCTATGGCGGCTGAGCCCATACTGGCTTCCTCCATCTGGCTGGCCGAGGATCATTCTCTACCATCGAGGCCCAAGGACCAGAGACTAGCCACAGGACTCCACAAGCTAGATGAAGCACTCGATGGCGGTCTTCCGTACGGATGTGTGAACTGCATCTCCACAGAAAACGGATGTGATTCCACCCAGATCTCACATCATGCTCTTGTGTCCCATCTTACGAGTAGCGCCACCGCAACAGCCACGGTCATCGACAGCACGTTGTCCTTCGACCTGCGCAAACTGCACGGCCGCCTCAAACGTACTCTACAGAAAGGCGCTGGGGATGCTGATGCTGCTATGGACGTGCTGCACCGGCTGAAGATCATGAAAGTCTTTGACTTTGTTGGCCTGACTGAGGCTGTCAGCGAGGTCAGGGAAGTCCTTGATACTCACGCACGAAGCATGAATTCATCTCAAGCACGCGCCGTCGCCCCAAGAGGCACGATCGGAGATAGCCAAGATGAAGAGGAAGAAGAAATGATGGACGTGCTTGTACCACTACAACCGGATCGTGAGAAGAAGAGTGACCCATGCTTAGGTCTTCTGCTCATAGATAACATAGCTCAATTGGCAACGCCACTACTCAAGAACAATCACGTGCAAGGGCAAGCACTTCTGACCAACTTCATGCGCTCGCTCTCGCACAGTACAAAAGCGTACGACCTCTGCACGCTTCTCATCAACGGCACGACAAGCTACGCACAGTCGAAGGAGGAGACTCCAAGCATTTTCACCTCCTGCTTGTCGCGGCCTGCTCTTGGTCGAACTTTCGGCTACGGATTGGACACGCATCTTCTGATGCACGCAGTGCCCAAGACGGGAGCTGATGCACGAGCAGTGTATGGAGGAAAGTCTGGAGGGCGGAACGACCGGCCAATTGGGATGGCTAACGTGCTGGAAGTCTTGCAAGATCGCTCGGGTGGCTGTGTCGGTCGGTGGGTCGCCTTCACAGTCAACGAAGATGAAAACGTTGTAGAGATGTGATGGTGCGGAAGAAGGACCAATGTCTTGCTCTCTAGGAGGGACCAAGAAATATATTGATTCCGACTCTGTGTACTGCCACGCTATGCCCGAGATAACCCGTCTAAGTCTACCAGGCCATCCGAGACGACCTAAAGCAAGATACTAGCAGCGAGACCAAGGATAGTAAGCACGACGAAAGTGTCCGCTCCAAGGTAGTCCGCACCACTTTCGCTAGCAGTACCGGCAGTGTTGTTGCCACCAGCGGTACTGTTGTTATCGCTCTGAGCACCTCCTCCCCTGCCTCCACTACCACCGGTTGTACCATTAGCTGGACTCTCGGACACAGTCACGCCATTACTCAAATCTGGCTCCGTCTCGCTTGGTGTTCCGGCCCATTGGCTCGTCTCCCCTGGAACAAGTCCAGGTCCAGTACCGGCACCATCAGTGATATACTGTCGCGCATCTTCCGGGATAACAGGAAGGTTAACCGTATCGACGTCCCACTCATCGCTAGTTGGTGGGCACTCTGGTGGACTGGTATCCGTGCGTGCGCCGCCATCACCAGAAGGATTTGGTGTGCGCTCATAAGCCTGCTGCAAACGATCGAAGTCGTCATTTGGAACAACCTCGCCATTGGAGTTGACTTCGACCAACCCGTAGCCGTTTGGCTCGAAGGTATACTCGTATGCCAGACCACCGGAGTATACGCTGGTCATGTTCTCCGAATAGAGTACCTCGATCTCGTTCCACGCCCTGGTACCAGTAATGCAGCCGAACTCCGACAAGAAGATGGGTAGGCTGTAATCGCTGTACGTCTGCACCTTTACGTTCCAGCCCGACTCCGTGAAAGAGCTTGGATCGCACCACGAGTAGTCGTTGAACGCGAAGAAATCAGCTCGTGCCATCTCGTCCTCCCCGCAAGCAAAGTATAGTGCTTGCGGCTCGATGTTTTCTGCCACATCAGCAGCCGAATAGCCGACTGGAATCTGACGATCTGCTTGTGCGGCGATGTACTGCTTCATGTCTCGGGTGACGGCCTTGATATATGGTGCTGCATTGGTGTTGTTGCGAGCATTGATAACTTCGTTGCCAGAGAAGAAGAGGAGGAGATTGTCTGGCTTCGTCAGCAATATACTTGGCAAGACTCTCCATCGTCAGTACATACTATAGCCAGCGAAGGCGTCGACAGTGGCAAAGACCGACTGCATATACACATTGTTGTAGCTCGCATGCAACGACGCCAGACTCTCTCGATTCAACGAGTATCCTGGTGTGTTTGCGTCCAGCGCCAGATAGATGCCAGCCTCATCTAGCATCTGCATGGCTTCGTCGTGGTTCTGACTGTTATCGATGGTGTATATACGGATGGTATTGATGCCCAGGTTCCTGAATTGCTCCACATCTCTGCGAAGGCTGCCCATGTCGAGCAGCGGATCCGCTGCGTTGGCAGCGCCACCAGGTTGATATGCTACGCCGCGCATGTAGAAACGTTCATTGCCATTGTAGAAGGCATTGCCTTGGGTTGTGATCTGTTTACGGAGTCAGTCCATTCGAAAGCAGTGTCTCGTCGCTTCTGAACTCTGTGATCGTACAGGCGGTAGGCTACCTTGCTGTCGCTTGACAACTTGCGCCAATGTGCTAGTGGCGAGAAGACTATATGCTGCAATTGCTGGTGGTAATATCGACTTCATGTTGTGTTATCGATCCAAGCGAAAGTGAAGTCAGAGAAGATGATCGTTGGGAGCAGGGAAGAAGGAGGTCGAGATCGATGCGGATCAGGAGCAGACATAGACCACCATATTTATTCGTCACATTACTTTGGTTGAAGTGAGGTCCGTGGCGCAGGAGGTTGCCAGTGTATCAACCAAGCACCAAGCATTGGCGGACGCGGAATCGCCCAGACGCCGCGGACACATCATTAGCATGGCACGCCAAAGTTTCACCTGCCTTTCGGCACTACCATTCCTGTTGCAATGGACATCTTGAGATTGTTGTGATAATATGTTGTGTGCTGACAATATTAGACCTTTGCACTACGTGATATGCTAGCTGATTAATACGTCCGTGCATCGCCAAGAGCTGTCGTGGATATGGGTCTTTGGTCTCTTGGTTGCTATGCGCTGACTATAAAATAGATCGAATGATCGAGCATTTCGGATAGCAGGTGGATCATTTGGCCATTCATGTGCTGTACTGGGCAAGATAAGATGGTAGCCATTCTTCTGTGCCATCTTCGAAAGCACGTTTCGCCGGTGTCTGCGTGGAGGTCAGAGCTTAGCAGCTCGTCATGGCGTGAAGAGATGTTCAGGACTTACGTGATCCATGTTGCCATGTGTTCCCTCAAAGCGGCACTCCGGATTGTCGCAGGCATGACCATATTTACAGTGATGACCCAGGAAGCAGTTGAAGTTCCGGCAGTAACTTTTCTGAGTGCAGGCAAGCGACCGGGCTTTGTGCTTCAGCACAAGTAACTCTCCTGGTGATAATTTCTCTCCGTGATGATAGTCGCAGTACTCGCCGCTCTTACATTTGCCGACGAGATGGTAATTGTTACAAATATTGCCAGTTAACTTGACCTTATCTGCAAAGCGCTGGTAAGCTTTGGAGTCTTGCTCAGGCAATGGCAAGTCGAGACGTTCATCATGAGCATTGAGCATGAGGTTTTTCCTTGTTGGCGTCTTTTTTGGAGCGATATCGATTGACTTGGATGGTGCGCCAGTCTTCCCAATGGTCGCCCAGGAACTAGAAGATCTCCAATTATCCGCTGATGGGCCAGGACTTGGGCTAGGACTCGTGCGAGCTGCTGGTGAGAACGGAGCAGCGCTTGTATTGGTGCCAGTCCGAGGCGGTAGGGCTGCTTGAAAGCTGGAAGTGACTCCGGAGGACCTGACTGGCAATTCATCTGGGCGGAAGACACGAGGAAATTTAGTTGTGCGGAGACCGAGCTGTCGAAAGCCAGGGGTAGGAGTCATCGTCTCGATCAGCGTCAAGCGTGCCGATATAATGGGGTCCAGCCGATACGGCTCCAATACAGGTCTGTGTACCAATGGGTCAGCATCAGATGGCTACGCAGCTCGACACCTCGCCACTCGACCTACAAGTAGCCATTGTCGTGCATTGGCCCGAACCAAATGTGCTTACACTGGTTGTTAGGCAAGAAGAGACGTAGGGTCTCGCGGATCTTATGGTCGGCGCGCTCCTTGCCGCTACCAACATCAATGAAGTTGAATAAAGGTTGAGCTAGACTAAAAGCTCGGGCGAAAGCTACGAGATCGTTGTGGCTGCTGATCACGCCGCAGGATTGGAGCTTGTTGCCTAGACCCTGCATGTTAAGTGCAATATGGACGAGGATGCTCCAGTCAGCCGTGTTGCTATCCGGATACATAGACTTGAGTTCATTGCGTAGTCCAGTGTAGAGTTGATGAGCAGCATCTGCACCACCTTCTTTGCCCTGAGCAAGCAGATAGTCTTGAAACTGCGCTTTGGTCAGTATGAGCGTCAGTCTGATATGAGGGAGGCTACATACATACTACAGCCCCATCGCCATCCAATATAGCCAAAGCAAAATTGCTCGATCCAGAAGCTTGCTTTTGTTCCGACAACTCGAGCTGGGAGCGCTTAGCGTCCCTCTGATACTTACGCCGGCTTTCGACTTCGTTGTTGTAATCTTCGCACTTCTCGGTGTATTGAATCTTTAGTTTTTCGTAGGCTGCTAAGAGTTCGCTGACCATGGTATCGCGCTCAGCATCTGACTGGCGGAAACCATCCAGTCTCACGGCGTAGTCAGTGGTTGAAGCCATATGTCCATTCATCATGACAGAATCCGATATAGACAGTATGTTTCTTGCAGCGGGTCCCACAAGTGAGTGACGAATCGTTATTTCTGTTTGCAACGAAAGTCGAAGTCGATTTATGTAGGCTATCGCGGTGTAGCCGCTCTTCGTCGCGTGTATACATACGCTAATGCACGCTAAAGTGCAAGTCACGTGTCCACCAACCAGTTACAGACTAGATTGATCATACTGGTCATGTCACCGTCGTTCACCTAGCACATATGTATTCCAGAGACTACGAATCATGAACGGAAGGCGTGACCATAGGCATATCACAAATGGACCTATGTCTAGCCTAGAATCAAAGTATTCACAACACAGGCTTCGAGTTGCATCAATTACCTCACTCAAGCCTTCATACTCTTCAAGAAGCCATCGAGGTTGAACTCCTCCTCGTACTGTTTCTCATCCCAAAGCTCACTCAACTCGTCCAAGATGCCCTTCTTCCCCTTCTCCTTCACATTGCCCTCAGCATCAACAGCATTACTCTCATCCACCGTCTCGCCCTCGCCTTTGCCATCAGGGATTGCGAGATTCGGGTCAGTCTCCCCTAGATTGAACAGATCCAGGATCTGGTCCGTTTCCATGGTGCCGAGTCCAGCGTTCTGCTGGTTGACAACTGTACTCGCAACGTCGATCTTGAAGCGCTGGAGAGACAGGATCTTCTCTTCGAGCGTGCCGCGTGTGACGAGACGGTAGACATTGACGACCTTCTTCTGTCCGATTCGATGGGCGCGATCCATGGCTTGGAGGTCTTTGGACGGATTCCAGTCGTGTTCGACGAAGATGACGGTATCTGCACCTGTAAGGTTGAGGCCAAGACCGCCGACGCTGGTCGTGAGGAGCAAACAGTCTATCGACGGGTCGGAATTGAAGCGGTTGACAATGTCCTGTCGCTTCGATGCTTCCACGGAGCCATCCAGGCGCGCGAACGTTGCCGATGGGAGGAGCTTCTTGAACACGGTCGACTCGACCATGTCCAGCATCTCTTTCATCTGACAGAAGATGAGTGCACGGTGTTGAGATACGGCTTCTTCGGCGGACGGGATGGCTGAGTCTGCCGTCTCAACACCAATGCCGCAATCGACCAGCAGATCGCGTAGGGCAGTGAGCTTGGGAGCATGTTTCGGGTCTTTCAAGCTCGAGCCGTCCTTGGCTAGCAGCGCCTGTGTGGCTGCGTACTGCTTGTGGCCTTCCTTCATGACCATGGCTGGCGAATTGCATAGCTTACGCATGTATTGCAAGGCTTGGAAGATATGCTGTTTGGCCTCCTTGTCACCACTACCAGCCATCTCCTGCAGCGATCGTGACTCTTTGCGCGTGAAGTCTTCGAAAAGCCGCTTCTGCAGATCGCTAAGATCACAGTAGTAGTTCTGCAAGATCTTCGGAGGCAGATCATTAAGCACTTCCTCCTTGAGGCGACGAAGCAGAAATGGCAGGACTTGCTTGTGCAAAGACTCAATGGCCAGAGCACCAGCCTCCTGCTCTTTGGAGGACGACTTGGCGAATCTGCTGGCAGCAATGGGCTTGGCAAAGCGATCCTGAAAGACCTTCTCTGTGCCTAAGAAGCCCGGCATGAGGAAGTCGAACAATGACCAAAGCTCAAGGACATTGTTCTGAATAGGCGTGCCCGACAGTATCAGACGATGGTTGCTTGGAAGACGCTTCACTGCAATCGTGACCTTGGCTTTCGGATTCTTGATCAAATGGCCCTCATCAAGCACGAGATAGTTCCAATTGATAGGTGAGAGTATGTCAACGTCGTTCCGAGAAATATCGTAAGACGTAATGACCACGTCAGCAGTAGCCAGCTGCGAACGAACCTTACCTCGCTCTCCAGGTGGCCCAGCGTAGGCGACAGCGTTCAAGAACGGAGCATATGTCCGTATCTCCTGCTTCCAGTGACCAGTCAATGTCGGAGGACAAATGATAAGCGACGGCAGCTTGCGGACGTCTTCGGCACCAGTCTTCGCAAACTCTTCGGCGCGGAGGTGATGATCGCTGGCAACCATACAAAGCGTCTGTAGAGTCTTGCCTAGACCCATGTCATCGCATAGGACGCCATGCAAGTGGTAGCGGTTGAGGAAAGCCAGCCAGTTGACGCCATCCTGCTGGTACGAGCGCAGCTCAGCCTTGATAGCTACAGGAATGGTGAAAGACTCGACCTTCTTCGGATCCAGCATTTGGGAGATGAACTTCCGCTCGCGCTCGCGGCCTTCAAGGAGACTCTGCGGCAAGCCTGGCGGGTCGGGAATACCTGCTTCCAAGGGCACGAGCTTGACCAAAGTAGCAAAAGCAGTGGTCGCAATCAGCCTGACGCCGCTGTCTGAGTCGCTCATGCGACCCAGGACTGGTACGAGAAGGAAGATTACGTATGGCAGGATACCGTCACCCATGACTTGAATGAGATGATAGATGCACTCGATGGCACCCTGTCGCTGCACAACATCGTGTGCGTTGTTGATAGACGGCAGCACCTTCTCGACCAGCATGGTGTAGCCTTGAACAGTGATGGTGCTACACACGCTGGCGAAGCACTTGGCAGCTGTGTAGCGTAGAACGGAGAGCTTGCTTTGCAGTGCGGTGGCGACGAAAGGTAGCAAGTCCAGAACCCATGTATGCAGTGCAAGATCGAGAGTAGCGATCAGGGCCCGCAGCGTTGATAGCGCATCAACAACCTCCTGGCCGAAAGGATTCTCGGGCTCCAGTATATCCGTTGGCAGGTCACCAGTAAAGCACTGGCGTATCGGCCCCTCAATGACATCTCGAAGCTTCGGCACCTTCACGAACACGTCAGGCCCAAAGGTGATGCACAGTTGCTCCAGAGCATCCTTGGCACCACGTCTGGTGACACGAGCCTGCCTCGCCTCTCGCTCATACTTCGCTGGGTCAGGTCGATCCTGGATATCCTCATCCTTCTGCAGGGACAGGATACCTGCCTCTCTGCTAGCATTAGGATAGAACTCCGGCGTCTCACCAGTCTCCATGCAGCAGAATTTGACAAGGTTGCCGACGACCTTCTCCACGATCTTGTGCCTACCGCTCTCAACGAGTTGAGCTATCAATCTGCTTGCGGCCGTCGCAGACCTGTGTTGAAGGTCGAAGTTGTCTTCTTCCTTGATGCTGTCCATGATGCCTTTGATCGTGAATTGAGGCTTCTTGGGCACCACGCGCAAAGCAACAAGTGCGGAAGCAGCAGAAGCTCTGATGCGTAGATCTGCCCGCGACTTGGCCTCTTTCGCGGTTGCTAAAGCAGTATCGGCGTCTGTCTTTGCGGCGTCTAGTGCCTCTGCTGAAGACATCCTCTGTATCGTCGATAAATTCTTGCGCAACCTCTCAAAGTCGTGGGTGAGGATCTTCTCGGCATCAGCGAGTGAGAAAGCATTCTTGCCGGCGTCTGGCTCTCCTTGACACACGACTGCCATGATCGGAAGCTTGGCTGGTGGTACATGTGCAGCTTCTTGGAAAGCGTTAAGAAGCTGCTGGCATTGCGCTCGGACGATCCGTAGATAGTTGGTGAGGTCCGTGTATGAAGATGGTCTGTCGTCCTCAACAAGAGCGCGCAGCTCAGTAGTCGCAGCTGTCGATAGGCCGGTCGAGATCTGTGTGACGGAAGCAAACCCTTCCAATGCCATCGCGGTGAAGATCTGTGTGGAGGCAAAAGACGATCGCAGACCAGGCAGCAATCTCGGATCATAGAATCCCGTCTGCTCCTCTGGTGACGACAGTGATATAGCCTTGCCCAATGCTCGGGTAGCGGCAATACGGGTCTTGACCATGACTTCTGTACCAACAAGGTCGACATCACCTTGCATTATGGCTGCGTCGATATTGTGCGATGTTGGGGTTGGCATCACTGGAGTGGTATCCTTCTTCTCGGCTTTTCGCCGCTTCTTCGCCGGCTCTGAACCATTCGTCTCGGAGGGGTGATGGGCTGACGCCAAAGGCGCATATGCTTGACCGGAAGGTTTTATGAACAAAGTCGCGTCCATCGGTATGGGGTTCCGACTAACACCGATCGGATGTATTGTCAAGCTTATGAGTGACGAAGCATGCGGATCGAACTCTTGCATGAATGCTGTTGGACTCCTGGCCGCCAAGTCATCCGAAAGCGCGTTCCAGACTTCGAGCGAGAGTTTACTGACGCCTTCATTGCGCTCCACGAGTAGATTCTGATACACGAGGCGGAGCGCCTTGCCCTTGATCCAGCCTTTTGTGTCTGCGCCCTCAATGCTCATGAAGGTGAGTAGAGCACGCAAGACCGCTGAACGTACGGATGTAATCGTATGGCGCAGGAAGGGGTATAGGCGTGGTACCAGCTCATCGAAAGACTGCTCAGGATCTACTGCTGCGTTCTTCTTCATGGCTTCCAACACTTCAGGAAAGCTGCAAAGCTTGGCAAGCAGATCCATGACAGACCCAGTACTTGCGCTTAGATCGTCGCTTAGACTCGACAGGCATTCCCACACAACACTAATGAGGTGGCTCAATTCGTCGGAGCGCACTTCAACGAGCTCCTTTGCTACAGGAATAAGTGTTGCAGCACTCACCGAGCGCACGTCATCGTCCATGTCGCCCAGACCTTTAACGACACATTCAAGAACGCCGTCCAGAAGTGAGCGGTCTTGGAAAAGCAGATCCGTGCGCACGGCGACAAGGTAGCGCATGCCGATCATGCCACCATGACATGCGTGCCATATGCGCCTTGAGACCTTGAGGTCTTTCTGCATGACAAGTCGGTACAGTATGCGATTAATATCGTGAACTGTGGCAGGCGGCAAATGTTGGAGAAGAGCACCCAGCACTTGACCAGCAGTCTCGCGAATCGGCGCCACGGCGTTGTCAGAGACATAGTCGGCGAATCGATCCAGCATGAAGACGCAGCATATACGACAAGCCAGATCATCCAACCACGCACGATTGAGCTGATCATTCCCCGATTGAGTTTGGTGCGCGTGGCGACCAGCACCAGCACCCTGCACACGCACAATCTCACGCAAGCCCATAGCTGCGCCGTGGCGTATCTCCCATTGCGGATCGAACAGATCGACGGTAAGAAACTCGCACAAACGCTCATATGGCCACTCGTTGCCTTCTTCCTCATCTTCTGCAAGCAGAGTTGACTTCTCCTGAGCCGGCACACCCTTGAACTCCGACACCATCTTTGATTCGTCATCGCCACCTTTGCGGTCGAGTGAGAAATAATCAGCGTTGCCATTCTCGCCAGGCTCAGCTTTAATCTCTGGTTTGACGTCGGCGTCAAGGGGTGTCTTTGTGTTACTGATGCTCTCGCGTCGAGAAGCAAAGTCGTACTTGAACTTTTTGTTGTCGCGTCTCAATTCTTCCTTGCGACGACGCTTGAGCATATTCAATTGTCGCTTGCTCATTTCACCACCTGATGGCGTAGGTGGAACATCGTCTGGTGACTTCATGGCATACTCGGCGTCCATTGAGGCGTTGTGTGACAGATCAGTGCTCAGCTTTGGCAGGGAGGGCACAGAGAAGGATGACGATCGGATTGCAATATCCTTCTCAGTAACCAGATCCTCCTCAATGTACTCGCCGCCAAGTCCAAGTCGAGAGGTCAGTGTCTTCTTCTGATGCGCTAGTCGTTGTACAGCATTAAGACCAGCCAGCTGGAAATCATACTGCTTCCCAGCACTGCCGAGAAGCTCTTTGCCATTGGTCAAGATAGCCTCCACGTCCAAGGTGGCCAGCTGAAGTTGCTCTGGAGACGAAGTGAGGTCCGATTCCTCCTTTTTGAGGGAGCCATTCGTATCGTCATCCTTGATGGTGTCCAGTGTTGCATCGGGATCATACTTCTCGGCATGTTCGACAATGCCGCCAATGGCTTTAGCGGCGGCTGTCCGAGTATCCCATGATGGTGATCGAAGGTACGGCACGACACGTGTCAGTAGGTTGAAGAGCTCGTCCGGATGGTTCTTCTGCACATCCGCAAGTTGTTGCGCAGCAGTATTACGAATGAGAGGTGTACTGCCGGTCTCCAGCAAAGTGACCAATCGATCTAATCTGTACCAGTGGTTAGCGAGACAACCTGAGGCATCAGATTTAAACGCTACTCACCGGGAATGTGCCATGGTCGCTGATAAATATCATAAGAAAACGACGCCGTGAAGTATGCAACTGATTAGTAGAGAGTATTCGAAAGATCGTATCTCATCGTATCGTATCGTACTAGCAACCCATCACTCCATTGTCGTTAGTGGTTGTGAAGTCTTGATGTCGAAGCGCTGGCCAATCAGAAGGTCGGGGCTACTGAGGGACGGACTTGCAACAGCTGGAAAAGCCGAAGGCGGATGCGGCACTCAGCTCACTTTTATGTTCTCGCGCGCAAAACGTGCAAAATACGCTAGCCGTCACTAGCGCGTAAATCCCCTGCAGTCGATCTTGCCGTTTGCTTGCTCGCTGCCACCCATAATTTTCGACAACACAACCAAACGGCAACGACAGCTGGCTGTCTTGCAGAGATTTTGTAGATTCGCTACTGCTGGCGCCGGCGCTACTCCGCCTTGAAATGATGATGTCGTCGCATATCTGACATAGATGTTCACGGGCATATCATCGGAGGCTGCCCTTGCACCTTCCCGCCAAGCCTTACGTACTCCTGAGCGCCATCCGACACTTTGCCTCATGCCTGCCTCATGCCAGCCTTGCGACATCTCCACATCATTCAAGTACAACTCTACCATACCGTCCGCGGGCAAGCGTTTGATGCTTCACGGTCAGGATCACTGGAACAAGACGAAAAGTGCTGCCGACGATCCTCGGACTCACCACGGCCTGGATTCACTGCCGCCACCTGGTCACCGTCACACACAACGCATGTTTCCGGAAAGAGTATCCATGCCGCCATACCAGGAAGACTGAGCCGTGACGAGAACAAAAACTCGCTCGCCTGGTCCTCATAGATGTCACATGAAAGGCCGTCGTGGTAACATGGAATCGTCGAAAGAATTATAGACACACCAAGGCATGTTACATTCGTCTCCCTCAACTCTCCTCCCTAGCACTACCTCTCGCCCACTCTCTCAAGATGTTCTTCCTCAATTTACCTGTACTAGTCTTGGGCAGTTCATCCAGCACCTCAACCTCTTTCGGCACCATGAATCGACTAATCCCACTTGTATTCTTAGCCCACTGAATGATTTCCTCGCCCTTCACCTGCCCTTTCCTACTTTCTTTCAGAGTCACAAATGCTTTCGGCGCTTCCCCCCATCTCTCATCCGCCACTCCTACGCAAGCCGCCTCCAGGATATCCGGGTGTGTCACGAGCATAGACTCGAGAGCCAAGGATGAGATGTTCTCTCCGCCAGATATGATGATATCCTTTGCTCTATCGAGAATCTTGATCGAACCATCTGGATGCCAGACTGCGAGATCACCTGTATGAGACACACCACCCGCGAAAAGCTTCCGTGTCGCTTCAGCATCTTTATAATATCCTCTGGCGCAGATATTACCCACGAACACAATTTCACCAATTTCTTTGCCGTCCTTGGCCACATCCACCACTCCATCAGACTCCCACTTCCCGGTATCGTCCTGCTTGGTTTTGATCACGCGAGCTGGGAGCGAAGTCACATGGCCATGCCCTTGACGAGCCATCCTGGCGTACTTCTCCTTCGTCTCAAGATCACGCCATTCGGGCATGTGATAGCCTTTGGTTATTGGACCGTAGGTCTCAGTCAGGCCGTACACATGCACAGGGCGGAGATTCAGGTTCTCCATCGTCTCGAAGAGATGTGCCGTTGGCGGGCTCGCAGCGACTGTCACTCTGACTGGCTCTGAAGAAGGAACAAACTTGGTCAGCTCACTTCATGCCCGGACGATTCAGATGCGGCAAAAAAACTCACCTGACAACTTCTCTGCATTCTTGTCTGCACATAGCAGAGTATTGACTGTCGGGGCCGCGTTGAAGTGGCTGATAGCCTCGTCCTTCAACAACCGCCAGATCTCTGGATACTCGATCTTACGAATCGTGTAATGCGTCCCCCTCACCGCCGTCACGGCCCACGGAAACGTCCAACCCATGGCATGAAACATGGGCAGCGTCCAAAGATAATGACACCGATCTGCCGTGGAGATATGCGAATTCAACCCACTCTCAATCACATTCGCGATCGCGGCCAGATAGCACGATCGAGGCGTGTACTCCACCCCCTTCGGATTTGCCGTCGTACCAGACGTATACGCCAACGCGATCAAAGAATCTTCATCCTGGACCGTCGTCTCCAATCCATCCCATCCTAGCCCACCATGCGCCGCATCATATTCCAACCCCTCCCTCACAGCATCCTCATACTGTCCTTCCTCTATCTCACTATCGCTGTCCACCAAGATCGGAACATGCGGGAACTTCTCCCTGAAGCCTTTGAGCAGGTGCTCGAATTCAAAGTCCACGAGTATACTGTCCACATCTGCGTGCTCGAAGATCCAACAGATATCCTCGGCTTTCAACCTGTAATTGATAGCCACATTTACTGCACCTGCTCCAGCGATCCCGAAGATCGCTTCGAGAAAGGCGGGAGTGTTGGTACACAGAATCCCCACCCTCTTCCATCCTTTCTCACGCACGAAGTATGCCAGACCAGCAGACCGTCTAGCTGTCTCGGCATAGCTTCTGCGGACTATGGTCCCGTTGGCGGTTTTATGGTAGATGGCTGGAGCATTGGGTTCGATCGCCGCGGCGCGGGGGAGGAAGACGGTCGGGGTGAGTTGATGGATGTGGTGGGTGTGGGCGTAGTCGTGGGAATGGTCGACTTTGCGCTTTGGTATTGAGGAGGAGGAGGAAGAGGAAGAGGAAGAAGGGATGAGTTGGGAGGCGAGGTTTGAGAGGCGGGTGAGGGCTGTTGACATGATTTCTGGTGGATGTGGTTGTTTGTTGTTCATGCGATTGTGGTTCCGTGGTTGGCTGGTTTGACGGATTAGGCAGTCCCAGTATGCACCCGGCTGGCGAATATCGCACGTTCTGGAGTGTCAACCCTAGTAATGGAAGTTCGACGTTCGATCGACAATGTGACGCTGGCTGATCAGCTACTAGTGGGAAGCAATCGGGCAGGAAACTCCTGTGAGCCTTGGATGATGCAGGCAAGAGACCTGAGACAACTCCCAGCTTTAACAACCCAAGACAATGGAATTCTCATGCAAGATACAGTAGCTCCCTCCCAGCGATCTGGTAATGCTGTAAGAACGGAGCAACGGAAGCTCTCATAGCTTCTCGCGCTCGTTGCATTCGGAGTAGTGTGGGGAAAGTCTGGCCGAGGTCGAGACGAAAGTTTATCGATTTGCTGCAAAAAGGACGTGCACCGGCTGGAAGGCACGTGAGGACGAACTTGTGAGAAGTGAAAGTGAATGCTTTATCTTAACGCAACGATACATGTATCACACCTGAGCATACCAAACCAGGACCGCTGCAAATATTTGTGGAACTGGTCGGCCAGAAAGACCAAAGGCGACTAATAGGCGATGAATGGGTGATGTAGTTGCTGAAAATCGCTAGATAATGCTGCTTACCCTCCGTACCATATCCAGTGATGCTCCCAAAAAAACACCCAACGCACCTGCATGCATGCATGAACGCTTCTCACACACACATCCATCCATCCATCCATCCACGCTTATCCTCCACCAGGATGTCGTACACGCGGAAGCGATACACGCCACACCACTCAAAGCTTCGCCCACGGACCCGTTCACCTCTTCACCATCCCATCCAACTCCGTCAACCACCCCTGCGTCTCCCGCACCAATTCCTTCCGCCTCGCCCTCGCCTCCCCATCCCCCTCCGTCTCCACCGCATCCAGCTTCAACAGCACCTGCGCCAAGATCGTCTCAGATAAACGCTTATGGTCGAATTCCCGCTTCGCCGGGTCCGAGGGAGGGGAGGCGAGGAATTGGCGCACGTCGGGCATGAATTCTAGGAGCTTGTCTCGGAGGGCGTCGATTTTACCTATGGCGGTTGTGGGGATGGGTTTGGGGGAGGGGGCGCGGGAGTGTTGGGCTGAGACGCCGGGTGGTTGGAGGCTTGGGGTGGAGGTTCCGCTGCCGCCTTGGAAGGTTTGTTCGCGTTTGTTCCGCCTTTTGCTCTTTTTGCCGCGGTTTCTTCGCCGCTTCGGCTCGCCGTCTGTTGCGCCGTCCTCGCCATCGACACCCTCGCCGTCTTCATCGTCGTCGTCGTCTTCGCTGCCGTCGGCTGAGGGCATGCTTTCGGCGATTGTGCAGAGGAGTTCTGATTCATGCCTCAACCCCTCTGATTTGGCTGTGCGAGTGTCGTCTTTGAGGTTCTTGCCACGGTGGAGGAGTTTGACTCTTCGGGGATCTACTGTGCCCATTTTCTTCGCTGCTGCGTCCCGTACTTGTCCTATCGTCAAGTCGCCCTTTTCGATACAGTATGCTGGGAAATGCACGGTGACATCTTTCCGCTTATTCCTCATGACTAGCGCATCTGTATCTCGAGGTGGACCGGTATATTGCACACCCGCTGATTCGCTATGTGGGGCCACTCCATCTGCGCCATGTTTCCGTAGATCCTCGGCGGTGATGTAGCTGAAATCCGCATCGCTGACTTTGGTGCCACCGGGGCCAGGAGGAGATCGCGTGAATGGGGAGAAGCGGCCAAGGTTATTGAAGCGCGAGGCCCAGGACATGGCGAGGAGGAGGAAGGTGCAGAGGGCGAGGAGGATGGATGTGTTCTCTAGACTTGTTCGAGAGGTGAGCAAGTCAGTGAGAAGTGTTACGACTGTATTCTCGCCTGGCTCGTTGTTTGCCGCAGTGGTGTCGGCGGTGGGGTTTGGAGTGAAGAAGTGCTCGATGGCGGCGAGGGCTGAGGTCAGATTCGCGCCGGTGGGGAGCAAGCTGGAGAGGTTGAGGGAAGCCACGTTGGCGATGGTGGAGTGTAGCTGTCGCGGCAGATTTGGTGTGTTGGTATGGAGAATGTGCAGCTTACGTCAATCTACTTTCTTCCACATACAGCATGATTTCGTCGCTGCGAGAAGGGTCTATCAGACTATCAGACTATCACGATGCCCCACCATCAGTCTAATCGAGCTAGTGTTACGGGTACACCCTTACCAGCCGAAGGCCGACATGTCCAAGAAGTAGTGCGATGAGGTATACGCGAAGTAATACATGAGGTGACGGACCATCTACCGCTAGACAGATATTGTAACTATACGCTCACTGGTGGCGACGATCGTCCGGCAAAAGTCCAAGGCGGAGAGTAACTCGAGGGTAGTTGACAGCGGTACTCAGCGTGCTGGGGCCATCTCTGTACGAAAAGTGATACGGCGCAACCTTAGTCCGCGCCGATGGTCTTGGCAGTGACCAGCACGAAATTCCACATCCTCAATTGTATGCGTGAAGTGGGCCAGCCAGCGACACCACAACTAACACAGCAGGGCCACCGACAACATGTCCACCTTCGAGCCCGTCATCGTCATCGGTACGAATAAATCCATTCCATTCCATTCCAATATCCCATACGAATGGGGAGGACCAAGAGATTATGGGTGGAGACGTGGGAGACATGAGAAACATTGGCTAACGTGGACATTCTTGCGAGTACAACAGATGGCAAAGGCCACCTCCTCGGTCGCCTCGCCAGCACCGTCGCCAAACAACTCCTCAACGGCCAGAAAATCGTCGTCGTCCGCTGCGAAGCCCTCAACATCTCCGGCGAGTTCTTCAGAGCTAAGCGTGCGTCTTAACCACCAAACACCCACCTCACCGCGAACCCATACTAATGCATCTTACAACGCAACAGTGAAGTACTCGGCCTTCATGCGCAAACAAACCCGCTACAACGCCACCCGCGGCGGCCCTTGGCACTACCGCTCCCCCTCCAAGATGTTCTGGCGCACCGTCCGCGGCATGATCCCCCACAAAACCGACCGTGGCGCCAAAGCCCTCGAGCGCCTGAAGGTCTTCGAGGGTGTACCGCCCCCTTACGACCGCAAGAAGAGGATGGTGGTGCCGCAGGCCCTGCGCGTGTTGAGGTTGAAGCCGGGCAGGAAGTACTGTACGGTGGGCAGACTGGGACATGAGTTTGGGTGGAAGTACAGGGATGTGGTTGCTAAGTATGTTGCATCCATGTGCGAGGGTGGTTGAAGTGTGGTGTGCTAATATGTGATTTGCAGGCTCGAGGAGAGGAGAAAAGTCAAGGGCCAGGCGTACTATGAGCGCAAGCGTGCGGTAAGGAAGACGCTGGCCGATGCCAAGCAGAATGCCACTGGTGAGGCTACCACGGAGCTCGAGCAATACGGCTACTAGATGTGTTGTTGCTGGTCAGTCGACAAGGCTAAGTATGAACGCTGGTGATATTGGTACCGGAACATGGTACTGACGCAGAAGGGCAAGGACGCGGTGGCGCAAAGGGACTGGTAGTTTCTGCACATGGCATGTTCTGCGGGTGTGCTACGAGGCTCAAGTAAAGTAGCGAGACGTTCTATGAAGCATGTTCAAAACCCCCTTCCACCATCAATCGTAATAAGCGCTTGCCTGGCACAAACATACGCACAAGCTGTCATCAAGCACTTGTTCTTCATAACCCACCCGCCGTGTCGATCCGTTCGTTGGAGTCGACAAAGTTTACTCACGGCATGGAGGTGGGCCGTAAGACCACATAGAATGGCGAATCGGCTAAAGCATGATGACTTGCAGACGCTAGGGTTTCCTCTTGCCATCCCAGCCACCCAGCCCGAAGACCTTGCTCGATGCGATTCGAAGTGGTGCTGGAGTCAAGGAGTCGGTGATACTCCCGCCTTCCGAACTACTATCCTGCTGCGGTTGTGGACGCGGCGGTGGTCGGAGCAGAGTTTGCTCTCGCTGGGCCTCCTGCTGATGTTGGTGAGCCTGCTGCTGATGCTTCTGCTGGTGTTCGGCCTGCCGGTGTTGGGCCTGCTGCTGTAGAGACTGCTGCTCCATCTGCTCTTGGCGCTGCACTCCCTGCCTCCTGTCCCTCTCAGCCACCGCACGACCGTACCCAGCCGTGCCGCCCGTGAGCCTCTTCCCCTTTCCCTCCCCTCCCAGTCTCAAACACTTCGGCTGATCGCCAACCTCCTCCCGCCCACTTCTCACGGTCTCCCTCCCAGTAACATCACCCTTTCCATCCCTCCGGACCCGGCACCGACCCTCTAGCATCCGGAGCGCGGCGTCTGTGGCTCGGCGTCTGCGCTCGATAGTATCGATGGAGTTGGTCGAGCCGGCGAAGAGGGAAGAGGAGGAGGAAGCGGCGGTGTGGAGGTGGTCCCAGGCTCCTGTTTTACGAGGCGTGGGTGGGACAGGGATCATTTGGATGGAGCGATGGGGTGGAGGCGCTATTTGGATTGAGCGGCGAGTTGACGTCGTCGAGGGCGTAGGTGGGGGGGAGGAGGAGGAGGAGGAGGAGGTGAAGGGGTTGTATGTCCCGTAATTACCAGCCGGAGGTAAAGAGCGTGAAGGGTTGTACGACGTTGGCAGCAAGAGTTCAGAATCATGATGTTGATGTCGATCTTGATGCGGTGCAGGGTCGACAGTTTTACCCTTCACGTTCTCCAGATCCTTGGGAGCAGAATTCCCCTTCTTTGCCTTCCGTAAGGTGAGGCCATTGAGGAACGGGTCAGGGGCTCCGATGAGCATATCTTCCCTCGCATGCCTGTAATTGAAGTTTCCCTTCTCGTCTAGACATAGTCTATCCCTCGCAGCATTCCGAAGGAAGATCGCTAGCTCGATATCCGTAGTAGTCGGCTCCGGCTCATCATCATCGGAGTCGAAGTGGGCCATATCGTCCAAGGCATTGTTCCGCACAAGCATTCGTCGAGAGAGCTCAGGAAACGGGGTCCCGTCATATTCTCGACAGAACTGTGCTAGGAGACGTAGATCCTCCTGCTGACCTCTTGGGTCACGAGGGATCCGTATACCCGCTTGACGTGAATCCAGAGGCAGAGAAGAGAAGACGGGTGGCTTCTCGTGTTCCGGTGGTGAGATCGTTATGGACGTCGACGTGGACTTAGACTGGCCTTGAAAGCGCGAGAAGATGGGTGAGAAGCCATGTCTTGAACTAGAGGTGCTGCCTGAGTCCTTGCTTGCTCGCTTCTTGCTCTCCCGCCGAGGCTTTGGTTGGGCGGAAGGGCCTGCGATCTTGCGGGAGATCTTGTCCAACCAGTCGTCTTCAAGCTGTCCATCCTCTGTCCATCGACCAATGCGTGGATGAGCTGGCAGCTTAGAGTCGTGGGCAGTGTCTCTTTGTAGACCGGGGTTCGCTATGAACTTTCGCCCGCTATCGTTGGTTACCCGGCCTGTGCTTGATTGCCTGAGCGAACTCGACGATGCGGTCGATTGGGCTTCACTTTGACGAGCCGCAGATGTCAACGTCACGTATGGCGACCGCTCGGCAGTGCTGCCAGTACGTTTCGTGGATGACACCTGGGTTGACTGCATCGATGGCCATTGCTTCAGGCTTGGCTGGCTCGACAAACCCCGACGAATGTCCGTCGAAGCTTGTGGTGAGATCACAATCATGTTCGTCAAGCCGATTGGCGCTGTCTGGTACATCCCTCTAGCTTTCGCGGCCTCCATGAGAGGCACATATTTCGGCCGCGGACCAGGAAGTGCGTTCTGCGAAGCCATAGACTTCGTTGACATGATGGACGATCTTGGCCTCGGTCTAGGTCTGGCGCTACCACTTAATCGTAGCGACGGTGCAGGGCTGGGTGAGAAAGCTCGGTCTACTTCGTCTACAATGGCACGAAGAGGTTCATTAGACGTCGCAGGGCTTGGAGGTACTGCACCTAGCTGCCTTGCAAGCGCTGATCGTGGAGCACTGCTGCCGGCTGCAGAGATGATACCCGACACTCTGGCCTGCATCTCGGCTTCATCGTCATCGTTGCTGTACAGGCTCGACACGACGCGCGTTGGCCTTGTGCGTGGCCTCTGTGGCACCCGGGCTGGCGGAGAGTATGGCGTAGGTAATGATCGCTCTTGACCGTCCGACGCGGTAAAGCTGTCCACTGCTTTCTGACGGCTGTCCGTTGCTCTAGTGTCCGGTGGCACATACACTGTCGGCTGCAGCAGCTCGCCGCTGCTTGGCCGGCCGTGAAATTCTGGGCCATCACGCTCATACCACGCTTGGGCATCGTGAGGATGGCTTGATCTTGCCGGGGCCTCAAAGATACATTCTGCAGTCAGTCGCATAGCAAGGACCGGCATGACTTCACCCATCGCAGTTCTCAGTCGGCTTTCGCGCAGCATCGTCAAATGCATGCGAACATCCTCAGCTCGTAGGACAAATGCCATGCCACGGGAATTCAGATCCTCTGAACCATGCCGAAGCAACAACTCCAGGGAGGCGTTCAGACATGACTCTGCTTGTATGGCGTGACCCAGCTCCCACTCGATCAGGCCGAGAATATACGGTGTCAGAGCCAGCGAGATGCGGGTGGTCGAACCTTCAAGCAGTGTATCGCGAGCCGCTCGGTACTCGCCCATACGAGCCTGTATCAGGCTAATATTGATCGAGCAGAGCTGTTTGAGGTCATGGGCCTCGACTTGCTGCGCGAGAAATCTGAAGGCAGAGGCGGCTCCTTGCCACTCGTACCCATGGTATAGAAGCGCAGCGTGCTCCCAGATGTCGATGAGACCGTTGCTCAGTCGCGTGGCAGGGACTTTGGAATGTGCTTGTGTCGGCATCGAGATGTCGCCTTGATGGATGTTGTATTCAGGTTCGAAGTTGCAGGAAGTGGTGTTGATGAGCACCCATCTTTGCAGGAAGCCTTGAGTTGATCATATTGCCGCACATCGCATTGCTCAACCTTGACGGATATTTCATGTCGCCATCGAGATATGTATCCAGTGACTGCTAGATGGTGAGGCGGGCTTCATGTTTAGCAACGCCATGGCTAACCGGAGATTATCTTGCCTTCACCTCTCTTACCACCCATGCTGGTGAACGTGGCCACGACCAGAATCTCATGATCCGCTATATCGGGCTCTCCAATAGTCTCAATAGTGAAAAGAAAGGGGGAGAGTTCTTTCTTGACCTCAGGCCAATCACTCTTGTGCCCATACCACACTACCTGCTCAACTGCGCCATCTCGAAAGCTGTCGATATAATTACGTATCAATTCAACTTTGCGTGGGTAGACAAATAGTAATGTCGAGGCAAGCATAGCATCTGTATGTACAGAGGCCGTGCATGGCACTCTGAGGATGCGTTCTAATGGCAGATGCTTGTTCTGACACGAACCGACCTCAACGCCATATATGTTGACAACCTCGTCGGTCGCACGTAGCAAAATGCCTTCCAGCAGGCCACTTCCAGACCCAATTGACAACACGAGCGCAGGAGCTGGAGGCAAACGTGCGGCCAGTGACTCAAGCAGAAGCCACGATATGCCGGCACAGCAATCTGCAAAGTAGACCGGCTTGTTGCCCAGCCGGCCCAGAGCTGTCTCAACTGTATTCGCTGATGCCATGTTGCCGTCGCCACAGTGGTGCTGTTCGTGTGAGTCACGAGTTGGCCTGCATGAGCTTCCGCTTGCTGCAGACTCTGAAACACTTCGTCAGCAGACGGATGTTATGTGGGCCTCGAGCAAGGCACGTTTGTGGGCACGACGGGCTATAAAGCTAGAGAGACCAGTAGTAAGAGTGCAAGCCGGAAAGGATATTGCGACACAATGTCATGTGTTGTGATACACGAAAGGAGTCTGGCTAGAGGTGAGGTCAGATGGCTCGTTCGGCAGTCATCCTTCCGTCGGCCTTGGCACAGCTGGAAGGAATATGCACCGTCGTCTGTGCATTTCAATCCTTCGGAAGTGATGGATCCGTCGTCTGGTTTTCTTCAAGTTCCGCAGACATGGCATCTTCTGTTCCACAAGCGGGTAGCCGTCTCAGAATAGCCATGCCACGGATGCGAGATGGCATCAGGCTATGGGTACACAATGCCGACTTGAGCCGCCGAGCCCGAGTCACTGCAGCGGTGTATTGACGGACTCGTGACCTGGTTAAGCCACTGCTAAAGATCGCAGTTACCGGATTGGGTAATTTGCGCTGTGGTCAATGAATGCAACGATTGTTGCTTGCCACGGCAGTAGTATGACGATAGTCTTCGAATTAGATACTGCATCTCCTGTCCTCTGCGTTTCTACCGCGTTTCTACTGCGGTTGCTAGAAGGCGTAAAGCGCAAGACCATCGCAATGACGCTCATTACGTTGGTCGTCGATCTCGGTTCTGCCGCGCCACAGATGAGGCTGAGCAAAGAAGGCCGAGGTCGACAATCGTGTGCATCTGCAGCAAAGTAGACTCTGTCTTTTTATCGTGAGGTTTCTGATATAACGAACGTATGCGGTCTCACTTGCGAAGTGTTGGAGTAGGCGCTCGCGATACTTGTAGGCAGTTATCCGCAATGGGAATCACGTTGCTGACATTCGATATGTGAGCCCGGATCCCTGTCAGTGATCGCGAGAAAAAGCCATTCTCGAGCAATGATTCGCTGCCACACCTCGTACTAAGCAGGCTTCTTTCACTTCCACAACAGCTTCTCCTCCAGTCATCACGTCTTGCCTTGGGATCACGACAGCATTGACTCTCAGCGCTCCGTCTAACACCCGTCCGCCCAGATTTGTTGCTTGCGCTTGAAACGGTATGCGCGCCGTGAGCTGTGCGTCTGGATCTTCGAGAAGTGAGGTCCCGCATGGCAGACTGGCCGGTAGTCGTTGGCCACGATGCGCCCGAGACAGCCATACAGCAGTACCTGTCTCACTAGTATGGGACTTGCCTGCAAGCTATATACATGGCTATAGCAATGCATACCACGGTACAATAGGCCGTCAGATAAGTCGGCGAGGATTCAAGTTTGCTTTGCGCGCAAAGTATACTTACTGCCCACGAAAACTATAGCGGCCATGACTACCTCTTCAGTCTACCACCCGATGTGGTACCCCCATCAAAGCACGAACGAGGCATGTCTTCATCTCCTTTCTAGTAATCTCGATTGCACAGAATCGGACGAGAGTTCTGATGTCGCAATCTGCAATGCACGAGGCCGACACGCCGTTGACCACTGCAGACCTGCGCAACTACAGCCGCATGAATGCGATGGCAGGCCCGGCACCAAGAGCTGTAAGAAGAAGCTAATCATGCAGGTAGTCAGACTACTTCATGCATGCAGCTCGATGGTGTCCTGCAGGCGACCACAACGATCCACGCAAAAAGTGGCTGAGCGCCGGGCATCTGCGCTACTTCCGCTTTTACCCTCCACGTATAAGGACAGGCCCCCGCGCTCAATCAATACTGCCCTACTCATCGCGACCCTCTCCTCCAACGCCAACTTATACACCGACCACCCTCCAACCCCTACTTCTCTCATTCTCCTCGCACCAGGGCGCACAACTCTAATCCATCGTTTACAATCTGAGACATATTACGTCGACTTCTCATTCAGTTCTCTATTTCGCAAAACAATACAAACGCCGTCCGGAACATCGCATCACTTACATCGACCGACTTGTCGGTCTAGCATCTGCCCCTCTTGTATCGCGCACACACATCATCGCCATGGTGTTGCAATTATTACCCGCCTCTGCGCAGGCCTTTGCTCCTCGATCAGCGCCGACAATTGTCTTGAACACCAAGGTTGAGCCATGGTTAACTCAGACACTCAAGCGCGTGAACAAGGTCAAGCGTCCTCTCAACAGTGTTCCACAACACTTCCGATGTCTCACAGAGACTCTTGGCGGTGCAAACGCTATCTGGACTTTGGCCTCGCTCATGCTTCCCAAGGCGCCTGACTCGGAACTCTGCAAGGACTCTAATCCTCTGATGGAAGCTATCCACAACCATCAGATGCTGCATCTGGAAGCCTACGTCGTGCACATCGACATGGTCTCGCAGCATGAGGTCGCCTTCAAGCTCACACCTGAGAGCATCGAGTCTCTTGTCGACTACCACAAGGACATCTACTCTGTCGACGCCTCGGCAAGTACATGGAGCTGGCCCGAGAAGGAAGTGCAAGTGAAGAAGATGCACGAGGAGTTTGTGCAGGCCGCGAACAGATTCGTCTTCAGGACTCACGCGCGCGCGCTCGAGGGTATGGAGGAGGAGGGCGCTGGCGAGCTGCTCGAGGGTCGGTCAGAAGATGTTAAGCATGCCATCATGAACATGTTCTTGCCTCTCCTGCCCCCACCTCCACGAATCGTCGATGTCATACACCCAGCACCGATCATGCCTAACACCACTGTCGCTGGTAACTGGTGGGCGCCGACGCAAGCGCTGGCCCCGCTTCAGGTACCAGTGGAGTCGTGGAGGATGCTGCCATCGACACCCTCACCGACCGCGACATCATGCAGCGACAACCAGTCTGCCGCCTTCTGGCAGGACATGAATTTCAGCACGGCGCAGCTACCATCGCCGACGCCGTCGTTCAGTCAACCAGTGTACACCTCCGCGCCTGCAGACTTCTACAGCTCGCCGGAGTGTATGACATCCATGCCAGCTCTACCAAGCATGCTTCTCAGCAACTGCAGCGTAGACTATGGCATGGGCATGAACATGGGCGGCTACCACGACTTTAGCTGGAACCAGAACAACTTCGCGCCTCACCACTTCGCCGCCACGGTATGAAGACGTGATCCGTGCGCGAAGCAATATTCTCCAGCTAGCAGTCGTCGAGCGGCATCGCTAGTCAACTCCTTCGTCGATCTCCTGGCCAGAGTCGACCTGCTATTTTCCGCACCATCCTGATGCGCACAGGACTAACCAACGGAAACGCGATAAACGATACAACCCATCAATGTCATGATGCGATGCGATAACGATACCCGATGTTGATCATCACCCCAGAAACAGCATCATCGACATTTCACAGGCATATATGGACGGTGTTCTGAATACTTTAGCGACTTGTCATCTCTTTTACTCTTGATCCGGATTAGCGAAGCGACCCTTTTCTTTGACTGTTGAATCATGTCTGGGCCTGGATGTCTGACGCATTATAAGCAATCAAGAAGAACACGGTATGGACCTCACGGTCTCGGGATTTCTGCATGCGGATCTTTTAGTGACTCGACACTCTTTACCAACTCGCGACACGGACATCTGGAATGTTTGATACACAACACATAACACAACAAATGGATCGTCTCAATATCCTCTGGTCTTTAATGTGATCCTGGCTTACCTGGAAGCTGCTGTGGGCCGTACACTCCGGTCTTGTGGTCTGCGCTGCTTCCTAGTGACGGCGCAGGCACAGACAGCGGATACGGCTCGTGGTTGATGATGAGGGTACCGCTGCGGACTTGCACCAGAACGACAATCATGACCACGAACTTCACGAACTGGTTTCTTGGGTTCATGGTAATACTTGACCATTCTGGACTGGGAGGATTTTGGGTTATTCGATCGAGAGCAGCGTCTGGTTTACGCTTGCCTCACTAATATGACATCTTCTCACCTTTTACGACACTTGTTTTGGAAGCCAATTTGGGAAGGATTTGGATTGTAGATGGGGAGGACCCGCGACCACAACACACCATGAGGTTGTCATCCGCGATGGCTTCCTCATGGCGTGGTCACGAAACTTGTTTCCGAACGCCAGTCGGGAGGAGGTAGACTCGCTTCGAGGGGTCCTTTCCACATCACAACACAACACAAACATTTCTCGGTCTTTCTGGAAGCAGTGTCGGTTGCTATACCAAACACAGTATGTTCCAGGGTCACCTTGACTGGTTTGACTCGGAGGCGTAGTGTGGGCTGAAGGAGGTGGGGTTCATATGTCAGAACCATAGTGATCATCCTACTATGCTTCCCACGGGGACTGGTTTCCTCGTGCTGGGAGGGTCACGACGCTTGATGCGGACGAGGCGAGTGGATGCTGGGAATGTTTTACCATCTCTGTTATCTCGTGAGCTCATGCTCCGGCGATGTAGCTAGTCTATATTTATGGGCGGGTTTCTCGTTTTGGTAGCTTAATCAAGTAATTCGACTTGAGTGCCTCTCGTTCTCGTTTCTTTACCGTGACATCTCGTCATTGTCACCATTCGGCCTCTGGCTAGATCTCGCAAAACCATGGAGTCGAATCTGCGGATCCGACGAGGTCGAGCGGAACACGAGATGTACTTTTCCTTGGTCTTCGTCCTTGCCCATCAAACACAACTGTTTAATCTGCATATGGTGGGCAGTTGGTCTGTCTCCAATTAGGCTATCAATGCAGTCCCGTTTCCTGCATGCGAAGGCACATGATGACTTGCATGCTTATCCGTCTCCGTGATGAAAGCGGCGGGCACGTTTCGCTTGGCGGGATGACCTCAGGTGAGGGCGGCATCAGTGCGTGCCTTTGTCTATAGATCTACGACTCTTCTTCACTCACCAAGCATACTGCTCGATTGCAATCTCGGAAGCAAGGTGTTATACCAGCAAAGTCTTTGACAAGTCACTGGCAACAGCAGAGCAAGAGTGATGCGATAACAGCGCAAGCATGCCACCTCCGGTAGGTTTGCGCCTTCTGCCTGACATGTGCTGTTGGCATCCTCATACTCATATGTATCATAGACCAGTCCCACGAGTCCACACTCACGCATAGGAGCCCGACCACTAACACCATTGTCTTATCTCTCCTCGCCAGTACCCGACTTCGCGGCAACACTGCGATCGACCGAAGCCGCGGAGCGAGCAGACGAGGCTAATGTGAGCTTCTTGCGGGATTCACTAGACGAGCTGGAACGCATCAGTCATACATCGCGGACACATATCGAGCCTCACCGGGATCCTCGGAGACGGCCACAGTCAAGGCAGGGTCAGGCACAAGGACAAACAGCTGCGGCGCAGAGTAGTGATACGCCCGAGGATTTGTCGAGGCGTGAAAGGCTACAGCGAGTACTGCAGCGGCTGAACAGGCTTCACGAGCCTGCTGTGTCTTCCCACTCGGCGTACAGCAATCGTACGCCATCGCCAAATAGGCAGAGTCTCTACGATTGGGCTCCGTCATACAACGATAACGATCACCAGCAAGGTAACGAGCTAGATAACATCCTGGACGAGCTGCGACGGGACCAAACGGAGACCCGGCATCCCGACGTTTCACGAGTACTGAGTCAAGGTCAGCTGGATACCCATCGTGCGCGACGGGAAGGCAACGGCACACCAGCACCAGGTACGACGGCCGCGGAAGCAGCTGAGCGAAGAGAGAGGATCCGAGATCGGGAGCGGAGGAGGCGAGAGACAGAGTGGGTGAGCTTACGAGCTCGGGCAGCGATTCAACGGTCGAGGCAGGAAGGGTCACCGAGTGCAACAGAGAGGATGCTGCGGTATGTGATGGAAAGGGAGCGGAGTGGTATAAGCGAGGAGGAGGACAGGGCCAGAGCATCGGGCTGGTTTCGACCTAATAATGCTGGAAACATTACGGCAGGGCAGCACAGCGGTCCCAGGGCTCTACCTCCATTGGACGATATGTCTGATCTGTGGTCTGCATCTACCGGAGAAGACCACGTTACACGCGATCTAGAACGACAGGAACGCATCGAGGCTTTCAGACGAGGCTATCTCGCTGAGAGTGTGCCGTCACGTCTACCACGGATATCTACCCCTCCACCCGTCCCAAGCAATGTCGTACCTCCCAATGTCTCTACACTCTTCCTGGAAAATGCTTTGAGATATCTGGACGAGCTGAGATGGATACCAACCCCGGAAGATCTCGACTCCAGCGAGTTGAGGGACCGTAACGCTAACGTACTTGACCTCTCGATTGATCATGGTCTTGCAACACCTGAGCTGTGGGCTGACAAGCACAATGACTTTGTAATGGATGTGCACGCGCTACGACCCTTACCATATTCGTCGTGGCTGCAACCAGGTACGAGCTTCGAAGGACATCAACTCGCCACCAACTCTCGCATACCGTGTGATATGAGACCATCACGATCAAGCACAGTCACGCATGTTCTTGAGCAAATCAACCCAGATTACCATTCACGGTCCACATCTACTACACAGGACCACCCACCGGGCTCCACGAGCGCGACACCATTCGACGCTACAAGACCGTGGCTCTCGCATACACCAGTCCTCCCGAACTTATATGCATTGCAAGCCGCGAACAGACAGCTTGCAGAGACGCAACATGATCACTGGCCTGTGAGAGTGACCCTCCACACAATAGATTGGGAGAAGATGACCTTGCAAGGAACGATGGAAGCCTACGATGTCCCTCAGCACCCAACTAGTCTGAGTATCCTCGGCAACAACGGCTCTGAAAGACCAAAAGCTGGCAAGAAGAGCGCACCTATCGTGACGTACCTCGAAGGCCACATCATCGATCTAAGAACCCACAGCTTTCTCACACCACTTACCGAAGCACCTACTGACAAGTCCGGCAACACCGCCAACACTACCACAAGCCCAACAGCCGAACTTGCCTTCCCACCCACCACAACCGCCACAGACGCCAAGAACTGGCTCAGACTCCCACCCTTTAATACCCTCTCACCAACCAAATCCACAGATCCATTATCCACCCTCTCCCTCGCAGACACAGCAGCAAACACCCTCCTCTCCACCCAAGCCCTCAATCACGACCTTCTGGAAAAGTACATCTTCATGCGCTGGAAAGAACGGTGCTTCATCCACACTCCCAACGATCCTTGTCCGGAAAAGACCTCGCACTCATCAACCGCGAGTGGAGATCAGGATAGAGGGCATGGGTTGACGATTTCGGGGTTCTATTATGTTAGTCTGAGGAGGGCGGACGGGAAAGTGGAGGGGGTGTATTTCGATCCTGGGTGCTCGCCTTTTCAGTCTCTCAGGCTGCAGGGAAAGGCGGGTGGGTGGGGTGCTTGGGAGTTCCGGTAGAGGATGGAGAGGGTTGTTGACGTAGAAGGCAGCCAGCCTCTGGGATCCTCCAGCTTTGGTCAACGGCAGTGAAGTGAAGGATGAGAGCTTTTCGTTTGCATAGCGTGGCCTTGCGCTCTTGGATCATAAGAGATCGTGGCGCAAGCTCGGCATGTATGCATTGCATTTCTTTCCACAACCACGTCAATGAGATAATACGACGAAATGAAAATGTCACAGCCAAGTGATTTCATATTCTACGAAGCTGCAGCTCACTCTATCCGGCACGCTGTCAGCACAGCAGCCAGTGCACCTTCTGTCCGACGTACTGTACATCGCCACCTGTGATGTCCGCTCACTAACAACCACACAACGAAAGAAAGCGAAGTTCCGCCGCAGCAGTACCTCCTCGCTGAATGATGCAAGTGAACCCATGTGGAAGCCCATTTGCTACCGATGCACTTTTGATGATGTACCCATAGTGGAAAGCATGCTTAGGTTGTCGAAGAGAATTTGCGCGCTTACTGCTCGGTCTGGAAGTAGTTGAGCAGGACGGAGCGCTCCTGCGACTCCTCACCCCAGTCCTTGACGACGACGCAGGAGCAGTTGACGACTTTTCGGGCGTTGCCTTCGCGGTCAATTTGGCCTGATAATAATTATTAGCATGACTTCGGCAGAGTACGAGGACATGAAAATTTTCGCCAGCACTTACACAACCCAGCCCACTCGCCCAGTTGCTTCCCATCCGGCACCTTGATCAACGGGATCTTGTGCTCACCGCACAGCGCAACCACCAACTTCTTGTATGCCTCCTCCTCGCACGCCTCGTTCAGCACGCACATATGAGCTTGGCGACGATCGAGCGCTTTGCTGGCTTCCCGGAGACCGCGGGCGAGGCCGTCGTGGATGAGGGCGATCTTGAGGACACCTTTCAGGGCATCGAGGACGGACATGCCGCCGGATTTGCCGGCGCTGTCATCGGCGGCGACTTCGACCTCGGCGGGGACCTCTCCCTCCTCGGGGGCGGTGGTTGGCTCTTCTCCGTCCGACTGGGTGATGTGTTAGTGGGTTGTGATGATGTGAGGGGTTATATAGCTCGGTCAGGCATGGTAGGTGATGGGTCGAAGATGGTCTCGTGCACCTCTCCCGAGTCCACACATGTACCACGCCATCTGCCATCCTCGCATGCCATGCCTCGCCAACAACTGATATGATCCTGAGACGTACCATCGTGAATGCTTTGTTGACGCGGTTTCAGTAATGTCGAATTTCCTCAAAGAGCGCAATGGCGTAAAATCGACGGGTTTGGCTGTGTCGGATTGATTTACTTGAGGAAGAATTCGCGGCCAGCCGAATCGATGTGGGCGCCTTGGCGTCGGCGCTTGGTCCGAGCTTTCGGCCACTCGGCGCTAGTATCACCGAGCATCACCGCCATTGAGAACGACAACTGCATCTTGGCCAGGTCTGTATGACAGATGGAGAAAGGTATCGCGTTCGAGCATGGCCTTGCATTCCCGTCCTATTAGTAGTTCTCGAGGCTTAAGTAGCAATTCATGCGTCCAATACGCCATTGTCACGACACGATCGCGAGATGCACTGCGTAGACGTCATCGAGATGGCAGTGGTTTTGACGAGAACTACTCTATGATCCTCAACTTAACCGGCAAGTATAAGCCATTGTGTCCAACGGAATCCGACAAAGGAGCTTACTAGGTCAACATCCCTCTTGACATTCCACAAACATAGGCTCACCCATGCTCTCACTCCTGCGTCCACTCGCACGACCCATCCCACTCATCGGCCTCTCGACAACAGGAATATTGATAGCCGCCACCTTGTCCAGATCATCAAGACCCATAATGACGACAAGTACAGAGAGCAAGCAATGGCCCGTCAAGCACTATACACCTCGCCACACTTCTTGGCCATATAATCCATCAGACTTTACTCGCCAGGACTCTTCTGTCGACCTAAACTTCTACAGCCAACCGCGTTTCGTCACACATATCGATGATGCAGCCATAGTAAGTCTACGAGAGTACTACGATACCGTACTTCCGCGCAAAGGCAAGGTCCTCGACTTCTGCAGTAGCTGGGTCTCGCACTACCCACCTGCCGTTGAACAAGCCGCCACCAATGGCCAACTACAAATCACCGGCATGGGCATGAATAAGCCCGAACTCGACGCCAACAAGATGCTGAACAACGGCCGAATCCTCGTGGATCTAAACGAGCATCCAGAAATCGCCACAGCACTGGTCGATGCCAAAGTCCTTGCCAGCCCCGACGCAGACGACAGCGAGAAACTTGATGCCTCGACGAACGTAGTAAGCACAGATTACCTTACCCAACCTGTCGCAGTGCTCAAGAGCCTCCTCGCAGCCACTAAGATTGGAGGTACTGTGCATTTGACCATCAGCAATCGCTGCTTCCCAACCAAAGCCATGAGTCGATGGCTGCGCGTAGACGAAGAAGAGCGATTGCAAATGATAGGAGATTACTTGCACTTCGCCGGCTGGCAAGGCATTGAGATTGTGGAATTAAGTAATGGAAGGCCGGAAGAAAGCGGGCAGGACGAGGCGGGTGGTGGGCTGCAGAGTTTCATGAAGATGATGGGGATGGGTCATCGGGACCCGCTGTGGGTCGTCAGGGCGGTGAAGAAGTGATACTGTAAAGGTATATCGTCCGTTCTTAGCCATGATCTGTATCATAATCTAAGAAAGCATTGCCCATCAATCCCATAAGTCGTTACGTCGTCACACATATCGTACACATCACTCCGTTATCTGGTCTTATCTCCAGTCCTACTCAAACAGTCCCGGTCACTGCAGCCACCACAGCCCTTGGTCTATCCTGCTCATTGTTCTTTGTCAATCCTTGCGATGGACTACAGGTGACAGACGGTAAGGAGTACGTGAGCACTGTGCCGTTACACGGGTGAGGATTGTAGCATCTATCGCCGGCGTCAGCGTGCTGTACCCTCTCAATACGAGCAAAGGGTAGTAGACATACCTCTCTACTCTCAGCCCGCACGTCATGATATCCACACAGATGCTCGTCGGTATACACAACGCTGATGTGGTCGTGGAAGTCGCTGCGACTGCTAAATTGACTTTCGGTAGCCCCGTCATAAAACTAGGATTGATGGTTGAGTTGCTTGCGAGCCTATGCCGGAGAGTGATGGTCGAAAGAGTGGGAATGCTGGCACTGATGCTCGGCCCTAAGACGGGTACGGGGCCTGGAGACGGCTCGACATCCATGCCGTGGATCAGTTCTTCCGAAACAAGTTGAAGTAGTGAGGGCGTGGATGGTGTCTCTGATGCTGCAGACAGGGTGATTGGAACAGCTGTCTTGACCACCAAGGCTGCCGCCGACGAGACGAGGATGGAGAGTGTAAGCAGCATTTCGTTATCGTTCGATATGCCTTTGATGTCGAAGATTCTCGACTCGAGGCTAGGTAAGTCTTGGATTGTTCCCAGAGTCCGTTGTCGTGGAATCAGATCCCCGTCAATTGTCTGGATCGTTTGAGTCCCACGATCTGGGGTACCGGCTCCTCGACTGTGATATATCTCTGTCTATGATTTGCGTAATCGTCGATTAGATGTTCCCATCATGATCTTGGCTACGTCAGGAAAATTCCAGCGAAGAGGTTTGAGCAGAATCGCAATGTGGGATATTGTGGCTTAAAGCTCAATGGAATGCTGTGGGAATTTGGTGCAATCACTTCAAGTGGTTTTGATCGGCGGTAGTTCATACTTTATGAACCTATGATTGTTTGTCTTGTTACACGGGCAGCGTTCATGCACTCCTGGCTCGGTACCGTTTTTGCTTTGAGCTTGGCGATAGGACATCTCCGTGGTGAACTGTGGCGACGGCGTAAATTTGTTCGTAGTCGTATTGTCGTCGTGCCTTGTGTCACCCTGCAAGATAGCTATCGCGAGCAGCCTACGCTGTATCTCATGGGAGCGAAGCGCGCCAGAAGAGCCGTAGAATGTTTTCGCATGCAAATCAAAACGACTCGGGAACCGTCTCGAGGAAAGGAACGAGGTCGACGAAGATGGCAAATGTTAGCGATGGAACACTTCCAGAGCTCAGCATCATGCAAGAGGAGTCTTGGCTGGGAAGACCTAAGGAATATGCAAATGTGGAAGTCAGAATACAAAGCGGTGCAGTCTTAGGCTCACCCGAATGTAAGGAGAGCAGTTCCGTCGAATAATCTTCGACTTGTCAAGCACGAAAACGCCCTTAAGTCTTGCCCTGCATGAGGCAGTTCAAAGTCCTCCCACCTACACCCATAGGTCAACTTGTCACCCACCGAATGCCGCAACCAATATCGTAGAACCATGAAATCATCCTCAAGCTATTCCTGGCAAGCATTAAAGCTCCCGGCTCAACTGACTTGGCAAAGCAACTCCTGCTCCAATATGAACTTGCCCTCCTTGTACTTCTCTGTACTCTCATACGCACGATCGTACTTCCATCCCACGATCTCCTTGCACTGTTTACACACGATGTCTCGTACCACGTGGCGGCCAGTGGTCATGTTACGCTCGCTGGCTTCGCCCGCTGAGGTATTGACGACGCTGTTGAATAGGTAGGCTTTGCCGTGTTGGCCACGGAAGTTCTGAAGGCGAGTAGAAGCATTAGCGCATGATCTGAAATTGGTTGTGGAGGTATGGAGCCCGTGACTTACACGGCTGATGATCTCATCATGGTCGGCCAGATGGGTCTTGCAGTTCTTGCAGCCGTAGATGCGTTTGCTGTTCAGGTAGACGTTGTAGGCGAGGCCCATCTTGGCCAATGATGGGCTCGTAGCCTACTAAGCGTTTGAGTCGTGATACAGTCAAGCTCGCGCTATCGACGGAGGTGGGAAAAGTTGTGGACTAGATGTTGCCTCGCTTGCTCTAGTGAGTACTGAAGGTCGGCAAAGTGAGATGGTAGGCCTCAATGAATTAGGTAGATACGATGGGAAGACCAGGATCCCCAAGCTGGTGGCCTCGTGATACAGAAGGGAAGCCTAACGGGACAGCTGCTAGGTAGATGGTTATGCTCAAGATTGCGGCGGGTGTAAGAATGGTTACACAATGTGATTGACAGGTGAGCTTTGGAGTAAGAGCAAATCAAAATGTGGTTTGATTGTGTGTCCAGTCAGTCGTCTGAGCTACAGTGGTCAGCGGCAAGCCTGAGAATCAGCAAGCCCTCGGTCAACTAGTCACTGCCAGCCAGACATGTGGAGTAAGACATCGAGAGGGGTGTATCATTAGGGTGGTTTCGACCTTATATTCCAGAACACATGATCTCGGCTTTCGGCCTCCAAAATCGGATCCCTATTCCTCCTCGAGATGACCATGTTCATCCGATGAGGGCACTGAAGAGATCGCTTATATATAGAATCGGTATTTGGTATATGTCGACTGATGACACCTACATTTTGAGGCCTTGACTCGTCTTTCAGGACAATCTCGTTCAACCTGAGCCAAGATCTCATGATGGCGTCGCCAATATTCACTACGGGACGCGCCATAGTCACTGCTGGAAATCTGATGTACGCTGTTGGAGCATTCATAGCAGACTTTAACAAGACGCACGTGTACAACCCGACATGGCCTCCGCACGCAAGGTTCCATAATGGACAGACGATGGTAAGTTAGGAACTTTCAGCTGACGAATCGATATCGAAAGCTGACCTTGTGACAGAGCCTTGGTGTCCTTCTGGCAAGCATGAGCTTGTACTTCGCGTATCGGCCAGCCTTGGACAAGAAGCTATCGTCTACAGCTGCACGGGAGAGCATGCTCTGGAGCACAATCATTGGAAGCTTCTACAGCCTTGCTGGCTTGTCTGCTATCTTCTATCCTGGCACGGACTGGTACGATCCGCCACTCACCAAGGATCCTGGTCAAAGGTGGCTGTTCAGCGGCATCGTGGTGGCGATGGGTGCCGGCTATGCCTTGGAGTCTAGCCGACTGGGCAAAGCCAAGACGAGGTAGTGTCAGTCCAACGATGTGGACATGATGCATGGGAACAGGGTGATGCTGGTGCACGAAGCTACGACTGTTGTACATTAAACCCATCAAATTTCATGATTATGTGTCGAGACCAATCCATGCTCTCGTGCTCAATGGCCCATCAGAAGCTTACACTTCGACCGTAGCTCTTCCACCGTAGCGAACGGCTTGCCGTCACCAAAGCCGTGAACACCCCCGTTCGATGAATAAATCCGAAACTCCTTCGGAAGACCAAGCAATCTCTGAATGGATAACCATAGCTGATGCGCTGATTCGTCGTTGAAGTCTGACCTGCTGATGTTGTAGTCGACGGTAAGTGCAGGCTCGCCGATGAAGATGTTGCTCCCAATCAAGTAGCCCAAGTGATCTCCTTGGGTCTGTGTCGGCAATTGCAATATATGTGCCCTCAATCCGCCAATGTCAATTATCTGCCCATCCTGAAAACCAGGCTCCAAATTTCGTCGGCCACCAATATCCTGAATGCCATACTTTCTCTGGAACAGCCTCTGTACGCCAGCAAAGCTTTTGCCCATCACAACACGCGGAGCGGTGCCCGTGCGTTCCTGTATCTGAGTGCGAAGGTACCATGCTGCAGATCGACCGGGCCCACTACCGTGAGTCTCCAGAACGCGGTCTATGGTATAATCGTTCAGACGGACTGTTTTCAGGAGATCATCCACGGCATTTGTGGAGATATGATTGTTCTTTGCTGCGTCCAGCACCGGATCGATGACGACCGCATTCTTGCTTTGAGTATCGGCTACAATGTACATCCAGGACCGGGTACTGTTCTCATAGACCGGATGGATGGATGGGCCTGACTCCATCATGTGCCGCCGAGGGTTCGCAGAAAATTAGATGTATATTGTTCAAATCAGATCGTCGGTGTCGTAGGGTCAAGCTTGAACAGGCAACGAATGGGGACGTGAGTGAGAGCTGAGGTAGGAAGGGATAGGTAGTTCTGCTGAGATGACGAAGGAGACTTCAAGAATTGCGCGGGCAAAGGTAGATGTAAGAAGTAAAGGAAGAATACGGCACAGCGCGTTGGCGGCGGTGGGCCGTTTCAGGCGGACACGCAGCACCCATCGCTCTCGATGTATCCGTACGCAGCCGTTGGGTGAACATAGTCGGCGTGCTTGCGGCGAGTCTCGGCCAATGGAGGCTCAAAGGAGTTCTTTAGAACCCGTCTTGAAGTGAAGACGGCGACCTAAGCGGAGGCTTCGGCAGGATGCTAGCTGTCGAACCAGCAGCTCGCTTGATTTTCAGACGGATCACTCACATCTCTAGCGCTGGCCCGGAGAGAGGTAAGGGTACGGTCGAAAATAAACACGAAACGAAGCAGCTCCAGACGCAATACCAACACGTCGTTGGAGTCAACCGCGACGGAGAAACCCCGGCAGTCACGGCACGATTGGAAGGCGGCGATCAGACCATGAGGCCTAAAGCCTCTATCAAACAACACGACTATGCTCGCATGTCGACGGACAATGCTAAGCCGTCATCGCTAGCCTGTCTGGCGTGCCGTAGCAAGCATGCCAAATGTGACGCCAAGTCGCCATGTACGAAACCGAGGGCCAGGCCTGTAGTAGTGTCTGCAACATTTGCTGACCATTATGTTCATGGATCTGTAGGCTCGAGATGTCAGGAGAACGGCATACAGTGCACATTCGTCCTCTCCCAAAGGGGCCGCACAGGACGAGGTCGCAGATCCGTAATACGTCCTCAAGTCCCGTATCTTTCCGTAGACGGTTTGGAGCGAAACGAGCCCGAGAAAGCAATTAGCACAAGCGAGGATGTTGTATCGACCAGCCACCTCCAAAGCCTTTCGCAGCCAGAACGCAATGCCACTCAGACACGCAACTATGTTTCGAACCAAACGACAAGTGGATACTACGAGAACTTCCATGGAGCACATCCGTTCATTCTGCCGCTGAAGATCACAGCAGCAAATCCGCTCCTTCTACCTCCATATCTTAAATCTTGCATGTCGTACGTGGCGATGCACTACTCTGGAACAGGATCGGCTCCTACGGGAGTCGCTCCTAGCATACAGGATCTGCAATGTGCGCCTAAGGATCTGTTCAAGATTCAAGCATATTTACTTCTGGCCTTAGCTTCGTTTGCAAGGCTAGAATGTCAGAAAGGACAGACGAGCCTTATGGAGGCCATTGCCCTTGCCAATGCCTTCAGACTAGGGACAGAGAGCTTTGTACTCACGCAGCCCGTGATTCTTCAAGACAGCTGCCGAAGAACGTGGTGGGAACTGTTCGTTGTCACAAATCTGGTACGCTCTATATTAGATATACCAGTACACCTCTCCTTGGCAGGTTGTGACTTGAGACTACCAGGTGATGATGTACCGTACGACGAGGGCGCCACATCTACAGAGACACGTACGCTAAAAGACATCCAAGCACGCTTCTTCAACGACGACAACGACGAGCCCTGGGCAGCATCTGCTTACAAAGTCGAGGCCACCAGAATACTGTCAACCATCATGTCAGCAGAAGATAAAGCTCGAGACCCTGCTGTACGATTCGCAAACACTGACGCCTTCCAAGCGTCGATTTCGAGCTGGTGGCTTTCTCTTCCACCAAACAAGCGTTATGCAACTCGAGACGATGGCCGCGTAGACGAGTCAATTTTTATGGCGCTGATGATCATCAATATGAGCAGTCTACGAATCAATCTACCACGTAGTGACCTTGCTGCAAGCTGGAGATCAGCGACGCTCTGCTCGGACTTTGGTACGCGATCTTCTACTCGCGACGCAGCATACCACACAGCCTGTGCACTGAAAGCAGCCAACAGTCTCTCGAGTTTGATCGCTTCGGAAAGTTCGGCAAAGCTACACACACCCTGCTCAGCTTGTGCTATAGCGTTTGGCACCATCATACAGCTTCCTGCCTACCTGCGCCAACGCAATGAAGACCTCAAGGAGAACATTCAACTAGGACTGATCTACCTAAAGCGAATGGGAGAAGTATGGCCGTTAGCTTCACAGGTGAGGCTTCAATTAGCCAGCGTCGCCCGTGCAGTACTTGCTGGTCCAGATGATCACACCCAGCAGGTGTCGCAGGCAGTTGTGACAGATGTCAGGACTGATATGCCAACGTCTGCACAAGGTGATCGATGGCTCGAGTTTGCTCGACAGATGCTTACTAGTCCCGGAGACAATCAGATGACCTTTCAGGAAGACTTAGCGCCATTGCCAGATGGCGATGCTTGGTTGCAAGATATGCTCGACGCCGACTCCGCGTGGCCAAGTAGCAATCTCATGACTTGACGCGGATGTGTAAATTACACCACCTCGGCCAGCCAATCATAACGACATCAATGCCATCATGACCTTGTTGTGCGATTTTAACAGCACTACGATGTTCGTCTTACGACTGTGCTCGTACTTATCTAGGCTTCGCCAAGTCAAGGCAGTGGCAGCGAGAGGGGACCTGTACAGGATCTCTGTAACACGAGTCACGCTTGAAGTTGAGCGCAAACAGTCGTTTGTGGTGAGCTCACCACCTGCGTCATGAACCACTGTGTCTCTGCATGATCTGTCGAACACCATGTGGCCACCATCGAGATGTAAGAAAGGACTACAGGTGTGTCAGGGTGACATGGCACGGCAGCACAGTCAGGCTTCACGAATGCAGCAAACAATCGTCACCTTGCCTCAGACGGCCACGAAGTAAAGCACCACGATTTACCGACCAGGTGTGAATTACGATCTCGCCCGTCCGGCCATACATAAGGCACGCTATTCAGTTGACGATCGCCTAAGATCACCAACGTTAGCACCGACCTCAGCATTGCATATATCAACGGTCATTCTTAGTTATGCATCTGTCAACATCTACACTCTTCCTCTTCGTCACCACAGGCCTTACTGCTCCAGCACCAAACCACCAGACCAACCACATTGCCATCATCGTCCCTACAACCGAGACATCAGGAACGATCCAAGGCCGCTCAGACCTCGAAGTTCGGCAAGGTCAATGCCAGCCACAGTTCTGCACGTCAAACTTGAGCACATGCTGCAAGACCTGCGATTCACTTTCTAACGGCGACTGGTATGTTACGTCCCTGTCTGTTGCGAGAACGTAGCCCAGAGTGGCATGACTCGCATACTGCTGACAAATCCCCCCTTTAGCTTCAGTGTGCTCTCCAGTCCCAGCTGCGAGGGTTGTAGATTTTGCGTGGCCAACTGCCCAGGTCATAGTGATAGCTGCTGAGTGATGTTCGTCAAAGTCTTACTCAGTAGACTCGCGCTCGGGAGCTCATGCAGAGAGATGGTGAGGGCTATTGGAAGCAATTGTTTCGGCTGAATCGATGTAGCAAGGTTGCCAATCTTAAGCCAACGTTTTCAAAGATCTGTACACGCTGGATGCTATGTAATGATGCTTTTAATCCAGATCTCGCCTGCCCTAACAATCATGGGTATCTTTGACAAAAACGAATAGTCTCTAAATCTCGTGACCGTCGAAATGATCGTGAGCACATCTATTTTCTACTTCATCTCCATATATCTCCTCCATGACAGCCATGTCGTGGTCCTACCAATGGCTTGGCCAAGGTCATCCACAGCGACGACGATGCACAAGACCCTACTCCTGCGCACTCTCTTCGATCGCGCTCCCAGCAGCAACCTCCACCTCATCAACGACCGTGCACCAAGGATGCTCCAATACTCCCTGGATACCAATCCTGCGTTCCACATCCCGATCCAACATCTTCCGAATCAGATCGATGCAATCCTCACTCATCACATACGGTACCCTGAGATCGTGGTCCATGATTTCGTCAATCGAGTAGAACGGGTTCTCCTTGTAGACGATGGTGTAGAGCAAGATGCCTAGAGCCCAGACGTCTTGTTCTTTGCCTCGGTATGGGTGGCCGCGGAGGACTTCGGGTGCAGCATAGTCTGTACACAAGATGATTAGTACATGCAATGTCTGCTCGTGAGGTGTGAGAACGTGAGCTTACCAATAGTCCCAACAAACACATCAAAAGGACCACTCTTGATGTACGCCGCACTCCCGAAATCCACCAACTTGACCCTACCCTCACCATCGAGAACGACATTTTCATCCTTGATATCACGATGCACGACCTTGGCGTTGATGTGCAGATGGCTGATAGCTTCAGCCACCTGCCGGAAGATCTTCCGGCACTCTCGCTCTTCCATCGTCACGCGAAGTTCGATGTAGTCGAAGAGATCCATGCCTGGTAGGCCATGTGGCAGCATCTCGATATAGTAGTTTGTGTCGTCTTCGAAGAAGTCGATCATTTCTACGATGTTGGGATGTTGCATTCCTTCCCGTCGGAGGTAGTCCAGAACGTGAATTTCGAGTGGTACAGTGCCTAGTCGCCTGTCACGATGCCATGTGTCGACCAAGATACGCCGTTTTGTGACGTACTTGATGACCATCTTCTTTGCTGCAGCTTTCTTGTACCTTGCCAGCTTTACTTGACCGTACGCACCTTGCCCCATTTCTTCGAGAATGTTGAATTCATCAATCGTTTTCTTCTTGATCACTTTGCAGCCAGCCTTGACCATATCCGGAGCTGGATGCTCGAAAGGCTCGCCGTCGCTCGGGTTTGCAGAAGCACTTTCCTGCGCCTTCGCTTCTTCAAGTTGAGCTGTGAGTAAGCTGGTCCGCACATCGTCTTCGCCGTTCTCTGCTAAGACCATGGGGCTCGGCATCGCCTCGTTGACGTGGCGTCCATTTGCATGGTCAGGCGCAGGTTGTTGGGGTGGTGTGCCAGGTCGACTCATCAGCGGCATGACGTGGCCGATGCCATGGTTGACAGCATGCATTTGACGACTGTAAGTAATCCATAGCGCGAACACCACTTCGCTGCCCACGTAAGATGATCTTTCCTCTTCTTCGATGACATGCTCGTTATATATCGGGTCACGGTCAGACTTGACCACACGCATCTGCACATCAATCATGATCTCAGCGCCATCACGATGTCTTGCCGGCAAGCCGCTAGGTCGCAGGAAGATAGCGGCAGCGTCAGTCGACCCTTCTCGGAGTGCCAATACTGATCTTGCACGTCGGAAAGAGTGCTCGGGGATCACAATACCATCTTGTAGCTTGATCTTGTCTTCGTCCGTGATGACGTTCAAGATCTTGTCGAAGTTCGGTATAAGGTCAGTAATGGGCATACCATCCGGACTCGCATGGCCGAAGAGTGCCGCAGAGAACACATTATTGCTACTGCTGACTCGCATAGTCTGCGGATGAAGTACCATAATACCAGCAATATGTGGAAAGCTGCTGACCCGGAAGGTGCTCTGGCCGGACAATTGGTCGATAGTCACAGGTATATCAATCGAGTTCGCTGTCCGTGCTGTGAAGCGTCGTAGCTCAGCCACGGCGTCATAGTCAAGGGCTCCAGTGTTGGTACCTGCCAGCTTCGGAAAAGTGGGAATGAGCTTCTGCACATCCATACCAGCGCGTAATCGCTCCATACCCCAGATGGCTTCTACGTCGCCCCCTCCACGGACTATCGAGCCAATTTCGTCTACGGTAATCATTGCCACATCCTCGGCGATCTCCTCCAGTACCCAAATAAGGTTGCCACTTTTCTCCTTGACCCATAGAGATGCACTACCCGTCGAGCCATTCATCTTCTGGATGGGAACAACATCGCCGCACAACAGCACACCTCGACTTTTGTTGTTATTGTGATGCAGACCGATACCTGTCGGGGGTATCTGCAGACCGTTCTCGGTCTTGCTTCTCCTGCTCTGGTATGTTTCTCGAGCAGGGGGCTTCGCTAGCAATTTCGCAGTAACGCCGTTTCGCATACCAGTAAGACTACTGTTCGGACTGGTGCTCTTCTGAGCAGGTTGTGGTTTCGGTCTTTGCTGTGCTGGCACAATCTGAGGGTTCCGAAGCTTGTCCTCGAGCCATTTGCGCCGTTCGGGTTTGATGACTTCCATAATACCAAGCTTCCTCACTTCAGCTCGAGTTACACCAAACACTAGACACGCAAGATCGTTCGCAGCGGTGATTGTCCAAGGCGACTGAGCTTCAGTCGTGAAGATCGCTTGAGCTTGAGCATTGCGATGGCCATGAGGAGCACGCTCAATAACGGTCGAGCTGCGAGGTTGACCCTGAGCCGGTAGCGTCGGCGCTCGTGTAGGCGTTATTGCTGAGCTGTTCCCGCTGCTGCGATATGGCTGTGCAAGTGCTTCGGTGAGTCGATGCTGCAGAGAGTATCCTGCTACATCAGTATATGTTCGCTTCAGTGAAGACTTGTGCGGTCTTTGTGATGCTAAACCAGGGATGTCGTCGTTTGTAGTCATTCGTGACAGGCTCAAAGAATCATGCTCGCTGGATTTGATCGGGACTTGTGACAGTGAGTTCTGTGGAGTCAGTTCCATGGGCGAGACTCGACGCTTCTCAACCTCCTCTGTCTCCCGTGACTGGGCCGGCCTTGGCGTCTCAGGGCCCTCCATGTTCGTGGGACTTTCGCTCTGATCCTCTGAGATTGGCATAAAGCTACGCTCGAACACATTTTCATTCGCCATGGCCATGTGAGCAGGTCCTGTAAGTGGTCCTAAACCAAGGCCATGTCCAGCGTCCATAATGTGAGAGTCAAGAGTACCATTGCCCATCATGTTAGCCTTCTGCAGGAGTTCCATCATACTCAGCAGCTCCTCGTCGCCGTTCAGCCTGGCCTGCGCGCTTGCTATGCGCGGAGACGAAGCTGCCCAGCCAATCTTCTCACGCATGAACTCAATACCTCGCTTGAGCGTGTTCTGTCGTATCTGCAACGAGTCACTGCTCTGATGGGCGAAGGAGAATGAGTGTAATGACTCGGTAGGGAATCGCGCTAGATCTTCACTGAAGGGTATGGCCGGGGATGTGGGTCCGGAGTTGAGCTGGGTCAGAGAGACCCGTCTTGAAGGGGGATCGAGGGCCGAGAATGAAGGAGATCTCGAAGGTGGTAGACCAGGTGAAGAAGGACCTCGCAGCGGTTGCTGTCTTATGCGGCTTAGACCAGTGCCTCGGTCGGCAGTGAGAATTGGAGACCTAGAAGCCCCAGCAATCAGCACAATCCAACATGTTTGTATCGTGCATTGGCAGCCTGCATATGCCGACTATGGCCACCAGTAGCAATCACTTGATTTTTGTCTTCACTCTCCTCACTTTACTTCCGCCACACGCTCATCCGGGTGTAACGCACCTGCTCAGCTGATCATACTCCGCTCCACCCGCTCCATCGACAGACAATCTTGGCGTCGCATCAGCTTGCAGACTGGCGCTACTGCTGCTCGTGGACAGTAAACTGCTGGAAGACCTGTTCTTCAGAATGTGTAGCGTAGGAGGTCTTCGCTCGTGTTGCTCTGCAGAGCTCGACTCTGAGTACTGCTGCTGGGAGTCTGCTGTCCACAGTTATAATGCATTAGCCAACACTCGACATGATGTCTCATCCGTCGTCATGTGCAAGCCCGATATGACTCGACAAATCCGCAGGCATCCATCTTGCATTCACCACCTGCCCTTGCAGCCCCGGTATATGTATGTGTGAGCGAAATCACGTACCATCATGCGAAGTCATGCTCCTCCTCTCATACAAGTACAACAACCAGCACGCGCCTCAGCCTCGTGCATGTGCAGTCAGCCTCAAGCACTGCCGCGGCTGCAGCCAGGCGAACGTGAGCGGGAGGGTGGTTTCTGGATCCGTAACGAGTGTCTCATAAGACTGCAACAAAAGCCCACCCAACCGTCTAATCCAATGCTCTTCGCTTAAAACTGTATGTCTCTGCGGGAGAACTCTATCGGTATGCGTGCTTCTATACAACAGAAGGAATATCTGGAAGGACAACGGAACGTGCGGCCGGGAAGTGGAATGAGTATGTGCAGTGCTACGGTGACTAGAGGCTTGCACAGTAGGTAGCTTCGTCCCTGCCATGCCTTCTGGACCACCCGATAATCCACCCGGCGTCATTTGGCGTTCAATCCCGCTCCGCATTCATCAATTGCCTTCAGCCTTTCAACATTATTCAGCGGACCCTGATGGCAGAAGCTTCTTTCTGTTGGTGCGCCATCTGATAACAGACCTCCCCATCAATTTACTCCAGCCTGTCAATACCCGACCTTCCGGTGCGATTACTCCCAAGGCACGCTGGAAACTACTCAAGATAGAGAATCTAATAAATCTCGGCTGATCTTGCACCGCCGGCTACCTGCACATCATCTGCATCTGCAGTGGGGCCAATTTTACAACGCGTGATCAAGCCTTTTTCGGCCGGATGACAGAACATGAGAAGCCGTGACCAGATAATAATAATGGACTTGTGATAATGCGCAGACCGCCTCGAGCTCACGGTAAATCTTCCGACACGTAGAAGATCTTTGTGGACTCTTGAGCATTGACTGGCCGCTGCGTCTTCATCATGTCGGACACGAAGATCATGAGATAAAACAACATCGACAGATCTCAAGGCTTCGAGACAATCGAAACCAAGTATCGTGCCGAATTTCGTGACCTTATCGATGGCTACCTCTGCTAAGGCTCATATGATCTGTCCGTACTCGACCGCACGCGCTGCTGTCCAGCTGCCTGGTAAATGTGCCTAAGCATCGACTTGCCCTGCAAATTGACAGTGCCCAACGCCGGTCAGATGGACCGTAGATGGAGCTACTTCTTCTGCGCTGCCATCTCGAGTAGTTCCTGCAAAAGCGGCTCGAAATCTTTCATATTGGCCGCCGTAACTGTCCGACACCATCGTCCTCCAACCATTAACGGGACGACTGGTAGCTGTGGCTCAACATCAGCATATCGTTGGGTTCGCTTTGCTGTCCCCGAGAGGCGAGCGTGCCTACCTGATTGGGAGCAAATTTGAACATCATGCTCGTGGCATTGGTGAACTCCATGATACAAAACTGTATGCCAGTATGTGCGTACTTCTCGACGATAGCTTCGTACTTAGGCGTGAATGCTTTACATGCTGGTGTCACGTCGTTGCGAAGAAATATCACAGTTGGGGTACCTGCGTCTGCTTTGGCAACGACTTGATCGTGCTCTTCCGGTGAGTGTATGCACGTGAGCTTTGTAGAACCCGTCATGACTATATCGATACTACACAGAAGTAGGATCACATTTCAACCACTGTATATTTGTTCTCTCTCCTTCCTCATCTAGACCTTCGTAGCAGCTATAGTATCGGTGCCTTCTGGCCGAGACCGGACCGCTCGGGGCGGTGGGGCAGCCTCGAAAGTCAATCTTAGAATATGACGCAAGATATGGACAATTCCAGGATTGATAGGTGAAGAACATACTCCTCTCGTATGAACGATTTGCATACTGCTGACTGCAAGAAGGATAAATCTCATATTTCGATTCGGACCAAATGCTGCAGGCTGACTGAGCTCGCCATTGACCTCGAAATACCGATACGGCCGGCAGGACGCAGACGACAACGAATTGATTCATCGGCTCGAGCAATGCCTGTGGCTCAAACACTGTTAATGATCTGATGTAGATGTGATAGAGGCGGTCCATATATACGACTCAGGCTTGCTCCGTTGCCGCACCCATACCTCCAGGCACCCACATCAAGCTTCGTCTCCCACCATCCTTCCACCAACCATGGCAGAACTCCACGATGCCCTCAAGCTACTGTCTCCGACGCAATGGTCCGATGTGCCACAGGACGAGCAAGAACTAGCGGAATACATGCGATCGTGTTTCCAAGCCGGCGAGCTTATCTGCAACTCCGTCCCACCTCTCGCGACCGGCGAACCTTTCCATACCGCACAGCACCACCATAAACGACCCAATGAAGCCAAATCTGCGAAAGAGATGCACAATTCCACCGCGAGATCCGCCGCCGTAGCATCCGAACATGAAAGTCTGCAGAAGCATTGGGGTAAGCCATACAAATTTGGAGCGGACAAGAATCCTGCGAATGTGGCTTTGTATAAGATGGCTGGGAATGATAGACATGGGGCCTGGTTTGCTCGGAGGAGTGTCCACGAGGGTCTGGGGTTCGATAGATTCCGCAAAGCCATGACGAGGGAGATACCACACACATTGACTTTCCAGGAAGGAGTCGGTTCCGGTGCTGTGAGAGGCATAGGTGCGGACAACAGGATAGAGCATAAAGATGTCGAGGGTGGTGGAAGTCTCGACGTCTACCAACTCAGTGGACAAATGCCAAAGCCTGTCACGGCAAGGGAGTTTGTTCAGATCTTGATGACTACGGAGAACGGTTTAAGTGAGAAGAGTGCTGCGGATGTCGAAGGCGAGGGCAAGCACACACCACGGAGCTTCATGAATGTTTCTCGACCACTATCGCATCCCGATGCGCCGGATCGGAGTGGTTTCGTGAGAGGACAGTATGAGTCTGTGGAGATGATACGAGAGATTCCGCTGCATAAGCGGAAAGGGGCAGCGTCTACACCGAATCTGCTTGATTCGCAAAGTAGTGAGGCAGGGCATGGTCGTGATCGAGGGAAGACCATTGGATTTGCCGAGTCAAGGGGTGGCGACGCCAAAGGTGAGCAGCTAGATCGTGGCAAAACAAGGGAGGAGCACTCAGCTGAGGCTGAACTCAATCCTGTTGAATGGATTATGGTGACCAGAAGTGATCCCGGAGGTGGTATACCACGCTTTCTTGTCGAGCGAGGTACACCGGAACCAATGCTCGGCGACGTCACGAAGTTTCTGGATTGGGCGACTGCACTTGATCATATACCAGGACCGCAAGATGATACGGGTGCGACCGTAGGTACAGGACAAGTTCCAGGCTCTCGAATACCGAAAGAGGCGGACCCAAGCAGTGGCCAAGCTCCAGTAGCAGCAGCGTCCACGGAGCCAAGTGTGCAGCGTTCTGCTACTACGCCGGCTGCTGCAGACGCACAAGCACCCGGCGTGTTTTCAAACATTGCATCTTCGCTAGAGAACGGACTCGAAACATATGCTCCCACAGCGGTGACCCAAGGTGTACAAAACTATCTACGTCCGACGCACGCGCCGATTGGTACAGAGACCTCGGACTCTGACGATTCATCAGATGTCTCATCACTGAACAGCTTCATGTCCGCAGACGAGCATCGTCGCTTCCCCTCCACACACGAAGCTGGAGTCAATGGCGGGTCCTCAAGCATTCGCTCCGCCGCGTCATCAGAAATCACGCTTGACACCGATAAGAAGAATCTCAACTCTCACGAAAAGGAGGTCCAGAAGATACTACGCGAGCGTGAGAAGCTAGACCAAAAGCTCGCTAAGAAGCGAGAAGAGCAAGAGTCCAAGCTCAAGAAAGCTCAGGAGAAAGACTCTTCCGAGGAAGTCAAACAGCGCGAGAAACGTGAAAAGGAGATCCAGAAAGCAGAGGAGAAGCATCGACGAGAAGTAGAGAAGTTGGAGCAGAAGAAGGTCAAAGAGCTGAAGAAGGCTGAGGACCGGCGGCAGAAGAAGGACGAGCAGAGTCGGTCGAATCTGGTTGCGAGGGAGAGGGATGACTTTAGGAGCCAGTTGGACTCTTATAAGCGGGAGAACAAGTTGTTGGTTGATCGAGTGGAGGAGTTGCAGAGGGAGAATACTGTCCTAGCGGGAAGACTGGGAAGGCTTGATCCAGGTGTCTTAAAGGAGGCTATGGAGGAGGTGGGTGGCTCGGAGGGAGGCAAGAAGAGTTCGGAGAGTGTGGGAAGTGCGAAGGTATAGTATGTATACCGAGGAGAGTGTGGGGCGAGATCACATGTAGTTGTGTATATGCTGTGTATGAGGCTGATATTCCTGATCCACAGGCATTTCAAAGCCTGGAGTGAAGCTCACATTGTTCTGAGTCATGTGGACCGCTCGACCTTCCAGCTATAGACGGAAAAGTCGCCGAACCTGCTCGCTCTCACTTGCCGGCGCACCTTTTGAGTAGTCCCGGTGGCTCACCTTCTCTCTTCTCCTCTTCCCACGGGCTAGCGGTCTGCAGCCAAGGTCACTAAGAGGACGAAGACAGCATAGTGCTGCAATGGTGCATGAGTGCGAATTGGTAGAGACCCGGTCAGAACATGCCGGTAATTCTTCGCTGCAGCAAGAAGAGGCAGAGAAAATGAGGTATAACACTGACTCTTGGGTCATGTTTCCCGCAACCCCTTCCTCCTCATCCTTTCCTGGTCCCAAAATCTGATTACAAGGCCGAGTGCGTCGAAGGTGTGTCAATACTGTAGTCTTGTTCACTGCCGACTATGGGTCGACGCTATCTTGGAGGCAGTGGTGAACCATTGACGATATGGATCTCAGTGTGCGTACCAATGGCTTTATGCTTGACTGGTTGCTGATATATTACTGATAGAGCGGCATCTACTGTCCTCGTCTTTTATGGCCAGTGAAACTTACAGCAAGGCGACCATCAACATTTGGGCTGACATATAGCCTGCAGGATATGATCAAGGCGTCTTCGGCAACGTGATCATCTCACAGAATTTCCTCGAGACGTTTGGCTTCCCATCCGCCAACATGCAGGGTACCATGACGAGTCTCTACAACATTGGCTGTTTCTTTGGTGAGATGCATCAAGCTCAGTGTACGCGCAGATGTGTTGGCTAATCGCGTGGTCAAGGCGCGATGAGCACAATCTTCACGGGAGACTGGCTCGGCCGACCGCGACAAATCATCCTAGGGTCGACCATCATAGCGATCGGAGCCATCATCCAGACAGCCAGCTGGACCGTTCCTCAAATGATCGTAGGGCGAATCGTCGCTGGACTTGGCACTGGCATGAACACTGCTACCGCTGGAGTTTGGCAAGCCGAGACGAGCAAGATGCGTAGTCGTGGTAAACTGGTGATTATCCAGATGGCAAACTGTATCACTGGCTTCTCGATCAGTAATTGGCTCACCCTTGGATTCTCCTTCGCGCCACGAGATATTGCCTGGCGCTTTCCGTTGGCATTTCAGATCTTCTTCACTCTCTGCATATACGCATTATGTCCGTTCCTGCCGGATAGTCCTAGGCTGCTGATACGAAAAGGCAAGCATGAGGAAGCACTCGAAGTGCTCGCGGCGCTTGAAGGTCATGGTGCAACGCCAGAGTCTGCTTCTGTGCGAGCACAGTTCGATGTGATCAAAGACATTCTGGACAGAGAGCACGTCAATACCTATAGCTGGTGGCAGCTCGTCACTGGACGTGGTCCGTCTGGTTTGATGAGGCGCATGATTCTTGGTGCTGCGATGCAATGCATGAATCAAGTCAGCGGTAAGCTATGATCTGCCAATTGCATGTAGGCTTGATCCGCGACTGACCTCAATGGCAGGCATCAATGTAACATCCTACTACATGAGCTACATCTTCATCAACGCTCTTGGCATATCTCCACTACTATCCCGAATTCTGGCTGCTTGTGGCTCGGTCGACTACCTGATCTTCGCATGTCTGGCTTACTTCGTCATCGAGCGCTACGGACGACGTAAGGTCATGATGGTCAGCGCTGCTGCCTGCTCGATCTGCTGGATCTGTATTGCGATTGCTACTGGAGTCTCGCAGCATGGAGGGAACTCATACATTAATGGTTCCGTTGCTGTGGCTTTCTTCTTCGCCTTCTTCGCTTCTTTCGGCATGGGCGTCCTTGGTGAGCAAAGTTCATGCCGCGACACTGCTACCAGAGTGCTGACGTGATTCCTAGGTGTTCCTTGGCTTTATCCCACTGGTAAGACCTCAGAAGTCCATCGAAAGTACGCAGCTGATATGTTATCACAGAAATCAACGCACTCGAGATGCGCACCAAAGGCGCTAGTCTTGCAATGGCCACTAACTGGATATGTGTAAGTATAGTCGACACCTCTCTCACACAGCGTCTAACACACCGCAGAATTACGCAGTCGTTCAAGCCACGCTGCCTGGCGTACAGAACCTAGGCTACAAGTTCTGGATTGTGTGGGCTGTCATATGCGCTGCTTTCATCCCTGTCACATATCTCTTCTATCCGGAGACGGCAAACAGGACCCTAGAAGATATCGATCGGTTCTTTGAGACCAAACCTGGAGTCATCATTGCACGCAATCCTCTTGCTACGCAATTGTCACGGCCTGAAGTCTATGCTGAGCAGGATGCAGCTATTGCTCGCGGAGCAGAGAAAACTGGCCGTTGGGATGGAGACGAGGAGAAGGCGAGTGGTGGTATCGCTGTGGAGAAGGTTGGCTAAGCTGATGGAGGCAGCAATCCTCGACCTAGCTTGCGTACATGCTGCTATGGACGTCCGAAGTACTGACTGCTATGCCATTGTCCAGCAGCTCATACATCGAGACGAGGATCAAGCTTTACCTAGAAAAATGCCAGTGTGGCGATCCGCTTCATCCTTGACCAGCGCCAAGACTCGCATCCTTCGCCGCATCTCCGTAGATTTCTCTCCATTCCCGTTGCAAGATACCCATCCCAATCTCGTCCCAATACCGTCCATCGTACCAGAAATGCTCACGCTTGCGACCCTCGACCTTGAAACCCATCTTCTCGTACAGCTTTACAGCACCGGTGTTCCACTCGAAGGCACTTAGATCTACGCGATGCAAGTTCACCATACGAAACGCCCAATTGAGGGACCAGCGTATCGCTTCACTGCCATATCCTTTGCCTTGGTAGGCTGAAGAGATCCACAACCCAAGGTGACCGTGTCGATGATGGGCTAGTGCGCCGTCCTCCGCGCCTAGCATCAGTATGCCTATTGGTATGGGCTTACTGTCCTTGTGGACGTCGCCGTTCATTCTTTGAGTATCATCTTTGGAACTTGACGTGTCGGGCTGCAGGCATATGGCGACCCCAAGAAGTGCTTCGGCGAACCTCTTCTGGACAAATTCATTGTCTTTCTTGCCTGTTGGCGCTGGCGCAAAGGGTGCGCTCTGTATGAAGTCCAGAGAGTTGGCATGAAGAATCGTGAGGAAGTCGTCGTCCTCGGATGTGATTTTGCGGTAAACAAGTCGGTCTGACTGCCACACTTTTGCCATGTTTGAGCTTATCTGGTCAAACTAATCCGAGGGCTCGAAGCGTGATAAGTAGTCGTTACGGTTTGTCCAAACGTTGTCCTGGACGTACGATTTCAGTGCCTTCGGACGATATATAAGTACGACGATGTGACTCATGGCTGCAGAGCGAAAGCGCGGATAAGGGTTTGCGAGTCATATCGAACCTATCTTACCAGCAAAGGACATACCATCTGTCGTCGCTGCTGTACTGTTACGATGGAATCAAAGGATGCCTTCTTGGGTGAGGCGCAACATCTCAGTCAGGGCCTACTGCTTCGCGTTCACCGACTCACGTGAGAGTGTAACAGATCGTCCCTAACTTCCGAGATCTCTCAAAAGTCTGACCTGCAGCGAACGGCAAAGGAGTCCCACCTTTGAGAACCCACTTTAGCGGTTTTGCGGCCCTGACAGGCGGCGGGGTTGGCAGTCACAGGCATAAACGGCGGGTGGATGGATTATCGCCATGAATCCTAGCGAAAGGATGGCTACCCAGCCGTGGTTGTCTTTTTCAAGAAACTTTGCGAGTTTGCTTAGATGATACAGTAGCCGAGCGTGATGGACTTTGCCAAGACAATTCGGCAGCTCGCAATCTGGAGTGCCAAATGAGCGCATTAATCTCTACAGTAGCACTGGAGTGGCGCAGCGTAGCAGGAACATTTCCGCGTCTATCAATATCGAACCTCGGTGTCGCGATTAGTGTTACCAAATCCCAAATGAACTGAATCGCATTCTGTCTACTCCACTCGGCTCGGGATCTCATCGGTTGAACTAGTCCTCTTGGAGCCGTCTCAGCCGTACAAGTGCTGCCGTTGTACGGAAACCCCGCTCCTTGCGCTGAATTGGCGGCGGCCACGAGGTGTTCCATAGTCTGCATAGAGTCGTCATGAACTGCAGATCTCAAATAATTCACGCAGACATGAGGTGGAAGGCTGACCGAGCGTTGGAGGATGTCATTCTTGGGGCTCTCGCTCCGCAGGATGCCGGCAGGATGAATGTCGCGAAGCAAGAGGGTAGCATCGTGATCAGCAAAGAAGAGGCCGGCAGGCAACTGTGGCACAGACGTGTGGCGAGTGGAAAGACTGGAGGAAGGTGGAGATGCTGGAGAAAGGTGGTTCCGCAGACAAGACGAGCTAGCGATTAATGTAGTTAGGGATCAAGACCAAACGTCACTCCAGTCGTGCAGCTCCCTTGCGAGCTTCATGATCGACATGTTCACCTTCCCAGAGCAGCGCTAACACGAACGTTACCTCGAGTCACTACTGCCAGGCACAAGGGCCGCGTGCGGGGCGATTGAATGAGCCTTCCACATACAGGTTGGTTAATGAGGTGACCTCGCATCGCGTGAAGCTTTCATAGAATGAGTTACAATCTTCCCGTGTTCCACATTGTGAGTACAAATAAGCTGCTCTCCTCCTCACGAACATCTTGATCCTCCTCCTTCCTTCAGCAGTCTCTGGAAGACGTCTATGCTGGTCTGACCACGATCACTCATCTTCCAAACAGCAGCAGCTCATTGCACAGCTTCCTTGCACAGTACCGCTGAGCGGTCCATAGCATTGTCAACATGGCTTTACTACGAACAGCGATCTTGGCGGCTTTGCCTATTGTCCTGGCGCAGAACCTACCGCCCGACACAGCATTCCCAATCACTACGTATCCTAATGCCACGGACCAGTACATCGACTACGCGGCTCTCTGGGGCCAGACTGAGGGCGAGTACTATCCCTCACCATGGGGTGAGGGTCAAGGCGACTGGGCCGATGCCTACTCCAAGGCTCGCGCTTTCGTATCTCAGCTCACGTTGGTGGAGAAGGTCAACCTTACCACCGGTGTAGGCTGGGAGGGCGAGAAATGTGTCGGCAATACTGGTTCGATCCCACGCCTCGGCTTCAAATCACTCTGTCTCGAGGACTCTCCACTAGGTGTACGAGACACCGATTTCAATTCTGCTTTCCCAGCTGGTGTGACAGCCGCCACGACTTGGGACCGGGCCACTATTTATCAGCGAGGCGTGGATATGGGCGCGGAGCATAGGGAGAAGGGTGTAGATGCTCAGCTGGGACCAGTCGTAGGTCCTCTCGGCCGCAGTCCTGAAGGCGGACGTGGTTGGGAAGGGTTCTCGCCCGATCCAGTCCTTTCTGGTATTGCCATTGCGGAAACCGTTAGGGGCATCCAGAGCTCTGGAATCATTGCAACCACGAAGCATTTCATACTGAACGAGCAGGAACACTTCCGCCAGGGTTCTCCACCTTCAAACCTGAGCTTGAACGCCATCAGCTCCAACATCGATGATGTCACAATGCACGAGCTTTACTTGTGGCCATTTGCAGATGCTATCCGCTCTGGTACTGCTTCTGTCATGTGCTCGTACAATAAGATCAACAACGAGTACGGATGCCAGAACTCATACACGCTCAACCATCTACTCAAGAGCGAGCTCGGCTTCCAGGGCTTTGTCATGACTGACTGGGGTGGGCACCACTCTGGTGTTACTGCTGCTCTCGCTGGTCTGGACATGTCCATGCCCGGTGACATCGGCTTCGACAGCGGCAACTCTTTCTGGGGTGCTAACCTGACCGTTGGTGTGCTCAATGGTTCGATCCCACAATGGCGTCTTGACGACATGTGCGTTCGTATCTTGGCGGCATGGTACTACGTGGACAGGGAGAACAACCAAGTTCCAGATGCACCGAACTTCTCTGCTTGGACTCTCGATACCTACAACTATGCCCACTTTTATGCTCAAGAGGACTATACTCAGGTCAACTGGCACGTCGATGTGCGTGGTGACCACAGGGATAACATCAGGGACACCGCCGTCAAGGGCACTGTGCTGCTCAAGAACAACGGTGTACTGCCATTGTCTGGCAAGGAGAAGTTGACTACTGTCTTTGGCTCAGACGCTGCCGAGAACCAGTATGGTCCTAACGGTTGCCCGGATCGTGGCTGCGACAATGGCACACTTGCTATGGGTTGGGGTTCCGGGACAGCCAACTTCCCGTACCTCATCACTCCATTGGAGGCTATCAAGGCCGAGGTACAGCTCAACAACGGTGCCATCGAGTCTGTCATCGACGACTACGCTTACACTCAAATGGCCGCCTTGGCTCGTCGCGCCACGCAGGTCGACGGTGTCTGTATCGCCTTTGGCAACGCCGATTCGGGTGAGGGCTACATCATTGTCGATGGCAACGAGGGTGACCGCAACAACCTTACACTTTGGCATAACTTTGATACTATGATCAAGAACATCACCTATCAATGCAACAATACGGTCGTTGTGATTCACGCCACTGGCCCAGTCCTTCTTGATTCCTTCTACAGCAATCCCAACGTCACGGCTATTGTCTGGGCTGGTATTCCTGGCGAGCAGTCTGGCAACGCTATTACTGATATCCTTTACGGCAAGGCCAACCCGGGTGGCAAGCTGCCCTTCACCCTAGGCTCGTACCGCGGCGAATATGGTGCTGATATTCTGTATGAGCCGAACAATGGTATCAACAGCCCTCAGGATGACTTCGCCGAGGGCGTGTTCATTGACTACCGTGCCTTTGACAAGGCCGGTATCACGCCTCTCTACGAGTTCGGGTACGGTCTGTCATACACGAATTTCTCCTTCTCGAACATCCAAGTACAGAGCCACTCTGCTCCAGCCTATGCAACGCCAACAGGCAACACTGGCCCTGCGCCAACGTATGGTGTCGTCAGCAACAGAACCGCGGACTACACCTTCCCAGCTGGCTTCCACCAAGTCCCTATTTACATCTACCCATTCTTGAACAACACCGACCTCAAGTCCTCCAGCGGTGATCTCATGTATGGCTCAAACTACACTTTCCCTGCTGCAGGCTACAATTCTAGCGCCCAGCCATACCTTCCCGCTGGCGGTGCTCCTGGTGGCAACCCAGGTTTGTACGATGTGCTCTTCACCGTCACCGCTACGGTAACCAACACTGGCCCGGTCGTTGGTGACGAGGTCGCACAATTGTACATTAGTCTCGGTGCGCCTAGTGATCCCGTCGTCGCACTGAGAGGCTTCGACCGCATCTCTATCCAGCCAGGCCAGAGCGCTACCTTCTCTGCCGATCTCACAAGGAGGGATTTGAGCAACTGGGATACTGCTAGCCAGAACTGGTATGTTATACTCTTGCATTTACCATACTTAATCAGTGGCTGACTCACGTTCCAGGTTCATCTCAAGCTGCAGTAAGACCGTTTACGTCGGCAACTCTAGCCGCAAGCTCCCGCTCAAGGCCACACTCAGCCTCAGCGGCCTTACTACAGGCCCTTGCGGTGGTAGCAGCAACGGCACTATGCCCAACATGCCATCTGGCCCAGGTGGTTATAACAGCACCAGCTCCGTGCCTGCAGGCCCAGGTGGATACTCCAGCTCTTCTGCCTCTAGCCCGGCTGGCCCAACAGGCTACTCGAGTGCTTCCGCCTCCGGTTCTGCTTCGGGCTCTGCGTCTGCATCTGGATCTGCGTCCAGCCCAGCAGGCTACTCCAGCATGTCAAAAGTAGCCTCAAGCAGCATCTCCAGCGTGAGCTCTGCCGCTTCTGGCCCAGCAAGTTACTCCAGCGCCAGCGCCAGCGCCACCACCAGCGTCCCAGCCGCCCCGGTCGGCTACTCCACCCCCACAGCCTCTGGCTACGGAAGTTGGACCGCCCACCCAAGCCCCTCGGCTTACTCGTCCGGCGGCTGGCGTGCATAGTGTGCCTCAGCGACAGCCACCGTCTCAAACCTTCCTTGGTACCAGTCCAGTACCAACGCCTCTAGCATGTTGAGTAGGTGTAACAATCAGAACTTCACGACGCAGAGCAACAGCTCTACACAAGACAATAGCACCAGACCTATTGCTTGCAGGAGTGCTGGTAACAGGACTATCGGGAAAAGGAGTGGGAAGAGACGGTTATCGTTGGACGAATAGGCATCGCTTGCGGTTATCATGAATATTATGACACTGTTATACATAACATAATATGATGAATGTAAATACATCGAGTGCTCATGCAACTTATTTCATTTGCACTTTTCATAGTCTATCGGCCAACACGAAGCCATAGTATATCATGTAGCCAGTGCCGACCAAGCTGACGATTGACGACGCACTGTGTAATATGCTGAACGATGTATTCAACTTCTGCATGGCGTCTGACCTTGGCCCCGGGTCATAGTATCGCTTGCCATCCCTCGTCTCTGCAAGGGCGATCAGTATATTGTCCACGAACGATCGATTACTCCAATTCTCGATGCACTTACCCTGATGTTTCCTTTGCTTCATGATACTAGTCGTCCAAGGCGCCAGAACAATCAAATTGACAGCAGCCGACCCAAACATCACAGCGATAGGCACCAACGCCGTCCAGAAGAAATCAGCTTCACCATGTCCATGCCGTAAAAGCCCACTCACGCCATCGCCTCTCCTCACCACTGCGTTTCCCAATCCTGCAATCTTCTCACCCGGCCATGTCAATGCGAGGATCACAGGGAGTGCGGTTTGTAACGAGAAGAAGGCGGGGATTATGGTTGTCTGGAGGGTTGCGAATTGTGGTCGTGGCAGAGCTTTGAAGGCGAGTGGGCCATTGAAGAAGGTCTGGAAGATGTTCGAGCCGAGGAGGGTGCCGTAGGCAAGGAGGTGGTAGGGCTGGGATGAGTAGATTGAGGATGGCATTGTAGTTCAGTGTGTATACAGGATACTAGTATGGTTAGATGTAATGCATGGGGAGTATCTGGTGACTCCGTAGATGGAAGCTCGCGATGCTGACGCCATCGACATGCTCGCGCCTCGGGCTCATTCTCTGGTGTCTCCATCGTCGACCACCTTCCTAATCTTCACTCCCAACTGTATTCCACATTCGTTCCATGCTTGGGGCCAAAACCGTCAGCTTCGTGTGAACAGGGATGATTGGAGCAGATACGTATACGCTGACTACGTGCATGTTATGCAGAAGCAAGCGACGCGGCCATTCACAAGCACGACCTCGCATGCCGATCAATCCTTCTCGCATTGAACCATGTCCTGGTCGGATTCAGTTATATTAAGCCATACGATGATAAGGTTTGGTAGAGCTGGCTGAAGCAAGGTGTAGCCCTATGCACAGTCACTGCTCATGTAGTGCAAGCAAGTACAACAAGCACCCGTTGTGCTCCCTCCCTTCCTCACTTCAAACCTCTCTTCAGGTGAATCGCTTGCAGAGCGTTCTGCTGTTCCTTACCTTCCAGGCAGATCTAGGCATCCCAATAGCAACAATGAAGGGGCTTCCATACTTCCCAGTCAGTGCGCTGCTTACAATTGTCACAGCAGCAGATTCGTCCATCCTGTCGATATCACTTAATCAGGCCACCAAAGGAGCCAGTATCTCACAGCAAGCACATCACGCAGCGGCTAGACGACATGGGGGCTACGCACTGGCACCGGAAACTCTCGACGGCGGCTTCTGGTATGGTTCCTTCGATGTAGGTGAGGCGATGAACGTCTCACTTCTCATCGACACTGGCTCGTCAGATGTTTCTATCAACCCAGACCTGTATCAACCTAGTCTAGCTTCACTGGATCTACACCAAAATGGCACGCTCGGCTACAGCACGGTCCAGGAGAATGGCTGTGGCTTTGCGAACATCTCCTACCACACCTATGCAGACACCGTGTCCTTTGCAGGCTTGACAGCACGAAACCAGACATTTGCAGCGGTCATTGCAAAGCCGCCACCAGACAATGGCACGATTACACAATTCCCGCACCAAGGCATTGTTGGATTTTCCAGCACTCACGCCAATACTACGCAGCTCGATGCCATCCCGTTGTTCCAGACTCTGTGCAATCAGCACACTGTCCGCGAATGCAAGTTTGGTCTGGCGCTGGGTACGGATGGCAACGGCACGCAAGTGCTTGGTGGCACCGATCACCAACTTTTCGATGGCGATCTTATCACAGTTGATGCCGACCCGAATGAGGAGTATGCATTCGATGGCAGCATCACTGCAGACGGCAGTGTGGCTTTGACCAGTGACAGGATCATTCCGGACTCTGGTACTGCAAATGTGAGCCAGACATGTACTATACGTGAATGCACTGTGCTGACAGACAATAGGTCATCGGCCCAATAAGCGACGTCCAAAAGCTTTTCGATATCCTTGGCATCCAAGCCGTCCAGCAGAATCTCCCAGGCTGTACATCAGTGCTATTCGGCTACTACCCCTGTGATGCGCCACCCAAAGTTGGCTTTACGATAGGCAATAGCACCAAGTCTTTCGATATCGAGTCTTCGGCATTCCAGCAGGCAGACAATGGTAACAACAATTGCACGGCAATCGTCACTGGCATCGACTTGTCGACCCGTCACCCTTTATGGATCATCGGACAGGCTTGGTTCCAGGGCAAGTATGTGGATTTTGACCCTGCGAATAGTAAGCTTGGAGTAGCGCCGCTGAAGGCGGATTGCTGAATCTCTTCGGGCTCTAGAACCAGCACGATACGAGGAAGGCTTATGGTGCTCTGCATCACCATTGTCATAACATCGTACATGAATTGGTCATAGCCCTAGTACATACAAGATCTACATATCCAATTCCCTCCTCTCCAGATCAACCCACCTAATCACGCCGGTCTCGGGCGTACAGTTGATATACTCGAAGCTGGCCTCCCCCTGCTTCAAAATCGAAACCTCGTGCCACGTCATGAATTTCCTGTCCTCGCCAAACCTCTTCGCATGCTTCATAGCACCATTGAAAATCGCCAAGTGCGAAGGGTGGCGGCTAGACCAGCGTTCCAAATCCGCCCAGTTACGGTGGAAACCTGCGCCGCATGTCTCTTTCATCGGCTTGCCGTTTGCATCGAGATTTTGGAGGAAGCGGAGCCCGATGGTACCGGTCTCTTCTGGGTTCGACCAGAGGTAGTTCATCCCTTTCATGAGGGTCTTTTGCAGGTCGTCTTCATAGGCTAGACGTTCTTCGTCGAGGCATTCCTCCCACCATTGGCCGCTGCGGATGTGGCACATGTTGTCATAGTTCGAGCCTATGATATGCTCGCCTAGGCCTTTGGGTGGCGCTTGTGGCGCCGGTGTCTGCGAGGGTATCTTGAAGAGGTCGTGTGAGGAGGCTGGGATGCGATCGCGGCCGGCACCCCAGTAGGCTGTTAGTTCGTGGCTGGGCTGTTCGGTGTTGGGGAGTTGGGCGAGGCCGGGTTTATGGTCAAGGCGGGCGTAGTTGGTTTCCAGGCGGTCTACTGGTGTTGTGAAGTGTTCGCTCCATAGACCGATCAACTTCTTGGTGGCATTGAGACTTCGCCACAGGTCATGTAAGCCAAGACTTTGGACCTTGGACCGGAAGTTGTCGGCAGATGTATAGTATGCTACCCAGACTCTTGAGTCTCGTAAGTCAAAGCCGTCAGTGACCCGGAATGTGTCGATCGCTGCTGGCTTGTCGGTACCATCGTTCAGTCCTTGCTCGATGGTCTTCTCGACTTCGGAAGCGTCTTTCCCATCGCGACTCTGAACGCCGACATAGAGAGTGTAGATGTGCGAGACATCCTCAGGAAGCTTCAATGTCCACCTTGGTACCGGAGGTTTATGTCCTGCTGGCTTCTTAAGCGGATACTGTCGTTCACCTATTGAACCCATCACAACTTGACTAATGTAACGTCGACCTGTTCTGGAAGTTCTAGATGTGATGAGTCTACGATATCGTTGCATATTGTCTCTTGGGCAGTGCATGATCGAACGATGCTCTTTGTACCTACCAGAAGCGGAGATATGCGGACGGGCGGAGCAGACACGAAAGCTAAAAACATCGTTGGTACAGCTATAGCTGCTCTGACGACTTCATGGTCAGCTGTTGGGAATGTAATGTGGTTGGAAAGAAGACATGATCTGCATATGGAACGGTATAAGACGAGAGGTTGGTTTATCTAACGATCTACCTTTAGTGCTACTCGACCAGTCGTGGCAGACCCGCAATGGTCCTGTTGCTAACGTCTCCTCTGTCCATATTTCGCTCGGGTTGTTCCTGGTCTCAGTGAGAGGATTTCAACCGCTTACCAAGACACTGAGTAAAGCCTTGTCGATCAGCCGGCTAGAAGTGGCGAAGGCTGGCCTCCTTTCTGAATCTTGCGTTTCAGCAGCACCTTTCATTGCGTCTTTGGTCTGACCAACCATGCAAACTCTCCTTTGATATGCTCACGGGGCCCAGGAACGCTGACTACACAGTCGTTTTTGAACAAATAGCCATGCTTCTCATACAAGCCTTTGCCGAAAACACTGCTCTCGACCACAGCCTCCACGCCCAATTCGTCTGCCTTGTCGGTTCCCCATTCGACAAGCTTTCCTCCAACACCACGTCGTTGATACTTGGGATCGATAGCAAGGATATCAAGCGAGACCAGGTTTCCGCCACTGGCCTTGATAGCGGCGTTCCTCTCCTCTACGAAAAGCCCAGTCATAGCCGTAGCGAAAGCCAGCTCCTCATCGTCTTTCCAGAAGTTTTTGATGTACTTGATCTCTCCCATGTCCGGTAAGGTATTGTTGGCATAAATGCTCCATTTCGACATGCCCATGATCACGCCAGTCTCTGTGTCGACAGCTTTGATGTACTTCGTGTGGGCGTCAGTATTTCGAGTTTCGCGCATGCGCTCTGCGCCTTTCTTTCGACCTTCTGCTTCCCAGTGCTGTGGCCAGAAGACGTCCCAGAGTGGTTCGTTGTGGTCAAATGCTAGCGAAGCGATCTCGAAGATGCGGTCCATGTCCGCATCTTCGGCTTCGAGTGCTTGGACAGTCATCTTTGCTGATTGTTCGCGAATCGCAACCAGGTATGCTAAAGTAGCCAAGAAGATAAATTACATGGAAGTAAGAGTCATCGCATTTGTGGTTGCGTTCTTGGCAGTTTTAACCCGTTGAGATGTGGGTCTCTTCGAACTCCGGCTAGAAAGCCAACACCGACTCGAATGCAACGTGGTCTGTACGAAAGAGAAGACTTGCGGTGGCGGGACATCACGATGTCATTTGATAGAAAATTTGTACCCTTATCTCATAATCACGACGAGCATAAAACATAGCAATTCATCAACCGTCCTGTGCTTACCCGTCGACCCTCTAGAGACACAGTAGTGCCATTAACGATTTCGTCACTTCGTACCTCGCCCATCACGTTCCTCAGATTATGTATCCATCTTTCAAGCTCCCAACCTCTTGCGAAAAAGGGTGTCTTCTGCTCATCGCCCTAGCCTCATCGTCTTCCTTCAACGAGCCCATCTCGACGCCATGAGACCCCGAGGAGGAGGAGGATTCACCATCGCCATATCTGGTGCCTTCGGAAGACTGACGATTACAGAGCCGACGACACTCTCATAGAGCGGCTTGCTCATGGTCCAGTCTGCAACGCGCTCCTGGTAGTATGGAGGACGAATTGGAATTTCATACGCCTCAACCATTCTCGCCATTCGTTTGCACGCGTCACCATAGATTCTGCCTGGCTTCTTACTCCCTGTCTTATCCTTTGTCGGAGGCAGATCCGATACACCAGCGACATCCTCGTCCTTGGTCTCCTTGTTCATTTCGTATGAACGCAATTCGGATAGATTAACCTGAGGGTAAGTGGCACTACGCGCATCGAACACGCTGACGTCGTCTTCATCATTCCTTGGGCTGCCCACCTCATAGTCGTCCTGCACACGCTCTTCTGAATGCGCCTCGACCTCGTTACTGTCTGTGCCTGAGCTGGAGCCATGAACGTCTTCCGGAAAAGCGGTGTCCGTGTTCTCAGGATTGTCGTCGTCGGCATGCCCATCGGTGGGAGCGTGGGCTTCAATGCCGTGGTCGTCATCATTGTTAGAATCCGCCGGGTCATCGTCTTCATCCTTGCGATCATCTTCATCCTTGTCATCATCACTGCCGTCCTGCACATCATCATGGTCATTATCATCCAGAGTTTCCGAACCCGAGCTACCACACCTGCAAGCGTCTCGAGACCGTTGAAGCTCATCAACATGATCTCGCAAAGTCTTATTCTCTAGCGTCAGCCCTTTCACATCTTCCTCAAGCTCTGCCGTAGCCTCATCCACGATCTCCGGAACCTGATTCCAAATTTCCATCTTCTCCTCCTCAGCAGCCGCCATGTTCTGTACGTGGTCGAAATTCTTTTGCCTCATCTGCTGCTCGTATGACCCCTTCATGATCTGCTTCGCCTGCTCTAAAGTTGCGTTCCTAGCTTCCAAGCCCTCAACCTACTTGAGAGCATCGTTGACAATGGATGCTTGCTGCTCCATTGCCTTATCATGCTCGTCGATATCGGCTTCAATTTCGTCCTCCACCCTCTCATTCTCGTGCTGTAGTGCATCCAAATCGTCTCGCAATTGGTCGGCCTCGCTGGTGGCCTTGGCAAGCTCGATGTCAGCAGTCTGCTTCACTTCGATAATAGCGTCCCGACTCTCCGTTTGGTTCGTAGCAATCTTCTGTCTCAGGTCTTCGATCTCCGCTTTCGCCTGCTTGAGTTCTTCATCGCATGACTTCTTCAACTCCCGAGCCTCCTTCATGGCCTGCTCGGTCACTGCAGATGCCTGCTTCAGATCCTCGACCTCCTGCTCCGCCATTCCGAATGACTTCTTCAACTCCCGAGCCTCCTTCACGGCCTGCTCGGTTGCTGCAGATGCCTGCTTCAGACCCTTATCCTTCTTCTTCGCCTGATCGATGGCATTATAACGCGCGTGCTTCGCTTTCCGAGTCTCCTCCCTGCTCTGCTCGGGCTCTTTGTCGAATTTCTGCTTCGCCTCCTTGATGTTCTTCCTGCTCTGCTCGAGATCTGCTTCGAATGCGCGCCCCAAATCCTCTATCTTCGTGCTCGCTTGCTTGAGGTATTCTTCCAATGCCTGCTTCAACCCCTGAGCCTCCTTCTCGGCCTGCTCAAGGTCTCTATCGAATGCATTTTTCAGAATGTCAATGTCTCGATTCGCTTGCTTCAGGTCCTCCATCTTCTTCTCCGTCTGCTGAAGTGCTTCGTTAGATGCCTTTTGCTGCGTCTGCGCCTCTAGTCGGATGCCGTTAGCTGCGCGAGCAAGATCCCTGTAAGTCTCTTTATCCCGCTCTAAGCTAGTGATCTCCATAGCCATAACCTGTTGTGATGCCAGCAGCGCCACATATGCCTGCTCGCGCTCCTTGTGTTGTGCCTGAGAGCGGGCGAAGAGAGCGACAAGCAGCAAGAGTGTAGCAAGAGTGAAGCCGACCATCACAGTCGTTCTGTCGTAGTGACCAGCGAAACCGTAGCCAGACGTAGTGTCATTTTCCTCAACGGTAACGAGCTCGCAGGACCCATGGAGGGCGATGCACTTGCTCAGATGGTTCTCATTGGCAGTCGGATAGTGCCGACGGGCCGGCAAAGCAGAGGTAGGGGTGAGGGGAGCCAAAGTCGGGATCGTGACCTTAGTCACGTGGTCTAAAAGTCCTGCAATAGTGCTGGTGGTCCCGTTGCTGCCGAAGAGAGTGATGCCGTAAGGTGAGCTTGAGTTGCTCACGTTGCTGGCAGAAGAAGCGAAAGGCGAAGCAGAGATGGTTGGCGCGAAAATGCCAAAGACGTAGTTGAAGGCGTTTTCAGCCTGTTTTGTGCCGAATAGCTTGGCGGCGAGGAGGTATCCGTACACGGTGCACAGCACCTCGAGGAAGGGCATCGTGGTGGTGTCGTCAGTGTTGTCGATGTATACTTGATTGTGTTGTGCCGACAAGATGTTTGTGCGATGTGTAAGGTTGGACGAAGATCGTGGGACGCTGCAGAGAGGTTGAGAGTTGGTGGGCGAGCAGACGCACGGGCCAGCGTGTCTCGCGCTAGCGTCAAAGTGTAGGTGAAGTTCATTCACACTTAAGACGAATCCTATTTCCATTCACCGGACGACCTGTGTGCTGCTATTGTTCATCAATAAAGGTATTGTATATGTGATGTGAAGTGATTATGAAGGAGAAGTCCCTGTCAGGAAGAAGCGAGATATCCTCACCTGTGGCAATGAGAGATGGCTACTCCATTGGTATGTCTCGTATACAACTTGACAAAGGTCTGTATGAGTGCTGTTTCGAAGACGGGATGGCTGGGATGCCGAGCGGGTGCCATACTTGCTTCGAGACGATGGCATGGTGAATCATACGTTACTATTGTTTGCGTGCGTGCTTGCTTGCTGCAACAGCCTCTTGGCGTGCAGTTGACTACAGAGGCGTGGCGACAAGCTGTTTGAGGGTGGGGATGCTCATTAAGTCACACAATGCTCAAGCCAGCCGATCTTCTCGGTAGTGCTCATTGTTGAGGTGGATGCTTATGGATTTGGGCACGATTACTGCTTCCCTTCTCTCATTGAACAGTCGAAGCATGATAAGTCGTTGGTCCAAAACGCCAGAGTTCATGCGCTGGATCTTTGTTCTGTTCGTGCGATTGACATGTGTCTATCGCTTCACAGATGTAGGATCCAATTCCTGTGAGCGGGGCTTGCACCATAGAATCAGGTCATGAATGTGGCAACCCATCGTCGTCGATTGAGGCTATGTGCAATTACCATGATGGCTGGAGATGGCGAAGATATTTCAGTAGAAAAGTGAAGTGAAGTCAAAGTCGAGTGGAGAAGTCCTCCGCAACGCGTCGGTATCTTGGCGATAGACAAGGATCGCAGGACAGCCAATCATGCAGACCGTGTCAAGCCTTTTGGTGGATATGCGGCTTGAATGAGCCGCCCAGATGAAGCTGCCAGACGAGGTGGTGGCCGGGCTTGGCTTGAATAGCCATGTCGTCGTATACGGCGATCATGTCTCCAATGCTCACTGCAAGGAAGCACTTCTGTCGCTACAAACCATCCACACTCGCTCCCGTAGAAGGTAGACATGGACCAAGTCTCGAGATCTTGAGCAGGAATTCGGCGAACAGCCATTGTGATGGGCCTGGTTGACAGTAATGCGAGCTTCGGGAAAGCAGCAATACGGCCAAAGGACAAGGCAGCAGGGATTGGAAGAGATGATGAGATAGAGAGCTGGTTCCAGCGGCGCGTTAAGCAGCCATTCGATACGATATATCAACAATATTTCGTGGCACTCGTACTGCGTCAGAGGCCACTGCCGCCCTCGAAAGATGGACGACATATTCCTCTGAATCTACTGTACCAATCTGACCTGATAGATGAACGGCGAGGTCATGGCTATCTCAATAACAGCATTCGCTCTTCGCGCTACACCGTCTGGGACTTCCTACCTAAGCAGCTTGCCTTTCAGGCTACTCGGCTACACAACTTTTACTTCATCTGTATTGGCGTGCCTCAGACGATTCCAGGCCTGAGTACTACTGGAAACTACACCACTATCCTGCCATTGACATTCTTCATCCTCTTGACAGTCGTGAAGGAAGCCTATGATGATTATTGCAGACATCGTATGGACAAGGTGGAGAATAGACAGCTTGCTACAGTTTTGAGGGCCAAGAGCGTTCGTGAGCATAACGAGTCATGCGGCACAAAGCTGGGCAAGTGGAAGTCTTGGGGTGACAGTATACCACGGCTTGGCAAGGTTTCACGGCAAACGACCGATGAACCTGTGGAGAAGGAGTACGATGTGGACGATGATCTTGAGTGGGCAAAGATCCAATGGCACGGCATAAAGGTTGGCGATGTGGTGAAGCTACGCCGCGACGAGGCTATTCCTGCAGACATTGCATTGTTATACGCCGACGGTGAAAGTGGTGTCGCCTACATCGAAACCATGGCTCTGGACGGCGAGACGAACCTCAAGAGCAAGCAATCGCCTCACGTCCTGCAAAGCAATTGCGCCACGATAGCCGGTATCCGTTCTCTATCAGCCGCCTTCGTGAGTGAGGATCCAAATCGTGACCTCTACGACTTCCAGGGTCGCGTCACAGCCGAGGACGCCAGTCTGCCGTTGGGTCTGAACGAGATCGTCTTCCGCGGATCAGTGCTACGCAACACAAAACATGCCATCGGACTTGTACTGAACAGTGGCGAGGAGTGCAAGATCCGCATGAATGCCAATCACCACCCAAAAGCCAAGAAGCCACGCCTTGAGCGCTACGCCAATCAGGTCGTTCTTACACTCATCATCTACGTCGTTCTACTTTCTGTTGGTGTCAGCATGGGCTACTTGATGTGGCATCAGAACTTCGAAATCAATGCCTGGTACCTTAACAATGCATATGTCAGCTTTGCTGAGATCATTGTTGGTTTCCTGATTATGTTCAACAACGTGATCCCTCTCGCTCTTTACGTGAGTTTGGAGATCGTGAAGATTGGCCAGATGCTTATGATTCAGAACGATGTGGAGATGTACGATTCCGCGAGCAACAGGCGGACGGTGTGTAATACTAACACGATCCTCGAAAATCTTGGCCAAGTCAGCTATATACTGAGTGATAAGACCGGGACGTTGACGGAGAATGTGATGAACTTTCGTGGACTGAGCATTGGCGGCATAGCTTTCACGCATAGTCTCAAATCGAAAGGACGAGCCAGCAGTGTTGGTCGACCAAGTATGGCATCTCACAGCACTGAGCAAAGGGCTGTAGATGGTGCGCAAAGGCCGAGCCTGGGCAAGGTCAGCTTCACGGTCGACACGTACGAGATGGAGCCGCTTGAAGCCGGACCAAGCAACAGCCGGCCAAGCCTACAGCATAGGCAATCTTCGAGCGCAATGTCACGAACTTCAAGACAGTCGCGCAATGACTCTTTCAGTACCCACGAGCTGCTCGACTACATTCGCGATCACCCTTCTGCACCATTGTCTCAGAAGGCACGAAGCTTCCTTCTGGCAATGGCGCTCTGCCACACGGCACTACCAGAGACTGTCGCCGATGGCTCCACGACATTCCAGGCCTCTTCTCCCGATGAGCTAGCACTTCTGCAGGCCGCGCAGGAACTTGGCTATTTGCTCATACAGCGGTCGTCACAGATTATCACACTGTCGAAGACCAACGCAAATGGTCTCGCCGAACGCGAATCATACGAGATTCTCGATGTCGTTGAGTTCAGCAGCAAGCGAAAGCGCATGTCTATCGTGGTCCAATGTCCAGACGGGCGTATCTGGCTTTTATGCAAAGGCGCAGACAGCATGATCGTGCCTCGTCTGAGAAATGCCGCGCTTGCCAGTCGCAAAAGCCACGAAGTGCGGCGTAGTATCCAGGACGAGCGCGAGCACGTCAGACGAAGTGAGCAGATGGAGCCGAGAAACAGCTTCGGTGCGAGGCCGAGCATGACTTTGAGGCGCAGGAGCTCGATTGACATTCGACCGGTAGCGCAAGCGATCGGCAAGAAGAGTTTCAATCTTGAGGTGCCGAAAGGCGGTCATCAAGTCAGGGTACAAACGAAGTCACTTGATGTCCCTCGCTCATCGAGCCACGACATGAATGCTTTGAGTAGTCCGGATGTAATTGACGATGCCACAGTTCTCACTCGCTGCTTTAAACACCTAGACGACTTCGCCACACAGGGCCTACGCACTCTGCTGTTTGCCGACAAGACCATTCCCGCAGAAGAGTACGCTGGCTGGAAGAAGCTGTACCAGGACGCAAGCACATCACTAAGCAACCGCCAGGAACGTATCGAAGCCGCAGCAAAAACGATCGAGCAAGGCCTTGAGCTTCTCGGCGCTTCTGCCATCGAAGACAAGCTTCAAGAAGGTGTACCAGAAACCATAGACAAGCTCCGTCGCGCCAATATCAAGATCTGGATGCTCACCGGCGACAAGCGCGAGACTGCCATCAACATCGCTCACTCTGCTCAAATATGCAAGCCGGAGTCTGAAATGTTCATCATAGACAGCCACAAAGGCAACCTAGAGAATCAACTCAACGAAGCAACGATGGACATCCGCTCCGGCTGTCTCCATAGCGTCCTTGTCATTGATGGCCACACTCTCAGCGAAGTTGATGTCGATCCAACACTAAAGCACACCTTCTACGCACTCATACCTCTAGTGTCCTCTGTCATTTGCTGCCGAGCCAGTCCTGCCCAGAAAGCAGGAATAGTCAGAGCAATTCGGCATCGCATCCCGACCGCTCTTACGCTAGCTATTGGTGATGGCGCGAACGATATTGCCATGATACAGGCCTCTCATGTCGGCTTTGGCATAAGCGGGAAAGAAGGACTCCAAGCTGCTCGTGTAGCAGACTATAGCATCTCCCAGTTTCGCTTCCTTCAGCGTCTGTTACTTGTACATGGCAGATGGAACTATACCCGTACGGCGAAGTTCATCCTTTGGACCTTCTGGAAGGAGATGTTCTTCTACATGATGCAGGCTCTGTATACCCGGCCAGCTGGCTATACAGGGACGAGTCTGTACGAGAATTGGAGTTTGACAGTTCTGAACACTCTGTTCACCTCGCTTTGCACGATCGTGCCTGGTATCTTTGAGCAGGATCTCAAGGCTGAGACATTGCTCGCTGTACCTGAGCTTTACGTCCTTGGACAAAGGAACAAAACTCTCAATATGCCGGACTATGTGCTCTGGGTGCTACTTGCTACTAGTCAAGGTATGATCGTGTGGTTCGTGGCGTGGGCGGGTTTCGGCAAGGGTGCACAGATGAGCGATAACGGACTCTTTGCGCTTGGTGACTTGTGCTTCACTTTGGGAATCTGCTGGACCAACCTCAAGCTTCTGATCCTGGAGACGCACTACAAGACGCGGATCGTGGCGGTCTCATTCACCATCACAGTAGGAGGATGGTTCGCGTGGAACAGTTTCATGTCTGCTGTCTACTCCGATAATATCTCGCCATACGACGTCAAAGGTGGCTTCTCATCGACTTTCGGTAACGATCCGGCCTGGTGGGCTACACTCGTCATTGCGTTGGCGATCTTGACGATCATGGAGATGGGATACAGGAGTCTGAGGCAGTATCTGCTTGTTAGTGGGTATTGGCCTTTGTGGAAGGAATTCAGAGGCGAGAGCGTGGACAGAGATGTCAATGCCGAGGAGCTGGATGTCAGACTATGGCAGGCTTTCGAGAGGCAAGGTTGTGTTGACCAGGGACTACGAAGAAGATATCGTGATGATGAGAATGATTTGGATGATGCATGATTTGTACTATGAGTTACTGATGCAACATTTCTATAACTGCAGCCACCAGATGTGACTTCACCACCATGGCTATCCGTGCTCGCAGCGAGCATCTGTACACCAGCTCTCATCGCTGTTGTCCACAACGCTTTACTCGTTCATCGAAGCCTCATCCCGACCACCCTACTTCTTCGCACCCTTCGCCGGCAAGATCTTCCGACCAAGATTCGCAGCCTGTCTACGGCCTTGGGAGTTCTGGTTGGGCACCGTGATCGGGCCTGTCGCTGGGGCCTGAGAGGCGGCATCGCCACCACTGGACCCATCACTGCTTGTCGTGCCTTGACGAACCCTGTTCTGCCCGCACTTCGGAGCGCAGATGTTGTTCCTGAGGATGTTTCCACACTTCGTGCACCGCAGCTTAGGAGCTGGGGCCGGCGCTTGAGGTTCCTGGTCGTTTTCGGACCCGGTACTGCTCGAAGCGCCTTGGCGAGTCGTATTCATTAGACAAACTGAACCGCAGCGGTTGTTCACGATCGGTTGTCTACAGCGACCGCATTTCTTGACCATGGCGTCTTCCCACTTGACATCATCCTCATCGTCCTTGTCATTCTGTTCCTCCTGCTTCTGCGATGCCTTGGACGCTCGATTCTGACCAGGCTTCGTGATAGGGTCTCCATCCTCGTCATCGGATGGCAACAGATCGAGGGCCTCGTCATCGAAGTTACCTTTCGCCATGTATGCAGGCCCATCTATGCCAGCAGCTTCGGCCTCCGCCATGGTAGCTTGATGACCAGCCTCCATGTCTGCCTGCTGTGTGGGAGCAGGTGGAGCTTGCTGTGTGGGTTGACTGGCGGAGCTCATGGTACTCGCTTGCACCCCCTGCCTTTCGAAGGGCATCACTTCATCGACTTTGTCAGACTCTAGTGGTGCCGGCCCTGAAGGCACCGCCGGTCCAGAAGATAGAGAGATGTTGCCACCATCGGTCGCGCTAGATGCTGGAGCAAGAGCAGTGGCTGGTGGAGCAGCTGGTTGGAGGGAAATATGAACAGTGGACGTACTGGTCTGCGCAAAGCTGTTGACAGGGCGTGGAGTCCTCCGTGGCAAAGGCTTGATAGGACGAACAGACCTCTGCGCCGGAGTCGCCAGTATAATATGCCCGACCTTGTCATCTGGAGTCGCGTCCCCTGACCAATAGTTGGGCTGGCCAGCGGCCGGTTGCCTACTAGGGGAGCTGTACTTGGACACAGTAGGTGCTGAGAAAGTAGTGCCCGATAAGGTAGCACTATAAGGAGGCGCCGTCGATGAGTACGACAGTTGTGTGGACCAGGCAGAAGTAGCTGTGGTCGCAGCCTGACCTTGTGGGTGAGGTGGGATGCTCGGCACGAATGTAGGGACGACTGGCACATGCGTTGCTCGACTCGGAGGCTCCTGTGAAGTCGCAGCTTGTGTACTGGTTGGCAACATTGTGGCAGGTGCTTGATTCTGGTCCGAAGTACCAGCTGCTTGATCTGTCACTGCCTCATCGAACCAAGCCAAGAGCTCTGGCGAAACCTCATCGGCATCTGATCGACCGGCCGTGCGCAAGGCCAGAAAAGCAGGAGTGGCAGGCTTGTATCCACTAGGCGTACCGTTTGGGATGGCTGATGTCGAAGTGGCCGAAGGTGCATACGGCCTATTGTACATAGCGAGGTTACTCTTGGTATTGGTGTAAGGGATGGCAGGGCCTGGAGACGCAGGTTGTGACGAAGACGACTGTTTTGGTGGTGCCGTGCTGAAAGGCGAACCCTGATTATGCAGCTGTGAGGTACGATTAAGCATGCCATGAGGAGTGTCGGAAGCCTCGGAAACATCGCTTTCTGACCGCCGCGAGTCGTTTGGCGGTGGAGATGAGGTCCTTGATTGAGGTCGCGAGGGACCAAACAATGAGTCCTCATCGCCTGAAGCAACCGCGTCATCATCATCAGATGCATCATTACCATGTAAATGGCTTAGAGGCTCCGATGTCTCCGGGCGTCCATCAGATTGCACGGACTCTTCATCCATGCTTACTGTAGCATGGTGATTGTCCGAATGCACTGAAGGAACAGCAGCTTCTGGCTCTGGACTTGGGCTGACTCCATAGAAAGCCTTCCACGTCATACTGTAAAGATCAGATTCAGATTCCTTTGGCTGTTCTTCGCCCGTCAATGCAGGATCGACAGGGGTCAATTGCTCTGGATTGGGTACCCACTCCTGGTTCTGCATAGTAGAATCGTTGCCAACGATGGACTGGCTCGAAGCTGCTGTTCCAAAATCGAAGTCGAAGTTCGTCTGCTGAGGCTGCCATGTGTCTGTCGACATGAAGGAGATGGCGATTGGCTGTGTCTGGATTTCGCTACTCTGCGTATCGTTCGAGGAGCCAGCCATCCATGAGAAAGGCTGAAGCGAAGCAGCTGTAGAAGCTGTAGAACCAGTAGTGCTCTGTTGCAGCTGGAAAGGAGGCAGTGGTTGTTGTAAGCCCATACCGAAGCTATTCGCTTGGTGCTCCTCCACCGAGGTCTGCATGGTGGAAAGACCACAGTATGGGCCATTGCTCTCAGAACTTGCCGGATCATATTGAGACGTCTGTTGTGGGATCTCGAAATTGGCCATGTCCCAGTCGAAGGCATCGTAGATGTCAGCAGTCTGTTGGCCATCAAAAGTCATGTATGGTGCGTCCATCGTCATCTGGAGGTCTGTAGATGCAGCAGGCTCGATCGCGATGCCCATATCAGACTGATTCTGGTAACCGAAGTCCATTTCTTCAAGATCGTTGAAGTTTTGCATGGTCTGATATCCAGAAGGCTCAAGGATCCCAGCGCCATCGAGCGGCGGTATAGCTGCTGAGGAGACCGATGTTGTAACAACAGTAGTCTCGCTGCTGGGGAAAGCCTGTTGCTGCTGCTGTTGTTGTTGTAAAGTCACCATCTGTGCTTTCAGCGCCTTGATCTCGTCGTCTCGACGAGAGTTCTTCTCGCGCTCGTACGTCAGCTGACTGTTGAGATGGGTGTTGGTCTCCTTAACAGTGATCAGCGCAGACTGGGAGTTCGTCTGGTCACGTGTGGCGTCATCACGCTGAAGCATGACTTGCGTGACCGCCGCTTCAAGCTCACCAATCTTGTTGTGCGCTTCCCTGAGCTTGGAGTCGTGTGCCGTCTTCGTCTCATCGGCTTGGCGATCGGCAGCTTCCTTCGCCTGCTTGGTCTGCTCGTTTCGAAGTCGTCTAGTGTCAACAAGCTCCTCCTCGGTCTTTTCAACCCGTGCTTGGAGCTGTTGATTCTGTATCGACGCTTCTGCAGCCTTCTTCTCGTTCTCCTCCTTCGTCTCCTTCCGGTGGCGCTCGAAATCGTCCTTGAGCTGCTGGAGCTGCAGCTTGCGAGACTCTTGAAGTCCATTGTACCGAACGTTAGCAGCCTGGCCGGCCTGCTCGAACTCGGCTTGAAACTTCACCTGCGACTGCTTTGCTTGCTTCTCAACCTCCCCACGGACGGAGGAATCATTCTTCTGCTCGATCTCCTGTAGGGTCGCCTTTGCTTCGGCGCTAGCCTTTCTTGCCTTCCTCAGATCATTCTCAGCGTCACGCTTTGCCCAGCGAGCAGACAACTCGGCTTCCCTCGCCCGAGACTCCAACTTGGCGTTCTCCTGATACCAGAGATTGCCGCTAGAGACGGCCTTATTCAATTTCGTGGTCTGTTCCTGCAGCTCAGACGAAAGACTGTGATGCTTGTCTACAGCACTGTCTCGCGCTTTCTCCGCTGTATCCAGATACTTCTCAAGTCTATTATTCTCGTTCGATGCGTAGGATAATTGCCCACGGGCTTCGTGATTGTCTCTGTTCGTCTGGCGGATCCTACTTTGAAGCTGACTGACTGTCTTCCTAGACTCCTGGGCTTGCTGCTGGAACTCCTGAGCCTTCGTTCTGTCCTCCTCGGCCTGCATGCGCATCTCCTCGAGTTGCTGCGAGAGACCAGCGATCGTAATATCCTTCAGAGACACTGGACTCGGTGTGCTGGCGTAGCGGCTGACCATGGTTTGTGGTGGCGATGGCGGAGTGGGATTGCTTGGCGCCAGGTCCATGGACTCGATCCTGGACTCCTCCTTTGATTCCTCCTGAGCTTCACCCTCCTCACCACGTTCCTCCTCACTGCTCAACACTGCCACTGTAGCGCAACGCTCCCCCCTCGCACGGCGGACCAAGTGAGTATGACCATCGATCGTTCTATTGCCCAGATACCTCCTCATTGCCACAGCAGCTGCAGCATCCTCCTCTTGTTGTCGCTCAAGCTCCTCGCGCTTCTCCTCATCTTCCTCCCACTCAGACAAGATAGCGTTCACAACAAACACCTCCATGAACTTGAAGTAGGTGATCGAGCCCAAGGCCGCACCAATAAACTCGTGGGTGAGCATGATGGCGGGCGATGCAGGTGAGTAGCAAACGCGTATGCTCGAATGGTGTGTCTGTATGCGTTGGTATGATGTAGCGATAGCGTACTCGTAGTCGTAGACGTCGCTATATGTGTTGGTATGATTTGTGTGAGCAAAAGCCAAGAAATCTTGAAGAAGAAGTTCGAATCTGTAAAAGGACATATGTAAACGGAATCCGTATTGTCAAGAAGAAGTTCTTATTGTTGTGAGCAACTGAATGAGTGACCTTCGCGTGTCTCCCAGCCCCACTTGTGAACTTGCATTCACTTACACTTACACTCGGTTAAGCTTCTGCCTAGCGACGGGAGTTTCACATGTGTGAGAATCATCGCCAACGTCAATTCACACATTCGTTTGTCCTTTTTTCCGGACAACGAAAAGGACAAAGGGGAGTCGACTCACACGAATTGCCAGGTTGCTTGCTTGCTTGCTGCTCGTTTCATTCTGGGTCCTGCCCATGACGTCGGAATACTATACCACCCATATTCACCGTGCCATTCACTATAGCTCCTCTTCGCTCTCGTCATTAGCGTGATTGGTATTGACCGTCAAACCAGGACGAGCAGGCCGCACCAGCTCCGGGATCTGAACAGACTTCAGCTTGCTCCACTCTGCCTCCTCATTCCGATCCTCCAGTTCCACCACCCTCATTCGTAGCTCCTCGTTCTCCGTCTCTAAATCTTCAATCTTCGCTTTCGCCATCGCGAATCCACCGCTCAACCTCCTACTCGCACCCTCAAGCTCGTCCCTTTCTTCCCGTAACATGCCCCTGGCCGCTTCAAGCGACCTCGCCAGCTTTTGAGCGCGATCGTTTTGCGTCTTGAGCATTGATGCATTGGCCGCTGCTTTGCGAACAGATTCGTCGGCAGCCAGTATCCTTGTAGCCACATCGTCCGAAGTGGCTTGTAGAGCCTTGGCTCTCGTACTGGCTCTCCTCTCCGCCGTAACCTCAGCAGTAAGACTGCGCTTATCGCCCTCCAGACGAGCGATCTTCTGGTCGCGGGCTACGAGGGCTTCAGAGCTCTGGACACACTCGATAGTCTTATGCAGCTGATTGTTCACCGCCCTCAGATCCTTGATCTCGCTGGTGAGCCTTGATTCTGTATCTCCAGAGTACTGTGGCGATCTCGAGCCAGCATGTTGTCCCTCAGGCGTATGGAACGCATTTTCGGTTTGTGAGATAGCCCTAGTCACAGTCGTGGTTCGTCCTTGCTCAGGCAAAACCATTTTTTGTAAGAGTGGCGCAATCTTCCAAGCCACCGCCGAGATCGTCAGGACATACGATAAACCGATGACGAAGGCGAGAGTTTCTGGCTTAGTGGAGATGGCCATGCTGTGTATATCGTCCGTAAATGTGTTGTTGTCTGGCCGGCAGTATGACGAATTGCTGATATGGTTGTGAGAGCGTTTGTGTGCGTCCGAGTCCAGATGACAGTACAAAAGGAAGTTTTGCCAAAGAGATGAGATTGATGGACGGAGAAGCATACTTATCGGCTGAAAGCACAATAGGCAAGCATGAGAATAGGAAAACGAGGTACACATGGTGACACAAAAGTACATCAGACGTCCTATCGATCACCGTTAGCAGGTTTCGACCAAGTGAAGTGACCGTGAGATTCATCAGTTGATGGGATGACTGCCCTTTGTTTTGGAGGCACACCCCAGATGCTGACGTATAGCCTTCAAATAGCGTACAGCACCTCCGCAGGATATGATGTGCAAAGATATCAGAAACAACCCGCATCCAGCTTTGCGTTGCATTGATGGTCGCATTTCTTGGAAGTATGGTGGAGTACTTCGGTCGTACAGGACAGGGACAGCTATTGCAGAAACCCGATCACCAGCTTAATGCTTTGGATAACCGGACATGATTTTGAGGATATGAGTTCGCACCTTTGTAGTATAGCCTAGGCGCAGAAGCGGACCATAGACAAATTGTCCAGCTTCATGATCCCGGCATCCATAGGACATATAAGAATATCCTATAGCACGCCAGTACCATAACACATGTCGGAGTCATCTCGCTGTCCAGCTTCGTGACCCCCGTCATCATTAGGAACCTTGAAGGCGGTGTGTAGCACCGAGGAGTCTCCCCTATGCGAAGAAGCCAGTGAAAGAAGAATGTATCCAGCTTCATATTCCGTGTGACCACTGTACGACATAGTACGGCTGTGGCACAACCCGAATCGCAAGCGTGAAAGACCGCACGGACGACAAGGATCAAAGTTCAAGAAGCATCGCCTTCATACTACCCCCTGCCAACATCATCCCGACCTTCTCAACCTCTCCTCTCCTCTCCATCTCCTTAACCAAATTCACCAACTTCGGCCCAGCATATTCGCCCTTCTCATCCACCGAAAAGACTCCACTACCCTCAATCCCATCAACACCCTTCCCAATCTCCAGCCCCTCAAGTAACAGAGTCCCATCGACGCCACCATCCGCATACCGCGCACTAGTGCAGAGGAAAACGAAGCGCTCGCCCGCCTCAGCAAATGGAATATCCACCAATGGAGCAAGAACATGCGCGATGACTTTCAGCGTCCGCATGAACCATCCAATCTCGCCTCTCGCGATTCCTGACGCCACGCTACCGGGGAATACGTGCAAAAAACCCACCTTGCCCAAACCTTCTCCAACCTATTGCTGAGTCTGATGATACAGTAAGCCGAGAGTCGTGATAGCAGCCATCTGCCCCTGGCTCCTCATCCGGCTTTGACCTCGGGATTGAAAGTCCGAGAAATCTATACTGCCTTCCCAGCCGCCACCAAAGAAGACAGTAACGACTCTGCGCAGGTGCTTTGCGCGCTGGAGGAGCGGCAGGAGGCGAGAGATGATGTGGTTACGGGCGTACAAGGTCAAGGCGCTGGGGTAGTGGAGCCCTTCTTCCGTATCTGCGAAGAGATTAGTACACCTCCATCAGATAGATGTGTTGGTGCAGATGATAGGGCCTGAGGGGCATTGGCTGGTGGCGAGGATGGATACCTTTCCCATACTCCAGCGTCCCAATACTCAAGAACAACAGATTCACCACCTTCTCCTTCTGTTTGATCTCCTCGCACAGAAGTTCCACATTCCGCATCAAATGCAATTCCTTTTGCAAAAACATGAAGGTGCCTCCCGGGTTCACCTCCCGGCATTCTCGAGCTATGCGTTCGCCAGCTTCCTGTGATCAACCAATGATATAGACGCGAGGGGCGTTGGCGTGGAAGGCGAATTGCTTTACGGACGTTTCGCCAACGCCGTTTGTGCCGCCTATGAAGAGTGCTACCAGGCCGGCAGGAAGGGAGTTTTTAACCTGGACATTTGAAGCTTGGATGAGGTTGGGGGCGACCATTGTGTAGCAACAAGACGTGGCGGTGAGTGTATGAGAGATTTCTCGCCGCAGCTCGCTATTCCATTCAGTAGAAAGCCTGATCGTGCGGCATGATCGTTATATATGCTTTGTTATGTGTGCCTTATGCCATCCAGATGGATCGGACATTTGACGTCAGCGCGGCTTTTTGAAAGGCCGCCATGGCGCAGTAGAAAGCTCTGTGGGATGTTGAAGCATTTGTGTAATGCTCCGAATATCAGTCAGCTATCATGGACAATGACATTCTGCATGCGAGTCTTGACATATGCCACCCTACGTGATCGATCCATCAAGGCGTTTTCCGAGCACTTCTCGCCAAGTTCCGAAAGTGGCGTCGATCAATGACCTCCCGAAGGCGTCCGCCGTCTCCCTAGCTCAGTTTCGTGGCTTGCCAACGGCGTCCATAGTACAGCATAGAATATCGGCAGTCTGGGGGAGCGTGCCGAGTGGTCGGGTTACATCCTATCATACATCGTCGAAAGAGCGGCGCGATAAAGTCTTTAGACCTCGTCTGGCTGCAACAGGAGAACGAAGACACGACCTGTGCGAATGGGACTATCCGCACGAATTATAGCTTTGATGGCCTATAGTGGTTTAGCAGATAAAGCTTAATACTAGACGGATGCACTTCTGCCGACGGGTGCTTCCCTTATTCTAATGGCCGAAGAGTTTCGCGAAGTCGGTCGATTAGATTGATACGTAAGATTGCAGTATTACTTGGTCTTGGTCGCGCTGGTCGCTGCTTGCGACACTTGCTGCTTACTACTTTCACACGGGGCTTCCGCGCGACATCCTTGTACATTATCGGATCTGGATATACTGGACCAGATCGTGGAACTCCTTTGGTGCTGCATGTGCATACGCAGCCTATACCACCACTACTGCACCTGACCCCGCGAACTACGGAGCCTTGGAGTGAAAGCATTAGCACACCCGACCAAGTGCTTTTCCTTGAACTCGACTATATCCACCGACCATCGCTACTGCCACTGCCGCTGCCTTCGCTGGTCGCCGTTCCAATTGATAGGACCATGCAGCGATAAGACCCCTGAAGGACTAACATAGCTTTTGTAGTGTACATATACCACACCTCATTTTCGGACGCTCGAGCGGAAGCAGGCGAAGAGACGAGACCTGTAGATGTCCTACCAATAGCAAGAAACGCAAACCATGGCAAGCCCAGCCGTTGGCAACTGGGCCTACGCTGTGCCCTTGAACGAGACAAACGGCCACGCCGCACCACCACCACAACAACGAGACTCCGCCTTCGCAGCACTAGGAGCCCAAGACCCAATAGCCCGCCGTCGCACACCTTCAGCACATCGTCGTCCGAGCGATTATGGTATACAGTCGGACAGCGAAGCAGTGACCGCCCGCAAGATGTCCACGCGAGCTAGTTCTGCATCCGCGGGTCGCAAGAGGTCACGACATGGGTTGAGAGAGTCCCTACCAGACAATCCTCCTGGAGAAGGGAACGTAGACGATTCGGCGTGGATCCACCGAGATAAACTTGCGCAGATCGAGATCCAGGAGATGGCGGAAGCAGGTATCAATGTTCGGCAGTCAAGGAGATCAGGAAGTGCAGGTGGTGAAGGCGGGGCGAAAGGGAGGAGTTCGAGGAGCCAGAGTCGTTCGAGAAAGGCCGTTAGTAGGGAGGCGCAGGAGGAGCAAATGGAGGAGTTGAATGGACAGTATGCTTCTTTCGACGACTATCGGAGGAAAAGGGTATCTACTATTCCTGCTGCGGATGATCTGGAGCGAGAAGAGGAGGAGTCGCATGGGTATGGAACGAGTCCGGTTATGGAGAATGAGCTCAGGACGCCAGAAGAAGTGGCTAGTGAGCAGCAACAACAGCCGATCTTGCAACAGCAGAGGGTCATCAGACCTAGTACGTCCAGAATACCCATCTCGAAGATTGCTACAGTACCCGTGCCACAGCAGGTAGTAGAACGGGACTCGCCGCTGGGAAGAAACAGGCAGGGCAGTGGTGGATGGCACGAGAATTGGGACGAAGGACAGTATGCGAGACGAGCGAGAGGCGATAGTGTCGGCAGTCAGGTGCTGCTTGATGAGTACGAAAATGGTGCACAGGAGGGAAACTCGCCAACTAAAGCCCGTGCACCGGCCAAGAACACTCCCACAGGACGAAAAGCCTCACAAAACCAGGTAAACAGCCGTCCAACGTCCTCGCACCTCACGAACGGCAATACAAAGAACCGCACGCCATCTACACCAGCCACCAACACGACACCCTCAGGCCGACCAGTATCAAGATCAGGACCCGGCCATAAATCTCGACCCAGCACTGGCCACGCCCACGCTCCCGAAGGTGAAGCTCCCTGGATTGCCTCGATGTACAAACCCGACCCGCGCCTTCCGCCAGATCAACAAATGCTACCCACGCATGCCAAGCGTCTACAGCAGGAACAGTGGGAACGGGAGGGAAAAATGGGTAGTGCGTATGACCGGGACTTCAGGGTTGTTGGGGAGAAGGAGTTACCTGAGCCGGTTCAGCAACCGTTGCATGAGCGACTGCAGCAGCGGCAGGGTGGCGATGGGCTGGGAATTGTCGGTGGAGGTGGTGGAAGAGCTGTTGGCCTCAGTCCGGTGATACCTGGGTCGGCACAGTACTTCGATCAGCCTTCGCCTGTTTCCGCCTACAGCAACGGCAACAATGCCAATTCGCCTGATCGTCCATGGCCTCTCAGCCCAACGAAGAGCGATGATGCGCGCTCTGTCACCGGTTCTCTCAGACCGGGAACCAGTGGAGGGTATAAGATCACACCTACCATCACTGATCCGTCGGCCAATATGCAGCGCGCGAGTGCCGCTACGACAGTCGGAGGGGCTGGAAGTGCCCAAGGTGGGAACGCCAGGGCTGGTGCACAGCCGCACAATGCCACGCCGAGGATACCGGACTACGGGAACGAGAAGGAAGTTGTCGGACCGACCGATAAGGAAGGCAAAGAGAAGAAGAGTAGAAGCTGTGGGTGCTGTGTCGTGATGTAAGACTGCTGTATTCTTGATTCTGGTGGACGGGAAACGAGGGATGTGTTCATATGTGGCGTGCGTTTGCTTTCTTATACCCAAGATCGTTGTTAACATGAAGAGGAGGAAACAGGCGGAAAGAGGGAGGAGGGAAAAGCGAAGGGGCTAAGCGGTCGTGTAAACATGCTTTTTCTGTTTCCTACTTGTCTTCTTCGGTCCGACCTATTACCGGCGGCACATACGGCGGCTTGTGTCTCATGCCGTGGAGCGGAGATGCTTCTTCTGATATTTTCTTACGGCCTTGATAGCGTTTTCAGCGGCTGCTGTTTTGTTCTTTGTTTTATGTTGTTGGCGACATGGCGAGGAGCGCAGTGGTGTCTATACTCATACACTTGTATTGCAAAGATTCTCTAGCTGTGCGCACTGGGGCCGACACTGTGTAAAGTGAGTCGTCGCCATGTTACCCTTGAAGCCGGTCTGCCGTAGCTTGACGCATAAGTTGCAAGTGAATGTTCAGGATTGTGCACGTGCACGTGTTTACCAAGCAGCATGATCGAAAGCGATCTAGCGGCTACGAATCGCTATTGATATGGCGCTAGTGTACGAGGCCTGCGTTCTTACGCATGCCGTTTCGATCTTGCTACCGTCCTTTTCCTAGCATACTAGATGATATAATCTTACCAGTGCTGCTCGCGGGAACGTGAAGGAGAGTCGTCTTGTCCTCTTCGTAAAGTCAGAGACTGGTCTAGGATGACCTTTAGCTGATATAGTCTCCATCAAAAAGATTGAAGCCAGACCGGATCATAACGTCGAGCAGTACATCATGAGCTGGCCGTACCGTTTCCTTCCCAACCTGACAGAAGAGCAGAAAGATCACAGAAGGATTTTACTGGACACGTATGCTTTTCGAGCGCAGCTCTCTGTTCTGGTGCCTTTGCTTTTATTGCAACTTTACTTTCTGGGTTCCTGGACAGCGAGACGACAATTTCGTGGCGGGAAGGACGACGTGCCGAGCTCGCCGAGAGGCAAGGAGTTACGAGGCTCGAGTGCGAGATGGTTGAGAGATGTGGAGAGTGCTTTGACGAGGGCGAGGTGGTGGGGTGGCGAGGAAGTGGAGATCTTGGGCATGAAGATGGGAGGAAGGAAAGGGGAGGTCTTGGGGGCCAGCGTATGGATGGGGTGGTTACTGGTGTTGTGTATTGTGCAGACGGGAGATGGTAAGTCCCTCTCGTGTCGATTATCAATGCAGTCACTCGAGCATATGGTTCTGATCGTTGCTTACACCATATCTAGACTACTTCCACCTAACCAAACGGTTTGGCATCATTGCCGCGTCACAACTGCCACTGCAATACCTCCTCGCGCTGAAGACACCTTATTCCCCTCTCCAATACCTTACACGGAGCTCTCACGAAACACTCAACTCCTCACATCAACTCCTCGGCCGGATCACTACCATACTCCTCTACCTTCACGCAATCTTCTACCTAGGCGCATGGATCACAATCGGGAATCTCGCCTCCAAGATCCAGGAATGGTACGTCTTGGCCGGCATATTCGGGATCGTGGCCTTCACAGCTGTGGGTACGACTGCGCTTTCGCCCGTTCGACAGTGGAGCTATCGCATCTTCTATACCACTCATGTTACTCTAGCTACAGCGCTGCTACCTGTGCTCTTCTTCCACGTTAGTCATATCAGGATCTATCTCTACGAAACAGCAGTCGTATATGCTGTCAACATCATCCTTCGGAGTCTCGCTTCAACCACGGCGCCTGCATCCGTGAGAGTACTGCCCAGTACGAATCTGCTGGAAATTGAGGTGCCGCAACCCCAAGGCGTAGCAGTACGGCAGATGTGGGCACCTGGTCAACACGCCTATGTTTCTCTGCCTGGCCATCCAACGCTAAGGACATTCCGGAGCAATCCATTCACTGTGGCATCCATACCAGCAGTCGATGGGAATTTGCTTTTCGTGGCGCGAATCTTAGATGGCAACACTGCGAAGCTCGCCAAAGCTGCCAATGAATCGAAGCGGCAACATGAGATTACTGTTGAGGGACCGTACGGCGTGATCACACATGCTGAGAAGCTGTTGGCTTACGACAGGATACTCTTCGTGGCTGGTGGAGTAGGCGCGACGTTCATCGTGCCACTCTACCGACAATTGCTAGCAGATCTAAGTCCAAGTAAAGGCAGTCACAGGAGGCAAAGAGTCAAGTTTCTGTGGAGTGTGAAGTCCAAAGCGGAAATCAATTGGGCATTGCCAGCTGAGGCAAGAGAGCGGGAAGGTTTCCTGGAGAGATTGATTGTCTTTGTGACTGGCTGTCGAGAGGCAGGCAATATGACGGGCACGAGCGGCGGCTTCGCGCTGGGTGAGCCGGCCGACGATGCATATGGCGAGACAGGCGAAGGCGTTGAGCTGGAGGAGCAGAAGAACTTGCTTTCGAGCAAAGCGGACGAAGACGGAAAGACTGCTCCAGATGGGTTGACGATCTTGGCTGGTCGGCCAAACATTAACAAAACTCTTGACCAGACGTTCTCGCGCTGCCATGGCTCCGAAAGGGTTGCTGTAGTCGTCTGTGGACCAAGCGGGCTGACTCGAGGCGTACGAGACGAAGTTGGCAGGTGGGTCGGACGAGGACGGGATATCTGGTTCTGGGCGGAAAGCTTTGGGTACTAGGGTCGTGGCTGTGTGAAGATGAGCACTTAATACCTTCTCAAGGAAGCCTTCTCGCCAAGTTCTGCCTCAGTCAAAGTCTTCTAGCAAGAGGCTCAAGTGATAGACGCCACCTCGTCTAAAAACATATGATCGAACGTGACGCAAAGAACTGTCAAGTGACATACTCCAGCCATACCGACCACAACGAATTCCAAAACATGCTGCTGTGTAAAACGTCAAACCCGAAGCGGCGGCGGCGACATCTGGAACGACGGTGGCAGTGGCGGCATTGTGATGGTCAGTGGAGACGGCTTGTCGTCGAGATGGAAGGTGTCGTGTTCTGACAGAAACAGTGTAACATCGCACCTTACTCAACGGAACAGGCAAGCACAATCGAGTCCGACCAGAATCGGTGACTGGTAGCACGGTGGCACGGTCAGCTGCACGTCGATGTCATGGACGCACAAAGTATTTCTGAGGAGACGGATATGGATGTCAAAATCTTGGCGTAAGATGGTGTCACCAAGGTCAGGAAGCGACGAAGAGACGAGAAGAGTCGTGTGCAGGTGGCACGGTGCGACGACAGCAATGTCAAATATGAGTTGTTTCTTCTTCTGCCATCAACACAAGAATTGCAATATGGGGTATCTGTAACTACATGAACGCTTGCGCCGAGAAAAACAGTTACCCAAGTGCTTCCCTCCTCTTTCCCACCGACGGCGTCGATGATATCCAGACGGGATGCTGTGAGCGCCTTGTATTCAAGCCATGATAGCTCAAATAATATGGCGCCAGGTGCATCCTCGATTTCCACGCGAGCGAGCGTGTATGCCTGCCCATGAATAGTATGATAACGCCAGTGTCCCCGATGCAATAGTATTGTACAACGATGCGGATTGCTCCACGGGATGCTCGTCTATTCCAAATTCCCAGTCTTTTATCCAGTGCCTTGTACCCGAAACGCCAATCCGCTAGTGTAATCAATCGTCGATGAAGTGTTGGAGGAGGTAGTGGTGATGTGGTATGATCGATGATGGTTTGCGGGTGGTGTCGGTGGGTGGCTGGAAGAATAATCGCTGGAAGTGTAACGAGAGGTATTATTATTGCAAGCCGGAAGCGAATGGTCCGGTGTCGAAAGCAGGTATCGCTAAAGGCGCTCGAATCAGGAAACAGGTGTGAAGTGTCGATATGGTAATACAGTTGAAGTGAATGGATGGTGGTGTGCGGAGCTCGGTGAGTCTCCTGAATGGGTGTCGCGGACGTGTCGTTTCCGGTAGCCGGATCAGATCGATCTGCTGCTGCAGGAGACGCGCATATTTACAAGACAGCCAGTGTCCTGCGTTGCGACGGATGAGAGGCCTGATGAGCACGGTCGCGTGCTCACTATTGTGGTTTGTCGTAGACGGCGATTGACATCGTTATCGCTTCTTCGTACCGCTGCCACCACCGCTCGAAGGTTTGGGCTTGGGCGTACCTGACGACAATAAGTCAGTACATGTAATTTGATCCGCTACGTCGATCATTGCTTACCCGTTGTATCGTATGCGCCGCGACCGTTGAGAGCCATCGCAGGAGGAGCAGAAGAACAGCTTTCTCTGGTGATCATTGAGAGCGATTGTGCTGCCAAACAACTGTCAGTCAAACATGATCGATCGAACAAGAAGACGCGAGTCTATATGCTGAAGGAATGCAAAGGTCGCACAAGGGAGGACGGGATTGACTCACTGTAGCAAGGGCAGCGAATAGCTGGTTATTAGAGTACAGATTGCCGCCTCAGTAAGACAGGCCGGAGAGGTGGAGGCGTCAATTCGTGATAGATTGTGTGATGTCGCCGAAGATAGCTCTTTAGTCGCTTTGCTACGACAGTTTGGTATTTGCGGATGAGATGTGTGACGTGCGGGTTGGAATGCTGGCCTGTGTCGTACGATGGGAATAGTATCGAGGCTTACAGCTTTCTTGGAGTGGAGAGCGTGGTGTGAATTGAGGATGATATGAGGAGACACAGGTTGATAGCACGGTATAACGAAGCAAAAGGAAAGGTGACAAGGTTTGCAGCAGTCGGCGCGTTTGTTATATTTCGCTCACAAGGGGCTGATGATCTGCCTCACAAACACTTTTTTCCACGCCGCCCTGCCATCACATCTCCTGGCCGAAAGGAAGACGTCAGTGCTCTCACGGCACGGCTGTCTGTTTCAGAATGTTCTTTACGGGCTCTCTCCTTTCTGCTTCTTGTTCCCCGAGGCACACGGGCAGGGGTCTGGGATCGGCGGCGATCGGTTCCTGCGTTAGCGTGCAGCTGGCGGCGGCCTTCCACTGCAGCGGTCCAACGCTCCTCGAACCTTGTTATAGGCGAAAAGCTGACCAGGATCAAAATAAACCGGATACCTCCACGTCAAAAGCACTGGTGTGGCTTATGGCTCCGGTGCAAGTCCCTACTGGGCAGCAACGAAAACGTAACAAGCGGCGCGAATTTGTAGCTCGTCACCCACGACAGGTGCTACGCGACCCGCAGCTCGATATGAATGTTTGTGTGACTCGCCTCCTGCCGCGCCGCCCTTCAAACTGGGCCATCGCACCTCGAGAGTTTCGTTCCCACCCCCAGGCTCACGGTCCGTGAAATTAGAGACGGTAGCGGCAGATGACAGAAATGGGACGACACGACACGACGCAAACGCAGGCGGAAAATCATGATTCAACCGCCCGAAGAAGCGAGTCGCTAGAAGGACGCCAGAATGCCGGCGCACACTTCCGCCGCAGAACCTTTGATTGTGAACGGCCGATGTGTCTCGTGGGCGTCAGCACTAGAGTGCGTGCCGGTGTTCCCAGCTGCGCGGGTTCATCACAAACACTGATAGCCTGTTTCTCCCTCTTGCCAGGTTGCTGTATCGCGGAGCTTTGCTCGATAGTTGTGCGGAAGAAGCCTATTCGTCTGATTCAATACCATATGTGGCAAAGGTGCGTTGCATCGAGGTCCCATTATATTATTTGCGACTCGACAAACGTGATTGCTGCCCAAGCAAATCAACCATCGCAATCAACCAAATCCCATCTCGCGTGCGCGTTTGCAAAAGCCGGCAACCAAAAGCACCTAGTCTTCTGCCGGCATCCGCCTCCATGCAGGCAGCCTTAAGTTCTATTGTAAAAGTAGTGACGGTGGATTTCCCATCCCGGTCTGCCTTAGCCTAATTCCGCGCCTCGCTACCGCACATTATTCATATAAGAGAGATGTGTCGCGTCGTATCCATCAAACAGATCATTCCATTTTGCCTGAGTTGGGGCGTCAGAGTCAGAGGCCAGGTTTCTTGTTTGCACGCGACACACCAACTTTTGCTTGCCGAAACAACCTCGTCTGCACATCTTCCTCCTTCCACTTTCATCCACTACAAACGAGAGACGAGACGAGAGGGTACAAGGGTTTTCCCTCCCATTCCATGAATCCATCATGACATCGTTGGGCTGTCAAATTATTTCCCTCGGCATGTCATGTCCTGTCTTCTCACATCCTCATCGTTGCAAACGCTTATTATCCCCTCGGCCTACCGGTTCAACACCCCCGGCTCCCTGGGTCATGGATCTCGTTCCTGCAGGCGTTTGCAGTCAAGACGCACCTGTCTGTCTCACAAACCTGACCGAAAGACCGGGATCCGTTTGCAGACCGGGCGGCGGAAAGGTACATCCGCTGGACGAGACCTTGTGACACGATTCATCCTTTTTCGATCTTTGTTCTGTTGATGATGACAGTTTCGAAGATTTGCGTCTGCTCTCTCTCCTTCATGTCGCGTCGCAACCGAAGAGCTTATACATGGGTGGTAATGTGGTCTGATGGCTGCTTTTGTTTGTTGCCGAAAGTGGCTGACACGATGCTGACTTTTGTTCCTTTACCTTTCATGCCTGGACCTTGCTTGCTCGTTGGAAAGCAATTTGGCAGTCGGGGATGTGATCCGAAGCGTTGGTTCCACCGTTCCGTGCAGACCTGCTTGTCAACGCTCTCCAATCTGTTCAGCCATGTGCTCGCCCACCTGACGGCTGAAACTTTTGGAGACAACGTTACAGATGGTTGTCATCTGTGCGAAACGACTTTGTCAGATCTTTGCGATCGGTCCTTGTGGCTGCGAACATCGTAATAAGCACTCTATCGTCTTCTCCCTGTGACATGTGTATCGACTAGACCTGGAAGGATCGAACAGATCTGACAACCATGAAGCATGTGGTTGGTACTGGAAACATCCTCCATCTTGTGAACGTCGGAGGGTGGCATCACGATCATTTGTGCTTCTCATTATGTACGGTGACTATAATACATTACGACGCCTATCGTCTGCCTACCCACTAGCCATCCGCATGTTCAACTGTCCAACGTGCTACCCAGCGTCCTGACGGCCAAAACCCAACAGTATCATCACTCCGTGAGCACGGGATGAGGTCCGGTAGTGTAGGTGTACAGATCTCGTTGGTCGAGAGGATGAAGCCAAGCATACACAATGCACTGACGTCGCGTTCGTGGCTGATTGCTAAGGAACAGGATGGCATCCTCCTTCGCATCCTCCCCTCAACCTCAAATCCTTCGTCAACGGAACAAAAACTTGCTGGGCCCCTAATATGACAGGCCAGCGCTCCATCATGCACTGACTTACGACGTGCGTTGCGAGCAGAACGAATGGAAGGGTAGAGATGAAGGAAGCAGAGAATCGGCAAGATAATGTAGTAATAGCAGTGGATGCACAGTATGCCTAATAGCTTACTAGGTCAATAGCTGCACTAGCAATATCTAACACAGCACTACATTGCCCAGCCAGATCCTGCAAGACTCGCATGAATGTTAACCGTCGAGGTAGTACAACTAAACGACACCTCTTTCGCCATGTTTCGTGCGTGCACTCAAGAGCAGAGTTGAAGTCCAGCTCAGCGCATCTCGACCTAATGGGCCAAAATGCCATGTCCACTTCCACCACATCGCCCGTGCCTATCATGCACGCAGCTGTTCAAAAAGAAGAACTCCATCGAGCTCGAACGCAATATACCTGCGTGAGCTCAAGATTGTCATCGCTCCTCCTTTCCATCAAGCCTCTCGTCCCATCCTTCGCCGATGGTACTATGCCGTATCGAAGCAGCATAGTCAAGTTACTGGCCATATAGTAATTGTGCTGGCCAGTCGTAGTAAATGTTGTGTTGTTGAAAGGAAAATCCAACGGTATGGATGTCGTTAGAACGTACGAAAGCCGCCCATGTCAGTCCCAGTCATCAAAATCAGCACTTGATTTCCAATGCGGGTGCCCAGCGGTTTCCAGTTGTCCTCGTTCCGGTACGCGGTAAATCAAGAGTAGTTGAAAAGTCAACAGGTTGTGTTCTGTCAGGGTATCTGTGTTTGTGGTAGTAATAGTCGTCGTGTCGTGATGCTGAGTGTAGGGTACGCCACCCGTGTCAATCCAGGGTACTTTGATGGTGTATTCGTCATCACCAAAGCTGGCGCCCAGTGCCGTTCGTAAACAAGAGACAAGGAAAAGTTGTGGGGTATCATGTTCCGTCGCCGCGGATGTGGTTGGTACAAATCAAAAACGCCAGGTGAGTCGCCGCTCACATCGATCCCATGCTCAATAATGCTGCCGCTGCAGCCTGTTCTTCAGGTGTTGCAGTCTTCGGGTTCAGCGCTGCCGGACTTGGTCGTCCAGCGACTGGAAGAGAGGTAGAGTGAAGTTGTCGTTCGCTGAAGCCGGAAGGTCGCCGACTCCAGCTTCGAGAGTGTGACCATCGTCGTGCATAAGCTGCACTGATGGCGTTATAATTCTTCCGTGGGCCGGTAGTGATTGGAATTGGGGCTCTTCTCTCAATGCGAGAGGTTGAAGCGGGGGTGTCCTCTTCCTCAGTAGAGTCATCGAGGCTGAGGTCGTCGTCATCGTCCAGTGACATCTTATCAGCTTCATTCTCGAGCACATCCATGTCCATGTCGAGCTCATCCTCCTCACGGATGCTAGCCCAACTGCTGGAGTGCTGATCGCGGTAGGCGCTCGGCACATGCGGGCCAAGCATATGCACAGCGGAGTCGTTGTGCGAAAAAGCATAGCTGCTCCTCTCACTACGCGGAGGCGAAGGATGTCCTTCGTAGGACCCAATTCCAGAGTCCCGTGACGAGCCCTTGACATGCGCGTCCCACCGTCCCCAGCCGGTCTTGCTGAAGGTAACACTGCCATCAACGCCGCCTCCGTTGCGGCTTTCAAGAGCAGCTACCACGAGTCTACGAGCCTTGGCAGGAGGGATGCGCGAAAACCCAGGCACGGTCTGCGTAAGCTCGCCCATGACGTAGCGTATCGGACGTGGCCCATTGCCTAGCATGATGCCAGGGAGATGGTGCTTGGCCAACATGCCAGGTGTGATGGCCGCAGAAGCGTCCAGGCCGGACAAGGCACCTTTACTGAGCGGCATGCCAGCCGTCCGCATCAGCTCCGGGCTGTCGAGACCAGGAGTATGATGATCATGACCGGTCTGCGACTGCGTGTCCATGTCCTGCTCAATGTCCATCAGCGGTGGGGAGTGTCCATGGACATGAGCGAGATGCGCGCTCAACTCCGGAGACAAGGAGTTGGGAGGCGTTAGCAATGCGCCTGCCAGCTTGTCGCAAGCTGCAGTTCCGTGCTTGCCGTTTCCGGCGTCGCAATGATCGGTGACATCGATGGAGGGTCTTGGCGAGGCAAGAGCCATCGCGATCGAGGAGATGTGAGCCATGAAGTTGGTGGTGGTTGATCGAAGAGCTTCCCTATAAGCAACCCGATGAGTCAGAAGCAGGTCTCGATGCCGATGCAGGATACACGACGGCGATGAGGTGTAGATCACGCCAATAGTGCTAGTAATAGTATGCTGGAATGTATGCGACGTACTTGGCTGTGCAAGAAAGCTGCTTGGAGGCGCGTCGAAGGTGGTGGAGCTGCGTGATGTCGATCGCGACACGGAGAAGCAAGTAGGCAGTAGATTGGCGACTTGAACAACGAAGGCGAATCCGTTGAACAAGCAAGCAAGCAAGCAAGCAAGTCGAATGCGAGAAGGGGTGGTGAGCGTGCGTGTGTGTAGTATGGTCCAGTTGTTGCGTTGATGGTGGTTGTGTTGTTGTTGCGTCAAAGGACCAGAGAGCAAGACCAACACTGATGGCTGCCAACTCTCGCCCCAACCAAGCGCTCAAGCTGTTGTGCCTGTACCTACCAAAACCCCGGAAGCGTGCCACGCTGATTGGATGATAGTGGAGAGTGCGACTCGCACAAGCCAGTCCCGGTCGCCCTTTCCCAAACCTCCGATCGATGACTGCGACTGACCCGAATCTTGCCGGCCGCGTCGCCTCCTCTCAGCCTGCGCTTCAGCCACGCTCGCGCATCTCCTCTCCCCGCGTGGTCTTTTGGTTGGCGGGTGATCAGCAAGCATAACGATTGCAAGGGCAGACTCCGTAAGCATTCACATCTACATCACACGAGCATTTCGACGTACTCCTGCGAGTTGTGCTGCGGGAGTCTCGCGAAAAGTCGTCATCAAGCCATCGCCGCTTCCGGCAACACCCAAATACCATGCCTGTCAGCCATCAATCAGCCTCGAGATAACAGCTGACTGTCATCTACCATGATCAGCCCGGCCGACAATAGATGATCAGCCGTCCACGAGGAGGAGGATGCCACCCCCACTCATGCGCGGCAGCATGCCAGGAAAGGTCTGGATCCACACCACGTTAAAAGCGCTCTCCGACCCGCGATAACGCACGAGACGCAGCTGCCCCTCCCGTTCGCGAAGCTGTGTCGGTCCGATACTCGGAGCACTTCTCAGACCTCACTTCTGTCATGTGGTGTCGGTGAGTGGTTGTTGATGGATTGACTGTACAGCCAAGTGCTCCACTGCTAGATAGGCGGTGGATGCGGCGATGCTGTTCTAGCTTGCTGGTGCTGAGCTTCCCCTCATCTGACAAGGCGAGTATATGCTTTACAGGCAATGTACCTCTTGACATGTGTTGCGAAGGTCACTGCCACAAATTCCGAACCTCACGAATCAGTATAGCACGTGGAACAAGAGCCGTCGGTTCGCGGCCAGGCAATGCTCCAACGTTACCTATGGACAATAGGACTACGCAGCTCGGCACTGCACTTCCCAATGGTGCCTCGCACCGTCTCATGCCTTTGACGACACTCTCGATGATCTGAGCAGTCCTATTATCGATCCAACGACGTCAAAGTCTGCTACTTGGAAAGATGACATCCTGTGGATGGGCCATTGATGAGCCAGTCGCCCCCAATGCTGCACATGTATGTCAGACCTGATTGGTTATGGCTAAGCAGTCTTAGATTGAGGTAGGTCAAAATTCAGCATTTCACAAACACCACATGCCTCTCTGGTCAGCATTAAGAATCCCGATCGCTAAGGCTTCAAAGACATGCTCGCAATGCAAGATGCTTATGCATCGCGCTTCATTCTTGTACTGTCGCTGCTTGTTCAACACGGATGTGCTTCTGATATTAAGAGATCTCTTTGGCACATCGCATCCATATCGAGGGTAAGCGAAAGTCAGCGACTAGTATTCAGACAGCAAATCAAAGTAATGGTCGGAGTACAGGGATGATTACTTGGTTTCGTCCCATCGACAATGGCTCAGTCCAACACACATTTGAGCTCCTATCCAACTCTAGATTGCTAGGCTGTTCGATGCTCTTTCAATGGACTGTCAGCATGAGCTTCGACCTACCATGGTGTTCGTGAAGACGGGCAAAAACATTGGACTGATCGAAAACCTCAGGCATGAGGATATATAGGTCACATGATCAATTGTCTCCACGCGCGCCGCTCGGCATGCGCGTGCGTCCTCTAGTGTCGCTGTCAAGACTAGCCACTCATATCGGTCTGAGGTCCGTTGCATCTGGTGCGACGATGATCATGCAGGATTATGATTGTTCGTTTCCAGCAGTGATGTGCATGGTTTGCAAGACCTGCTGTTGGGATTCTTCGATTACGGTCGCTTACTGTTTGCTCGCTGGTTAACACAGGTGTTAAGCTACCCACCGTATCTTGTATGGTAGCAATCGGATATGTGCGTCTGCCCATCAATGCCTAAGTGACTAAAGCGCTATTCAATCTCATGATCCGTTCATTATCAGCTGTTATTTGTGGCGTATGGACGACCTTTCTCCTTGGTTGATTGGCACTAGTGCGAGGACCGCATCCGGTGTTGGAGTCGACCACACAGCCAGTCCATAGCATAACGCATACTTTCGGATATGCAGCCGCTTCCTCGAGACCTTAATGTATGACAGTTGGCCGCCGTTACTCACCAGCGTGGTCGGTCCAGTCGCGTCAATAAGCTACGTCATCAAGAATAGACAAACGGAGGAGGCGAAGTCGATAGAGCAAACCAGCGGGTGGACATAGCCATCAATGGATACCGAGCTGACTACCAGCAACAATTCAGCGATAGTATTGACGCTTACCTACACATCGACGACGAATGGTGATCGGTGGTGCATGAGACAGAAATTTTACGAATGATCAATTGGGCTTGGCAGCGATCTGACGCGACGGGAGACGATCCGGGAAAGCGCGCGTCAGATCTTGCGTGTGTTTACCTGTGCTCATCTGGAGTGCGCCTGGTGTTTGACATCTCTGCTATTCAGCAAGCAGCCATACTACTCCTCGTTCTGCTTCTGGTCAGCAGTGAGAGTGTGTTGAGGGGCTTGTGCTAGAATTTATCACCATTGGAACCGTGCTGGGACTGGTTTCTTTCTTCTTTGCGACGCGGCTGGGCCATCAACAACTCTGCACACGCACACACGCATCGCACGCAAAGGGATAAGACATTTGTTGTTCGCTAATGCTACAGTACTACTGCTGTGGCCGAGAACTACATTCGGAAGGAAGTGCAGAACACGCAACACGATCTCGAGGAGATTACGGACAAGAACATTCGAACCCGGCCACGAAAGGGTCGCAGTGCAGGTCACGAACAATCACGGCAAACCGCCAACAAACCCTACCATCTCTACGCAATGCCGCAATCCGGTCGCAAGGGTAAAACCCGTGCGCGCAGGGTACCGGCAGCAGCAGAGCCACACGAGCCATCAGACGCAGAAACACCCGAGGCCATCGCCACGCCTTCGCGCGCCTCTAGAAAGCGTGCACGAGAAAGCGAGGCTGCCGCACCTCCAGCTCGCAGTACGAGAAGACGCAAGACGAGGGACACGAGAGCACACGAGCGAGAGGACACGGAAGGCACGGAGGCACAAGAGCAGAGTGACGACGAGACCGAGCCTGCCCTGCCTAATGAGCAGGACATTATTCAGAATTTGAGGATCGCGGAGAGGAAAGTTAATGCTACGGAAGACTTCTCCAACAATCTTCTGCTGGGCCAGGAGAACGTACCAGGTTATGGAAAGATCGCCGGCCGTGATTGGACCTTCATCATCCGGAAGGTGGAGGTAAATATTGGTCGTCCAGAGGCACAGGAGAAGCTCGAATCCAGTGCGAGCAAGGAGCCTGCAAAGCCCACGGCCAAGACCATCATCGACATCGACCTCGGTCCTGATCGCCAGATCTCGAGGCTGCATGCTATTATCGGCTATGACTCTGACGCTTATCAGTGGTTCGTCATTGTCAATGGCCGTAATGGCGTACGCGTTGACAACAATGTACTCAAGCGAGGACACAAATCGTACTTGCGCAACGGCAGCGTCATTGAGATTGCTAACACGCAGATGGCGTTCATTACTACTCCTGCTGAAAACGGCGATGGTCCAGTTTGGGACGCTTCAATAATTAAGCAAGCTCAGAAGTCGTCCGAGGATGACGACGAGGGCGACGATGATATGAAGGCTCCCAACGGTCGTAGCCATGCGTTAGGTGGTCGTGCGACACTCTCACAGCCTGGCTTTATTTCATCCGCTAGTCTTGGTGAGCAGCAACAACAGCAGCGCACTCACCCTCATTCTCAGCGAGCTATGCAAGGTAGTCCTGGTACTCCCCATCGGCCGCAACAGAGCGTCATCCGATCTTCGCCCGCTGCTAACTATGCTCGCGGGGTGATGATGGAGTCTACTGAGAGCATTGACTATTCGGCCGACACTGCAAAGGACTTGAAGCCCCCACACTCTTATGCTCAGCTCATCGGTATGGCCATCTTGAGCACACACGAGCAGCAAATGACTCTCAACAACATCTACAAGTGGATCATGGCCAACTACGCCTTCTATCGCTTCAACACCGGCGGCTGGCAGAACAGCATCCGCCACAACCTCAGCTTAAATAAAGCTTTCACGAAGATTGCACGCCGTACAGACGAGCCGGGAAAGGGCATGAAGTGGATGATCGAGCCGACAGAGTTCGACACTTTCGTGCAACAAGGGATGAAAGGCTGTCGCCGTCCTGCACCACTTCCAGCCACGCAAAGCACACTCGATTCACCAATCAGTCCAATGCACGCCAATCGCTTTGGACATAGCGGTCATGCTGACGAAGACATCACTCCTCCCCTTCACCCGTACCACCCGATGTATCTTACAGCCAACGAAGCATACACACCTGATCGCGGCTCCAAGCAGAGTCTCGAAGGCCGCATTGGGCTGGGCATCAACAGCGAAACGGTGGACTACGATGCTCTTGCTCGCTCCACTCCACGCAATGGTCTCACCTTCGCCGCCAACGCCGCTGGCTCGCCACCAGCATTATACATCAACGACGAAACTCGCACAGGTTTTCCTGACACTCCCTTCCCGCTTCGCCCAAGCCAACGTCTTGCTCCTCCTAGCACGCTCAAACGTCCTAGCGACTTCATCCAGTTCAGTTCTCCTGCTCCATTCTGGAAGATGGAAGGTCTGGCCGGGATTGGATCTACGCCGTGGAAACCCTACGATCTGAGTCCGCTGAAGACGCCCTTTTCTCAGCTCAAGAAGACCGAGACGGAAGGGGAGGATGTCAAAGAAGGCGATACGGAAGTCGCGTCTGCCGAAGATGAGAAAGACGAGGAGGGTGATGGCGAAGTAGGTGGCAAAGGCAGTCCCGTCGTCCCTTCGAGCTCCCCACCTCGACCGCAGAGTTCCAGCGTACCCCCTCTGGAAGCCAGCCCAACATTATCCCGGCCCGCGACCGCTGTGGCCAAGACACTGAGTCAGATGGCTAGTGGTATCGATCCGGTGCCTGCTCAGGACGACTCCGCCACCTCAGACTCCATCCGTCTCTCACGCCCAGCTTCGCAACACTCCGGCCCCTCCGGCGCAGCACCCTCGCTCATCTCAAATGGAGCTGGAAGCAGTATTTCCCCTGCTCTGCCGACGCCTTCACTTCAGCCTGCTGCTCAGCTGCTGCAGGGTCCGAATGTGGTGGTTGAGCCGCAGATGAATGGTTATCATACTTCGGCTCCTCACCCATCGCAGCAACAGCCGCTGCCTTCTTCCCAGCATTCTTATTCACATACACATACCCATACCCACGCCCATGATCATCATCCTGCTCATTCCGGTATGCCGGCGGTTAATGGTTTCCACGTCGTGGATGATGGGGAGGACGAGGGGATTGATTTGGCCAAGTGAGTTTTTTCCTCCATTCATCCAAACTCGGCAAACCGATGTTCATGTTCGTGTCCTTGCTGACTCGTGATTCTTTTGTTTTTTTCTAGGGGTTTCCAACCCATCGGCACTTTCCACCAGCGTAATCATATGGCTGTTGGGATGGGTGCGTCGGCGGGGTATGGGCGTTAGGGATGATGCGGCGAGACCTGCTGCGGCGTTTCACGCAACTGGAGGCCGAAGTGGGGGTGTCATGGTCAAGAACGCAGGAGGCGACTTGGGAAATTGAAACGACGGTGGGTTCGCGCCGTGGAGATGCGTGTTGAGATTTCGCGGGTATTCGGGTTTGATGATGATATTTGGTATATGAGTACATGATGGATCGGGCATGGTTGGTTTAATGTGATAGAGTAAAGGATGAATGGATGCTTCGGTGGCTTGGACGGCGAAAGTATGCTTGCTTGCATGGATATCGCTGTCTGCATGCATACCACGACTTGAGGTCCCGCAGTCTTGGAGCGGAGCGATTTATATTTGAGCAGATCAAGCATCGCTGCTATGTTTCGCTTCATGTACATACAATTTCCAACCACGCACTCATCTACCCCTTCCCACTTCTTACACGCACATACTCTCAGACTCTCCCTCAAATCTTATCATACCTCACGCCTCAGCCTGACCACCTTCTAAAACACAAACGGCACCATCCTCCACCTCCCCCTCACAGCCTCCGAGCCAAATTGACGGGTATACCATTCCCTGGTCCCATACGCCGTGACTCCCAAATTCACAACAACGAATATGAAAGCGCAGAACATTGTCCAGTTCACCCAGGCCGTAGGTGGGGTGGCGATCAAGGTTAGGGAGAGGTAGATGAGGCATTCGGCTGTGTAGTGCGGGCAGATGAGGGTCGAGAAGGCGGGGTGGGTGGGGAGGGTGTAGGGGGTTGGGTTGGGAGACGGCTGTTTGTTGTTTGTGGAGGCTGTGGCGGTTTTGAGCGAGGCGAGGTAAGCGTGGACATCGTGTTGGAAGCCCGAGGCGAGGATGAAGAGGAGGGTGCCGAGGAAAGTGTAGAGGTTTGGGCCGGAGAGGGCGAAGTCGGTGGGTTTGAGGACGGTGAAGTTGTGGGCTTGAATGGCGGCTGCAAACGCTCTCTTGTCAGTTTGCTGTTGCTGCTGCGGGCGCGTGTTCGCTTCTTTGGCAAGCGCAAGGCTACTACTCACGCATTCCTTCGACCCAGATGGCAATACTAGTCGCCATATAAAATCCCACCCCGATCATCCAATGCCCTATCCACATTCTCGACTTTGAAGGGCGGGAGAACTCGAGGCTTTCGTAGAGGCGTCGGGAGCCTTGGAGCAAGAGCAGGAGCCAGGTGAGGATGATTTGTCGGTATGTCATGCTTGTTTCTAGACTCCAACGTGTTGTTCGGGCTGCGAGGGCGCGGAAGAGGGGGCCGTGGGTTGGGAGTTGGGTGAGCCATAGGAGGGAGCAGGTTACTGAGGCGAAGTAGAAGGAGGTGAAGTAGCTGTGGGGGACTGTGAGAGTTGCTAGGCGGTCGAGGGTTGTGGTTAGAGGTCCGGCTTCCTTAGGCTCGGGCTTGGCGTTTATTGTCTTGTCCTTGATCGTGGAGGGTGATGATCGAGGGCCATAGGATAGGAAGCGCGTGCGGAGAGCGGGGATGAGAGATATGAGAAGGATCTACCCTTACCTATCAGCCTCTGAGGCTGCTATGTCTCCTGCTACAGTCGCGAGTGGCATACCATAGCTGCAGCACCGAGATAGCCAGCCCGTAGCACGGTAATTGTGTCCATGCTTGATGTACTCTTCGCGTGCTACCGTGACCTCGTGCATGCAGATGACGCCTGCTATATTCCCTCATTTGCTCCTACGGGGGAGGTTGAAGGATCTATCGTCACGGCTGGCTTTTCCCCATGCGGTAGGCACGAACATCGACCGCTTTCTTGGAATGATCACTGAGTGAGCTTTCGGATTGCGTCAGAAGGAGCAACAGAGTTCGTGCGGGGAGGCGGCGAGCATACACCATGGCCGTTTGTGGCTAAAGCTGCCCCGCTTTGAGAGTCCGTGCGAGTGTCGATCGGTATTCAGTACAGTAATGGAAGTCGCGCTTTCGTGAAGTGAGGTCGCCACGACCACTGCTACTGCCGCTGCCCATAACCATCCGCGACTCCACCAAACCCACATCTAATATGACCACACAATAGTCCACCAACATGTCCTTCAGTCTCTCCTCGCTGCTCAACCCGGAGCCAGCACAGTCCGACGAATCCTCTACCACTAACAATCACCCACGCAAGACGTCTCTTCCAGCACCACAATATGCCCATTCACCCGAACAAGAACAAGATAACGCGCCGCTCTCACGCGTCGCGTCCGCGCCCCAGACCAACTACGCCGCCGATCCCAACTCGGCTCAGACCGCCGCGGAAGCACTAGCCAAACTCGCCGCCAGCACCGTCCCTCCTCCCACACGCTGGTACGGCCACAAAGCATCAGATATAACCACCGAGTCAATGCGGCCAGATGAGCGACGATTGAGCAGTAGTCACGGTATAGCTGTGGAGCTTCCTCCACCCACACCCACCGCCGCCCGCAAAGCTAGTAGTCCCACGCTTGAGCAGTATCAAGTCGCATCCAGGTCGCCCGATCAGCGGAAACATTCACTAGCCACCGCGCCACAGCCTGCGCTCACTCTGCCTCCATTGCAGAATATCACGAAACCCGAGGAGGAGCGTCGGCCGTCAATGGCACAGAATTCGCGCGGACAGAAAGAGGGTGTTGATATGACTTCTTCAGCTCACCAGCCGAGTGCGAGTGTGTATGCGAATGAGTCGTTGCCAGTGATGGGATCGAGTGATGTCGTGATGGAAGAGAAGGCACTTTCGCCGGCGAAGGTGAACATGGGTCCTTCCCAGCTTGATGGAGCAGATTCGTCACCACCACGAGTCAAGACTGAGAACATAGCAACACCGCGCACGTCTCCTCCTGCGGATGCTAGGCGTCCTTCGCTGGCTCATCTCGATGCAGAAGGCCACACACCCAAGGCACTGGCTTCCCTCAAGCACGAGCACAGTGTCAACACCCAGTCACCCCTGCGAGAATCATCCGTACCCATGCCATCCACCGAGCCCACCGCGAACGAGCCAACGGCATCGAAGAAGCGGCCAGCACCGTCCAAGAAGAAGGGCATGGCGACCATGACCAAGAAGACCATACCACCAGCCAAGAAGCGCAAGCTCGATATCAAGCGCTCCGAGACACCAGCCTCCCGGACATCCAAAGCAGCTGGGCTCAAGACCGGCAGCAGCAAGGGCACACCCGCCAATTCCTCCCCAGCACCCTCCGCCCGCTCCAACTCCGCCGATCCCGAGGACGAATACGGCTCCGAAGAAGAGGCGGACGAAGATGAAGATGTCGAGGGGTCAGGGGATGTGTACTGCATCTGTCGCAAACCAGACAACGGGACATTCATGATTGGTTGTGATGGCACCTGTGACGACTGGTTCCATGGGAAATGTGTGGATATTGCCGAGAGGGATAAGAACCTCATTGACAAATATCTGTGTCCGAGTTGCACGAAAGCGGGGATTGGCCGCACGACATGGAAGAGGATCTGCAGACGATCGGGATGTAGGCAGCCTGCTCGCGTTAGTAAGATGAAAGGCGAGAAGGTTCCGAGTAAATACTGCTCGGACGAGTGTGGGGTTTTGTTCTTTCGGGAGATGGCTTCCAAGACTAGAGATCGGGATGATGTGGCCCGGCACAGGAGCAGGAGGAGGAAGGGCAGTATCGCCAGCTCTGGCACTGTTCCGGAAGAGTCTTTGGGTGCGAGGGGAGGAACGCTGGCCGCGGGCGAGGTCAAGGGTCTGCTCGATGTGTCGAAGACGGCGGAGGACTTTAAGAAGCTGGGGGAGGGCGTGCTTAGTCCTCCCGCTACTCCTGATGGCAAGGACGGTACCCAGGACAATGGCGAAAAGAGTGATGCGGTGGAGGAGTTTACGGAGGGGGAACAGAAGACTTTGGTGCGAATCAGCGAGCAGAAGGAGGAGGCGAGACGCAGACATCGGTTACTGAAGGACCGCATGAAGTTTATTACTTTGGCCAAGCAGGCTGCTAGTCGCATGGCGACGGAGAAGGAACTCAAGCCGAAGGAGTATTGTGGGTACGATCCGAGGTTGGAGTGGACGCTCGAACAATTCGCCGAGTGGAGGCATAGTGTGGCGGGTCGGAGGGCTTTCGAGCGCGATACCCTGGCCGTGGAGAACAGCGGCTCTACAGGCAAAGCTAATGGCGATACGACGAACGGAGAGCATGTCACGGACTCGGAAATGGTCAACGGGACCGACGTTGCAGCGAAAGACGCCGACGACGAAGAACTCTACGCCACCCTCCAAGTCTGCGAGCGTAAGAAGTGCGCGAGGCATCTGGAATGGAATAAATTGGCGGTCGATGATGTGAGGTTTGAGATGGGGGATAATTCTGATAAGATGAGGGGGCTTGATAGGGAGGAGAGGATGTTGAAGGAGGGTGCGGTGATGAGGGGGAAGCAGGGGGGGAATGTTATGGGTGGGGGGAGGGTGGAGGTCTATGGGTTGGGGATTGAAGGGTTGGTGGAGGCGGATGAGGGGCGGGAGGGGAATGTGGATGTGGATGGTGTGGTGCAGCAGGGGGTGGAGGTTGGTAGGACTTCTGCTGAGGCGCCTGTTGGTACGGAGCCGAATCTGGCGGCGACAGAGGGCGGCGATATGGTCATTGACGGCGTCAGCGCCGTTGTCTAAACTCAACGCCACGGTCCTGACGCGAGGACTCTCTCCCCTGCCTCAGCTTCTTCACGAAGAAAGTACGATAATCCCTACTAAGCTCTTCATTCCTTCACTTAGCACTCTACCGGATGAACTTCGTGTAGCAGTATTAAGAGCGGACTTACTCACGAGCACCATCATTTCTCTCACGGGTGCGGCTGGGAACCGCCGAGTCGACGCGACGACTACAAGGGTGGAGCAAACATGACTGTATGTGACTGGACTTGCTTTGGCTCTTTCTTTATGAGCGGTGGAGTGGGTAGGGGGGGTGTATGTAGCTTAGCTTTAGCATGGTGTGCCTTACCATACCAGACCACATCAAATTATCCCGCACTTGAAAGCGACAGCTAGTGCCGTGATTCTAGCCAGTAGACTCGTGCCGTCATATCGTTCTATTCGCAAAGTGCAGGACGGACGCTTGTGTATGTTATGGTTGTGCATGTGTGTCGTGTCAGGCGTTGGAGCGCACGACCCGATGGACCTTCCCTCTTTCGCCGTTTCTTCGCATGGTTTTCGGCCATCCACTTCAGATCTTTCTTCTTCATCATCGCTGCCAAGAATATGATGGTGCTTCGATGGCGATAGACTACGGTAAGGCCCGTCAAAAGTACGAGATGTTCCAGTCTTATAGGTAGGATGTTTTATCTCTCTGCTCGCAACAAACTCAGCAATCTCCTCCACCACCAAAATGACTACGGCCACCACAATCAAGCAGTGGACAACAGCCCAAGATGGCCTGGACAACCTCAGGCTGACGCAAGCCGAAAAGCCCACTGCCGGAGCTGGCGAAGTCTTAGTCAAGATCAACGCCGTCGCCCTCAACTACCGCGACACCGAAGTAGTCATGGGCCTCTACGGCCACCACGCCTCGGTCAAACAAGAAGAAATCGTCCCCGGCTCCGACATCTGCGGCACGATCGAGACCTCCAACTCCTCCCGCTGGAAGCCCGGACAAAGAGTCATGGCCATCTTCAACCAAACGCACCTGACCGGCCAGATCAAAGCCAAGGACATGTCCTCCGGCCTTGGCCTCCCTCTCCCGGGCTGTCTGACCGAATACCGCGTCTTCCCCGCCGAAGGCCTGGTCGAAGTCCCCTCATATCTGAGTAATGAGGAGGCGGCATGTCTCCCCATCGCTTCCGTGACGGCGTGGATGGCTATCAATGGGTTCCAACCCCTTGGTCATCCTTCACATAGCAAGGACGAGACGGTTCTGCTCCAGGGAACCGGCGGTGTAGCCATCGCGGGCCTCCAAATCGCCCACGCAGCCGGGATGAAAACAATCATTACTTCTTCTTCCGACGAGAAGCTCGAGAAAGCAGAAGCGATAGGTGCTGATCACGGCATCAACTACAAATCCACCCCGAACTGGGACCAAGAAGTCCTACGCCTGACGTCGAATGAAGGTGCCGAGATCGTCTTCGAGAACGGAGGCGCGCAGACCCTGCGCCAAAGCTTCGAATGTGTCGCTTTCGGCGGGCTGATAAATTGTATTGGATACCTGTCTGGGAAAGAGGATCTCTTGCAGGACCGCACGCATACGAATGTGCTTGCGTTGAAGCGGAATGTTACGCTCAAGGGCATTTTGAATGGGCCGCGGGATCGGTTTGAGGAGATGGTGGGGTTTTATGAAGAGCACGAGATCAGACCGGTCATTGATAGGGTGGTGAGGTTTGAGGAGGCGAAGGATGGTCTGAAGTATTTGTTCTCGGGGGGCCATTTTGGGAAGGTGGTTGTCAAGGTGGCGGAGTAGAATTTTTCCTCGCCATATATACAGATGACACGCTATACAGCCTCCACCCACGCAAACATCCGGGGATGATGCTGCAAGAGCCATCCTCACCACTCCTGCAACCCCCCATCCTCCCCCACAAACCCCATCAACTCCCACGGCTCCGTCGTCTCCGCCACTTTCCTCACCAGCTCCTCGTTAACCTCGATCCCCAACCCCGGCCCCGTCAAAACATCCACAAACCCCTCCCTCACAGCAAAACCCTCCGGATTCTTCACATAACTCCCCACATCATACTCGCCCGCCGCAACGTTATAATGCATCCCCACACTCATCTCCTGAATCGTATGATTCGCCGTACAAGCCGCTATCTGCAGACACGCCGCCAACGCTATCGGACCCAAAGGGCAGTGAGGGGCGAGTGCGACATCGTAGGCTTCGGCCATGGCGGCTATGCGTTTGAGTTCTGAGATGCCGCCGCAGTGGGCGATGTCCGGTTGGATGATGTCGACGCTGGAGTTCGCGAGGAAGGGTTTGAAGTCCCAGCGGGAGTAGAGGCGTTCGCCTAGCGCGATGGGGATGGTGATTAGTTGGGATAGGAGCTGGATGGGCTCGGGGTGTTCGGAGAGGAGGGGCTCTTCGATGAACAGGGGACCCTAGAATTGCTCTGATGTCAGTTTGTATGATATAGTCGAGCAAGACGTGCGGATCTAGATGGGTCTCACATGTGGTTCCAGGGCTTTGGCTAGCTGTTTCGCCATCGGTCGGTGTAGTCTGCCGTCTAGCAAAAGGGAAAAATACCATCAGCATCTTCCCCAGCAAGTTCAGTCTCTCTTTCTCGGAAAAGGGGGAGATGAAAGAACCCACGAAAATCAACCCCAACATCCATCCCCAACCCCTTCACCCCCTTAACCCTCTCCACACACCCCTCCACCACCCCCGGCGAATCCAACCACCCAACCCCTTCACACGCATTCATCTTCACAGCCCTGAACCCCTGCCCCTTCCTCACCTCCGCCTGCGCTACCACGTCTCCCGGCCGATCCCCCCCAACCCAAGCATAAACCCTCACCTTCTCCCTCACCTTGCCCCCCAACAACTGCCACACAGGAACCCCCAACTTCCTAGCCTTCAAATCCCAGAGTGCGATATCCAGCCCGGAAAGCGCAGACATGAAAACCGGGCCCCCTCGGTAGAAAGATTTGCGCCAGACGTCTTGCCATAGGCGTTCGACATCATCGGCTTCGTGGCCGAGGAAGCGGGAGCGGAAACCGCGAAGGGCGCCTTCGACCGCTTCGGTGTGGCCTTCGAGTGTCGCTTCGCCCCAGCCTACTCGGTCTTCGGAGTCGGTGATTTTTACGAAGAGCCACTATATATATAGCACGAACATCAGCTGAAAAAAAAACCATAACGGGAGCGAAAGGGGATTTTGAGTGTGGGGAAGGAACACACTCGAGGTAACACACGAAACCACTCGATGGAAGCTATCGGCGCCATTGTGACCTGCTAGAAACCACCGACTCAGACCCGAACGATGACAAAGAAAGGAAGGAAGCACGATGTCTCGATAAGTGGCAAAAGTTGATGCCTCGGCCAACCTTTTCTCAACAATCGTCGTCCGCAGTTCCAGGTCAAGGGTCAAGCACGACAATAATACCAACCCCGTGATTCATCAAGTCATGGCAAAGTGTAGTCATTGACGAAAACGGGGGCTCCCACTCTCTCGGGCCAACAAGCACCGAAGGGCAGAAGAAAAGTGGACAGAAAAAACGGCAATGGCGCACAGAGTCGATCGCGGGATAGGGACAGAAGAACTGGCCAAACTCCTTCGCCCGAAGGATTGGTCCTTCACTACTTTCCACGTGATTGTATTGTATGGCATAGCGTATCCCACCTACATACGCCACAGCACGCACACGACAAAGGAAGCCCAGTTGCCAATCCATGCAGCTAAGCTACCTGTAGATAGAGGAACGCTCCTTGGGCTCCCATGATGCCCGGCACCTCACATCCCCCTCCACCTCAAACCACGGCCCCCCCCCCCCTGATCTCACCCATCCCAGACACACAATTCCCCTCAAGTCTCCATAGCACTCCCACCCAACCCCCCACCCCCGCCCCCACCAACAGCATCCCCCCACCCCTTCCCAGCCACCGTAGCAAAAAACCTCACATCAACATCCTCATCCCTCATCAACTTCTCCAACGGCGGCATGATCTCCCCTCTAATAACCTCCTCTCCCTTCGACATGCCCATCCCCCCCCCACCCATACCACCACTGCTCGCACCACTCCCACCATCCTTCTCCAATTGCATAAGCGTGACGTTATCGTCCGGCAAACGCTTGAAGATGTCGATGAGCACGGCGTAGGATTTCGCCACGTTGAAGCGGATATTGGGGATCGGGTCCTCGACGAGTTGGTGGAGGATCGGCAGGAGGCTGCGGGAGAGGGTGGGGAAGGAGAGGGCGGGGGCGAGTGTCTATCGTAAAATGTCAGCTCCACATTCCCTCTATATCTCTCCGAGGTAGTGTTTCTTCTTCTCGCATGGCTTGATGGAAACTCACCGAAACAGCAAAACACGTCGTCATCCGATAAAGATAATTCGGATGCTCCGCCATAGCCGCCACCTTGGGCACAATGGCCGTGGAAGCCCACTGCACGCCAAAAACCTCGGTCAACTTCTGCAGATTCTGCGTGCTCGCTTCCCGGATACTGAAGACCGTGTCGCCGAGCCAGGACATACAGAGGGAAGAAAGTTTCTCGTCGAAGAACTTGACCCCCAGTTGACTGGCGAGGAGGGGCACATGCTGGATAATCGCCAGTCGCACACGCCACTGTTTGTCCTCGGCCAGTTGGACGATGGCGGGGAGGAGGCTTTGAGAGAGGAGCTCGATGCCGATGACATTGTTGACTTGCTCGAGCTTGGAGATGATGTTCAGACGGACGTCGGGGAAGTCATCTTTCAGCATTTGCAGGAACATTGGGAGGAGGTGCTCGGTGGTTTCTTGCTTGCCGAGGATCGGGGCCAGGCCGGAGATCTGGGTGCCAAAGGCTGCGCGGACGTGCTGGGAGGAGTCGGACACAAGCTCTTCGATCGCGGGCATGATGTCTGAGAGTAAGGTTTGACGGTCCACGAGTTGGCAGAAGCCTGCGAGTTGGTTAGGATGAACCATATCGTGCATCTTCAATGCTATATTCTTACCAGGTATCTGGCCCGCAATCGCGCTCCTGACTTCGGCCTCCGTATCCTTCAACAGCTTCACGAAGGCAGGGACCAGATCACGAGAAATGACCTCCTCGTCCACAGCCTTGGCAATCTTCTCGAATCTATCGGCAACCATATATCGTACCCTCCAGCTCTTGTCCTCGAACAAACTCCTCAGAGCAGTCAGAAGCACGCCATGACTGCTCTGCTGCTCTTTCGGCACTGCCTCAGCAATGGCAATCAGCACATCCACGGTCAGTAGTCGCACACTATCCTGATCATCCGCAGCCAAGTGCTGGAATAGTGGTATCATCTCTTCAATCACAATCGCGGCCGGCATCTCCTTTACAAATTTGGCGAGGTTGGTCGCAGCTTGCCTCCGTACCATGGGCGTGTCATCGTGGACGAGCTGTGCGAATTGCTGTCGTAGTCCTTCTTGCGATTGTGGGGTGACGTGGTGGTAGGGTGTGGTGTACAGACCTGCGGCCGAGATTTTAGACGTGAACCAGTCGGCTTTGGATAGGCGGACGGTGAGGGGGATGAAGTATTGCTCGACTTGTTGCTGCGAGAGCTGGTCGCAGATTTTGTTGAGCGACTCGACGGCCTACAAATTATCAGCATAGTCACATGACGGGATCATTGGTTTAGCAGCACTGACTTTGTCACGCACGAGCGGCTCTTCTATCGTGGCCAAATTCTCGAGGGGTGAGAGGAGCACGTGCCCATAGTCTGGTCCGCCGACGTACTCGACAAAGTTGCCCAGCTCCTCGCTGAGGGCGGTGAGGACCTCATCCTCGTCTTCCACCGACTCTACTTATCATTAGCTATGTGGTATGGTGGGTGGTGATGGTCGAATAGCTTACCATCAAGGAATGGTATCAACTCGTCCCGCGTCCTCTCGGCGCCCAAAGCTAGGGCAATGGTGGACAGTCTCCTGATGGCGTTGAGGCGGAGAAGGACATCGTCGTGCTGGTAATATACGGTCAACACGTGCTCTCATGCACGCAGCATATATAGCGGGCGAACACACCTTCAGCTCATCAATCAGAACTGCGATGGGGTACAGCTCGTCACCCTGGTTCTCATCCATACTGTATGTCGTCTATCGTAATGTGTGGCGCAAATGTAAAAGAGCGGATGGCCGTGTAGCAGGCGTATCGTGTGCCGCCTGCCTTTGTCACAGCCTTGTTGTTGTGGTGTAGGTTGGTGTTACGGTGAGGTGGGGAGCTTGGTTCTCAATGCGCTGTGGGGGGTAGGGTTTGGTCTGGCAATGCCCTCCGTCAGTCTTGTTCTTCTGCTCACGCTTCTCGATTGCCACGAAGCACGTGAGGAGATTGTATATGGAGGGACGAGGGTCGAGGGACAGTGCCGGGATCGTATGCAGGAACAGAATGGCGCGCATGTGCCTTCCCTGTTCGCGGGTGCCAAGACACTGAGAGCGAGGAATGCTTACCGGATGATTATGTGGAAGAGGTGGGAGTTGGCGGTGAATGGTGATTAAGGTGGTAGGAGGCTTTCAAGGCCAATGCTGCATCTGTTGGTGTTGGTGGGGATAGACCTTGTCGAGCTGGAGATTCTCATGACGCCACACTTGTCCTGATCAAGCACAGCCACAGCCAAAAAGTTGTCCAAACAGTCATGCAGAAGATCACGCAGAATATACAGTATATCCTCCCCCACCGAGCGAGACGAGGACATGAAGAGAGGGAGTTGACGATCATAGTTTAGTGAAAAAGAGCATCCATACAGGCAAAAGCTACAACGAGCAACCAACACGCACATCCACCAAGACCACAGCTGCCATTGGCATAAACCACCCTCCCAACGCCCTAGCCGGCGCATACCGTCAAGATGCCCACAATCAGTGTAGACAAAGCGGCCTTCTTCAAAGCTATAGGCAAAGACTACACCAAAGCCGAGTTTGAAGACCTCTGTTTCGACTTCGGCATCGAGCTCGACGAAGATACAACCGACGACAAACGACCCATGGTCGATGGCGTCCAAGTGCCTCCCGAGCTCAAGATTGAGATCGGAGCGAATCGATATGACATGTTATGTTTCGAAGGAATCGCCATGAACCTCAACGTCTTCTTGGGGCGACAAGAAATGCCCAAGTACAGCCTGAGGATGCCACCGGACGGCAAGTTGCAGACGGTGACGGTGAAGAAGGAGACTGAGCAGATACGACCATACTTCTCCGCAGCAATCCTACGGAACATCAAGTTCACAAAAGAGCGATACGAGTCCTTTATCGCTCTGCAAGACAAACTCCATCAAAACCTCGCTCGACAACGAACCCTCGTGGCAATCGGCACCCACGACCTCGACACCATCCAAGGCCCCTTCACCTACGAAGCCCTTTCCCCCTCGGAAATCAAGTTCGCCCCTCTCAACCAAACCAAACCCATGACCGCCTCCGAAATGATGGACTTTTACGCCAAGGACAAACACCTCTCCCGCTACCTCCCCATCATCCGTGACAGCCCCGTCTACCCCATAATCTACGACGCGAACCGGCAAGTCCTGAGCATGCCCCCGATAATCAACAGCAACCACTCCAAAATCACTCTAGAAACGACCAACGTCTTCATCGACATCACCGCCACCGACAAAACGAAACTCGAACTCGTCAACCACACCCTCGTCGCCATGTTCAGCCAATACTGCTCCGACCCCTTCACCATCGAACCCGTCCAAATCATATCCGAACACAACAACCAAACCCGTCGCGTGCCCGACATAACCCCGCGCCACATGTCCGCCAGCACAACCTACATCAACTCCATCTGCGGCCTCTCCCACTCCCCCCCCGACCTCTGCACCCTCCTAAAACGCATGTGCCTGCCCGCCATCCCCTCCCCCACCTCCCCCGACGAAAAACTAGACGTCAGCATCCCCATCACCCGAGCCGATATCCTCCACCAAGCCGACATAATGGAAGACGTCGCCATAGCCTACGGCTTCAACAACTTACCGCGGCAACTCATCGCCTCGACCTCCTTCGTCGCCGCCCAGTTACCCATAAGCAAACTCTCCGACATCATCCGCGATGAAGCGCGCGCCTCTGGGTTCGTGGAAGTCATGCCCCTGATCCTCTGCTCGCACGCGGAAAACTACGCCCACCTCAACCGTCCCGACGACAACCTCGCCGTCCGGCTTCAAAACCCCAAAACAGCGGAATACCAAATCGTGCGCACGTCGCTGCTCCCGGGGCTGTTGAAGACTCTACGGGAGAATAAACGGCATGCGGTCCCTCTGAAGATTTTCGAGGTGAGCGATGTGGCGTTTAAGGATGAGAGGTTGGAGAGGAAGTCCAGGAATCAGAGGTTTTTTGCTGCCGCGTGGTATGGGAAGTCTAGTGGGTTTGAGGTCGTGCATGGGCTTGTGGGGAGGGTGATGGGGATGTTGAGGGCGGCTTTTATTACGAGGGAGCAGGAGGGGGAGGAGGAGGAGGAGAAGGGGGTTGAGGGGGCTACTTATTGGATTGAGGGGGTGGAAGGTATGTTTTTCTGCCTCCTATACATCTCACCTGATCTGATTCTATTGTCCACTTGTTCGCACGAACTTTGCGCTTTTGCTGACTCGTTTTATGTGTGTGGTAGAACCTACATACCTCCCTGGCCACGCAGCAGCCATCTTCCTTCGTCTTGGTGGCGCGGGTGAGAAGGCAAAGCGGATAGGGACGTTTGGGATCTTGCATCCGACTGTGCTGAAGCATTTCCAACTTCCGTTCCCGGCTTCGACGCTGGAGATGGATGTGGAGGTTTTCTTGTGAAGGGACGGTGATATTTGGGGAGAGTGGTTTATTGCGGATGGGGAGATCCCTTGGCGGAATCACCCCACGAGGTCCTGCGGCAGGCTCATGGTCATGCATGGAACGGAAAAGTAGCGCAAGGATGGGGTTGGGAACATGCTCATCAGTAGGTCTAGCCTCCATGTTGACGAGGGGCTGTATTGTTATACTGCTGCTCTATACCAAAGACCCTTACACCCCAACCCCCTGATAGAAATCCCTCACACCCTGCCGAAACCCCTGCTCCCACTCCCACACAAACTTGCCCCCCTGCCCGCTCTCCTTCAGTCTCTTCAAAACCCACAGATCCAGCATCCCAATCTTATCCGCTCCCGGCTGCCCGCTTCCACTCCTGGCTTCGAAAAAGGCCATCGCGTCATTGAATCCAAGATCCCATCCTTGCTCGAACCGCTGATGCTCATACTGGCCAGGATGATTCGAGTCCCAATAATTCGTGTGCGCGCCGACCGTCTCCTGCTTCTTCTGCTGCTGCTGGGCCTGCGCGCCTTGAACCCTCTGCTGCACATCATTCCCCGTCAAAGACTGCGGAGGCACAATAGCGCCCTGTTCACTCATCTGCTTGAACCCCCACTCCCCTCCCGGCATCCAATCCATGCGATACGTCCAGAAGAAACTGCCGCCTGCTCTTTGCTGGAAAGAGTGGGATTCGGCGTTGCCGAAGGCGCGGACATGGTCTTCTTTCCCGCCCCCAGAGGCTTTGGCCCAGGATTCTTCGGCGAGGACGCAGCTGTATTCGCCTACGATGGTTTGAGCGGCTCCACGGGACGCTACGTCGCCTTCTTTGCCGTCGAGAGGGGAGAATTTCCCGCTGACTTCTTGGGCGATTTGCTGTGGGGGTTTGCGCTTGTCGTCGTCGCCGAAGCACCAGTAGAGGTGCGTGTCAACTACGACTGGATTGCCTTGCGTACCAGCCCTGTTCTTCCCTTGGCTCCAGCTCGCGGCTCTGTGGAGGTCCCAGGCATCTGAGATGTAAATCGGGAGAGTAATATCAATCTTCGCCATTTCTCCGAGGACGTGGTCGTACCAGTCATACATCCCCTTGGCATCATGTTCAGCCTCGTTGATGATCTGCAGACCAGCGACCCCCTCCATCCCACGAGCCTGCTGTGCGATAAAACATAAACATCTCGTAGCTTGCTCGCGATTCCCCCTCGAAGACCACAGTTCCGCTTTCCCTGAATTCGTACCCGAGTGATCCTGCGGGTTCGCGCCACCGGGAAGACCATGGAGATCGATCAAGACGCCTATCCCACGCTGATGACATCGCTGAACGAGCTGCTGCACAGCGGGCCAAGCATTCTGATACACCCCTGCCGCCTTCTTGAACGGCGTGTCCTCACAATACGGTGGTCCGAGGGTGAAATAGCCGATGGGCAGGCGGACGGTGGTACATTTGCCGTGATCACGCAACCAATCCAGATCGCCATCGCTAACATATTCATGCCAGTGCTTCTCAAAACGCTCCCGAGTGCGATCGAGACCTTCCTCCTTGACCCAGCGCTCGACGGCGGCGAGTTCGGCGGATCCGTCGGTCTTGTCGTGGAACATGGATCCTGTGAGCCAGCGCTCGAGGATGAAGATTGAGCCTAGGTTGGCGCCGTGGTGGTAGCGGTAGCGGTAGATATCTGCTTGACTAGGTGTCTGGATCGAGGAAGGGCCATCTTGCATGGGTACTTGTTGTTGCTGTTGTTGTACTGGGAAATTGTTGCCATGGTCGTTGTCGCCCAGTCGGGCTTTGGCTTTGTCGAAGAACTTCTTCATTGCTGCTCGGATTTCGGGGTCATGAGAAGTATATAGGACCAGCAGGTAGATGAAGATGCTCACGAAGATGAGGGTGAAGTCTAGAGACACAGAGTCAAAGGTTGACATGTAAATGTGTTGTTCAAGTTGGTAGGAGATATAGTGCTTCGGGGTGGAGACGAAGCTTGGAAATGACGTTGCAAGCCCTGGACGTTGCATGCAGACCACGCGTTGTGAGCGTGTATTGTGGCTCAGAGGCCGTGGTGAATGTAGGCAGGTCCCCTTGTGACAGACGCAAGAGTGAAGAAGAAAGGAAGGTGAGCTCATGCAGGAAAGGCTCCACTGTGCTCAAATTCACTGATACAACGTTACGATCCTGGAAGGGAAATGTGCAACACTTTTTTGCTGTCTACCACAACTTGGCAGTACATAGAGTCCTCTTGTAGGGTCGACCATTGCCATGCATCGAATGTCATCACGATCCAAAATGCTAGGTCTTGGTGTCTGGGAATGCTACATTTTCAATTGTGTTGTGTTGCATGAATCTCACTTATGCCACCAATACGGAAAGCTTGACCTGGGCAAGGCTGTAAGTTACTGACAGCAGAAGATCTTGCGTCGCAACGACCATATCTGCTCCTTCCGGACTCAGTGATCTGTACCATTGCAAGAAAGCTCGTTGATCAAACCATGAAGCGCCAGGCTTCGCGCCTTGCCCTGGACTGGCTTGAACTATACTGTTGTCCTCAGGAAACATGCAACACCAATATCTCAACGCACTATTGTTGTCAGCCCATAGCGTTCGCGAGCATTATACGGCTCGCATTGATTCAGTATTCTTAGCGCCCTCGTGCTAGACCCATCCAGACATTCGAGCAATTCAGCAGTAGAAGAATCGCCAACCGGTATAGGGCTATGCTTACTTCAAACGAACGAAGGTTTCCAGTGAGGATACCAGAGATCCCGCCACCAGAGTGGGCTCAAAAGGAACGTTCTCCTCCTCCTGGCAACTGTATATATATCCCCACGACACCTGTAACGACACCCTCCCCCAACATGGATTACGCCAAAGTCGTGAAGAGGGCGATGATCGAAGGAGAGATGTTCGGGCCTGCAACGAGAATATGCGACGAGACGACGGGTGCGATTTCCATTCAACAGAAACGAACATCGTCTATTGAATCCGGGGCGAACGATTCAGGCGAGTAGACGGCAGTAGTCCCGAAAGCAGATGATGTCCTGACGTTGAAGCCATAGAAAAGCGCAAGCGATCAAAGGAGCTCTCACCATACAGCACTATGTCCCAACCACCGCCGCCCACGCACCTACCCAAAACATTCAGGAGGACCGTGGCTATCGATGGGGCGCGAGGACAGGTCAATTCTCGCAGCTCCGAGACCGAGACAGAACTTACCCACAAGCCATACTACCAGCAGCGGATCAATCGTTTCGTTCAAACCGCACAGCATCCTTCCAAATCCCGACCGTCCACACTCAGCGGAGCTCATTGCGAAGGGATTCTGAGTAGCAAAGGTGTCGCAGGCGTCCTTCGAGCAGTAACACCATCTGGTCGACGAGTTTTCCAGCAGTTGGATGGGAAGTTCAATCCACTAATCAGCAACCCGAACCATGGCACTGCACCCATCATGCGCGATCCAGACTTCAGAGAGATGATTGAGACGGCCAGGCGGACCAGACAAGAGTTTGGAGACTTTCCCGGCCGGATAAAGCAGCAAGATGCGGTGCAGAACGCCAAGCTTCCCAGTTCACTACTCGCCAATGAGCCATCTGCACAAGAGGTCGGTTATGGTCTATGGGTCGATCTTGGCGACGAGACTGTTGATGAGGTGCCGACGAACAAGAGTCAAGATCGAGAACAGGTCCAGCAAGGCGGCATGAGTGACGAGGTCCACAAGATCCCAGAGATTCATCACAGCTCGATGCCTTCGCCGGGTGAGACCATTCTCTACGTGGCGGACAGGACTGCAGCGTTTCAGCTTGCGACAATGGGGAAGCATCTCCAGCAGGATCATCACAAGAGACTCCGGCTGTCATGATCGTGATCGATGGGCGGATCAGTATGATCTTCTGGGGTAGGTTTTCACGTGAAGGGGAATCTTGGCGACAGTGCACGTTGTCGTTCTGGCTTGCAGATTGATCTCGGAGGTGATACTGGTGCAATGGGCTGATCGCAACTCTGACTTGTCGGGATTTGTTGGGTATCGGACAGCTGTATGGCGATTTTTGTGGCGTGCGGCCAGTACATGCACTTTCTTTGGCCTATGGTGCGATGGGTGTCGTGGCTGTCCTTTACTATTTCGAACCACAAGCAGTCATCGAAAAATCGCTGAGTACTCAACTCTTGGCCATGTCTCGCCATACGCTCAAACTAAGACAGGTACAGTTGCTGCGGGTGTCGCAATAGCAGCTGCAGTACGGTAGTTTCACGATTTTTTCCTGCGTACACGTACTTTGCAGGAGGAGATGGTGAGGACAAATGATTTGGGGGTCGGCGGCTGCGGCAATTGGCTTTCACAAGCGCTCGGGGCGGAAGGGAGCGGCCGGAGCTAATACGAGCGATCCTCATTTGGGCACTTGTGTTTGTATCGCTCTTGACAGCCTCATGTTGATAAGTGCAGCCCCACGACACACACACACCACTCCTACCGCTCGGGACTACATAAGACGACGCCGGAATATCGACTTCGAATGACCACTAGCCTGTGACTCTGCCTTGAATACTGTGAACGACAGCACATCGAAGCCGCGTGGTCGCGCTTGCTTTGGTACGCGGCCCCAAAGCCTGCAGGACCAAGGAGGAGCATCTCCGATACACTGCGCGAGCGATACGGGCAACTCGCGTGGGACGCGGAGGCACTCGATACTTCACCTCATTCACCACAGCGTCTGGAACAGAAAGGAAACGTTCTTCCTGGGCCTCCACTACCCAGCGCTTTTGGATTGCAAAGCAGCGTTCACGTCGAGTGCCGAGCGACCACGATCGGCCGATATCCGAGTCTCCGCCCACACACTACCCACCAACCCTGAGTAGCACACGATGTCGCGACCAGGCCGGCAGCTGCAGCGGCTGAGCAGCGACTCAAGCTCCAGCAGCTCCTCCACCTCTCCCGAGCGCGGCGTGGACGACGACAATGATTCCTTCATGCTGCAAGCGAACGACTCGCAGTCCTCGCTCGGAATAGAGGTGGACCAGGAACCATCACATGACGTCGCAGCACGGCTTGCATACGAAGAACGATGCCGCGTTTCGCCAGTCGCACGACTGCCAGCAGAATTACTGATAAGCATCTTTGCTCGGCTCAGCGCCAGCAGTGATCTTATGAGCTGTATGCTTGTGAGTAAAGAGTGGGCGCGGAATAGTGTGGGCTTCTTATGGCATCGGCCGGCGATGAGCAAGTGGGAGTCTATACAGTCCGTGGTCAAGTCGATAAGGAGGGCCGACAAGTTCTTTGCATATCAGGATCTGGTCAAGAGGTTGAATATGAGTACATTAGCTGCCCAGGTGGGCGATGGATGTCTGATGGGCATGGTGGAGTGTAAGAGGGTGGAACGGCTGACGCTTACGAACTGCACGAAACTTACGGACACTTCGCTACGGCCTCTGATTGACGGGAACAGAAGTTTGCTGGCTCTGGACGTCACAGGTCTCGATCAGGTGACGGACGTGACGATGATGGCGGTGGCGGACAATTGTCTACGGCTGCAAGGGCTGAACGTAACGAGCTGCAAGAAGATTACAGATGCTTCTATATCAGCTGTTGCGAAGAGCTGCCGCCATGTCAAGAGATTGAAGTTCAACAATTGTTCACAACTTACGGACAAGGCGATCATGACTGTGGCTGCGCATAGCTCGCATCTGCTGGAGATTGATCTGCATGCTCTACTGAACATTGAGAGCCCTGCCATTACTGCCCTTCTCACGTCCTGCCCGCATCTGCGAGAAGTGCGGCTAGCACACTGCACGCGAATCAACGACTTCGCATTCCTGGACATCCCGAGCAATCCCGAAGCACCATTCACCCTAGACGCTCTCCGCATACTTGACCTGACAGACTGCAACGAGCTAGGCGATAAGGGCGTCGAGAAAATCATCGAAACATGTCCACGACTCCGCAATCTAATCCTCGCAAAGTGCCGCCACATCACCGACCGAGCCGTCCTGGCAATCACCAAGCTAGGCAAAAATCTCCACTACATCCACCTCGGCCACTGCCAACGAATCACGGATCTATCAGTCGAAGCGCTCGCAAGATCCTGCAATCGTATACGATATATTGACTTGGCATGCTGCAGCAATCTCACTGATGTTAGCATTACGAAGCTGGCGAGCTTGCCGAAGCTGAAGAGGATAGGGCTGGTGAAGTGTGCGGGGATTACGGATGCGAGTATTTATTCGTTGGCTATGGGGGAGGTAAAAAATGGAAAGAGGGTCAATGGGGCGAGTGTGCTTGAGAGGGTACATTTGAGCTATTGTACTCTTTTGACACTTGATGTGAGTTGCCCCTGTTCGAGCTACCCTTGAGTTATTGAAGCTGACATAATTCCCAGGGCATCCGTGTCCTCCTAACGAATTGCCTAAAACTCACCCATCTCTCCCTGACAGGCGTCCAAGCCTTCCTCCGCGATGACCTCCTGGCCTTCTGCCGCGAAGCCCCATCCGAATTCAACGACCACCAACGAGACGTCTTCTGCGTCTTCTCCGGCACTGGCGTCGGTCGTCTGCGCGAGCATCTCAAGAACGAGAAGGCGGCGCAAGTCATTGGCGACACGGACTCTGTCACACCAAGCATGGGCGACCGTATCGATGATGACTTGGGACTGGACGGCGATGGTGACGATGAGAACACTGGTGTCGATAGTGATGGGAGTAACACTCCCGTCATCAGTCTCGACGTCCACGGATCGCACCGGGATGGCCAGACGCCTATCCTCCACGGACCGAGTTCGGGCAGCAATTCGGGGGTATTATTTGCCGCTGGCCAGCACCATCACGGCTATCAATATCAGCCACACCTCTACCCCTGGACCTCTTCCGCTCACGCCGGACCCAGCGACCCATCAGGCGCCGCGGCAAATTTTAGTCAAAGTGCGCCGGCTTCTACGAGTTTCATGCCTTATACTTTCTGGTCCCACGGCAGTAATCACGGTGGTGTGGGGAGTTCGAGCCAGGCGCCACAGTCGGTGTATCATGATCCCAGTCACGGTATGGGGGCGATGGATGTGCCGGCTGGAAATGGTGGACAGGGTGGTGGTGCGCAGCATGTCACGGGCATGATGAGTGCGGCTGTCCTCGATGATGTTGATGAAGGGGATGAGGCGTTTGGGGAGGGGAGCGAGATTATTGATTAGTAGACGTGCGTGGATGCACGACTGGGGCTGCGAGCTGTGAGGTTGTGCTATGGGTGTGGGTCTGAGGCGTTCGGCGTTTGTGGGATGAGAGACGGGGCTCGTCGAGCTACTTGGTGTCTTTGTGATGGTCAGAGTAGCGTTATGAGCGTATGAGATCGATGTGAAGCGGATAGCGAATATTTTCCTCGATGCTTGCCGTCGCTGTGGGACGGTATCGACATACCTCTGGCTCCCAGGCACCGGCTCCTGCTTTCCGTGCCGCGCAAATCAAGTCCCCGTGTCGTGAGACATCGACGATCGTGGCCATTCTTCTAGTCGAGATGAACAATCGTGATTTGGCGTGGTGGATCTCAGCCTTGCAGCCGCTGACACAGCGATATCCAGCCAATCGCGCATTAGACGTGCCCGGGCGGCCGACGTATCCAAGTCGTCTCCACTTTTCTCCCAGACGTCGGGTCCTGAGTTGACCATCACGCTGTTTCCTTTGAGCCGCACGCACATGCAATGGTGCTTCGCTCGGGCGTGATGTCAACGCAGCAGACTGTGTAGGCTCTTATAAATAGGTATGGCTTCTGCATCTTTATGGTAAGTATTACTCCCCATTCCTTGGTTATCAATAACGGCTACGACTTGCGTCTCTCTCTGCGACCACGAAGATTTCGCGAGCAGTCACCTTTCCCTGTAAAAATTTCAAAACACGCAGCAAAGGCATGGCACCCCTCAACATCCTCATAGTAGGCTTAGGCATAGCAGGTCCTTCGCTCGCGAGTCTGCTTCTCCTAGATCCAACACAAGCTGCGGAAGAAAAGCCTCAGATCACCATACTGGAACGCTCCTCAGAGCTACGATCTACTGGCCAAAGTGTAGATGTCCGCGGCGTAGGCGTCGACGTGATACGGAGACTGGGTCTGGAAACTGCGATTCGAGCTTCTACGACTGGAGAGGAAGGAGTGCAGTTCGTGGATGAAAGCAATGCTATCTGGGCGCAGATGGCCGCCGATAAGTCTGGCAAAGTGCAGACGGGCACCAGCGATATTGAGATCCTGCGAGGCCGACTAGCGAGTATAATCTATGAGAGGAGTAAAGTCATTTCTGCCGAGGTTCAGGCCAAGGGTGGCAAGGGCATCGAGTATATATTTGGAGGTGTTCTTGACCAGCTGGAGCAGGACGAGAAGTCTGTGCGTGTGAGATTTGCGAAAAGCGGCGAGCGAAGATCTTTCGACGTAGTGGTGGGCGCAGATGGGCTTGCGAGCATGACGAGGCGGCAAGCTTTCGGTGCCGAGGACGAGGAGAAGCGTATGTATCGACTCCCGCTCTACGGCGCCGCTTTCAGCATACCCAAAGGCAAGAACGACGTCGAGTGGCGAAGATGGTTCAACGCTCCTGGTCGACGAGGCGTCATGGTCCGGCCAACGCACGACCCGGAAATGTGGTCTGCTGCGATGTTCGTGATCGATGCGGCAGATAAGGACAAGAGGCTCCTGGATGTCGCTCATGAGGGCGCAAGAACGGTGGAGAGGCAAAAGTCGCTCATGAAGGAGAAATTCGAGGGCGCGGGGTGGGAGTGCACGAGGCTGTTGGAGGCGATGGAGACGACGGAAGATTTTTATTATTCTACTATTGCGCAGGTGAGGATGAAGAAATGGAGTCAGAGACGTGTGGTATTGCTTGGTGATGCTGGGTGAGTGACTCTCATCACAGTAGTAGACAACAAGGTTTGATGGCTGACTCAAGCTGTAGGTACTGCGCCTCACCAATAAGTGGAATGGGCACGACCTTGGCTTTAACTGGTAATAACCACATATAAGGCGGTAGGGGGTTACTTACTGACGATTGTCTTAGGTGCATACAATCTAGCCGGCTCACTCCTCCGCAACCCCAATAACCTCAATGCAGCTTTCGCCCAATACGAGACACTCATGCGGCCCGTCGTCAACAAAGCACAAGACTTTACTATCACAGGACCTATGATGATGAATCCTGATACTTGGTGGGGTATCTGGATGCGCAACGCTTTAGTCTGGTTCATATGCTGGAGTGGGTTAGCAATGCTGATGTTCAAGGTGGCGGGTCCCAAGGCTGATAAGGTCGGTGGGCTGACGGACTTTGCGCTGGAGAAGCTGCCAGAGTGGAACGGATGGCGGGAGCTGTGGAAGCCAAAGGATCCGAAATACCTGTGAGAATGATATGCAGATTGTGAGCTGTCGACCATGACATGCCAACCTACTGCGACTTCTATCGCAACCTGTGTTGCGCTTATGTACAACATCTTATACCCAGATACTCATGCTCCCTCGTCCATCTGCTACAGCCTTGACTCGGCCGTCGATCTTCAAGGGATGTCCCTCGTATACGAGGAAGCCTTTCCGACTCTGCTCGGAGTCCATTCCGAGTATATCATAAATATTGTGCGACACCATCCGAAGTGCCTCCTTCTCACTAATCTTGCCATTGCTATTGATATGAGCAATACCAGCCATCAGATCCAGATCCCTCGTCTCCCAGTCCTCGGCTACGCTGATCGCAAGCTTCACACCAGCAGCATATAGAATATCCAACCCAGTGCCGTTCGTGAGAGGAGCACCTGAGAGCGAACGGCGCTGTTCCCAGGTAGTGGCGTATGGCTGCAGTGGTGCAAGCACAACGCTGACATTTGCTGCTGCGACTTCAGAAGCCAACAGATGCGCTTCAGCACCGCCAAAGAGCACCAGGTTCAGAGGAGACTTGCTTGCTGTTTCTACCTCGGACTTGAGCTGGAGGATCGTGGCAATGGTATCGGCGCTGTGGACTGTCAAAACGAGTGGCATCGTACCATTGACGACTTGTCGAAGCTTGCGCTCTTCGGCTGTCAGATCTGTGGTATTGTCGCTCGCTTTCGTGGCTTCAATCAGCTTCCTCCTGAGAGCCTCGACCCCTGTGCTTATACTCGGTGTTTTGCCTGCTTTCGCATCGAGCGTCAAAGTGTAGTGTAGTGCTACTTCATCCTGGAGAATGGCATGTTTCTCGAGCTTGTGTTGTGCGCCAGTGGCGAAATAAGCACTGACGCCTTTGTGACCTCCTTGCTTGTAAGCAGGAGCAGAGATGGCATTGGTCACACCGTGGCGGTACGCTGCTTTCAGGCTTTTCGTATCCAGCGCCAGGCCGTCAACGGCGGACGAGAACGTGTCTTCGGTGTCGGCGCCATTTTGCGTGTCGTCTTCGGCTGCGATCTCAACTAGACCTAGGAATGATCCGAAGGCTGTGTAGGATGGTGAGATGTGCCCATCCTTGAGCTGAATCGTAGCAAATCCGTCCGCCTCTGCGATGTGGAGTTCGTCGTGGCATTCGCCAAGGCAGACAAGGCGGCCGTCGCGCACAATGGCCACGCCACTGTCTCTCGAGCTCGGCCATGAGCGTGCTTCGCCATCCAAAAGACTCTCCGTCACGCCCGTGAAGATCATGCCCGCCATCTTCTCCTCAATGCTGGCTACCTTCTGTAAGGTAAGATCATGCTTGATTGGTCCGCTTGCAAACTTCTTCAACTCGACGGGATCGTCAAACTGCTCTACACCATCGATCCAGACTTGGACTGGTGTGGCGCCGACACTCAGGGGATCGCTGTCCCAGACCACAACATCGGCATCAAATCCTGCCTTAACTTTCCCGATCCTCTGTCCCAGGCCGAGCAGATCAGCTGAAGAGCTTGTGACTCCTGCCAGTGCAACATGATACGGCAGACCGTTTCGGTAAGCCTTGGCGGCCTCGAATAAGACATGCTGAGCATTGATCACTGGGTTGTCGCTGACATATACAGGGGTGATGCCATTCTCAAACAGTATCTTGCCAGCCTGCTCGGAAGCAGTATAGGCTTCGACCTTGTAGTACATATTGTCTGCGAATAGTGCCGCCGCCGGGGTGTGATTACCATAGGCTCGCTTCAGTACCTCTGGGATGAGGTAAGTCTGATGAGCATGATGAAAGGCACGAACAGGAAACTTGAACTCGTTGGTATGTCGTACAAAGGCCTCAAGATCGGCAGTGGTGTAGCAGTGCGTATTGACGTGGACTTGTCCTCGCAATACGGCCGCTAAACTCTCCCACTGGAGGTCTTGCGGTAAATAAATCGACATACTTCGTCCGGATGGAATGCTGTGGTCTGCGACTGCACACCAGTCATCCTGTGCCGTCACCAGGCTATTTGCTTGTTCGAAGGCGTGACGGAAGTACCACGCCTCTCCCAGTCGCGAAAACGGGCCAAAGCCACGGCCTAGTATGAAGGATGAGCTACAAATCACGTGCAGCCAACCAAGATTGATGCTCACCTAAGCGGCCATATACCCTCTTGGGGTTCTCACCACATGCCATCTTCATGTAGCGCCAATTCTTGTCCGGATCGGCAAGCATACTTTCCACGCTGAGCTCAGGACGACCATCGGTCTTACCTACCGCATGTTTGATCACAAAAGCCTCGCCACCAATGTTGTTTCCGCTCCCAGGCAGGATTAGTGAGGTGGTGACTATGCAGACGGTCGTTAGTCAGGTATCGAGCGGACCAAATTTGAAGATACTCACCGCCTCCACTTTTGATCTTTCGAATTTGAGGGTCAAGTATATTGATTCCATCGATGGAGCGAACATATGGAGTGATGTCACTCGACAATTCATTCTCATCGCCTGTAACACTCAAGCCTGGTAGAGGATCGTCACCAGCGTGGGAATGCATGTCAACAATTCCTGCTGTGAGGAGTCGACCATGAGCTTCGTAGATCTGGATGTCAGCCAGCAGCTCGCCAGCATTAAGCTTGCTGCCCACATGTTTAACAAGACCATTTTCCAAAAGCACATCTGCTGTCATCCAGCTGTAGCTAGCGCCAGTGTGTTCATCTTCCGCAGAAGTGGCAGCCACTGGCTCACCAGACCAGACAGTAGCATTGCGGATCAAAGTGGACTTCTGGCCGGGGATAGCTCGAGCATTGCGTTCTCTTGGACCACTGGGGTCTTTAGGACTTGAGCGAAGTCTTGCGCACTGATCATAATCTGCTCGTAAACGCTCCTGAGACAGGTGGGCTCCGCCGGCCTGTGGTTTGGTTAGAGCAGACGCCTGCTCACGTGAGTTCACCCAAAGTGTATAGGCTGCATAGCCAAGGACCAGTAACAGAATGAGCTTCACAAATCGCCGCCTGCGGCGATATTGAAGACGACGGTGCCGAACACCACGGGTCGCTGCGGCGTGCTCGTCAACAGGCGAGTATCTGGGTAGCCCCTCCTTCTCCATTGCTCCAGCATCCATGGTGCCTGGTTCCAATCCAGACATTCAGCTGTGGGCTTGGACGGGAGTTATATCGTATCGACCGCGCTTCTCCACTGCTGCGACGGCCCACCGGCACGTGATACGAGTCCTCCCCGCATCTCCATCCCCTATCTGGGCAGCGCATTGCGGCTGTGCGGCTGGAAGCTTGTTAGAACTAGCCTATCCCGTGGAGGCATAGAATTACACTTTCGCCATTATGCAAGAACCTCGCGATTTTCTGCTGCTCTTTAGTCGTTGGTTTGGCTATTCTGGGTTGTGAGAGTAGATGATCCTATCGGGCGATTGTCTTGAAGAGGATGTCGCATGAGCCGAGGGTTTGGACTGCCATTAGGTGCCGCTGTTGTATCTTCCACGTCCTTCATGTCTTGCTGAGGAGAGTGAAGCATGATGACGGGGGATGATCGCTGACCTTGTAGAATGAATGAACCAGAGGTGCGGCTGCGCGAAGGTGACTGAGGACATGAAAATATTAATGCGCACGAGCTTGCGCCTGTGTAAAGCTGCGCAGGCTGAAGGAGCATTCGCTTCACGCCTTCGCCACTAGGCGCACACACTCACATAACCTCGCATATATTACTCTACTTGGGTGCGTTCGCGGCAGGGTGATCTGAGACCTCATACGATATGCATGCCAGAATAGTGTATATGAAAGCAAAGGCCTCTCACCGGTATACGAAGAAGTATTGCTGTGTATGAGGAGCGGTATCGATGGAGAAATATCGAAGTCGGTTAGATTCTTTGCATCCGTAGTAGCCTTCATCAACTAGGTGTGCTCATCAGGAAATCTTTGGAAGAGTAGATCTCTTGTTTTAGTAAGCTTTCAAGGAATACAAGTGCTTCGTTTCTAGAGTGTATCGAACGAATACCAGCACCGGCAATGTAGAGACGGCTGTCATGCACGACCTCGCGGTCGCTTAGACTTCGCCGCAACTACTGTCGTAACTGATGCTGTCATGCGCTAGGCATATGCCATGGCTTAGACGTCGCATCAGTCTACATCCGCCCTGAAACCCAAGCCTGTTAACCATCAATCCCCAGAACTCCGCTCTGCCGTTCCAGGCACCCGTCCTTCATCAAATATACGCTCTCTCATCGTCGAAAGCCCAATGAACGCCACCCTGCGCCTTCCTGCTGCCAAAGCACCCTCTTGCGTTGCGAACGGTTCATTCCGCTCAGATCACTGTCGGGTGGCGGCACTGTGTCCGGGTGAGCACGGCCATATGCTAGACTCTGCTCGCGTGCCCTCGAGTTACGGTTACGGGTATTGCCTGGGCTTCTGTTAGCTATTGGAGCCTTTCCCTGATAGGGGTCTAGGGTGACTGACTTCGGGAACCTTCATCAGCGCCGTCGGTGTCGACCTGCTGATCGGACAGAGGCTCCACAGCGGCATTGTCCTGCGCATCCTCCTCAACAACAGCATTCTGCTGATCCTGCTGATCTTGCACCACTTCATCTATCTGGCCTTGCTCCTCCTTCTTCTTCTCAGTCTCCTCGAAGTCACTGTCTTCGTGCTCCATCATAAACTCACGTAACGCGCTATCATCCTGCTCTTCTTGTGTCTGACCGCCCGGCGCGGGGTTACCAATCTCTGCCTCGCTCGACAGCGACTGCAACTCCTCCTGCTGATCATCAACCGCAGAAGTCGAATCAGAATCCTCTCCAATGAATCCTCGAACAGTCAATAGATTCTTAACAATGTCAAAGCACGTAGTAATCTCGAGATTCTTGAATACGATGTCCACCTCATCCTCACTCTCAGTCAAATCAGTCTGGATCTTAGCAGCAGCTATCAGATTCTCACCCACGTCTTCGCCGAACATGTCCTCCAAAATATTCTTCAGCTCATTGACCACATTGTCAGCATGGTATGATTGGTCATTCGCCTCGGTCTTCTCCTTGAGAGTCTTTTGGAGCTCTGCGCGGTGTGTCTTCTTAAGTTCTAGAATTGCTGACTGATGCGTATCGTTGTGCTTGGTGCACTCCTCCTTCTTGTCCGCTAAATCATTCTCAAGTTGATTAAGCGACAAACCGCGCATGCTCGCTATTGCCAAAGTGCTGCTAACGCGCGCCTCAGCATTATTAACCTTCTCCTGCACGCTCGTGAGATCCCTGCCGAGGCGTGCATTTTCCGTTTCGAGGTCGTCGACTTTCTCCTGAAGACGTTGCAGGTTTCCGCTGTCCACATGCTCTGCGCCGGCGATCGGCGGTGACATTGGCGCATGCTCGACCGTCTGAGTGCCGCTCGAGATAGTGGTCTTGGTGGCAGCAAGCTCTTCTGCAGCAAGCGTGTTCTTCTCCGTGGGGATCTTGCTTTCCTTGATGGTTGTGAGTTGCTTCTCCAGCTCAGTCTTGCTCTGCGTCATGATCTCAAGCTTCTTTCCCAGATCGTTTTTGCTGTCTGTCATAGCTTCAGGTTTCTTACTCAGATCAGGCTTGCTCTCGCTCCTGGCTTTCAGCTGCTTCTCCAGCTCGAATTTGCTCTCCGTCAAGACTTCAAACTTCTTGTCAAGATCAGCCTTGGTCTTGATCATGGCCTCAAGGTCCTTGCCCAGATCAGTCTTGCTTTGCGTGATGGCCTTGAGTGCTTCCTCCAGCTTGACTTTGCTCTCTGTCATCGCTTCGTATTTGTTCTTCACATGAGTGTTGAGCTGGCTCTTTGCTTCGAACTCCTTGAGCTTTTCGTTGGTGGTCCGTAGATGATGGGCCTCGTATAAGGCGCTGTCTCTGTCCGTACAAAGCTGCACACTCAGCGTTTTCAGAAGCTCGAACTCCTGCTTCGTCCTATCGAGCTCCTCCTCAGCATATTCTCTCCAGCGCATTTCCCTGTAATATCCTTCTTGCTCTCTTTGCGCCCGGTATTGTTGTGACGCCACCTCCGCCTCAAGTCTAGATCGAGTGATAGCCATCTCCGACTTTAGTCTCGCCTGCTGAGCACGAGAGTCTTGCACTTCCTCCTGGTCAGTTGTATGGGTGGCTAGATGGTGGTAAATCTTGGCACGAAGTCTCCGCAGCTCTTCATTGAGATCAACCAAAGTGGACTCGGCTAGCGTCCATCTGCCGCTGTATATACGCAGGTGGTCGATGCAGTATTCCTGGAACTCGTCGAAAGCCTCTGATGCCCAGACAATGTAGCCAGCCAGTGTTTCGAGTGCGATGCCGAGTCGCTCCGTAAGGAGGATGAGAAGACAGAAAACGGAGACGGTGCCGATGACGCCGAAGAAGAGAGTGACGAAGAAGCCGAGTGTCGTATCTGTGAAGGGCATGGCCGCTTCCCCACTGGCAGTGATGTTGGTGGAGGTAGGAGGGGAGACCTCATCGCTGATCGTGGTGTTGAATTGGCTGAAAACGGGCTTGCGCTTCGGGCATCCCCACTCGTGTAGAACGCCGCCCATCTCGTACGTGACTGCACAGCTGCTGTCGGTCGGCTCGTCGCCACGGAGACGCTGCCCAGCTGCCGGCAACATCTCCGTTGTTGGCTTGCTGTCGTTGATGCCATGGTATGCCGTACTCATGGTCACCACGACAGTGGTGAGAGCCGCCTGCTCTTCTTGTGCCGGGGAGGGGGAGGGAGGGGTGGTGGTGGTGGTGGTGGTCTTGCGACCGAGGAGAAAAAATGTGGTAGCGGTGGCCAAGCCACCGACTACCGTCCACACAGGACCAGGTTGTTGTACCATACTGGCGTTGTTGGTGATGTTGTTGTTGTTGCTGTTGCTGATGCTGCTGCTGCTGCTGTCGCGGTGGATGTGTTTGTGTGAGGACGGAAAGTGTGGAAAAAAAATTGTTTGCTAGAAGAACATGGAAGTGCGGCGGCCCGTGCGGTGAATCGTGAGTATGAGTCATTAGTGTGCTCGATGTGTGAAGTGAGGTTGAGGAAGAATAAGGAATTTGATTGTGACCGGCCATTCACAAGATCACATGCGACATTCAAGACCACGTAGCTCACCGTACCGACAATCGGCTAATCGAGACTCATTCGTACGGCAGTGGAATCGCAGGGGCGATGCTATTGTCGTCCGTATCGTCGCCGTATGTGGCAGATAAGGATATCTTAGTGGAAGCTTCAGCTACGAATAATTAGACGTCGTCCCTCAAGCCTCGCATATCTTATAGTTCTCCGGGAAGCACGAATATGACCCTTGAACAATGTGTACAGAGTGTAGCTACATAGTGCGGGTTATTGTCAAATGTCTAGATGAGGATGAATGTCGTCTTGATGACAGGAGCTTTTCGTACACAATTTTGACAACGGTTCCAGGGAAATACACAAGGCGTGTAGGCTGTATAGAGTCCTTCAAGGTATCAGAACCCGTAGATCGTCGGCAAGATCCTGCTCGACTTAGTAAAGTGGAAGGGTTCGGGGATTGAGGAAGTGAAGTGAAGTGAAGTCAATGATGCGCTCTTGGCATAGCGCTAGCCACATTTGATTCAGCATCGCCAACCATCGATGATCACCAAGACATATCTACGTGCATATTCGTGAGATCTGTTGACAAAGATGCAGGCCTGAGAGATATTATAAGAACACTGAATGCATGACAGACCACTACGAGAAGGGTGGGCTAGTACCATCATCGACACGCAGTCAAAATAGTGACGATCGATACTTAGGGCACTAGAACCAGACAACATGGCTCTGAGTTACCTGTTCTTCTGGAACCATAAATCGATTCAGAATAATGACTGGCGTCCCCAACCAGGCGAGACAACAATAAAAAGACTTGACAACCTACCGCTCTGGCTAAAACGTCAAGACCTAAAAGCAACCTGCGTAGATGCAGCTCCATTCATTTTTGGCGTCGGAGCTCTAGCACATATTCGTCAAGCCAATGACTTCGGCTTCACAGCTAGAGCGTCCATCTTTGCCAACACGAGGACATTGCTCGCCACTCACCGAGCGACGCTGTTGGTGACACCTGTGATTCTGGCTTGTCAGGCGATGGGGGTGGAGTATAGGTACTTCATCCCTCGATGGAGCCATGATAGGGAGCGGAGGCGCGATGAAGAGGAAGTGCGGAAGCACATCGCTGTAGGCATGTATGGAGGCGTGGCGCTCTGGGCGGTGAGGATGTATGGATTCAGGGTTGGGAGAGCGTACTGGGCACCGATTGATGTCATCTTGGGAGGTGCTTTGGCTGATCTCGCGCATCGGGAGTACATGAAGGCGCATGGACTGTAGTGTGCTTGTAAATATGAACAATGCGGATGTAGATGTACAGAGCTTGTTAGCTTCGTGATTCGCCCAGTGCAACACCTTGTCTGCGTCGTCGCAAAAAAGCGATCGTGGGTGGCTGTACAATGTCGTTGAATAGGGCTGTACCATAGACGAGCAGCACGAAGCCGAGGACTTGCAGCCACTTGAACGTCTCCCAGCCGAGGCCGAGCGATACGAGCCAGATAAAGAGCGTTCGGCAGGTGTCGATCGTGCTGCGGGCAGTGGCAGATATACTGCGGGTGACGCTGAGGCCAAAGAAGTTGAAGCCACTAAAATGACGTTAGCAAGACTAGGTCATGTCTCACAGAACATAGTACATACCCAATGCTGACCATGATCAGCAACGACGAAACAGCGATGGCACGATTATGGAAGATCTCATAGAAGCCTTCCCGTGCATCGAAGTATCCTCCCTGGCCAGCAGGAGTCTGCCCAACCACAGCATGCAGCACAACCATGCCAAGCAATGTGACAAGACAACCGAAGATACCCTCCCAGCCCACGACCTGGATAGGCTCCATGGAGTACTTCTCCATAATGCTCTCCTCCACTACAAATTGTGTAGCCGTGAAGATCTGTGCCCCTGCTATCATGAGCACGCCCAGGATAGTTTCGGCAGGCGTATGTGCCTCCAGCGTGCTGATTGCCTCTCGTAAAAATATCATGGCCGATCGTCCGAGATCCTCTCCTTCGTGGCCAGGTTTCGTGTCTCCAGGCAGCTTTGGTGTGCCTTCCTTATTCGCTAAAGCTCCTGCCAAGCCCACAACAGCCACACCAAGTACGACGATGAACAGACTTGCCCACTTCCAGCCTCCCAAATGTCTCTTGAGGAAGATCACACTGAACAGACCCACAAAGAGTACCAAGGCTCCTCTTGTCATCTGGTAGATGGATGCTGCTACGAACAGCAAGCCGACGTTCATGAGCGTCGTCCCAAGAATATCACAAACCGCTGGTAGGGCGAGCATCGTTATCTTCCAGCCTGTGAGCGGTAGTCGCTGTTTGCCGCTCTCCACCGCATCAATCAAAGGCTTGGCAATGGCATTAGTAGGGTCGACCAATGTCTGCGAGGACGACAGGTCGTTTTCTAAATCTTCATCCTCATCCTCGTTATGCTCATCGTCCCCTGTCCGTACTGACTGGTACCCCGTATCTTCTGCTGCAGTACCACCTGCTGCCTTCCTCCGTCGTCCCAGTAGATATGATAAGAGCACAACCAGCCAGCAACCAGACTCCCCGATAAACATCTGTAGCGTCTGTATGACGGGCTGCTCGAACGTCTTAGGCCGGCTAGACTGACAATTGGCCACGCACTGCATGTCCTGGTACTTGGTGAGGAGGGTATTGGAGACGCCAGTCAGCAGCATCATGCCGACCACCACCGGAATTGTTGCCTTCACCCCCATGTTGTAGGGTTGGCAATATGCTCCTCCAAGAGCACACCGTCGAAGATCTGAGGAGAACCGTGACAGATCGTCACGCGAGTTGAGATACCAGCCGCATGGAGCTAACAATGCGACCCGGCAAACATGGTCCGTGCGCACGAGAGCCTCCTTGTGCTACGTGATGGTTTCGCGATGCACATGCCATCAACGTTAACATCGGGCCTCGTACTAGACGGTGTTTGAGGTATCGACATCAGAATTCAGTTCGGTTTCGCTCATCGTATGGCGGCTGCCAAGCACAAGCTACCCAGGTCGCTGGCCACCTAGCACTTACGATGGCGACGGCGCATGAGGAAGTAGTCGCAGCCTCTTTGCGGACATTTGGAACTCCGGAAATGTTTGAGCACATCCTCCTGTACCTATTGGAAAGTCTTCATGCTATTACAGACCAGGAAGATCCGCGCTCAGGCCGAACAAACCACAATGCCTCCTGTCTAGCTCAGCTATTACGATGCACAGAAGTTTGTAGAACGTGGCAACAGAACATCAAAGACTCAGGACGATTACAGCGAGCACTCTTCCTTATCCCGGACTTCCGCTTGCGAAGGAGATGGCAGCATAACGCCACCTCAACTCCACAGGCCGAGCGGATTCGACTACGAAGCTACTATAGAGCTCCTTCCCTACGAGCACCTATCTTGAATCCCATGGTACAAGTCACATTCCCAACATATCACTTCCGGTTCTGGCATCTCAGTCTGGAAGCAACAGGCAACAGGCATGTAGCCTATCTCATCATCACGAGAAGGGATCTACCAGATCTCAAAGCACGAGCCGAGACGAAGCAAGGGCAGACTCTGACGAAGATGTACTTCTCTCAACCACCACTGACTGCGCTTGAGGCTACGATCTGGGAGGAGAGGGATGAAACGAAGGATTACGTTGGCCGTACTGCTGTGCTGAGGGAGCCGATTATCCAGTGTGAGGAGGGATTGACGCTGGGTAGGGTGCATGAGCATGTTGGTCAGATGTTTGAGCAGTATCGAGATGTTGCTGCTATCAAGCTGACAACGAGTTGATCATGCAACATGCGCGGATCATCCGTGAGCAAGCCAATTGATGGGTTCAAGATTTATTCGCTACCATCGAAGCCGATCACCACAGAGCCAGTGGCAATGTCTTGACGGATCGGCGGCACACCATGTCTCCCAGGAGTACGTAAGGTCAGCTCCAGCAATGATCGCTTGTCAGCGCTGTCAGACGCAAGCTTCGAGATGGCTACCCAGTTATCCGTGATAACTTCTGTAACGGCCGGCGCACCTACTGCAAAGTGCCCGTCCTCTGAGGCCTTGCTTTCGGTTATCGCGACCATGGCGGACTCCAGGTGTTCAACCTTACTTGACGCAGTCTTGATATGCAAGCCGAACAGACCAACAGCATGACAAGGATGATCAGTTTTGCCATCGTGGATGGGCACTCGACGCTCACGATCGGTCACATCATGGCACCAGAATGGTACTTCGCCCCTTTCAGCGCCTTTGGGAAAGGTGACCTTCCACTTCAGCTCCTTTCCGTCTGGCGTCCTCCTACCTCCTTCCTGGGGCGGCGCATATGAGATACCTGAACCAGACTCCCGCAGTCTTTCCTGCAGGCCATCATAATCGAAGTCCTTCTGGGTCGTGAGCGCGAAGTCGACAATGCCACAAGGCTTGTCCCACCAATGGCCTTTTCGCTTGTCAGGATCATCGTCGATGAAGGCGATCAGTTCTAGATAGGTGCCGTCTTTGAAGATTAACAAGCGATTTTCCGTCTTGCCATCGCTGTGTCGACCGCCCGGGCTGACTGTGAAGTTGTCGGTCACCCACTTTGGCGGATCGATAATATCCTTGTATGGCAGGAGGATTATTACATGGTCGAACTGCGTCGGTAGACTTGAGTCAGGCATGGTGTATCGTTTCGATGACGTGTGTCTAAGACTGCGGGTGCTCGTGTAGGTTGCTGAGGTTCATGTGACTCTGGTGCAGGAGCTAATAGTGAGCTAGATGTATGTTGTGGCGCATCGTGGCTGCGACCTCGGTCTCTAGTGGGGAGGATGGCAGACTGCACAACGTTACAAGGGCCTGAGCTTCTGCTACGGATTCTGGTAACACAGGGGAAACTATTTCGTCTATATGCATCTGGACAACCAACGCAACCATCAAACCTTCCTGCCAAATTCGAATCCTTCATAACCCGCAGCTTTAGCCTCAACAAATTCAGCTCGCCATCTACCCACACCACCGAACCAGAAACGCGGAGACTTGGTCCTGCCTTCGATGTTCCCACCAAAAAGCCAAGACGATGTGTTCTGAAATAGACTCTGGCTATTGGTCTCCCGAATCGCTGCCATCCATTTAGCGTCGGCCTCTGGCGTGCTCTCAACTATACGGCACAATTGCCTCGATTGGTGTCTTTTCAAGATCAATAGCTGTCACATCGTCCTGGTTGAAAGCTTGATAGTATCGATCATCAGTCAGAGGACGACGAGCAAACCAATCTGTAGACGTCAGCACATCTGCCTTCTGCTCGTCCTTTACGATTTCTCGGGTCTTCTGGTGGATAAAGGCACTCGCTTCCTTGTTCGCCGCCTCGTCAGACACGATGTCTGAGAAGCCTCCGAACATAAATCGAAAGCCACTGCCCTGGTTCCACAGGTTTTGGAAGGTTCTCTCACCGTCTTCGGGCGAGACTGACAGGGCTGGCCGATTCGGCTCAATAAAGCCCATTGCCACTGCAGATGTGAAGACGTCCGTCCATGTCTGATCATATTTCGCATTGATCAAGCTGCGCTCCTCGGGGCCGACCGGACGCATCTGTGCAGGTAGGACGTACTGCGCATGGCGGACGGAGTGAGTCAAGTGCTGTGCTGTCTCACTAAGTGCCCCAACAAGCTGCACGCCAGACGCTCCAGCTCCGATCACAGCGACACGCTTCTTGATGTAGGGATTGAGCTCGTCCCTCCATTGCGCACTACGCACTACTTTGCCCCCCAACGTGTTCAGGCCAGGCAGCTTTGGCAGACTTGGCCGATGAAGGATGCCAATCGCTGTCACCAGGTAGCGAGTAGTGAGCGCCTCACCCGTGGTCGAATCCAGATGCCATAGCCCTTCCTTCTCGTCCCACGATGCAGCTTTGAGCTCTGCGTTGAACTGTATGCGCGGATAGAGATCATTGCGGCGAGCAGAAGCTTGAAAGTACGATATCAACTCCGCTGAAAGACGCAGAGTCAGCTCATTGTTTACTTCTGTCCTAATTGAGTATAGTGAGAGTTGCTCACGCTGCGTAAGATAATTGTTTTTCCGAGGATCATCGCGTAGCAATTCCTTGTCAATCGACAATCTATAGACGAAGCTCTCGACATCGCTACGTGCGCCTGGATAGCGATTCCAGTACCATGTACCACCTACATCTGAGGCCGAATCGATGCCCTTTACATTGAGACCCTGCTCTTTGAGAAAGTACAGCGCAGCCAATCCTCCGAAGCCGGCGCCTACAACCACGGCGTCGTGGTTAGGATCTTTCGAAATCTGTTCCGATCCTGCGATGCTCTCGCTGAGCTGTGTGCAATGATTAGCGGAGGGCGACGTGGTACCATTATATTGCTACTGTCACTCGCCAGCTGGTCTGATAACCACATTGTCTGTCGCCAAATTTGCAGCACATAGCGTGATCTCAAGCCATTGGAAGAAAGCTACGCAGGCCCAATGGCAGCTCAATGTAACACCAACATATCTGCCGACACAACGCGTCCAGCAGTGTGCTGCGATGTAGTGGCGAGATTCATGCCTGGATGGCGATTCGGTGGCCGTGCCATCTTGGAGCTGCATGGCGTGCTTTATAGTTCGCTGCTTAGATGCACAGCTCTCTACGCATAAATTATACGATCGACAGCGAAAGACGAAAGATCGCCAAAACCAGAAGTACTTGCGAGCTTACAGCTGACAGATCTCGAATGCATGTGCATGATTAAGGGAGCAAGGCCCGCTTTCTCTTCGGCTTGACATAACTACATGACCGTCGCGGATTCATGGCAACCTGCTGCAGTTTTGATCAGAACCTATAGGCATTGAAGGCTAGATGCAAGCAGGAAATGGTTACAAGACAATAACTCCAGAAACATCAATCATCCCCAACCAGGAGCAGACTCCACCATCACGAATACCAACTCCTGTCATGCAGCTCGCATCTCCATCCTCAAGTGTTCTGGCATCCCGAGTCCCCTGGCAAGAGAGTAACTCATACCAGTCCACACGAAGTTGTAGCAACCTCGCCCTCCTCAACAACATAGCAAAGTACACTCCCGATCGTCACCAAATTCTTGCTCAAAGCAGCTGGCGATCCAACGATGAATGGTAGGCTGGCAGCTTCCACGCCATCTGTATCCTTATACGCGCAGCATTGCACGGTGTAAGGGTTAACGTTGTACTCGTCCCAGTCGTTGAGCTTGAGTCCAGAGGCGGAAACATCGTCTAATGAGGTGAGCTCGCCGCGACGTTGGTCTAGTCAGTGATGGATTATGGCAGGAGCTATCTGTGGAGATACCCACATGTTGGCGTAGACCGTAGTGTAGATTTGTTCTTCGAGTCCTGAAGCGATGTTGACAGTGATCTGGACGTATCGCGATCCGTCACGACGGACTGAAGCTGCGGCTGCGAGGGTGGCGAGGCCAGCGGCGACGGTAACGAGTCTGGCGAACATGGTGACTTTGGAAGGAGAATACTGAGGTGACAAGATGTAGTGACGGGGAGACCTCATTGGGATGGTGGTGTGGAGTGTTAGTAAGCTTGATTTTGTGTTGATATGTGTGATAGGACACGATTGAGAGGGACGACAGCATCATCTTATACATTCTCCACACCCACGGGAAGTTCATGGCTCCACGTCGTTCGCGAATACAGCTTCTACGCTGCATTGAGACAGGCTGTGTTGGTGAGCACGTTCAGTGCACAGCTATGGTAGTGAGCACTATCGTACGGAGGAGGGTTTAGCTGCCAGTATGTGGGATACTCGTTCAACTGCTTCACTTGGTAGAGAGACATCGCTCGAAAGGCCAGCTGCTTTGCCGTATGAGAACAGTTCCTGTGCTTGGTTTTCGGGCGCAGCACTGGGCTAGTCGTACCTTGGGAGTTGACAAGGGCGAAGCCAGCGCCTTTCTCGTTTGGTTTTAGTGCGTGCAGATTAATAGATCCTTTGACGTGCTTTGTTGCTTGGCTCGAGTGCCATATCTACCTACTCGCTCAAGATATGACCGCTTGTACTGAGCCTGATGTGATGCTGTTGTATACAACACCGCTGTGGCTGACGGAAGAAGCACCAAATTGAAGCGGAGGTTCGTAAAGTCCTCCTTGACATTCTGTTCTTCTCTCCTGCAAAACAGTCAAGATCATGCAGTAGCTCACTGCTAGATGGCATACCCAGTGTGACACACATGTTAAGTGCTGCCAAAGGCACACGTGATGGATGTCTGACTGAAGCGTACTATGCGTCGCCGCCGCCGCCACACAGATGTGGAGCAGGTAATCATGATCTGAGTGAGTCAGTGTCTTCACTCGATTGACTCAAGCTTCCTTGATGGTGAGTATAAGAAACACAGATCTTACATTTATTGACCTGCGATTGTCTTTGTGAAAGGTCTATGCCACGCGGTTGCCTGCAGATACAGGCTGCAAAGCGTCTCAAACGCGCGACCTCACACAAGGCTGTGCTTTCCACATTCGCTTTCAACGCACCTGCACTTGCCCTCACTGATTGCTACAAATCGTCCTAATCACCGTGCTTCGCGAAGATGTCCGCCGCACAGACTAACCCACTTCCTGTGCTTGGAAGGACTATGAGCCTGCTCACACGCGCCCTGGCACCGCGGCCACCTGCCATGGCCAAGCCACCGCCAGAGGAGGAGAAAGGACGTTCTTGCATAGTATGTACCGACTCACCAGACGACCCGCTGGATCTTGTCAGGCCTTGTCGAGCCTGCAACAACGACTACTGCAAGACTTGTCTGTCGGCTATGTTCGAGGGGGCCACGAACGACGCTACAAGGATGCCGCCTCGTTGTTGCGTCTTCCTTCAAATTCATACGGCATACCTCCCGGACGACGTCGCCACAAAATATCGAGACCGTTTCGAGGAGTGGATCACGCGAGACAAGACTTACTGCCCGTCACCAAAATGCTCGGCCTTCATCCCAGAGCGGCTACTACGAGTCAATGCGAGTGATGAGAAGGCAGCGTCCATACAAGAAGTCATGCTTTCGGTCCTGCACACGGTCACCAAGAGTCCCCATTCCCGCTTCTTCCGTGGAGAGCTTCCCATCACCGAGCAGACTGGAAATACTAATGTGGTGGCTGAATACATGGACCTGACTATCATCCGCGAACGTGTCGAGTCTGGTGTCTACGATAGCACAGTAGACATGGAACCCGACATGCGCTTGATTGTCAGCAATGCGAAGAAGTATCATGGCTCGAGACATCCTGTAGCCCTGACGGCCAACTCCTTCCTGGAGACGTTCACGCAGGCCCTTACAGCGACAGTTGACAAACTTGTACATTTCACGACTCTGGATCCTCCCCAAGATCATACTGTATGTCCAAAATGTCATGTTGCAATATGTATGCAGTGCAAGCAAGTAAGTTAAGACAGTCAAGCTAATGGAAGACACGACATGATACTGACGTGAATCAGATTGAGCATGGGAGTGCACCTTGCGACACAACTGCACAGGACCACGAGCTTGCAATGTTGGAGCAATTTCGCTACAAACGTTGTCCTTTGTGCAAGCACGCCGTCAAGAAGATGTATGGCTGCAGCCACATGCAATGTATTTGCGGCGCGCACTGGTGCTACCACTGTCAGAAGTCCATCAACGAGTGTGATGGAGGCTGCGTTGACCATGCAGAAGATAGTGAAGCTGAAGAAGCAGAGGAGAATTTTGACGACGAAGATGTAGATGACGAAGACGAAGACGAGGAGGATGAAGAGAACGAGGAGGACCCTAAGCCAGATAACATGATCACCGTCGTGGGCGAGCATGACGGTAGCGACACTAATTCTCCGCCACTGCCGACAGCCGCAGAGATGAACAAGAACCCAACGCCCATCACAGCACCATCTCTACCCCCAGGACAACTTCACAGGATCGTGAACCTGGATGCGGGAGGCGAGGCACGATGGGCCAATGCTCCTATGAATTTCGGCGACGAACCAGAGGAAGACAGCATTGATCAGATCTGGTCCTGCCCTCACTCGCTTCTGCCATACATGCTCCGGACCTCTGAAGACGGTGTCAATCGTGGTGACGTGAGTACGATGGAGTGCAATAGGTGTTTCTGCATTGTGCGGCCCCAGCCTACAAATCCGGGCACCGCGAGCGTTGGCCCTGAGATACACCCTCCGGCGTGTTATGCTCCACTTCTGGAGATCTCCAAGGATGCTGGGCTAAAGCTGGAAGAAGTGGGCGACATGGCTATGGAGTGTTCCTGGTGCTACTTGGTGCTATGCGAGAAGTGCTCGGAAAAGGCTCAGCCGAATCGAAATGGCTGAAGCATGGTGAGGTACTAATTATGTATTGAGAACGAAGACGTCTTCGCCTCGCCACGACGGTACAGACAGCTCTCGCATCTTCGCTAGAGCTATTTGTTCGCCTTGTAACTATACATTGTCCCATGTATCATAGCAGTCATGCTTCAACAGACGCCACCAGTTGTCGTCTCACTGTAAAAGCGATTGCTAAAATGGCACAGGCGCCAGCAGTATCACTAGTAAGTAGCTCACCATTCTAGCTCATGAATGACGAACATGACTTTCTGGTCACCGACGGGCTGTTCATGTGCAAGATACCGTAAACGGTGTGTCCTGCACGCCAATAGTATTGGGCTGTCGGTGGTGCTACCGCCGTATGAAGTGTGTCGTCGCAGAGCACGCTCAAGCATACGTGGAACGGTGTTCGAGATCTTCTGATTGCGGTTTGGATCTCACCCGTTCTCGCTGAAGCAGTACTTGCGAACGGCCTAATATCGTCAGCGTTATCTCCATAACCGATTGCCTTTTCGTGACTTACCGCTCGAAGTGCATCGAGCCGCTGTTGTGTTCGTACATAGACATCACGATATTGCTCGATAGTCTCATGCACCACCTCAGCCTTAGTCTTACGCCCTTCACATATGGCCTTCATCTTCAACTCCATCTATGCTATGTCAGCAGAGTCACGCATGTAGTGGAAGCAAAAAGCAGCATACCTCTTTCCGCAAGAACGGCTTAGTGAGGCTTATGTCGAAGCCCATATTCTCATATCCTTCGACGAGTGCCACGCCCAGAGTGGTTGGTATGAATTCTTGCACGCCGCTAGTCCCGCCGCCGCCCCGGGTATTGGTACCACCAACACCACGACCGCCGCGCCCACGTCCACGTCCTCGACCACGACCTCTATCAGGTTGAGCAGCTGGCGGTACATCGGGACCAGAGTCCTCATCGTCATCTTCGTTATTCTGTCTGGGCGGTCGGGCTCGAGGGCGGGTGGTGGCGTAATTGCGCTCTTTGATCTTTGAAATGTGCTCGGCCATGGTAGCATCTGTCCCGATACCATTGGCATCCATGAGCGCAATCAGTTCCGGCTCAGTCAGGTAGCCTGGAGGACTGGTTTTGCCTTCATGAATGCGAGCTTCTGTAGGCTCGAGAACGTCCCCCTCCCGGAAATCTGGTAGATCTTGGCTGCTGGTCCATCTATCGTAGCGGTAGACATCGAGGTAGTTCCTCGCCAGTACCACAAGACCTGAGGTGTTGAAAGTCTCGCTACCATATAGCAGACTAATGTCCGTTTTTGAGCCTCTGGCATCCTCGCTGCAACACGCAAGGAAGCGCCGTACCACAAACTCATGTACTCGCTGCTCCTCCGGCGAGAGCTGCTCTGGTGCGACAAAATTGACCGGGTGGATAGGAGGATGTGCCTTGTCGTTGTTTCGCCCATTGCGAGGAGCAGAGAAGCCACCGTTCACGAGTCCACGTGCGAATTGCGCCCATGGCCCTCCTTGTCTTTGCTTCTGGACTAATGCTCGCAGGTCCATCCCACAATCGAACTGGTCAGTCTCGGTACGTGGATAGCTGATCCATCCTTTCTGATAGAGTGCTTCTGCCAGTTGCATGACTCGATGACTATCCAGATACAGGAATCTGCTACCGCATTTCTGCAGCTCGACTGTGGTGAGAGGCAATGGCTTCCACTTACTCGTCGGTTTTGTCTGAACTTTCATCACTTGCGCGGTCTTGGATGTCAGGCATCGCTCGAATAAGATCACGGCGACCATGCGGTCAAAGAGGTGGTTACGAGCCCATCGGAAGTTGACTTTGATGCCGTCCTTCTCGTGCATGAGCTTGATTGTCCAGAATGTTTCCGGCACAAAGTTACGTACACGCAAGTAGCGCTCCACCACAAAGCCGAGGGTCGGGAATTGACAGCTTCCATAGCTGATGACGCCTTGGTCTTTGTTGCGGAAGTGCTGATGTATCATGGGCTGGACACTAAGTGTGAGGTTGCGCGTGAAGCTGGCACCAATGCGCAGATCGAGCTCAATACGAGACGCTACGGCATTTGACTGTGCCTCGTCAAGGGTGACTGGATTCCGCGCTGCATTGATGATATGAGCTCTCTCTATGTTCGAGAATCGAGCGCGTACTGTCTTTCCGGGATCGCTGAGACTTCTGTTCCCTTTGAGAGCTTCGTGTCGGATCTCTGCTCCGATATTCTCGCCTTCGCGGTCACAATCTGTCCAGATGAAGAGATATTTGGCATCTCGAGCTTGGCGCTCGATATTGCTGGCGACACCCTTCTTGCCCTCCTCCACGAATGTCAAGATCTGTGCGTCGAAGAGATCAGACGGCTCACAGTCTCTCCAGATCTTGTAGCGAGGGTCGAAATCATGGCTGAGGAGATGGCCCAGGACAGAGGTCATGGTCACGTTGCAATTTCCCCATGTCGGGAAGCTGTATTGAAACTCAAAGTTCTTGACATAAACGTTGCCTTGTATATTGCGCTGCACATACTGTTAGTCGAGTTGCTGGGTACTCACTATCAGCTTATCACCCACTGTGTTAACTTGACCTCCTCCAAGATGGTTCGCCACAGCTTTTGCTATCGACGGCTTCTCGGCCACACAGAGCACCTTCATAGGCCCATCACCATTGCGAGGCATGTCTACGTTTCCGGCTATTGTGCCTCATCACGTCTCACGGCGGTAGAAATCAGTAGCTTCCAGATGCCGTTGATTGTTTTTAGGTTGAAGTGGTTTGACGCGTGCGGGAGACGCGTCGTGCCGAGGTCTTGTGGACCCACTTTCACACCGATAAAGCAGTCACAGTCTCATCAATCTTCGCTTCCGTTCGACTGCATAATTGGACTCGACAGATCGAAAGAGAGTTGTCGCTACGTCTCCTGTCGGCAAGATTGTTCTATTGATACCTGGACTAGTCGGTTTACAAACATGTGTACGGACAGTAGGTAGGCAGCAGCGAATGATTCAATGCTACGTATTGGCATAGTCAACTTGTCGGATGCGGCGCTGGTTGCATCGTTCTTGGATGATGTTGGTATAGATACCGGTTGTGACACCGCCAAACACGCCAACCTGAAGAAGCAACTTTCTGGTCTGGTGTGCTTCGGGTCCATGGCGTTCGGTTCGAAAACTAGCGTGAAAGCCTCGGTGAGCAGGTAGGGGCGGGCGTCCAAGTACTCGGTGTACAGCGCGCCCGTGAAATCAGATAGAAATTGGTAACTACGCTCGCTAGTACGCACAGCAATGTAAGAAGGAGATGACACCCAGCCAATTCAATTAATCGTTTTGATTTTTTCTCTCGCCACATCAATCTTCCTCTGCACCCTCTCCGTATCCTCCTCAACCATACCCAACATCTCATTCTGGATAATCAACTCCTCATTGATCATCATCCCCATATCTTTCATCCTCGCCACCGACTTCCCCAAGCTCAAAACATCCTCATCCTGCTCCTGCATGACCTGCCGCTGCAGCTGCAATACCTGCCCGTTGTCCAGCTCACGAGTACGCTCGGTCTCCTTCAAAGGTCCACCAAGGACGCGGCCACCTGGCTTCGCTGCTGATGTGCCCTTCCATAGCGCTGCTTTGTCACCTGAGGATGCTACAGCACCGGACTGAACATTACTGGAGGCATTTGAGGTCTTCGTTGCCATGCTCCTCAGCAAGCCCTCAAGTCCTTCTACCTCCATTCTCGCCGCACCCAGCAGATCTCGCCTCCGTCTGATCTCGCCATCCCCAAGACGCTTGCTACCGCCCCACCCAGCATCATCGCCTTTACTGGCTGTCTGTATGCTCTTCAACCCATCCTCAAGCTGCGCTATTGAAGTTGCTGCTCGGACCAGACTACCCTTCGCCTCCGCAGAAAGTGCGTGCTGCTGCTGTGCTGTTGTCGCGGCCTCTCTCTGCTTCAAAAGTGTCCTGGCAGACTGTATCTGTGTCTTCAGATCGCGATGTACGTCCAACCACTGATTCGGATCTGTGACGCCTGTCTCTTGTTTGTGAGTTGTAGCTGAAAGACTGCCGTTGGCGTTGACTGTGCTGGTGCCAGAGGGTAGATTCAGGAACGACCGCCATGCGCTGCTACTCCGCCATCGGCCATCGTCTGCCTCTACTACGGTCTTGAGGTACTTCTCCAAAGCTTGTCGTCGCTCTTCTGTCAAGGCATCGTTGTTGACCGTTCGCCTAATCCACGACTTCCCTGGAATCGTGGCAGGTGGTGCTTGGCCACATTGCGAGACGAGGCCGTCGTTCAGTGTCACGAAGTCTGTGTATCGTTTCCGTACTTCGTGTTTGCGCAGTGGTAATTGGAGTGTGACATGGTATTGCGTGTAAGGCTTCCCACCTTGCGGTGTGGCAGTGGATGTGGTAGGAACACTGATATGGAGTGCTGGCGCCATAGCTGTCTACTATGCTGATGAGCTGGCCAGAACCACTACTCGTCGTCGTGCCTGCCACAAAGGCACTCGAATAGAGTTTCATGGTCGGCAGTTCAGCTGCACGACTGCGTCATCTCACGTGCCGTTGCTCCAATCTCCCGCAGAGCCTCGTCGTGAGACTTTCCACTCATGCGCTTCAGGCGCACGCACGTCCGTACACCGACCTTGTGACGTATACTCATTTCACGATGAGACCGTCCACACAGCTATTCTCGCTCTGCGAAACGTCGTGAAAGGTCCTGCTAATACCCGCTTGCCAGCACACCGACCGCATAGTGACTAGGAAACACAAAACACCTCGATATTCTGGCGTGCTAGTATGATTCGTTATGCTAAATTCTAACTGTTACATGCTGCAGCTCATAGTGTGAATGGATCGTCATTATCCTCCACGAGTCGTGCGTTGGAGCTTTGAGACTGGATGGCGCATGCTAGGTTCAGACGGTCCACTGCATATCTACTAGTGTTTGCTTCATCGATAGCCCGCAATCATTGTCATGTCGTTTTCGTCGTCTTCAGATTATCGTGGTTATCAGATGATGGAGGAGTAATGCCGAGGAATGGCAGATTGCATCTACAGGACAACAAATCCACCGCTGATACAGGATGAACTACGCCAACTTGCTAGAAGAGGGGAGGTTGAAGGTGAGCTTGATTGCGCTCACAACAAATTTACGAATACTGACGAGAGCAGCGAGGTTTCGTGGTCGCGACTCTTGTCAGTACGCTCGTAGGCACTCTAACGGCGGGCATGACATTATTGGATAAAGTCCAAGATAAACGTGCGAAGGCCAAGCAAAAAGGCGTCGACGATGGTCAAAATGCTCAACTCCAGCAATTGAAGGCCAAAATCGAGAACATTGAAACCCGAGAGCAGGATTGTGATGATGGAAGTAGTTCTTCAAGATCAAGTCGCAGACCACAGAGACGATCAAGACGATCTATTGTCGACTGCGAGGAGGCGCTGGCATATTCTGTTCGCAAGTCGCGGGCATTAATTGAACGTGAGTATGAGGACAATCTCATGCGTGTGGGCCGGGACTATGCTCGAGGCGATTGTGAGTTGCGTACCATATGTCGCTGCGTTTCTGTGGCTGATAAAATGGGCAGTAAACACCGAGAACAAGCTCCAAGCCCAAATTATCCAGCTCCAGCAAACAGTCATCAATGTGTTGCAAGAAGCACTCTACTCCGGGCGCCAACTCACAGATGAGGATATGTACAGACTGGTCAACGCACAGTACGCAGCTCGGGAAGGCTCGTTAGAGGCGCTACAAGACCAGTACCATCGTATGCTGGACAGGCGACGACCAGACGAAGACAGATTACGACTAGGTCCAACACCAGGACTGCGACAGAAGCAACTCAGTTGGCCTGTCGAACGGCCCACAGAGCATCGAGAATTCGGTCCGCCTCGTAGAGCGAGAACGCTACCGTCTAAAAGCCTCTTTTGCCGCTACAGCGAAGACCTGCAGTACAGCTCATCGAAAGAACTACATCCAGCGTTCGACCCAAGAGACGACGGTCGATGTCCCGCTTGCGCCGTCAATCTCGACGTGAGACTAGGCGATTCATGGGTCTTCCAAGACAAACGCATCAACGATCGATTTGTAGTCAAAAGTCATGCGGAAGATGGGAGGTTCGTTTGTCTCATATGTAACCGGTATTCGCAAGTGGATTGTGTTTGTCGAGATATTGATTCGTTGATGCGGCATATTACCAGCACGCATAAGCCTGAGGAGTTGGAGGATGATGTAGATGTTGAAAAGGTGGTTCGTAGATGGGAGATTGAGTATGCATGAGAACAAATGACGACGTCCTTCCGATCCCTTCCTGTCGACGATCGAGAGACCACCTACGACCTTTTGGAAACGACGACAGGTCACGGACAAGGTATCTACGAACGATAGACGTTATACCTGGTCAAAAAAAAAAACAATCCCATCGCGATAATCGGACCACGAGGGTTTCGACAAAAGGAAACGGGCTTTGCAGCTTCTGTGGATCTGTCGGTGGTGTTAGAAGAATGGCTGGAGATGTAATCACGTGACAGCAATACCGAACACAGTACCTCCAGATACCGCACAGTGGTGTTGACTGAAGTGGACTTCAGTCTGGCGCTCTCCCAAGTGAGCTACTGCGAGGTTGTTAGGATATGCTTGATACGAGTTCCAGGAATTCGGGCAACTTACAAGCTGCAATATTAGCTTACTAAGCATATCTTATAATTTATCACCCTTACGCAAATCAAGACCGAGAAACAACCAGTGGCGACGGTTATGGTCCATATCTTCGTCTCTCACCATATGCGTGGTCGGATAGCTGCTTGAAGGGTCAGGCGCTCGACTGATGACTATTCAACGCCTCCACAATCAACCCACAGCCACCACCGACGTTGACGATCGATATTATTGTCATTTCACCATCCATGAGCAGGATGTAACAGAGCGGAAAGTGGAGAGCTTGTCGCAGTGGAGAGCTCGGAAGATAGACCATCTCGGGCCAGTTTGACCCGACCTCCAGGAACGATCATCCAGCTATTTCGAGCCGCTGCGCCTCAACCTCCAAACAATGGGTTCACGCCTCTCACTCAAAGCCAGGCAATATTCGCGAGACACGACATGGATATTGTAAATCGATAGACTTTGTGTCGATGATTACAAGGTGCGCGTCATCTAGGCAACCTCAGCGTGATCAGCGTAAAATCGTACATGCCCAAGGCTGACCTTACCTTCGACATCACTCGGATGGAATCCTGCACCAATTGCATAAATTATAGATAGAGTTTGGAAGCAAGAATCTAATGCGGGAGAGCTACGGAATGCCGCCCGTTTGATCGTCGGTACGAGCACTGCCTCACGTAGCTGCTATTCTTACTACAACCAACAGTGCAATTTTCCTTCCCTTCACACTCCGGTCGAGTGCCGGCCACATGGCACTTCCAGATATGGTGCTCGTCCCGTCGTCGATACGAAGCTAATTGCCATTGCTTAGATTTGCCATGGCCTCCGGCTCGGTCTTGTAGACGATCACGGGTACGGCACGAGGAGACCTTGTTGATCTCTGCCATGGACAAGCACTTTCGCGATTTTCAAGAGGCGAAGGATTGCGCAGTAACTCAGACCAGAGTATCTTGGCATCGTTGCTCGTGCCGCCATGCGTCTCTCTAGCAGAAAGTGTCGCTATGCTCACCTCATGTCAGTGTGCCACTGCTCAGAATAGTCGCTGTCACGCAGCCTGATCTACGCCGTGTTGTAACGCTACGACCTGCAATCTCATTCAGAACCAGGCGGTATGCTGCCCGCGATACAAGCCTCCTCAAGCGCATGTCGAGCATCTCACTAAAACAGCAGGGGATCTGGTATATCGACACCAAGGACTGCCCATTCAGCGCGAGACACATGCGCTATCGACGCAACTCGCACAACCCATCCATCGATCCTGGAACGCCACTATTGCCATTCCAAGAACATTGTCATGCATGACACCACCTTGACATCCTTTCCTTTTGAATACGTACCGAATGTCGATGGCATGCCAAAGAGTATATCTTGCACTGGCCTCGCCCTAACGGCTGGCACTCAGATACGAGAGCGTCACTCCTTGCGCTTAGTATTTGGTACAGCGAGCTGTATGGATCTCCGTAGAGATGCCCAGCTTGGCTCTAGTCGCCAACCACGCCGCCAAGGAAGCAGGTCTTCCCATGGACACGAATCACGATCAACACCACAGGTTCAACTACCTTACACCAGTCCTTTACCACAGTCGCAATGGTCGGAAGTGCCTCTGCCGTATCGGCCGAGAGATTGGGTCGACGAGTCGGATCGACTGCAGCCGTACAATAGCCAACAAGAGCGAGACTGGCGTCTTCGACCAGCCGTGTCCAACGACAGACAAGCACAACCAGGAGCACCTACACCATTGAAGACACGTCGGCGACCACAAAGTCAGCTAGAACTGCCGAATCATAATGATCCATCATTACTCCAACCAGAGATAAGCGCTCGTGCAGACCGCTTCCGAGGGTATCAAACAAGGCGAGCAGTCAGCCAGCCCAACTCACCTCCTTCCTTCCAACAGCAATTCGCAGAAGCCGAGCCTCCTATGCTAGGCATACCACGATCACCGACATACCCTCCTGCCGGCCGAAGAAGGATGCACAGCACATCTGGGGTGACAGATGCTGCTTTCGATGATGAAGCAGAGTTTCGACTATTTGTCGATGCGACCGCCGGACTGGGTCCGCATACTGCGTTCAGACCATCGGTATCAACATTGGGTATCTCACGTTCCCGCGCCCACGATCAATCAGCTTCGCCCATTGCCAGTTCACCCTCTACAATGCTGGCCCTCGCCCACCTAGCGCAAATGCCACAAGCAGGACGAACATTCGAATCTCACCCACGGCAGGTACTTCAGGCAGTAAATGCAGGCGTGGATCTGTGGTCCGAGCCACCGACACGGTCGCAGCCCGCCATGCCATTGAGTCCACTAGATGGCGACGAAGAAGACGATGATGACCTGCCACCTCCCGATGATGAATTGCCAAATTATGCGGAGAGCCAGGCGCAGGCACAGGCTGGACAGCGGGCAGAGGCGGCACGGAGGGCACAAGAGTTGCAGAGAAGGTGGCAGGCAAGGTCGTGAGAGCATTTATGGAGCAGAGGCAAAGCTGAATCTACGGGACGCCCGTTTGCTGGCACGATACCGTTGGCAGGTACACATGCGACGGCTGCGGACTGCGGATCTGCTCGATGTAGATATGTAGGAAATGCATCGCCCATCTTTCTGGGATTCCTGTGTGCACCTCATGGCATCGCGAACGGTCAGTCTGTCTTGTTCTAGGATCCTATAGCAGTCGATACAGTACTGGCTCACTGCGGGCAGCACTATCTCTTTGTATGAACCTAGATCTCTGCCACCATGGTCTATAGGAGAAGGCTGGCATGGCTAGATTAAGTGTGTATTGATTGAGTGGTGATGCTTTTGTGAGCCTTCTTAGTGGTATTATGGCATTAACGCCCTTCTTCGAGAGCCGCCGGATAAGTAATCATTGTCGACCCATGAGGCTGTAGGACGTATATTTCGAGCCAAACGCTGTCGGCTGTTCTTCACCTCGTTGACCTGTCGAAGTATGCTTCCAATCGAGATCCAACCTCAGCTTGCTTCAGCACGTCTCGTCTCTGTGCCTAGCCGAACAGCTGCGGCCCCGCGCTGTTGGAGCGATCGATCGACCGGGGTACGAGCACGGGGAAGTGCAGTCATCTTGTGCGAGATCAGACGGGTATTTTGGACTTCAAGGATATGATGTGCGATGCTGCAGCGTCAAATTTAAGGAAGATATTCACTATCTAGCTCAATCGAGATATGAAAATGAATATGATGAAATCAACTCGAAAGAGGTAAATGCTCGCCCGCGTGCCCTCCCCGAGGACTGTCTCGGATGACGCATGTGAAACGAGTCGAAAGTGCACGGGCTAAATGCCGAAGGAGGAGCACATGATGGTCGGCGGAATGGCATAGCGCGGCAAGAGGTGGCATAGCTGTGAAGGCAGTCCTGGTGACCTCGTCGGCTGATACCACTCTCACCATTCATCTTACACCCACCCCTCATCACGAGCCGTAGTTGTGCTACAGAGCCACGAAACTGGGAGGCCGATTGTTCGTGGTGCCCATCGCTACTATCCTACCTCTCCCATTGATGAGTGCGCTACTGAGGTGTTGATCGTCTCGACCTACAACAATCCATTGTCTGCTAGTCTTCTCACTTCTCACGAGCCTGGCCTCGCCATCCACTATGCGTACTCTAAGTACTACCCTACTGGCCACAGCAGCGAGTCTGCTAAGCCGCGCCTCTGCTTCCACCCTCGCTCCACCCGTCCTGCCCCTCATTGTTCGGAACCCATACCTCTCGACCTGGCTGGCCAACGCTCGAGAGGCGCCCTGGACACAATGGCCCATGTTTTACACTGGTAACTCCGTGGGTCTAGCAGTCCTGGCTTCTGTGCCGGAAGCATCGACAGTCTACCCACTCCTCGGACGACCACAAGACAGTCTGGACAGCCAAGCCTCACAGTACAACCTCTCACACCCAAAGTACCTGGGTGCTCAGTACGATGCCTCGACCACGAATCTAAGCTACAGCATCCCCTCCCCTCATTCGTCGAGCCCAGAGGGAGTGGAGATCATCCTCTCCTTCCTCTCCCCAATAACACCGACCTCGACCTTTCGGCAATCAATTCCAGCGTCCTACTTGACCATCCACGTCAAAGGATCCTTCGACATAGACATCTACATTGACTTGAATGGCCAATGGGTATCCGGGAACCGAGGTAGTGAAATCGAATGGGCGTTGTCGGAAACAGATTACGAAGACGCCAAGAAACTGAAGACATGGAAGATTAAGAGAAGAGTTGAGCAGCTGTTTACGGAGTGGAATGATCAGGCCGAGTGGGGCACACTGCACTTTACTGCTCCGGCTGGGGAAGATGTGAGGTACCAGGCAGGGATATCTGGGGTGCTGCGGCAAAAGTTCGCGAAGAGTGGAAGGTTATCGAACACTGTGGATGATAAGTTCCGGGCCATAATGGATGAGGAGCCCGTTTTTGCGTTCAGCAAACACTTCAATCTAACTAGCAACTCGTCCTCTGCGTCCTCAGCATCCAAGGAAGACAGCATCCTCTTTACGCTCACACACATCCAAGACCCCGTGACCCAGTTCGCCTCCGCCCGGGGCCTAACGTACATGCGTCCGTTGTGGGAGTCCTACCTCCACACTCCGGAAGCTCTGATAACGTACCATTACCTCGACTTTGCTCACGCGTCCGCGTTAGCAGCGAACTACAGTTCACAGCTTGCAGCTGATGCTTATGCTTCGGGATCAGATACCTACGTCGACATCGTCTCCCTTTCGGCTAGACAAGTCCTAGGCGCCACCTCCTTCTCCGGAACCCCGGAGAACCCGATCCTCTTCCTCAAAGAGATCTCCTCGAACGGAAACTCCCAGACCGTGGATGTGATCTTCCCCGCTTTCCCATTCTTCCTCTACACCAACCCGCGATGGTTAGCTTACCTGCTTGAGCCGCTACTAGAGCATATGCTGAGTGGACAATATCCGAATCTGTACACCATGCATGATCTGGGCACACACTTCCCGAATCTGACTGGGCATGCGGATGGGAACGATGAGTACATGCCTGTGGAGGAGTGTGGAGACATGCTTGTCATGGGTTTGGCTCTAGTCAATAGTTTGGGGTATGGGGATGAGGGATCTGCAGGTAGTATTTGGAGTTCGTTGGGTGAGGAGAAGGATGTCAATGCTTTGGACACTGTGGGTGAAGATGTCAGTCCCTTTGCTTTGCCTGCTAGATTGGAAACGAGAGAGGGTGTGTTCGGCTTAGATGATGCTTGGGGCGGAAAAACGGCGGGTGCACATCAGGCACGGAAATGGCTCGGTCGGTCGTACAAGTTGTGGAAACAGTGGACGAGCTACCTGGTGGAGTACTCTCTCGAGCCGCACAATCAACTCTGCACGGATGATTTCGCTGGATGGCTTGCTCTCCAGACTAACCTCGCGTTGAAGGGCATTATCGGTATCAAAGCCATGTCCGAGCTCGCGGAGGTGGTGGGAGAGAAGGAAGAAGCCAAATACTACCGCAATGTGAGCGAGGTGTATGTCAAGAAATGGGAGGAGATGGGTATGTCTCGTGATGGTGGCCGGGCGAAACTGGCGTACGATTGGTATGGGAGCTGGACAACGCTGTACTCGTTGTACGCCGATGCACTGCTATGCTTTCACCCGTCGACCAACTTCTCGGCCAAAACTACGACACTGAGTCTGAGTCTGCTGGAGGGTGGACAACAACCTCTCAAACCTGGAAAGGGAAAGGAAAAGGATAATTTCATCCCCGATCACGTCTACACGACCCAGTCTCGCTGGTACACCACAGTCATGCAGAAATACGGCCTTCCCCTCGACTCTCGACATCTCTACACCAAATCCGACTGGGAGTTCCAGGCTGCGTCTGTGGCATCGAAGTCGACACGAACGGAGATCTTGGGTCGGGTTGCCAAATGGTTGAATGAGACGTCGACTGACAGACCTTTCACTGATCTGTACAAGACGGAGGAAGATGGAGGATTTCCTGGTCCGGACTTCTTTGCACGACCTGTGGTTGGCAGCCACTTTGCATTCTTGACGCTCGAGAGGGCTTGTGGAGGACATGCTGCTGAGGCTTTTATGTACGAGGAGTAGATGTATGTATGCATCAGTGGTGAATTGAAAATGTCATCACAAGCTGTTGAGCTTTTGGAGTGGAGGTTGGAAACTGCTTGGGATCCAACAGGGAGGTCCTTACGAAGCTTATGTGAACATGATCCTGGTGTAAATACTCTTGAGTAACATCGTTGGAACATGATACTCGTGGCCGGTCTCGTGTGTAAATCTTCCTCATGCCATGGTAACGTTCTTGGCGAGAGTCTGGCTGATCTTCATTGACGCTCGGACCACGTTGTCCTTCGAACCTCATGCTTCACGCTGTCTGTTGCGGGTCAGGCATTGCGAGCTGGCTGACTTGCCATTGCGACCACACCGTCTCTTTCAACAGACCACTCTTTCCGTAATCATGGCATCCGGCTATGGTCTCACAGGAGGTACGCGAAATCGTCATCCTCCTGAGCAAGCCGCCATAGACTCGACTTCCCACCAAACAGCTTCACTAACAAGCCATCAGGTCCCTCCCGCTGCTTTCCCTTCTGGCAAGAAGTCCTCGCCTGCTATGTGGTGAATACGAGTGCAGAAGATGACAGTGGAAAAGCGAAATGCAAACCTGTGCTGGAGGATTATTACGAGTGTTTGCACCACCGGAAAGAGGTACTCCACACCACAACACACCCATAGCCTTACCCTTCCAAGCCTATGTAGTACGCATGCTGATATACGTGTGCTGTACAGTTCTTCAAGACCACCGCCCTTCAAGCTGCATACCGCAAACGAGAAGCAGAGACACCACGCGACAAAGCTCCCTCGGCCGGAGAGATCAGGAGTCTGGGTTTGCTGGAGAGGAAGGACGAGGAGGTGAATATCAAGCATGGGAGTTTGTTGCCGACCTATAGTAGTAATGCGCCCAAAGGACCGCTGGGGGTCGGCGAGAGGGTGGCGCACGGTGGTTGAAGGGATGTACGAATGATATGGTGGAAGCAGGGCGTTCGGGTGGGTGTATATACTTGCTGCGAATCGATGTTCAAGGATACAAGATACGATGGTGGTTTGGATTGTCATTTGCGCGTCCTGTTCTGCGAAGGACGATCTCGAATGCACCTGCCACATATGTCAGGCGTACCTTCCGAAAAGCGTACTGACCCCACTAGGTCCATGCAGACCGCAGGTTCAGAGTACCAAGTCCTTCTGCGACATCATCCGGTCTGCAACAGCATCACACCGAAATGCGCTTGCGACACAGGTCTCGGTCCGGTTCGAAGAGGATGGCGACGAGACTGAACGGCCATGGCCTGCTCGCGCTACCAGCAGAGGTGCTCACCGAGATCTTCAGCTTTGTGAGGTGCCTTTCTATTCTCTGTCTCGCTCTACTAATATGAGTGCAGATCACTGCGACCACAGACCAGGTCACAGTGTGCCTCGTCTGCACAGAGACTCGAGAAGTCATGCTGCCCATACTTTACAGCACTGTCTATCTCGTCATCGATGACGACTCCGATGCCAGACAGCAGGTCGCGCCGCTCCTGAACTCCAGCAATCTAGGTGTGAAGCATGTTCGCCACCTGCGTCTGGACACTACTGATCCTTCGTCGACGACGCCGGAAATTATGCTGGCCATGACCGTCAACATTCTGCCCCGTGATTGTCTTCGAAGCCTATGGTTCGTGGCCTTGTCAGTTGTATTGATCACCGTCAACTGACAGTTGGCCTTGAATAGTTCCAATGTTCTTTTTGATGACGAGCAAGATCAGCATCTGCTCATCCTTCTCGGTCAACATCAACGCAAGTTGGTCCATCTCAGTCTAAGCAAATCCTGCATTGATGCCTTCCTAGGTGTTCAAGCTGGGCGCATAGAGTATCTACCGGGCATCGAGAGCCTGGAGACCACATGCTATGACGAGCTAATCATGGCCGATGACCATCCCTCCGAGGTTTACAGCGTCGGTTTCGAGCAGCTTCGCAGCCTCCGCATCGATCTGAGCGATGTTAGCGTTGCCTTCGACAACGACCCGACAGCTCACGACTCCGCTCTCGTGACCTCACGGTACTTCCGTGGTTTCCTCCGCCAAGATGATGATGAAGAAGACACAGACGAGGTTGAGCTGACTCGATCGATATCTTCGCTCGCTTGAATCAGACGATTGGCATTGTCCAACGCGCGTATTGGTACTCCTGCACCTGAAGCACTGCTGCAAGCATTCGACTTCAAGCAGATGACGTACTTGTGCATGGAGAAGTGCCATCAGCCTAGCCTGTTCCTTCGGGCATTAGCCAACTTAGGAGATCTTCGGCCACAGACTTTCGTTTCCAAACCGGCAAATTCAGTGAGATCAAGGACGATCACGAGCCAGCCAGAGTGCTTGGCACTTTCCTCAAGGCCTTCACTGGATTGAAAGCTCTCAAGCTGCACATCTTAGCACCTGTCAAAGCATGCATAATCGCTGGCATGGCGATAGCGCAGCACCAGGCTACCCTCGAGATACTGTCCATCGACTTTGGTAAGAGGTCAGAGTGTATTTGGACTGCAGATGACATCTCTTCCGTGACCCAAACCTGCATCAAGCTACGACAACTAAGTCTGGTCATGGGCCAAATCGATTTGAGTTCCGGTGGTCCCTCGTTCTTTCGGCGCTGGAATAAGCCCTTCGATCATCAAACCGCCTTATATGTAACACTCCGGAAGATCGCGGTGTTGACGAACCTCGTTACCCTCCATTTGCGAAGACTGCCGGAAGTTTCGCTAACACATGCCAAAAGCTACCCAGAAAACCATTATATGTCTGATTACCAGGAGGCCGAGCTTCGACGATTAAAAGAGGCTTGCATGACCCAGTGCTTCTCTGGCTCGCATCTCAGAGTAATGGCGTGGGGCGGTGAGGAGATCTGTGGGCTCAGGACCAACCTCCACGACTGTGAAGTGTGGAGTAACATGCTCTGCTGTACTAAGGAGGAGCTAACGGACAGCCGTGGCAGCAGGCAAGCTATAGCCATGAAGACGAAAAAGGAGAAGCTGAAGTACGTTGAGCCTGAGGTAGATGTGTTAGGTGTGGCATTCCAGCAGACGATTTGACTTGTGAATGGTTGCCGAATAAGAAGGGACGTTGGAGGCATCGAAGGGCTTACGACGCTGTCACTCCATCCGCTGAGTGTATATTCATGCGTGACGCAATCCGAGGCTGAAAAGTAGATGTGAATCAGAGTCAACCCACGAGCCGCTTCAACAGCGACTTCTACTTGACGAACAGATCGGGCTTCTCTTACCCACAACAGTCGTTCCAGACCTTTCGAGCAATCAGTGCTGTAACGTTACAGCATACCACCGCGACACACTGGGTCTAGCTGAGTACAGATTGGACCACAATGGCTGCGTCACCGGAAACCCCGAGCTCGCTTAGTCTGCCTGCAGAGCATCATTTCGAGATCTTCACTCTGGTAGGCAGTATACAACGATATTTCGGCTGCGACAGATACCAAAGTCTTCCAAGGTTCCGGCGCCTTCGGATGAGGCCAGCGTCTAGAGATCGCCATCCCAGTGCTCTACCGTACTCTGAACCTCGTGCTCTCCACTCCAGTCACTGTGACGATATAGAGGAGTCTGACTCATCGTCATGATTCGGGGCTGTAACACGTCCACTAGCTCAAGATCGATTCCGCGGGAACCTCAAGGCGTATAGCTGAGGAAATGGTCTACTATCTTCTCCAAAGCATTCCAATTCGCGTTCTCCGGAGCCTTGTATAAGCGTGGTGGGGCTTTGACGGTTATTGTTGCGGTGCTGACGTGTGTACATAGGTTGGATGTAGCCTTCGGTCCAACAGAGGCGCTTCTAGTACTTCTTGACAAGTATCACTACCGCCTTGAGCATCTGCATCTGTCGAGTCTACTGGACAGCCTTGTTCTCTCCACGCACGATCGTGTTGCACCTCTGCACAAGCTGACTTCGAGTCTTCGACCATTCACCTGCAATGCGACTGCCGAGAACGGGAAGAAACGTATTGTAGCTCGCCTTATGAGCCCGTGGTAGCTAGAATAATTTGAGCCTAAGGAGGAGATATCGGGTCTTGCTGGACCATAAGCCTCCAACTCGGGAGGTGCTCAGGCAAGATCGAGGGGACTGCCTTTGGTGGAGAAGCATGATGATGCTCTGATCATCCGCTGAACTGCTTCAAGGTATGGCATATAGGGTCGCGCATGGACTTACCAGAATGTGAGGCGCACAGTAGACATCTAGAAGCTATTGGTACTATGAAGTTGCTGTTGTGCTTCCGTATGTGACTAGCATCAGCATTCACTTCCTTCGAGCAGGGATTTGCATGTTCGCATGATGAACATCGATCTTCCGGCATTCAGGTGTCAGCTTTCGGCGTGACTTGGACTTGACCGGCTCCAGAAACAGCATCACTATATCTTCGCGAGCTACTCGAAGCCTGAGCAGACCTTTACATAACCGAAACACTTGAAGCCGTGGATGAAGCTTAGTGAGTTCGTGGCCTGTAGACGAGTTGGGGTTTAGCTGCCAGCGAGCCATCGGCGGCAGGATCAATCTGTACCACCGACAAGATGGCTACTGCTCCGTTGTAAGGTACTCGATGTCGTCCTCGGCCATATTTCGATGCCGATGGACAAAAAGGAAGATGGAAGGCTCCAAAGCGTGTAGCAGTTGTGATGAGCTTCCGCTTGGGGAAAGTGGAGATGCCTTGGCAGGTTGCGAATCCAACTCCTCACGATCATCACGAAGTCACGATCGGCAAACAGGAGCGTATAGCTGTCGTGCGTGAGAACGACTCAACAATGGCACACTGTTGGCCTCCATAGAGCATCATTTCTTGGCATCACGATGCCCGCGGAAGCCTCAACACCAGTCTACGCATCCTTCCCAGCGTCAAAACTAACAATAGGCGCTGGCGTTGCCATCTTTCACCTTGCTTCGGAGCGAGTCGTAGTATGCTATCATACGCGGGATCACTACTGGTTCTTACCCAAAGGAAGACGCAATGCCAACGAGGACACCAACCGAGCTGCAGAGCGAGAAGGCTTCGAAGAGTCGGGTTACAGAAACAGAGTCTTGCCTTTGCCTCTGAGGCATAGGCAGCCGGATCCAGATGAAGGCCACCAACGATTTGTGACGGAGCCCATATGGACGCAATTCTTACCGTTGACGACAACATCCCAGTACTTGCTCTTCTGGTACGCGGCAGAGACCGTGCCTAGAGCCATTGAGGAGTCTTACGTCGTGCGGGCGAGTGATGGCACGATCACGCATGCTAGAGTATACAAGCAACCGCTGCCTTTCCCAGCCGATATGAATTTGAGGCAGAGAATAGCCATGGACTCAGTGGCTGGCCCAGATGGTTCGCGGAAGATTTACGAGCCTTTCTGGCATGAAGGTACTGGCGTCGATGAGGAAGAGGCGTTGTATACCAGCCATCTACTGCCCGTCGATGAGGCTAGGTGGAAGTTGAAGGGCAGTATAATGGAAGATATAATTAAGAGAGCTTGGGAAGGCGTTCAGCTTAGGCTAGAGATGGAAAGTGGTTGAGGTCCTGGTTTGTGCTGGAAACATGATGTTATATGCTTAGGGAACTTTATCTGAGTCTACCGCTCAGTTCTATGATTGATCTTACAGGACAAATGTATAGTAAGGGAGACTCAGCAGCGAGCCAGATGCCTCAGCTCCTCGCCCAACAGTCATAAGCTCATATGCACCTCTGCCGAGCTACCCTTTGCACCTTTGCAGCTTGGAGTTATGTTCTTCATTCTAAAGATACTAAGAAGCAGCAGACAAACTCTGAGAGATTACAGCTTTAGCGAAACGGCACGTCGTGGTTCTGGGAGAGATCTTGTACAGACACCAAAGGCGAACAACCGGCTTGGAGGTGACATGCGATATGCGAACTGTTAGTACACTGCTGTGAGTCGAAGGATTAACGTGGCCATATTCGCGAGCATCACATGGGCTCCATAATGCTGGCGGAATTTATGCCACCTCAAATATCCATCCTGCAACCGGGACAAGGGGTAGGTTCAGAAGCATCTGTGTGTTGCACCGACTGATGGGTTCGTACATTCGATCGTGTCAATAACGCTTATGACAACAATGGTCGACGCTGGGCAGAGCAAGGATCATTCAAGTGGGTCTGTGAATGCTCAACTTCACATTCACTTGCGCCTCGATAAGCTTCGCTAGCGCGAAACACGTACCAGCCACCGAGTTCTGCCAGAAGAACTGTTTGACAAGCGAGCTCTTCCGAACTCGTAACTCCTTTCTACATGCACTTACATGAAATCACAAATACACACAACATCTGCCGCTATCGACAACACACACTGCATACACAAGGCGCTCACCAGCAACATGGACACATATGGCGACGCGGGCCATGTCCTGCTGACCACGGTGCGATGGTTCACGGAGAAACCTCTGATCTACCTTCTTCATGCCAAAGCGTCTGCCTCCACATCCACTCAGTGGCCCGTCACCTACCAGTACATTCCGACGAAGACAACGCTCGTCGACGACGTTACCACCGTGCTTATCATCAGCACACCGACCACTGCGCTCGCAGCCGAGCCTGGTTTGCCTCCTCTCTGGCCACTGCTCATACTCGCTCTACTGCTCTTCGTCCTTCTTGGCCTTGGTATCAGTCTTCACCGCTCGTAACCAAAACAGCTCCAGCAGCACCACCGGACGACTGCAGAGTTTCGCGTGAAGCTTGCGCAGCTTGAGCAGCAATACCACGAGCTACGAAGTAAGAAGACAGACCTCGAATGGAGTTACGAGTACATCCAGAGTGATCTGTCCGACTGCCAATACCTTAGGGAGTATTGGGCGCAGCAATATTGGGATGTTTTACCTGAGAACATGAAGATCAAGTTGCAATGTGACAAGTACGACGAGCAACGATGTGAGCTTCGGGGCAAAGCTTTCGTGCTTCGTGACAAGCTCAATGCTGCTCTCACAGACGTTGGTACGCTGGATCGTCCAATCCTCGAGCTGAAAGACACAATCCAACAGCTCACAAGCTACACTACGGATGTTGATAACCAGGCGAATGCGGTGACCCAAGTCTATGCGACCCAGCTCGTTGCGCTTCGGTTCCAGATTAAGCAGCTCACCTCACGCAACTCGAAGCCGGAGCTTGCAAACAGCAGCTGGCGCACGTTCACAGAAGGCAACCAGAGCAAGAAGGAGTTTGATGATCTTACCTTGCGTCTACGAGAGCGTAGCAGGCAAGTGAGAGAGATGCAAGAGCGAGCTGCAGCACTTGAGCACTGCATCATGAATTGGCCGACAACCATCACGGATGACTCTTCCCAGCTCAAAATGGATGAGCTTCAGACGCAATTGGAGAACCAGCAGAAAGCCATCGAGTCACTGAAGCAGCAAGTTTCGACTAGGCCTCGAGGTGTTAAGGCCTACAACGAATGTCGGGATAGGTGTAACGTCCATTCGGAGAACCTAAAGAAGAATTATGGTCTGCACTACCCGGTCATGCTGGAGAAAATCGAATTGGCACATCGGCATCTTAACTTTGTCCCTGGCACCATCAGCCACAGCGACTTTGATCGTCCTGCCAACAAGGCTTCGTGCTATACCACAGAGGACTACGAGCCTTACGACACCGACGGCTTGTTTGCCACGCAATCACTAAAGCCTGTTGTCCGTGTGCCTAATAGTACCTCCGTGCAGAAAGTGGCCGATGCCGCACCGCCCTCCCACGCTATTGTGTATCCGGCCACAAGGTGGACAGCCTTCGGTCAGAAGCGGAAAGATGACCAGGCTAAGAAGCGTGGTGAAGCAGGTCCGAATGAGGCGAATGAAGACCCCGAGGCTGTCGAGCCGAATTGGCATGGGACCCTTCCGGCTCTCAACGATCTTGCGGATGTAACATCACAGCAGCCCGCCGATGGTGCGGCACAAGCACATGAGGATCACGCAGAACCTCCAGATAGTAAGAACAAGAATGTCGCTCTGCCAGGTCCAATCAACCTTACAGACACAGCCGTCCCCACTCTAGAACCGCTCCCGACGCCGACAGAAGATGCTACCCTTCCGATCTTGAGGCCACAAGCCAACGCCTTCACACCAGCACATCGGATGCCTGTACTTGTGCCGAAGAAGGCTGCGGGCTTGGAAGCATCAATGTGGGCCTCAGCCGATGATGGTCCTTGTGCTGGTCATAGTGGTGCATCAGCATTCAATCAGAAACATAGCGCTGGCAGTGGTGGAGGTACAGAGGACTCCGGTACGTTGTAGGAGGCACTGAAGCATGCATCCAAAACAGCATCTCACATGATGCTACTGTTGTTGCGCAAACTGCTCGTGCCAAGCGTGCCGGATTGTGTGAGTGATATTGCGGCTGCTCGGGCGGTTCTTGATCGTGGAATGCTTGATTGTTGGTGAAGACGGAGGCATAACTTGATTGTGGGTTCATGACAATGCTTCCAGTGTCGAGCTGCTCGTGATCGGTATCAGTAATGGTTTTGGAATTTCAGACGAGCATGAAAGAAGGAAGAAGGGTGTACTTCGCCCGAGCAAACTGGCTGGCCGTCCTTTGGACAAGCCGTCCATGTTGCTCAAGCGGAACGCCCAGAACTTCACATGAGCGGGTCTGATGAAGTGAAGAAGCATGTAGATATATTGTTGCACAGGTAGAACTTTATGACGAGAGTGATGTTTGACCGACATCAGATATACTGTACATGCCTACTGCCACTTTGAGTCTCACATTGACAGACTGCTCCAAGATGTTGAGTGGAGACATGTCAGTTGTCAAAGCAACTTGGTGATAAGCTGGCAACTGTTGTAATGTTTCTGCAAGGGTGTTCATGAGTTGACCAACGGCTGTTTAATGACGCACATCTTACCGAAGTAGACAAGATGAACTGGACATTGTCCATTCTGGATACGATGATCAAAGTAACGTCAAGCGACCAGTACGGAGCGATGGCACTATCAAATTGTCCACTTCGAAGGGTTCAAGCAAGAATGAGCAGACAATACCTCTATCGATTTCACGCTGTGTAGCCATGATGCTGCCAGACAAGAGCTGTATCGGAACACTGCATAGTTCAGTGCTACATATCAGGTACGATAACATGACATGTCGTGGAGATGGCCTGAACGATATCTTGAGGCGTATGGTCCACAGCCGCGCACTACGCACCCTACAATCCACAACGTTGAGCTCATCATGATATCGATGGCGTCCTTGCGGAGGTGTTTGGCGCCGTGCATTACCTTGGTAATGGTATCCCGATGCAGAGGTCCAGCATGATGTCCTTTAGGTGGGGTTCATCACACGTGCAGCATGATGATCACCTCATCCATGTGGGTATCGGATCTTGGTGGCAACAGACATCCGAGCTGCTGAGCTGAGGCGTCAGCGGCAAGTCACCTGCGCCATTCAGACACGCGGTCTTGCGCCACCTGAAACGACATCCAACCTCGCAGAGCGGGGCCACGGATGGTCGTGCGGAACTGGTGGCTCGTTTTGTGCGATCTAAAAGAAATCGGCAAATTCGTAGACAAGTGGGGAGGATATAGAGAGAGTTGTGCTTGAAGCAAGGTGTTTCGCACAGGCCAAATCTCCAGCCGGACTTCTTCTTCATTGGCAAACTGTCAGCAGCAACGGAATCGAAACAGCTGCGCCTGTGATCACAGATCGATGACACCAGCCACAACAGGGAAGACCCTTAGACGAGAAGGAGGGGGTCCGATCGCAGGCTGTATCGAGACAGCGCGTCCGTCCACGGTCTCAGACTCTCTGGGCGCGATTTTCTTGCCAATAATAATTGCCTCGCGTTGGCTGGACGCGAGATTGCCAAAGGCTGATAATCCTACCCACAAATTCGACTCCTGCGCCCAACGCGGCTGGCCCTAACAACTTACCACGTTGTCTTGCCGATCGCGACATCCAGACTACTGTATCTGGGGCGGCCAGCAGGTGAGGAGTAAAGATAACGTGAGGGGTCCGGTTGTCGGGTAGCCTGGATGCCTTGGATGTAGGATAAGGGCGCAGCGCTAGAGTGGAAGAGTTGCGCGGCGCAAGCCTGCCACGCTGGCTAGAACTGCAGGAACGGCAGGTGTCCGAGGACATGGGAGCCAGGTACCTGAGTACACTATAGTCGGGGTAGCTTTCTCCTCGCCAATGGACAGCTATAGCGCAGCCAAACGGCGTGCTACAGTGGAGTTGAGCATAATTTTATTATTCATAATCGCGATCGTCGGAGGGGCGCAGAAATGTCCGTACCCGCGACTCTGGAACGATTGCTGATCCAAACCAGCGATTTGCAGACCGATAGACAAAGCAGCATGAACGGATATCATGCGCGCAATAATAGTGCCCGTGCCGAACGATTATTAGTGGGTCGATACAACACATGTGTGGGCAAGCGCAAGAGCAGGGCGCTGGACCTGCTGATTGCATGCAGGCGATGATTATGCTTTCCCTCCTCGCGCCTGAAATGCGACCCTTCTTGCTCCTCCAAATATTGTTTTTGTTGTAAGCATTTCGACCTCCAGCCCTGTCTTGTCCTGTACTGGTTCATCTTGTCTTTGCTTTGCCATTGAGATAGTTCTTATCAACGACCGATCCAAGACTATACACCAACCATTGCGAAGCCGGCTTCCTTCGGATCGTTGCACGACAGTTGCCCCGCCCGAGCTCCATACCGGCGCTCCGTACTGTGGAGTGAGCATTTGTTTCTCCCCCGAAGCAGCCAGTCCTCGAAGCAGGTCGAGCGTTGCAACAGACTTGCCTGTACCACGGCACTGGGCGTCTTGGAAGGGTTGTTCTTTGGTCATAGTGGAGACATAACGCAGTGGTCAGCATAGCGAGCGACCTCGGATTGGCGCGGCTGTGCATTTGCCTTTGAGACACAACAAAGGAAACCACTTGGTCATTCGCGTGCTTCGTGGAAGTTCATTGCACTTTATTTTCTTGGATCAACAACATGACTGCTACGAAAGTAAGGCTCGCTTACTTCGCCAGCTCCTCATTACCTACCTAGCTAACGTTGGCATCATCAAGGACATGTCCCGCCCTACTAGTCAGCATCGTTTATCCGTCAGTTCGAACGCCTCCAGTCTCCCAGCCCGAAACTCGTACAGCCGATCCCACTCCCATAATGTCTCCCTGGGTGCCGTCAACGGCGCCAATCGTGTTGGTCGGAGGAAGAGCTCGACGTTCACGCCCATGGCCAACGCTGCAGCCATAGGTGCAGCAGTAGAAAGTGGTGTGGCGGATGGGTCGATAGCGATCAATCGCCGCAGCTCAATCTCAAAGGCTGCGTTGGGCGCTTTGAACGATGGCAGTTGCCCACCAGTGCCCAGCAGCCTCCCGCATGGCATGACAGTCCCCGAGCGTGGCTCAAGTAGTGCATTGGTGGATGGGCCACCGTTGTCGTCGTATGCAGACAAGTCGAAGCCGAAGATCCGAAGAGCAAGTGATGTCTCGCGTCTGACGAAGAAGGAAAGAGCGGGTACGGGCGAGCTGAAGTGCGAACAATGTGGCAAAGCATACAAGCACGGCAGCTGCCTCACAAAGCATCTGTATGTGTTGGAAATACTAAAAGAGCGAGTGCATATACTGACGAGTCTGCAGATGGGAGCATACGCCACAATGGCAGTACACCTCAAAACTGCTTATCTCGAAGCACCAGCAAGTACAGCTCCTCGAAGCTGCGTCTGTGTTGGTGGCCATGAACCAAGATGCGCCAACAGGCACCGATAGCGACGACTCATCTTCGCCAGCAGCCTCCGGATCCTCGGACATGCACGAAAACGGCGTGAGCTCAACCGAGACCACGCCACCTCCACAGACGGACGGCTATAGAGATCCGAAGCGGTTCAGCAGCACTAGCAGTGCCTACTCGCGAAGCTACCAGTCTGTCTTCTCGAGCGGCAGCATGCCAAACAATGAGAACTTCTCACACCACCGCCAATGGAGCTCATCTAGCACCAGGCCGCCGACAGCAAACACTTCGATCGCCGAGAGTTACCGTGATGAGGATCCAGCAGATCTTGCCGCCGCTGTGGGACTGCTAAGCTGTAGCTATGGAACGCCGAAGAGCGGCCCAACCGGTATGCCCGCGGATGCACCCCCGGTACCACCACTTCCCGCCAAGTATGCATCAAGCCAGTATTTAAGCCACGTTCGCCACCACGACGTGGAAATGGACGATGACGACAGCTCGGACGATGAAGTCCACCATCAACACCACCGCATTGACGAGGTAGAGGAAGGAATGTTCGGCAAGATGGACTAGAAGCCTGCAACCGCCACAACATGGAGAATACGAAAACATTGAACTTGATCAGACGACAGCATAAGGTAGGAGGACGAACCTTCTACGACATAAGACCATCTTGGCGTGCGGCTTGAAGTTACGACGCGAATCAAATTGCATGAAGCGGCAGCTCCGCAGCCGGTCTCCAACACCGATGAGCATGTCTGCATGGTCACTCTCATGTGGTTATGCAGAGTGCGAGGTTAAAGATGGAGAGAGGCATGGGACGTTGAGCAGCCTGCTCATTCTCAGGGAGTCGCGGATGGCGTTCATATTTGACGTTCTTGGTTTTCTTGAAACGATGAAGGGGCGAGGTGTTGTATTGCAAGTTTCTTCTTCGGGTATTATTTACGTGACTTGAGACTTGTAGTCATATCCTAGTGTTCTTGTTTCGGGTTGCAAGACCTCTATTACCAAATCCTAATCCTTCTTTGCACGTTCCTTTTATATTAGGTACCTCTCCTGGTGCGCCCTCCAATGCGTCTATCCATCGCCCTCTGCTTGCCGGCAGTCAAGGTGCACCTGACGTATTGTTGCGCCATGCTACGTATGTATTGCGTGCTCCACATCACTCAGGTCCGATAGCATGTCGTGCTTGAACATGGATGATGACAGACGCATGACATACGGTACAGATTGTGCCGTAGGCTCACTCGCTAGCCAGACCCTGGCGTATGTCTACTGCGGCCCCGCCCAGTATCACAGCGCTGAAATGCGACTCCATCCCTCAATTCAGTTGCACTGCCTGTCACAGTAGTGGCGTCGCCTCTGGCCATCCTCTCATGCGGAAGTCGACTGCTCCACTCGCTTGCGCTGTAGGTATGGTGGCTTTGAAGTACAGCTCGGAACATGCTTGTTCAACCATGGACACAATATCCCAGGACAGACCAAGCAAGGTGTTCACGAAAGACCAGCCTCCTTTGTAATAGGACGATGCACTCAGCTCCTCAACGCGCGTGATGAACCAGCTCCAACCGAAATGAAGATTGTCGAGAAAGGCTCCATTCTGCCAGTGGGCGGCCGTGTTACTCCTTGGGAAAGGTGCAGCAGTCACGGTCTCGTTGGCACAGTTCGCCACTGAGCATAGCACTCTCCAGTTGGCGTCTCCATCATCGATCACCAGCTCGGCATACCGATGCGGCTGCTTTCGGAAGTAGTTTTGAACACTGTCGGTGTGGTTGCGGTAGGACTGCAGCACCAGCTCCTCGTTGCCTTCCACCTGCGAAGTGCCATAGAAGTAGCTGTATGGCTGCCACGCGCCACGTCCAACGTGGCGACTCATGCTTCGAAGCCATGTCTGTTCATCCTTCCTCAAGCTCAAGACGAATCTGGCGTCGGGATAGAGTTCGGCAAGCTGCTTGTACATGAACGGCCATGGCAGGTCCTCGAAGGCATCGTAGTATTTAGTCTGCTCGATCAGCGCGTCGAAGTCGCCATTTGCCCAGGTGTGCACGAGGTGGCGACTGCGGATATCCTTCCATCCCAGTCGCTTGTAACCAACCAAGGCAAGAGCATCTCCAATCGAGCTGGTTCCGGTCTTTGATAATCCAATGACAAAAACCTTGGGGCGAAGAGCAGTCGGCGGTTGGGCTACCTGGCGCGCCGCAAGGAGGAATGCAGCGACGATAGTTATCACCAGCGGGAGCAGGCTCGCTGCATACCGCATGGTTTCTGGCGTTACACCGAAGGAGGCTCGGCGCAGATATCCGTACGTCGATCGTCTGCTACCGCTTCCTGAGGCTCGTCGTCCAGGTAAACAGCACGTCGATGCGCTGAACACGCTCCACTTTGAAGTCCTCAGCAGCGCACGACGACCTGGACCGGTGCGACTCATCATGAATGTTCGCAGCTGCCCCCCGTCTTGCTATCTGTCCCTTGGCACTTCCATGATCGGGCCTTGGGGTCGTAATGCCAAGAATGTGGAAGAAGTTCTTGATGAAACGCGTTTCCTTTTTGGGATCGAGTCGCGCGTGTCTTGGACAATTCCAGCCTATCACCACACTCCCTTGTATCTGTAATGCGCGGGCGAATGACGGAGGTGAGCCGAGATGCCGTGCGGTTGGAGAGTACTACGGACCTCCCATCCATATTGCAGGAAGCTACCCGCAGGGCAACTGACCTATTGCACCACAGATTGCCAATCGGTCTGAAATAGGTGGTGCAGACAATGGTGGTCTTCTCGTTGGTGCAACCATTTCTGCGCATCGGACAAGCGGATTTCCACTTCCAACAACAGGCATGCTGCATTCTCCTCAGTCGCGAGGCTACCCCATATCACGAAGTCGGATAGTCCTTAGTACCACGTGAGCGCCAAGTCCCGGCTGGAAAACCTGGCTCCGAAGTGATTCTACCAAACCAACGCGTGCCGAGTGCAATCTCGACAGCATGCTGACGGTGATGTCGGTAATGCGACGATTCTGGACCTGCAAAGAACTCCTTGTTGCAAGAAAGTTCGGTCATCGTGTTCGCCTGGCAGAGGCACTGAAGTATGGTGGCGCTGAACGTCCGGCGAAGGAAGTATCGATTAAGTACAGAATCTTGTTAAAACCGAGAGGAAGTGATTGGCAGTGTCTGCTAGCACCAACAACATGATCAAAAGGAGGTAAGAGTGCGCAGCAGGACCTCTCTCTTACATATATGAGCACGCCACTCGTATCACATTACCAGGCATCCTTTTAGGTAACGACCTTTGCACCACTGCCCACTATCCGGAAGGCTGTTGCGGCTCGGTCTCGCGATGCAGCAGTGACAGACACCGCTCAAGCCAGGAAGTCATTGATTGGCTGGTTCACCTACGAATGGCAGACCACTGGAGACATCACTTGTGTGAGACGAAAGGTGTTATGCTTGTCTTCGTCAATTAATCTATTTGTCGTCGTTCATTCTGGACACATTGGGCCTGTACGGATACTCCGAGACTTCAGAATTCCAAAGGATGTGTGCCATGCGTGCCTGAGATCAACACAAGGCCACATTATGAACATTCTGACATGGCCCCTCGATATATGATGAATGCGGCAGACGCAACGGCTCACAAGTCTCTATCTTGGGTGGCATCCTTCTCTTTGCCATGAAATCCTCATGGCAAGTCGATTTGTGGCCTTTGACAATACGGCTTTGGCAAACATATCGCCTCACTCCCATCTGCGGTCAGAATCGCTGCTATCGCTCGACTGTCAAGTGGTGTTTTTGACCACTCTATGCACCATATCTACAAGCAAATGGCCTCACTGGCAGGAGAGGCTTCGCTAAGGCTGAAGTCCTGGAGATCTCGGAACCTCCATTCGCCAGGTCCTACAGCCAGGACAATCTCGATATCAGTGATTGTCAGCGGACACCCATGGGTCGATGCGTTAGCCTGTGATATTACACTGCGTTCGGAGAAGCATCTCTATCTACTTCGTGTGGTGCTCTCACTGTCATTGCCACGCGTGCGTGGAAAGGGCAGCTTTGTACGCCCCTACAAACCAGTAGACGCGGCATCAAGAGCACAGCATTTGGCTGCTGTTCCCGCATAGGCACTGACTCATCGCGGAGCTATAATACCCTTATTCGCCATTAACATACAGTATACTGACAAGACATAACAACGCTTGAGCGGCGACACGCTGTGCAGCACTTGTTCACCCAACTCGTTGGTTCGGACTGCATCACTCTCAACGTCGACTCTCGAAAGCAGAACACGGACCACTTTCTTCGACCTCAGTCTCATGCTTCGACAAATGACTTTCGACCATGTCTTTGCGACGCGGACCCGGAATCGTTATGGAGCGGTTTGCCAGGTTGCTGTTAAAGTGGTTTACGAGGGGGACTATCGAGGTTCAGGAGATGTAGGCGATTGCTTTCGGGATGGAGATGTGGACCAAGGGCCTGAGGTTGAACCGGTGAGGAGGGTTTACGATGAGGAATCGGTGCCGGTTGGTCAGGCTCTGAGGAGGTGATGGGCAATGTGAGGCTATAAACACATGTCTAGCAGACTGTCTGCTGGTGGAACATGCACCTATTCTCGTATTCGATAGCGCTAAAAATTTCACACCATGTCCCAAGGACGTAGATTGCAGTCCGTGGGTACATGAAGCCGGCCAGCGACGCCCCGGGTCACAGATAGCACCAGCAAGATGACATTGAAAGGTGTAGATTGATATACACGGTGCCTTTGATGCTACATACCACTTCTGTCTCAGTGACGCCTTGGCCCATGTATACATCTATCACTTCGGTGCTTGCCGAGACCCGCTATGCAATGCATTGATAGGCACAACAAGAACATGCAAGGAGCAGAAACCCAATCCGCCACAATATTCGCAGGTATCTTCTCCCTCGAGCATCACAGCCAATAGTCCAAGCTGCGCACTGATTCCACCGCACACCGATCGTCCGAGCACGTCGCACCTCAACCAAACGGACTTCCACCCGGGAACCCTCTGCCTCCACCGCCACCGAAAGGACTTCCGCCTCCGAAAGCAAAGCCCCCACCTCCGCCTCTACCTCCACCCTGCTGCCCGAACATCTGCATCAAGATTTCCGGATCAATCTGCATCCCACCACCACCGCCCATTCCTCCAAACCCGCCGCCCATGCCGCCCCCGCCAAATTGCTCATTAGGATCCATCAGATCAATCCCACTATCATACCTCTCCCTCTTCTGCGGATCAATAAGACACTCATGCGCCTCCTGAATATCCTTGAACTTCTCCTCCGCCTCCGCGTTCCCGATATTCTTGTCCGGATGGTATATAACCGCTTTCTTGCGATAAGCTTTCTTGATCTCTGTCTCACCAGCATCTTTCTCGATACCGAGGATCTTGTAGTAGTCCTTTCTTTTGCTCTTCTTTTGCTCCATTTCTGCATTCTTCACATCTCGCGCGATACCAGGTTCTTCTGGGTTCTGCTCGGCGATGCTCTTGTATTCGCGTACCGCTTCCTCCCAGTTCCCGCTCTCACCCAGCGCTTTTGCCCGTGTCTTCTTAGCTTTAATGTAGCTTGGATCAAGGGCAATGGCTTTGTCGCAGTCTTCTCGTGCTTCTGACCACTGCTTCATTTTCGAGTAGCACATTGCACGGTTGTTGAGGATCTTGGAGTTGGTGCCGCGATTCTGAGAGTCGACTTCAAGAGCGGAGGTGTATAGCTCTACCGCCTGCTGGTACCGGCCGGCTTTGAAGTGGGTGTTGCCTTCATCCTTCATTCTGTCTAGCTTTTGTACCATCCGTAGATACTTCACAGCGTCCTTGAAGTCCGGGTCGCAGTTCAGAGCCTGTCGGAAGTGCTGAATGGCCTTTTCGTTCTCGCCTTGGGTGTATAACGCTCGTCCTCGCAACACCAAAGCCTCAGGATCCGCACTATTCGCCCGTAGAAGATCCATAGCAAGATTCTGTGCACTGCCAAGACTATTTACATTGCCCATCTTCAGATATGCTTCTCCTCGCAGCAACTTCCATTTCCGTGGTGCAGATACCGCAATCCCGAGTCCCTTCTCTGCCTGATCGAGTGCGTGTAGAACCATAGAACCTGACGTACCTGTTTTGATGCTGTCCTGCGCCTGCTCAATATGATGCCACATGTCCTGCGCCGCTTTCCTGTCCTTGGCGGTCGCAGTCGGTTGTATCCGATCGTAGACATCCAACGCTTCCCCTGGTCGTCCAAGTGCGGTGTAGATCTTCGCCAGCCTATGCATGATTTTGGCATTGTCTGGTTCGAGCTCGTCCGCCTGCTTGCAGTCGTCTAGTGCCCGTAGCCATTTGCCTGCTGCCATGTATGCTGCTGTTCGGTTGGAGAGGTAGGTGGATGCTTCGGGGTCGGCCTCGATTGCTACGTCATGTCAGCCTTGCGTGGCCTCATCTCTGCACATACTTTGACAGACCCTTGGTATACTCAGCAATCGCCTTGTCATACTGCCCGGCCTTGTAGAGCTTGTTTCCCTGCGCCTTGAATGCCTCAGCCTCCTCCGGTGATCTCACAGGTGCAGGCGGAGTCGTGGGTGTCTTGTGCGGTGGCGGCACAGGCACATTCTCCTGCTCGTCGTGACCGTCGCCGTTCGTGCCATTGCTTTGTGGATATGCTCCGGGAGTCTCGGGCACAGGCGTAGTCTCCATCGGATCCGAGTTGATGCCAACCCCTCCGTCCTTATCGGGTGGGCTGCTCATGGCTGAGAGGGCGCTCAGCCGGCGTGGATCGTCGGGGTGGAAGTTGAGCGGATGCTCGGAGTCTGAAGGTCGTCGTCGGCCTCCTGGTCGAGAGTAGCTTTTACTGTTCCTTGGCGACTTTGGCCGTTTGTCTTTCTCGCGGTCCTTCACTAATCGAGCCCGATCTCTTTTCTCCGGCGAAGTCGGCGATTGCACAGGCTCCGGTGGTGGTGGGCTGGTGGATGCCGATGCTGGCGAGGGTGTAGTAGTCGGTGCGTTGGTAGATTTCTTTCGAGTGAACAACGATGGCATCGGAAGAAGAGAAGCTCACACACACACACGCACACAAATCACGCCGTGATACAAAGATCTGGTAGCGACAAGTGCGGGCCGGAGTTAATGGTGTTGCAAAAGTCAAGCAATGTCCTCCATCCATGCAGCCTGCCGCTGGCGGTGCGGGATTGCCTTGACTGCCAAGACCTCTATCTATGACTTTCGATCTCCTTCCTTCCACAACTTCCCTTTCCGGTTTGAACTCACGTGCCAGATCTTATATAACATAATGTGGGTACTGGTGCATCTACGACAATATGTTGATAGTGCTCATTCAAATGAAATATCTGTGGACCGAGATCGTCAAGAGACCCGCGAAGTCATGAAAGCAACCATGCCGCCTCTTTCCTCCCGCAGTCCCCGGGCCATGTGGGCTCAGAATCAAGTCTTTCAGCATACAAGGTGTAGCGCCCCGCCTATCACATGAGGTTCTTCTCGGCACTACTCCAGCCAAACCACTCCACCGCCATGTACCGGTACCTGGCGGCTAAAACTCAGCCCATCCCATCCAGGTGGTACCTTCGGCACCAGCTTCTACAGAACCCTTCATCAACTAGGCTGGTGCAGCTGTGCCCCTGTCTGGGCTACTTGGGATCGGATACTGTAGCAGAATGTGGCCTTGAAAGTGATGGTATATGAACACTCTGCAAGGCGCAAAGTCCATACCACGACCACAATTGCCACATCTACACCACCTCGTCCTGGAGCTGTTCACCTATGGGAATGCCTGAAGACTTTGTGATCGATGAAGCCAATGAGCGGTACGATTGTGCTTGTCAGCGACATGTTCGTCCATCCATCACCGGTGCTGCCGGTGAAATGTGTGGTAATGCCAGACTCCTGCTACCCCAGCGAAGTCCATCGCAATGCAGCGGTGTTACTCACGGAGGAAAGTCCATCATTTGTGCATGCTTCTCACACCATCGTCGACATCACACAATCTCGGCACCCGCAGTGTTGCATTCACCACATCACCGATTTGCTTGTGAGCGTGATCTCTTTTCTTTTTGGGTCCACCAGTCGACGATCCTCTCAGCAACGACAGCTGTCGACCTTCGCATGCTGGTGTCCCCCACTTTCTCTTTTCCCTCGCGACGGCCGGGAATCATCATCATCATCGTAGCTTTCGGTGAAGCATACACCTACGGGCAGCTCCAACCGAGCTTCAGACACCCACCCTAAACGGCTCGCATCTCAGAAGCAATGATCGAGGTCAGACCTAGACCTTCGTACTTACCTCTCGACGTAACAGATCGGCCGCCGTTCAACGACTACTTCCGAACTTCGGCAAGACTGGTGGGAGAGATGCTCGACCCGACACAGCAAGGCCTGTCATAGCGCTGGCGTGTCGAATCGCAATCTATGGAGGGTGAGAGTGAGGATATCGAGCATGATCAGCAATCGTAAAGCATGGCTGGAAGAATTCTACTGCTTGACGAGGAGTGAGCTTCGGGCGACGACTTCTTAAAATCAGTATCACTCATTTTGAGAGACGTGCCAAGTTCATGCTTCGTCTTGAATCTGCTAACCGTGAACCTGCTGAGCAGCATTGTAAAAGCCCGTCGTCCCCAGATGAGGTCTAGTGGTTCACCAATGCTGCCGCCGAACATGACGTAAGACACCACTCATGGCAGTCTCCGCTTGACGGCCTGTTATCCTACCGCAGAACATGTGAGACAACCGAGTGCATGAGGTAATGAAAGTGGTATCTCGGCTATGGACAGAAGGCTAATCAGCAACTAGTGGGCGGCAGAACATATCCCTATCCCGGTGCAATGGTCTACGTTAGGCGACGTTTTGGTTCGTGCAGGCTCGCGTGGGCCTTGCTTGGCAACGCGCGGAGGGGAAGTGTAAATGCTTCTAGAAGAAGTCTGTTATTCTCTCGTCTGTACTTGTCAGATACCGGCGGAAGTACTACTTCTAGCCCTCGTTACGGTGCATACTGACTGTGCCGTCCACCCTGCACTCGAGCTTTTCATCAACAGTCCTCAATCCTCAGCGAGTCCTCCTATATTCTTGCCTCGTCTAGATCGCGCGCTCGCCGCCGTAAGCTGAAGGTCCGGTTAAACCCTGCATGAAGCTTCAGCTCCAGAGACATGGTAGCTGTTTTGGGAAGTAGACTGTAGCTTGTTCCGTTGCGGAGCTTCTCACGGCTTTACTGGGACGGGATGCATGAAGCGACGGCGACGGTAGGTCGGGAAGCTGTCGCGCTGCTACAGTCTCACTCAGCTTCTTCCTGCCACATTAACGACGCAGTCTCACTTCAGAAGAAAGGCTTTCGTCTCGACTTCTTGTCATACCCCACTCCCCGCAATAACGACCCGATAAGAGCACAGACGGCGATAGCGAGTGGGCGTGGCTGATCGCTTGTCCCGCGGCGAGAAGACGGCACGACTGTGTACTCTTTACCTTCGTCCTGCTTCCGCCGACACGATCCCTAGCTTTCCACTGTCCTTCTTGAAATCCTTGCTTACGAAATTCCATCATACTATTGATCTTCCCGAGAGATTTCCTGGAGAAAGCGTTGGTGGTGGTAGAGCGCTTGTGTGAGTAGGACATGTGATCAAGCCAATGTGCCGCGGGACGTGACCAGCTGACTCCGCGTGGTGACAATCAGATCCTCCTCCACCTCGACCTCGGAACTTGATGCTCACGAGCCTCGTATGGCGCCTTAAACATCTGCTATCGATTCCACCGCGCGCCTGACCCGCGACTCCAACGCCCGTCTAAGGTCAACTGCCCTCAAATCGTTTACTGCCAGAGCTTGCCCAGCACTTGAGACGAAGGAGAATGGCAAACAGGTTGCAAGAGTCAGTGCTTGGTGCACAAACACCTACTGGATCATCCGAGGTTACCATGGCCACCCAGCAACCCTTCATGGAACAACCGTCTCAAAGGCTTAAGGGTCGACACAGGCTTCTGGCCGGACTACATCGCATGACCTCAAGCCAGTCTGTCAATCGATCCACCACTACACGAGCACGCGGTTACAGTGGCAGCGGGAAAGGCTCAGTATCATGTATGTCGTTGCACTCGACGCAGTCACTGAACACACCTTCGCTCGGTTCAACGCTCACGAACGAGCTCTCCGTCGGCTACTCAACAGCGCCTACCTCCGCCGTCACTACCCCTGGCGTTCAGATTCCATTGTTCGACGAACGTGCCAGGCTACGGTACCTTTCGAGCCTCGATGCCAAGACCTCTGCTGGAATGCCGTCGGATCTGCGACAAGCAACAAAGCCTGATGAGATCGCCGAAGTCGACGAGGACTACTTCTCCCGGCCGGTCTCCCAACAGATCGTTCGTCGTCGAGACTTCAACTTCTGGCGCGATCTACCGTCAGAGCTTCGCATGCAAGTCCTGACATATCTGCAACCTCGAGAGATCATCCGATGCTCTACTGTCTCGAAGACATGGCATAAGATGTGCTTTGATGGTCAACTATGGGCACTCGTGGATACTGCAGAGTTCTATCAGGATATTCCAGCGGATGGCTTGGTCAAGATCATCACTTCGGCAGGCCCCTTCGTACGAGACCTCAACCTAAGGGGCTGTGTGCAACTCAGAGAGACATGGCATGCCAAGGGACTTTCGGACGCTTGCCGGAATCTCGAGAACTTCTCCTTGGAAGGCTGTCGAATCGATCGATCCTCCATCCACAATTTCTTGTATGCCAACAACCGCTTGGTACACATCAATCTTTCTGGCCTGGCGGGAGCGACCAACTCTGCCATGAAAATCATAGCCTCGAACTGTCCAAAGCTGGAGCATTTGAACATCTCCTGGTGTAACAATATTGATACTCGTGGTGTCAGGAAAGTCGTCGAGGCTTGCCCTAACCTTAAAGATCTACGGGCTGGTGAGGTACGAGGCTGGGACGATCTAGAGCTCATGCAGATTCTGTTCGAACACAACAACCTTGAAAGGCTGATTCTCATGAACTGCGATACACTCAACGACGAGTCTCTGGCTGTTCTGCTTGAGGGCAATAACAGCGAGGTCGACTACATAACCGGAAGACCAATTGTCCCATCACGAAGACTGAAGCACTTAGATCTGACCCGTTGTCGAGGCCTCAGCGATGTTGGCCTGCGGTGTCTGGTTAACAACGTCCCTGATCTAGAAGGTCTACAGCTTTCCAAAATCCGAGGCGTCTTCGACTCTACACTCACCGACCTTCTGCCTACCACGCCACTATTGACACATCTGGATGTTGAGGAACTTGAGGATCTCACAAATGCAGTCCTACAGTGCCTGGCAAATGTGCCTTGCGGTAGCCGTCTACGCCACCTCAGCATTTCGTATTGCGAGAACATGGGTGATACTGGCATGATCCCTTTACTGAAGACCGCCACGAATCTTCGCTCCTTGGAAATGGACAACACCCGCGTCTCCGACCTTGTCCTCACCGAAGCCGCAGCCATGGTCCGCCAAAGAAGCCAACGAGCTATCTTCCAAGGCAAAGTCGACTATCAGCCGTCAGTGGGATTGCGCCTCGTAGCCTACGACTGCCAAAACGTGACCTGGACCGGTATCCGCGAAATCCTGTCCCGTAATGCTGAAGTCTTCGTCTCAACACACCACACCGAACTCCCACCTCTCAACAAAGCACCCATGGACTCGACTGCATCCCTAGCCACCGACCTACCGAGTCGTCCTCCATCTCCACCTCGCATCCATATCGCCCGCTCCTCATCCTTCCCTTCGGAGATCATCCAGTTAAAATGCTTCTATACTTACCAACCTACCGTTGAGGAACACAACAAACGTGTTCTTCGAGGCGACTTCACTTCCGCGAGGAGATTGGAGAGGAAATGGGCGGACTTCATGATCGCGCAGGAGGAGGCTGGGGCTGCTGGGTCTGGTTCTAGAAGAAGGAGGAGGAGGGCGAGGGAGGCGCAGATGATGCATGCGGATGAAGAGGATGTAGGCGCTGCTGGTGCGGCGGTGGGGACGGTGGGTGTGGGTGGTGGGAGGCGGAGGAGGGCTAGAAGTGGGGGGTGTGCTGTTATGTGAGGTCGCTCTTCGATTTGCCTTGCTTGTGGGCATAAGCTGCCATTTGGTATAAGGTCTGGCGTTCGGATGTCGACTATGTGGATGGACGTGGATGATGGTAAGGTCACGGAGTTTGGTGCTTGCTCCGCCGCGAGGGGCTGGAATTTCATACTACTGCTTCGGCGTTCCTGCGCTGAACATAGCATTATTGGGACCAGAGATTATGGGCATGGGCATGACAGTGGTCGCAAGAGTACACTCGCATTTCCTTCCCGTTAGATGTATGAGCAGTATCAGTGCATCACGACACGATGACTTTGAACGATATGGGATTCTCTGCCCGCAAAGACGACTTTCTCTGTTTCTCTTGCAAGGGTGTGGTACTTAACATGCCTCGCTCGCCTCTGACAGCACAGAAAGTCTACGACAGACCTGAGGCTCCGAAGTCCGATGAACCGAATGAGGCCTGAACGTGGTGATCCGCAGAATTACACCTTCAAGTCTCATGACACGCGCACTCAAGCTTCGCTGCTATGGGTCGATCGCTTTTGGACCGCGATAGTGCGTCCAGGTCTGGCGGTACGGGATGCCTGCTGCCTCTCTCTGTCGCTCATTCTACTTGCTCAGTGGACGTTGGCCGCTTTGATTTGGGGGAAACCGGCGAGCTCGGCTGCCAGGCCTAGGATGACAAGCTGCAATACATACGTGACCTCGGATCTCCGATTGGGGTCCCACAGTGGTCCAATGATATCGGTGTTCATCTTCACCTGCGTCTCCGCAGACTGCAGGGTATGGACAAGCGCAGATCTTACGCCCATTCCTGTTGTGAGGTTGCCGCCTCGTATCGTATCTTCTGGAAACGTGACGGCGTGGACACAGTCTCGAGGCTGTGGAGAGCATCAGCTGGAAAATGGAACTCCTCTTAGATAGACTTTGTGTCCACGTATCACGAAACGTACATACCTGCGTCAAATTGCCTCCTTGGAGGCGGCATATGTAGCTGTAGAACCTTATTACTCTTCTTTAAGCCACTGAATCTAGGGTTTCGGACGGGTTAACCGGTGGAAGAGGTTCTTCCGCGTAGTAAGCTTTGCTGATTAGCGAGTGGCGCAAGTATGATATATTGAGTGACGAGTAAGCTTCTGGGGGTCCGCGATGCCCTGCATCATCGGCTGTGAGGATGTGAACATCCACGCTCGACGGCGGCAGCGGCACAATGGCGGCGGTGACACGCACCGCCAGTAGTACAGAGGGTGGAACGAATCGATGGACCCCCTGTCGACCGTTGCAGAAAGCACGGAGTCACTACAGACTCAGCAAAAGCAGACTGGCGTTCTTATTGGCAGATCTGCAAACGGCAGCTAGCAGGGGGTCCATCCGTTCGTTCCACCCTCTGTACGAGGGTCGTCATGCTTGCATCATTCCGTCTGAATGGACTTGATGATCCTCCTTCATACTGCCGCCCATGTGACGACCCGGTGATCTGATCTCAAGAGTTGTGTCGCCGGCCAGGTAATCTATTTCGGTCGAGTATGCGGCAGTCTGCCCTCAAATAGCTGTGCATGTCCCGGGTCAATAGTAGCGGTTGTCATACTGGACGGTGCGCCATATAGAGAGGCCTCACACAGACCACGGAGACGCTCGGTGAGACCAGGGATTGAGTATTGCCGACAGCAGCAGTGAGAAGTGCATTGGCACGTGGCGAGACTTGCGTAATTATCGTCTTGACTAGTCGACAGCTTATCCTAGGCTCCAGGCGGGCAGAATGTCGGTATAATTTGGTCCACTCGATCATGGCTTGTCGTGATGTGAACGCTGCACATAGCGATGGTCATGAGTTCACAGCGCTGTACTACTAATCCCCGGTCTAGACCTCGATATCATGCACATGCGAAGATTGGAGATATAGTGTGTATGCAGGGCAGCAGAATCTTGCCGATCAGTTTATTTCTTTTGCAGCGAAACCCGAAGCATTGTATCCACAGACTGAGATTGGACACTACTTGACCATAGTCCGCGAGTACAGTACTCCGTACACCCACTGGGCGGGTACTGACGGGTTCTGTGGACGACACAGTGTCCACACCCGAAGGATTCGATTGCATGTGTCCAAGGCGACCGCCGCAAATATGATGAATCCATGATTGACACTTCTGGATCTTGCTTGTCCGATGCCTGGAAACGAACCTTAAAGCTGAGATCACGGTGATAAGTCGTGGAATTCTCTAGATTGTTGCGGATATGTACTCCGTGATCGTGGGCTCACGCGCGAATCCTTGTCACTGTCCATCGAGCCATACGGGCAGATTGCAGACATCGGAATTGAGTGCTTGGTCTGATAGTAGCAAGACAATGTCCCTGGACGCATTCCGGAGCATTGTCACATGCCTATCGAGGGCGAGAAGCTCGATTGTCCGTCGAGACCAGAGATATTCGCTGCGAAGGTCCGTGGTGATCGCGGGAGCATTACTTGTGACCCTTGGAAGTGTCCCGCCCGGTGGTTGTGTTCGAGAAGTCGTAATATCTTGAGGATCTGCTTGCATTCGCAAGACGCACCAATGTTCTGTACAAGCGGTGGAGAAGCTCGATTACATATCTGAGCTCGGATGACCGTGCTGCAGTACACGAGCGTAGCATATGAGCAAAGGGAGAGGGTGACATGGGTGCCGCCTGTGTTCCACCGGGCAAGGTGTCTCAGTTTCAAGGATTAGCCGGAAACCATGTCGAGTATACTCCAAAGGTCATGGCCAAGTGCAATATCTGCTCGTGAGCAACAAGATTCCCAGGGACTACTAGAACTTCCTGACTAAACAGGCCCTCATCCTTTCGCAAGAACAATCTTATCTAGCTGAGATATCATCCGTGGTGAGACCTTTATACGCATCAGTGAGGTGTGATATCTGGCCAAAGGAGTCGCACGGTTTTTCGACACTCGAATGTATGGTCCTGCCTTTACTAGCCGTCCATGCCTGCCATAGATTATTGTAAGACTCTCCACCACACCAGATGGAGTGGAACGACTGTAAATGACGGCCATTGAGCCCCGGAAAGGATCGTACTTGTATCTCAATAGCAAGTAAGAAGATGCCTCCGGTACTGGAGGAGCAAGCGTCATATAATTCTGGCCCGACGACGGCCAAACCTTTTGCTGATGAGGCTGACGACTCTTCGTGTAATAGAATATTCGATTGTCAGCGCGCTCGGCCCCCTTTGCGATCCTTCGCGGCGAGACCTCGATCAGGTGACGAGTCTGTTTCTTCGACTCATCTCAAGGTCGTGTTGACTCCAAGTTGCCAATCAGCGCACCTTGACATACTTCGCACACTCGCCGCGCCAGCCACGAGGTCTAAGCCGGCCTTCGGGCACGACTCCGTAAAACCCCATCTAGGCTGCTGTCGCCGATCGTGCTATTGCTGTTATGCGAATCCGCAGCGCAGAATACACGGTAGCTTATAGAGACCTCATCAGATCCCACGGTCTCTGCGCTCGTTGTAGCAGTAACGATCTCACAATATATAAGATGTAATTTCATTCGCCACGACAGCCTTCGATGAGGTCTACATCAATTTCCCGTCGAGTCCGCTACATCACCTACCTGGTTGTCAGTTGGCATGAGCATGCGGCCAAAAGACTGAGGGTTCGCGAATAATAAGGCTTTGTGTTCACTTCATGCAGTCTGCACGTCCGCTGAGCGTAGCTGCTGACCAGGTGAGGCAACTCGTCCGGGAGGTATTTGATGTACTGGCCTCCGGTTGAAGCAAGAACATGGCCGACTTAGGTGATGGTTCAGGGGAGGTAGGGTTTCTACAGCGGAGGGAACATTGTACGTGTAGTCAGGAAGGATGGCACTTGTCACCTACGGCTCGGGATCGGTGCCGATGCCGCACGTCCAAAGAAAGATGACTGCCGCACTTGGTAACATTAATAGCCGCATGGTTGGTACCCACGTGTTGTACTTTGCACCCATGATGCTGTTGGCACGATATCGGCGTCGCGTGTTACAGTACACCCCTGCTGACGACGGGATGTACGAACCGATCTGGCCAAGCCGCCGCTAGGGAGGAGATGCGATAGCTCTATTCGCCGGTGTTGTTGCGTTTACGAACAATTACAAATCCTGAGCCCAACAAGTCCTGGCACTACCGCGGCCGCTTTTGAGACTGGAGGGCGTACGCCTTGGGGCACTAACGTTGAAGTGGACTTCGAGAAGCAAAAGTCTGTATCTGGACAGATCTCGTAAGACTGCCGTGTGAGGAGTGCGGTCGGCGAGACTGCATGTCCCGATCGTAGATTGCCTTTGGTCTAGCCAGGTAGCTACAGGCCCTAAGGATCACCTGATACAGGCAGAATCAAAGCACGAACGGAAGACGGAACGGAAGTAGATGCAAATCCTGCGAGCTGTCTGGAGGCGTCCAACCGTCTTAGCCTACCTGCCAACTAGAGCCGTAGCTATGAAGTACACTTGCAAGGTCATCAGACATTCGTGTCCTTTCCGGGTTCCGGGATACGTCGCAAACTGATTCCGCTCATTTCTGGGCGAAGTTCACGACTCGGCAGGTGCAGGCGGTGTAGCATATGTCAATTATCGTTTGCGGTCCCACATGGCGCTGGTGAATCAAGCATCTCGCTCCTTCACGCCAAGACTCGATGAAGTCTCCATGGACCACTGGGATTTGGTTGGAAGAGGGCAGGCATCGAGAAGATCTTCTTGGCCGAAACGACGTCTCTGCATCTGTACGGAAGCAGCTAGTTGCCGTGATTTCGCTGTAGCCTATCGCATGCATGAATGCCGTTAGTTAGGCTCTCTAGTCTGCATGCCCGCAAACCACGCCAACGATGCAGCTCCTCGATGGTACGCATAAATTTGGTCTGACGCCAAGACCATCGTCCAAGATTCCGCCTGTCTTGCAGCAGGGCAGTCGAGCAGCTATATACAGAGCTCGCCATTGTTCTCAGCAAGATCAGGGTAAACAAGCAACGCTGGGGGGACATCCATCATCATGTCGTCTCCTCAGTCTGGACAAGCCTTCATGCGAAGCTACGAAGAAGCCGATATGTTGGAGATCTTCAGCTATGTCCTGGTCAATCGCTACAGCGGTCGAATGCGAATCGAGGGTGGTGAGAGGGGTCCTCATGCTCGCACATTGGCTCAACGCGTTAGTCGACGAGTTGCACAGACTGGCACTGATGGCGCGAGAGTCATGGACAGCGTGGTCACTGTCATAACTTCTAGACAAGCCAGACGCGTCGACAGTGAGACACGGGCGGGCAGGAATCCGGATCCAATGCTACTGACGAAGGAGGATCTACTGGGGGAGGAAGGGGCGACTGGCAGCAACGGAGCTAGACACTGAGAAGGGAGATTGTCGAGGTGGGTCGATCGACCAAGACTGAAGCCAGATCTTGAAGGACGACTCATGCTCGGTTGTCCTTACCCCTGGACGCTCGGAGCTGCTGTTTTGAACGATCAAGATGTCTTGTCGTGACACAGCGGCCTACGAAGTTCATTGCATGGAGGCTACTTTGCTGACGGCCGATGGGCACTCGCGCTGCATGGCACGGCGGCCGCATATCGGGCTGCGAAAGATCTTGGAGCAGGGACCTTGATGATCAAACGCTACCACAGTCGCGTGCGTCTGCCAAAGCGCCAACAAGGGAAGCACCATCGTTATGTTGAGACTCCTCAATGTGCTACGGGCGACGTCACGAATCGACATTCACGTTGGACTTTGATTGACAAATCTGCTACATGGATACTACAGCCGAGCCTGGTTATGACCGACGTGACTGTGGGGGAGTACGATGCTAAGGCGAGAGCGCGTACTTGTGTATGCTCCATCTCTAAAGCATATCTCTGCCAAGCATGTCTAGCAGAGTCTGCGCTGGCTATGACTGATTGATACAGATATTTGGAAATCTCAATCAGTGGTCTACCAAAATCTCATGTATTTCGACATCTTTCTACTTCTCAAGAACGAGCCGACAGGTCTAAAAAGCAGATCATTTCGTTCAACCAGTGAGGACAGCTGAGCATGACTTGACACGGCATGTTCGTATACCACAACAGGACGAGAAATGAGCGTTGTGGCGCTCTTGACCATGGGACTTGCTCTCTGCCGGTTCTGGCCAGATAGCGATTTCGAAGCCTTTCCAAATACTCTACGTCGATAGTCGGTGACAGTGGCCCAAGCTGCTAAATGTGTCGGCAACATCATGCACGATTCGGATGCATGATCCGAAACCCCGGCTGCGCCATCGCGTGTAGTCGGGTAAGCACTTATGGATCTGGTGGGAGCAGCGAAACGAACGGGACAGTATGTATATGCAGACTGCTAAGTGGTGAGCACCAACGATCTCCGGCAGATGACGTGGGTACCACGTGCCCAATCAAATTGAGTTCGTACGGAGAAAACAAAGTGTAGAACTCGGCGCGCTGGCGCGATGCCAGCATCCCGATCGATCGCTATGTACATCTGTACTCATCCGTGTGTGGATTGTGGTACACGGCTCAACACAACAGCCCGTCACTCGAAGTTCGCTTCGCAGTGTCCTATGGCGTGCCGCTATCTCAGGCAGCCCTGACCGACTGTATGCAGCTAAGGGAGCTGGCTGTACGCCTGCGACCAGCTTAGCTCGTAGAAGTGGCCGTGATGTTATCTGCCGGCCCGAGTGCTTGAGAAACGACCATCAGGACTGGCTTCCTATCCCTGCCAGGGCCAGGCCACGTCTGCTACCATGGATGTACCCGCGCGTGACATCCCCGACCGATGTAGTGCCGTAGCAAGCACTTCGTGTTGCTTTTTCGCTTCGAGAGTCTCAAGACTGTCCGTGCAAAGCTCGCCCGGCCTGGACCCAAATGGGACTTCGTCTGCAGTGCAAGTAGTGTTGGGTGGAGGCAGTATACCGGTCTGGAAGTACTGTCTGACATGATGCACTGTGCAGTTGCTGAAAGTGCTGAGCGAGCAATGCCCGGCAGAGTCTTGAGTCAGGGCTACGGCGCCTTCGAAACCCTTAGCCATATTAATGGCGTGCTTTACAGGAGTCACAGGATCTGCTGTGTTTCCGATCAAGAGCAGAGGATGCGCCGTCTTGGCCTTCCATGGGCCTTCAAAGCGGTGATGTGCCCGAACGGAGTAATGAATACATGCCAGACGTAAACCGCTCCATAATGAACCAAGCGTCGGAGAAGACTTGTTGAGCTCTTTCACATATTTGTCGAAGACCGTGCGATTGACCCAACTCTGATCGTCCCCGTCTGAGCAAGCAATGGCACGTGTAGCATCTGGACCCAACGGTCCTGAGCTTTTATTACGCAACGGAATAATGTTTTGCATGAGCGCTTCTTCCTTCGGGCACTGGAAGTCGTGGTAGATTGACAGCAATCTGGCAAATTCGGTCCCGTTGCCTTGCTCCACACCCGCAAGCAAGTATGCCACGTATGGGAAAGCCTGGATAGGAGTGTAGAGCGCCGCAAATATCAGTCCCTTCACATCGCTGTAAGTGATGACCTCCGGCTTGGGGCCAATTACGGGGAGTGGGTTGTGATAAAGGCTCTGCGTTATGTTGAGCACTCGGTGTCGTACACCTTCGGCTGCAGTCTCGCCAGTTTCATTCGCGAGCAAACAGGTAGGAAAGCCCACCCGAGCACAATGGTAGGAGAACTGGTTCCAGTCCAACTCGGTGTCGAGTAAGTTGTCGCTCCAGAGCGTTCGTTTGTAGTTGTAAGCATCGACCACACCGTCAACGATAAGTCTGCCAACACGATCCGGGAACATGGCCGCGAAGGTATTGCCGAGGTATGAGCCGTAGCTGAGAAATGTCAGAACCACCTGAGGTAGCAGTCAAAAGACCTACCTGAAGCCCCAATACTGGAGCATTTCCGTACCCGCTTGGTAGCGGGTGCGCTGCACGATATCGTGGTCAGACTGTTGGGCTGTGGGCCGCTTAGAATTTCCACAGCAGATAGTGTCGACCAGAATTTTCGCTTGTTTCTCTCGCCACTGTCCATGCCGCTCCGTGATCTCTAACATGTCCCTCGCCACTGACGCGGTCGAAACGTACTCGCGAATGTCAGGGATGCCATATGGTAATGGAAGAGAGCAGCTTGCCGAGAGGGCTTGATTCATCGACCAGAGACGTCCTATAGCGGCATCGCTGGCCTCGTACACGCCTTCTTCCATCAAACGGACCTGCCAAGTATGTGCCAATGCTGGATTTGTGATGCACTGAACAGGCGGCTGCGTCACACCCACGCCTCTGGGATCGAACGAGATGAGATCAAAGTACTTGCCCTCGCCAGCCTTGATCGTGTCAATCTTGCTTCGGATGGCGTCGCCGCCACCCACTAGAAGGCCAATACCGGAGCCACCAGGGCCGCCCGGATTCAGTAAGACTGCTCCACCATATTGAGGATGGCTCACGGGTACTCTGGCAGGCTTTCGGACTACGGCCAGTCCAATGGTAGCATTCGTGGTTCCGTTCCAATAGTCCATAGGTAGCTCAAGTCTGGCACATTGTAGTGGTACACCATCGTTGAACTCAGCGTAGCAGTCTTCATACTCCAGTCCTGGCTTGGCATAGACCTCATCCCAGTTGAAGGCTCGCTTGATCGGGTTCAGCGGTGAATCTAATGCTCCGGTTGGCAGCCAGGCACCGTGGTAAAGTCCATACAAGAACAACCCGAGGCCCGCAGCCAGTACAAGCCTTTGCTGCGGCCATCTTCTTGGGCTTTGCAGTGCTACAGGCCCTACATGATGCTATCATGTGCTGATCAGCCTCGACCGTTCAGACTGTCGACTTGTTCCAAAGTGGTGAGCAACTTACAGTACCTTTGACATCGGCTCCTAGAGCGTATGGTGTTACCATTGTCTCTGAAATTGATCTAGCTCTGCTGTTGCCAATATTGGTGTCGTCAGTATGGTCGTTCTAGTTGTGCAGATGAAACGACGGAAGTATGTCTCTTGGACTTGAAGGCAACAGCGATCCTTCGAGCATTGGCAATCGCTCCTAAACGGGCAGCTCGCATCACAAGCGTTATAGCTCTACTGCGAAAGTACTCCGTAGCATTGGCTAGACTCGAAGCAAACTGCTGCAAGGAGCATCCGGTATCGCATACAGCAGATGCGATAGTCTTCGCATAGTAGCGGCGGGCACAAAGCATACATGGATTACGTGTGTTGCGTTGTCATGGTGTTGAACCGAAATCATGCGTTTCACAGAAGACCAACGCCGAACTCCGCAACGTGAAAACGAACGCCGTATTTGAGATTCCGCTCTGGCGATAATGGACGCGTACGACTCAACATCATCAGCTGTCGTATACTCGACGTGAGGCCTCGCACACTCATAAGATTGTCCTCATCTACAAGTCTCAAAGAGTATTCCAATTCCATCCTTCAACATGTCTGCCTCGCAGCGTTTCTGGATCATCGACCGTAACGAGAATGCGCTGTGGTCTTTCAGCAGTACTTTCTGGATCAAAACGATGGGCCACCAGATTGCCTCATCGAGCAGGTGGAGCTATCGCGTAAGCCGATGAGGTACAACAAACACTATCGCAACCTGCGAGCGAAGGAGCTGCCACCTCTGCTTCATTGGACCCCAACCAATGCAACCCCGCCGGGGTTTTCCACGTCCTTCTAGCGAACTGCAGATTCTTGCTGTGTACGGAGCTCGAAGCATTGGGAATCTGGATGCCTACGGCTGTCATGGTTGTAGCGACACCGTGGTGGTGAGCGCATTTAGAACGGAAGCATTTCGTGCTGCTTTCCAAACAAACACATTTGCCATTCATTGCTCATCTAAACGAGATATCTCGTATACCTCGTATCTTCGTTGTGAGGGACGGCATTCATATGAAGAGATAGGTGTCTATTACTGACCGTGAAACGTAAACGTGAGCCATGGCCAGCTCTGGTATCTACGAGGATGAAGACCTTACCGATGTATCGGACCAAGAGTCGTTGTACGCAGAATCGCCAATCGCGGAGTCGCCTTCGGATGGGTACTTTGAGCAACGCGATCACCCACAAGAGACGTTTGTCGAGCAGTCTGCTGTACGAGCAGAGACTGAAGCCAAAGCACGAGAAGCAACGCAGAGCACAATGAGCCAACGAGTGTCGGAGATTATCTCGCCACGCCAATCTCTATACTCGCCTGTACAGGCTGATGAATCGACGCCATTATTGGACGCAGGACCAGCGCCTCCGGATTACGCTGCCGCCACAGCTGGACGGAGCCGCGATGGTCCAATGGCTAGCAGCCCGCCAATAAGTCCTAGCAGAGACAGAAACGAACGTTCGTCTCGGCAAACCTCGTCTGGATACGGCAGCTTTAGTTACCCGCCGTACAGCGACAACGGCAGTGCACAGGAGGGCGGTGCTCAATGGCCATTCGGGCCGCGAGGTAGCCCTTTTGGCTCTCAATTTCCGTTCGGACCTGAAGGCACTCCATTCAACCCAGGCTTTCCGTTTGGCACAGTACAAGCGCCGCAGAGTATGGGAGGCGGTCCTTCCCAAGTGCCCGACCACATCTCAAGTCCCGAGTCTGCACGAAGAGAGCAGTCGAAATACAGGCGGCAACGGTGGCGGCGGGCTTATTCTTGTGGGAGATCTATTATCTTGGCAGTCATTCTGGTTGGACTAGCTATACTAGCTGTGATTGCAGTTGGCGCAAGACTGGCACGGCAAGCAGCAAGACAAAACACACCAGCAAGTGGCGGTGGAGGAAGTGGCGGTGGAGGTGATGGCCGCAACAGCAGCGACGGGATCGGCTCGCCAGATAACACTGAGCCATTCCACCCCGCGCCGGCTCATCCTCCGAGCGACGTCTGCGCTATTCGGTATATCACAGAGGCTCTCTTCTTCGATTTTGCCAATCCAGACAGTTTCACACTCCTGGAAGCTATGGACTCGGTTCTCTATATGACTGGTGGAGTCAGTGGGACTACACATATCTCCGCAGCACCTCCAGATCAGGAGACTGCTATCAGAGTCTGGGTGTCTTATGGTATGAGTGAAGACGGATGGGAGGCAACAGACATGGATCACACCAAAGCTGAGGATGGCTTGGAGCTCAGCTTCCCGAAATCGAACGGTCAGAGACACAGGGGTACGTGGGCGCGCAACCCATGCATGACTGTCTCGATCAACATCTATATCAAAGGGCATGTCAACCTCGACACGTTCGCCGTGCTCACGAAGAATCTCATCATTGAAGCTGGACAGGGTCCACCTGGTCTCCCAGATTATGATCTTGTTTCAGAAACATGGATCATCGACAAAGCCAGATTCACAACCACGGCTGGAAGTGTATACATGCCGTATTGGTCCACACGTGAAACTCGTATTGAGACTCACAGCGGCGAAGTCAAAGGCGAGTACGCACTGCAAGATCTCCTCTCCATCAAGACATGGTCTGGTCGTATCGGCATTCGAGTCTCCGGTCTTGAAGAGGGGCCCGGAACGCCAAAGCCGGCCGTCCTCGACGTCTACTCTCGGAGCGCTAGTGTGCGTGTCGACTTCCCTACAGTCGGTGAGCAGCCATGGCGAGACTACCAGACCAGTATAGAGACCCACTCCGGCTCTATCAATGGCAAGTACTTCTTCACAAGTAAATTCGAAGTCTCCTCATGGTCTGGATCCATCAACGCTGATCTACAGCCCTTCCCTACACGCCTAACACCTTATCTTTCCTCGAACGTGAACTCGGCTTCTACGAATCTCAAGATCCTGCCCTATCTGAACGATACTAGTGCTACTATAAGCAACCTGGTGTCGAATCACAAGTCACGATCTGGATCATTGGATCTCCAATACCCAAAGGTATGGGAGGGCATGATCGATGGTACGACGAGTAGTGGTAGTATCAATATTGGAGGCGAAGGTGTTGAATATTACTATCAAGGCGATCGCAAGGTCGTGGCACATAAAGGCTATGGGAGATCGAAGCTTGAGTTCACTGGGCAAAGTTCCTCGGTCAACATCAGGATTGGTGACCGATGAAGCCTTCAATCTGGTGAATCTGGAGTACTGCGTGTACACAAGGCTGTTTCCACGATCTGATCAGACGGCACATTTTCGTCGAGTGGTGACATGGTCATAATGATGCGACACGATAAGTTGCGGATATCGTTGGTCATACATAGCTACATACTTTCATAATAACTATTATTCGTACAAGCACTCTGCTGCATCAGATGTGAGGTGAAGCCTCATCCTGTAGGAGGCCAAGCTATGAGGTATGATACGAGGGGCGAGTATGACCTGGTCCACCCTCGAACACCCGGTAAGGATGCTCCATATGAATGCTACACATCCTTGGCATACCAGCGGACTCATCTCTTGACCCCGTCCTGGCGCACTAGCGTACTTCTCATCCACGAGTGTCTAGCAACTCGTGAGAGTCGCCGAACCCACTTACGATCTTCTGATTGTGCTCAAGACTTGGGACTGCAGAAAGGATAAACATTCCCAGTGTCTCCTGCACTGACACCAGCATGCTCACGACGCACATGGAGCCAGCAATTCGATGAAACGAAGGGGCTGGCCTTAGCGATACTGCGTTCTCGCGCAAGCTCCACTGAGACTCCATCGTGCTGAGATCGTAAGATGGCGTGTCGAAAGATGTCGTAGTGCTGTGATCCTTTCACCACCCACTCCCTGGTCGATCCATCACTTTGTGGCTGGTAGATGGTGGGTTCAGGGGTCAGAGATACCCTGGCCAGAATCTCCTGCTCCATGTACATACCGACCAAGGCACGGATGTACGGGGTGACGAGGAAGCGGAAGCAGCAGGCGCTGGCTATGGGGCTGCCTGGGAGGCCAAAGATGAGAGGCGAGCGCTTTCGATTAATGCCTGGTGTTTTGGGTGGCGTCACGAACGAGCCGCCACCAGGATCCACAGCCTGAAACCGGATATTGGAGTTCCGAGAGCGCTGCAGGGATTCGAAGGCAGAGTCTGGAATGGAGGCAAGCATGGCAGAACTACCGGGTTGCATTGCAACACTATCGATGTGGGTACTTGCGCCCAGCTGTTGCAATGCGGCAATCAGGCAGGATTCTCGACCTCTGGACACGCCACCCGTTGTCACGATGATGTCGACCTGCTCATTTTGAAGCTTGTCACGAAGAAAGGCCGCCAAGACACCGCCATTCGAGGGCAGCACACCCCAGTACAGCGCATCCTCCCCCATCTCTCGCAGTGCAGCTGCGAGGTATGGTCCATCTGCGTCGGGCACCCTGTACTGCAACGCTTGCTGGTCCACCACTGTAGATGCTATCTCCGAGCCTATCGACACCACGCCGATCCGTACGAGTCGTGTCACCGAGATTTGCCGAATCCCAACGGATGCCAGAGCCATGATATGTCTGGGCGCAACAGAGGTACCTCGACTGAGAATGACCTCATTCTGGCGGAAGTCGCTGCCTGCAATGCGCTTGTGCCATGAAGTCAAAGGAGGGCGCGCAATCTGTATGATTCTGCCGCCACCGCCTTCCTCGACTATTGTCGCATGGTCTCGAATCACTATCGCGTCGTATGGTCGTTTGGTAGACTGCGCAGTAGGGAACGGTGCTCCAACAAAGATCTCGACGCACGTGACATAACCTGATACGACAGTATCGTGAATTTCGAGTGGCCGGTCGCCTGGTCTAATAGTGCCCATGCATCTTAATCGCATTGGCGTTCGAGGACTTGCGGATGATACTTGACTGGCTACGACCGCGTAACCCTCGACTGCGGCCGAGTCAAATGTGGGCGTGGAAAGCGGACTGTGGATGTCTGTCCTGACCGTACGGCCGACAGCGTCCTCCAGAGCGATAATTTCTTCATCCTGAGCAAAGACTCCAGACCGCTCGTCCGCGAGCTTGGCAATGACATCTCGGGCTTCGTTGAAGCTGGTAGCCATGTTGTATAGTGCGCTGCTTCATGTACGTTCAGCCGTGCGGAAAATTGCAGCATGCATTAGGTGGTTGTCAGGCGACTTGAGCTTGAGGTTCAAAGCATGTTACGCGGTGCTCGGAGGGAGCTCCGTGGCCGGCCTCGTGAGACGTACAGCTCGAAGTATGGATCTGACATATCACCAGCGTGGGCGGAGGTCGACTCCGCGTCGTGAAGGTGAAGGGCGATCAATGTGGCCGCCGCTTCTACGCCTGAAATTCGCAGGCTTATAGCCGGAGGGTCTGCGATTTTCTATTGCGACGATGGCAACATTGAGCATTGATCGTGTCGTTCCTGATTAGGCCGATGCCGTGGAAGTTGACGATAGATGCGTTCGAGCGTAGCCTCGAGCCATAATCGTAATAACGTGGTGGTTGTTCTCGATACTGCGAGACCAACGATATCCAGTAGGCCAGCCCTTCATCTGCCGATGCCCAGTCAAGTCGGGCGTGATGATATAGAGTTGCTCGCACCTCGGGCCTATGAGCATCGCATCTTGCGGCTGGTCGTAGATTCTGCAGAGCACACCTGTGCCACTCACACACATATGACCATCAGACACATGTGATGTTCGTCTGGACTGCAGTCGGAGTCCCGTAACTTCGTGGCCGTGGCTGCCATGTTTCCATCGCAACTTTACCACATTTGGAAGTGCTGGTCCAAGCTTGAATGTCGCCGACTTTCACCAACTACCTACTCTCGCTGCTCCTGATCGCGTCCTGCTTCTCACTGGCGTCGACATTCGTCCATGCTATTGTCTACATCCTCGGCGGGACGGTCACAATGTCTGCGAATACAGCCCCACCATATCTTGCTAGAAGTCGGCGGAAGACGTTCTCCGCAGGGCAGCATTGCGGCTCGATCGTTCACAAACTCCACACGAATCAGACAGGAGCCCGCATTGGATGATGGCGAACCTGAGCAGCAGACCCAACTACGCATCCACCACGATGATGGTTCTCGCCGCGATCGGGTTGTTGGTCGGCCGGGTCGACGTCAGCGTACCTCGTCCGCGAGACTGAAAACAACCTCTTTAGGACGGCCTGCTGAAGTCGTGGTCCTCCGTGATGTTGCGGACGATGCCAGCGTGCCGCAGCAGATAGCTGTGCCTTCCCCAAGTGGTGGGGTGGAGCTGCTGCAGGGCGTGGCATCAACGAGAGCACCGCCAAGCGAGCACGAGGAGGTCATGACATCAATAGATCTCCTCAGGCCACAGGACACCGTCATGGAAGCTGAGGAGATAAAGCAACTGAAGCAGCAGTTGACGAAGAGCTACAATGCTGAGCAGCTCAGGAACTACCTCATCCATCATACCACTCCGTCAAGTGGTACAGCACAGTCTACAGGCACGATTGATGCCCCCGCGGCCAGTACCGCTATGCCAATCACGATGTGGCAATCAGGCCGAACGTCGATCGAGCAACGAATAGGACGCATCCCATATAACCGAAATGAGCTTGAAAAGAAAAAGCCGCTGCTTGCACAAGAGATCATTCGCAATGCTTGGCATTTGATCACTGAGGAGGAGGTACATCAAGTCGGCGAGCTAGAGATGTATGTCAAGAGCTGGCAGACAGCATACTTGTTCGATCTCAAGCGTGGGAAGCTACAGCAATTTGAGACTCTGTTCGAGTCTCCACTTCTGGCTCGCGCTACCACTGTCCGACCATATCGAAAAGACGATATTGTGCGGATTACTGGCCGGAAGGCAGATGCGGAAGAGGTGGCTCGGTGTATCCAAGCTGGACTGGAAGGTGTGCAACAGGACCACCTTGATCTGCGGCCCTTTCGACCTCTGCTTGGAACACCTGGATGGTCTGGACAACTGGAGCAGATCTTTCATCCTCAAGATCTGGACTACATATCTGAAAAGACCGGTTCAATCTTCCGCATAGGCGATGATCATCGAATGAGCATTTACAGTGCAGCCAACCATCCTCAATTCACACATGCGAAGCGACTTCTGCTGTCTCTGCTCAATCTCCCTTCGACCACCAAGACCTTTATTTACGATGATGTCCAAGCGCGCTCTGCGGCCACAGCGGGTGTGAAGCTCGGAGAAGAGCCTCAGATTACGGAGTGGCCCGTCATGGAAGTGCACCGCAAGCATGACCGGCAAAACTGGTATCGGGAAGTGCTTCCGGTGACGAAGAGAGCCGCGCCAACCGACCCTACGACTCCATCTTCAGATAGCCTTCAGATCACGAACTCACCCGCAAGTCTCGGACGACGGACAGCAGAGTTTCTGCAGGAGCTGCCCGGGCTGCGAGGTCGTGACACTGATGCAGCACAAGATGCTGAGAAGTGGACTTGTCTCGACCTAGCCAGCTTATGGTCGGCGAGGATAGGGTCCCTAATCGTGTCCAAGGCGAACTGGCAGGAGCGAACACAGTTGAGAACGCAGAAGCGACACAAAGTGGAAATGCTAGACCACAGCGCCCTTTTTGTTGACGAGGCTGGTGGGAAGGTGCCGCTGCTTGAGAACTTTGAACCTGATATAAGTGATCAGTCAAGCAGTAGACAAAACGCTCAACAACTACTGGTACACATCCAACCATCGCCAGTTACTGCTGCGGGTCTACAGCAGCTACGGGCACTCCCGTCACTCGTTACTGCCTTTGACATGAGCAAGGGTTCTTCTACGAAAGACACTCATACACTTGACCCGAAGTTTGAGAGTTTTGTTGCCACATCAGCTCGACAAGAGGTGCATGAACCTTTGCCGAATCAAGCCGCAGACGTCTCATTCTCGCGCTTAACATCTTTCCATCAGCTCCCTAGTGCAATAGCACAGCAGAGTGGACTGGACCACCTTGTGAACGAGCTGATCGTGGCGTTGAGGACGCCAGGCGCTGCCTTGCCAAGCTTGTCAAACATCGACATACCTCTGCCGACGGGCGTGCTGCTTGGCGCGAAGGAATCCGAGCAAGACGGTGAGTCTTCGAACACGACCTCGTACTTCATCTCGCATTTCGAGCAGGTCACGACTACCGATCTCATACCACTTCAGAGTCCTGCTCGGCGAGAGGGCATGGACCCGGGAGTGCGCAGGATGGCTGAGCAGTGGCCAGCATGGCTGGTCTTGCGTCTACGTGAGGTCGATGCCGGTCCGCTCGCTGGTCGGCGGACGGAGATGCTGCTGGTGCATCGGAATAAGACTGACATCGGCAGCCGGTCAGGGGAGACTGAGGTCACCAAATTCGATAGTCTCGGTCGTGGGCAGGATGACGAGGCGGCAAAAATCGTACACAGTGATGATGGAGAGGGAGCTTCCAAGGTCGTCGTATTGGCCAAGACTGCTGTGCAGCTCACTCGTGTGATGACAAGAGGTCAGGCTGGACAGCTGCGGTCGATTCACGGGCACTGGATCTAAACATCTTTCAACGCGGCGCTCCTATAGACGATAGAATGTAGACTGTACACTACACTTTACCGAGACATATACGACGATATGTCTATACTACTGTCCCGTGTACCAGACTATGTCACCGGCTCGGTTCACGTGGCGGTCAGTATAGATGGCGTCTGACCTCAAGTCCTTTCACATGCTAGAACAATATCGCTGTTGCTCATACTAGACACCGCAATTTGTACTCATTCATTCAGCATCAGTCACATGCATCCCTCGTATAGTTCGCCACTCACAGTCCTCAACAATTTCGCGAGGCTCCGACGTCACTGCTCTGCTGCAAGGCATTCAATTCAATTCTGACTCTTGTGAAATTGCCCCACCACGCGGCCCGTGCAGAATTTCTCTCACACAGTGCAATAAAGCCTTTCGCTCCCCTTCGATCCCTCTTCTCCGAGTCGTCTTTCATACCACGAATCATTGGCATTCGTATCTGAGTAGGCCATCTCCACGCATCATGGTCACTGCTGCCGCAGCCACGCTGACGTATACCAGAACTTCTAAACACAGTACTTCCAACACTTTCCAGACAAACACCACAACACCGTCAACATGGGGTATGTTTTGAGACGCCATATCTCGCATACAACTACCCGCAAAAGTCCACAGCAACTGACACCACTCGCAGTAAAGAGAAGACTCATATCAACGTCGTCGTTATCGGCCACGTCGACTCCGGCAAGTCGACCACCACCGGTCGTAAGCGCCCCTCCTTCCTCCACGATTGCATCACTGCAGTCCCGCTCACACATCTACAGACTTGATCTACAAGTGCGGTGGCATCGACAAGCGTACGATCGAGAAGTTCGAGAAGGTCAGTCATCACAAGATACGCACAGCAAAATGTGCAGCAAAAATTCTCTTATCGGCGTCGCACGGAGGGGCAATTTCGTTGGTGGGGCGCCGACTTGGTGGGCAGCTGCCTTCAGCGCCTGCAGCAACCACCAAGAAATTGCGTCGCATGCGACAAGAGGTTTCTTCATGCATGCGTGAATACCCGCTGACAACATTCGCAGGAAGCCGCCGAGTTGGGCAAAGGCTCCTTCAAGTACGCGTGGGTGCTCGACAAGCTGAAGGCCGAGCGTGAGCGTGGTATCACGATCGACATTGCCCTCTGGAAGTTCGAGACTCCCAAGTAAGTTGATGCTTTCCTATCTTTCATCAACCTCACCTGCCATGGCCAACTCGCTCTTACTCTGAACCGGTCCATCTGCTTCTACTCTGGACTGGTTGCTGCCACACCCAGAAGGCTTTGGATGAAGGATATACATTGTCTACGTTCGGCCTCCTCTGCTGCATCAACCTCCCTCCTCCAGCACAAGAACTCCGCCAAAGAGCACCCATTATGGTGCTAGATTCTGTCCTGGCCCTCCACTTTAACGCCTGTCGAGAGACCATCGTGGACAAGCTCTACATTGAGGACTTCTACATCTGGGATCGAGCAGACACCCACTGGGATCCTCTTTGCGGCCACCTGTCTATCACCGAAAAGGTCGCTCGCAACGTTCAGCTCAGTGGAGATGAGCTCCTTCGCGCCGCTGCCTCACGCAAGGAGAGAGGACGTGTAAAGACTCAAACCTACCGAAAGAGGGAGCGCGACGAAGATGAGACCGCGTACTTGAAGAAGGGCGTTGCCAACCATCAAGCATGGTCCGCTGCGAATCCAGGCCGTGTGAACGATGTCGCTGCTGGCGTACGGAAAAGGGCTAAGGACTCTGGACGGTTCCGCTGCGAGCCATGTGATCACCCATTTGCCACTCAACATGCTCTCAACACGCACTATGGCACCGCCAAACACAAGAGAGCGCTTGCTAACAACTGACCTCAAAGATATTATGTCACTGTGATTGACGCCCCCGGTCATCGCGATTTCATCAAGAACATGATCACTGGTACCTCCCAGGCTGATTGCGCCATTCTCATCATCGCCGCCGGCACTGGTGAGTTCGAGGCCGGTATCTCCAAAGATGGCCAGACTCGTGAGCACGCCCTGCTTGCCTACACCCTCGGCGTCAAGCAGCTCATCGTCGCCATCAACAAGATGGACACCACCAAGTGGTCCGAGGAGCGCTTCAACGAGATCATCAAGGAGACCTCTTCCTTCATCAAGAAGGTCGGCTACAACCCAAAGACCGTTCCTTTCGTCCCCATCTCCGGCTTCAACGGCGACAACATGATCGACAACTCGCCCAACTGCCCATGGTACAAGGGTTGGGAGAAGGAGACCAAGACCAAGACGACTGGCAAGACCCTCCTCGAGGCCATCGATGCCATCGACACCCCATCCCGTCCATCCGACAAGCCTCTCCGTCTTCCCCTCCAGGATGTCTACAAGATTGGTGGTATTGGGACGGTTCCCGTCGGCCGTGTCGAGACCGGCGTCATCAAGGTAAGCTTTACTCGCCCAAACCTGCTGTCCATTCGCAAGCTTCTAACATTTCCTGCAGGCCGGCATGGTCGTTACCTTCGCTCCCGCTGGTGTCACCACCGAAGTCAAGTCCGTCGAGATGCACCACGAGCAGCTCGTCGAGGGTCTGCCAGGTGACAACGTCGGCTTCAACGTCAAGAACGTCTCTGTCAAGGAGATTCGCCGTGGCAACGTCGCCGGTGACTCGAAGACCGATCCGCCAAAGGGTGCCGACTCCTTCAACGCCCAGGTCATTGTCCTCAACCACCCTGGTCAGGTCGGTGCCGGCTACGCACCCGTCTTGGATTGCCACACCGCCCATATCGCCTGCAAGTTCTCTGAGCTCCTCGAGAAGATCGATCGCCGTACCGGCAAGTCCATTGAGGCCTCTCCAAAATTCATTAAAGTATCAAGCCCAGAGAACGTTTGTCATGGAACATATGCTAATTGTCATGCCAGTCTGGGGATGCCGCTATCGTCAAGATGATTCCCTCCAAGCCCATGTGCGTGGAGGCCTTCACCGAGTACCCACCTCTCGGCCGCTTCGCCGTCCGTGACATGCGTCAGACCGTCGCTGTCGGTGTGATCAAGAGTGTAGCTAAATCCACAGCTTCGGGCGGCAAAGTGACGTAAGTCTACTCCATTTCTGCAATACTACTGTCAATATGCTAACCCCTCTAAAGCAAGGCTGCTGTCAAGGCTTCCAAGAAGTAAGCGATTGCTTCGAGGGACCGAGAAGGAGACGATGAGGGAAAAGGTGCGGAAGATTATGCTGCGGAGGATTCATGACTGCATGATGGCGTTTACGATAGCATGACTTGGTGACCTTCTGGCCGCTCAGGTAGTTGTCTGAATGCCTGTGCAATACAACCCGCCCTTTCCAAGTATGTGCACCACATTAACCTTCCAATGCCATGGCAATCCATGAGCTCCTTTGACTTGACTCGAGAAGCATCGGTCAAGCATGATGTACGGTGCGATCCTGGACCGTAAGTATGTATGGCAGACGGTCTCGAGCACAGCACTTCTGTCTTGATCACTTGAAGCGGCCTGTCGAGGTACGTGGTGTCTCAATGCCGCTGAGATATCAACACCCATCCATCATTGATCAAGGATCGCGAGACGAGCGAGTGAGCTGTTCATCCCAGCTCCATGGCGTTGATCAAAAAGTCCCAGATCGTCCGTCCTTGGTATCACTGGCTGCAATGCCTGTGGGATGCGAGCTCGCAATCCTTTCGCGAGCGCTTGATTATTGAGCATTCGATCCGTGTTGAGTCGAGCTGTCACAGGGGTACTTGTCCGCTTCTCACTGGGACATAATGGTTTTCGATAGCTCATGGCGGTCGTCAGTACTATATTCGGTACGGTTTCTGAACGGGATGTTTCCCCAGTTCTTCTGCCCTCGTTCGCTTTTCACTCAAGCGTGAGGTCTCTGAGCAGCTCATGCTGGCCGGCAGGACTATGCATACGGCGGTCTTTGGCTGGGACAACTCCGGTCCTCATCATGAGCACTGCTGCATGATGGTGCGGTCGGATCCAGTTTTGAGAAGACGAGGCATCGACAAGCACGTTCTACCATTCGTCCTCTGTTCGAGCCCCTCACATCATTCTGATGTCGCAAAGGACATCCTGACTGGTAGGAAGTACTATACACGGTAGGGATTGGACGCCGTCCATCATTTCCTCTTCTACTCTTCTTTCGCCAGCTTGCCCACCATTGCATCGTTCCCCTCGTTAGGATTGGGCCCACTGCTGTAGACGACCTCATCACATGCCGCCCGTCAGTGCTGATGCCATAGCCGACTGTGTTCTCACGGCCTTTCAGGCCTTACCGGCGAAGTACAAGCCGCGAAGCCTGCCCGATGGCAGGAAAGAGTGGACGATATTGGCCGGAATCGTGCTGAGTAGAGGTAATGATAACTCTTCTTCCTCGTTGCGTCTCTCTTACGCTATTTGCTGACATTCCGCGCATCTAGAGAAGCCGACACCAGCTCTAAAATGTATCTCTCTAGCTACAGGCATGAAGTGCCTTCCTCGATCGAAACTGGCAGAAGCGAAGGGCAATGTATTACATGATTGGCACGCTGAGATTCTGGCTTTGAGAGGTTTCAATAGGTGGCTTGTGGACGAGTGTGCCGAGATGGCAAGACTGGGAAGGAAGGGCAGGCATGAGTGGCTGAGATGGAGACATACGAGGTCCAGGTCGGATGGGACGGGGGGAGAGAGGAGTGGCAGGCATGAGGACGAGCTGCAGAGAGCTTTGGACGGCGTCCAACATACAGACGAGCACGAGCCTGAGCACGAAAGTACCACTGGCCGCGAAGAAGACACTATGGATGACGCCCTTGAAGGCAGCCAGCCCTTTGCCCTCCACCCCGAGGTCAAGATACACCTCTACATCTCATCTGCACCCTGTGGAGACGCTAGCATGGAGCTGACCATGTCTTCCCAAGAGGATAGTACTCCCTGGGCTACTGCTCCACCCACAGATATACTATCTGGAAGAGGAAACTTTGATCTCCTGGGCGTTGTGAGAAGGAAGCCGTCAAGGCCAGATGCTCCAGTGACATGGAGTAAAAGCTGCTCCGATAAGCTCGCGCTGAAGCAGTGTACGAGTCTGCTTAGCGGCGTCGTATCAGCTGGTGAGAGTATGGGCCTGATGTGGCCAGGGGACTGCTATCTAAGTACCCTTGTCCTGCCTGAAGATGAGATAGTACCAGAGGCTGTAGAGCGGTGCTTTGGACACGGTCCAACTGGCCGCTTGCGAACGCTTACAGGTAAGAGGTGGCAGGGCGGGTACACTTTTACTCCTTTCACCGTCCTGGGCACGGATAAAGTCTTCGCGTACGCCAAACCAATGACTCCACCTTCTGCCACTGGAGTCCAGCAGACAGCCAACGGAAGTAACATTTCCGCGCTTTCCACTCCAACACGCACAGAGGTCCTCATCAACGGTGTCCTCCAAGGCCGTAAACAGAATGATCTCAAAGGAGCGAGCTCCGTCAGCCGAAGAAGGATGTGGGAGGTTGTTCGTGCTTTACAGGAGACTCTAGCTACGACTGCAGGTACGATTGCACCTACGATTACACCTACGAATACAACCAAGAATCCGGAACCTGCTGGCCAGCACACAAGCGATGGGGCTCTGAAGGAGACGTACAAGTCAGTGCAATTGAGCTCAGCCTTCGCACATCGACGAGCTGTGAAAGAGGACGTCTGGTCTACGGCCTTACAGCGGTGGAACAGGAATGAAGGTGATGACGAGTGGAGATTGTGAAGATGGTTGGTTCTACTGGCTTCCCTTGCTTCCGTTCCACATCTGGACTGTTTGGAGGACGACACGCTAGCTCGTGGCATTGACTTCCGAATGGAGTTATGAGAGACGCATGGCTCGTCTGGAGAGTTGCTGGAGCATTCCTTTTCCAGCATAATGTAATACAAGCTACTTTTCAACCTCAAAGCAGCATACGGGACTAGTCGTCCCGCCCTGGCACCTTGCTGCCTCTCACATATATCGAGGAGTGAGAGTCAATCTCACCAAGTAACGCAAACTCACCAGTCACTCTTTGTACCCCGTCCATTAAAACCTCATCTGGCTCCCGCTATTCCTCTTCCCCCTCACTCACCAGCATTCCCCGACTCGATCAAATACCCCCTCCAGTCCATACGTGGGAACACATCGAACATCACCCAAGTACGAATCAGCATCCGCATATCCTCTGCCAGAATCGTCACGCGGTCGCCGTTATTGGCTATATCCTTAGTGACTACAACACTATTCGTCAGCCTTCCGCTCTACCGCTGATTCTGTTCTGATCACCCTTACCTCCGAACGTCGTGACAAGGAATGCCTCTGCTGCCTCCTGGAGACCCCTCAAGTGCGGCAGACGACAAGCGAAGGTTCAGCTCCGGCTTGAGGTCGTGAAGGATCTCGCGGACGAGTTGGCTGAAAGGGTTACTTTTGTTGGACGCCGTCGAAGTCTTCTGCTGTTTGATGCTCTTCATCTCACGGAGTCCCCTGGCTAGATGGTTTGTTAGCAGGGTACGATTACACGACGATTACAAGGTGACTTTACGCATGTAGGGCTTCCTTTCGCCACCTTTGGCCTTGCCAAACATCCTCTCGCTCTGCTTCAGTGGCACTTCCAGGATTCGTTTTGCCGTGGGCTTTGTCGAGACTCTGTTGCGCGCCGTCTTGCTCCAGTCGTGGGTGAAAAGCACCGCTCTCTTCTTCTTACTCGCTACCCTAAGTTGTAGACCTGGAGCACGTTAGCTTTGTGCAGTCTAAGGGACGAATACAGGGTGTAATCGTACCTGCATTTGCTGTCCGCTTAAGAGGCATTGTCGCGTTGATGCTGAGGCTGGAGGAGGATGTTATTGGGATCTCGCTATGTGAAGGTATGGAATGGACGTCAAGGCAATAGGTTAGAATGTCGTAAGTGTAGTTGCGAAGACGTCTGATCGATGTTGAAACGAATAAATAGTAGCCAAAGAGGGCAGGCACGGTCACATGCCCGCCCAGCGAGTGAGGGACCTTCACTCGACGATGCAGCGAGTGATGGACTTTCACTTGCCACCGAGTAATGGGTCTTCATTCGCCGCCGCTGCCTAAGTTGCGGATCATTCCTCATGCCTATGACATCTTCTTAGTCCACTGCCTTCGTATCTTCTACTCCGAGAACTATAGCCACGGTACCCTTCTAAAGTATTGGACGCCGTCCAAACCCGGCGTGTACCCGTATTCGCCGCCAGGCCATAAGGGTGTAAGATATATCACACCGTCTAAGCACGAAATCAACATTGCTGCTGGCGGGCGAGCCCAGACCAAGGGTATGTGCCTGTGCCTTCTGCAGCCAGTGCCGCGGGACCTCCTTATTTGCTATAGCTGCCATAACGGCCCCTGACATTTTCCCCCCCATTGCTCGACATCGTCAACAAGATCTCGTAGCCGTACTTGAGGTTCTATCACACTGGTAGATGCCTTCCATTATAGTCACCATGTCGGTCTTTGTTTCCTCCTTCCTCCTCCACGCCCAGGCAGATATCGCCACGAGTCATGCATATCTGCCTGCCTGCATACCCATCGCTGCTGTTTCGTGCCGCGGTAGTCCGGCTCTCGGATTTTTCTCAATGGCTAAGACATCCTCCGATGGCCAAAATTCGGTCACTCCATGGACAGTCTCCGTCACTCGTTCCCACCTCACTCGACTCCACACCCGCAACCGCATCCTCAAGACAAGCCGGAACTCCGCCAACAGAACCCAGTCCTGACCACCCAACCCTTCCCATCAGCTCTCACGGACCTCGAAGAATGCTCCCATTCTCCGGCCCCCGATCCTTATACCCATCCTTCTCATCATAGCAGCTGTGCCATGGAATCCCCACTCGCTCCATCCCCTCTCCCCTGCTCCCTTCGTCCAACACCATCTCCCGTCGCAGAGGCCCTGTCACATGAACCCCATCGCAATCGAACCCACGCACGGAGATGCTTTGGGACGGGAAACCATCGCATCGAGCATGGTATCATATTCTCAATCAACCCCCTTACGCTACCATCAAACTCTCAAGTCATACTCACCTCCAGAGCGCGGCAACCTCAAGACAAAGGAGCTAGGTAGTCTTCCGTCTTCTTGTTTCTTGGCTCCGCCAATGCGCCTCCGTCTCCCCAAGGCCAAATATTTGTCGCCCAATCATACTCGCTCCCCCGTTCGCGACCAAGACTTGCTGAATCCTGCGCATAGTAGGTAGTCAGCATGACCCAGTGATACTCTAGAGGGTGAAATGAAGTGTTGTTGAGGTTGAGGTTGAGGTTGACGTTGAAAGGAGGGAATTCCGCTTTGGCTTTGTCGGAAAGCCCGAGGATTTCGACGACGTTCAAGCCAGCTAACGCAGCAATTCATGTAGACTACAATACACGCCCATCTTTCTCTCAAATACACCCAACCCGATCAAGGCTACTTCGCCTCTCACAACCCTCCTTCATAACCCCTTCCTCCCCTCTCTCACGCACTCCCCCATCCCCTCCCCAACACCCAAGCCCATCTACCACCCCCCACCCCTACCGCCCCCCACTCCCCCTCCCCACCAACCCATTCGCCCCCCCCAACCCGACCTTCAATTTCCTCCTACACTCCGGACAAAACCACTTCGTCCTCCTAGGCGGCAGTTCACTGAGTCCGACACAAGGCAAATGGAACCACTCCCTCTCACACGCATCGTCGTTGTCGCAGGCGATCATCATGCCGAAACTCACTTGGTCGCAGAGGCAGTATTTTGGTTCGTTGGGGTCGATGGGGGGGTCGTCGGGGTCGAAGGAGGGGCCGAGGATGGGGGTGGTTTGGGGTGGTGGGTGGGAGTGTTGTTGGGGTGCAATGGTGGTGGTGGTAGTGGTGATGGTGGGGGGTCTGTTGGAGCTGGATTTTTTGGGGGCGGCTTTGCGTTTGCTCACGCCGACTTTGGCGTCGCCCTCGTCCGTCTGGGTCAGGATACCAGGGGCGGGCCGCTTGGATCTCCTCGTCCCCGCAAGCGCTGTTGCTGCAGGTTTCGTGGAAGAAGTGCTGGCGCTATTTGTCGTGCTGGTTCGGAGCGGAGAGGTCAGGAGACTACCATTCGGTAGACTGGCATTGCTTCCGCGTCTCAGACTTGCACGTCTGGTGGGTGGTTCTTCTGATACTGCTTTGTTTGCTTTCAGGACGAGGGTGGGTTTGTGTAGTTCGGACGGGGTGGCGGCGCGGCGGCTTCGGTTTGCGGTTGTCCTGGGGGAGGAAGAAGTACCGGCGGGTGCGAGAGGGACTTTTGTGCCGGGTGCAGCGGCTGGTGGGTTGAGTTTCAGTTTCTTCGGGGCTGGCCCGGCCTTGGAGAGCGGATCTGGGGTTTCCTGCATAGCCATACCATTCGTGACGGGCGTAGCATCACGTTTCCGCTTCTTGCCATCTGTAGCGAGCTGCGGATCAACTACATTCTCCACCCCTGTTTCACGTGCAATCTGTGCCTGTAATGCCTGCTCCTCCAACATCCTCTGCCGCTTCAACTTCTTCGCCTCATTCAGCCTCATACCACGATTGATCAGTTCAGCATCGGCATCCTCATCATCAGCATACATCTGCGGACCAAGCATAGCGTTCATCTGAGCATTCTCCTCGCCCGTGACAATGACTTTGGTGGGATCATTATCCATCTGCTCGTCTTGGAAGCGATCGCCTGTATCTTCTGCAGCCTGCTTCGCCGACTCTTTCCCGCTCGTCCCTCTCCCCAGATTCTTCAACTCCCTCCTCACCATCGTCTGCGAGGGTACCCAGATGGCATTCTTCTTCATCCGCTTTCGCAGCTTGGCCATTTCCCACTCGGTCAGCTTCATCCATGGTAACCATCGACTTCCCTTTGGTGCGTCGTCTGGTGGTGCAGTTAGAGCTAGTAGTGCGTTTGACGTACTGATACCAGCCACAGCAGAGTGAGCATTCGTGCCAGGCTGTCCCGGTGCACGTGGCCCCCTCGGCTTGAGTGGTCTCTCCGTCTTCGGTACCTTTGGTGTTCGTGAGCGGGGTCGTGGAGTAGCTTTCTCCGTCAACGGCGGTTCTTCCAAGGGAGGCGAGACGCGAGGGGATGTCCAGTCAGAGATGCTCTCCAGTGGTGCATTCGGATCGGGTGGAGGTAGCACTTCACCCGGCACCATAATCCTCCGTCCTCGTAACTTCGTAGCAGCCTTGTCGGTCAGGTGATGCCTTCCCGCCTTGTCCAGCTTCACATCATCCGCTCTCATACTCATCCTCCTCTCGCGCTTCAGGTTCGGTGAGGTGAGTGGTTGCCTTTCTGGTGTGGGATCACGTGAAGGTGGCAGGGGTTGCGCTTTTAGCTTCTCCGTCACCGAAGCCAGACGTCTCGCCTCCCTATGGCTCGTCTCGTTCAATCGCGTCGCCTCCTCCAGCGCCATCCGACTGGCTCGTTCCGCCTCTTCCAACGCATAGCTGATGTCGCGGCGGAGCTTGACCGGATCGGGCTTGTCGGCGAGGGTGGGTCGCGTGCTGTAGAGTGTGGCGGCATCGTGTATTGCCTTGATCTTGACCTCAGAGCGCAGGCGTTGCTTCTCGATGAGCGTGAGGGCACGTGTCAGGTGGGAGGGGAAGTGCTCGGTGTAGGTGAGGAAGTCGGAGAGGGTGGTTTGGATGTCGGGATCTGTCGGTGGCTGTCTGCTCAGCGACCGGAAGTCCGAGACCGCCGATAGCGTGGCCATGTTGAATGATATGGTGGTTGCTGGGAGGAGATGTCATGTCACGTCACGGCTATACGCGATGGGCGTCAGTCGCGAAGTGACGAATGTAGCAAGCGCGAAGCTGGGATGCACGGGCCACAGGGTAATGATCAAGCCGACAGGGCAGGCGAGCAGCATCTTAACTCATACAATATGGTACAATATGGTACAATATCGCCGATAGTATTCATATTACAAACATCACGGTCCACGGACATGGATTGTACAGTATGCTGTCACCTTCCTCGTACAGTACAGTACCGAAACGATGGTATTTCTGTATGCTTGGCAAGGCTGCACAACCCGGCAGATCACCCGCAATAGCGTAAACTCTATCGTGCCATTGCTCTGCCCCACCAAAGAGATACACCCGAAACGCTTATTTGGTGTCGTCCGAGAAAGGTGAGAGGCTCTTGCTTCTACCACACACCACTCACCACACCGTCTTTACCACCATGTCTCTGACCCTCCTCTCCACACGGTCCAGACGGACGCTCACCCGATCCATCCCGTCGACATGCCTCCGCTCCTTCAGCACCCCCATCAACGACACCTTCTCCCCCGTCTCCCCCTCCGCCCCTCCTCCACCGCCCGAGGCCAGTAACGTGCTGCGAGATGCCGTCACCTCTGCCGGACCGCGCCATGATTGGACTCGAGAGGAGATTAGGGACATCTACAACACCCCTCTCATGGAGCTAGCATTCCAATCGGTAAGTCCAAATCTCTATCCCTTAACACAATTGATTAATGTTAAACGAATTGTCTAGGCCACCCTCCACCGCCGCTTCCACCGCCCCTCGGCCATCCAGATGTGCACGCTCATGAACATCAAAACCGGCGGCTGCAGCGAAGACTGCTCCTACTGCGCCCAATCCTCCCGCTACCAAACCGGCCTCCAAGCCACAAAAATGTCCCCCGTCGACTCCGTCCTCGAGGCCGCCCGTATAGCCAAGTCGAACGGCAGCACGCGCTTCTGCATGGGTGCTGCATGGAGAGATATGCGGGGTCGAAAAACAAGTCTCAAGAACGTGAAAGCCATGGTGCAAGGGATTCGGGAAATGGATATGGAGGTCTGCGTCACCCTAGGCATGATTGACGGGGAGCAGGCGAAGGACTTGGCTTCCGCGGGTCTGACGGCGTATAACCACAACCTCGACACGTCACGGGAACACTACCCCTCGGTCATCACCACGCGCTCCTACGACGAACGCCTGCAAACCCTGTCCCACGTCCGCGACGCCGGGATCAATGTCTGCTCCGGCGGGATCTTGGGTCTGGGGGAGAAGCCGGAAGATCATGTCGGACTTCTTCACACCGTCTCCACCCTCCCCTCACACCCGGAGTCCTTCCCCGTCAACGCCCTGGTGCCCATCAAGGGAACACCGCTCGGCGACAAACTCCCGGCTGGGAAGAGACCGATCCCCTTCGACGCCATCCTCCGCACGATCGCCACCGCTCGGCTTGTGATGCCCGCGACTATCATCAGGATTGCCGCCGGCAGGACGACGATGAGCGAAGCGGAGCAGGTATTGTGTTTTACCGCGGGAGCGAATGCGGTCTTTACGGGGGAGAAAATGTTGACTACCGAGGCCGTGGGGTGGGATACGGATAAGGAGGTTTTTGAGCGGTGGGGGTTGGTTCCTATGAAGAGTTTTGAACGGGGTGGGTTGAGGGAGCAGGGGGCAGGGAGTTGGGCGGCGATTAAGGAGGGGGTTGCTGCTAGGGAGGTTGGGAAGGACCAGGGCGTCGCTGCTTCTGTCTAGGGCGTAGCAGGCGAAATGGAAGTCTTGCGCAGACAGATCGAAACAGCCCAGATGACCATAAAGAGATTCATAGATGATATCAAAACCCATACTTCGAGGTCCAAATCGGTGACTCCTGTCTTTGAAATCCCCTTCCTCTCTCGTGCCGGAGTTTCTCCCAAGGCTGCGCAGTTCTTGGAGAGATGGGCCCCTTTCCTCGATCGTCTACGGTTGTAGCGAGTCCCTTCCAGGGCCTTATCGTGGTGTCTGACCTGCCTGCCTACCTGTCTGCCTGTCTGCGTATGGCAAAGCACTTCGACTCGTCCCGAACCGACCCTTTCACACGCCACCAACCTCCTTGTTCTCCTAGAAACGTTTAGCGAGGCCTGCGGGCAGCTATCTAGCAGGTGTGAGGCCCGTCCCGCTCCAGTCTGCTTCCAGCCGATCCTTCTTGTGTCCGCAACGCGCGTGAGCTATTCGTTCGTCGCCTTCTGTGTCAAGCCCGCAGAGTTGGGCAAGAGGGCGGCGCAAATTTGATCGTGGGTTCGTTCACACTAGACCTTGCTGCCACAACAATGCGCGTTGTCTTCTCAAGGCAGTAATGCTCTCCCGCCGAACCCTGCTCACCCTCCTCCTTCCCCCTTGACTCCTGTCCGCCCCCCACCAGCGGCCTTAGCAGCTTTCCGCCTCTCGATATCCTCGGCCATTTTATTGTGCACGCGGAGTTCCATATCGTGCCCCTGCCTCAGTTCCCGTAACTTCTTCTCTACCTCGTCATTCTTCCTCTTCGCCTCTCCCCTTTCCCTCATCCTTTGCTTCAGCAGCGCTATACTTGACTGGATTTCGGCGTCTACGGCTGCTCGGAGGACGGTGGGGTCGTTGTGGTGAGTTGAGCTGCGGTGATTTCGAGGGGTGTGGTTGGATAGGAAGTCGTCTGTAAACGTGTCTAGATTAGGGTGGAGACCGGGCCCGCCTTCGAGGTAGCCGTTTGGGTGGGTGAGGTTAAGTCCGGCTATGGGGCTTGAGAATATCCTTCTGGGGTCGTTGATTGGGAGTGGGAGTTCGTCCTCTGTTATCGTCGGTAGGGACTCCAATCTCACATCACTGACGCGTACGGAGACGCCGATCTCGGGCTCTTCGGTGCTGTCGAGCGAGAGGATACGGATTCCGGGAGTGGTGTTGGGCGCGGGACCGTGGAGGACGAGGGCGAGGAGGTCGTCTTCGAAGGTCGGGGAGTATTTTAGGTCGTGGGGGACGTAGTTGGCGTAGTGGTCGGAGGTCATGAGGGGACCGTGGGGTGGCGTTGGGGCTGCGGAGGAGGGGGCCTGGACTGCCATTGTGCTGTTGTGGTTTGTGAGATTTGGGAGCATGAGAGCGTGCCTACGCGATACGGAATAGAGTGGAGGGCGAAGACGGCCCGACGTTGCGGGAGGGCCGCTCCTCGCTCGCTAGAATGAATGTACCTGCGTCCTCACTTTCGTCTTGCGCACTTCTCCGATGGCACTGTTACATCGTTGGCAGGAACGCACAATAATATTTATTAATAATATGGACCTGCAGCGGGCAAGTAACAATACACAAGACCGGTGGTCACACGGGATGCCTTGCTGCAGGGAGCCGCTTCACGAGACTGCACTGTGCTCCAAATCATTCTATTCTTTCCACGCCGCCTCTGTGCATTCCAGGAGTCACCATGTTCCCCACCGTGCTCATCTCAATTATCTTCGCGAGAGGAAGCCTGGCCGCCGTATTCTCGGAGTCGACTCGGAGTCGAGGATGGGGTTGTAGAAGGGTGGGCTGAATCGCCGTGCTTGACCTACCACAAAGGTCCTGAATTTGACCATTCTATCTACTACCTGACGGACTTGTCTTGGACAGCCACTCGAGAAGATGTCGAGAACACGATTATTCTGGTCCTATGCTTCCGCACTCCAACCCATAGTGACTTTGAGCCGAGCTGGACTTTTTGCGTGCTCCAAGAATAGTCTGCTCACGGTCTCATCATACCTACCAAGGGTCGAGATACCAGTAATCATCGTCTCGTTGGCTACATCATCGCGGTAAACTGCAGGAATATGTTCTCACCTCTGGTGGTTCGCATCATCGGCTAGATGCAGTGTGGTACTTTGTGTCATAGCCGATACCATGCGCACGCAGCCTGTGTCGTTCGCGTTTGCTTGCATATCGGCTGCTACTTGTCCCATTGCTTGTCGAGTATCCCTCACTATTCTATCTAACGATTTGCTATCTTGGAACAAGACCGTGCAGTCAAGACTCCAAGCATGGCAGCGAACTCCAACAGCCAGAGCCAGAGTCGGGGCTATGTTGACTATGCTGCGCATATATCTGCTGATATCGATAAATCGGTTCCTCCGCTCGACGATGGCCATGAGCCTGCTACAGGGCTCCCAGACACCAGCACCAATGGCCAGCCAGGCCTCGAAGTGCCTGTCCTTACTCTCCATCTGGGTACTGCAATTCCGACACCTGCGCATCTAGTCACGGATAGCAATTCAGGATCGAACGCACCGAAAATCGTCCTTCATCCCGCCGGTTTGGACCTAAGGCCGGAACTGGAGCAGCCGGGCACCACGAATACAAACAGCTTAGCGTCAAGTAAGCCGAAGAAGCGGACTTGTCTCAATGTTTGCCGAGCTTGGCTGTGGGAGTTGCTTGCCTGCTTGTTCGCCATGCTGCTTCTTGTCGCTGAAGCAGTGTTCTTCGGCCAGGTCGATAAGCGGAGTGTGGAAGGCTGGAAGGCTGGAAGGCGACCGGGAACTGGAAGATCTCCTTCCATCATTGCGTTTCTGACAACAATTCTGGAAGCCGCAGTAGCGTTTGCCGTGGCATCATGTCTTGGTCAGCTGAGATGGTTGTGGTTTCAGAAGGGACAGGAACTGCGCTGGATGGATCGCTTGACTAATGCGCGCCAGCCCGTCTGCATGGAGGTAACTTTGAGTCTTCAATATTGTGACCTGAAGAACTCTCTACAACATGAGTACAGACACTGGGCGGGGCTCGGTGGCTTCCTCGTGCTAGCTTTACTCGGCATTAGTGCGTGTCCAATGGACAACTCTTGCCCAAGAAGTTTAATCACTGATTCATGTTCTTAGACGCCTTCACTCAGCAGATCGTTAACCCAGAGTATCAGTCATACAACACAACCGAAATCTACGTACCGATAGCATACACATGGCTGGAAAAATACGAGGCTGGCAATAAGCGTGGCAGCGAGCAGTCATATATCGATATGACTGCTGCCGTCATCACTGGATTTCTGTCTCCCAATACTCTGAGAAGTTACGCGGACACTGTTGCGGGATCCGGCTTTGTGACGTGTCCCAGTGGCCATTGTGACTTCCCATCTTACTACTCTCTGGCCATTTGCTCCAAATGTCGAGATATAAGCGACACCGTCATCTGGCCAGAGTGTCGAGGCTCAGGATGTAGACAAGATGACCAGGAGTCAAGGATCCGACTGAGTACGATAGACCTGAGTCTTGACTCCAGGAACGGGATCGTCAATATCACATCGAACCTGGGGTATCCCGATGATAGTAGCATATCAGACGTCGGGCCTTTGCTCGCGCACTATTTCGGCCTCGGTCTTAGCCAGGGCGCCGATGCAGAGGCCAACGCCTCCGAATGTGCAATGTAGGTGATTTGTCGTGGGCGTATCGAAGGACTTGGACTGTTCTTGTGGATAGCTTTTGGTGTGCTCAGAGCTTTAGTAGTTCCGTCTACTCGTCTCGGTTCTCAGAACTTTCTGCTAGCCCCTATTCCACTGATACGGCAAGGACTGCGATAACGAACGACACGCTTAGTGAAAATATCACGATCAAGCTGCGTGACTGCTATCTGACCAACGCCGATGGGTCGACTAATGGCACAGCATGCGTCTTCACCGTGGATGCACAGTCACATCGTGCGCTGCAGAATTTCTTGGTCGGCGACAATAACGAGACTTGTTTTCTGCATGGTGAATCGTACAACATGGACACGGATCACGAGTACTGGTGCAGCAACTCTACAGCAGCAGATGCAATTGTCGCGCCGTGTAGCAACAGAGCTTACGATGAAACGTATGACTGTAATCCGGACATGTTCGCCAATCTCCAGTACTCGATACAAGATATGGCACTGTAAGCCTCCCCAACGCATCCCGACCACGCGAATTTCCTGCACACATACTAACGTGCGTCTTAATAGCTACATGACAAATTTGATCAGGGAGAGCAAGTTCAACGACTATCGCAGCCACCAGACAGGAGCGATGACCATAGTGGTCTACCGCATCCACTGGCCTTGGATAGCCTACCCGGTCACCATTATTGTACTTGCAACCATGTTCGTCGTTATTACCATTTACAAGAGCCGCGGCGTGGATCCCCAGAAGTCTTCAGTCGTTGCGCTCATGCAAGTCCCTCTGACAGCCTGACGAATGCTGGCCCGGCAGAGAGTCAATAGCCAATAGACCGTTGCGTGAGTAGCCGCAGCAAGTGCTGACAGAAACTACAGGTTCCATGGCATCCGTAACGAGGACCGCCTCGCATTTATCAAACTCGCAACACAAAAGGAAAAGGAAGAGGCATACCGAAAGTGGTCTGTGGTGCTGGAAGACGAAAACGGTCTGCAAGTCTTCCGGAAGGTCGAGAAACTCGGAATGGAGCCCAGAGAAGGCGAAGTCAACATGCATGCTCGACTGGACGGCATGGCTGAGCGACCGGTTCATTTCGCTGAAGAGATACGTCACGCCGCATTAGCCGCAGGTTTCGAAAGCGTTTGAGGTCTTCTAGGCTTTTCGAAGCATGCTGTGACGTGGCTTTACCTACCTGATGAGGACTAGGGCGTATATTGCTGGTAAGCAAGGAGGAAATTGCCATTCGATGGATTTCGAAGAGGACGAGGAGCCGGCGGTGCATGATGGTAAGCAGCTTTCGATTTTACGATGCACCTGGAAAGCAGGAGAAGGGAGGAGAATGACAATCACTGTTAAGTGGATCCAATCATTCAGAGGTCTCGAGAGTGTATGCATTACCACCTCAACTCAAACTTAATATGTCCTACAACAATAATGCCCTCAATCTCACTCGGCCATCCGCTATGCCCTCTTGAGAAACAACGCACGCCGTGTTACGCCTCCGATGCATGAATGTGTGTAACGCCGAATGCAGGTTGAATGATGAATTGATTGCAGCCCAGATGGCATATCCGTGGAAAACTCTTATCATGACGACGACAACGCTCCGAACGCATGCAAGAAAACAATGATTCCACTTGTGCTCTTCTTCCATTTACTTGCCCAACAGTGCTGTCCCGTTGAGTGTTTGCCCTCCAAGTGATAGTCGTACATGCTTCTCGGCTGGCTGTGTTGATGCAGCGGCTTTCGTGGTCTCGCCAGCCTTGACGCTGAACGAAGCTCGCTGCTAGTTTAAGACCCGAGTGTCGTCCTCGACATCTGGATTTACCCTGTCTCTAGCAACGCTGGTACTGAAGCTAGCCAGTATGCCCACGAAAGCCCCTCCTTGTGCAAAAGCTGACCTTTCTACCAAGAGTCGTTGCCGTTGCTTTTACTTGATACCATAGTAACAGGAGAGCTAGTCTGTACCCGCGCTCACCAGTTAATCTTGCGAAAGATGATCTCGTTCTTGCTCGGCTTGCTTCGCAGAAGATCAATATGCTCGATCTTCTGCCCATCCTCAAACCCACCCTTCCGCAGACCAAAGTCAACGACCAGAATACGGCCATCTTGACTCGTAGCCACGATGCGACGGTAGTCAGACTTAGCAGCCAGCATCCAGCTAGTCGTCCATTCCTCTGCACGCCAGATCTCCGTGCCATCCACAAAGTCGTAGACACGAAGATCGAGGTCGTACGATCCAGATACTACACGATTGTTCGCGCTGTCCAGCCATAACGATCGGACCAGCTGGGTGTGACCGGCGAAACGCTGCGTCTCCATCTTCGTCTCGACATCGAACTTGTACGTGATGTGGTCGTTGCCGCCGGCGAGCACATGCTTCATATCCTCCGAGAACTCGACAGCAGCCAAGCCGCGCTCTTTGGCTTCGAACTGCCCGACGAACTTCATCTGTTCAATATCCCACATACGAGCGATACCGTCTCCACTTGCACTGACTAGAAGGTTGCCACGAAGTTGCACGGCATTGACGGGTCCTCGGTGGCCGCTGAGCTCACCGATATACTCCAGTGTTTGACGGTTCCATATTATGATACGTGAGTCCTTCGAGCAAGAAACTATATGCTTAGCGTCAAGCGCAACATCCAAGACGCCACCAGTGTGTCTCTTCAGACGCTTGATCGGCTCAAAAGTATGGATGTCCCAGACGAGGAGATCAGAGTCCGATGAACCAGTGACCAGGATCTCATCATCATACTGCAGGCAAAGAATACTGGCGTCGTGCCATTCGCTGGGAGTGTGGTAGATGTTGTTGCCATAGGCGGTGGAATTGACACTGGCGGTTGCGAGGTGGAAGTGAGGGTAGTCCACAGTACGGAGCACCTTAGGCCCAGGCTGCGGACGAGAATTCGGACCACCTATCACGCGGATGCATTGGTATGTGTCAATGTCCCAGACACGAATGGTGCGATCACGAGAGCCGGTGATAATCTTGTCTTCGTCGAATTGGAGGCAGTAGACGCTGTCTGTGTGGCCGGAAAGATAGACGGCTTTGCCTGCTTTCTCAGCACCACGCCGCCAGTTCTTGTCCAGCTCGGTACGGGCGTTGTACATGTTCCTCCATTCTTGGTTTGTCTCGTTGGGCCTCCCGACACCTGCTCCGCCCACCAGGATAGGTGCAGGGTTGGTGTAGATCTTCCTTTCGAAGTCGCGCATGTACGCGTGTCTCCAGACTGACATTCCGCTGCAGTACTCTTCCCAGGCTGGATTCACCTGCTCAGCAGAATAGAGGTCCTGAGCATCCAGGTACTCGAAGATTTCAATGCATAGCTCAGCCGGGAGAGCATTTCGAACGAAGTCTACACGCACGGGCTCAGGCTCTTTCTCCTCATCCTCCTCGTTGTCTTTCCCATCAACATCAGCCATCTCCACGTCACCCCTCTCGCCCGCTAAATATTTACACGATTGATCCTCTGGCCTTGATAAATCTGCTCCGCTATCTGCTGCACTGCTTAACGAACCGACTTGCTCACGACGCGCCTCGAGAGCCTGCTCTTGGGCGAGTTCCTGTGCTTCGTCTTGCTCCTCTTCCTCGGAAGTAATCATGGCTTCCTCCTCCTCGGCTTCCACGTGCGCCTGCGGCTGCTGCCTGTATGCTGCAGCTGCCGCACGCGCACTCTCACCACCGATTGGCAATTGCGTTGTCATTGACCGACTGTCGGTGGCTGCCACACGTGCGTGCTCTCCGCTATTGGTGGGGAAGGGTACTTCGACGACAGAAGGAGGGTTTACGCGTGTGGTGGAAGGTGGTGCTGGTGTATCCTTACGGTCGCCGCTATTACTGTTGCTGCTGCTGTTACCTAATGCGGCAACACGGCCATGTGGCACGCGTCTCTTCGCCTGCGGTCCTGCAGCTTTTGCATTACGCTTGCTCGGCGAAGTGGGTGGGACTAATGGAAGCTGATCATCGTTCTTTCGCATCGCGAATTTGCGAAGCCGTGATAGCCTCCTTCCCAATGCTGTGGCTGACTGGACCCGCTCAGCTTTTACTGCCACGCTATCAGCCTGTATTGACGAGTTCTCCAGCTTCTCCGTATCGTGGAGTTGCGAGGGCTCTCGTGTGCTTGCTGTCGAGAATGCTCGTTCGAAGAAGCGCGGACCTTCATTATTATTATTGCTGGCCGTGGCCTGTGATGAGCTGCTGGCAGTCACTGGGTACTGATTGTTTGTGAACGTGTCGTCCCGTGGTAGTGTTGGCGCCCGTGATGAATTATGACTCCACGACGTGGCATCAAATGATGGACTCCTGCTTGCTACCTTTGAGTGGATTGGTAGACTGAGCCTGCCTGGACCTTCTCTATCCGGTATTGATTGTCTCCCACTTGACGGCCTGCGCACATGCTCTCCTCCCATTTCAATACTCTCTCCCCGTGATCTGCTGCCGCGAGTCCCAGCGATGCCGGTCCACATCACTTCCCGTGGGCGTTCCTTCCAATGCCGACGAACCAAGAGCCACTCTCCGAATTTATAACAATTCAGCTGCGGACTAAATGGTCGTGGCGGGCGTAAGTAATGAGCGTGTTGAGCGAGTGCGAAATGTAGGGCGGTGTAAGCCTGGTGTATATATGGAAGCTGCCAACGCCGATCCGCAAACAGCCAAAGTCTCACCCGACGTAAAAGCGCGGTTGGGCCAAGATTTGAAGGAAGTTTCCACAGATACAGTGGCGATGTATCCTCGGCAAACACAATTCTGAGTTGTAAGAAACACCAGTACCCGACGAAGAGTGATGAAAGGGACTGCCAGATGACGCCCACCCGAACCGTACAACTCGGGCTGGGCGGAAATGACTGGATCGGAGCACGGTGTTCGTCCATCGTCCCTAAACCTGGTACACCAGACTTTGAGTGAGAAAGGAATATTCCCTGCAACGCCTTGGTCCCACTTCTTTATACCCTACACGAGCTATAGAACCACATGTCAAAATATGGCAGACACTTTCTCAATTATGCTGACCAGCTACGTTATCGAAGTTACATGTTGCTGTTGATGGAAAGCCAAAGTCTGTCGAAGCTGACCACACGAAAGTACGAAAGCTGCATGCCTCGCGACCTTCTCAATGAGGACAAGGCCGAGAAGTAAGGTGCGTACTTCGTGGACTGCCCGACGTCCGGTAACCATTCCCCAATTTTAAACCACCACGACGCCTAGATTCGATGGTAAAGTTCAATCAATTGAGACAAAGCACAGCATAGTTATTCAGGCACTACTGCACATTCTAGCCGGAACATCGTGCTTCCAGACCCAATTCCACTTGCATTATTACATGCTCACACCATCCATTATTGGTGCTGTACGCTCTCTCTCAGCTGTCTAGCATCAACCAAACCTCGTGCGACCGACGAGCTCGAGCTGGCAAGTCCATACGACACGCGTGTGTGCTACTGTGCAACATTTCTCGGTCTCGGCTTCACCGCGCCACGTCAATACTACGCCACCCGCGGAAGCATCAGCTGTCCAATTGCTCTCATCACTTCACTCTTCTGTCTCACCTACACCAACAAGTCGCCTTGTTAGGCAGCATCTCACGCTCCCTTGCGCACGAGTCTACGCGCATCGCCACGGTCACGAGCACCATCATGGCGCGAACAGCGGACCAACAAATTCCCTTCCTCTACAGGCTCTTCTTTCTGTAAGTCCTCAGATCACGTCTTGCCTCCTGGTTGTCTTACTGCTTTTCGGGTTTGCATTGCGACGAGCGGAATGACCACCGAAAAAGCGACCGATGGTACGAACATTTCAGGCACTAGTGAGACATTATTCAATGCAGGCAGGCCTAACGGTTGATACCGATGCTCGACCCAAGACATGCCACACCGATAGCCCAGTGGCCGACCACTATTTTACCAAATCAGACTTCCCACCAGCTCTCGACCAGGCCCTCGGGTCTCCAATATCGCACCCGTGACAACGGGACTGGATCACATGAACAGCCTTCTAGACCCAAACTTCTTGTGCTACCGAGCTGTTACCATAGCGCGTATACTGACTGCCGAAACCTAGGTACATCGAGCCCATTGCCACGGCACTCGGGGCTCTATACAGCTTCGACTTTCTCGGCCTGCAGACGCAATACATGAGCATGACACATCCATTGAGCGCCGCCACCGCACTCACAGTCCGAGAGAGTATCATATTAAACCAACTGGCTAATCTGTACTTTGTCTTCGCGTTCAACGAGGCTCTTGTGCTGCGGGCTACGAACGATGTTTCAGTCTGGAAAGTCTTCCTGCTCGGACTACTGATAGCGGACTTTGGTCATCTTTACAGTGTCCATGCTATGGGATCTAGTATCTACTGGCAGGCTTGGACTTGGTCGTCGATGTACTGGGGCAATCTTGGATTTGTCTATGTTGGTGCTAGTATGAGGACTGCGTTTTTACTGGGGCTTGGCTTTGCAAAGGGGAGTGGTAAGAAAGTCAAGCGCTAGGATCCATTGCCATATGTCGTCGCCACAACGTCGAGTCTGGACTTGCTTAGCAGGGGATGAAGCGTCGAAGGTCTAGCGAGCGTGAAGCGGGATGATTATCATGCTGTGGCATTCAGACTCGGGTAGGTACAGCTACTCATCAGATCGGTGTAGTGGTTCGTACAAGCGCCTGGCTGAGCATCTGACCCCGACATTGAGGAATGGATTGGTGACAAGGTCAAGAGCCGATCGATTCGGCTGCATAGTATTGCATGCAGGGCGCATGCCTTGGATCGTTCTCCGGTAATAAGAATCGTGGTATGCATGAGCATATTTTGTGGCTGGAAGCAAGTTGCCACTCCTGTCGATACGGAAGTCACGCGCTGGTAATGGATGACCCTCTGCGAACGCTGGTTGTCCATGGCGGTGGCAGCATGGATATATGTGCTACTCAGCACTGCCTACGGCGGGAGCGTGTTGTGGATAGGGGGCCTACAGTCATGAAAATGGCAGTCCGCTAATCTGGCCGGCTTCATAGAGAAAATTGGAAGGGTCCAGTGACTGTCCATGCTGCTATGAGTGGTGTTTCTACCAGCAGTACTCTGAGTAAGCAACTTAGCAGACGGACGAGAGGGCTGCGACGGAGACAGCATGGCCATATCAGGTGAGAAAGCTGTCTGGCGTGCGAGAACAACCCCACGTTCGAGCTGCAGCGCCACCGGGCTGCAGGCGTCCATATGAGATCGAGTCCGCTGCATGCCGAAGCACACCGCCAGGTCCTGTGACATCGCAGGTATAACTCGACAGTCATGCTCTGACGGATTGGAGGTGCGATGCTAAAGCTGTCCAGACAACGTGGCAAGACTATTAGAGCATGACTAGAAGCCATCGATCAGTGTTTCCTTCTCCGCCGACACCGCAGCCTCCAGAGCACTCTTAACAAACACTTGAGCAGCATCGCCGACAACGCAAATACTGTGGTGGGGTCGGACATTGTATAGCACCGAAAGTAAAAGGTATGGTTGAGAAACAGCCGGTTCAGACGTCAATGGAGTCGAAACTTCATGTCTCGTGAATCGATAGGTCCATGTACTCGTTGAGAAGACAAACGTTGAAGTAACTCTTTGCGCCATGCTACCTATTGCTATGGAAACGGAAGTAAGCCAATGCTTGGTTGTGTGTAGGTCAGCAGCATTGTCGCATTCGAGAAGCCAAGTGTACGATGCTTCGACAGTGTTATGAGCGATACACGAAGCTTCGCAGCAGTCTATAGTTCACCCGAAGCAGAAGAATGTGAGCGGACTGAGACATGCCGTCCGCCTGGACCAGCTGAGTGTTTCAGACGAGCCATTGAATGACATGTGCCTTTTCGAGGAAAAACTGATGGGTGCCTGAGACACATAGCTGGAAGATACCAGAGTTTACTAGTGTGACCCAGATAGGAAGTTAGGGTATCCTCCAGCATGTTATTTGTGTATATCGGGCCTTGAACAGAAATTTGACGGCATGTGATGTGACGATCTCTCACGATTGTGTCGAAATCTGGTCTCTCATATTAAGCTTGCCCGAGGGAGCGATGTTGCAATTGTTTTCGAACCATGTCTGTGGTAGTGGTAACAATGAGACGATCATTAAGCTTACCATCCAACCTAACGAGACTCTTTCTCGACGAACCACGATGGTTATAAGGTATCACGACGGACTTTGGACAATGCAACTGTGGATCCTGTGGTTGTATTGCTACGTGATCAGATATCTGCTGGTACACCGATGGCTGTTGCTCACAGGAGCTGGTGCTGAGAGCTGGGGATGATTACGCAAGCTGCGGGCCACTTGAGCAAGCTGGCCTATTCGCTAGACTCAGACTGTCCGTCAACAGCTGTCCAGAAATTTCCTGCGCGGTAATGGCAGCAGCGAAGTACATCAACGATCCAGCATAATGACAGAGCTGACATCAGATTGATAGCCTTTGAATGGATCAAGCTTCATTGGAAGATTTATCGACGTCCAGAACTTTCTCTGAGATGCTGCGGCCCTCACGAAAGAGCCCCAATGATAATATCGGCCACGGCATCCGGTTGCGAGATGAATGGGACATGGCCTGCATCTATCCAATTGAGTGCAAAGCCCTGCCATACCATCTCTTGACGTGCCGGTGGAATCGTGATATCCTGCTTAGTGGCCACAACAGTAATAGGCGCCTTCCGCCAATCTTCGGACGTGATCACCGGAGTAGCGTCCTGATAATAGGCTGGTACGAGCTTGTCTGCCCACCGTTTTGCTTCAGCAGGAGGCAGAAAACGCGTTCAGGGTCTGTCATGGTATTGAGATGCCGTTCATCATCGATGCCGAAGTTTGGATTCTCAGGCCCGAGGAAGTTCCTGGAGTCTAGTGCCACTCCAGCTGGGAATGCATAGGCGGCGACGAAGACAGCCTGGACGAGACGTCCTTTGCCTGCAGATGCTTCCAATCGTCCTTCGTGGATGACTCTGTTAATGGTCTCCGCTCCGGATTGACCGGCATAGCTATGCAGAACGAAACAGACGTCACGTCCGGCGTCGAGTTCGTCGACCACAAGTCCATGCAGGTGCGCCACATCGTCGGCGAAGTACTGTCTCCGCTCCTTCAGACCGACGCTGGCTAGCTGATCTGCCTTTGCAATGTAGCCATTGCGTCTTAAGGCGTGAACGGTAGGCTGGGCATGTTCGGCTGTGTGCCAGCTCCCTGGGATGATGATGATGATTGTTGGCCGTGCCATGTCTGTGCGGTAGTATCTATCTTGTCCAGTATCGGTTAAAGTCTCTTTTTAGCGTGCGTAGAAAACTATGCAAGAAGAAAGGAACCAGGAGGCCGTATGGTATTATATGGGCAACCGAACGGCTAAGGACAGGCCGATCCTTTGGGGGATCGGTCAATCAGGGCAGAGCGTTGACTCGAATACTAGTTCAGCCATCGCTGCGGAACTTCGAAGGCTTCCATGGCCATCAATCGTCATGAAGCCATTTATCTCCATGAGAAGCGATCAGTCATCCGAGCTCGTGGCTGTGGGTACACTCGCTGTCGTTGGATTCCTCGCTGGTAAAGGCCGCGAGCATGATGTTGTTGTCACGACCAGTTTAGAACTAGTGGCACTGCATGTGTGCCCTAAGATGTAAGGCACCCAGGTTCGTCAGGGTCCACATATCGCATCAGCTTTCGTGGTCGTATATGTGCATATGCGTGACAACAAACAATCGAACCATCCACCGCGGCATACATCGACCCAGGACCAAGGCATCGACAAGATACCACCGAACCAGGACTAACATGCACGAATAAACACGACAACCGATACTCCCCACCCGTCACTCCATCGGGCCCGCCGAGGCCACCACAATGTCCTCCCTCAAGCAGTTCATTCGCAATGTCCGCGCCGCCAAGACAATCGCCGACGAGCGCGCAGTGGTACAGAAGGAGAGCGCCGCCATCAGAGCCAGCTTCAGAGAAGAAAGCAACAATTCAGACGTGCGACGGAACAATGTTGCCAAACTGCTATACCTTTTTACTCTCGGCGAAAGGACACATTTCGGGCAGATAGAATGTCTGAAGCTACTGGCCTCACCGCGCTTCGCAGACAAGCGGTTGGGCTACTTGGGCACGATGTTACTGCTTGATGAGAACCAGGAAGTGCTTACGCTGGTCACGAACTCGTTGAAGAATGATTTGAATCACAACAACCAGTATGTGGTGGGACTGGCACTATGTACCCTTGGCAATATTGCATCTGTTGAGATGTCGAGAGATCTGTTTCCGGAGGTGGAGACCATATTGGCCAGCAGCAATCCATATATCAGGCGCAAGGCAGCATTGTGCGCAATGCGCATATGTCGGAAAGTGCCGGACTTGCAGGAGCATTTTATTGACAAGGCGAAGTTACTGTTGAACGATCGGAACCATGGTGTCCTGCTTAGCGGCCTGACACTCGTCGTCAGCATGTGTGAGGCAGATGAGGAGGAAGGTGGAGAGCAGGGGATCGTGGAGATGTTCAGGCCTTTGACAGGTAGCTTGGTGAAGGTGCTGAAGGGTCTGTCACAGTCTGGATACGCACCGGAGCACGATGTCACTGGCATCACGGATCCTTTCTTGCAAGTCAAGATCTTGCGACTACTAAGAGTGCTTGGCAGGGGTGATGTGCAGGTCAGCGAGCAGATCAACGACATTCTGGCACAGGTAGCGACGAACACCGAATCGTCGAAGAATGTTGGTAACTCGATCTTGTACGAGGCCGTGCTCACCATTCTGGACATCGAAGCCGACTCTGGTTTGCGAGTACTGGGTGTCAATATACTTGGCAAGTTTCTCACTAACAAAGACAACAATATCCGATACGTTGCTCTGAATACCCTTCTGAAAGTCGTCGCCATTGAGCCGAACGCCGTTCAGCGACACCGGAACACGATCCTAGACTGCTTGCGAGACCCAGACATCAGTATTCGGAGGCGCGCGCTTGACCTCAGCTTTACCTTGATCAATGAGTCAAACGTACGCGTGCTCATCCGAGAGCTACTTGCCTTCCTCGAGGTTGCCGATACGGAATTCAAGTCCATCATGACCACACAAATTGGCATTGCTGCTGATCAGTATGCTCCAAACAAAAGATGGCACGCCGACACTATGCTCCGAGTACTGAAGCTGGCCGGCAATTATGTCAAGGAGCAGATCTTGTCGTCTTTCGTGCGACTCATTGCGACCACTCCAGAACTTCAAACATACTGTGCACAAAAGCTATACGCATCACTACGAGACGACATTAGCCAGGAAGGCCTCAACCTCGCAGGTGCGTGGGTGATTGGTGAGTATGGCGATGCTCTGATCCGTGGTGGCTCATATGAAGAAGAGAATCTGGTGAAGGAAGTGAGGGAAAGCGAGATCGTTGATCTTTTCACCGCCATTCTCAACTCCAGCTACTCTGGCCAAATCGTGACGGAGTATATTATTACTGCGACTATCAAACTTACGACTCGAATGCAAGATGCCGCGCAAGTCGATAGATTACGAAGACTGCTTCTGAACAGACAGACTGATCTGGACGTTGAGGTGCAGCAGCGATCGGTCGAGTATGGCAATTTGTTCGGATATGATGAGGTACGGCGTGGTGTACTAGAGCGCATGCCACCTCCTGAGATCAGAGAAGAGCATCGTGTACTTGGCGAGGCGTCGAAGAAGCGGCACAGCAAGTTACCAGCTGCTAAGAAGAAGGCTAGTCAGATCACCGAGAACGACCTTCTGGACCTGATGGGCGGTGACTCGACTATGCCTGCTTCGGAGAGCAGCGCCATCATCAACGGAAACCAACACAACGCCAGCGCAGATTTATTGGCAGATATACTCGGCGGCGACAATACAATGTCTTCGCCCGTTGAGCAATCGAGTAGTCAACTCTCGAATGGCCAAGCGCGGCCTCAAGGCAATATGAACTCGATAATGGACCTCTTCGACTCCCAACCCTCCGGTAACGGCGTATCCGCATCAGCGGCACCATCAAACGACATCCTCAGTGGCTTCGGCTCTCCAGCTCCTGCACCTCAGCAAACTCAGCAATCACAAGGAACATCGCATACAGCATATAATAAGAACGACCTCTTCCTCATATTCACCGTGCAACGAAGTCCACAAGCTGTACAAGTTCTCGCGCGTTTTAAGAACCAATCAGCTTTCGAGTCCTTCAGTGCTGTCAATCTGCAGGCTGCCGTGCCCAAAACGCAGAAGTTGCAGCTGCAGGCGATTTCTTCTGCGGAGCTTGAAGCGGGTGGGGATGCGACGCAGCAGATGAGGGTTACAGGTGTCAATGGCGTAAGTCACTGCCGTATATCAAGCTATATGCTATCTGGACGTATGCTGACAATTCTTTTCACAGCCTCCCCCGCCACGATTGCGCTTGCGACTCAAGGTCACATATGCGAAAGGTGGTACGGCGCCGACAACAGAGCAGGTCGACTGGTCGGAGCCGACTTGAGGATGCCAGTGGTGGCTGCGCTTCAACTGACATTGCTTGGGAGCATTGACAGGGAGCGTGTTCAATGCGCGCCTTACTTTGTCCTTCTCCGATCGTCGTCATTTGCATCGTGTCGAGTCGATGATGATAGCATAGCTCAGAGTATCATGTCACCAGTATGTCAGAGCATGACATGAATGCACTTCCAACCTACCCCTTGACAAACTCAACCTTTGCCTTTACTCTTTCCAGCCCAAGTTGCTGGTGCCTCCTTGACCACTTTGCCATCCTCAAGCAGCACGCCCTCTCCGGTCCTGTCTTCAACCCGTTTGAACAATTTCAGCGGCACCAGCCCTTCAGCGTTGCCTTTTGTCAAGACCACGCCATTGTCGCTCACAGCCAACTTCAGGCCTGCCTCCATAGCCTTCGCCACCTCCAGAAACATCAGCACAGTAGACGATTTCCGCATTCCAGAAATGACTGGTGCTGCTTCTGCCGCATCTACCGCGTTCACGTCTCCCTCGATGACAGACTTGAAGCCAGCTGGTAGTCCTTTCGCGAAGTGGACATGGTTCCTCGTCATCGATTTCAGTCCTCCTGTAGCTACGATGAGAAGCCAAGCAGCATGCGTAGTCCCATGCACAGCTACCTCAGGTACATTCTCAGCAGTAATCGGTTGCAATAGACCCTCATCCTCAACCTCAACACTATGTCCCTGATTCGCTCTAATCAGCCACTCCTGTGGCTTATCTGACGCTACCTTGGCTGCTTCGTTCTGAGCTTCTCCGCCGACTTCTGCAGCCCCCACAGGCATTAAGGTAAAGCGTTTCTTGTCATTCTCCTCGACTATCGTCCGGAGTTCGTCGAGAGTCACCTTGAAAGATTTGATGTTCCGATTTTGGAGGACGTCGCGAACGTTGAGGAAGCCACCAGATTGAAGTTGGAGGCCTTCCTTTTCGGCGCCGTGGCGAAGGAGCCAAGAGAGCTTTTTTGATACTTGGACCTCTCGCGTGAGCGGCGGCCGACCGGGCATCTTTGTGAGGGACTGTCGATATGGTCTGATGCTGAGAATTCAGCTGTCGAGAATTTGCGGATCAGCGAGTTGAGCTGTGGCGGTATGAGACAGTTGTTATCATAAAATTGTTGCTTGAGGGCGAACTCATGATTCTGCTTTGAGAAGTCACGAATTGTGACTCAACGAGCGCCAGAGTTTTGATTGGCTGGCAAAGGAGAAAACGACCACAGCTGTTGTACCCGTATAACACGACCTTTCATAGACACCTTGTGATTATGCCTCCTACGCAGCGATGCATATTGAGCAAAGCTTCGGCATGCGCGAAGACGCTCGTCGCTCTCCTTGCCGGATGCGATCGTCCATGAACCAACCATGATCGCCTCGCTCAGCTCTGCTCGCTTCTCGTGCAGATCAATCCTTCCAAACAGGGCACATGTTGCGCCGTGAGCTTATCTGCGAATGGATATAATGGGATAGATCGGCCCCAATGCTTCGCTCTCGCTGTAATCTCTCTTTCTGTGATGCTTACTTGCTTCATACCGTCCTCCAAATTTCGTAAAAATGCTGCTTACCACCGCTGGCATCGTCATTGGGCGTAAGATCAAGGATGAGAGGGCGAGGAAGAAGGAAGCCAAGCAAGGTCTATTGAGCGTTGGGAATGATGAGCTCGCGAAAAGAGCATTCGACAGACAGACGGCACGAACGCTCGCGAGTGAGCATGAGAGCTCCATAGGTCTACTGCGAGCAGGTACGGATAGCAAGTTCGAGGACCCTGCGAGCGTAGAGGCAACAAGCTCGGGCGTAGACAGTAGTCCACTTCGACCGCCCGATGGTTCTAGTGTCAAGAGCCCGTCCACACCCAGGACTGTCAACCTGGCCTCGACTCTCACTCAATCGCAGAATTTTGGTCAAGCCGGAAGGACTATCAATCGACAATCCGCTGGTGGACCACCACCTTATTCTCCAATGGAAGGCACAGCACGTGGAGCTACTTCCTCGATCTACTCCCAAGATTCTGACCGACCAGCCCTGACATATTCGTCCTCTGACACGAGATCCATCATGACCAGCTCATCAGAGGGCGGCGATACTATCAAGATCCGTACTAACGGCTCGGATCTCAAAAGTGGTTTCCCATATCACCCTGCGTTATTCGACGTCAACGTGCACCCAAGCATATGGGATACGTTTACTGCACGCGTCGTGGAAAGTACTAAGCTCACTGGCAAGGACCAAATGCAGGTCTGGGCAGCAGCCACTGGCGTTGCACTGACTGGCGCGGTAATCACATCCGTGTTCGTTGGAAAGTAGGTAAAGCCAACTCGAAATACTCGTAACATTCTGACTTTTGATCCCAGATCAATGACTCGCTCAATGCAAGAGAAGAGAGTCAAAACCGCTCTCGCAGACATTCAGCCGGTGCTCTTGGTGAGACACTGGAACAGTGGAACGATACATACTTCCGCCAACGAGGTCTGCTTGTGCATCTGGAGCTTAGCGAGGCGAGTGTTAAAGGCAAGAGTCTTCGGAAACCTGCGAGTCTCTTCGACAGCAGGGAGGAAAGGGACATCAAACGGGAGCAAAGAAAATTCGTGATCGTAATCTCAAAGCTTGAGGGCGAGAGCAGACCGATGGAGGGACTGGATGAAGTGCAAGAAATGGCAGCCGAGGATGTAGTGACCGAGCTACCGGTTGTCGATGGAGCGAAGTACAATATCGCGGAAATGCCTGGCGATGAGGGCATGTACGCCGTTGAGCTGCCTGTTGAGCTACCCTTCGGACTTTCGTTGGGCTATGGGAACGAAAAGCTTGCGGCTCCGCTAGGACTTGCAGAATTGGAGAGCAATACTTCGGACTTGCTGAACACGAGCCGTGGCTCCGATGAGAAGAACAAGGACGAGTGGACTACAGATCTGGCGAAGGAGAAGCCGCTCATGGTTACTGGAAGTGTCCACGAGGCTCTCAACAAGGAGACGACGTGATACAGCTGCTACGAGCCCTTGACCAGCTAAAACGAGCTCTACATCCTCGAGATCCAGGCTACGATCGTGGTGACTTACATTTGCCCGGACGGCCTCGTGTGGCAAAAGCCAAGTTCAGATTGACGTCCCCAACCAGTCACGAGATCCGCAATGCTTGAAATTCTTTAGGACTTGACTATGTCTCGACTACAGACACGAGTCTGAGGTATGCTTGGTTATCACATCATGAATGACTCCAGACCGCACCCAGGGTGCGAGCAGGCAGAGAGCAGACTAAATGTTCTGCAAATTCGAGCTGTGCTCCATGGCCAACGGCAGCCGCAGCGGACTTCATCATGAGACCGGGTTATGGCACAGCTTCGCAGGCAGCTGACTTGTGCGATGAAAGCGACCGCAACATGCAGGCGGGCATCATTTATCGACTTGGAGGAGATCAATGACCGAGATGCTCATTCGGACTCGTCTGCGAACCATGAAGCTTGTGCTGGAAGGACATCTTCCTCTATAATGTGCATGAGCTGCATGAACACCAGCCAAGATCGTTTCGGTGCGCGAGTGGACGTCCAAGATCCTTATGCCGTGGAGACCTGGGTGCCCTCGCTCCGATGATCCACGGAATGGTGTCTGTGCTAGCAGGTAGACATATCGCTTCACGATTTAGTCTTCTTGACAGCCTTGTCGAGTGTGGCCTGGCTTCTCTCGCGCTTGTGACCTTTCGCAGCTGGACTCGGAGCATCAGAGCCTTCTTTCTTGACGCTCCTGCTCACCATCCCTCTCTTGGGCCTCGTCGGCACAGACTCTTCATGATGCTTCTCACCATCATCACCATCTTCAAAATCAATCATGCCGCCAGGTCCGCCTTGCTTGCCCTCAGTCAGCCCAGCACCATCATCCGCGAACAGTTCCTTCCAAGTCCCGTCGAGAACTTTCGGACTGTTACCGTACAGACGTTGCTGATAAGCATGCTTCATGCCCTGGAGACAGACCTCGCGCTGAGTGTTAAAGTCGAACATGGGTTTAGGATAAGCGGTCACGCCGTCGATTTCGGCCTCCAACCCATCGCCCTTTATCACAACCCCTGCTTTGCGCTGATCCGCTATTGGCGCTTTGTGCGGCTCATATATATACTTCTTCGGCATGTCTTTCAGCTCCGGAACATATTTTCTGATATAATCACCGTTATCGTCCCACTTCTTGCCAAACGCAACAGGACTGTAGCAGCGGTAGAACTGTGCGTAGAATGCTGTGCATGAAAGCCATTGCCAGTTTCCAATATTGCATGCTGCTTCGTGATCGACTAGCCATTCTTCGAAGACTTCGGCACCGCGCTCCCAGCTTATGTAGCAGCCTCCTCGTGTCAAGAAACACGCTACAGCATGACGAGCAAGGTGGTGAATCCAACCTTCGTGCTTGAGCTGTCGCATTATGGCGTCTATCCAAGGAAAGCCTGTCCTGCCTTCGCGCCATCGCACGAACTCTTGTTCCTTCGTCTCATCATCGACTTCGTACTCGCCAGTGATCAGGCCGGTCTTCGTGTCCACCTTACTGGGTAGATGCCAAGGTATGAAACGACAGTGGTCGTTGTTGTACGTCTGACCAAAGGACCAGCCTAGTGCTGCTTGCGCAGCGAAGTACATATCTCGAAACAGTAGTTGGCCTGTCAAGCTCGTTGGCGGCTCCGAGAAGGCCTTTTTGGCTTTGCGTCGTGCTTCTACGATCTCTTCGACGCGGTGATAGAAGTAGCGGCAGCTCAGAGCGCCGAAATGCAGGTACGGCGATGTGAGGAAGGTTGATTGCGGCTCGAACTGTGCTGGTGAAGTTTTGGGCTTTTCGAACGTGCCGGTGTAATCTTCATCTGCCAGAATCTTCTCAAGTCGTTCCAGAATGAGACTCTCGCCTCCTCGGATTGGTGACGTGGCAGGCTTCAACCCCATCTCCTCGAGCGTTGGGATGCTGAAGTCACCATTCGGTCCTGATATACCAGATGCGTACGACTTCTCTTCGTCCGTCCTAGCATTCCGGTTCATGTCCCGTCCTTCCTCTGGCTGCTGTTGCTGGATGTCCAGCTCGGTATCACCAGGATCTGGTAGGCTCTTCGGTGCTTCGATTGGCGGAGCGATATGGCCAACCTTGGCCCCTGCCGCTTGTAGCTGAGATATACTCATTGTCGGCTTCCCTCCATGGGCCTTGACAACCTCATCACTATCCCACAATGTCCGTCCTGACTTAGTGATGATCTGCACTCCCAGCTTCTCTGCTGCTACTATGACTTGCTGGTCCCTGTCCCTACCATACGCATCTGTGTCCTTCTCGAACACAAGATGGGTTATCTTCCATGCTTTGAGCAATTTCGGAAGTAATGTAACAGCTGGTTCTCGTAGCACGAACAGCTTGCTCTTCTTGTTGATCTTGGTGATGCTGGTTGATACATCGTTCATGCAATCGATCAAGAATTGCCATCTGTTGACGCCGACTCTGGAGGAGTAGACATAATGGCTGTCCCAGCACCAGATTGGATATAGCGCAGAGGGCTTAAGATCAAGAGCTGCTTTCAGTGCTGGCGAGTCGTGCAAGCGCAGATCGGTTCGGGACCAGTAGATTACTCGTGCTCCCGCCTTCGGTGCCATTCTGTACGTGCTAGATCAAAAGAGAGGGTTATCTGCTGGATGTAGGGTTCCAGAAACGTGATGGATGTACCCAAAGCTCCACGTGTGTTTGCTGAAGGTTGATTGGAGCGCATCATCTATGTAGATCTATGTTTCGATCTGGCCGTTGCCAGATCTGGGGAAGCACGTTCCTGAATGACGCTGTGGAATCAATGGCAGTTTGATCCATGAGCCTTCTTGCAAAGTAGATAACATTGTTTAGTATTCCATTTGGCGGCTCCAATCGAAAGTGAAACAATCGCATTCAAGGATGAGGTCTGTAGTATCGCCTCATGTCTCATAATCCCTAATGCCGAAATGACCACAGCAGCAATGCGTCCATCATTGTAAGAAACGGAATTGCTTCCGAATGCTCAATCAGCATGATCCCTCCTTGGTGAGGTTGGACCGAGGATTGCTGTATTTGATATCAGTCAATGCTTGCCGCAGTCAAGCGAAGAACTTGTCTGTCAACACTACAGAACTCAGGCAGGTATAGTCTCACGGTATCAGCAGGCATGGCACAATCGTCTTCGAAGAAGCAACGAACACATCCTCATTACGAGCTGCTCTACCATCCAGGCACGCCAGGTCGAGGTGAATTCATTCGTCTGGCTTTCGAAGCGGCTGGCGTTGCATACACAGACCTGGCAAACGAGCAGAGAGATGGCTACTCCACCGTCAGAGACATATGCATGAACAAAGGCATCGAAAGTGCTGATGGTAACCCGCCTGTCTTCTCGCCACCTGCTCTTCGCGTGCCAGGGGCTGAACCAAACAGTAGAGCGTTGGTTATTGCACAAACGCCGAATATCCTCTGGTATCTTGGTGAAAAGCTCGGTCTGGCTCCAGAGGACGAGGCTGGGAAGTATTACGTCCAGCAGCTGGCTCTGACTTCGCTGGACCTCAACAATGAGGTTCACGATACCCATCATCCTATCGCAGTTGCGAAGTATTACGAAGAACAGAGGGATGAGGCTCTGAAGAAAGCAGAGGTATGTGCCGGACGAACTGACTTATGAAGTAGTTTCTTTATCCCAGCCGTGTACCTGATCTCGATACTGATCAACGCTGCAGGATGTTCGTGAGAACCGTTTACCGAAATTCTTCTCATACTTCGACCGAGTACGCCAGCACAACGAGAAGGAAAGCAATGGTCAAGGCAAATATCTTGTCGGCTCATCCTTGACATATGCCGACACAACGATCTGGCAAGTTTTGGACGGCCTCTTCTTCGCTTTCCCGAAGGAGATGGAGGCTCGCAAGAAGGAATTCCCGGACTTGTTGGGTAAATTCTATGGGAGTGTGAAGGAGGAGAAAGGTTTGAAGGATTACCTGAGCAGTGAGAGGCGGTTGAAGTATTCGATGGGTGTGTTCAGATATTATTCGGAGCTGGATAGGCAGTGAAGAATATGATGTGCACCAATTGAGGCCACGGTGTTGGCAATCAATGTCGTGGTGAGATGCCCGCTCCTAAGGTATCATCGACCTCCGATGCAATCATCCACAGCGTGCTGCTCTCTCAAAAAAATCACATTCCTACCAGGCGTTCGTCTCTATGATTTCAACACCCTACATGATCGACTCGCAGGATCCGCTGCACAGTGTAAATTTGGTGGGTACATTGAAGCTCAAACCACCCGCGGGCCCAAGCTGCAGCCCTTGAATCCTCCAATGTCGGCTGCGCCACGACCCATGATACTGATAGAAGCAAGATCACCATAATGTCATGGCAAGACGAAGCCGTGGCCTTCAGTTGGTGTTCTTTAACACAGGACACTGCCTTACAGCGGTTCTGCGACAGGTAGGTATTATCTCTCACTTGAATCGCCGAGCGCGAGCATGATATTCTGAGTGCTCGCGTGGCCTTAAACATCATCTAGCGACCATGGAGGACGACAGTTTCCTGCGTCAACCACCCCCGAGATTCGAAGAAGCGACGAAGTCCACCTCAGTCAGAGACGAGAACCACGCCGCAGCTCAACAGTCGTCCACAACCACCTTAAAGCGTTCGACATACATCCTTTGGATTGTCGGAGCCTACGCGGTGCTATCTGTTGTCCCCTGGACAATCATTACCCTACTGACCATACGGCCTCTGACTGGCACTCGCTACGGCTATCTCAGCACTGCCTATCTGTTCTGGAGAAATGGCTTCCACAAGCCCGACTACGCCGCAAATGAAAAGTGGTACCAGGCCATGCGCGTCATACAGTCGATCGTGGCCGTTTTGACCCTACCGGTCACCTCCGCGGTCTGCTCGCAGGCCGCCGTGACCTTTTCACAGTTCGCTGCCAAGAGACCAGGTTTGACAATGCGTCAGCTTCTTGTGCTGGCTGATCGAGGTTGGACGGACCCGAAGACGTACTGGGCGCTCTTGACTCCATCTGGATTCAAACGTTGTGGTAGCTTCTTCCTGGGTCTCGCAATCGTGTTGAGTATTCTTGGCGGTATCATCCAGCCTATCCAGCAGGTCTTCCTCACGACGACTTCTATCAAGGTGCCTATTTACAGAGTCAAGCTGCAGAATATTGCTGATCTCACGGACTTCCTCAAATACGCCCCAGCGAACCCAAATAGACCGGATGATGGTTCTGTTGTGCTCATGACGCGAAGTGCGCTGGCTACGACAACAGGTACGGAGCCAATGACTCAGCTTTGGCAGTCCGGTGTTGTGTGTAATGCGGCCGACCTGGCAACCAACAGCAGTAGCTCAATTGCTGCTGGGCAATGGATACCACCACCCTCGGCTTGTGGGTACGGCGCGACTCTAGGCAACATCTCATCCCTTTCGGATCCTTTCTTCTCTCAGCTTCCGTCAACGACAACCACAGGTGTGATAACACAGTTCGCTCCTCGCTTCAATTCTTCTTCGACATATGAAGTGATCTCTAGCACAGATTATCCCGCTAATTGCTCAGAGATGGGTGCATACTCGATCAAATATAGCAACAATATTTCTGATACTGTAAACCCATGGGCGATCGAAGCTTGCTTGCCTGGAGTTGTGACACAAACACCCTGGACGTCGACACATCTTCGACAAGACTTCGCGGAAGTTCTATACCTGAATGTCAGCAGAGCGGACGCCGGAGCTACACTTGAACCAAACGGATCGCTGTACCGAATCACCATGAAGACGACTGCTGGTTATTTTGAATTGCCAAACTACATGAATGATGGCCATCCAGGGTACATTCCTCCTCGTAGAGCAAGTCGACGCCTTGAGTGCAGCCATAATAGCTGACCACGAACAGAGCACTACTCGTAGACGATCCAAACAACCACTGTGACTACTCTTGCGAGAGACAAGGTCTGAACCTGTTCGAAGGCGACAGAAACGAGATTTTGTGAGTACCACGACCTGCAAGTTCTAATGAATTTCCGACTTGACAAACTCACCATGACCCATACTGACCACGAGCAGTGACCCGCACATACCGAATGCGGATCTATACAAGCGTGCGGCGGACGATGATCTTGACACCAATCGCGCCGCTGTCATTCGGACGACGAACAAGGGACCACTGCTGACCGTCGCCATGGCGCTTTTCGGCGAAGGCTCTTTCATCGACGAACGGACTTCGTACCCGGAAACATTCATCGAGAGCAACAACAGCTCTCTCCCAGATGGCATTTGCGTGGACTACGCACCCCTACAGTTCCTCCAGCAGGTGACATATGGTTACTCGGACTGGACCCAAGGTCACCGCTGTATTGTCAACAACGCCACCAAATCCCAAGTTGATCTAGACGCTGGCATAAGTCTCTGGCTCCGCACTTTCCAGGTTACAGATGTTCCGACCATGGAAAATGCTTTTGATGCCGCCGCATTCCTCGCTACAAAGGCTTGGCTGGAGAATCAGATCCCAAATTCAGGCAGGACGCTATCAGTGAGCATAGATTTGGGCGTCGACACCCAAGTGCCGGCCATCTCTGTTGCCGGCATCGTCTTCATTTCCACCCTCCTGGCAATTTTCCTGCTGTCGTTGCTCGCTATGGCCGTTTACTCGTCCATGCACGTCAGGTGGACGAGCCAGCTTGACGCTTTCGCTATGATGCGCGTGGGTGCTGCAGTAGGCAGTCATGTACCGCTCATGGTCGGCCGGAAGCAGAATCAGATCGCTGTGCTTGATCGACTACCGGCATGGATTGGTGATGAGCAAGTCGACCACGATCGCGGATCGTTGGGTATTGGTGCTCGTGGAGCACTACAGAAAGATCGGAAGTATTATTGCTACGAGGGTGATCATGAGAAGTCGTTATCCCGTGGCAATTGGGTCGAGGATGAAGATGGAGTTATGTTTCTGCCGATGGATGAGCTACCGCACAAGTAGGCCAGCCTTTGGTACAGCTTCTTACCTTCATTGTCACCCACCACACTAATACGGCATGCCGTCTAAGGCTTATCGCCCATTCCAGCATCACGAAACGCCTCGTCGGGCTGTGCCGTCGACTTCACCTTCTGAAGCAGGTTGAAGGCAGCTGTTGACCTGATCAGGCCGGTTTCAAAAGGGTCTTCGTACATCGATGGACTTGACCTGGTCCCGCCCTGTGTGTCTGCTCGTTCATTGCTGCCACTTGTCGTCTTTGCATCAAGCTGACTCGTCCTAGTGATCGGCTGCTGGCGGTCCCGCTGTGCTTCTTCTGATCTGAACAGCCTTGAGAACCATGACGGTTTGCTTCGAGGCTTGGCATCTTCCACATCGTTCGTCCTACTTTAGCTTGACCGGTGCCTGATATGCGCCGAATGTCCAGTCAGCAAGCTATGGAGGCTTGGTTTTTGTTAGATATATGAGACTGTTTTGTGTCACGCGTGCTTCAACAATGCTTATCAGGAAAGGATACGTCTTCCAGCTCATATAGATCAGCCTGCATACAGTGAGGCAGTGCACCTGCCGTGGATGCCTTGAAATGCTGCCTCATCATCTCGCTTAGTACAGCCCGCATCACACCACCGAGACAGGTCTCAAGGGCATCTAAGCCTTGGCGCCCTGTGTGCTGCTGGATGCGACGTACGACCGCTTGTCATGACAGCTCGTTTCGCTCAACTCATCCAACCTCAGATGCGAGTATGTACCTCGTACCTATGCCATGGCCATGCAAACCCCACATTTCCGCTCCTCGACTCCAACTTGCACTTCCCCAGACTCCACGATTGGCCATACCAAAAACCCGGCAGATGATATGTCGACGCCGTAGCGTCTGACAACCATGTCGCGTGGCGTGACAGTGCACGATGCCACTGGTCTCCAATGTTCAAGGCAGAGTAGAGCGAAGGGGCATGTTGTCTAGATGCAGTCACACGCGAGGCCGCCACAGTGCGGGCAAGCTCACGGCAGATATGCATGTACTATATCGCTTTGCCGCGCGATCGAGTCAAATGGGTGGTGAGAGCTGTGAGAGGTGTCTGTATATAGATGGAGGACTGGCTGCACCTCTTGAGCTTCGTCCATTGATAGCGGACCTCCTACGTGCTCGCTCAATCGCCTTTGTCTGTCTGCTACGACCACCGATCCTACAATGTCGTCCACGACCTCCACACACCGCAAGGCCCTCCCCGATCACAACGGTACCGACATCCATGCTATCGACTCCGCAGCGCACGATGAATTGCGTCTCCATCCCACGCAAACAGGCATGACCATCTCACCCGAGCTCTTCGAGAAACTCTACCTCACACCTAAAACACCCCATTCCGGCGATGCCATCAAACGTTTTGCAAATCCCACCCCCATGGGATTCGTAGGATTCGTGATAAGCACCTTCACCTTCGCCATGGTGGTGAGTATCATCAGCTATACGAAGCAAAAAGCACATTCTGTAGTAACCAAGGCTTCCAGAACATGGGGTGGGGCGGCGCGGACGGGCTTGCAGGAGTAGCCGGGATATTCTTCTTCGTTGGTCCGGTCCTGCTTATTCTGGCAACGATCTTCGAGTGGATCATGGGCAATTTCTTCCCCATGATGGTTCAGTCGCTGTTCTCCGTCTTCTGGCTCAGCTTCGGCCTGTTGCAACTCCCTAGCCTTGGTCTAGCGGCGGCGTATTCGACCACTGGCAATGCGGCCGAGGGAGCCGCGAGCAAAGGATATAATGCTACGATAGGTCTGTATCTGATTGTGTGGGTACGTGTCGCATTCTTGAAGCCTGCAGTCTCTGAATATGTGCTGATTGGCTTCTTCGCCAGGGCTTCGCACTCTTCACTTTCTGGATCTTTACGCTCAAGACGAATGTCATCTTCGCAGTCATCTTCGGTACAGTGACGATGGCTGCGTGGATCTTGGCTGGTGCGTACTTCAAAGTCGCAGCGGGTGAATATGTGATGGCTGGTCATCTGCAGAAGGTTCGTAGACATTTGCGATCGACTTCGTGGTTGAGGGCTAACGATTGTAGGCTGGCGGAGCAATACTGTTTATCACGGCCGCCTTCGGTTGTAGGATCTCCCATGATGATCATGATTTGGGCCATAAAGTAGTACTGACCAGTTTTGTAGGGTACATGACGTTCGTGATCATGAGCTATGAGCTTCGTATGCCCTTCAACCTCCCCGTCGGCGACCTGTCTCACTTCTGGCCGAGGACGGACGTGCCCATTGGAGATGTCGAGAAGCAGGCGTAAACATCGGGTTTCGGGACGATGCGGGCTCTTGAGATAGACCCAAGCCGAGCGTGATGCACGTAATAGGGCGAGCGATGGTACATGTGACTTGTCGAACAAAGTGTAAGCGGGAGCAGCCCGTCATATTCTCAAGTATATCGTGACTTTTCAGACCGTGCTGGTTTCAGTCACGACCTCTGCCATCTCTTTCGTCTCGCTCATGCCGTGCACGATGTCTTCGGCGATCGTCCTCGTCGAATCGAGGCGACTCAGATCGTTCTCTTCTTGGATCGCGATGCCGGGAGTCCTTCTCATTGCCACCATCCTTGTCACGTCGTGGTCTATGCCTACTCCGCTCGCCATCCTCGTCGTCTTGATTCCGCCGCGATCGATGGTGGTGCTTGTGCTTATGCTCTCTCCCACTCCGTCTGTCCTTCTCCTTCCTCTTCACAACAGCCTTCAAAGCCTCGTCAACCTCCTTCTGCTTCTCCTTGACCAGATACGCTTTCATGGGATCATCATCGTCCATCTCCCTCTTCAGCTTCGCAAGCTCAACCTCTTCCTTGATCACTGGCCTCTCCTGTTCACTCTCACTAACACTTTCCGTCCTTCTCCTCTTCCTCCTCCCGTCACCCTCGCGATCCGTGACATCTGCTTCGTCGTCCTGCTCATCGCCAATGCCCTCGATCTCACCTTCCTTCTTCGTGTACCGCGTATGATCAACACTGATCACCCTGCCCATTACTCCTGCACCACTCAAATTGTCCACAGCCAGATCGCAGCTTCGTTGGTCTTCGTACTTCAGGAAGCAGAAGCCGCGACTCTTGCCTGTTTCCTTGTCGCGGACCAAGTTGATGTGCACCGGGTTTCCATATTGATTGAAGATTGTTAAGACGTCGCCCTCGGATAATTCAAAGGGCAGGCCGCCGATGTAGATGTAGGCTGTGTCGCGGTAGTCTGTGTGCCAGGATGCGTTGGGCTGGACGACTTTCTCGAGTTCCAGATCGTTTAGGCGCTGAACTTGCCGTACAGACTGCATTGTGGTGTATGCCTGGAGGACACATGCAGAAGCGGAAGAGTGTGTTCAGTTGCGATCACATGCAAGCGCTATTTCGACATGACTCGCGCTCCCCTTCTCGAATCTCGACTTTCGAAGCTCGCGCCGAACCCACACCCTCCTTTTCACCATCACACTGTGACCTCGATCATCGCCATCATGTCGTGGAGAAGCAACGTCGGCCAGACCGGCGCCAACACCATCCCGCTCGGCAATCGTCGTCGCTTTGGCGGTGAGGATGATGGCGACTTCGACTCGGCGCCTCCTCCACCACCCGCCCCTTCTGACAACAAGCGCGGTCGCAGTCCTGAGCGGCGCGAGCCTGAGCTCAACCCCGACGGCACTAAGAAGCGTCGCAAGCGTAACAGATGGGGCGAGGCGTCGGAGAACAAGGCGGCCGGGTTGATGAACCTTCCCACGGCCATCACCGCGCCCATGACTGCTGAGCAGCTGGATGCCTATGTCACACATTTGCGTGTCGAGGAGATTAGCCAAAAGCTGCGCATCAACGATGTCGTGCCTGCTGATGGCGATCGGTGCGTACCATCCCCATCTACCGCCACCTTCACGCTCTCACTAACATACTACCCAGCTCCCCCTCCCCACCGCCGCAGTACGACAACTTCGGTAGACGTGTCAACACCCGCGAGTACCGCTACCGCAAGAAGCTGGAGGAGGAACGTCATAAGCTTATCGAAAAGGCGATGAAGATCATCCCGAGCTACCATCCACCATCAGACTACCGCAGGCCTACCAAGACTCAGGAGAAGGTCTATGTGCCAGTCAATGACTATCCAGAAATCAACTTCAGTACGCATACTAACCCACTAACTCCCTTCCCTTACATACATATACTACACACTCTGTTCATGGCGATCAAAAGTCATTCTAACCTTCCCACAACTAACACGTTCGCACTTACCTGAATAAACACTAACACATAGCTTTTCTCTACTAACAGTCGGCCTACTGATTGGACCGCGTGGCAATACGCTCAAGACCATGGAGAAAGAATCCGGTGCCAAGATCGCCATCCGAGGCAAAGGCTCCGTCAAGGAAGGCAAAGGCAAATCCGATGCCGCTCACGCCAGCAACCAGGACGAAGATTTGCATTGCTTGATCATGGCCGAGACTGAAGACAAGGTCAACAAGGCCAAGAAGCTTATCCACAACGTCATCGAAACTGTAGGTGTTCCTGCTTTACACACAACGAAGAAGTATGCTAACGTAAGTCAGGCCGCCTCTATCCCAGAAGGTCAGAACGAACTCAAGCGTAATCAGCTCCGAGAGCTCGCTGCACTCAATGGCACGCTCCGTGACGACGAGAACCAAGCCTGCCAGAACTGTGGCGAGATCGGCCACCGCAAGTACGACTGCCCACAGGCTCGTAATTTCACCGCCAGCATCATCTGCCGTGTCTGTGGCAACGCTGGACACATGGCCCGCGACTGTCCTGATCGTGCTCGCGGCGCAGACTTCCGCAACTTGCCTCCTCGACGTGCCGTTGGTGCTGGTCCCGAGGATGATTACGACAAGTTGATGAACGAGCTTGCTGGTGGCACTTCGGGCGACCCTTCCAAACAGATTGGATGGCAGGAAGGTGGTGCTGGTGGTGCTCCCGTCAATGGAGGTGGCGAAGCTGTGGCGCCGTGGAAGCAGCAGCAGCCCGCAGGTGGTCCAGCTCCGTGGCAGCGCCAGCCACCTACCGGTGGTCCTGCTCCTTGGGCTCGTGGTGGCCAAGACAACGGCAATGGTGGTGGCTATGGCGGCGGCTATGGCGGCGGCGGCGGCGGCTACAATGATCGTCAGCCCACTGGCGGTCCTGCTCCATGGCAGCAACGCCAACAGTCCGGCGGCGCGGCTCCCTGGGCTCGCGGTGGACAAGATAACGGCGGGTACGGCGGCCAACAGGATTTGAACGGTGGAGGATATGGTGGAGGTGGCTATGGCAATGGAGGCGGATACAATGGTGGTTATCAAGCTGGTGGAGCTGCTCCATGGCAGACAAATGCTCCGCCGCCTCCTCCGCCTGGCGATGTCCCGCCTCCACCTCCTCCAGGTGATGTGCCCCCACCGCCACCACCGCCTGCTTAGATCAAGCGGAGCGAATGAGTGCTTCGAGCTGGGTCGTTCGAATAATCACTTGCACCAACGGCATGACCAGCCACCACAGCTTGACGGATTTTTTCTGGCACTGTCACCAGCAACGGTTGAGGGGGGTAAAGAGATTGGCCAAAGCGGATGTTGAGATGCTTTCGACGAGGGTACACGATGCTGCTGCTTGGTGCTTACTGACATGCTTTTGCTTGCTTTATTTCGTGATTGTTGTAATCAGATTTTGCTGATGCCTCTTTAGTATTATTTAACTTGTCTCACGCGTCGCATTCTCCCGGTGCAAAGATGCATGCCAACGTTCCGACGAGCGTCTCAGCGTGAGGCAATACCGTCTGATTATGATAAGTAGTTTTGTTTCGCCTTTATACGTGACGCACGTATCTATAGTCATGTCCCCAATGGGCGTTGTGCTCAACCATTCTCACCAATGCAACGAATTTTGACGCTTGAGAAAGATGCCTAGCCCGACAGTGTGGTTTGTGAACTCCCGTGGTCTTCCTTCACTAGCGACTTGGCTGGACACAGTTCAACAAGGGGTACACACATCTCGTGGTCGTCTACTCTACTAGCCAGCTCAAGCATCGCACTCTCTCTCTTCACTGGTGAACAGACACGTGCTTCGGCATTCTTTCGTATAAATCCTCATTCTGTTCCATCACGGCGTGCACTTCTTTTCCTCTCGCGTAGTCGACAAGCTTGCCCACCTGTGGGCCATAGTAGAGTAGAGCGCCACAACATGTCGTCGCCAGGTACACGATAAAAACCGCGAAGGCGGATCCCCTGCCCACAACTCCTGGCAGACTAGACACATAGAGGAGGCCGAAGTAAATCCCGAACCCAGTGAGGAGGGCGAGGAGAGCGAGACTGAGCAACTGACTCGGCGCGGTGAGCATGAGTGCCGCGCTGAACGACGGTCGGTAGTTTAGCGTTACCAGATCTCGAAATTCCTGGAATGACTCCCTCAACATCGCCGCCCCCCGAGTATCAAGCATGCTGTTCGTGGGGCGAAGGACCTAGTCACCTCGTTCCAGATCTACTTTCAAGCCCATGATAGTCGTGGCATCAGGACCGACTTTGGAACTACGACGTCTTATCACCCAGGCTTGAACTTCGCCGGCGCTTTGTAGTCGACTCATCGTCCCCTGTAGTACGCACGCGAAGTACACCGATAACGAAGCCGATGCTAGGCTTACTACGAAAGCGGCTTGCGTGGTCCAGTGTAGTCGTGCAAGGTCAGGGAGCGACAGGGCTATCAGAGCTATTCGGGCAATGATGGGCGCTGGCTACCCCGATCATGGCTAAGGTGGGACTGTAGGAGTCCTTGAAGGCCTTGGCTTGCTGGAGACCGCGGTCGGGCTCGAGAACGTAGTGTCGGACTCTGGCGATGACGCTGCGGGCGCCGGGAGCAAGGTGGTTCAGGATGGCCGTGAGGTCTGTGCCGTAATCTTCGTGGTCTGCGATGATGTGTTCGGAAATGATGGTGAATAGTAGTCGGAAGGCTCCGAGTTCGTGCTCTTCGGAGTGTATGTCCGACATCTCAAACGCAACTAGGGAGGTTGTGCATCCGTGTCCATGTGCTTAATAACGGCTCTATGCTGTAAGCATGTATTTGCACGAAGTTACGGTCATACAGCACGAGGGGTCCGCACTATCGACTTCGCAGGTGAGGGTTGATAAGGAAAGATCGAAAAGAGTTGAAAGTGTGCAACGATATCCGCGGTGTGATCTCAGCAACAGCCTTGCACAGCCACTTACGCCGTTCTGCCATAGATCACGCAGGCAGAAAGCTGGGCATTGGACATGAGGAGGTAAAGATCTAATAGGATAAGGTCATAATCACTGGCCACCTCTCTCTGCAGGCTTTGCACCGAGTACCCAGCCTAACCCGGCGGCCAAGCCTCCTTCGACCGTGTCAGCAATCATATCCCTCTTACGCACCCTCTGCTGTCCTCCCTCGTTGCTGCCCAAACTGTCCACACTACTCTCCAGACCTTTCTGCCCTTCACTCAAATCACTCAACACCCTCTCCAGTGTCTGCGCAGCTGGCGCAGCTGCACCAGCTGAAAGCGGGAAAGCATTCCTACTGAATGCCCTCGCCGCACTACGCGTAAGGTCGAACATACTCATCGGTGCACCACGCTCGGCTGTGTTCGCTGCTCCGCCGGCTCCGAGTCGTCCCATCTCTCGGCGTCTCTGGTTGAGAATCATTTCTGGTTGATCGCCGGTCAATGTGAAGTTGCCTGGTAGTGCGCTCAAGCTTCCGCGCTTATCGGCACGGTCATCGAAGTCTTCTTCTGCTTGTTGCTGAGACTTCTGAAAAGTTGTGGTTTCTTCTTCGCAGCGACGCCAAACGGCTAGGATGTCCGTCAGTTGTGCGGTTGGCGCCAGCAGCAAAGCCAGAGACAACAGTTCTGTGCGCTGCTCTAGACGACGCAATGTCGGAGGAGTGGATGTGGTAGGGCGATAGCGACCAGCGAGGAAAGCGGCACGCCACGATATGTCATCCTCTGCCTGCTTGTGCCTTCGAGCTCGAGAGCTTGCAGTAGAGCTGCTCCGGGCATGCTTTTTGGCTGCTTCGGCTTGGCTTGGTGCAGTGAGGTCCGCACCAGAAGGAGTGAGTCTGTTAACAATGTATGAGTATGCAGTCTCGAAGTCGTCTTCACGCAGTGCTGCTTCGACGGCCATGAAAGTAACTCTCCTCTCCGCCTCTTTTCTGATCTTCTGGAGATCACCTGCTCGCATCTCAGTCGAGTCGGCAGCATTTGCATTTGCATTTGATTGCGGTAGGCCAGATGAGACAAGGTTCTTCCCTATCTCAACGAGATCGTCCAGCTTCGTATAGCTGCGTGGATTCTGCTCCAGAACTTTGTCGATTAAGGTTACAGGATCGGAGCTGACTCGTATGCTGACAGGCTTGAATGGCACACCATGTTGTAATGTGAGCGAATAGAAAGATAATGCATGCGTGGAGGCGATCAATGAGGTGGCTTGGCGAAGACGAGTACTGTTCGGGAAGAATGACTTGAAAGTATCAATCCTGCATGTGTTGTCAGTTATAAGACATAGCAGAGTCGATTCTGGTACTGTTATCTCACGTCTCACTGGCTCTTCTCACACCACCTCTTGTCTTATTGCCGTTGCTCGCCCCATCGTAAGACTCCATTGCCTTAGCCAGTATGACCGTCTCAATCATCTCACGACTTAGTGATGTCGACTCGCCGGAAGGCCCATCAGCTAGATACAGCTTCTTCACCATTTCGTGGCCTAGAACAAGGAAGATCACTTGTTAGCGAGACTGTGCGCGCCCACTCGCTCGAGATCGCTTTGGTCTGCAACGAACGGGAAACTCAAGTCGTCTTTCTCCATGCCACCAAAGGCGTCGGTATTCTGGGTGGGGTCTACATCGTCCACTGGAGGGTACGAGAATAAGGAGAGTAAGCGAGATGTCCTACAATGGGCAATCCGTCAAGGTAGACAGAAGAGACGATTGTGGCGAATAGTCGAAAGAAACCAGCTGGCAGTTGTCGTATGTGCATTAGACAACAAAACAATCTCACTTACATCCGGTCTCTGTGAACACTTTCAGCATCTCCTCCTCGAACACCTTTCGCTTCACCCTGCCGAGCACTCCCGCACCTTCTTCGGCATTCTCGTCATCGCTTTCTATGCCCCAATTCCAGAGCCACATCAACTTCTCACGATCAGCCGTCCATTGCGCTTCGTCGCGTTTACCGCCATTTCGGGTCGCTAGACCCTTCAGGATCTTCTGGAGCAAAGCAAGTTGTTCTTCATGGGTATCGTAGAATTGGATCCTGGCCACTTTGACAATTGCAATAGGGTAGCCGAGACCATCGAACTGGTATGCGCTATATACTAACATTTGCAAGAGCATGTATGTCTCCATGCGAGGTGTTGTGAGTGGATGCTCAGGCGTAAGAAGGCTGGCTGGTGCAAGCTCGTTGGTGTCGCTGGACTTTTCCAGTCTGGTCGCATGGCGCTCGACCTTGGGTAATGAATCAACAGATGATGCTAAATCAGGCGGAGGAATGAAGTCCAGTAATTCTGCTAGACGTGCTAGTATGCCGTGTGCGCCACGGATAGTGTCCTTCGAATCCTCTTGGGAGGCATAGCACGTCGCGAATGCGGCCTGAGCATATTGAGATTCGAGTTTGCGCAAGAGCTCGTCGTCCATGTAGTCTCGTCCACCTTGACTGAGGCCACCAAAGTCTACATCAGACGGACCGTCCCAATCTTCAATACAATGGGCGACAAGGATGAAGTTCTGGTTGGATGCTTTGCGCACCATCCACTTGTACATGTACTCCCAATCATGTCCTGTCTTGTCCTCGGCAGAGACACCAGACAGTGATATCTTACGGACACGCTGAGCGAGGTCCTTGTCAGTATCTTCGTCCCCGCCACCACTGTTGTGGCGCGAATGGCCCAGCTTGCGCCTTTTGCGCTCTGTGTGTCCATACATCCACGGTCCCACCAAGGACTTGACGTCACGTCCGATTGTGGTGTTGCTGTGAGAAGTCATGGGCACTTGGCCATCTTTCCGCTCGCCCTTCTGCAAGAGCACATCGATGCCTGTTGGCCCTTCCAGTTCCGAGAACTCCTTGAGCCCGATTTGGGGCGTGTCGCTTTCATTTCCATAATACTCCACCTCGAGCCTTACGATTGGGAGAACCACGCTGATGTACCATGTCTTCAAATACTCATTCCTAGGCAAGAATGGCTCGATGAGTGGCGGAATATAGCTGAGCAATCCGGTCTCGAGGTCGATTCGGTACGCACGATGACATAGGAATCGTGTGAGCAGGTCATTCGGCGCATGTGGTGGGAACGTAGGCGAACTCGTATCCAACAGTTTCAACTTCTTGACCTGCTTTTGTGCCTGCTCTTCTGGAATATCCTGCACCGGAGTGATATCCAGCTCGATCTCCTCCCGCTGTATGTCCAGGTACAGTCTCGTTCCAACCTCCTCGACATATTTGACATATTCCTTGGGGTCCAGGCTCTCGGGTAGGTAGGTCAAGATAATTCGTAGAATGAGCTCTGGGTCTAGTACATCGGATCGAGTGGGTGTGAAGGAGTGCAGTGCTTTGACATTGGCCGCCGATGCAAAGTGTACTGCCAGCAAGATACATTTCGCCTTCGAAAGTTCCTTCGCCATCTTCTCATGAATCTTGAGGTTATCGTAGACTCATTCGAATGAATACTGTTGAAGCAGGAACTATCAAAACTTGGCCTTGTCCACGAGAAGCGCCGCAGCTACAAAAGCGCGGAAGGATACCGCGGACTCGGGCAGATGACCCGAGGAAACGCACAATTGTTCTTGAGAGCACAACATCAACAATTGGGACTCGTGCTCTAGACAGGGACAGGATCAAATCTCATCGAACTGATCTATGCCCAGATGGAATTTTGGGATAGCACGACATGCACGAGACCTGAAGTGTACCGTACGTGATGTTCTTGATGCTGTTCGCAGCGGCGACCTCATATGTCAGTCACCTGCCGCAAGCAAGAATCGTACTGTTGTTGATCACGAGCACGACCGGCCTTGCTAAACTCCACGACCTGGACGCTACCTTGGCACAGATCTGACCTGTCCCGACGATCAACTTCGTCAGCCTTGGTTGACATACCTGATACCTGCGGTATGCCCTTTGACGTAAGCGATGGTCTGGTCCTGGGAGGGAACAGAAGACCCACATAACACTGTGACGGAGTCGTAATCCGTACAGTCCTTGCGGTTGCCTCTCAAAACTTTCTCACCCGAGGATCGTTCTTTAGCAAAAGCAGAGAGTCAGTGATGCGCGATCCGACCAGCTATGCGGATTGGATACAAGGACATGTATGGCCAAAGACAGCCGTACTGCTGGTTGCGTGGTACATCCGAACCTCCACCCGCTACCCTCAACGTTGTTGCTGTTAGGTCTGGTTTTGACCCGGTCGATTGCAGTCGAATGCGACTGGTTGGCAGTACAATGTACGGACCATAACCAACGAGGCCGTGGCATTGAAGTCGCGTCACCTCTCGAGCGGGTATTAGTGATGGCCTCCTATAAGCTTGTGAACGTGTCTATTACTATCCGCATGTGGCGACTGTTGAAAGTGTCTGCGTTGGTTTCAGTCATATAGTACAATAACAGCCTGGTCTGCAGTGTAGACTCATATAGCCGCTGAAGCTTTTTGCAGATCTTATATATAGTTGTTGTGGAGGAGGTGATTCTCGGCCTGTTGCACCGCGACCGAAGCCCGCATAAGCTGCCACTGAGTCGCATCACAAAGGATGATGCTATTACCGTGACCCATGGGTGTTGCTGACTGCTTGTCTTGCATACCGGTCCGATGCGCAAGCAGCACTCCGACGCAATGTTGGTCGGATTTGTATCGTCCCAATGCATGTTATGCCCCCAATCATGCTAGTCGCTTCTTTACAGAGCGAAGGGAGCGTCATTCGGGGCGACGGGCGTCGTGGACGCTCGGACCAGCACATACAAGTGAGGCACATGAGCAATACTTGAAACCTTGATGAAATACCTGAGCCTTCTATCAACTTCAAGCATTTAAAGCCGCAAGCGACTTGAAAAGACATACTGACACTTGACGCAAAAGCGAGAAAGCGTAGCGAAGTCCGCTGCCAACCACCAGAAGGTCGCCTGCTTCAGCGCGGGCCCCTCAAGCTCGGTGGCAACCAGAAAAGTCTTGGGGCATTTGCCCTGCCTTACTCTGTGCAGCTTACTGCTCTGTATAAGAGGTACAGACCCGTCGCCTCGAGACCCATTCGACGAAGCTATCGTTGCTAATATGCTACAGGACCACATCTACTTTCCAATGATCAGAGGGAGGACAAGCTCGTCGGAGCCCAGGACGCCCATCTGGCTAGATTGTGACACTGGTCATGACGATGCTTTTGCTATACTACTGGCCGCAAGATCGCCGAATGTGAAGTTGCTCGGGATCAGTACTGTATATGGAAATGCACCTCTCGAGAGCACGACCTACAACACCCGAGCTATACTAAAGGCGATCGGCCGAGAGGATGTCCCAGTATATGCTGGCGCATCGAGACCTTTACGACGAGACGCTGCTCATGCCGCTGACATTCATGGCGAGAGTGGACTCGATGGCACATACTGTCTACCACAGCCAACAGTACTTGCGCACGAACAAGGGGCTCTGGACGCCATCAACGCAGTTCTCACTGCCCAGCCAGCAGGGACTGCCTGGCTCGTCGCTACTGGGACTCTGACGAATATGGCCATGCTCTTCGAAAGACACCCAGCCCTCACCAGCCATATCGCAGGCCTCAGCATTATGGGAGGAGCGATCGGTGGAGACTTCACGGACGCACCCACTGGTGCTGTACTCGGTGAAGGCGAACGGTTCGGAAACTGGACGCCAAACGCAGAGTTCAATATCTATTGCGATCCAGAAGCTGGCCATGCTATCTTCTCCCAAGCAAAGCTAGCAGCCAAAACAGTGCTGATTCCATTGGATGTCACCCATCAATTCCTTGCCACTTCGACCGTGAGGATGGGCCTGTTATTCGGTGCAGCACAGAGTATATCTCCAGAGCGCACCATCGCCGACGTGTCCCCTCACCGACGATTGTTCTTCGAGATCGCCACATTCTTCGCCAAGACGTATGCGGACATTTTCGGATTCAAGCTTGGCCCTCCCGTACACGATCCTTTAGCCGTGGTTGCTGCATTTCGGCCAGATCTGTTTGTCTACAACGATAGCAAAGATCCATCCGCCAGCCAAGCGGAGAGATTCCATGTGCAAGTGGTCACAGAGGGAGAACGTGGAAATACATCCGAGATCCGCAGCGAGCCTTCTCAGTGCGGCCGCACAGTCGTTACACCAGCAGCACCTGGACAGCCGGGCGTCACCATCCCACGTGGTTTGGACAGCCAGTCAATTTGGGTTCTGATCGAAGGCTGTCTGAGCCGCACCGACCATGCGCTCGGCTCGTCAGAGACTCCCAGCACAGCAGCCCACAGGAAAACACAAGACCCCCTTGACGGACAAGCAGATTTCGCGTCCCTTGTTGGAAACTCCGGCGAAACGACATTGTCACAAGTCGAGGTCATGGCGGGAATACCGGATATCAGGGTGACTGCGAAAAATCCAGAGAACCTGAAGACGAACAAGATCTCCAGCCTCAATATCCAGCCGATGGAGATGGCGAACCCAGAGGCCAAGCGGCCGGCGGTCAGTCTACCGCAGCATGCTGCTACGCCTTTGCAAGTTGTGCCAGGTCAGCAAGAAGCACACGAACGTAACGGTGACTCGTGGCAACTACAGAACGTAGTATCTGGGTCTACATCACCTTGGCCACTGGACCTAGAACTGAAACCTGTCTCTACGTCCATGACAGCGGGACGGGAATTGGACCTGAGTGGGTATGCGCAGCAGCTGACGGAAATGATGCTCGCATCGCAGACCTCTCTGGGTGAGGCGAGGAGGATGGAGGAGAGGAGAGGTAGACAGGACGTCTTTGACATGTCTGCCAAGGCGTAGAGTCGCAGGATCATGGATAGATCATGGCCGAGGCCGGGCGCGAATCCGCCGACTCAGGCAAAGGCGCCACGGAAGATTGATCGTGCGAAAGGCTTTGACGTACGGAAAATGCAGCGTTTACTTGAAGACCACGGAGCGAGAGACAGCTTGTAGAGAGCAAAGGTGGACACCTCGCAGATGGGAGTTTGGGCTCTATTAGCGCTTGCGATACTCCCCAGCATTTCACATGGCCGTTTACAAGGTCATTATATTAGTATGTCAATCACAGCTCGTCTCACGTCATGAGTCCTGCTCCTGGCGCCATTTCATCTACCGACAAGCAGGAACTTCCTCGCCTCCTCCTCACTCACACTCCCAGGCACCCCTTCACTCACAATCAACCCAAGCCGGTTGACACGGACCTTATACCACAACTCCTGTCTGCCCTCACCCAACTCCTCTGTCTCCAAAAGCTTCACCTTCAGCTCCCGCAGGAAGTCATGATACAAGCTTAGATCCTCGAATTCGTTCACCTCCTCTCTCAGCACCCGTAGACATTCCACCACCTCTTCGTAATTGGCACTACCCACGGAATGCCGTATCTTGTCGAGGATAACCTTATGCATCTGCTTACAAGCGTCACCTATTGTCTCGTCAAAGTCTGTACCCTCAGACGCCGCATCTGCTATTCGTTGTCTGAATTCCGGAATAGCGTTCCGCGGGTCGATCTTCTGTCCGGACCGCTTCAGCTTGGGATCTTGTGCTAGCAGAGCACCCACGTCTAGATCAGAGAGCGGTTTTGGCGCATCTTTCTTGCCACTTCCGTAGCGTTTGCCTCGGGCTTTGGGAGGGACTTTCTTTACGTTGGCTGCTTCTTTCAAGCACTCGATTGCTGGCTGTGCCTTTTCTACGAGTTCTGCAGGAGGATGCGAGAAGCGTGTCAGAATCTCGTAAGGTGGTGGCGGTTCGGAGTCGGGGAAGACTGCACGGTGTTTGATTACCTGGTGAAGGCGGTGCAGCATGGGAGAGTATGTCTCGTCCATGGGCATGCACTCCGTGTCGTGACCTTTGTCATCTTTGCTGAACGTTGAGAGATCCATGTTATCGACGTAGTCGCTCATGGCGTCCAGTAATTCGTCTGAGGGGAGGTTTCGATGGACACTGAGCTCTTTGCCGGAGACTGTGATCACTTTGTCCAATGGTGGGAACTTGTAGCTCCGCATGTCTTCTGTAAAAGGCAGCTCTATATCGTAGAGGCATTCGAACTCTGGCTCTATGTTGGGCGCTAGAAGTACGATCCGTGGTTCGCGATTCTCCTTTGGTACTATCCGGGCCACAGCATAGGATTCCAGTTCGTACAGGGATTGGATGAAGGAGGAAAGAGCCATACATGCTTTGTCATTGCTTCGCTGCGCGATAATAATGCTGCCGCGGTTGCAGTCCAGGTAGCGTTCATACTGATTTTTGTCCACGAACCCGATAATATCGAAGCCTGGTGTGGTCTCGTACATTGTAACGTTGCGATCTGATTCCGAGATGTGCACTGCTGTGCGTCCGTATTCGTAGCCCTTCGATAACTCGTCTCGATCCACGTCTTGCTTTCCACCCGGCGCTTCCGGGTCTTCAATCTGGTAGGTCATTGCGTTCTTGACGGCTGTCAAGCCATCTGCACTTGGAACTCCTTCACCATCTTTCACAATAGTGGCCTGACTTGCACCCATGTCTCCCTGTCTGACAACAAACTTACTCGCCGATGGAGCAGCCGCGATCATGGTCTTGGGATACCTCTCTACATCTATCGATAGCGCTGTATCGTACTGAGTGGGATCTCCTAGTGTCAGCAGACCCCGATAATTAGGCACAGGCTTAACACTCTTCACTCTCGGAGTGCCCAATTCATCCACAGCTTGTACCAACGTGCCAAAGGTGCCCTCACAGTCTTCGCACAACTGCTTTAACACAGCTTCGTTCTCTGCTTTGGTCGGATCTTTGCTCTCCTCCTTGAATCCATATTCGGCGTCGTCGAAGTCAACTCCGAGAACAACGAGCTGAATACTGTCTTCTTTCAGCTTCGCCACGATATCCCCTAGTCCGTCGGCCTGCATCGGTCCTCGTACATCAGTGACCAGCACGATCTTCCGCTCGTACTTTAGCTTCTTGCACTCGTTGACGATCATCTGGATCGCAACCACGATCGCCGAAATTGCATCGCCGCCCTCCATGTTGCCTTTTGAGACCACGAGGTCATCTCGCAGGCGTCTAACATCCGGCATCAGTACTTGGCCGATCTCTCGGAAGACTGTTATATGTGCATAGTCGTCATCGCTGTCCAAGATATTCTTGGTTCCGCTTGTCCTAAGGCCGAGCACACCAGCCATGGCAGTCTTCCTTCCGGTGGCGACAGTGGCTGTTATGCGATCCCAGATGTACTCCAGGGACCAGTCCAGATTAGTCTTCGAACGGCCATGGCTGGTTTCGCCCGTGGAAGGGCCGAGATCTACTATGTATACTGTTGCTTCTTTGGAAGCCATGCTGAGTGGTAGCTTGCCAGAACAGAACGCTGGGCAGAAAGCGACCGCTTTCCTACATCAGGTTGTCATGAATGGTTATTGATTGATTCGTGGCGAAAGTGCTGATGTTGGGGCTCAGGCAACAGTCGCGTTGGAGGACGCGATCAGGCGTCAAGCTTCAGCCACAGTCCGTCAGCGCCACAGTTTATTTACCTCACGCTCACAGTATTCGCCCTCAACCCCAACTTAGCATCAATCCCAAAGCATGGTCTGCCTCTGCCGTCAATACCGGACCATATCGACGGAACGTGAAGACTTCGTACGTCCGGAGCGTAATCTACAAGCAGATCGAAAAGAAGAGACAAGCAATGTCTCTTGCTCGACCTGAAGACGAGAAGTGTCTCCCTACTCACACACCGTAATAGAAGCAGTGGAGCACCGGTCTAGCATATTGAGAGGAGAATCTGTACATGTGGTATTGTAGCCCTTTGTTTCTCGTGTCGGTAGCAGTTTGTTGTCACACGAGCAAGGGGTGTCTTGATCCCTTGCTTCGGTACTTTGGTTATGAACTAGACCTCTTCTACTTTCTGATCGAAAGGTTTCATACACATCACGATGCAAGCGCACCTAATGCCTCCAGTCGAACGGCTTCGGATCTTCTGCACTATCTCGTCTGCTTACACTGCTCGACCACGCACGTCATTCGTACTCCAACGGAATGGATTCAAGCCAGAACGGACGAGAGCTGTCGTTCAGCGAGCGTACGCCACCTCTTGCAGACAACTGTCGGGACACAGTGTACTGCGATACGATCCCCATCGCCAGATCGACTATCGTGGCACCGATCCTCTGAGCCTGAAGGATGCTACTGAGGCAAGTCAAAGCTCTGTTGAGACAGCAACATTGACTGGTCCTCGCCTCGATCAGACAAGCCATACCCAAGACGACAAGCTGAAGGTGGATTCCGAAGTTAATGGACGAGAAGGAGAAGGGGAGAAAGCCGACGAAGATGCCAAGGATCATAAGAGCTTAGCAGCAGCAGCAGCCAAACTGATAGAAGTCTTGCATATGCACCTCGTTTTGACCACAGTGCTCGGCGTGATTGTTTTAGCCTTTACCATACACGCCACTTACCAATGGGCTGAGGCCGCAAGCAGGGTGAAAAGCATGCATCTACTTGTCGAAGGGTTACAGGATAAGGAGTTTGAGGCAGAGAAGCGCAAGCTGTTGCGGACGAGGGAGGCAAAGCTGATCGAAAGGGAAATCGAGCAGATCAAGTGGGAAACAACATGTTCCGCTGCAGATTTGCGATCGCCGCCGGAGATAGCTGCAATTCGGTAGTCTTCGACGAGTGTCCAGAACAGTCCAGGTGGATGATGGCAATAGGCTCGCTGTTTCGGTAATCTTCGTCACTGTCACACTGAGTACGGAAGCGACTCAAGCAAGAACCAGTACTGTAGTACACAGCTAAGTAGCTGATTGAGTGGACGTTTATCTCAGGCACACAAGATCAGAACTCAGCCCTACGGCTTACATAGCACTTTCACTCGGCGGATAGTTCTGCCGGCTCGGAGGTTTCCAGTCTCGAGATTCGATGGATCTCGTCATGCATGTGGTCGCGAGGACGTGTATCTGTCGCCTCTGAAGTCGCCTCTTGTGCTGACCATCACTCTTCTTCACTGTCTTTACTCGGCGTGAATTAAGTCGGTGCATGGTACGAGCTTGCCAAAAACCATTCTATCTCTCGCCACACCTTGACGTCCGCCATCATGGCCACTATCATGCGCCGCCCTCAGAATATCGCCAAGTCATCAAAACAGCTACTTGAAGCATACAGCTTATCACAGACTCTTGCGAGACGACCGGCGAGCCTACCACGACCACTGTACGCATATGCGCGGAGTCGGCATTACGCCACCCAACCTGAAGGCGAGCAAGATGGCAAGAAAGTGGACAAGACAGGCGCAGCGCCGAAAGGAATGGAGCACCTCTACAGTCAGCAGTCGCCCATGTCTGGAGGTCCGCCGCAGCCGCCAGGCCAGAAGCCGGATGGCGACGAGCCACTGCCTGGACGAAGTAAGCTGACGAAGCAGGAAGAGAAGGCGCTGGATGATGTCTTTACATTGGTGAAGAAGGGTATGCCGGCATCGATGGCAGAGGATATCGACAAGGCGCTAGTACGGGTGAAGAGAGAGGGTATGCCTCAGGAGCTACGGGAGACGATCAAGGAGTGTTCAGATGAAGGCATGTCGCCGGCACGAGCGGCGAAGCTGTGGCGATTGACAACTCAGATGGCCCGGCAGACAGTCGAGAGCGAGCAGAAGGCCGCGGAAACCGAACAGCCGAAGCAGCAGAACACCGCCGACCCAGGACCTGGCACGAAGGAGAAAGGCAAGGATGGCAAGAAGAAGAAGAAGGAGAGCGAGTTCCCAGATGTGACCATGATCAAATTCGACTTATCAAACTTCCTGCTCTCCGGCTTCGTGGCATACCTTCTCTACCGCCTCGTCGTCCCCACCGAGAACAGCCGCGAAATCACATGGCAAGAATTCCGGAACACCTTCCTCGACAAAGGCCTAGTGGAGAAGATGGTCGTCATCAATGGCAACCGCGTTCGAGTCCACCTACACCGCGACAGTGTAGCGAGCATGTATCCTGACAGCCCCGCTGCCCAACAAGGCTTCTACTACTACTTCTCCATTGGCTCGGTGGAAGCTTTCGAGCGAAGAGTAGAGGATGCCCAGAACCTACTCGACATACCCTCTAGCGAGCGGATACCGATTATGTACCACGAAGAAGGGAGCTGGTTCAATACTGTCCTCGCTTTTGGACCAACCCTACTTTTCATCGGCGCCATCTTCTACCTCTCCCGGCGTGCAGCTTCTGGTGCAGGAGGAGGTGGAGGAGGAATCTTCGGTATGGGCAAGTCTCGTGCGAAGAAATTTAACCACGAAACCGATATCAAGGTCAAGTTTTCTGATGTAGCTGGTATGGATGAGGCGAAACTGGAAATCATGGAGTTCGTGTCTTTTCTGAAGGAGCCAGGTATCTATCAAAAGCTCGGCGCCAAGATCCCTCGAGGAGCTATTTTGTCTGGGCCTCCTGGAACCGGTAAGACGCTCCTTGCCAAAGCTACGGCAGGAGAGTCAGGCGTGCCGTTCTTTTCTGTCTCTGGATCCGAATTTGTGGAGATGTTCGTCGGTGTCGGTCCCAGCCGTGTACGCGACCTCTTCGCCAATGCGAGGAAGAACACGCCTTGTATCATCTTCATCGACGAGATCGACGCTATCGGTAAAGCTCGTGCGAAACAGTCTTTCGGTGGTGGCAACGACGAGCGAGAAAGCACACTCAACCAGATCTTGACAGAGATGGACGGTTTCAACACAGCTGAGCAAGTCGTTGTTCTAGCTGGTACGAATCGTGCGGACGTACTCGATAAGGCTCTCATGCGACCTGGCCGGTTCGACAGACACATCTCCATCGACCCACCGACAATGGAAGGCCGGAAGCAAATCTTCGACGTCCACCTCAAGAAAATCATCACGAACGAGGACATGGAACACTTAAAAGGCCGCCTCGCTTCTCTCACCCCCGGCTTCAGCGGTGCAGATATAGCCAACTGCGTCAACGAAGCCGCTCTCGTCGCCGCGCGTGAGAACGTTGAAAGCGTCAACGTCACGCACTTTGAAAAAGCCATCGAGCGTATCATCGGTGGTCTGGAGAAGAGATCACTGGTTTTGTCCCCATCCGAAAAGAAAACAGTCGCCTACCACGAGGCTGGCCACGCAATCTGCGGCTGGTACTTCCAATACGCTGATCCTTTGCTCAAAGTCTCCATCATTCCCCGCGGCTCCGGCGCTCTGGGATACGCCCAGTACCTGCCTGCGGGAGGCGGGGACATGGTCCTCATGAATATGAAACAGATGATGGATCGGATGGCTATGACGCTCGGTGGCCGTGTGAGCGAGGAGTTGCATTTCCCTACTGTTACTTCTGGGGCGAGCGATGATTTCAACAAGGTCACGCGGATGGCTACGAGCATGGTTACGAAGTGGGGGATGTCTGAGAAGATTGGATATCTCTATTATCCTGAGGCGGGTGAAAGCTCGGAGGCGCAGTTCTCGAAGCCTTTCTCCGAGCAGACTGCTCAAGCTATTGATGGTGAAGTCCGCCGGATTGTTGACGAGGCGTACAAGCAGTGCAAGCAACTACTGCAGGAGAAGAAAGACGACCTCATCCTCGTCGCCGAGGAACTTCTGAAGAAGGAAATGTTGACCAGGGATGATATGGTCCGACTCCTTGGACCGAGACCTTTCGCCGACGCGGGTGAATTCAGCAAGTACTTTGGTGGTCCTGGTGGCCGCGGTACTGGCGCGACTGGCGAGGCGGGCGGTCCTATGGGTGGAGCGCCGAAGCCTACGACTCCGGGGCCTAATGGACCGGATCCGGGTGAGGGTGGTGGAGGGGGTGCTACGTTGCCGCCTGGTTTGGGTGGGCAGGGGACGGTCAGTCCGACTATGTATAAGGCTTTTGAGGAGGCTTTTAGGCAGGCGAGGCGGTGAGGTCATCGATAGTGAATTGGGAGGCGTTCTTAGGAGGGCATGGTCGTGCGTGTAGAGTAGCGTTCGAAGGTGTCCAATCTGTCATGCGCATGCGTGGGTGTCTTTGTATAGCTATATACATTCTGTTTAGGTTGCTAGGGCTCACAAACTCCGCTATATACTCAAATTACTACGGGTCCCGTCCTATATCACACTATCGTACCGTCGTCGAGCAGGGAATCTAGGATGTCCACGAAGGTCCCCTGGTGCCTTCATAGTAGGGGAGCTAGAGAATTTCACAAGCTCATGGCGGCTATGAATCCGGCCCTGGACGCATCTACTACCTACCGAAGTAGGTCATAGTGACCGCCGCCCTCTAGCAAAGTGCGGTGGCTTCGTCAACGAGATTGGTGCTTTGCCTGGTCCAGCTCAAAAGTAGTGAAGCAGTGCCCGATCGTTCCTTCTGAGCAGTGCTTCATGATGCCTCACCAACATCTTCCGGGATTGTCTTCTGCTTCTTCACGGCCTGTGCCTTCATTGCCACTCGCACCATTCAAGTCTTGGAGCTCCTGCGGAAGTGCTCCGGGATGCAAATACCAGGTGCTCATGGAGCTACTCCCTGGGTCATCATCTTCGATTCAACGGCGTAGGTTCGTCGGAGGCTACTTCGGACTTCGATACCATGTCTTCATTCTCGATCTCGAGGAGTGTGACTGTGTATAACTCGCGACGAAACCTCCATGTCCCCGTCTATGTAAGTAGCATGTGCACAGTGACTGGCATGATGACGCTTCAACAGGTTTCTCCCTCTGCTTCACGCGCGCTCCGTGGATCGATCGGCAGGCGATGAATATCGTGGATATCGTATTCGTGATCATGGATTGCTAACCTACTCCTTGTCATCATCCTCATCATCCTCCTCCTCCTGCTCCTCATCAACCTCCTTCCGCTTCCGCCCTCTCTTCTTCTGCCCACCACCACCGTCCTGTTCCGTCGACTTCACAGGCGCCCTGTCATTCAGGCCCAGACTCCTGCCCATCCTCCTCTCCAGATCATCCTGGCCCTCCTCACCCATCTCACCATATACCGTTCGAGCCAGACCTTTCACTCCATCATCACCCACCTCGACTCTTCCTCTTGGCCCAATAACCCAGAACACATCCTCATCCCCTGCTCCAACCAGTTCTTTGATTTTGGTGATATAGCCCTCCTTCTCCAGCCGTTTCAGTAATAGTTCTGTCTTAGCGTAACCTGTTACGGGCGTGTTATCTTCCATCTGAAGGCGTCTCAGATATCTTTCCATTTTCGTTACCGGTAGTTGGCCGCCGGAGAGGGAAATCAGTGAGACAAGGACGGTGTAGATGGAGATGTATTTGCTCTCTTCTTCCGCCGTGGGGATGGAAGGAGGTCCTAGGATTTGTGGGTCGTGAAAAGCGTGTGGAAGGATGGAGATCAGGACGTAGGCTGCGGGTGGTGTTTTGGATTGAGATTGTGATTTGGCGGCTGCTTGGGTCGTCAGTAGGCATATCACCGTTCTCCTGTGTGCATACCATACCTCTCTTCTGAGCCAATGTAACCTTCTCCCTCGCCGGCAGCTCCACCATCTCCATACCAAAGACACTTCGTAGCTGCAATTGTGTTTGTGCAAAGACATCCTTGAACCTTCTCCCGCCTGCTGTGCCCAGTACTTTCTCGCTTATATCCGTTCTTCGTATGGGTCTTCGCTGGTACTCGCATGCTAGAGCTAGTCGTACAAGCTTCTTAACCATTTGGTCGGTGTTGCTGTCTGTGCCGTTGCCATGGTCGCCGCCGTAGTCCTCTTCTTCGTCGTCTTGGTGTTGTGTCGTTCGTCGTCGCTGTGTCTGTGGTTCGGGCGATTCTTCGCCTGAGACATCGTCGTCATCTGCTGGTTCCTGGCTACTATGTCAGTGTCAAGTGGTATGAGTCGGTGGTAATGCATACGGCGCGTCTTTTGCGACTCTGCAGGGAAGGCATGATCGCAATATATGGTGAAGAGTATTGCCGGAGTAATAAGACGGCACGTTGGGTGGAGCATGCACTGCACGGAGAGCAAATGAGCATATATACAGGTACTTGTCAAGTGAAGCCCCGCTGCCGCATTAGCGTGTCGTGTTATCGCCAACGCCGAACGCCGTGCTTCAACAAAGTCTTCCGCGCCCTTACAACCCCAACCACAGCCACATCTGCTCCTCATCACCGTCGACAAACATGGTAAGTCCCCTCCTATCTTATTCCCGCATCCTGTCCCTCGCTAACACCCTCACTTACACAGGCAGACAAACTCCGCACCCAACAACAACTCGAAGCTCTCCAAAATAAATACATCGGCACCGGGCACGCCGATACCACAAAGCACGAATGGACGTCCAACATCGCCCGTGATAGCTACGCTAGCTTCCAGGGCCATCCGCCACTGTTGCATTACATGAGTATTGGCATGGGTCAAGGAGTGGAGAGGACGAGGGTGCATTGCATGGAGAGTATGGTCTTGCCTTGTGGGCCCGCACCTGCTACTGAGGAGGGTTGATGAGTCGGTGGAAGAAAGGAGAGATGATGGGTGGGGGAAAGGAAAGAAGGAGGAGATTTGGGTGGTGATCAGTTGCGAATGGCTATGGTGATGAGCTGGGAAAATCTGGTTGCCACGCCCTGGATGCGGACCACACGCTACCACACGATTGCGAGGATCCATCATTGTAACCTGCTTCGTTGTGTCCGCATCTACCGAGCTTGATGGAACGAAATCCGGCAACCAAGTGTAACGGCCGTCTGCGAACCTTTGCCACAGAACTTCACGTCACAATCGTGATAACAAAACTTCCTCACATGGTGGCCAGCACCTTTCCATCTCTGGGTCTGTACTCGCACGTATCCGTCGATCCGATATGTCGCAGCATGACACGATGGATATGACTCGCGCAAGCTCCGAGAAGTTCCGCGTCCATGCTCCAATGGAGAGAACAGCGGTCTCGGTGTCGCCACCCACGACAGCGATCACACCACGATACAGTACGCAGTCAAATGTACCGGCCGGATGCGATATATCAAGGAAAGCGATGGCATTTTTGGATGCGAGTCGAACCATTGCGATACGAAAAGAAGTCGTATTGCTGTTCTCCGTCCGCCGGGAAGACATCACATGCGAACGCACCGGATCCTACTCACGGCACCGTCCTGTCGTGCTTATATGTTACCTTTTATGGTGTATAGGAGGGAATATATATAGGATATAGCAATCACCAAAGCAGTCACCATGCCAGGCCCCTTCATCATCCGTCGCTTGTCGAGCTCTATCTCCAGCACCCTCAAAAGCTGTTTCAGCGCCCATCAAGTGCCAAGGGACATATCGTTGGCACCGTCAACGACAGCAGCAGTAAATCCAAGACCACAATGCCAGCAACAGCCATCAAATTCTTCGCCGCCCTGCTGTCCATCAGTGCGGCGGGAGCATACTTCGTGACTGCGCCGAGAAATACTAGACATGGACATGATGGTTACGCATCAGCCTCAGCTCCGCCTCTTCGTCTCTTTAACACTTCAACAACATTCCTCTTTCGTCACAACGCCTTACTGCAAGAACCCTTGCTAATAACCCTCTCCCAACCATCAGTCTACCTGTGGAGACCGCAGCTTCGAGCGCCACAGCGAGGCGCTTCACGACTTTCGAGGACAGAGTAGCTCATTAATACAATGCTGGGACGAGGATTGCTGATGCTGTTCGAGTTGAGGAGCATAGGAGCGCGAGGGAGGCGCGGGATGTATGAGGATTTAAGAAAATTTTCCGTCACGATGAGGATTCATACACAACATACTTACCCTCAAGTCTCGTCCCCGGACGCTATCGAACATTTTACTTTTTGTGTGTTGTGTCTGATGTCTACTTCTTGGCCGAAAGAGCTGCAAATGATGGACTCAACGCTGGCTAGTGTATCAACGATTCCGTGGACAGGACTTTCAAGGAGGCGCACGGTCTCTTGTTCGTAGAGGCTAAGGTCGCGAAGTTGCAACAGACACGACACTCGAGGCTGATGTTCATCGGGAACGGCTATAATCGGCTCTCGAGAACAAGCTGACTGAAAATGATCTGTCGCCGAGTCCTAGTCAAGCCTAAGGACTATGCTGCCTCCAAAGGAGCGACCTCTCGCTAAATTCTACTCAAGATATGCCTGAGATCATCTTATTCAACCTCGTGGAACGATGACTCTGCATCGTTGGACGCTGTGCGGTCCACGTCGCAGCCAAAGCCAAGTGCGCATGCACGCAATCAACATCAATCTGATCAGGCTATTGTTGGTGTCGTGAGAAGCATCCACAGAAACTAACAGGTGTGAAAGGCTGTCGAGACAATATGTGGTGGGTCGAACAGCAGTCTGATTGGTCGCCTGATCCGCAAGGCCATAGACATGCCGTGTCTGAGCCTCTTAGCCTGACCTCAGCTACAAAGTCGGTCTGAGATGACCTGTGTGCGTCACACTTCAGGCCGCACTGTTGTCGCGGCCTCATGCTGTCGTTGTTTACGAGGGATCATGGTTGCCTCGTGCGAGAGGAGCGTCGCTACACACTTACCAACCCGACTCTCCTTCAACAAACTTCATCTCCCACGCAGCGTACTGCACGACGTCGGTCATGGAGAAGCCTATCTGGAAACAAGACTCTAGTGTAGGCTCTGAGAACGACCCGGCCGGGATCGAACTATCTCGCAAACAATCTGAGCCTTTGCCCAATACCGACGGTACGTTTACGCCTAGAATTATCGGTTGGAAGCCATACACATCGGCCTTCTCCGAGCCCACCACATTAACTTCTTGTGCACTGCGGCTGACTCAAACATGCAGCATCCACAGACGCCTTAAAAGGTGCCGAAAGGACGCCCACGAACTCTTCGATAACCGAAACGCCGAACATCGATGCTGCGACGCCTAGAGCAGACTCGACAGCACAAACCACCGAGCAAAGTGGAACTTCATCGACCGACTTCCTTGACGCCTTAGAGCAGCTGTATGAAAGGCGCCGGGAGTCACACAGAGCCCTAGACCTTGGAGACAAGTTGCCAGGATCAACGCAGGAATCGAATCACTATTCCGACTCGCCGGGACAGTACTCTCAAGACTCATCCCAGGACTCGGCCCTTCCCTACACCGCCGCCTCCGTATGCGACCGACGAGCGCCAGGCTGGGCTTGTCGATGACGCTGGGGCGCAGTTCAAGAACGATGTAGCAAAGCCAAGACATTTGTCCACACAGCGGGTGCTCTCTTTGCAAAGCGATTCGGATGCATCATACTATACCGCAGACTCTGGCTATAACTCAGGTCGATCGAACACTAGCCGGCCCACAAACAGGACCGTAGACTTTTTGACGGATGTCACGGTCCTCCTTGCCAGAGAACTTGTTTGCACATCATCTGATCTTCTGGATGCATGTATAATGCCACCCATAAGCTGTGATGAGACTTCGTTTCTTCTCTGGCTGCTATGTAAGATGCTCCAGATCAGAGCGAAGACTGCAGATGAGATCGAGGCATGTACCTTGATCAAGCAGGAGATACAGTGAGCACTAGACAAACGACCACATGTTGTTTTGTGCATTGCTGATAGTGTGAGCGGACGCGTTGCCGGAGCTTTTGCGAGATCTTACAAGATCCGACTGTCCTTGTACCCGAGGCCAACGCTTGGCAGGAGGATCACGGCTACGCATGGGAGTCTCGAAATCGCTTCCGTGCTATGCTAGAAGGTATGGACGATACCAAAATCATGAGCACTTTCAGTCCTTTGTCTGCCCGCAGGTACAAGGCTGCTCTGGCTTTCGTTGCTGAGGGCGATGAGGTCAAGGGGCTGATTTCTGAGCTTTGTATCACGACGAGCAATACGCCAACTGGTCCGGAAATGCTGAAGTTGAGGACCACACTTGTGGACTCTATGATCTATCTGCCGGAAGCATGAAGAGGGCTGCCGTATCACACTCGACTGGTGTCCAAGAAAGTTCTCGGCGGAGCAATATCCGTCCGTCGATGCGCCAACTCTAGATGATTGTATCGCCTATTGCGGATCGGGAGATGAGGTTGAGGCTGTTTTCGTGCGCGACTACATGACTCGGATATGGCCGGTCGTCGGGAAACAGCTACTATTTGCACTGAAGACAGCACTCTACATGAAGGAGGGTTCGAAATCAGGTATGCATCGCAAAGATGACTTCTCGCCATTAGAATAGAACCTGCATGGTCTGAATTCACGCTAACATACTGCAGTGGAGCCACCACCGACGCCAATTAATAACGCCAGCCTCCGACTTAAGTCTCGGGACGACCAATTGGAGGCCACAATTCATGGCTCGCCCACATCACAGCTACAAATCGCAGAAGCATTAGTCTGGCTGGGAGCAGTATGTCGAGCGTCATCTCATGCTTCGAGGACAGCATGCTGTTCAGCTGAGCTGGCAGTATCCGGCGAGAGTGCTGCTATGAAGGTGTCGTACTGGTACACGCTCCGCGACGTACCTCCTCCAGCTTGCGAAAAGCAGTCCGGGCCTTTGTCGAGAAATCCAGCAAATACCACGAAAGCGCCTGGCATAGATGATCGGCACGCCTCAGCCTTATGCTGGCTGTCGCTAGTCCGCAATCCCAACGTAGCCCTCGGGTACCTAGTCGCACGGCGCAAGAACAAGGAGCGCGGTCTTGAAATCCCGCTTGCAATATTGATCACACTATCCACAGCCAACCGCGCTGCCATCTTCAACTGCGTCACTGTCATCAAAAGCTTCGGCTCACTGCTGGTCGCCACTCGCCAGGTGGATGGCTCAGCTTGCTGGCACTACATCTTGGACGATCCACTGAGACCTGTGTCCTACGCCAAAGCTCCAGGGTGCACGACGGAAGATACTAGGGGAGTTTTCGAAACTCTCCAGGATTCTCGACATTTTGTTGGGTGGTCCGAAGTCACCACAACATCTATAGGTACGTCCATCGCAACAACTTGGACATGACATGCTCTGCTTTATTTCCTTGATCTGCTTCGCATTTGATATCTTGTCCATACTCAACTCTCGATACTGACAGTGCACTTGTCGGACAGGGACCAAGGATTGCAACTACGACATCGGTCACACTGGGATCAATCACTCCCAGGCTGGACTCGGTTTCGATGGGGTTACGGTTAGCGCAAACAAGTATATCTCGGTGGCCACAAAGATAGTACCGGGCATCAAAGACACTGTGCTATTCCATAAAGTGCCAGACAATTACAGGATGCAGCTCAAATCGGCAGAAACCATGCGCGTGGTCCTCTACGACGTACCGACAAGCCGTGTCTTGGCTTGTCGACGGACCTGAAGCTCTCTTGTACCTCAGCCGAGCGTACCTCTCTTCACACCACGAGACATCCGCCGAGCACCGCAGATCATTGAGACTGGTACAGGCGTTCACGCATCGCTCTGAAGCCGTACCAGTGGACAATATCGCTTCCGGTGTCCTTCTTGAACCCGGGAACAGGACGTTGAATTTAGATCAGGATGACGACTGCCCAGAGTCGGACCAGAGAGCAGGAAGCAATAATCAAGCCTCGAGCAATGCAATGCCCTATCAACACCTTGTGGTGCACTTCTACGAGCTTCTAGCCGAGATACAAGGGCATTTCGATCTTATGCACAGGTCGCAGAAGCTGAACATAGGGCTGATTCGCAACTGGGGGGTAAACACTCTTGAGGGTGTCGACTTTGCTGACCTCATGAAACTGCACACAGTCATGGAGCCACGCACCATTGCGTTTCAAGAGTCGGCGAAGATGTGGCTTCCGATGACTGAACACATGAGTGCAATGCAACACTTCGGCTCGGGATTTGGCGAGGTCATCAAGGCACCTCACACTTGTGCTGGCTATAGGCAGGTACCCTACGGGCTAGATCTTCTGGCGTCTTCGGCAAAATTACTCAACACTGTGGCCGCTCAATTGGGCGGTGGTCATGCCCATAGTCTGCGGATAGCTGAAAAAGCGTGGTGGAATATGCCCTTGGAGGTCTTTGAGCACAAACCCTGCTGTGCCTCCTGGCCGCAATCTACGAAGAGCACACTAAGTCCGCATCACGTTCTCCACCCTGAGGAATTGCACCCACAGCCTCCACGCGTACCTAGATCACTTTCACTCTCCGAGCATCTGAATTTGTACCCTTTTGCAGCTGTCATCCTAGGCAGCAAGGCTCGAGTTGGCAAGACACCGGCTGTGAGACCGACCATCGAAATCGGTGGCTCGATATGGCCTACGCAAGCTACTGAACCCAACACTGTTCTAAGTAGTGCAACAAGCACTGATATGACTATCTTGGCACGCTCATCGACCTCGACTCTTGGCGCCGGAAATGCCAGTACTGCTGCAACATCTGTACAGGCCTCACCTGTATCGCGAACAATCAATCAACGAGGATAGAGAGAAGGAATACGACCCAGGGAATCTCCATGATGCGCCGTACGATGGAAGCAATAATCATAATGGCCAAGATCTGAGTGCTATCAGCGATGAAGCTCTATGGGCTGAGATAGCACGACGGGCGCCACCTAGTTTCAAGGAGACCGAAGGTATAGATGAAGATCATTCGCAGCCGAAACGGGCTGGAGATGAACTTCTTGCTGAGCGGCGTGTCAAGATGAGGAGACTGCGAGTCCAGCAGCCTCAGGTGAGGCGCAGAAGTGGAGGCGCAGATCTTGGAGAGCAGTACAGAATGGGCGAGCGCTGAATAGTGCCATGGCATGATTCTGGCCTTCTCGTGTGGCGATGAGCTCTTGCTGCGTCCGCGCAGTCGCGCCAACCCTGTAAGGTGAGAGTGGGGATGGTCTGGTATATGCTTGTGCGTGCTTCAGCATGCTCGATGCAGAGTAGCGGACGGCTGTCGCTCGGAGCTTAATGAGACCTCAATTTCTCCTTGTGCTCAACCCAGAAGTTCAGACATACTGCATGGCAGTTCGCTCCATCCACCCACCATTCGCCGAAACTGTCTTGGACCTCGACATCAACCTTCGTCACTCTCTCCTCGCGCTTGAGACCACAGAGTGCGCACGCAGCAGGGGCTGTGAAGCCGCCCTCGTCCACCTTCAATGTCTTTACAGACATCTGCTCGGCAAGCTCGGGTACCTGCGGCATCCCTGCTTCACCAGCTAGCAAACCACTTGCTGTTGCGCCAGCGACCGCAGATCGCAGCTTGCCAACCTGCATCTTCCACAGTCGAATGCAATCCAGCACTTCCCGGTCTTCCTTAGCCACTTCACCTCGATCTACTCCAGTCAACTTCATGCCGCCTTTACCTCCACCAGCTACGGATGGCCCGATGCGCATACTTTGCGCGAGATGACTGTCGCGCTTCCAGCGCAGCTTTCGACCCACTATGACATGTGCTAGTACGAGGGCTAGGGCAAGGTAGCCACGAAGGAATTGATGAGTTGCGGGATGTGAAAGAAGTGTTTGTCGCTGTGCCGTGTCCAGCTTTGATAGGGTATTGAAGAGAGCATCGTTGCCAGCCTCGAGGAGTGATGGGAACATGGACATAAGTACTGATGGTGGCGGGACGTTTGTAGGTGGAGGTGGTTGTGCTTGGATTGCCGGAGGCATTGTTTGTTGAGCTATTACTAGTCGGTTTCTTCTTGAAGCGTCATCTGCCGTATTATCAAGACAATGGGCGACAGACTGGCTCGCCGGTGCTTCTTCAAAGTCGTCCCACTCATCGGAATCTGCTATGGTTTCGTGCGCGAGAATCGGCGAAGGCTTCTTCGCAACCATACTCTGATGATGCAGGGTCCTCGCTAGTTCTGTCATTGGACGTATGGGCGTATTTGTCCTTTCACTTTCCAGGGTGGTACCTGGTCTCCAGCCGTCCAACGCGAGCAGATCAACAGCAGGTAGATATGCATCAGGTTTAGCATATTGCGGTTCGGTCAATACATTCGCATAGTCATCCACTGGCTCTCCCCACCCTGAGTCAGTTTCAGCATCCAACAGCACATCTACCCTTGCCTCCTTCGTCCTTCGAGAGTCTTTCGACCGCTTGCTCACCGTGTCAGAGACAGGCACCAGCTCCGCCTGCTTGGGGGCCCCCTGTTTCTGCGACCTCTCCACTTGCTTCTTGGCTTCTTCCCGAGCTTGCTGCTCTAACACTACCCGTTTTGAGTATGCCATAGCTGCTTCAGGATTCGATGCAATGTCCGCAATCTCGTCAGTGCCGGCATTGTATTCGTCATCATCTGCTTCGAATAGAAAGTCCATCCGGCCAGCGAAGGGATGTGCTCCTACCTCCGGGGCTGGCTTTGAAGGGCGGGTCGAGGCTTTCCGTCTTGCATCAGTAGGCGGCGGTGGCGTAGAGCGCTTTGGTGGTGGGTAGGTCGGCTTTGTGAGCGGCGTCCTGTTTGATGGCGTAGATATGGCCTCTGGCTCTGGCTTCGGACTCGAAAATGTCTGTCTTGAGTGTGAAACATCTTGCAGATTTGTGCTAGATAGCATAGAAGGTGCAGCTAAAACCTCAGACGGCCCAGTGTTTGATGCATCCTCGAAGTCTCCAAAGTCGTCTTCATCCTCGCAAAACGTGGCCAAGGTAGAACTGGGAGTGGTCACATTGGTACCAATCCGGACTCTCTCGCTACTTAATCGCGAACACTCTGATTCTGTGCTGTAACTAGGACAAGCATCGCTCTCTTCCGATCCAAAAGCTGCAAAGAGGTCCTGGGACATCTTGACTTGCCCTAATCAATGTCTCTCGGGGCCTACGTGGCATACGCATCGATTCCGAACGCATACTACTGGCTGTCGCTGTATAGTCGGTGTTCGCTCGGTTCCCGAATGCTTCGGGACGGAGATAGCCTTCAAGATACAAGCTGACGAATCGACAACAGCAAGGTGAAAGAAGATTGCAGGTTCAGGTTTTGTGTACGCTTACTAAGCCGGTCTGTGTTAGGGTAGGAAATCAGATGCCCGTTTGTGCTCGCGTAATGATACGAGTCAATTGGAGAGGGGAAAATGAGATTTGATGATGAGCATGTGTATATTATGAGATAATATATCAAGCACTACCATGTGCACCCTGAGCATCCACATCGCTCAGCCTTTGCATCGGCCAACGACCACGGCCAGCCATCATTGGGCCTATCGCACAGGAGTCCCCCGGTACTACCATATCTTGCCATGTCTTCCAAACGTGTCGTACTTGTGACAGCTCCTGGTGACCATATCGGATCCGTCTTGGTCCCGGAATTACTAAGACATGGACACAAGCTTGTGCTACCAACCTCGAACGCCGACCGACTTTGCTCCAACCAGCCTCTGCTACGAGCAAGAGTAACGTTATCGTGGAGCAAGGAAGTATCAAGAGCCCGCAATTGGTCCAAACTAAACTCTCCAAACACTGCGTCGACACAGTCTTTCTATGTCTGACAGGTGTTGACGAGCTGGTCACGACGTTGAACTTCCTTGACGCCATGAAGAAAGCTGGTTGCGTCAAACAGCTTGTGTATCTTTCCGCTTTGGGCGACTTCACTTCTACAGAGGGCTTGCAGTACATCATGCGTCACAGTAGCGCCGGTATCATCCTGGTAAGCTCGAGGGCCCCCCGATATCGCCATGGCTTGTGTTGACATGATTTTGCACAGGTCAAAAGTGTCCTGGAGCACAAGATGATCTATGGCGACTTCCCATGGCAAACGACACGACTTGGTCCAAGCCTGTTTTTCAGCAACGACATTAGATCCAAGGAGCCCATTATCAACCAAGGTCTATTCAATGATCCCGTTGGCAGCATTGGTGTCAGTCGTATCAGCGAGGCCGATATTGCTCACGCGACTGCTCAGGTCATCGGGGATCCAGAAAGATGGACCGGAAAAAAAATTATGCTAGGATCGGAGCACCAGTGTACTGACCTGGAGATCGCTGACCTCAGGTCTGACGTGTTGAAGCGGCCTGTCAAGGTGTGCGGTAGTGACTCTGCCAGTCTGTTACAAGTTGAAGATCATCTCGAGGCTATGATTACTGGTGGCGCCGGGAACGAGCCAACTGGCTTCGGCAGATCCTTCACTTCCATGCTAGAGAGCTTTGACAACGTTGGTTTTGGCATGAGCCAGGCGGAATATGACGAGCAGATAATTTTGCTTGGCCGAGAGCCGAAGGACTATGCGATGTGGGTCTCTGAGACGGGAAAGTCCTGGTTGTAACTACTGTGATTGCTGCTCGAAATCTTTCTTGGCATCTTCCAGTAATTTCGGCTTGATGAGAATCTCAACAGCAGTAGCGGCAAGTGCTTTGGCAACTCGCATCGCACACCAATGTGCCTCTTCGGTCCTGGCAGCTTTTTCGAAGGCAGGTGTGTGTGGTCCACCGAGCTGCTTGCCATCTTCGCCCTCGCTGCGAATCCAGAAGTTCGGACTTAAACTTGGCATGGCATGGCTGATGTCGCCTGTATGGAACGTCAGTAGCTTGTCAGCTCGATATCGTGGGTGAAGCTTGCCTTGATCTGTGCTGGCTTGGGTCACGGACTGGAGTATATCAACATTACCTTCCGGTATATGCCCACCAAGTCTGTTGAAGATGTGCCTAAAAGTTCTACCAAGCACACGATTTGGTACATGATCAGCGTAAGCGCCAGCTTGCGTTATCTTCAGCTCGGCGCCCGTGGCGGTGGCGCCTGCCTCGAAACATGCATGGACGCGCTTCTTGAGCTCTTCGACTCGCGCGTGCGAGGTAGACCGTATCACGAAGCGGCCAGCACTGTAAGCATGGATGATGTTCGGGCGGAGGCCACCATTGGTGATCATGCCCTGTACGATGTCTCGACGACTGTCAGTGAAGAGCCTGACGGAATGGGATATTCACGACATACCTCCTGGCCTAGTCTGCTGCCTGAGCACAGAGATGGCATTATAGGCTACGATGAGCGCGTCCAGAGCGTTGACACCCTCCCATGGTCGAGCAGCGGCATGCGCCTCTCTACCAAAATACTCGGCCTTCAGCGCAGAATAGGCAGCAGTGCGGACCAGAGCAGCGTCGCGGGAGATACCAGGGTGCGAGATCAGAGATACATCGACTTGGTGATCTCGATAAGCTCCGGCGTTCAGCAACTTGATCTTGCCACCACCACCTTCTTCGAGATGGTCAGCTGATGCGTTTATCCTGCTCCGTGCGCAGGTAGAGAACGGCGTGTGTGCGCGGACGTGATCACTGCGTACCTTCAGCAGGCGTTCCGAACAGCACAACCTTTCCGTCAAGACAATTGTCCTTGAGTGCCTGAGCCGTGGCAAGAGCTGCGCCAAAGGACGCTACAGCGATGAGGTTATGTCCACATGCATGGCCGATGCCCTTCAGAGCGTCTGGTCGGTCATAAGCAAATAGACATGCTTCTTGCAGCTGAAGCTGTTACCATATTCCGCATTGAACGACACAGTGGCGCCTTGTCGTCCACTGTCATAGACAGCTACGAACGCCGTGTCGATGTCATAGGCTGATGGCGTTACTTGCCACCCTTCCACCTGTGTGACATACTCGGTAAGGACTCGATGAGCATGATACTCTTTGTACTGCAGCTCGGGCCGATCATGTATTGCTAGGCTGATTGTGCGAAGGTCGTCGCTCAAGCTGTTAATCGTGGAGCCAATGGCGTCAAGATAGTCGGGCCCGGTACTACTCTCGGGCGGATCGTGCTCTACCATCACGAAGTCATCCATTTGCGAAGGAAGGTAGGTAGTAGTTGTGATGCAATTCGAGATACAGACACGCAGGCTAGTATGTTTATTAAGCCGAAATGACCCTAGTGAAATTGATCTACTGGTCGGCCGACAACCGACCCATCTTCTCAATCAATCGAGCATTACATATCGGTAATTGACTAATTTCAATACGCAAAGCACAACTACCATCTCTCGCTTGGTTCTCTCCTCCCGTTCCATCTCCCTCCATTGGCTGGCGGCCGATGTTTTCACCAAGGTCGAGTACTACACGATGTCACCCAATGCACCCGAATCTAGTGTGAGTACAGCAGCGGTGAATCACCATTGGACAACACGATCGTTGCATATGCCACTGAACTACACTTCTTGGTCCGCCGTGCCCTGTTTGGTCTTGATCGTCGTCTTCGAATCGCCTCGACCATCTGAATAATCCAGCACGACACCTTTGACCTTCGGGGCTATCCAAGCTGGCTTATCCAGGCTTTGTCCTAGACCGTCCGTATTACCATGGCTGCGCTGAAGCAGTCCAGCGCCAAGATTGCCTGCAGAGCATCTGGAGCTGGCGTAGCACACTCTCATATTGTTCATCGTCAATTGGCTTTTGTATGACATCTAGGAGGTTCAACAGCCATCGTCAAAAATTCTAGTTCACTCTTCTTCTCCTCATCCTTCTCGGCAGACCACGGCACCCACAGTCTCGTGTCAAGCTCTTCAATCACCACGGTAGTATCATACGTCCAGCATGTGTTCGCACTCTTCGGCACAAAAGCTACTGTATATGGTCAATGTCCCAAGGAGGTGGTACAGTACAACGGCAATCTGCGGACTCAGACAGCAAACAACAGTGAACAAAGTACACACGACACCCTCTTGCACACACTGACGGCTCCCAGCATGGTTCATCGTTCCGGTACCAAAGAAGACTGCGCAGGCGGTTGTCGACTCGGTCTTCCCTTCGGGCACGGTCGTACTAGCAGATGTGCCGACCGCAAATACCGCCCTCTTTCCTTCCGGCTTCGACAGCAATAGCCATCCCGTCCTAGTCTACGGTGGCTACGTGGCCGATATCCGCATGGCGTCTTTCGAGATCGATGGCGATTATGTCTCTGGCTCCCTCTACGTGCCGCACGTCAGGCGGCCGAACAGCGCTGCAGGCACAATCCTATCGGCACCCATCTCGAACTACCTCAGCGGTGTCAACGGGAACACTATAGCTGGACTAATACCCTCTCTAGTCTCGACACTTGTCGAGGGTTACAGTTCAAGGCTTGGCAAATTCACCCCCGCCGCAGCCGCTTGCCAGGTCAACAGCAACGACGTGCTGAGCAATAATGTCGCTTGGTGGGGTTTACCGAACCCAATCTCGGGCCCAGGTATCTACCCCGAAGCCTACGACTTCCAATACCTGAAGAAAGCCTCCTTTACGAAATATACAGAGAGGCTTCTCAAGACGGTCCTGAACCAGCCAGAAATCCTTGCCGGAGCATACCTGTTGAATAACACTTGCCAGCGAAACCAGTTCTATTACAATAACGCCACCAGTAACATGACCCCGGTTTCCGGTAATGTCACCTTCGGATCCGCGGCAGATGGCGCCACTGTACAGATGTCTGGTGTCTTGCAAAGTGCAGTGGGTGGCAGGTTCTATGCAGACAACGAAGGCTTCACTGGTTGTGGGCGAAACGTCGGCTTCAACCCCGAGGACTGTGATCAAGCTGCCAAGGAAGTCGATCAGATGGCTCTGTAGTATGCCGACAGGGCCGCGAAAGAGGCATAGCTGTCGTATGATCATGCGGTTATAGCTCAATACTAGGCCACGAGGTGGTGATGCAATAGTCAACTAATCTATAGACGAGACACGAGACTCTATTTGAAATGGTCATTGCTCAGATGTACTGGTGGAACAAAAGTGAAAAGACCCTTACATCATTCAAGCGTTGGATACATTCGGTTCAGTGGAAGGGAAAATTCATCAGTCGACGGAGGGCTGGAACGGCCTCGAAACAGGCATATATACACCGTGCTGGCATAAATGAATGAAGGCGTAGGAACCTTAGATTGCAGCATTGTGGCCGTGGGCATTATTTCTGGTGCAAAAGAAGTTCTCTGTTATCCTCGATCGGACGCGCTTACTAGCCCTATCAGCAACACCTATTAAGTCTTCCTCTTCTTCCCAGCCATACCCCTAACCCTATTCCCCTTAACGTCCCTCCCCTCCTCAATAGCAAGCAGCGCCTCCCTCTTCTTCACACCAACGATATTGAGCGCATCCCTCACCACCCTCGTCTCCACACTTACGCCCTCCTCAGCATACGCTTCCATCTCCCTTCCTACCCTCTTCTCCACAGCCTGCACGAGCTCCACATCCCTCTGTCCTACAAATGATATAGCCGTACCTGATCGACCAGCACGAGCCGTACGGCCGACACGGTGGATGTAATCGTCTGGATCTCGTGGTAAGTCATAGTTGATCACGAATCCAACATCAGGAATATCTAGACCCCGCGCCGCAACATCCGTAGCCACCAGAATCCTGGCTGCGCGAGCGCGGAAACGAGCGAGGTTGTTTATCCTGTCCGTGTGTTTCAGACCGGAATGCAGAGCTGTGACGCGGTGATCTAGGAGTCGAAGGAGGTATTCTAGTAGATTCGCCGTGGTGGTGCGGTTACAGAAGATAATTGTGCTCTTCTCCACATTCTGCGTTGTGAGGAGGATGACGTGGAGGTATTTCTCCTTGTGGAGGACGTTGACTAGTAGGTATGTTTGTTTCAGTTTTGTGGGGATGGCGAGGGTTTCGCAGTCGATCTCGGTGATGAATAATGGTGGCTTTCCTGGCGGGCGAGGTAGCTCTTTGCGTGCTCGCACCTCTGGCGTTACTGTAGCGGTGAAGAGGCAGGTTTGTCTTTGGCCGGAAGGTGGGAGGGCGGACAGACAGGTCTCTACGTCTGGGAGCATGCTGCCTTTGCCTGTCTTCAGAAGGCGGTCTGCTTCGTCCATCACGACGTACTGTACTCTTCGTAATCCTTTGATCGTTTCGGAGCCGGACATGGAGACGTGTTCGGCCAGGCGTCCGGGTGTGGCCACGACGAAATGAGGGCGGCGTTCTAGTTCTAGGGCTTGAGAGCGCATGTCCGCTCCACCAGTGACTAGACAGCATTTCACTCCCTGTCGGCCTCCGATCGCGGCAACTTGCTCGTAGATTTGTAACGCCAGTTCTCGTGTCGGTGTGAGGATGACGGCGAAGATGCCGGAGGGATCACGAGCCCATTGTTGGAGCAGAGGGACTGCAAAGGCCACCGTCTTTCCTGAACCTGTTCGAGAGCCACCTATACAGTCTCGTCCGGCGAGGATCTGAGGTATACTGGCGCTTTGGATGCGGGTGGGTTGTTTGATGGCCAGATGTGAGAGGGAGGCTATCAACCATGGGTCTACCCCGAGCGTGGCGAAAGTGGCGTTCTCTGGGTCCATGGAGGACTCGATTGTGGAGGGGAGAGCATCTCGTGATTCCTCAGCAGTAGCTGTAGAGATTTTGTCTGTGGCCACGGCCTTTGCCTTTATTCTTGACATTGGTGCGGCGTCCAGTCGAGGTCGTGGTTCATGGTCGCTGTCAATATCGCGGATATCCTCGGCATGACTCGCAACGGCGTTGGTCTGCTCAGATCCAGAATCCGCGTCACTCGACCCATCGTCATCCGGTGGCGAGAGCCTTCTGCGCTTACTTGGCCGGTCCATATCGAAGTTACGCAGTGGTGAAGAATGGGAATGCCCAAAGAGGAAGTCTGCGACAAAATTGTTCGCGGCGTCATTCCGCGTTTTTTCATATGCAACCTTCAATCACTTCTTTTCTGCTTTGTACATTTCCGTACATTTTTGTGTAAGACAAGATGGCGCTGAAGGGACGACCAGCAAAGCGACTGAAATTGCTAGACGAAGCTAGTGATGCTTCAGACGAGTCAGCAGACGAAGGTGTACAATTAGGCCAGAATAATGGTCCTGCGAATGAATTCAAGATTAATGAGAATTATGCCAAACGCTTCGAGCATAACAAGAAGCGCGAGGAGAAGCATCGGTTGGAGGAGAAGTATGGCGACGGGAGTGGAAAACGAGGCTTAGAAGAAGAAGAAGATGACGAAGAGGACTCGGAAGACGAGACGGAGGACGACGATGCTGAACTTGCTGATGTGGAGCTGGATGCCGAGATCTTCGATACGCTACGAGCACTGAAGAGTAAGGATCCGCGGATATACGATTCGACTGCCACATTCTACCGAGACTTTGAGGCCGAAGACGGCGCGGAGCAGCAGAAGGAGAAGAAGGAGAAGCCGATGTACCTGCAGGATTACCACCGTGAGAATCTAATGAGTGGGTTTGCAGGTGGCGAGGATGGCGAGGTAGACGATAGGCAGCCTGTGCAGACATATCAACAAGAGCAGGATGCTGTGAGAGCAGCACTTGTGGGGAGCATGCACGCTTCTGCTCAGCAGGACGACAGCGACGATAAGGACGATGATGATGACGAGGAGCTGTTCCAGGCCAAGAAAAAGTCAAACCATGAGTCCATACCCACTACCAAGACGACCTCAAAGCCCATAACAGAAAACGACATCACATCCGCCGACCAGGACCCTGAAACTTATCTTTCAAACTTCATGTCCGCACGTGCCTGGCTGGCAAATGGCGAATCGAAATACATACCACTGGATGAAGATGATAGCGAGGATGAGCAGAGGGCAGATAAGTTCGAGAACGCCTTCAACCTGCGGTTCGAGGACCCAGCACATGCGAACGAGACTTTGATGTCTTTCCGTCGAGACATCGGCGGAGATAAGGGAGTGCGGAGAGAGGAGCTAAGTGGGCGTCAACGAGCGCGAGAGAGGGAGAAGGAGCGGAAAGCAGCTGAGAAGCGAGAAAGGGAGGAGGAGCGAGCACGACTCAAGAAGTTGAAGGTCGAGGAGGTTGAGGAGAAAGTTGCTCGGATCCGGGAAGCTGCTGGCCTGCGAGGGAAGGATGTTGATTTGAGGGAGTGGCGGGGGATGATCGAAGGCGATTTTGCGGAGGATGAGTGGGAGGCGGAGATGGGGAGAAGGTTTGGGGAGGAGTATTATGATGCTGCCGAGACTGGGGAGGGAAGCGATGATGAGGACGAGGGAGCGGAGAAGTCAAAGCACAAGAAGGTGAAGGCGAAGAAGCCGAAGTGGGAGGATGAGATTGATATCAACGATTTGGTACCGGACTTTGTGGACGAGGATGATAGGGCTGAGTTCTCGTTGTCTGAGGAGGAGGATGATGTGGGTAGCGGTGCGGCTTTACCTGATGGCGATCGAGGTGTGGGGATGCGAGACGACGAGGACGATGACGGGGATGGCGGTGAACAGGGTACTGCGACGACCAAACGCAAGACCAAAAAAGACCGCCAGCAAGAAAAGCAAGACGCGAAGCGCATCGCGCGAAAACAACGCCAAGCCATCGAGTCCCTCGTCGACGCCGCCCTCCCTATCTCTAACCCCAACCTCGCCACCAAGAAAGTCAAGTCAACCTCAAGCGGTCCTGCGGGTTTCAGATACAGAGACACATCCCCGACCTCCTTCGGCCTTTCAGCAAGGGATATCTTGTTCGCGGAAGATGCACAACTCAATCAATTCGTCGGATTAAAGAAAATGCATGCGTTCAGGGATGAAGAGAAGAAGAGGAAGGATAAGAAGAGGTTCAGTAAAAAGGGAAGGGTGAAGATGTGGAGGAGGGAGTGTTTTGGTGATGAGAAGGAGGGTGGGGGAAAGGAGTTTGGGGTGGAGGATGGGGAGGAAGTGGGTGGCAGGGGTGATGTTGGGGGGACATTGGGTCGAAGGGAGGACGCTGAGGGGAATGTTAAGGAGGGGGAGAGGAGGAAGAAGAGGAAGAGGAGTGGTAAGGGGAAGAAGGAGGGGAATGTGTAGTCTGCTGGTTGTGTTGTGCTGTGCCCTACTGCTGCGCAAGAAGTATAGTTCCGTCTTCCCCATGCCCACATTCTCATGCTGCATCAGGGTATCAACATGCATTCTAGTTGCCGTCAACGCCCAGGATATCGCTGAGGTTCCAATGGAGACTTACCTGACAAGTCTCTTTCCGTGCGCCACAGAACGTCTGTGCATTGCGGCATGTTCACTACGTGAAGCGACTTTGCCGTTCGCCGAGAACGAGAAGAATTGTGATGTTCAGGTATCAAATCCATTTGTGTGAGTATCGTTGATTCTGTGACAGGAAGCATTCATGCTCGTTATCATGGGGTCCTCGAACAGATACTTATCTTGGAATTGAGAGCCCGGTGTCTCAGCAGATCTTGGCTGTGAAACTGAACATCGAGCTTCGGATGATCACCACGTCACGTGTCCTAACGACAAGACTTCATCGGTTTAGCGCTGAATCACAGGAGCGCAACCTGACTAGACTCGGGCGATATCGAGACTGCGCTGAGATGGAGCGCTACGGTAGCGAAATCAGCCAAGGCTGAGTCTTCACTTTCCAGAGTCTGTCCATCGCCCAATTGCTCGGCGGTGAGGATCCCAGAGATCACTACCGATGACGGATACTGGCTTATCGGTCGCTACACCCTGCTCTGGAAACTTGAGGACGTCGAGAAGACTGACGGTATCTTGCCCCTAGCGCACAGGTGGTCTAAAGTCATGATCAAGAGAGCTGTGGGATGATCGAGGGAGTTCTGAGAGTTTGAATGGTAGTGCTGCGGGGCTAAAACGACTGTGGAGTCGCTGCAGTAGGTGCATGTTAATGGACGCTGCCATGTGTTCCTTTTGTCGACGAACACTTATGCAGTACTGTTGATGTTGTGCGCTTGTTCCAACATCGATATCGCCCTCGTAGTCGCCCCCCCACGGATCACCACACACGGGAAGCTGTCCACTAAGCCCGCCGTCTTCATCTCGAAGCGTATGATGCCATCCTCATCAAAACGTCTTCAATGCATGCAAACACCTGCTACAATAAAACTTTTATCAGTATCTAAGATGGATTCAAAATACAGGCAGCCATCAGAGCATACCTTTATGTTAACATCAAACACCTTTTCTACCATAACACCAACTCGACTGATTTTGATGTACTCGATTCACTGTTGTGATCATCGTAGTCAGGATGAGCTCCGTTGCTACAGAACCCAGTCCAGTAGCCAGTCACTTCGCACATCAGGCGCTGGCTGCGTCACTTCGCACTTGCCCTTCTCTGTCAGATATGCACCAGCGCTGCTATACTGCAGCCAGCGTCCATATTTCTCCGAACTGCGGATAATCTGGTCCGACAGACCTACAGCATCTTGCGGGATCCATACAACTGGCTGCGGATCTCGCGTAACGGGGTCTTGGTATGCGGCTCTGAGCTCGGCATCTCGTTCCGAGGGCGACAGGTCGAGAAGCTCGTCCGGATATCCTGCAATGGCTTCGCCGAGTTGGTTGGCAACCTCGATCTTGCGTGAGCGGCGACCAGAAACGCGGTGCGGGTAGGGCTGCGTAGAGGGCTGTCGATTTGCAGCTGCAAGTCGCACTTCGATGCGGTGGTGGAGACCAAGCATCGTCTTTCGCGCGTCGGCTGCTGTGCTGACGATACCCCTGGGCGCCTCTTCCTTATCGTTGGAGCCAGCAACCTGCGTTCGGCTCCGTTTCTCCGTCGAGCTTGGCCTTAGGCATACAAGGGACTCTGGACTGCCTGGCTCAGCAGTCGCTGGACTGCCCTGAACCTCGCTGGTCTCTTCGCTACGACTACCGGAGGGACTTATTTGCGTGAAACGCTCCCTTTCGGCGTCCGCGGCCCTGTCTTCCAGCGTCACGGGAAGCAGCTCGTATAGCGGACTCAAGGAGTGCTCCAGAATGTAATGATACGCGGCGGTGAAGGCCAAGGCAATGATCATGATGATGGCCTGCGGCGTCGCTACGACTTTGTCTTCGGTGTTCCGTACGAGAAAGAAAAGGCCGATCAACGTGATTTCAAGGATCTGTGGAGACAGAGAGAGGTTAGACACTATGCCATCTATGTCGGAATGGATGTTTCCACTTACGTAAACTCCTGCAAACAGCTGTGACAACGCCCCCTCGAACTATGATCCCAACAAAAAGAATTAGCGACTGTCTTCAACCCTCGAGACAGCCAGGCTCTCCGAGACGTATCATCAAATTGTCTCTGCATTGTCCTGGGAACGCCGGCTCTTGGCTTTGCGGCAAAAGGGTTACAGGTTGGTTTACGTACAAGTGCGCCAAAGGTATCAACCTTGTTGCGTTGTACATAGTAGTAGTTGTGACGGTACCTGTTGCCGGCCGGTCAGCGAATGCTAGAACCACGCTAGCGTACTCGCGAGTTGACGTCAACGTACACTATGAAGAAGAGAACAAACAATGCTGATACGAATATGAGCATCAGAGGAGCGATGATGGAATAGATGAGGCCTTATTGGGTTAGTGGTATAATTCTCTGACTCCAGGGCAGGGATTCAGCGTACCAATGACAGCAAAGTTAGTCCAAAGTGAGAAGACATTGGCCCACATCTGATGTGGTATGGTTACCTGCAGCCACGCCTCTTCTCTCGGCGTCTGCGAGAACCACGGCCAGATCAATGTGATGAAGAGGATGCGAAGATACTGGAAAAGGGCGGAGCCAGAGAAGCCCAATGCTTGAATGATGAGGTAGTTGAAGAAGTAATTCGCCGCCTTCGGCAGATTGGTAGCCAACGTTTGTGTAATCAGTGTGGGGTTATTTGCAATAACGGGGATGACCGCGAGGAGGCCCGATGATATCGAAGTCACTAGCACCAGCTCGATGAGGAGGAAGGTGAAATAGAAGCCTTGGGTGACGACTTCGCGTCTGCTGCGGGTGGGTACGCCGCAGAGGACCGCAAGCTTTCGGCAAAGCGCGGGTACGACCAGCTGCACCAGGAGGGCGAGCAGGATGGCTGTGAGTGGACCGGAGATCAGACTGATGATCCAGCTCGGCCAGTCTTTGAGCCATGCCAGCCACTTGGTGTTGTTTCTGAGAGACTCCAACTGGCTCAGGATACCGAGGAAGAAGGCTGGTATACTCCAAAGCAATAGCATGGCGACGAAGAGGATCAGTGCGATGCAGGTTCGGGCGAAGCGCGCGAGAGAGGTCAGGCCCATGTTCCGCCAAAGGACCTCATGCGGCGCCACGTGCAGGAATCGCGGATACATGCGCCCGGGCGCATGATGAGTCGTCAATGCGCAGGCCATGTTCGCGGCCATCTGTCGATCGAACTGGACGAATGCAGAATTTTGCAGTTTGAACTTTTCTTCGTTGTCAAGCTCGGGTAGCAGGTCTTCGATCTCCACTGTGAGACGAGCAATCTCCGCTCGAAGCCAGGCGATCTTGAGTACGCGGTCATGTTTGCGCTGCCAGAATTTGAGAGACGAAACTGGCCGGTATTGACCGTCCTTGTCTTTTGCGATGCTGATGTATGCCTGCTGAGAGTCTGGGAGAAAGTTGCGCCACAATTGGACATTTCGCGTATTGTCTGCCTCGAAAGCATCCCTGATGAGGTCGGAGGGAGGCTGCACCTGGACTGCCACTTGCTCATCGTATGTGCGGACAGATTCCTCTGCAGGCTGCTCGGAATCTCCGGGCTTGACGGCAACCTTACCGTCCTTCCGAAGATTCTTGTGTACCAGGCGCAATAACCTCAACTCCTCCTTCTCGAGCGAATGGCACAGCTTTTTGCGGCGCGTAACGAGGTTTCGTAGAGAAGAGTAATCGCGATTCACCCATACATGTAGTCTGCTCCGATCATCGTTGTCCACGAACACATCAAAAAGGGCACTGAGCGCATCCGTGCTACGATATTCACTCGGGATGTTTGTGACCAGAATGGTCTTGGCAGAAGCCTTCAGTCTTTGCTCTGGAGATGTCAGGTACGCCTGTCGGACCGTAATGAAGTGCATCTTTTCGCGGTAGATGCGATAGAGTGTCCAGGAGATCATTACCAGGGCACAAGTTAAATGCGCCCAGTATCGGTTGGTCTTCGTTGGGGCCACATTTTGCCAGGACAATGTATCGAGTCCAGTGACATTATATTCCTGTGAATGTCCGCCGACGATGAAGTCATGTTGACCCTTGCCGCCATGATAGTTGACCGGGAGCAGTGTAATCACGCAGAAGAGCATGACAGGAAGGAAGATGACAGTCATGGCCCGTAAGAAGCGAACGGCGAAGTATCCATCGAGTCCACATTTGAGCTTGAGTTCCTCATCCTTGATGGAGAAGATACGGCGGATCCATCTGAGCGGACTCACTGGGATCGCCTCGACTCGTAAGCGCTTCGGGACGAGGTATGTCTTGGGCTGGTATAGTCGTCGACCTAGGTTGGAGCTTTTGAGCAAGAAGAAGCCGGAGAGTTGGAAGACGAACAGAGCAAAGCCCGTAGCCAAGTTCAGAACAAAGGCTTTGGTCGTGATACCGCCAGATGTCTGCGCAGCGCCGGCATTGCCTTGGAAGATATCGGAGATGCCGGACGAGTTCGTGTTATTAGTATTGAGCGCCATCGCCGTAGAAGACGTGCACCGGCCGTGTGAAGAGCAGGATGAACGGCTAACTAACGCAGGCGTGCCGATTAGGGAGTCGTAGGTTATATTACATCTAGCCTGGCAATCATGATGATTTCGGATGCGAGTGTTTCGATGAACCTTGGCGCTTCTTGTTGTTGAACTAGGTGACGCGAATAGGGATAGATGAACCGTTATAAACTGGTTTGTGACATGACGTATCGTATTACATACGCGTTAGTTGAGGTACGCGCTCTAATTAGCTAGATACACCTACTAGCGCTAAGTCTTACTAAGTAACATATATAAAGTAGTTGTAACGAATAACTAAAATATTATACTTAGCTTATCTACTTAGTAAATACTATATATAGATAAGAGTATAGATATAAGCTTAGTTAGAAATAGCTTATATAGATATTAAATCTATATATAGCTAGAATAAATCATATAATATAATATAGATTCCTTAAGATATAATTCTAATCCTATAAAATAACTATTATAGTCGACTAGCTTTCGATCTAGCGTAAATATTAGGTTTTTATATTTATAGATAATAAGATAATTCTTATAGAATATATTAATTCTTAAATTATATAATAGCTATATGAGTGATAAGTATTATTAAGAAGAAATCGAACTAAAATTTTAGAAGCTATAGTCTATTGGAAATTACGAAGATTATACGCGTTTATCGTCGAGCCGCGAAAGCGTAGCCTTCGAAATATAGAAGAAAGCGGACCTTACGTAGATAGGTTTAGCGGGGATGGCAAGCCGGTCGAGAAAGCTAGTCGACTACGATATATACGACTTCGAGGTTGCGTGCATGGCTACGAAGAGAAATCGGAATCTACTCAGACCTCGCACGACAAGATGGTGGTGTAATCAGATTCGTGAAAATGCGAAGGCAACGTTACCCTCTTTCATACATATTGAAGCACAATCCAGTCGAAATCTGAATCGAGACCTCCATATTCCATCCAATTGTCGTAGTTTGTGTCATCCCAAGCTCCAAAAGGAAATTCGGTCGCGGAAGCTACTCCTTCTGACGATGGACGCCAGCTTTGTGTATTGTCAGCTGCCTCCTCAGGTGCAATCATGGGATCAGTCGGGCTCCTCAGAAGGCTCAATCCGTGTGCCGAGTCAGCTAAGGCCGCCTGCAGTGCTGGAATATGTGAAAATTCCGGCTCCTTGTCTCTGCCCCGCAACACAGCACTCATCCAGATTACGTTATGTAGGAGTGAAGCACCCATCCTCGTGTTGATGTGTGCTGGGATACGCGATTGACGGTATCCTACTGCACGGCCTGCGCACTCTAAAGTTCGAGATGCACTCATGTGCTCGACGGACGCTGGACAGCAAGTGAACAGCCTGTGCACGCTACTGAAGGCAGCTCGCGCCGTGTCAGCATCTTCCTGGTCGGAGGAATCTTCTGTTGTCTCAAGGTATTTGAGCAGAACGACGCCGGCGAAGAATGTAGTACGCGAAGTGGCTTTGGGTGTGCCAGGGAGCGGGTGCGAATCGATCAACTGGCCAAGGCTTACACTGTTTCGTTCTCCAGAGAGACTCGTAAGCAGGCGAATCAGCTGCACCGCGGTCGATCGTGCGCCAGCTAGCATTTCCTGCAAGAATACTGGCACTGTGCGCGCCATATCCGCGTCGGATGCAGCGTCGGGTTGTGACTCTGTCTTGACTAGACACAAAGCGAAAAAGTAGACTTGTGATGCCTGTAGCGCAATTTCGGCGTTGACTGTCCATCCTTGGGCGTGTGTGATTTTCACGTTGGTCAGCGCCCGATGATGCTGACGAACCAATGTAGGGGACAAAGTCCCTGCCAGGCCGTCCCCGAGTGCGCTAAGATACATGGCCGTCTGCCGGTGAATCTCGATGATGGCCACATAGGTGCAAGGGGCGGTATTGATGCTGTTGAATGAAGCAATGGTTTGTAAGCCCAGTGGGCAAGCCAATGTAGGCAACAGACCATTCCAACAGCTCAGTTCAACATCTAGCTCAAAGCATTTGAGCCATGTTAGTCTGCGAATATGGTGTGGGTGCTTCCCAAGCTGATGATGGGATCGTCTCTGACCAAAGAAGATCTCGTCAATCTCTTTGTCAAGACCCATTTGACGAGCGGCATTGATAGCCAAGCCCAGCCGCGTCCAGCTAGGATCACGAGGCTGGTTGTGGACCTCCGCTGGCCACGTGCACGTCATAAGAATGGCTTGGAGATCGCCAACAGACTGGATAGCCTCGGAAGTTGTTTTCGCCAGTAAGGCGTGATGGGCAGCCAGAAGAGGTGGGTAGCGGTCACTGAAGAATTGATGGTAGCGAGAAGCTATTACGACAATGGTCCAGAACAGTAACTCACTATCTTCATGGAGCTTAGTCAAGGATGTGACCGTGTGGAGGATGCAGAAGTGTGGGTAATAGAGCATCTCAAAGCTTCGGAATAGCCGTGTAATGTCAGAAGATGTAAAGACCAACTGCGCAATGCTATACGTGGCCGATGCAGTCGTGTCTGGGAGCTGCAGCCAGCGCTCGGAATGAGTGCCCAAGCTCGTCCTCAATAAATCCTCCTTTGGATCATTCATATTCGAGTCGCTAGCGGTTTCATATGCAGACCCTGAGCTTGCCGTGCTCTGCGTACTGATGTCCGGCGGAAGTGTTGACGGAGCTTGCGCTCCTGTGGAAATCGCATCGACGTCTTGAGCTTGCTTCAAGCGATCGATCTCAGACTGAAGATGTTGCAATCGACTGTGTTATACATTAGCGTTGCCCACTCGATGCCGGGTTTTGCTACCTTCGTGCAGGCACTCGCTTGAAGTTGGAGTCCGTCCGACATTTCAAGCCTCGTCGTGTGCAGTTGGAACACGGGATGGGAGCTCGCACGCGGAGGTCGCACTTTTGCTGTTCTTCTTATTAATTCGCGCCAAGTGGCCTTGTGTTGCCTGCTTGCCTTGGCCTGTCGACACGTGGTGCACGATGGGGCACCACGTCTCGGCTCTGTACTCTTCTCGTCCGCCATGTTTAGCAGTCGCTCCTGCAGCTGACTCTACACATATCACGGTCTACGGGCGAGCAGGAATTGAACAACTGTCATACCACACGCACTGGGCAGCGGATGCTGACGAAGAAGCTCTCGCGATCGATGACTGTCTGGGCTAGCGTTAGACGACTGCTCGAGGATGCATCGACGCATGTCATGGGACTAATGACAGTGCGTTTGGATGTCATCGATGGCTACCTCAGACTGGCCGCCCAGCTTAGGCTCTATTACTTCGACTATTATATGCCGACTGTTAAGTGCTAATAGGGGATTTTAGCTATTATCCGGTCTCGGAAGGCTATATTAGTTGTTATTAGTCGTCTTGTTTAGTATTCAACTAGCTATTGTCGACTAGTAAAGAAGATTAGCTTACTATTAAGATCTTTATCTACTTTTACTCCTCTCTTAAGTAGGTATATACGCTTATATAGTCTACGTCTAGATAAATTAAATAAGTACCTATCGCGCTACTTATTAAGTAACTAATAGATATCTAATAATAAAAGCTATTAAATAATTATAGTATATAATTACTAGAGGTTAGTTATTATATACCTATAGTATAAGAGGGTTAGAGAATAACTAGTTCTTATTCTCTTATTTCTATATTATATATTATATATCTATAATACTAGTAGTTAATAATATTAGTCGCCTTATTATCTTACTAATCTATTAGTTAGCTAACTAGATAATAATAATAGTTAACTTACTTAATAGTTAAAGTAAATAGAGCCTTAGTCTTAGTCTTATTCTTATCTTAGTAGCTACGCTAGAGAAGCTTAGCGCAATAAAGCTAATATATACTTTATTATTATTATAGTAGTATCTATTATATATTTAAGTCTATTACTATTAATATAATAATATATATAGATAATCTAGTAGTTTATCTTAGTAGTCTAATTTAGCTTACCTTATAAAAGCTTATCTTACTAGTAGATATTACTAGCGCTAAAGCGTAGAGAAGCTAAGGCTTAAATATAGTAAGCTAAGCTATAATCTATATAAAACTCGTAATTTAGAGTAGAATACTATACTCTATTTAAGTTATACTAGACTATATCTATAGGACTTAAATACTATACTAATTATATTACTATTATTCTATAAATACTATTATAGAGCTATTCTATACTATATAAGGTACTCTCTTAGCGGCTGCGCCTACGTAAATAGAGCGCCTTACCTTATATAATAGAGTACTTTAGGTACTCTCCTACTCTTTACTATAGAGCGTAGTAGAGTTATAGAGTAAGGACGAATCTTCTCTATATATAGCAATAGCTTTATACTAAGTAAATAGAAGCTTTATACTTAATCCTTAAGTATAGGAGTTTGTTATACACCTGCGGTATAAGGGGGTTAGAGCTCGTTAGACGAGTAAGTTCTAAGCGATAGGTCGGGTAAGTAACTACTCTAAGGTTTGACCTTTCGGCGGGTTAGTAACTTAGGTTAAACACGAACTACCTATATAAGAAATATCCCCTCTATATATATAGGAGATTCGTATATAGTTACGATTACCTAGCGGTAATCGTAAGCATTCTTCCTTACGGTTACTCGAGAGTAAGGGTAAGTAGGCTACTTACTTAAGGGTCTAGGTAAGCGGTATTACGTAACCCTCTTATAGCCGCCCCTGCAGACCTAGCTTATTAGCTCCCTAAACTTAATTAGTTAGTCTACTTATTGCGGACCTAATGTCCGTAACATTATCCTACTCTATAGCTATTATATCCTTATAACCGAGCATTAGTCGTTGTTCCGGCGTAGGCGTCTAATATAGGCTTAGCGTATGTTAGAGCCTCCTAGTATTTAGTGTCGCGGGGTCCCGCTTATAGATACGTTTCGTTATTCGATAGCTTCCTCTAGCAAATAATCTCGACTCGTTCGTTTTATAAGAATAACCCGGAATCCTTTCGTATCGGAAATACGCTATAATCGCTATACTAAACACGATCGTTCCGAGTACGTCTTTATTGCCGACTTTTCCTTAAGAAGTATGCGATTAGGTGTCGATTTCTATTGTGCTCCTATATAAGGCAAGTACTAATAGCAAAGTCGGAGGCATCGGTTTCGAT